TAAGGTAGAATGAGTACAGTATACTAAGGATATTATAAATTATATTTTCAACAATTCTACAAGGTAGATATCATCATTATACATCATATATATGAGATTGGTGATGATTCTATTAACATTCATATAATAGTACAATAAATGTTGAAAATTTAATATTTAGACATGTTGTAATTTATTTAATATACCGATTCAACATGATTAATTCATAATATCATCTATTCATACATATATCTACAATATATTAAAATTTACATTCCAACCCAACTTTGAAATTTTAGACCTACTAGGGTAAATACCTTAATATTTTAGGCAATGCCTTATAACTTTTTGGCCTCCAACTATGTTTTAATTTTTTCACCGAATTTAGTCAACTCGTATATTGATCTATTGATTATGTGTAGATGGTATTTCAGATATTCCTAGTTATTGAGATATGCGAAGAAAACCTAACTTTTTTTTCATCGAGTACCTATTATCTCTAGAACCACTTTGAGTTTTTATTAGCATATAACAGTTTGTCGATGAAATTGTACCCTGATTAACATATATAAGATCCAAGTTTTAAATATTGGCCATTAATAAAATGGTAATGGGTTTTCGCCATACCCAAACCCAACCCCAAAACCCTCTGAGTTGAAATTTCTATTTCACTCTTGATTGCTTGATTAACTACATTGTCAAGAATGGTAAAGGACTTGTCAATAATGTTTTGTCCCAGTTTTTCTTCCTTATTTACCATCGAGTGAAGGGCATAAACGATAATTGAAGAAGTTGATTCAGATATTGTTTCTTCTGAAATAGTTTCAATAGCACTTGTCAAGGTATCTAGAAGTTGAGTTTGAATTTGAGATACAATTGTGGAGTCTTGTTGATCTTGAGGTAGCGTTTTTAACATTTGAGTTGCTGAAACAATTGTGTTAATTGTTTGAGAGATACTTTGAGATGCATCTCCGTCTTGAATGAAAGATGTCTTGATAATATTTGTTTGATTGGTAACTTGCTTAAATATTTCACTTATTGATGATACAATAATACTTGTAACAGTGACATTTGAATACATTATTCTTGATTCTCCAGTTGCTGAATCTATTAGTTCAATATACAAATTAACTATTTCATGGTTCATTGCTGGTAATTTGAAGGTGCCTTCTGGGGTCAGAGTAATTCCAACTTTAATTCCACTTTCCGCATCAATGTAGCCTTGCTTAATTTGAATGGTGTTGGCTTCATTTTGACAGTTTTGACACGTCAAGGTAAAATCAGTCGTCATTGAGAAACCAGCTGAAGGAATGACTGAACATGGACACTTCTTTGGTTTGGATGCCTTAAAGTAACTAAAAGTGCTTTCAGATAGAGAAATTTCAATCAACTCATTAGAGCCACTTTGCTGTTTAACAAATGAAACCAAAAATTGAACGGAATGATCAATACCTTCTTCCAAACCACTGACATCAATAATAATTCCACTTTGTTCTTTGTTGTTAACAATCTTTGCGTAACTTGAAAAAGGAGAAGCTGCTGCTGTTGAAATAGCATCTGATGCTGAACTAACACTCTCATATAAAATAAATCCATCTATTTTCCATTGAGTTTTAAGAAGCATTGAAGAATCTGAAACATCTCGCTCTGAATGAATTACCTCAATCGAAATCTTATCATTTCCCTTTACTATGGATTTAGAAGCAGGAGAAACATTAATAACTTTTACAATTGGTGGAGAATGAACAATATTCAAAGTTATGGAAGCTGAAACTTGTCTTTCACCTTTTGTAATTGTTAGTGTGAATTTTGGTTTTTCCAAAGAGACAAAGTCTTCCTTTTTCATAATTATCAAAGTTGACTGATCAAGGGAATACTGAGTCAATTTACCACTTGCACTGCTCCCACAATAACCATTAGATTCTGAATTGACACAATTCCATTGCCAAACTTCCTTTTCATCCAAGTTACTTTCAGGGTCGACATAATTAACTTGAATACTGTTACTCAGAGATGATGATTCCTTCAGTGACAGCGATAACAATAGATCAGGCTGAATTGTATTGACGATAATAGAATCACTATTTGCTTGATTATTAGCAGCCACTATTGAAACCTTGAAAATAAACTTCCATTGTCCACTTGGGAACTTGTCAATAATCAAATTGTTTTTGGAATCTTTTCTGAATTTAAGGGATGGTCCACTAACTTGTTCCCAGTCAATATTAACTTGTTGACCTATCAAGTAAGAAGGTACAAAAGCTGTCTTTTTGATAGTAACTAGCTTGCTAATTGACTTGTATGAAACTTCCTTTTCTCCAATGATAGAAACTGCTGGAAGCTCAACTTCTTGAATTTCGAAACTTAGGTACTCAACTGAGCTCACTTGGCTAGTTGCCTTACTTTTCACAATCAATGAAACATTGTAAACGCCTTGTCTTAAAATTCCCCTCTCAACCTTAATAGATGATCCTTTGGAAGAACTTATTGCAGAAAATACAGAGATAGGAATTGAATTTCCTTCAATATTCCAATAATATTCCAATTCCTTCTTGTCACCAGAATAACTATTAGCTCCACTAATATAAATGTCCTCATTGACAAAGTAAACCTTCTTTGTGGATTTAATTTTTGCTACAGGACTTTGTAGAGTATTTGGAATGATAATGTACATTCGTGTATAATCATTGAGTGCTCGTTTTTTAGTTTTCTTTAAGAAAACATTAGTATTTAATCTAAAGCTCAAGTTTGCATCTAGCTTGAAATCATAATCAAATTGAATCTTGAAATTGGAATTTGTCTTGTTTGTCCAGAAACATTTAGGTTCTGTTCCAAAAATTGACACATCGTCTGAATGTATAAGATTTGAACATGAAATTGAATTGGAAGTGTAGGTAGCAGGAGCAAATAGCTTGAAAGTTACACCATCAAAACTTGGAGTTATCTCTGCGTAAACACTGTCGACTAATGTATAGTTAGCATTAGGGACTGTTAAAGGTATCTCATGGGATGTCTTATTTTCACAATAGTTAGGTTTCGTACAGTTACCGGTTCCATTGCAAACATTTGGATCCTCAGATAAAATACCGAAACAAATAGGTAATGAACAATTAGCTCCGTAATATCCTTCTCTACATCCAATACCACTGGTATTGTTAAAGGAAATTGTTTGATTTGTACTAAGGGTGTCATTAGTATTGTCTGTTGTAATGTTATTAATAAGTGATGAATTAATGTTTGAAAGATTATTTCCAGTTACATTGGCATTTTCAATTGTTAGATTATTAGAATGAAAAATTGTAGAGTTCAGGGTTTCTGTGGAATTTGATTCAGTGGAATTATCAACAGTTTCGTTAGAAATTGCTTTAGTATCGTTTGTGGTCGTATTAAGAGTGGAGTTGAGCTTATTTTCAATTGAGGAAGTATTTGAATTCTCAGTTATATTACCGACTGAAGAATTATCAAGAGTTGAATTAAGAGTATTGTTAATGGTTGTGGCATTTGAATGTTCAACAGTTGAATTAGTCCTGTCAGATGTAGTACCATTAAGAGTGGTGTTGAGATCAATTGAGGAAGTATTTGAATTTTCAATTGAGGTATTTGCAAAAATAGTATTATTACTCTCGGTTATATTACCGACTGAAGAAGAAGTATATAGAGTGGAATTAAGAGTTGTGGCATTTGAATTTTCAAGAGTTAAATTAGTACGGTCAGTACCATTAAGAGTGTTGATATTATTTTCAATTGAGGTAGTATTTGAATTCTCAATTGAACTATTTGAAAATGACGTGTTTTCAAAATTGGAAGTATTCATAACTACTGTGGTATTACTGACTGATGTGTTTGTAACATTGGTTGAGTTTGTGTTTAAAGAAGTGGGTTGAGTTGAATTAAAACCATCAATAGTAGTTACATTACTCGAAGTATTTGAAGAAACAATGGAATTGCTGTCCGATACAGTAGTTGAGTTGAACGTTGAGTTAGTTGACTGGGATGAGTTATCACTTGTACTTGTTGTATTGCTGAAGACAGTAAAATTACCTGGCTCTTCATGTGTTGAGCTTGAATTTGTGTTCAAAGAGGAATTATTGAAAGTGGAATTTAGACTGGTATTCGTATTCGAAACACCCAATGTCCCGTTCAATAATGAAATGTTAGTGTTGGTTTGGTTGGAAATAGTATTCTCGAAATTAGTGCTATTTACGGTAATAGAAGTATTACTCTGTGTCAAATTACTATATGATGCGTTTGTAAAATGCTGGGTGGAATTAGAGGTTAGGGAGGTAGTATTAAATATTGTGGAATGATTCATTGATTGTGTTGAATTAAGGGTATTATTAATTGAGGAAACATTAGTTGAATTTCCAAATGTTGAATTAGTTGTACTATTAATTCTGAACGTAGAATTAAATTGGGTGGAATTAAGAATTGAAGTATTACTTGGAACAGAGCAATCTAAAACAGTTAATTCATCATTGAATGGAGATTCACCACTCACAATACTATTAAGGTCGAATGAGGCTAGGAACATGTCATAAATATCACTAGGGGAGTGGAAGAAAAAGAGTTTAAAATCATTATCTGCATCCTGTTGAGCTTCTAAAGAAGCTTCATTGCAGAATTGGGTGTTTGTGGTTTGGAACAAATATACACCAATAACATCATCTGATGCTCTTTTTGTAATTGTTGAACCAATGACTGTTATCGAAGAAGTAGTACTGTTACTTGTAGTGTTGATTAAAGAATTTGTTAGTGAAATATCAACTTCTTGACACGCTGATCCAAGAAATCCAGGTTTACAAGCACATTTGTTAGGTAGTGTACAATTACCGTTTCCACTGCAAACAAGTGGATCTGAGGACTGAATTCCAAAACAAATTAGTAAGGGTGATTCATACACTACTATGGTTGCATTTAAAAACACAGATTGACATTGTGCTCCAATAAAACCAGCTTTGCAAGTACATACATTTGGTTTCGCGCAATAACCATTTCCACTGCAAACAAATGGATCTGAAGATTGAATTCCAAAACAAATTGGAAAGCCGCAAATAAAAAAGTTAATAGAGTCTGTACAATCAATCTCAGAAGATAGATACACAGGTCCAGACTGACATTGTTCTCCAATAAAACCAGCTTTGCAAGAGCATTCATTTGGTTTCGCGCAATAACCATTTCCACTACAAACAAGTGGCTCTGAAGATTGAATTCCAAAACAAGATATTAAGCTGGAAGCATTTCCTCCTTCTGGGTCTTTGTCACAAATCCCGTCCTCACATGTTAGTTGTGATAATTTTCTAATATTGAATTGATTTTCTATAAAGTATATATCTCCATTCGACTGATCTATTGCTAAGGAAGTTGCTCCAATTAAAGAGTTTTCAGATATAATTCCATCCGGGGTTTCTCCTTGGGTACCATTTCCAAGAATTGTAATAATTTGGTTATCACTTCCAATTGATATCTTATTAATCTGATAGTTATTGTTGCATGTGGTAGTCCAGTACAGTTCATCATTAAAGCAATCCCAGGAAACATAACACACAACATTAAATGTGAAGTTTCCGTACTCATTAATTTTCGTAATGTAGAAGGGACTCCGTAATCCAGAGGAATCATACACCTACAACAGTTAAATTGGATGAATGAATAACTTACATTTAAGAAGAGAGTACTTTTACAATAAATAAAATTGATTCGAAAATCTCTTAACATGTTATCATTTGCATAATTTGTTCTACTTCCACTTGTGATGTTATGAATCATGGGTTGATAAATATCAAGAGAATAAGCATTATCTGTGGTATGATCAACTGAAAAATGAGTAAACAATCCCGTAATTGTGGTATGTTGTTTTGAATTTGGGTCCAGTATGGTTATTCCATAAGAATCAATCCAAACCAAACTTCCCTTCCATAGATAAATCCATTGTTCATGCAATGCAAAAACATTCCTTGAACCACTACCCAAATCTAACAGTTCAGACCTACCAGCTTGTAGCCCCTTAAATTCATATCCGTTCTGCAAGAAATAACTGGTTTTATTCTTGCTTTCAAATGCCAGGCTTGATATTGGGTATAGACTAGATGTATAAACTGTTGAAATCCGATATTTTTCTGATGCATCCACAAGACAACATCCAACAATCACCAACAGCACCAACAACAAATACACATGCTTTGTGTACAGAGTGTATTTTTTCCTAGAGTATGAAAGACGCATTTTTTATGACTAGTACAGTGTGTGTTGTTGGCTGAGTGTTGTCCAAATATGAAGATATCAAAAACCTTACTACAGTTATTACAGTGCCCATAATACAGCTGAGGAAGAGCGTGCATATTGCTGCCATAACCACACAACATGGTGGAAATCAATAATAAGCGATGTGTGGCACATGTTCATTGGTTGAAATAAAAGAAGATGCCTTGCTATTCGCAAAGTAGAATGCCAAAGTTTGCATTTTCAATCTTTTTTTAAATGGATGTTACTGTAATGTAAGGAAGCTTCAAAATTTATCAAAACTCTAAATGGATATTGTTCTTAATTTGAAACTGTGCACAATCTGACAAAGCAACTGCTTAGCAACAAATGTTCAACAACTCACTCAACCTTTGAGGGATTATTCCATAATATTGATGGTTGATAGGGAGAGCCATTATTACATCAACCCAAATTGCAAAATGAATAACAAAGGTAGATTGATAAATTGCATTCTTTTTCATTACACTTAGAATATTAAAACCTGTAATTTATTCTGGTGATAATAGACATTTCTTATACTCTAATATCTTTTATTTTCCTCTTTTTGTTGTTTTCCCATGGAGAATAATTGTAAAGTTTCTATCATTAACATGGTAAATCTTCAATATGTAAAATTACCACAAAAGATATTTATTAGGTAGAGAGTGGATAGTTTACATGCTTCTTGTCATGTTTCCGAGTGTAAAAGTAATCAACATCATAAGAAACTTAATAAAAACATCAATTATTCAGATATAGATGATCTCCAAGAGTTACGATACAAGACTTTAAATTATACATTTAATAATTAAATAAACATTATACGTTGTTGTTTTATTATTGTTTAATTTGTAATTGGGCCATGAATCAACTCTGGTAGATGAAATATCGGAACTTGGCAAATTGATAAGATGATGAAAATCTGATAATAAATATGATGTTTATTATCTATTTAAATAGTAGTACTAAAAGACATGATTCAAGTTGGTGAAGTACATGTTGAGTTATGGTCCATGTACTTTTTCAAAATTCACATGTACCTATCCCTATCATAACTTGACCAAAATTGATAAGATAAAGTTCTCCTACCTACTATTGACTATTCCGAACAATGCTACATTGACAGTTTTCCAACTTATCCAGTAGATCCAGCAGTGATCTTTGGATATAAAATTTTATTAAAATAATTAATTTTATTGTTTAAAATCATCAAGAAATTTAATGCCATCATCTTTAGATGAATCTTGGAAAACTTTCAAATCAATAAGACTAGGTTTCATCACCATATCCACATGTACAATATCGGAACATCATTCCAATATCATGGAGATACTCCCATAGGTGTGGAGAACCAAGTTTTATATCTTTAAAAAGTATTTCTCTTTCACAATTGTTTATATATTTGAAACTTTCTACTAAAACAAAATAGATTAATATTGAAAAATAGAAATTCTCATGATAATAACCTTACCAAAATACTCTTTATATAACACATATGTGTTGGAGTGCTTCCTTAACAATCTGCCTATCATTAAAGAAGCTTTTCCCTTGTTTAACATTCGCCTTAGATTAAAGAAAAAAATGGAAGAATAACTAACCGTTTCCTTCATGCCATGTTTTAATAGTTGGACTTTATCTAATAAATTAACTCATCTCTACTATCAAGCAGACAGTAGTTATATAGAAAAAGAAATCAGTAATGCTTTAAAGAACAAGAATTGTAAAGTGTTCCAGGCAATTATATTCGAATAAAATTTATGCGAATAAATTTCATACTAAATAAATTCGCATGGTTTGGCAATGCGAAATTCATTCTTATGGTCATAACTTCCATAAATAAAGAATATGTTGAGAAAAGGTGTTTATCATTCTCCTTTTCCAATGTTTGAGGAAACAACCAATAAGACCAAAACCATCGTCAAAAGTCATATTTTATATGGTGTTAAAGATTTGACTCTTTCTTCCTGATTTCAATTCAGGGAGTGTCCAAAATTTGTACAACACTTTCAAACAATCATGATATCAATCCCTCCTCATATCATGAAGTGAGGAATCATATTTATATGAAGAATAACCGCAGAATAATTTGCAAGATTTCAAAAACCTAAATACACAAAAACACAATAAAACATGATTAGAGAATCAACAATGGATTATTTACATGTAACTAGTCTAGTTTACATCAACAAATATGGTATATGTGATGTGAAATTTAATTAAAAACAGAAAAATCAAAATCTTCATGATTTCAACGAAACAAGACGAAATAATTGATATGGTACATCTACAATAGTACTAATAAAAGTTTATTAATGTTTCAAGAAGATTGACTGTGTACTTTTGGCATGAATCATGATTGGGACCATGAATAACCCGAAGTTGGCAAAAACACAAAATGATGAAAAACTGATAATAAATATATTGTTTATTATGTATTTGAATAGTAGTTATGAAAGACATTTTTCAAGTTGGTGAAGTACATGTTGAGATATGGTCCATGTACATGTTGAAAATATACATGTACCTATCATCATGATAAACAATAGGGAAATGTTCGGAAGTGATTTTACCTGATGGAATCGACCATGCTGAACAATACTAGATTGAAAGTTTTCCAAATTATCATGTGAATCTGGCAGTGATGATGATTTTAGTGAAAATATTAAATTTCACTAAAATATTACTATTATCAGATTTATTTCCGCAAATATTACTATTATAATGATGATAAATAACAATGATGATGGTTGGTAGTTGTTCCGATGATGATATACCAACTTGAATTTTTCCAAATAATAAAATTATTTCCAAATCATGATGAAGGATTAAATTCCAGAAATTACTAGTAATACTATTATTTAAATCATGATGAGATGATGTGGTGAAATTCTTGGAGTTAATAGATGTGAAATCACTCCAAGAATCAACAGAGTCGTGATGTACCTGATGTTGATCCAATATTTTTGAAATATTTTTCCAAGTTCTTGTAGATTCCAAACACCTAAGAATCGGTGTGCCCAAAGATATTTTTTGCATGGAAGAATAATGCGACCGAATATTACCGAATAATTTTTTATACGGGTTTATTTCGTATATAACATAAAGTTTACAGATTTTATGAAGATTATTATGATATATCACAAGATGAAGACGTTACTATTAAACAAATTGTAAATCACGAAATGTTATTTGGAGACAATCCTTCAAACAAACGTCTTAATTAGTGTGTGATTAAGAAAAGTAAACAAAGTGATGCAACCGGACTTGTGCTCACAAAAGAAACAATGGATGATTACTCTCCTTCATCAGACAGGATGGTTAGATTTAATATTATCGGCTTTGAGATAGCCCACACTGAATTTCATAGCACAACATTTGATATTGTATTCGTTAATGGTTGGCATAAACAATATTTTGTTGTTTGTTGAAAGTTTGCTTCCTCAACAACAGAAAGTTACAAGATCAACAAATTCAACAATTTGAAGGGTATTGGAAAACCAAGTCAACCTAAATATCAGCAATACTCTGAGCATTTCCTTAAATTTAATTACAGCCAATCAGTTAACAAATTTCATCCATCGTTTGCATTCGTTGATTGTTTAATTGAATCAGTGACCAGTCAATCTACATTTAGATTATCCTTATCACAAATTGAATGTTTATTTACTTTATGTCAACAAATCTCATTATTGAAAAAGGAAAATTTGGAAGAAATTGTGTAACAATTAGAGGCATTTTCAACAAAGTATTGTCAATATTCTGATTTGTTTTCAGAAATTCTAACAGATACATGGAATGATACCTATAATTCTATTCAGGTATTTAAAAGTTGGGCTTTCTTTCCTTTTCAAAAGATTACTCAACCTTTCTTGTTCGATTCTGAACTTGCTCAGGATTCTCCACATCTTCTCAGATACCTCATTTCATGTAAATATGGTAATTTATTGGCAGGTCAAATCCTTTCTCAAATATATCTGGTAGAAGATGAAGATGGAGATTTATTTAGATTGGCAAAGCAATGTGGTGTCCCAGAGGAGAACTCTCCAAACTCAATTGAGCAATATCCTAATATTTTACTGAGAGGAAATAGAAAAGAGTTGAGCAATGTAAATACAGATCCCAGATTGTGGTATTTTCATCCTACATATAATTGTAATTATTCAAGATTTCCAAAAATACTTATTTGGCTTGGATTGGTATTTACTTTATTTATTTGTTTTAGGATTGAGATTTAAAGAAAATGTTGAAAAAGTTAAACCAATTCTCAAAGAGTATAATATTGGTCTCTATCATCACTTTATTAGACAATTACTTCCAACTACTTTAGAAAGAATTGAATGTTCTAAAAAAGCAATTGCAAATGAAGATATTCAATTAATTAATACGACAACAGAAGAACCAGAAATGCTGTTGTGGAGAAGTCTTGCTCGTTTATTTGAGGAAGAAAAAACAGAGTATAAATCCTCTTCCTGCTAACTTAACTGGATGAAGTTGTTGAGATATTACCAATAATTGGATTTCTTCAATTTATACTGAAAAATTCATTGTATAAAAACAGTATTCCTCCAATAATCAAGAACACCACAATCATATAGGGAAAATAGATAACCATCACAATTTCAAGAACCAACAAGATAAGAGTTACCACAGGAGTTAAGCATATTAAAGTGATAAGCAGCCAATTAGGAAGACATGTTTCATTGACATAATCTGCAGTATGAACTCTAACATAGAACAGGAAGAAATGTGCTGGGAATAAGAACATTAGAAACGGAATTCCAAGATAAGTAATCAAACTCAACCAAGGAAGGTCCATAGTCTTTGCCAACAACTGTTGGAAGGAGTTACTTGTTATTGGGCTACTAGTAGTTGAAGTTTCGTTGGATTCTACTTCTTCATTGTCAAGATTTGTTGGCATTGGTTCACAAGTTTCCTGCGCTGTTGGTGTTTCTGACATTTTTTACTTCAAATAAACTGCAAGCTATTCTAATCTTCTTTTTTATTTCGTAATTAACGTGAGTATTCTTAAAAATCGAAACGTGATTTGTTGTAATTGAACAGTAAAACTGAAAGTTCAGAAGTACTTTGTTAGAAGACAATCTATTCATATGCAATAACTTAAAATTCATTCTTCTTCTTTTTCAATTTGTCAACCTTAATCTTGTCAATTTTCATTTCACGTTGGAAAGCAAGAGATTGTTTGAATCGATGATGTGTGTCCATCATGACCAGACATGTTTCCTTTTCTAAAATATTGAACATGGTATCTGGTAGAGTTTCAATTTGCTTATCATTGAACTTGTCAAGATAATCCTTGACAGAATCAGTTAAAACATGTGACACATTGACAGCCATTTCACCAGTCACTTCCAAGAATTCAGTAAAAATCTCAAATGCAACTTCATACTTTTTAGCTTCCGTTTCGTTATATTCCCTCTCTAGTGGTGATTCCTTCTTCTTTTTTACAGAGCTAGCAGATTCGGCTGAAGTATCACTTGATACATCACTTATATTCGAATCATGTCCAAACATTCTCATTTGCAACTCAATTGATCGTTCACATAACGAACGATAATATTGAATCTTTTCAAGAAGTAAGAAATTCTCCATTGACTTTTCCTTTTCACAATGAGTTTTGAAAATAGCTCTCAAAGTTTCGTCTTCCATCGTATCCATCAACATGATTGCATTTGCACGACGAATCTTTTCCAAATACAATGAATCTCTATTAATTGCAAACGTAAACACAAATACTATAATTGGTAATATCACAACCAATGAAAAACAAATCACAATCAACTGAACCAACGTAATCGCCAACACATTCTCATCCTTATCACCTTCCTTCTCCTGCACATACGAAACCAAATCCTCCAATCCTCCCCTAAACCTTTCCAAGTATCCATTATACACTTGAGAATTCAATCTTTCAATCGCATCTCCTTTCTGTCCTCTCAATATAAACAAATTAATTTGAGTATTTTGAGAATCTAACATGTTGGATGCTTCGATTGTTGTTGCATTGAGCATGATTTGGATTTTTGGATCGTTGAGAGTGAGTTGAATGTTTTTGAGGATTGATTTGACGGATTGGGAGGCATTTCTGTATTGTGCTGAAACTAGACTGAATTGAGTTTCGTCGTAGCTGATTCCTGTAAAGATGTACTTTACAATGATTGAGTTTGAACTTTCGAATATGGATGTTACTTGACCAACACTTATTAGAATTTCAGTTGATTTGGATGAAACTGTTATGAACGCAGCAATGGCAACTCCAGCTAATACTAATAATCCCATCACTGTCACTAACATGCCAAGTAAACATGCCAATTTCATGGCAGTCAACTCAACCACACCACAACAGGTACGAACTTTAAATTTTGAAAAGGACGTTCTGGAATTCCCACTTTCACTTGGATTTACGAAAGCAACTTGTGTTGTTGGTTGTTTTGGTGTTGTTGGCGATGCGATGGTCACAACTTTCTTATTGGAAACTGGTGGAATGTTATTGGATGCTTGTGGTGATTTGGCAGGTGAAGTGGATGTTGAATTGACAACAATATTTGGTGAAATCTTGTCCGCATTATTCATTTTCCACTCTATGTGAACAAATAATGGATATTATTAATTATTCTAAACTGTTCGAAACCTTTAAACCTACGTTAATGATGAAAGGACCAGATCTTGTCTTGTTTTTTTCTATTGTTTTGCATATGAGATGCCAACCATCTATTGGAGCGGAAACCAAATTGCCTTCCTTTTTAATGAAATCGATATTTCTGTGCCATAGAAAGCAACACATCACTTTTGTGAAAAACAAGCATTTTAAAAAATTGTACAAATTTGGTGATGGGTTTTCCTGATTGGATAGTGACAGTTCAGTAGCCACAAAGGCAACATTCTAATACCATGCCCAAAAAACACAACATTTCAATAATGGTGTTATTAGTAACATAATTGTCTTTGTAATCTAATGGAATAGTTTCATGAATTATTTTACAACCATTCAAATTCAACACAATCTGGATGGTAGAGCATAACTAATGGATAGACAGGAAGTCTCACATTTTCAAAACTGGCAAGTTCCTTATCATTTTTAAATATTTGTAATAGTTGACTTTTACAATCCAAAGAAAGTGTTAACACATCTCCAGCTCCAAACTCTGCTCCTTCCTTCTTGTAGTTGTGCATGTTTTTTAATTGTTTATCCCAAACGTAACCATTTCCAGAGAGGAAGTATCCACCAACGTTGAGATTTGCATCAGTTCCATATACACCTTCATCAGCAGTATCCCTTCTCATGACTCCTATACCAACCCATGTGAATTTTACAACTTTGATTTTCCATTTGAATGTGGAATTGCAATGATTCGTAGTTCCTAGTAAGGTATCAATGAATATTGAAGAGTAGAAACCAGCTACTGTCTTGCTTATTCTGTTTTGATTGATAGCTATACAGGAACGATCACATTTGAAGGAAGGAATAGTTCCCAATAGTCTTGTTCCATTAGAAACATCCAAAATATTATCTGAATATTTCAATATTCTCAAAGATTCATTTCCAAAGAGCATAAAGAATGGGTAAACTGGCAATTTAACATGGTTGATTCTAGTTACTCTATTTGCAAAATTATTCTTATAAAATGTGAGCTCACAATTTAAACAGTTCATTTCTACAATGATAGTATCTCCAATCTTGTAACTTGCCTTTGGATCCTTGGTGAACTTTGGCTCCACAAATCGATTCCAAGTATTTCCCTCATGATCTAATAGATAGGCTCCCTCTTGATTATAAGGATTTGTAGCAAATTTAAGCTGGTTTGTTTGGTTTTCCATCAAAACACCAATAGCATTGTACTGATCCAAATAGTCAATTTTAACTCTCCATCTCTTGATATTATCTTCAGTTTGACATTTGTCATTCAGCCAAACATTTGAATATTCACCATTATTGGACAGTTTCCTAATCAATGAACCATTCTTTTCAATCATACTCGAATCACAATTAAATTCGTAAGAGTTGTCAAGTTTTGGAAGGTTTGGTGAAGGAAACGATGTGACTTGTTGAAAATCTAACAATTCAACAGCATCAAGTCCATAACACATCACCAATGGGACAAGTGGCAATTTGACATTCTTGAAGGATGCAATATTCACTTCTTCCTTTGTAATTGTAAATTCCCTTGTTGAACAATTCAATTCCAGAGTAATGACATCTCCAGTGGAAGATTTAATTCCAACATTGGAGTTCTTACTATCTCCATTATAGCAGCAACTCCAAAGATAACCGTTAATAGTGTACATGTATCCTCCAAAACTAATTAATGGAGAAAGATCATAGTAGCATTCCTGAGCAATTTCTTGATCAACAGCTCCAACACCAATCCAATTTGCATGTGTCAAAACTTTGATTTTCCATCTATATATTCCATAATCCTTGGCATCTCCTAATGATTTCCTTAAAAATAGAGAAGCATATGAACCTGATGTCAATTTTTGAATAACTCCATTTGTGCATTGATAATGATGTTTAGGATAGACAAATTCGAAGGTCTGTACTGCATCCATAGCTTCAGTCTCAGTTACACCCATAAACTCGACACTCTCAGTTCCATGCATCATGAAAGAAGGATAAACAGGTAATCCAACATTTTTCACAGAACTCACAACAATACCATTCTTTAAAAATGTCAATTGACCAATTCTTGTATCCAACTCTACTGTGATAACATCTCCAACTCCATAGCTACCTCCTTTAATCACCAAATGTTTAGTATCTCCTGCAATTCTTCTATCCCAAATATAACCATTTGCAGAAAACATAAATTGACCATGTTCATCAAATGGTGTAAATGAAAATCTGTGATCCTTGACAATTGAAGTGTTTGCAACGCCAAGAGAAAACCAAGAATTCAAATTAATAATTTTAACATTCCATCTATAAATTAAATTTCCTTCAAGTAATTTATCTACAAATACACTGGAATATCCAATTTTGTTTTTTGCAATTATTACTGATGAAGAGGATGATGAAGGAGAAATTGGATCATAGAATGATTGATCAAGTATTAATGAAGGTAATTGTGTTGTTGCTGTTACTTTTGCTGTGGTTTCTTCCTTTGATGATACAAGTGTTGTTGTTGGCTTCTTTTTCTTTTCCAAACTTTCGAATAGCAAACCAAGACCTTTCTCTGCTGAGTATTGCAATGAATCAATAGGTGGTGGATCGATGAGTTTGGCTGGTGTTGTGGATGATGCCATTTTTTTGAATCTTAAAGTTCATACACTCACAAAATGGTGTAACGGGCACACACAGTTGAACATTGAAAATTGATCAAGTTTCCAAAATCCTTATCAGTATTCTGATGTATCAATTACAAAAAATATTAGCAAGATTACTTTACATAATTCTTCCAAACACTGAACCTTCTAGAAGGAATTAAAACAATCGTTTTCCATTTTGTAAAAAACAATCACTACTGGATGTACTCTATTTTCTTCCGATAAATATTGTGCAGCGGCATCATTAGATTTCTAAAATTCAATCATCAAAGCCATCATGATGAAATTCTCTTCTTCCTTACTTGATGCGCAGGAATTGCACTTTAGCACCAAAAATCTCATCAAATTACTGCTCCCTCACTATTTTCAACAACGCACATTTTAAAACGCGAGATAACCCACAAACCAAATCAACAAAACTCAAGAAAAAAAAACAAGAGAGATGAAGGCTATGATTATTGAGGATTATTGTGAGGAACCAAATTTCATTGATTCCGAGCAACCAAAACCAACCATTTCAAAAGCTAATCAAGTATTGGTCAAATTGTGTGCTGCCAGTGTCAATCCAGTCGATTATAAAGTGAGAAAGGGAGGAATGAGGGCAATTATGACATTGCAATTTCCATTAATTTTGGGAAAGGATGGAAGTGGAATTGTTGAGCAAGTGGGTGAAGAGGTTAGTAGATTTAAAGTAGGAGATAAGGTTGCTGGGTTTCTTCCGTTTAGGAAAACTGGAACATATGCAGAGTATGCAATTTTTGAGGAGGACGAAATTGTAAAGTATTCAAATGAGCTATCTCATCAACAAGCTGCTGCATTCCCATTGGCTGGTTGTACAATAATGGAAATGTTGAGAAAACATTCGGAAGTTTTCAAGGTTTTGGAAAGAGAAGGACAAAACTCGTACGAAAATAATCAAATTTCAGATCCATTACCAACTTTAGAGAAGAAACCATTGAAAATTCTCATAGTTGGGGCTTCAGGTGGTACAGGATTGGCAGCATGTATCATTTGTAAGCAATTTCTTTCGAGATATTTCAACACTACCATTTATGCAGTATGTTCTGAACGTAATTCAAAACTAGTTTCGGATATGGGAGCTGATGTCATTATCGATTATTCCAAGACTTCAGCCAGAGCAGGTTCCAGTACAACTCATTCTACTGGTGGACTTTCTAATGAAAAAAGTATTTGTCAAATTATTAAGGAGAACGGTGATGATTATGTGGATATTGTTTTGGATTGTGTTGGTGGTTATTACTATTATGATGATGTATGTCAGACGTTGGATTGTTCTAAGGCACCTAATGGATGTGTTTTTACAACGATTGGAACACCAACAAGTGAGAATCAAGAGTGTTTCTACTGTTTTTCGAATTGGATATTATCTCATTTCGAATAAGGTAAAAAGTTTAATTTCATGTGGATATCCATCATTTTACATGTTCATGATGGTAAAGAATGTAAGAGATATGCATTTATTGTTAAATCATGTTGTAATTTCGGATAGAGCATTCGAAAAGTTACCACTAATTCTATTCAAATTAGAACAAGTGAAAGAAGCCCATTTACAAATGCAATCTCAGAGAACCGTTGGTAAAATAATTATCAATCATGAACTTTAGTATCCAATGTTTTGGAAATGCATTCGAATCCAGTCAACAAATATAAATGGCATCTCATTCATCATTTTGTCAATCAATATTCAACAGTCAAACTCATAAAAAAAATGCATAGCTCAACTGGCTCAATTTTCATTCTGATAATGACACTTGCCACCATGGTCATCACAGCTGCTCCAATCCAACTCAACAAATCAGGAGACAAAGCTTATGGAATTGTTAAAAGTAATGAAATGATCATGTATTATGTATATACCGATACTTCATTTACATTGAGTTTGAATTATGTAGATTCGGTGACTGTTTACATCAGATCAGGATATGAACCGACTAGGATAATGTATGATTACATTATAACGTCAGCATATCCTTCACAAGATGTTTTAGTCTATTCGAATTCAACCTATTTTATTGGAGTTTCAACAACAGCGACACAGAAAAGCTACACGATCGAATTGAAAAAATCAAATAGTAATTCACAGAGCACAGAATCTGGATTGGCCAATTGGATAATCGCAGTCATTGCAACCATTGTTTCAGTGGTTGTGTTGTGCATTGTTGGAATTACCTTCTTGATCATTGGATTGATTTGTTGTGGAGTGTTTGGATGTGGTTTGGTGTGTTGTGGTATTGGAGGTGCTGCTGCAATGCATGCAAATTCAACTCAACAACCAGCTTCGTCAACTACAACTGTTACAACCACATATGGTGGTGTGAATGGTCAACCAATGCAACCACAGCAACAGCTATATTATCAGCCACAGCCACAGCCACAGAAACCACCATACTCTGATATTCCAATGCAACCAATGGCTATTCCAGTGGCTGCACAACCAAATCCAATCAGTTCAATGCATTCGATGAATTCGTGGGAGGGATCTCAAATTTCGTTAAATTCTGGATTTTCAAGTCAAGCTCAACTCTATGAAAATTTACAACCAACTTGTCCTGTAATTGAAGAAGAGGAAGAAGAACCAAAGGAATTGGTAATGAATTAATTCATTAAGTTAATTTATTCGACTAAAATATTTTGGAATGTTCACATCACCAATTATATGAAAATCTTCAAAGGTGATTGATAATAAATTAATTTATCTACATTTTGGTGTGTTTGGTTGGTATTGAGATAGATTACAATATCCTTCACTTGTTGCCAGGACTGAAGATTGACCCTTTCCAAATTGTGGAGTTTTGCATTCAGGACATGGACAATTCTTATCGAAACTCTTCCATGCTTTGAAACATTCCTCATGTACATTAGTTCCACAAACAAGACAGTGATCTGTCTTTTCCTTTCCAGGAACGAAATCCTCATAACAAATTGGACAATGAGATCCAGCAAGTGTTTTTCTTTGTTGTCCAATAGTTAATTGAGAAGTATCTTGGCTCATTAAATTATTATAGCTCTGAATAACTTGATCGCTAGCTTTCAGAGATTGTGACAATACCTTAGGAGCATGTGCAAAAATGGCTTCTAACTCTGATTTCATTAATGCCTTTTGGTAGACTACATAATGAGTGGCTGGTATTCTCAAAACTCTCAAATAAACAAATAGCTAAATAGAATTAAATGTTAAAAACAATTACAATTCAACCACTAAAAAACTTACAATATGTTTGCAGAAATTTCCTCTCTTAAAATCTGGACAACTACAAGTTGGAACTTGACAAACATGTACATCATAAACATTGCCAGTTGTACCGAATACTATAACACATTATCGATTAGTCAATCAAAAAAATACTGAAACTTACCTGCAAAGGTTTCCTCATATTCCTTTTTATCCTTTCTGCCAATTAGGAAAAGTCTTTGAGTTAATGCTCTTTGAATTCTATCCAATAGTTTTTCACTACACGAAGAAACAAACTTTTTCTTTCTCTTTTCAGTTGAATCAACAGGTGGAGATGTCATGGTTGCAAGTGGACTATCAGCAGGAATGGTTGTTGTTGAAACTGGTTGAGCTGGAGTGGAGTCCTTCTTTTTCCTAGATTTCTTTTTTTCAGAATGGGCCTTTGGTGTGGCAGCATTTGTAATTTTCAATTCTGGTGACGATGGACGTACTACTTGTTGTGAGCTGGTCTGTGTTGATATTCCAGTAATTTGTGAGCTTGATGGTGTTATTGAAGATCTAGGAGAATTGATATTAAGTTGTGAGAGAGGAACAGTGGTCGAAGGAGAGAATAAAAGTTGGGAATATTGATCCAAATGAAGATTTGCCAAATCATTAAAGGTTGGCGTAGGAACATGTGATGATGCTGTTTGAGAGTATGATAAGGATGCATTACTACTGAGTGGAGTATGAATTGGTTGTTGTTCTGCCTTGAATGATCCATCAAGATATGGACCTAGAATATTCTTTCTATCAGTTTGTTTTGTTGGAGTTGTAAATCCTCCTTGTGATGATGTAGTTGACATTGGAGAGACAGTTCCTGGTGATGTTAAACTTGTCGAGGACATTGGGGAAGAACCTGGTGTTGCTTTGCGTCCATTTCTCCTCTTTGTTGGTGTTGTGATTTCAGGTTTTACTTCTGCCTTTACGAAAATAACATCATCAGTCACTCCATTCGATGTCACAGGACTATTATCTAAAGAAATAACCTCTATAGAAGAGTGTGGTCTTTTCATAGGAGATGCTTTTTGAGGAGAAGGCATATTACTGTATTGATTATTGTGAGAATATGATCCAGAATGTTGATGTTGTTGATGTGGTGGAGTATTACTTTGTGTTGGTTGATAAAAGTGTGGTTGATGAATTGGTTTGGAAGGTGACAGTGTTGGTGGTGGATTCATTCCGAAATTATTTGTTGTTGTTGGTGATGCATTGCATTGTTTGTTGTTGCTACTCCTCCATTTAAATTGAATGTTGAAGCATTCAATCGTAACACTCTAATCAATTCCGTCAATTGTTTTGTAGAGAATTGTTCCACACCTTTCGTAATATTAAATTCTCTCTTTAGCACATCCAAATAAATTCTATCGGTAAAACTTGTTGGCGATTGTTGCAGTTGTTGTTGTTGTTGGGAATCACTCATTGTTCTTGGTTTATAATGACCTTGCCAAAGATGATGGGACTGAATAAATCAAAGCAGCGGCAGAATATCAATATGTTGTGATATTTTTTTTGAAATTATTAACGGCAATTTTTTTTTAGCTTTTGATCACAAAAGATTGGAAGTTGTAATATTCTTGATTGATGATGAAAATAATATTCGCTGCGTTCATCCGGGAAGACTTTGAGGCAAAAGTACAAAAAAATTGATAAACACCACTGGTCCCAGCACAATTTGACCCTCCACCATTGTTAATCTGAGTCATCTCTCATCAGGAAATCTTCTCTCTTCAACCTCTGCGTATTGGATGGTACTTCTCTTGTTTGAATGTATTTTGAAGGTTCCAGTTGATAACCGAAACGATATGTTCTGAGCACTCTTTCCAGCATAGAAGCTTTGAAAGTATGCTCAGCACATAATTGACATCATGATAAATTATTGGAAAGTGAGCAATCATGGCTGTTCAACACTGTAGTTCCTTCTTTCGTCAGCAAAATGAACAGAAAGTTATACCACTCACCATATTTATAAATAATCTATTTTTATTAATTGCTATTTTTATTATTTTTTAATTGAAATTAATTTTTATTAACATTAATTTCAATTAAAAAAAAATGCCTAAACCAAATCATCTGATCCTTGAACCATGGCAGTTAATGAAGAAAGTAAGTAGTTTATAGTAAATAATTAACAATTTGAACAGAATTAATTGAGTTATTCAGTGAAACTCAAAAACAAGCCTAAATCCAATTTAAACTAAAACAATTGATCAACGTAAGTTTTTTTATCATTTCAACTTTTATTTAACTAAAAACCTAGTCCGCACAATCAAACCAGCAACAACAGTCATTAACAAATGTAAGTTTAAACCGATTTATTTATTGATGATTAACATATTTTTTTGTTAAATATCTGAAATTTTCAACTGTCACAAAGAGAAGGGTATTGAGTTGATTCATTAGTTGTAAGTCACTTTACTTTTATTGTTATTAATTCAAAACTAACAAGAATACATTATTGAAGAGCCCTTAACTGACCCGAAGAGGATGATCTTGAAGAAGAAGGCTGACAGAACTCATAGTGCTTCAAATCAACTGTTTCTTCTTGGCCTTTTCGTTAGCACTGAATCAATGATGATTAAGCTTATATTACGGCTGTGATGTGGTGCCATTTTTTTGTTGATTACTTCCAATTTATTTAGGTTGACCACAACTATTTTCAATAAACATTTTTCTTCAACTACAAGTCAAATCAAGTCTTCTGAGAACAATGTAAAGTGAGCAATCTGAGCACACATACTAGCACACCCCCCAGAACAGTGCTCAGAAGACTTCTCAGCACACCTCTCAGAACTGTGCCCAGATCAATCCCAGCACAGATTCCTAGCACAGTGCCTAGAAGTGTGCTGGAGATGATTTACCTGGGAAGCCCCTGGGATGACCACTCGGAATACAACCACGATCATACTCATCAAACGACTATTTTCTCCTCTTGTTATTATTCTCTTTTGATTCCGAAGGTCTTTTTCTTTTTAAATCATTTCCTTCCTCATCATCATGATTTTTTACTTCTTCTTCCGATGATGATTCCGAAGATGAGCAAACTTTCTCTTCATCATCGGAAGAATTAATAGCTTCCCTAATTCTTGTTCTCACCCTTTCCAATCCAACTTGTCTTGCTTTTGGTACGCCTCTCGTTCCATGCCACAATTCAGCATTGTCAGTGGCTAGTAAAACCTTCCTTGCTTCTTCATTCTGTGAGAATTTGCAATATAACATCTCCTCCAACAGGGAAAACTTCTTCCGATTCCACTCTCTTATCTGTTCATCATTCAACATGACCATTTTACGTTGTTTTCTAGCATCTTCTCCATCTCCTTTCGAAAGCTTACTTTTACTCTCTAAACAAAATTGATGAGCCTTCTCTGTCGATGCAAGAGCAATCTTTTGAGCATGAAAGCAATGTTCAACCGTTCTGTACGATTTGTTCTTGTATGTAAACGTTCCGATATGAAAGTTTGAGAGAATTTGTCGCCAATTCTTAATTTTGGATAGTTTTGAAAAATCATCGGAAGGATTTAGAGTTTCGTTTGCTCCTTTTCCAGGTGCTTTATCAGCAGATTTTGAGTAAAAGAAGAGAATTGATGATGTTGGACCTTCTTCGTTGCTACTTTGAGACATTTTTTTATTGTAATTTTTCATTTCCTCCAAAAGATGGAAAATAAAATAACAAAAAAATGTCATCACAATTAAACATCAGCTTTCATAGATCAAATCATCAAGAAGAATCTGATTTTCTGATCTCTACTTCGTTTATTCATTGCCATGTCCACGAAAGTATTATCAAGAAACATTTTAAAATGTTAGAAACAATGATGAATGGTAAATGGAAAGTTGAAAAGAAGGAAAATTTAACAATTTTTGAATTTGATTCGGAAAGTGAGAAGGAAATAGTTGGATTGATGGAAGAACAAAAGAAACAATTGCTCATGAAATGTCTTCTTTCGAATATTTATAAGAAAGAAGGAGAGAAAGTAGAAGAAAGTCAATTTTTGATTGAATATGACTTTTTGACTTGTTTTTACAATCTTGCTAATTATTTAGGTGCTGATGACTTATGCTCCTACTTGTTATTGGAACAAGATATCTTCCCGCCAACTGTCAAATTATTTCTTTACAAATTATGGAAACTTGACATTCCAGAAAAGATAAGAATTTCTTGGCTTTTCAAAGTTGAAACTCTTTCAGATTGCGAATTTGGTGAGCTACCAGTTGAAGCTCTCGATCAGATTATGGACGATGATTTAATTTCATTAAGTTCCAAGATTAAAATCTATGTGAATCATGTTTCAAAGAATGGAGCTGAGAATTATGTGAAAATTGCTGAAAAGCTTAAGAAACTTTACGAATCATGTGGAAACTTGTTGGTGAATGATAATTTTGATTCCACTATTCAAGATTATTTGTTGGAATACTATGATATTTTCAAGGAAAGAACTCAAGTTGAAGATGCCAACGACACGCAACTATTCGAAACTGAAACATTTATTCATTATTTTAGCATCTTTTTGGAGCTTGATTCTACAGATGATGAACCATATCCACTTTTAACAAAATTGAAGCTCAATTTGGAACAACATGATAGCGATTCCATCTATTGGTGGTATTTCAAATTTCAAAATTCACTTCCAGATAATTTCAATGTCAGATTTTATTGTACATGTGACAATACTGACCTTTTTATTAATGATTGGATTGAGAAATTGAATCCAATTCACTTGAAAGACTATTCTAAACCTCAAACTATTGACACCGATCAAGGATTTGAAAGTTTTGATGGTGAATCTTACATCACTCTTCATTCCTTAATTGTAATTGAAAAGGAAAATCCAAATAAGAGAAATCACGCAAATCTTCCAATCAATGATAATGACAATGAATTGAATTCCCTTTCCAAAAAGCAAAAATCAGATTAATTTCCAATATTTTTCACCTCTTTAGAATATAACCCATTATCTCAATCTCCTTCTCTCTACATCCATTTACAATTCACTCAACCACAACATATGCACATTCAGTTTCAATTCCAAGATTATAATGCAAATCAACTCCTCTTTTAATCTTGAAAAATCCATCCAATCCAAATTCTGAACCCCACGAATTTCTCACCACCCAAAATTTTGTATCCTTTTCAATTCCCCAACCAACAATGGAAATGACGTGATTTAATTTGATGAATTCACGGAATTCCTCGAATATTCCTCCATTGTAATGAGCGAGAGATTTTGTGGCGTCAATTCCACAACTGATTGGACCTCTATTGAATATTTCTCTCATCATTCGAAATTCACCTCTAATTTTTCCATAATGAAGTGCTCTGTATCGTTTATAGTTTCGAATAGGAAAACATCCTGTCGAATTACAAAATCCACACTCTTCAAATTCACTGCATTTCTCATCTATGGCTTTGTAATTATTACAACTTTCGTCTGGAATCCCATGATGGAGTGCATAATGATAAACTCCCAAATGACTTCCTCCATGACAAGAACCAACTTTTGCGCAGTCAATTACGTGTTGAACACTGAGAAGTAATGAATTTGGCCAACTGGATGCAATGTTGATTCGATCGGCAAGGGAGGAAGTTGCTGCATGAGCCCAGCAACTGCCACAATATTGAGGAATGTGTTGGTTTCTAACAACTGAAAGAAAATTCTTATTCGAAACATTTCTCCAATCAAAAGAAGAAGGAAATTCATTTTGATTGATATTTTCATGATCATCATCGAAAGGTATAGAATCAAATCTTGAATCTTTCAAATGGCATGGATTTTCTTCCAAATGATCAATTAATTGATCGTAAAATTCATTTAGTTTCGAATCGGTTGAAACTCTTTCAATGTAAACAAAACTAAACAAGAAGAAAAGAAAGAAAATACTCAGCCAATAATTTGTGTTGACTTGTTTGCCCATTTTTTGTAATTTTCTAAAAGTAGAAATGCAAAATGAAACTCTCAAAAATCAACCCAAAAATCAAACCTTTCAACACATTACAATAATTTGTATTGTAAAGTTGCAAATTTACAACAACATATTAAGCTCAAATAAGCTAACCAGTTCAAATTTAGCAATTTGTACTTTTTTAATCTAATGACCATCAAATTTCCAACACGAAAAAAAAACTCACAAAAAAAATCTCAACATCCCCGCGCTAAATTTCATCCTCATTTATCATCATACCATCGTGTTCATGTCTGCACCATCATCAATCAGCATCCTTAGAGGAGAATTTTGGAACTTGTTCTTCAACTCAACTAATGACTTGTTCTTCCGCTCCAAATATTAAAGAAGATGAACAAGTTAGAATTTTACAAGACTTGGAGACTAGAAAACGAATCAAGGAAAAGTGGAATCAAGCCTTTGAATGGGCAAAGGAAATGTCCTTTGATGATGCTATTGAAAAGGGCTGGATGGAATATTCGCAAACTAGAAAGAATGTCAAGATTTATCAAACGACTAGACGAATTCAAAATGAAAAGTTTGAAGGACATATGTGTATTAGAGGAGATGTTTTGGTGGAGAAGTGTACAGCAGAGGAATTTATGACGCCTTTTACTTGTTTGGATATGGAAATAAAGAAGATTTTGGATCCACTTGTGAAGAGAAATGAAGATGTTGAAATGTGGACTGATGAGGATGGTACATTTAAGATTCAATACTTTTTAATTGGAACAGGTAGGTTTGCATTGTGCATATTAGTATATTAATAGGTAATATTCAAAATGAATGATAGCTCCATTAGTTTCGGATAGAGATTTCATCTATGTTGTGAAAATTGGTAAATTGACACCAACGATATCCTATGTAGTTTCAGCAAGTATTCACTCTGAGACTTATGAACCACCATCGGATTTTGTCACATCAACAAAAGCTGTTCGTTCACACAACTATTTCATTTCAAACTTTTATGAACAATTGGAAGATGGAAATTTGAAAGCAACCTATTGCACTTGTTCAGATCCTAGAGGTTGGATTCCAACAGCACTCACAAATACATTCCTGCAACATCAACCTTTAAAAATGGCTGATATTGCCAAAGTTGCACAAAAGAATTTATTGGAACATTAACACTTGACAAACAAGAATATTCCTTCATCCTTTCTACCACAAAGTTCTTCCAAATTTTGAACACTAAGCTGTAGCATTGTGCAACCATTAGATAATTCCTCAGTTTGAGATTCGAAATAAATATTCCAAACTTGGAAACTTTGATTTTAATGAACTTTTGTTAATAAATGTCTTTATTTGAAATAAACTAAAATAATTAGTAAGGAGAGTAAAGATTTATTCAAGTCCAAGGCTTGATGTTGACTGGTAAGCATACAAATTGCCAATGAATGAAATCTTGGCAAAATCACTAGGGAACAAACAATAAATACTACCTTTCTTTTCACTGTCAACTGTATAATTGAGTTTAACTTTGGTTGTTGGTGAGATGGCTTGGTTAGCTTTAGAGTCCAAAACCACTTCATTGATTTCAATTTGACAAATCTTTGATGTAAGTGAAGTGTCAATTTCCTTTGAATTTTCCACAGGTTTTCCTAATTTTTCTGCTGAAAGTTTTTCCTTGATCAAGTAGAGGGCATAATTTGACAATGCCAAACAACATTGTTCTTCCTTAGAATCAGTGTTTGTAAAGAGGACATCACAGTAGAACAATAATTGTTCATCCACACCAGAGGTAAAGACTGATGTTTGGAGGAGTTTGTGCAATCTCCAATCTACAGAAATTTCAGTATTTACAAGTTTAGAAGAAATTTGTGAAATAAACTTTGAGGTGAATGTATCATTGCTAAAGTTGATAACATAAAAGCCCTTATTTGAAGTCTTCAGTCCGAGATACTTTCCAGAATAAGGAGAAGCAATATGCATTGCTTCTATTTGAGAGAAATTAGTAGAGCTTGATTCAGTGAGGAACAATTTACCAGTCTTGGTATCTTCTGTGTAAGTGTAGAGTCCAAACTTCTTCTCGTGAAGGACAATAATAAGAGGCTCACCATTAATGACCACCTTGTCATAGCTCAACACATCACCAACAGAAAGACTCTTGCACAGGAGATTACTTCTTCTTACTAGAGATTCTTCTCTCAAAATTTGTTCCAATAAGGAATTTCTCAAGGAAGGAGTGGACAAGACAGAGTAATAAGAGTTAGAACTCTCAAGAGAGTTACCTGGCTCATTGGCAGTGAATGGTGATAATCTAACAATAAAGTCTAACATGTTGTACAAGTTGAATCTATCATATTTCATGTAAACACCACAAATTTCAGTAAGCATCATAGTGAGTTTTCGTTTTTGGTTCATGTATTGGGAGTGTGGATTGGAAATATTAGTTCCTGAAAATTCTTGCTTGTCACTAGTGACACTGTACAAAGGTAATGTTAACTCTTCAAGATATTGAATTCTATACAAGTTACCAAACAAAAAGTTATCTCTAGTATCATCAGAGTCTGTCGAGTGTTCAGTGATGGAATGGTAATAGAGTAATCTGAGCAAAACGGCAAAATCAGGAAGAGGAAGTATCCAGAAACTGAGCAATTGGCTTTGACAGAGATCATTCAATAACTCACTTTCGTAATCCTTATTATCATTCATTAGATGGAATGGAATAGATCTTACATTTGTTGTAATTAAATGCCACAACTTGACAAACTTGAATAAAAAGTGTCTTTCATCACTAGAAAATGGTTTGGTATGGGAGAAGTGGAATTGAATTCTATATCTGATAGTATTGTTGATTTGTTGCATTATTTGGGCTATTTGATCCATCAACTCGATAACTGATCGCCAAGCATCGGCCTTTCCTTTTTGGTTGGCAATGCTTTGGAGAGCAGTACCAGTGCTTTGAGTTTTTTGGAGAGCAGATTCCAATAAATCTGTCATGATCTTGACAGCCAAGAGATTTAATCTATATGATCCAAATAATGTGTTAGATAAAGCCATGTAGATGAGGGAAATAATTTGTCCATTATTAATATCTGTTGGTTTGATGAGAGCAATCAATCTTAAACCAATAGTTCCAATGAAGAGATGTTTGAGTTCCTTATCTGATAAAAGTTGAGAAAGAGAAATCTTAGTAGTATTGACAGATTGTGTAATAACATCATAAACATTGTCACGAGAAAGTTCATCAGAAAAGACGAGTCTGTAAAAGTCATTTGCCGAAAAGGAGCTCTTGACTTCATCATAGAAAGACCACATAGTAGTGAGCGGATTATGGGTGCCTTCGGTTGGTGCGTCCTTTTGCTTTTTTCTTCTCAACAAATCAACAAATTCATTCTTTGTACCAGATTTTCTGTGAATTCTTCTAATCTTGGCTGATTCGTCATTTGATTCGTCTTCCTCTTCGCTGTCATATGATGAAATATCTGTAAGAGAGCTATCAGCAGATATAGTAAGGTCATCCTTACTGTCTTCAGAAACAGTCTTGTTGTTGGTGTGAATAAAGAATGGATTGAAAATCTTGAATGGATTATGTTTCAACTCATCACTCCATTCTGAGGCTACGTCATCGAGAATTAATGCATGTAAAGCTCTTGAAATACTAAAGGAGCGTTCATTCCAATAGTTGGCAGAATACTGATCAAACATACTATAGTTGAGCATTTGTACATAGTTTGGTTGTTTGATTTGGCTGGCCAGCTCTTCTGGGTTTACCCTCATGGATGATCTTTTCTTCATTCGAAGGGAATTTCTACGATTATCTTCATTATTCTTCTTTGCATTTTCTTCAGAGGAAAACATGGCCTCCATTGATTCAAAACTACGAGTTGATAATTGAATGGATTTTCTCAAGGATTTACATCTTACTCTTCTCAATTCTGTTGTGGAGAGCTTTCCTTGGTTATTCTCAGAGAGTGCTGTTGGCTTTGAAACAAGTGTCATAATATTTTGTAATAAGGTAATAACCATTTGACGTCTTTCCTTTTGTTCCTCTCCGAATTCTTTATCGAATTTGGGTGTAGACATGGATTCCAAAGCGCCAACGAGGTTGATCATGACTCGAAGACAAACAAAGCTCGAAATGTCCAACTCTGAAATGCATTTGAGAAGAATAATATACTGATTGGAGAAGAGTGGTAAAGACTCTACAGTAAGAGTTTGATTTCTGCTGGAAGTATCACTAATTTGTATACCAATACCATTGAAAGATGCATTTTGTTCAAAGTTTTCAATAGTATACAGTTGCGAATTTTCTCTTTCTATTTGTTGCTCTTGCTTGGTAATTAATATGAATAATTTACCATATTGCTCAAAGTCTAATTGTTCTGGAGGAGGAGAAGGTTGCAAAACTTTCAAGAGCCTAATACAATTATCAATCAAGTTATAATAAAGTTGCTTGGTTGATAAGTCAACTGTAAGCTGTTGAATAATTTTAAGTAATTGTATGAGAAGGATATCCTTATATTCCGACAATAATTCTTCCTTCTTTACATGAGAAAGAATACCGAGAAGGGATGTTAATTCAAAGGAGTGGTTGAGCTTTGTTCCTCTATAACCTGCCTCTCTGGACAAGGCACTAATAGCTGTTACTACTCTCTTCAACAAATCCTTTTCAATGTTAGTCTCTCTGATTACTGTAATAAAGCAACTAGCTGCCAATCCATTCAATTCCAAAGAACTAGAGACAGATATGGTACTATTTCCGGAATCTAGTGTGTTACTTGAGGCTGATTGCGTGTTTGTATTGACTAGTACAAGATTGAGAAGTCTAGTTTGTAAGTCAGCACAATACTTTGAATCATTGATCATTTTCAAGTGTTTGTTAATATTCAATAATGGAAGCATTTGAATGAGATGCAAAATTGTTGAAACCAATGGTACACCAAGAGTTGGATTGATGAGAATGTTTTGCAAATTTTCTTCTTGAATAAATTGAAGTAAAACATCCTGTAAATCATGGATTTGATTTAAATTGATCATTAATTGCATTCCTTGCAAACGATAGGATTCGTCAGTCATTTGATTAGAATCTCCAGCTCTAACGAGAGTTCTACTAGAGGTAACATATTGAGTTTGATGTTTGACCATCTTGTGGTGATAAATTGATAAAAGAGTGTCCACTGATTCAATAGCACCAGATACTTGTTTGATATTCATATTAGAAATTCCAATTTGTAGAAAATGTTTCAGAGTGCCTAATAACAAATCCATAAATTTTCTTTGTTGGAACATGTCATCCTTAATTTTAGAAACATGACACACACTAGATAATGCAATTTGGATAGTTGGTAAACAGGTTGCAAAATGGGTTTGATTAAAGCCTGTTATTAATTGATGAATGATATCATCATTGATTTCTGTACATTCTTTTTCGTCTTGAGTCTTGGCAAAGTAAACAGCTTTGGTAAGATATTCTGTGAGAGTGATGATTTTTCCAGTGAATTTTTCAGCACAGGCAGAAGTTGCAATGAAAAGTTTCAAGAGAAGATTGTACTTTTGAACTTGAGGTTGTAATACAGTTGGTTTCGTTGGAGAATTAAGGAAACCTTCATGTGATTTGATAATTACCTCCATCAAGTGATCGAAAAAGTCGGATTCAGTCATTGCCAAAACCATTGAATCATTGAAATTGAAAGTTTTGACAAGCAAGTTTGTACTCTGAATCTGAAGTTGAACAACTTCATTTGGAAGATCGTCAATCATGTTGGAGAAGGATTTGAATTGGTTGGTCATGTATTCTTGATAGAATTTGGATATGCCTTGCAATTTTTTACCTTTAGCTGCTGTCAAGAGACTATTATTAGTGTCCTCTGTAAATGATGAGCTTGGCGATTTCTTTGGTGAAATGTCATCATCGATTGGTCCAACATATGATGAACGTCTTCTATCGGAAAAGTTTGGAACAAGGAAGCTTGGTGAAGACGTATTACTTTGATCATCTAAACTGAGTGGTTGTTTGAGTTTGATACTCATTCTGTTCAATTCTTGAGGAGTGGAAATCTTTGGTGTTGTTAAAGGATCGTAATCTTCAAAGTATTTCAATACATTGCATAAATTACTGATTGGGTGTTGGTTATATTTGCCTTTTTGACCCAATATGAATTGATGCAAGCATTGGTTGGTAATTTTGAGAATTTCACTATTATTATTCCAGAACAAGAATTTACCCAATTCTGTGAGTCCTTGAACTTCCTCTCTTGTTGCACTGTCTAGACTCTTACTGAAAAAGCCAAAACTTGTGACAATGCAACGAATGAAACATTCTCTAGTGGTATGTGTTTCATCTCTTGAAACGTATCCCTTCAATAATTCAATAAATTTGACATAACCATTCAAACCAATAGTATTTGGGTCATCTTCATGAAGTTTCATTGAAATATCAGAAATGTTGGCTAGCAATTGTTTCATAGTTCTTAAAAGTTTTTGACCAGCAACAAGTAAATATACTTGTGAGGTATTTTCCAAAACTTCATTAATCTTTTCAAAGTGGGTTTGTTCTTTAATGCTCTCAACGATGGTTGGTCTACGTCCACTATTATCTTCATGCATGGTTATTGGCTCATCCTTCAGAGATGTTTGCAAAACACTGAACAAATTATTAAAAGATGGAACACGTTTCATGAGACCTCTTGAAGTACCCTTCAATTGTTCACCAACTTCATCAAAGAAGAGTGGTTGAACAGTACCTTCAACACCTTGAAGAGCAGCCCTTCTTTCCTTGGAGAGAACTTCCTTTCCATCCAGGCTAACAATTGGCAATCTGGAAATAAATAAAGTCCTATAATTCATTAATTTCATAACGAAAGGATTCGAATCAAAATTGATAGCTTTGATTTTTTTAAATCCTAACTTGAGCTCTCCTAAAAAGTTATCCAACTTTTCCTTATTCATATCCAATTGATTAAATGACATGTTCAAATCTTTCAATTTCACACAGGTGTGTAATCTTGTCAAAGATTCTAAACCATTACAAATCATGTTATACGAAATATCCAAAGATTCCAAATTGATCAGTTGTGAAATAGATTCTGGTATTGATGAGAGCGAATTGTGTGACAAGTCCAAACGCACCAAATGTACATGAGCATTACTAAAGAGACATTTGTGAATTTCATTATGTGAGGCGTATAATCTTTTCAATCTGGAAAATATTTCAAAATTCTTGTCAATTTCTTTAAATTGATTATTGCTATAATTTAAAAAGAAAATAATTAATTAGTTGTGAAAGAATATAAAACCTACCTAATATCCAACTCTTTCACACTCGATGCACCCTTCATCACAGCCTTCACAGCACCCAACGATGAAAGTTGAAACTTTTCATTAGAAAAATCCAAATAGATAGGGTAGGACAACTTTTTTGTTACATCCTTCGTACACAATCTCTTAAAAGCCTCTTCATCGAGATCCGAATAGAAGCGATCGGGCGTAAGGAGAAAGTTTCGCTTTTTTTTATCGATTGGCATACTTATTGTAGATTTTAATTTTGGTAATTTTGGAGGGAATTTTCTTAGGCTATTTATGCCGTGTTATTAGTTGTTGTTGTTTGTTGCTTTTGATGTTTTTTTGTTGATTGCGAAAATATATAGGAAATGATTATCGCAATGATTGTTCTTTTCTATTGTTGTTCGCTTCTAGATTGTTTACTTGATGAGGTAAGAACAATGTTCTATGGTACAGTGTTGAATCCTAGGGTTTTTTGTGGTTTGTTTTGTGAAGAAGAAAAGGAATCCACAATGTGATGATTTGTTTTTGGTGTGATGATTTTTTTTATGATGGAGGAATTTTGTTATTGACAGCTGACTTTTAGGTAACGGTTTGACAAGCGAATGAGAAGAATACCAAGTTTTAACTGAAATTAATAAACATTAGTAAAATAGGGTATTCTTGATACCGCTTTGCATATCAGCATTATATTATTTAATGATAACGATCAAGGAGTAATGATTCAAGAAAATAATTGGCACTTTCCAATAATTCATTCAATGGAATTGGAACAAATGAATCGTTCACTTTCTTTGGAAACAATTTAGACACTTCAGGGGAACTACCATCTGAGCTCAAATACGTCAATCCTGGCATTCCATAAAATGCATGACCATGTGCATGACCAAAATATAGATATTCAAACTCATTAATCAATAAAATCAAAATCTCAAAGTCATAATCAACTTTCTTATAGAGACACATTTTGCCACATTTTCTATACTCAACAATTAAGCTAGCCACTCTATCCACATTTGATTCACTTACAAATATCTTGTCTTTCACCTCATGTGTAGGATGTAATTCAATATTGGTCAAATTGGCCTCAAATTCATCATTTTCTTGAATAAATTCTTTGAAAATTTCCATAGCAAATAAACAATCAGATTCTGGACATTTTACATCACAAAGACTATTACAAAATGCAACATTTAAAATAACATTATCATCAAAGATATCATTAGCATTGATTGCTGCGTAGTTAATCTTTGGAATATGAGGAGAACATTTCTCCGAACACACATGATGAGCCATTTTGTTCTTCAACATTTTGAAAAGATTAATTTCACCACTATCATCGGAAGATTGACACTTAACCTCCACATCTTGAAATACTAATATTTGAGTTATTTCTTTAGTTAACTTTACCCTTTTCTTCTCCTCTCTTTCTTCTCTAAAATCCTTTCGTTTCTTATTCAATTCTTCTGGTGTAATAATTTTACGACTAAAGTAATCCACCACTTGTACTACTATCCTTTCCAGACCTAAGAAGAGCGCGTGGTGCTTTTCCACCTGTTGATTTTCTGTATGTTTGTTTGGTTCGTGCCATTTTTTTGAGGTTTTTGTAAAAAGAAAAACTAAGTTTTCCAAAAAAATGTCATCACATGAATGGGGAGGAGATTTTGAGTTGTTCACGATAACGGAAGATGTTATTACTGTTATTGCACCTTTTCTACCACTGGATGATCGTTTGAAATTTATTAGAATTAGCAAGACTTGGCTCCGAGCCATCCGATCACTTCAGAGAATGTGGCGCGATGATGTTTTTATTGGAATTTTAAGAGGAGATAGGACAATTGGATTGGAAGGAGGTGAGAAAGAGTACTGGGAAGCGTATCCGAACAATTCCAATGAAGATAGCGTGGATTGGATGAAAGTTGTTCAATTGCAATTTTTAAAACTTCCAAAAAAGATGCAAGTTAAAAAGCATCAAGTTATAAAGATATTGGGAGAAAGCCATTATGGAAATGTTGATTTGGTGAAAGAGTGGAAATCACCCTTCCAACCAAAGATTCGTAAAACTATTGAACTACCCTCTGAGAGTTCAATATTTGAATTTCCGTTTAATATTCGAAATGAAATTGATAAGATTGATGATTTGGATAGAAAAAAAGGAAAACTCAAAGGAATTTATGCTTGTTGCTTTTTCTATGAAATGCTTTCACTAGGTGATTATGTACCAAATTTGTATAATGATATAATCAATGTTATTCCAGTTTCAGAAAATTACCAAGTCAACTTGGATTACTTTGCGAGGAGAGAATCTTTTGCTTTCATTTTGCTAACTATTTTACTGGAAGATTACAAGGATATTTTCCTGGATTGGTTCTTGGAAAGATTAGTTTGCAAATTGAAAGAGCCAAATTGTAAAATGTATGAAACCCGAAACATTGTTGGTGAAAAATACACTGAGGAGATGGTAATGGAAGGAGGAATCAGTGATTTGGATTTTTGTCCTAATATTAACGTTAAATCATGGCTTTTATTGGAATTATTCAGATACTCTGTTGATTATTTGGAAATTCATGATGATTGGAAGAATCAAGAAGCCAAATTAGATTCCTACATGCTGAATGAACTATTTCCATTGTACTATAATGCTGGAGGTGGTTATTATGATGTTCTTAAGGTTACTTTCAGTTTGGATAAATCAAATGGAAACAGAGTTATTCTTACAAGAACTGAATCTGAAGAATTTTACTAAGCTTATGGTTGATAAACCTATTAGCTAATATCTTTACAATGTATTTTACTATTGTATTTGCAGACCACTGATTGGTGACACCATGACACAACAGTATAATTAACTTCACAATTTCATTTTTGATCTTTTAACATAATACAACATGAATATCAGTAAGCCATGTCATGAAAATCTTTCCAATCAAAAAAGTCACTCTCACAAGAATTTTCCTTTTCATCATTCGATCACTGACATGTTTCAATACTAACACTTTCTAATACAACGTAATTGCAATTGCATCTACTATTCGAATTGTATCTACATTGCAAAAATGTTTTCCCTCCATAACAAACTTCGCTTTAAAACAAACAGAAAAAAAAGAGTCGACATCGCGTTTTGCTCAGCGTTTCATTTTCTCTCTTGTTGGACAAAGATCGGCAATTAAAACAAAAAAGGGTTTCAATACGAAAGGTCTTGTATAGTGCGCAGTCAATTAGGAAAGAAAATTAATTGGACAATAGGAAAAGATGGGTAATTCGATTCATAGGAGAAAACAACATGAACGTGTTGGAAAGAAGGAAAGACATGTTGCAAGGAAGGAATTTGAATTATTGGCTTTTGGATTTCAAGCATGCATTTCGAATAATGCTAACAACAGTGGAATACATCAGGATGCAACAGCAAACAATACAGAGCTGTCATCATGCAAAAGGACTCTTCACTTGCCTTCTAAATCCATTGTTCGTGAAATAATATCTGGAGGCAACTTTACCGTTTTCAGAACCTTCTCAAACAAGCTATTTATCAAACATATCGGAGAGGCAAAGAAGACATCTGGTAATGCAATTCGACTTTCTGGTAAGGTTGCAAGATTTAAATATCATAAAGTCAACCATCAGAAAAATAATGACCAAATGTGGGGCGACAACCTAAAACGATTGCAATACAAGATTGGGAACAATACAGACCTTGGAGAAATTCATTGCTCGAATCATTCAATTTGTTTGAGAATGAAGGATGATTCAATAACAATATTTGATGATTATTCCAAGAGTATGCTCCACATTACTGATTACAAGAGCAGAAATGAATTGAAAAGCATCTATTCTGGCTCATTGGCATCAACCTTTATATTTGTAAATAATAGAAATCAAGTCTATTTATGCAAACACAAGGAAAATAATATAATTGACAAGAATTATGAACCGTTCACATTCTTAAAGAATGTACCATTACCTGAAATTTTTGGAAAGTCAACAATCATTAAGGGAGTTTGTGGAGCTGAAAAATCATTTATAATTATTGAGAATTGTACGGATGGTTCTCATCAGCTTTGTTCTTTCAATGATACGATTCAACAATTTGAAATCGTACCAACACTCTTCCAAGGAGAGCGTATTCAAGATATTTCATGTGGTTATCGACACATGGCAGCAATTCTGGAATGTGGTGATGTTTTCCTTAGTACAAGTACTTCTGAAATATCATTCAAATTGATTCAATTTCCTCTCTTCCCATTCATAAAGTTGAACGAACCTCCAAAAAGAAGAAGTAATCCAAATAGAAAGCAAGAAGTTTCCAAAGATCCATATGCATTAATATATGAAAGAGATCAAATGGTAGGAACTATCAAACCGTTCATTCCTCAAAGAGTTTTATGCTCCTCTCTTGCTACCTTCTTCCTCAATGACAAGGGATGCATCATACTAGGTCAACCATGTAATGATGTTACTCCAACATTTTTATTCGATGATGGCAGTTCTGCTTTCTATCATGCATTCAATGAAGATGGTCTTGTGCCCAACAGTGAAATTAGTGTAGGTGGTTGGCACTTTTCCTTTCATCAGACTAAATTAATTTCCAAAACCTCACTCCAACACTTTCAATCCAATTTTAAATATTTAACAGATGATAATACTACAAGTACGAGTGATATTACTATCATTTGCCAATAAAGATATTTAAATAATGGATCATTAGATATCATCACCAACAGTACTACCAAATTGATTTCAAGTTCCGATAAAAAGTTATTCATCATCGTCATCAAAGGTTTCTCCATATTCTTGTTTAATAGAGTCAAACAATTGCTGTTTGCTCTCCTCGAATTTATTCCTCAACTCTTCGTATACTTTTTCATATTCATCAAACATTTCCTCCTCTGCCGAATCTAGAACAATTTCCCTCTTACAGACTGCTGGTTGTCCCGAAAATTCTGATGAAAGGGTAAAAATCTTATTTTCTTTAAAATCGAGCGTTGCTGATGGTGGAAGAGGAGGAGGTACAACTATGGAATTTAGAGCATTATCATAATCCTCGAAATCCTCATCGTCATACAAAACCATTTTTTTTAAATATTTTTAAATATTATTATTATTTTAAAAGGTTCTCATTTACTGTTTGGATTCAAGTACGTAATAATAAAAATACTTAATTTATTAAATTAATTTCAATTATGTTCATCGAGCTTCAATTATACCAATAAGGAAACGTAAAAATAACTATCTTAAATCCTCACAAACAACAAACTATTTCACTAAGGAATTGATACAAAACTTCTGTTATACAACAAAACCACTTCACTGAGCCATCTATTCAACAATGGTCAACATCGTACATTCATAATTTTATTGCCCTCATCACAATTTTGGGCAAATTCAAGTTTTGTAATCTCCATGTCTACAGCTGCGATCTTTGGAGAATAGGAGAAAACTTTGAGTTTTAAAATAAACTTCGCACTCTTGTCGTTAAAAAAAATTTACATTAAAAAAAAGCGGCAATTCTCTTCCAATCCCTTCTCTCCTGTACATTACCTAGATTTGGCTGCTTTTTGAAGCTTCATCGCTATCATACAATTTCCATCACCATCATCAAAAATAATATTATTATTATTTTATTAAATTTTTAATAGATCATTCCGAATATCATGTCTTCTCTAATTTCCAATAATAATACATCTGCTAATAGACGTTTGGCTGTCCATTTGAATCACTTGGTTCCTTCAACAACATCACCTCTTGCTCAACAAGCAAGCAGCAGCAACAACAGCAGCAGTACTATTGAACAACAAGTTTGTGCTGGCCAAATCATTCAAGCAAATCCAACTCTTGGTTATACTTATCCAAACGAAGAAAATGATCGTTACAGCAGTATTTCATACAACTATAACCATACTTTTGATGTCAAAAAGATGCAAGCTTGGTTGAATGGCAGTTTTGATAAGAAGGCCATGTATAAATTCCTTGATAATCCACTCTTGCTCAAGAGATCCACAAATATGCCAAAGGAAGAAGCCAGAGAATTGACTCTTCAACAAGTTGCCTTCCTCTGCAAGTCAGGTCTCTATCGTATTTCGGATATGAAAAAGACACCAGAACTCATTCTTAACAGATTGGAAAATACTGGTCTCATTGAATCATCAAGTAATGTCAAGTTAGGTGTCCAATTGGTTCTTTTCGCTGGTAGTATCCTCAATTTGGGTACTAAGAAGCATCACGACAAGTATTTGAAGGCAGCTGAATGTATTGAGCTTCCTGGTATGTTTGCCATGACTGAAGTATGTTATTTGTTTTATATTTGATTTTTTAACACAATCATTTCCGATTTCATTATCTTCTATTGGATAATTAATAATTACAGATTGAACACGGAAGTAATGTCAGACAACTCCAAACTACTGCCACTTTTGATGAAAATACTAACGAATTCATTATCAACACTCCAAATAAGGGTGCTGTAAAGTGGTGGCTCGGTAATGCTGCTTGTCACGGTGTTATGGCTACTGTCTTTGCCAGACTCATTTTGAAGGGTAAGGATTATGGTGTCCATGCATTCCTCTGTCCAATCAGAGATGCCCAAACACATAAACTCATGCCTGGTGTTATTGCTGGTGACTGTGGTGACAAGATTGGTTTGCACGGTATTGACAATGGCTTCTTGGAATTTACCAATGTTCGTGTTCCATATGATAATTTGTTGGACAGATTTGGAGGTATTGATTTGAATACCAAGAGTTACAAGTCTGACTATGAAAATCCAGACAGAAGATTTGCTGCTGTTTTGGGTGAATTGATTACTGGTAGAGTTACCCTCATCAGTGGTTCAATTAATTGCAGAAGAGCTGCCCTTATGATTGCTACTCGTTATGCTAGTCAAAGATGTCAATTTGGTCCTGGAAAGGATTTACCAGAACAACCAATTCTTGACTACAAGTCACACAAGGTCAAGTTGATGCCAATCATTGCCTCTGCCTATGCCTATGAATTTACCAAGAGAAAGGTTATCAAGAAGTATTGCAGAATGCACTTGGAAAAGGTCAGTGACGATGAATTACAAGAAGTTCACGCCCTTGCTGCTGGTGTTAAGGCTGTTATCACTTGGGATACTCAAGAATATTTGCAAACCCTCAGAGAAATGTGTGGTGGTCATGCTTACTCTGCATATAACCGTTTGGGTGCTGTTCGTGATGATCACGATGTTTTCCAAACCTTTGAAGGTGATAACACTGTTCTCATCCAACAATTGGGTGGTTTCTTGTTGAAGGAATTCAGTAGACAATTCACTGGTGAAATGATTTCTGATTCTATCAATTATATTAGAAAGCAAGTTGGTGGTATGCTCACAAAGAGAAATCCAGTCATTACTAGATTTGCCAGTAAGAAGCACTTGAGAAATTCTGAATTCCATCTCCAAGCTTTTGAATACAGAACTGCCAAATTGCTCCAAGAATGTGCCATTGAAATTAATGGTAGAAAGAAGAAGCAAGGCATGTTCCATGCTTTCAATGAATCTCTTCCAAAACTCATTCGTTTGGGTAGAGCTTATGTTGAACAAGTTGCTCTCCAAGACTTCCTCAGTGAAATTGAAAATATCACTGATTCTGAACTTAAGCGTATTTTGAAATTGATGGCTGACTTGTTTGCTTTGGATACCATGTCTAAGAATATTGGTGAATTCCTTGACCTCATTAAGAAGAACAAGTTCTCTGCCATCCAAAACATGATTGAATGGTTGTGTGATGAATTAAGAGTCCATGCTGTTTCCTTGGTCGATGCTTTCGGTTTCCCAGACTTCCTTCTTGATGCTCCAATTGGTAAGAGAGATCATGGTAATTATGTTCACCACATTCTTGATTATGCTCTCACTAGAAATAAGGGTAATGCTGATATTGTTGGCAAGATGGTCACAGCCAAGAAGGTCAACAAGAAACAAGTTGTCAGAGATGAAAGAGAAACTAACGATGTCATGGAAATTGATTTGTAAATATATTGTATAAAACAGTTTTTATTTATTGAAGTTAAATTTGAAATTCACTTAATGGAAGTTAGATTGAGGAGTTTCACCATTTTCCAATGTATGATGGTAGTTTTTGGTATTCTTTCGAATATGGTAAACGGTTCCAATCAGCGTTACTAACAATACACTGAATGAAATTAATGAGATTGAAACCAATGCCAGAATATATGAGTGCCCACTGCTTGCTTGAACTTGTGGAGAATAAACAGGAAGGGGGTTCACTATAGGAGTCAATACACAAGCTTGCATTGTATCAGAAACCTTATAATCACTGTTTGAGCAGTAAGGAGTCAACATTCTAATTCTATCACTCTCGTCGTCAGTAAAGTAAACAGATAGTCCATCACTTGAGAAGGAGAGGGAACGAGAAAAGGTTAATCTTGTTGGTTTGGCATCACCATCCCCATTGTAACCAAAATCAAATCCTGCTATTCTTTCCACTATGGCATTCTCCTCTCTCCACAAAAGTTTGAATATTCCACTACTTGAGTGTTCCGTAAATAGAACATATTGGTCATTAGCTAGGATGCTAGCTGGGTATGACAATAAAGTGTCCTTTCCTTTTGAACCTTCTCTGATGAATGAGTGTTGATGAGGTTTTCCAATAACTGTTGAAATAATTCCTTTAGAAATCTTTCTAATAATGAAATTTCTCTGATCCACAAAGAATAAATCGCCATTCTTCGTAAGACTCATATGAGTTGGGCTATTAAGCAAAGCTTTGGATGCATCTGTTTCATCGTTATAGCCATGAACCCCAGGAATTCCATAAAGTGTTGACATTATACCATTTTTTGAAACTTTTCTAATAACATGATGACCAGAGTCAGCAATTAAAATCTCATCCTCAGGAGTCACTATGAAAGAGCCAGGATCATATAATAGTGCCTGATTTGCTGGTAAGCCATCACCTATTCCACCGCCAATAGTTTTGACCAATCCATTCGATAGTTTTCTTATTAATCCCTTTTTAGGTTCAGTAAATAATATGTCTTGCTCTGTTTCTCCAAATGACAAGCCATTAAGGAATGTGAAATGAAACCTTGTTGGGTCACTCAAATCATTGGCAGAAACTGTAATATTTCCAACTAAAAGGGTCAATTTACCTTCTGAAAACTTGCTTAAAGAGCCAGGCAAATGTGTTACATAAATATCATCACTTTTGGAAAGAATCAAGTGTTGAGGTCCATAAACTTCAAATACTGTGGAGATATTTCCGTTTGGTGAAATCCTTTTCACTTTTCCGTCCAACATGTCTGTCATATAAATTTCTTCTTTTGAATTTACAGCAATACTTGATGGTCTAATGAAATAGTCAGCTCCCTGTGTAACAATTTCAACCATGTCACCAACTACTTTCAAAATTCTATTATTGTTTGCATCTGCTACATAGAGTTTGTCATCTTCAGTAACATATAAACCTTCTGGGAAATCCAATTGAATATCAGTAGCTGTTCTATTTCTAATATCACTCACACCTGTAACACCACTTCCTAAAACAGTTTCCATTTTCTTTTCTTCAATATTCACTTTTTTAACTTCAGATCCTGTTGAAAAGTATATTAAACCATTTCTTTCAAAGATCGCCAGTGGTTCTTCAATGAACGTATTGATAATTGCAGAGCTATCCATTCCAACAAGAGTTGAAATAATGCCCTTCTTATTGATTGCTCTGATTCTTTGATTTTTGGTATCAGCAATTAATACCATTTCTAATTGATTGGAATAAAAGACTGATAATGGATGATAGAGGAGAGCACTTGTAGCTAATGAGCCATCTCCATAATAGTGATGTCTGGTTCCAGCAACTCGAATAACCTTCCCAGTGGCTGATGAGAATTTATAAATAGTGTCATCCTGTGTGAAATAAACATCATTGCCAACTCTTTGAGCCATAATATTAGGGTGATTCTCCAATTTAACCTTATTTAAAGGCAAATCATCTAGGTATTTGTGAGTGGAGATGGCTGATTTTACTCCCAATGTATGAGTAATGATTGAATTTGCAATGGTACGAATTTTAGGATATTCCAAGTGGTCGACTAGGGTAACAATATCCCTTCCATTCTTTGACGTTACATGAATGTGATGAGGAGTTGATTGGGATTGAATGGCAGGTTTACCATTACCAAAGTAGAACTTTTCACCATTACCAAAAGAATTTGTGACTTGCCCATTTCCATCAATCTTAAAGATGATATTGCTTTGAACACTGGCTACATAAATATCAGCACTATTTTCGAATTGAATCAATGAGTAAGGAAGAGTGATTTTAGAACTTGGAATGGAGAAAATCTTTCCTTCAGATGTTATTTTCCTAACACCATCAAAACTCAATTCTGTGAATAGGATTTCATTATTGTGGTTGACAAAGATCTTGTGAGGTACAATACTGACATTCGTGGCGATGTAACCATCAATAACAGGAAGATCTACTCCCTTACCAGCAATGATTGTAACAATACCATTCTCAACCTTTCTAATATTATAGGTATCAGTAATGTAAACTATTGTCTTTCCACTCTTTGAATCATACTTTACAAAAACAGAACTAGGATTAGTCAAGAGATCATTTGATTCCACAACAGAATCATCAGCATCTCCACTCTTTCCACATTTTCCAGCAACTATTGTAATGTTACCACTCGATAATTCAATCTTCCTTATCCAATGATTGTGTGTTTCAACAACGTACAAATATTCCTCACTTCCTTCACTGGAATGAAAAAGATCTTGAATTTGTAAAAAACCAGGATTTTCTACAGTTGTTTCTGAATCAACTTGACACCTCTCATTATTTCTACTATTAGAAGCCACTAGAACAATCCTTCCACTTGAATCAATCTTTTTAATTTCATTTCCAAAAGTTTCCACAAAGTAAACTTGCCCACTCTTCTTGGAAACAGTCAAGGCATGAGGAGAGATTTTCTGTTGTGTGGCCATCTGTGATTCAAACCATCCAACAAAACCAGAAACTCCAGCAATAACCTCAACAACCTTAGAAGGCTCACCCTCAATAAGAGATAACCTCTTTATCAGACCACTCATTCCATCTACAACAAATAGATAATTTTGATAGTAATCCATTGATAGAGGTCTTCCGATTGGCAATTCATCAGGTGATAATAATGTTTCTCCACCAGCAATGGTTGAAATATTGTACTGGAGAGGAGCATACCTTTGACCAGCTTGTTCATTCTTCCTTAATTGCTGACTTGAAACCAGCCTCGTCATTATGATCATCACAATAACACTCATCATTGGCATTATTCTTCTAAGAGTTGTTATTACTTTCATTGTTGATGAGGAAGGAACGGAGGAGGACATTTTTTAATAGATGTGATGAAAATTATACGGTACTACTGTAGTAGTAGGTACATTATGGATTCTACTTTTGATTATTTCACCATACGATAAATTGTTGTTGTGTTTGATGAAAATAGTGTCGAGCATGAGGTCATGATGATAGTTTTTTTAAATTTTAAACGGCTAGACAAATGAAATGTTGATCTTCCTCTTGTTGATGAGCATGTTGCTCTGATTTCTCTTGCCTGTGAGGAAGAATTCTTTTTCATGTGGTAGCTAGAATGAGATTCTGAAACCTTCAGGACAAAATGGAACTGCCTTCATTATGAACCTTTCTGTTTGATCCACAAAGTAGAAGGACAAAGCATTTTCATCTCCAAGTTTCAAGCGATACACTCTTCCAATTGATGAGAAGAAGATATATTGACCATTAGGAGAGATTGAATACGAAACAGGTTGCATCAAATAGGTTTCATTTCCTCTCCTCCCTTCAAGTGGAACGACCAAGCTCTTTACCTTCGAGCCAACAATTGTCGTGATAATTCCTTTTGAGATTCTTCTAATGAGGTTATTTTTCGAATCAAATACATACAAGTCACCATCATTGGTGTAGTGAATATCTTTAGGTTGATTGAAGAGTGTTTTTGAAGCGTCACTTTCTGTATTGTATCCAGACACTCCAGGAATACCATAGAGAGTAGAAATGATGCCCTCCTTTGAAACTTTTCTAATAACATGATCTTGTGTATCTGCAATAACCATTTCGCCTTCAACACTGACAAAGAAGGAGGAAACTTCTTGAATTTTGGCCTCTGTTGCTGGAAGTCCATCACCCAAGCCACCTGCAACCTTGGTAAGAGTATTTCCTTTTACTTTCCATACGAAACGAGTTGGTTCGGTAAAGTAAATTTCATCTTCTGTTTCACCAAAACAGAGAGAATCAATTGAAACGAATCGAGTTTCCAAAGGGTTGGAATAAGAAGTAGTTGTAGCATCAGAACCAACAATTCTCACCAATTTACCATCCACAACCTTACTCACAAACATTTCATGGGCAACATGTATTTCATCCTTACTGTTAATCAAAACAGATGATGGCATTTTCACATCGATAAACCTTTCCCAAGTTCCATCTGTTTTAAGCTTGAAAAGGAATGATCCAAATTTTAAGGCAATAATGAAATCACCATTTGAAAGTACATCAAAGGATGAAATAGAGGAGGTTTTATCTTGACGAACTAGTTCCGTTTGACTAGTTACGGCTTTGACAATAGTCAAAGAATCTAGAAGGCATAGATAAATATCACCATTATCCATTATTTTCATTTTACCTGGCAAAACTATTCTAGATAGATGCTCATATTTGGAATTTACCTTAAGGGTTTCCAAATTCAAAATTTTTAAACTATTGCCCTCAATAAAGAAAATCTGACAATCCTTTTCAGTTAAAGAATAAATTTCACACTACAATATTTTTCTGGCCAATTTCTTATTAAACGACTTGAGGGGAGCTGTGCTTAATTTCCAGCCAAAATTTTTGTAATGATGAGCCGTCTTGTTGTTGTCGTTTAGTGGGATGAAATATTGTGGTGCTCTTTCCTTCATCCATACTGGTTCTCCAATCACCGAATTTGTACCTTCTTCATTATCGGGAGAGATTGTTCCTCCAGCAATTCTCATGGTCCTCCATCTTAATGGAATTTTGATTAGATGTATACAGCACATCTAATTTTTAACTCTAAGGCAACGCTGTTTTTGTCTGTATATGAAGAATTTATTTTTATGAATGTGAAGCGTCGATGGTTTAGTGGTAGAATACGGCGTTGCCATCGCCGTGACCCGGGTTCAATTCCCGGTCGACGCATGAATTATCTTTTTATTCATTCTTTTTTGAAGTAATTTGAATTATTTTTCTACCACTCATAGAAGACATGTATTTGTACAATAATCTGTATTTTCTCTCAATTTAGAACAGTAATCATCGAGATATTCACCTCCTTCCAAATAGCATTTTTTAACCTAAAAAATATGCTAAAAAAAGATGCCTACTAACTTTTTAACAACAACAATACAGATTCAATCTATTGAAAATCTCCTTGAAAACATGCCGTCAACATGAATTCTAATCACCAATGGATTTTAACGATTCCCAATGAGGATATTCTTTACCAACCTGGTCATTGTGAAATGAAAATCGCCAAAAACAATATAGAGATAATGGCTAATTCTCATCTTGTCTTCAATTTTTAACAATGATTGGTTAAGGGTTTGAGATACCAAAAATCTTCACTCCTTCAGCGAAAAATTGCCCGAAGCGGCATTGCACACAAATAAGAAACCTTAGAAAATACACATTTAAGAACATCTCTTTGAGAGTTGAAATTGCCCGAGTCTTTTAATATTTACTAAGGACCAAAAAAACAACACAACAAGTACTGAGCAAATTCCATCTTCTGAACACCAACAAACCTTAATCAACAACATGGGAAGTTTTACAAGTGCTATCATTAAACACTTTGAAGAGGAATACAGATTTGAGGAACATTATAGAAATAGACCTCCTATTAAACCACTTGAATCACTTTCACATCACCAACAAGTGAAAATGAATTTTCATCAACCTCAACAGCAACCACTTCACAACACGACTTGCTACTCTCGAAAGAATAGCCTTGGAATTGTCAGCACTAGTATAAGCAGCTCGAATACAAGCTCCACCAGTAGCACAAGCACGAGCAGTATTAGCAACAGTACATTAAGACATGCCTCCTCCCGAATGTCAAAATATTTCATATCAAGTGATGATTCAAACAATCAAAATATATCACCAGGACCTGGTGGTTCAGGAACAATCATGAGAAAATCCTCAAAACCTGATCTATATAAGAAAATCCTCTCACCTGTACCAATAGATATTCCAGAATATCCAATAGAAGATTCTACATCAGATAACTCCTCACATTCCCTCCTGAAACAAAACTCACTTCCCTGTTTAAAACCAAATGGATGTGATAGATTGAAAGAAAAGACACTTACCAAGAGTAGGTCAATGCGAGAAAAGGGCTTGAAACAAATTAGATTTGCAGATGAGCCAGAAATTATTATGGAGAGAGTTGGCTCTGCTGATTCGCGTGCAGAGATGATGTTTAGCAAAAAGATGGTGCAACAACACGATGCTTCTTCTTCTGCATCGACTGCTTCTAGAAAACAGTAGCTGGGAAAAGGCTCACCCACCAAACTCACACATTGTTTAATGTTATCACTCTCAAACACAACCCCACAAACCTCCATAACCACTACCTTAATCTGTACATAAATCTTAATTTATTTCTCAATGCACAGAAAAGTCCATTTGACACCGAAATCAAAGGCGCTTAATCGGAAGATCGTATGTCCATCTTTAGAGCTGAGCGAAAAAGTCCCTTGTTTGTTCGTCACTTGTGGACATATCGAGAGGTGGGCTATCTTCATCCATTAGATTGATTGAATGTGGAGAGTCTGGTGATGTAGGCGAAATGCTGAATGTTGGTTGTGTTGGTTGAGAAAAACATGGGTTGGTAAATCTTCCCATTCCTGGATAATTTTCCATGACTTCCATTCTCCTTACCATTTCTTCTTCTTCCATTTTCATAACATATCTACTATATTCTTCTTCTTCTTCCAGTCTTCTCATATTTATCATTCTTCTCCTTCCAAAACCTCCACCACCTCTAAAACGACGACCTACAGGATTATAGTCTCTTTCCATCATTCTCAAAGATTGGAAATCAGGATGGTCATCCATTGCATCATATTGCTGATCAGATTGATTCATTGTTTTGAATGAATTGGTAGCATTGGAAAACTTGCCAATAAATCCCTTTTCTTCATTTTCCTTCAGGTAGACATGCAAAGGTTGTTTGAGATTTGACTCTATTCTCTTCACATTGTTATAAAAAGCCTTGAGAGCATTTCTCTTGGATTCGTCAAGCCTCTTTGTCTGAAAGTTAAAGTTGAAATTCAAAGCCTTCTCCTCTCCTTTATCGTCACAATGATTCTTCTTTTTGATAGTTCTTCTGACAAAGTGACCCTTTGGTGGTGCAACATTTCTTTCAATCTTACGAGGTGAAATATGATATGGATCAGTTGATGATGATGATGACTCCTTTCCAAACTCTATGAATGCAAATGAATCATCTTGTTCTTCTCTAGCTAATGATAATGCTGATTCGAATGATTGTCCCATAGAGAAGAATGGAGATTCATGCGATGAGGCTGTTTGCTGCTGCTCCTCCAACTCCTCTTTAGTGTAGAGTTTCGTATCAACTTTGAATAGGCTCTCATCTTCACAATAGAGAGAAGAATAAGGCTTGTTCGATTGTTCTGCAGAAGGACCTCCACCACCACCATACGAACGAATCATCGAGTTGTTGTTATATCTTAGAGGTTTTACCATAGTAGTATACAGAGAGAAAGGTGTGTTTGTTGTTGAGGTGTTTTTTTCGAGTTGGAGTTCTTGGCTTTTCTGTGTTTGAGGCTGTTTTTCAATGTAGTGAATCAAGGCTGACTCGCTAAGAGTATTGTTATCGGAGGAAGAAACAAGCCTAATTTTCAATTCTCTCTCTTTAATGAGAGGCAATTTCAATTTGAAAAGGTGTAGTGACAATTTGTGGAACACTGAGAATATCACATGGTCATAGATCTGTGTGATTTCGAATAATATTAATCATCAAATAATTACTAAATTTTCACAAAGCCACCAACAATAATTCCAAATAATATAGTCAACATCAAAACCTAATAATCCACATGTGATCTTCCTCTCTGCCCTTTTCATAGGATTCCAACATGTTCATCCCAAAATTCCCTTCACCCCAGCTTCACCATCATGAGATGACGCTCATAAACTTTCAAGTACTCGTCATGATCCAGAAAGTTATTTTTTTATAAAATTTAAAAAAATGATCTTTTCCACAGCTGTTTCCATGACTGCTCACAAGAGCAATAAGATTCTCTCTGGTAGACCAGCAGCATTGAAGATGATGATCCAAGGTTCTTCAGGTAGGTTTTGATCATGTTTTATATTGTTTGTTTAAATATATTGATGAACATTTTTTACCAATCATGATGGAATTTTTTGTATTCCTCCATTTGCTCTCTTCTTTGATCATTGTCATCATTTGATGATAATATATTTACACTGCTATAATAATAATGGATCTTTATGATGATTAATTTCACTATGATCTTCATGTTAAAACAATATCTCTCATCAAATAATAATAATATTTCTTGATCATCGACCAAAATATTTACTCTACAAACAACAATAATAACAGCAAGAAACTTCTCAACATCCATGAATGCTCTCAACTTCTCGGATAATAGTGATATCAGAGCTATTGATAGACATACTAGAATCCAAACTTTCAAGGACTTTTTAAACAAGGATAACAAAATTTCTATACCAAGAGAAGAATTCTACAAACTTGCTCAAGAAAAGGTCAAGGTCACTAGGGAAGAAGCTGAAACATTGTTGGAACAATTCAACAACTCAGCTGATGTATTAATATTGCCAGATAATGAAGCTTTGAAGGAACTCGTTATCCTCAAGCCTCACCTCATCACTAATCGTCTCTTGCAACACTTGAATGTTGATGTTGTGGAACAAGAAATTGAAATGAGAAGAGATTCATTGTTACAATTGGAAAAGGATCTTATTCCACTCCGTCGTGTAAAGGAAGAATGTGACAGAAAGGCAGCCAAATCTGTCAATAGAATTTTGTGGGGAGGTTTGGGTTACTTGTGTACTCAATCTTTCATTTTGGCTAAAATGACTTGGATTGATTATGGTTGGGACGTTGTCGAACCAATCACTTACTTTGTAACTTTTACTACAGCAATGGGTGGTTATATTTACTTTAGTTTACAAAAGCGTGATTATACCTATGAAAGTGCTACTGAAGTTATTTTACACAAGAGACGTTTGAAGTTCTACAAGCAAGCAAACTTTGATTTTGAAAAGTATCAAGAATTGGCCAAACAATATAATTATACCGTTTCACAAATTGAAGCTAACATTAAGCTTGTACACGGAATGGTTCCACTCAAGTGTGAGGAATTATTGCACGATATTAAGGAACAAGCTTTGAAGGAATATCAAGAAAGAAAGGTTTCTCCATCATCTGTTCTCCACTAAATTGTACATCTAGAATCATTTATTTAATAAATTTACTCGAATACCCTCCTGAGGAAATGGTAGAGTATTTGATCCATTTCACACAATTTGCTTGTTCAATGTCAAACGTTTTCAATTTGAGTTTAGTCATTCGTTTCTTTGGCACTTCAAATTTCACGAGATGGACAGATGAAACAAGCTTTTTGTAGTTCTCTGGATCGAGGGGTTTCTGCATGATAAGTTTTACAGTAAGGCACTGCTCTTGCTCACCTGGTATATTGTCCAACTTCCACAAGACGTATTTTTCCTTTTCCAAGTAAATTTGTTGACTTTCCACTTCCTCCTCTGCTAGATCTCTTACATCCCGAGAGAAGTTACAATTACAATTGATAATCTTTTCATTTCGAGGCAGTGGAACGAGAAGATGAACATTCTTTGCCTTCATTGCCGCTTTGTAATCAGATTTGAGTCTCACCACAACCTCCATAACAAATTCATTTACCTTTCTAATGTCCCAATAGATTCTGAATGGTATTTTCATATTTTCATTATAAGCCACTCTATAGTTCGCCAATACGAATTGTCCTTCATGAGCTATAAATGAGAATTTTCCATCCTGAAATAGTGTTGAATTGACTGCATTGGCATGTAAATTCATATAGGTCAAATTCTGATACTTCTTATTGAGTTCAACTTTTACAATTGGTTTTGTATCAATATATGACTTCACCTTGATATATCCCAACACTTCAATTTTAAACATTTCTCCATTATTTCCCATTTCACAAATTACCTTTTCAATGACATCAACAAATATTTCATTTGTTTTAATTGTTACTGGTCTTTCAGCTGGTACCATTAGTTAATATTGCAATAATCACAAATGATATCAACTTACAGGCCTCTGCAGATGCAACACTAGGTTGGAAATAATCAAATAATAAAGTATCTGGAGGTTCTTCTATTTGTTTTGGAAGGGTTACTATCAATTCCGATAAATTTAAAGTATCTTGTACATGACCTCCTTCCAGAGTTTCATCAATTATCTAATCATCGAGATCGAGGCAATAATTCAATAATATTATTAATACTCTTAATATTAATATTCTTAATATATCAACTCACCTCATAAATTAAATCCTGATTAATCCAAACCTTCTTCTCACTCAACACTCCTATATAATCATTAATTACTAAATACAATCGATCGAGATATTCAATCGGAACAGAGGGTGAAATATTCTGTCTACTCGTACACATGAAATACAAATCATTTCTCTTAATATGAAAGAATGTTATACCAAATATCACAAAGCAAGAGGGTGCATTCTCTCCCTTCTCCTTTGCAGCCTTAATCCTCCTGAAGAATATATCCTGAACATTATCTATAATATCGTGCCTTACTATTTGAATTAACAGTATATTTCTGTATAAAAATTACTTGAATAACTCACAATTACGAGATATAATCTTATCCCCTCTATTGGACAATATACACACGTGTGTGATCATTGTGCTCTCTTGGTGATGATCAGAAAATATTTTTTAAGCAAAATAAATTTCTATGAATAAGGGTGATAGTTTACTATTATTATTATTCATATTATTTATGATGTCCAATGGATGGGAATACTGTATAATGATGTAATACATTATTCTAGAGGAAAAATACTTTCAAAAAACAACAATTTATTCAAATCATTTAAAAAAACAGTAGTTGCCTTCAGCGGTATCTTTTCATTCCGCCAAAATTATTTTTAACGTTCATTTTCTTCCCGCCTTTCAAATCTCGCGCCAATTTTTTCACAACGCCTGTCAGAAATCACAATAAATAATTCATCAATATTAATTTCTCTTTGAAAAAAAAATCAACAACATACAACTCTAACTCACAACATTACCTTGTGTGTCTAAGTACAAAAACTCCCAACACTAAACAACAATAATCTAACTTTATACAAATGACAAGAGAAATCATTTCCATCTCCGTAGGTCAATGTGGTAACCAAATTGGCCAACAATTCTGGAGAACCATCTCCCAAGAACATGGATTATCAATGGATGGTCATTCAACCAACACTGCTTCTCCACTCGAAAAGGAAAATCTCGGTGTTTACTTCTCCGAATCATCCGACAGATATGTCCCACGTGCTGTTTTAGTTGATTTGGAATCAGGTGTTTTGGATTCTGTTAAATCCTCATCCCAAGGTCAATTATTCCGTCCAGATAACTTTATCAATGCTGCCTCAGGTGCTGGTAACAATTGGGCTAAAGGTTTCTACACTGATGGTACTGAATTAATTGATGAAATTATTGATACTATTAGAAAGGAAAGTGAATCATGTGATAGTTTGCAAGGATTCCAATTAACCCACTCATTGGGTGGTGGTACTGGTTCTGGATTAGGTACCTTGTTAGTCTCCAAAATTAAGGAAGAATTCCCAGATAGAATGTTGGCTACCTTCTCAGTTTTTCCAAGTGCTAAAGTTTCTGATACCGTTGTTGAACCATACAATGCTACTTTGAGTATTCATCAATTGATTGAAAATGCTGATCAAGTTTTCACTATTGATAATGAAGCTCTTTTTGATATTTGCACAAAGAGTTTGAAATTGGCAACTCCAAACTTTGAAGATTTGAATCAATTGATTGCTTCTGTCATGTCTGGTGTTACTTGTAGTTTGAGATTCCCAGGTCAATTGAACTCTGATTTGAGAAAATTGAGTGTTAATTTGGTTCCATTCCCAAGATTGCACTTCTTTATGGTTTCAAATGCTCCAATTGTTGCTGAATATAACAAGCAATACCATAACTTGTCAATTGCTGAATTGACTTCTCAAATGTTCTCCAGAAAGAATATGTTTGCTGCCTGTGATCCAACTTCAGGTAAATACTTGGCTGCTAGTGCCATTTTCAGAGGAGCCAACTTGTCAACCAGTGATATCGATCAACAAATGTTGAGTCTCCAAACCAAATCCAAAGATAATTTTGTTTCATGGATTCCAAACAATATCAAATCATCTGTTTGTGATGTAGCTCCAAAGAATTTGCCAGTTTCTGGAACTTTCATTGGTAACACAACTGCCATTCAAGATGTTTTCAAGAGAATTGGAACTCAATTCCATCAAATGTATAAGAAGAAGGCCTTCTTGCATTCTTATATTAATGAAGGAATGGACCAAATGGAATTCACTGAAGCTGAAGCTAATATGAATGATTTGATTAATGAATATCAACAATATCAAGATGCTACCATTGAAGATGATGTTGATGGTGGTTTTGGAGGTAATGCTGATGATGAATTGCAACAACAAGAATAATTTTAAAAAGTTTTAATTTTCAAGAATAAGAAATTGTGTGTCTAGTAGTGTATTTTATGGAATATTCTATGGATTGTCTCGATAGAATTTGTAAATATGCTAATTCATGTAATAAAAAGAGAATCTGCTAGGTTTTTAAAGTTTATTTGTCGAGTTTATTAGATGTGAAACTAAACTATTTGGCTTAACAGATTTTTTAATTATCTGGAGACGAAAATGGATAAATACTAGAAAATACACATCCAAAATTGGTATTCTTCTTTCTTTGCCAAATCACAATCCACAAACACTTTCAAAAATTTAAAAAAACAAAATTCGAAACTAATGTCCTCATCGTCAGTTAAGAAAATTTGCATTCTCAATGGCTCTGGTCGTTTGGGAAGACACATTATCCAATCACTCACCACCGTAAGAGAACATTCGGTTGGATCCGAAAGTGATTTCTCCAATTTGAGAATTGAAACTTATTGTAAGGAAGATCGAGTTGATTCATTGAAGAATGAAAGTTATGGATCAAAGATTGATAAGATTATGATTGATAGAGTTGATAAGATGGATTTGAAAACAATGGTAAGTTTGTTAAGCCACTTTAGAATATACTTATAGTTTCGAATAGACTCAAAAATTCTCTGGTTATGACATTTTAATCAATGCCACAGATTTTGAGAAGAATACTAATGAAGAAGAATTCGAAACCAATGTAATTGAAGCTTGTTTAAAGACCAATTCCATTCAACGTTACATTCCAGCTGATTTTACTTTGGATTATCGTAAATTCTCAGAAGGTGAAAATGAAAAGATGGATATTCGAAAGAGAATCCTTTCTCTATTGGAAAAGAATAAGGAAAAGTTGAGTTATACCTCAATTCTTAATGGTGTTTTCATGGAGAGACTTTTCGATCCATTCTACAAGTGGAAAATTCTCAATTTAGAAGAAAGAAAGGTAGAATTCTATTCGAATGATAAAAGTGAACCAATTTTGGACTTTTCATTGTATCCTCAAGTTGGTCAACTATGCGCTCTCTCCACTACCTTACTCTATGACCAATCTGAGAATATTACCATTCCATTTGTGTCCGAATCCTTGTCCATGTCCGAGTTGGCCAAAATGCTTTCTCAAGATTTAGGACATGGCCAATGGAAAGTTGAAAAATTGGGCACCCTTAATGATTTGAAAGATGCCGTCAAGAAGAAACAAGAAAAGAGACAAGAGAAGGAGTTGGATAATTCCTATGCCTACGATTATTTACTTGCTATATTTAGTCAAAAAGGAAGAATTGATATTGACAAAAATGGAAAGGACTTTATTAAGGCAGCTCAAAAGATGATTGGTTCCATTGAGAAGAGTTATAGAGAGAGAAATGAAAATGTTGGTAAAAGTGTCTTGTTTGGAGCAAGTGTTGGTCTTTCCAAAGTTGCCACTACTGAAGCAAGTAAGAAGAAATTGGAAGAAAGTGGTGGAATCTTGCATCAAATGGTGAGTGATCAATTTGGAAGTAAGGATACCTCCAAACTGGATTTGGAACAAATCTGCTCTCGTTTCGGTTGTGCATACACTCCAAAAGCCAACCCAGAAGCAACCAAATAATTATTATTCGAATAAAATAAACTATTGTGTGTGAACAATTCTCCAATTTATTAAAAAAACAAGGTAGGATGTGAACACTTCAACTGTTTCCTAGAAATGTTATACTCCAACTCAATCACCAACATGGCTCCAAACAGTAAAACCTGATCTGTGGCCTCACAAATTGGCGGGAAATCAATCACCATGTTTTTCAGTGGTGCACAAATTTCATTTTGGAAACCAGATGCTTGCTTGATGATTTGACCAGTTTTTTGGGAGATTCTTGTAGATTGGTAAGTTGGGGTAGGGCCTATGGAAACTACGAGTTTTGAAGTCACATCTTGGATGTTGAAGAGACGATTGGTTTTGGTGTTGGGGTTTCGAATAATGAATCGTAATTCATTCTTGTGATTGACAATGTTAATGTGCATATGCTTGTTACTGAGGGTGATTTTGGGCCTAATTTCACCAATGATATTGTTGTTGGAATCTCTGACAAGGTAGGAAGATCCCTTGAAACCCTCCATTCGAAACAGGAGTTTATCCTCTAAAAGAATATCTGAATTATTTTCACCACTGATAGATTTTTCAACTTGTAACATGTCACTTCTTTCTATTTCTCTTTGCTTTTGTAAATCTGTTAATATTTGATTGAGAATTTCAATTTCCATTAATTTTGTCATTTCAATAAGAACATCTATTCTAATCTTTGAAGAATATCCCAAGTTTTCAATAATCTTCATTGAATTAATTTCCACATTTGAAGAATGTGCACTTCCACCTTTTCCACTTCTCAACTTGGATTTGAAATTCAACATTCGATGTCGCATCACTTTCAGATAATCAAATTCTGTTCGATTCTTTAGAAAATGTTCCTCAACCCACTCATCCAGACCTTCCAACTCATCCCTCTCTGTAAATGTTCCCTCACTTTCTTCGAAATTTTGATCAGAAGGATAATGTGGAATGTTTGGCTCCATTTCTTCAACTTTTCCAATTTCTCTTCTTTTAATGGTAACGTAATGATCAGAGAAAAATTGAGTGTGTTTTCCAAGAGAGGCAGTCAGAGCACTCCCAGAGAGGGCATACTTGTTGGGATGAAAAATTGGACTATCAGAAACGTCTATCATACGAACAGTTACCAATCTGTCTTCTTTCTTTTTCTTTTTTGGTTGAAAAGTTTGTGGAGAATGGTCAACTTGTCTCTTACGTTGTAAAACATTGTAAATGACGTGCCCTGTGAGTCCTCGATTGGAACGAAATTTATAAAATAGAAAGGGAGTACTCTTGTGGGAGTCATAATTCTTATCATTTTCTGGATTATTGGTGAGGAATTCGTATCCAACTGATTGAATCATTTCGGGAAGTAATAGTATTGAATGTTGTTCTTTACAATTTTTTCAATAGTTAATAGATTAGGAAACTTACTTTCGACAAATTCAGTTTCCACATGATCATCTGTATGAAAGTGAGGTAAATGAGAAGGAGAAAAGACATGATTCAATGCATAAACATTCGTCAGGTTTAGTACTTGCATTTTTTTATGTGTTTTTTTGATCAAAAAAGTAATCTTTCCAATTCATTCCATCATTGAATTCTATCATTGAACTTTTAATACAATTCAACACTATTTAGTAATACTATTTTGTAAACTATTAAACTCCGAAAAAATCTGGCGCCAAAATTCCTTATCAAGAAGACAATCCACAATTTAATTGGACCACTTTAAAAAAAATGGCTAGTTTACGAACTGCTAATGGATCTTTCATGTTTGTTGCAGCAGCATTCTTGATTTTCGTAATCATGATGATCACAATGATGGAAAATATTGTTGCAATTTCCATCCTTCCGAATAATGATGAACTGAAAGTTTTTCATTCCGAATTTGCCAAATATTTGCAAATTATTAATGAGGTAAATAGAGATTATCGTGATGGTGCTTCTACTTGGATGGCTGCTCCTAATGATGTAATGAGAAATCCAGAGCGAATTCAATTTTTAGGCTTGAAGAATATGAAACAATTGGAGGAGTTTGAGATGAAGGTCAATGGAGGGGAATTATCGCAATTTATGAAGGAACACTTGATCTTGTTGAGAACATTGATTAAGAGAGGTGCTATGGAACCACCTAAGAGTGTGAGTGGAAAATCTATTTTGAAGAGAAACTATATGAATATTGCTGAATTTGACAGTAGACAAAAGTGGCCAAATTGCGTTCATGTAAGTTTAGTTTGATAAATAATTGAAACATAATCTGAATGATAGCCAATCAGAGACCAGGGCAATTGTGGTAGTTGCTATAGCTTTGCAAGTTCAGAAGTAATGAGTGATAGATTTTGTATATTTTCAAATGGTTCTGTCAATGTCGTCTTGTCACCTCAAGATTTAGTGACCTGTTCTTGGTATTCGTAAGTTTCTTGTTTTTAGAGTAAAGTTAAATTTCGATCATTCAAGATTTGGATGTAATGGAGGTATTCCAGGTTTAGTTTTTGATTATATTCACAAGGATGGTTTAGTGTCTGATGCTTGTTTCCCATACTTGTCCTATGATGGTAATACCCATGTTAAGTGTCCTGATTTCTGCTATAACAACAAAACCAAGTCATTCAAGAGTGATAAGCATTTTGCTGATAAGGTTTATCATGTTGGTGAATTTTTGGAAGATAAAGCAAAACGTGTTTTGGAAATTCAAAAAGAAATCTTGACCCATGGACCAGTGAATGCTGATTTTATGGTCTATTCTGATTTTACAGTGTACAAGAGTGGAGTTTACAGACATCAAACTGGATCTTTTGAAGGAATTCATGCTGTTAAAATTATTGGAGTAAGTTGTAATATTCAGTGCTCTAGATATTAATGGATTACTAAAATTATTTAAATTTGAAATAGTGGGGAACTGAGAATGGAGTTGATTATTGGTTGATTGCCAATTCGTGGGGAACAACATTTGGTTTGCAAGGATTTTTCAAAATTGTTAGAGGAGGTAAGTTTATACATCTTGAAGAGAAAAGTAGTAATTAATAATTAAAATACCTTTGATTTTCTATGTTATAGTGGACGAATGTGGTATTGAATTGTCTGTATATGCTGGTATTCCAAAACTTTAAATTGTTAATATTCAACAAAAATTAAATTAAAAATTTAAAAAAATGGAAAAAGTGGATTCTTGCTCGTCGTTTCCGCTTCTTATTTCGCAAAGAGGTTCAAGGATTAACATGTTTAATTGGACACCAGAAGGTAATTTTATAATTCTACAAAATAGGTAAATGAACAAATCAGAAGGCATTATCAAAAAAATTGACGAGATGCAAGATTTGATGGATAAAGAGGTTGTAATGTAAATTTTTAATTTCGCAATACATTACAAACACCAAGAGGCATTAAAATATAATAGTGCCATACGCTATTCGTCAGCTCCATGTTAAGATATCAGATACTCATATCTGTTATCTAGATGCTGTGTCATGGCAACAATCCTCCAATATTAGCAGATTTTTCAAGAGTCAATTAGTTCATTAATCATTAAAAAAACAAAATGACTTCACGAGTGTATCCTCAAACACAAAACACAACAAGAGCTGCTACAGGAAGTGTAGTGCTTAACGACGCTGAAAGTTCCTCTCAATTTGGTGCAGGAACTTCTGCCACTTCAAGCACATATGCTTCTTCATTGGGTGGGAAAAGTGTTGTAAACAATGCTGGAATAAGTATATTCTCATTGATAACAACTCTCAGACCTAAAGATACACTAGTTGGTAACGAGAATACTTACATGTTGCTTGGAATGGTATTCTATCACATTTACTTGATATACAACTCTGTAATACTCTCATCAATTTCAACACCAATGATTAGAGATGGCGATTCTACATTGTGGGGAGTTATACCTGGTTGGATATGGAGAGCTTTGTATTTTCCAATTAATTTGGCATCTGAATTCTATCCATACTTTTTAATTATTGCACTATCAATACTATTTGTAGTTATACAAGTATGTACTTGTTTTGGAATTTATTATTGCAAGTGGGCTGCAAGAAAGGGAGGAAAATTGTTTGAAAAGATCAAGACATTTCTATTGAATTCTTTGATATTCCAAAGAACTTTCACTTTATTCATCTTGTCCATTCATGCAATTTTGTTATCTCCAAACACCAAGAATGGTACTTTATATTACTTTCCAAGTCAATCTTTCAGCTCAGTGATACAAATAGTTTGTGCAGTAATAGGATGTGTTGGAATATTGTTGAATATAGGTTTGACGGCCATTGCAACACTATTAACTGGCGAAACAAGCCCTCAGTTGGGTCGAAGAATTTGGTTTTCATTGTACTCTATTTCACCATTTATGTTCTTTGATTTTGTTAATCAACTAAGTTTAATTTCAACTATTATTTGTGCAGAACCCTATACTTATATTGCTTCTATTATGAAAGTTGTAATGAATTTATTACTACTAGTAGTAACCGTGAAATCCTTGCCATTCTTTAGAAAATGGGAGAATTGCTTCTATTTAGCATTGATTAGTTTGAAAGTTTTTACTCCAATACCACCATTAATTTTGCCATTTCTTTCTTCTAATCAATTAAATCAACAAGAGATTGGTGGTATCGTGACAGGTGTTACTTTTGCAACTGCTGTCATTTCTTTTGTATCTGGATTCATTATTTCTTACATTTGGTTAGCATTTAAAATGAAATCAATCAGAAACATACTATCCAATAAGGAAGACAGCTCAGCAACATTGCTTCTTCTTGAGAAATCAAAAAAGAAACAAGAGAACCTTTCACTATTCATAAGATTTGCAAACAATAGTTCTCCAGCAATGAAATCGAGGGAAGGAAGTGATTTTGACTTGGCCAAACATGCTGTCAACACACTTGTCAAACCAATTGAAAATGTTGAACTATTAATTATCAGTTCCTTATTTGTTTCTTTTGGTGGAATTCTAGATTATGATTATTCCCAATCATTTAGTATTGGATTGGCTCTATTACAAAAAGCTCAACGAATTTCACCTTCGCTATCTCAGATGTTCAATATCATGTTAAGAAATGAAGAAGTTGAGTTTCATGCCTTTCATGGAAATAATCTTGAAGTTTTGAGAAAACTTGTAATGGTTGAAAAGAAAGTGAAATCATTGTCTAGATGTCACAAGTCATTCTTTAAAGAATTATTGAATGACAAACCATCTATTGGTAAATTAGAACATATTAATAGTACCATTTGTTCGATTTATAATGAATGTGATACAATTTATGATAATTTACTAGTTTCTAATAGATCCAACAAGACACTACTCAGATCATATGCCTCCTATTTGGAAAAATACAAGTGGGAAATCAATTTAGCAAAACAATTATTTGAAGAAGCCCAAGACAATGATGAAGATAAGAATAAGCAACAGTTTAAGGCACCAGAATCTTCGTTCCATAAAGGAAACACATCTAGATTTAGTATAGATTCACAAAGAGCTAATATGGATGGTTGGGATTCTGTCAGTGTTGCTGGTGCAGACGAAAACGATGAAGATAGAAAAGATCATGTTTTGAGAATGGCAATCAACTCTCCCATGTCAACTGTTGCTTATTCCACATTATTTTTCCTTTTCTGTACCCTCTCTGTACTAACTATTTGTATCGTAGCACCAGTTTCACTTGTATTTACTCAGAGTATCAATGAGAGAATGACAATGCAAGAGCAGGTTTGCTTAATGACCTCAGTTCCATACAAATTATTAACTCAGGTTCTAGCGCTTCAAGCAGAATATAGTTTGAGAGGAAATAATACTGAGAAATTACTTAATTCTACCATTGATTATACCAATAACTTGTTGGATACTGTAAAAACAGTAGTAACAGCAGGAGACAATAACATGTTAATGCCAGAAGTTGCAAGAGAATATTTGAAAAATCAATATGAACTTAAACTTCCAATTACTAATGATTCATTAATTGGAAATGAAATACCAGGATATACAATCACTAATACCTCTATTCAATTCTACTTATCTTCCGTGTACACCCATGGAAAGACCTTGCTACAAGAATTTAATGATATGGACCAACTGGTTTCGAATACCGATGAGAATTATGCTTTGTTATTTATATTCTACAATAGAATTCCAATGACTCAAGCTTTCAATAGTTTGTGTTCTAAATTTGTAGAAGAAAGTGTAGCTTCAATTGAAACGAATTTCGAACAATTGTGGATAGTTACAGTTTCTGTTCTTGTTACTTATTTGAGTATTTCACTAATTTTCTTTGCAGTAATATTCACACACTCTAGAAGACTTGTTGTTGAGCTTAAAGAAATATTCAGAAGAATAACAAAAGATGAAATAGGAAAAGTTTATCACAGTTTTGAAAAGAAAATAGACGATTCTATTAGCTCTTCAAATAACCTTTTGAAAATGAGCAATATCCTAATGTTTGGAAGTTTCCTCTTTGTAATCGTCATTTGTTTATGTTCCCTACTAGTTGTAGTCGAGCTCAACAGCAATACCAAACAAAGTGCTCGAACCATGAATGTTGTTGGTTCTATTAATGCAGTTTCGCTTAGAACTTCAAGAACCAACTTTAGATTAATCTGGTTTATTGAAAGGATAAAGTATCTAACAATGGATCCTTTATCTGTTAACCAGGAAAATAAGCAAGACTTGCTTGATTTGAGAACATATTGGAATTATGTTGTGGTGGGTGATGAATCAACTTCTTACACCTCTGCCGTGTTTGGAAAATATGAAGATGTCGATTATCTATTATCCGATCTTTGTAATGATACTGTTTCAATGGCTGATCCTTGTCATAGTTTAACTGTTGCATTGACTGATTACATTACAAAAGCTCTAGATTATAATGAAGTATTCTATTACCAAAAAAAGAGTAAGACGTTTATTCAAAATGCATATTTTGCAAAAGTATTCTATGTCACACAGACAGTTACTTACAATTTACAAACTTTAATCTCTGCTCTTGTAACTCATGAAAAGGTTTCAAATATTGGGTTAACAGCTAGTATGATTGGTTTGTGTTTCGTTTCTACAATTTTATATGCTGCCATTTGTTATTCATCCTTGAATAGGTATTGGAAGGAAAGAGCTTGTTTGAGAATGATGTTGAATTATATCAATATAGATCTAATTGAAAGTAATTTGATATTGAGAGAGTATGTCATGTCAAATGTTGTTCCTTCAAAGATTTCCTCTAAAATAGTGCCATCCTTTGAAACTGAGCAAGAAAAGGATGACAAGATTGAAATGGTAAAGACAGTATTGAATGGAGGTGTTGATTCTGCAATTATTTGTGATAAGGATGGAAATATTACAATTTTCAATAATTCTGCTGAGGAAATGTTCGGCTATTCCAGATCACAAGTTTTAGGGTTACCAATTCAAACCCTATTTACCTCTGAATATTCTGAGAGACTCATGAAATTGATTTCAACTGGTGAATTACAGGATTCATTCGAGGCAATGGCTCAGAGACGAAACAAGACTAATTTCTCTTCAAAAGTTTCAGTTTCCGTTTCAGTGCATGGCAAGAAACAAATTTTTATTGTCTTTGTTCGTGATATTTCACCAGAAAAGAAACATAGCTTGCTAATTGCTGAGGAAAAGAAGAAGAGTGAAGATTTATTATTGAATATTTTGCCCGTGTCAATGGCATCAAAATTGAAGAACGGCGAAGAGAATTTATATGAGAAAGTGAATGATATTACTGTTTTCTTTAGTGATATGGTTGGGTTTACTGCATGGAGTTCGAAATTGCAACCTAGTGAACTCGTTCAAATCCTGAACTCTATTGTTCATGGATTTGACAAGTTGACTGAAATTCACTTTATCGACAAGATTAAAACTATTGGAGATGCTTATTTTTGTGTAAGTGGATTACACTCCTGTAAATCATCCGATCATCCAGAAAGAATGTTAAAATTTGCCATTGAAATCATGTCCTTTTTAAAGAGTATCAACACATCAAGTCAAACATTAATTAATTTGAGAATTGGTATTCACACAGGTGATGCTGTTGGCGGAGTTATTGGGTTTAAAAAGTTTGCCTACGATCTGTGGGGAGATACCATCAACACTGCCTCTCGTATGGAATCAACATCACTTCCAGGGAGAATTCAAATTTCCAGATCTAGCTATGGAAGAGTTTATGACCTATTCGAATTTGAAGAAAGATTAATTGAGGTGAAAGGAAAAGGACAATGTCAAACCTATCTACTAAAAGATAAACACCATGAGAATCCAATATCCATGGATCCTGAGATGTTACACGTGGAAGATAATGATCAATTGGAAGTTTCACAAGGACCATTTTGTTCCAGTGATAAAGAGAGCCAGCAACAAGAGGAATTAAAACAGTAACTTGATTTTCTTTAACATTGATTCTTCTTCTTAAAGCCATGAATTGATAGATTCAATTCTTCTAAAATAGTTATTTCTGTCTATCACATGGAATTTGAAAACCAGACTAAAGAAATCAAGCAGAATAAGCTCAACTCCTGTACAATAGTTTATTAAAAGTGTTGTCTTAATGTTGCTTTTTGAAACAACCTTGACAATGTTCACAGTGGCATCTACAGTAACATATTTGTTCTGGCAATTTGAAAGAGCTTGGTGTCTCTTCATGAAGTTTCAATGGTTCTTCACATATCAACCTCATCAAGTCAAAATTTCGTTGTTGTCTTGTCAAAGTCTCTTCAATGAATGTTTGGAGGTGTGCAATCTTTCCATTCAATTCAGCAATCTGTTGTTGATGAAGCATTTCAGATAAAAGATGACTGTCTTTCAAGAAATTCATATCAATACTATGCTTCTCAATAGCTTCCATCTTTGCTTCCAATTGTGAACACCTTTGTGCTGTATCAGCATCTTGCATTAGTGGAGAATGGGAATCACCAGTTTCTTGATACACCTTTTCTTCTGCCTTCTCTTCTTCAATCGATACAATCAAAAGCTTCTTTTCAACTTCGGAACAGTACTCTACTTTATCTTGATCATTCATAATTACTCCATGAGCAGAAACAACATTCGAAAGTTGTTCTTGTTGATTTGAAGAATTCATCACATCTCTCAATTTCAGCAAGTCGCCACAATCTTGTTCCTTCTTCTTAGCATTGGTTATTGGTTTTATGAGAGCAAAGAGATCTTTCAACAACTTCTTCCAACTCTTTCCTTGCTTGGCAATTAAACACTCTCCAAAGATTGGCTTCTTTTCAAAATAACAATCAAAGGCAATTCTCATCTCTTCATCAGTAACTTGATCATTTGTAATTTCCTTCTTGAACTTCTTCCAGAAATGAAGGATAATCCTAAAAGCAACCAATTTGTTACTATTCAAAATCTGATGGACAGAGTGCAATATTGTCTTTTCATTCTGCAAGTCAAAATCATTCAATTCCTTCGAGATGAATAACATGTGATGCACAATTTGGAACAATAGCAATCCAGAGTCCTTATTATATTTGGATTGGATTGTATTTTTCAATAGGATAACATTAGACGTTGTAGGGTTCATCCTCTTATTCTAATCCGTTTGGTTCGATCGAGAGAGAGAGAGGTAAGGCTTTTTTTTAAGGTTTTTTTCAAAGAGGAGGGAAAGTGTTCAATATTGAACCTCTCTGAGTGTGGTGATGATCACCTCCAGTTCAATAAATATGGAGCAGGCAAATTGTTCCTATATGGTAATACTGGTCCAATGGAAGAATGGCTTTCTAATTTGAAAGAGTTAAACTTGAATTCTGATCAAATTTTGGCACTCGTAATGGAAAAGATTAGAGAGAAAACAAAGCTTGTTGAAGAGATGCAAAACGAAACTCTAAAGAGAACCAAGGAAATTGAATGGTTGCACTCTGAGTTGGTAACACAAGACAAGAAGAGAAAGGCTGAAACAGCTCTTAAGAAAGAGCCAGTTGAATCTAAAAAGGTAAAGAAGGAAGCTCCAAGAGTGAAGGAAATTGCATGTGATGATATGACTACAAGGATTCTTGGATTTCTACCAGGCTTACAAGGTTTTAAGCTATTGTTGGTTTCAAAGCAATTCTTAAGGGCTGTTGAACAATTGAAATCCTACTATTATTGCGATGGAGATGATGTTACTTCATTTTCCGAATCAATATTCTTCAAACACTTAAATATTGTTGATATTGTGCCAGAAGGGATGCTAAACTTTGGAGAGATGCTAACAAAAGTAGACGAAATCAAAGAATTAAGATGCAAACCAAAGGGCAAATTTTATGCTTCTCTGTTTTCAAAAAAGTCAAGAATAGAGAAAATTGTAATTGAGGAGTCTTGTCATAGTGTTGAGCTAGATTCTTTCAATCTCTATAATCTACAAGAACTTAGTGTTCATTTCCTTGATGTAATCAGTAATATTTCAAAGTTTGTTAATAACACAACTCATTCTTTGAGAGTATTGAAAATTGACGCTGATGAGGGTATTGGTGGTAGTTTGTCTCCTATTGCTTCATTACCAGAATTAGAAGAACTATGTCTTACAAACATTGAAATTCTTCCCGAAACCAAATTATTTGATATTTTCAAATGTAAAACATTGAGAAAGTGCCAAATAAGTACCTGTTCTGGCACTGACATGGTTGAAATACCTATGATTAACCTTGAATGTCCAAACTTGGTGTCACTTAATTTAATATCAAAGTTAATGTTTTGTGATATTGTTTGTAACTTCAAAATGCCAAAGCTTGCAACTCTTAAATTATCAGGGGTTACCAGAAGAGGAGCTGTTTATCTTTCTAGTAATGAAAGTCTTACAAATCTCTGCAATGTTGAATTTTCTAATCCTAAAGACGAAACCTACCAACTAATGTTCCAGAATCAGAACTTGATCAGTCTAAAACAGCTCATTCTAAGAGCTCAGCAAGATACTGAAACACTTTCAGGCCTATTATTCCATCTCTCAAAACAAGAATCTCCATTTTCGCTTGAAAAATTGGTCATTGAGAAAAGAAAACCTTCTCTTGATGGTTTCGATGTATTTTGCTCCTCTGCCAAATTTACAAATCTCACCGAGCTTGTTATTTCTTTACCTAGCTTCATAAAGCAACTGATGCTCTTGGCTGAATGCAAACACTTTTCAAATTTGAGAAAACTCTATATTGGGAATCATATGGATGTTGGACTAGAAACTAATGAAATTGAAGAGGTTAAACGTATGGAATTCATTTCTCAATTAAGCAAAAATGAAACCTTCAAAAATCTCAAAAATCTCAAGTACTACATCTCTGATAACGACATTGTAATTTTAAAGAATTCTTCTGTCATTTCATTAAATGAACTCTGTATTGGTAGAAAAGATTTGCTAACATCATACGGATATAGACATCTTTGTGAGTGGGGAATTTCATGGAAAATTTGTCAATAGAAATTATCTAGTCCTTCTCTTTATCATGATCTGCATCAAAAATCATTCATCCTCAATTATTTCCAAATAAACATTATCTTGAATTTCTTCCTCCTCAAAAATAAATATCAAATCTGTGAGTGATGCATTTCGTTGATATGACAATACTAAACTGGATTGTTTTTCCAATACACTCTCTTCAATAGCAAACACCTTAAATGTTTGGCTCTTGGTGTCAAAATAAAAACTATCCAAAAAAGAAAATCGACATGCAAATCCGTTAGCCTTCTCCCTGTATAGATTAGACCCGTCAACATAAAACTTGGTCAAATCGTCATTATATTTTGGTTGGATTTTCAAAAATATAAAAGCAGAAAAACGAACAAGAGTCATTAAACACCTATTCATACCATGATCTCTTTTCCTTTTCAAAAAACTATTCGTTGAAAAGAATACATTATGAAAATGTCCAACAATCTCTATTAGCGAAGATTTGTTGTAAGTATGATCCCCAGAATTACTCAATCTGCACAACATGGAGGATAAACATTTCCTTAAAAGATAAGGATACATTGAAGACATGGATTGGCTGAAGAGCAAATCAAAGAAACGATCTGCCCACTCTTTCAAATGTTCCAGCTCTGTATCTAGAGATGTGACTCCTCTTTGAATTAATTCCTCTGCTATGGCAATCATCTTCTCAGCAGTTGGATCAAATTTAACTTCTCCATCACTTGAACTGATTAAATAGAGTAAATCTCGAAGAAGTGAATAGGCATACGTAGACTTGAAACTATTCTTTTTTTCTACAAGGTATTCCAATACTATTTCAAATATGGTCTCTATCAGGTCAAACTTTTGAGCAAGAAAATAAAATGGATTTGAAAATCGATTTCTCCTTCTCAGAAGGAAAAATCGCAGCAGTAAACAGCTCATGAAAACCATTTCTTCTGAGCATGTTTTCCTCAATTTTTCTTCATATTTTGACTTTCCCTGAACAATTTCATCCATAAATTTCAACAAGTCGTTGGCCACTTCAAAATTCTGTATATGGTAGGATAGTAATTGGCTATTATCTTTTGGAAGAGTATGCAGTGCTCTTAGTTCTTTCAAAAGGAATCTTGTGGTTATATATTTACAATTTGAATCATCTCCATAAAGAGAATCCGGGTCCAATAAATAATTGGTGATTTCCTTTGGAAGGTACTTTGAATCATGACAACTCAATGCAGCTGAAACAGTTACCCATTTGTAAATATCCACCACTTGATCAGTATTATGAGAAACATTCAATTGAATAAAATAAAAACTCTTTAGCAATCGCTCTCTTCCTGGCAGAGAGTTTCCCATCACCTGCAGAGCCATCTGTACACTCTCCATAAACTCATTCCACAACAAGTGATGAGGACCAACATTCTTATTAATTAATGTACATAAAAATACTCCGCCCAAGCTCGAAATATCCTCATTCACTGAACTAGTATTCCAATATCGTTGTTGTAATTTCATTTCCATATTTTGTGAAACATGCTCAATGAGAAGCAACTCTTTCGAATCCAAACATCCAATGCTCAATGAAAAGACAAACAATTCCAATAAAATTCCATTCGCATCTTGCTCCAGTTTCTTATAGATTTGTGCCTTCTTTCCAATATCTGTCTTGCCAGACTTTCTCTCCCTCCGAGAGAGGAATTGTCTCAATACATGACTCATTATTGCATCCAAATCTTCCACAATTAATATCAAATATCGGGGATCCTTGTTTTCATCAACCTGCAAAGCCTGTTCAATTAATTCAATTCTAATTTTTTTCCTATTCTTTATACAGGTAAATAGAGAAATACAAATTTCACAAAGTTGCTGAATACATTTACTCTTTTTCAATGCAGAATTATTATAGGATGAATATGTTGATGTTTTGCTCTTGTTATTTTCATCAGAGTTGGAATTTGAATTTTTCAAAGCCTTCTTTTCAATGATCAGACGAATATTTTCCAAATGTTGGGAGATTTCCTTATAAAGTGATGATGACAATGATGATTGGTCATGTTGAGTGTTATTGTTGTTATTATTATTTACAATATGATGATCATTGTGATCTTTTAATATTCCGATAAGAGAGGAATTTAAAATTTCCAATTTTTTGAGTGATTGTTTTATGGAAAAATGTTGTTGCTGAGTATTGTTCAACATTTTTTTTAAATGTTTAATAAAATCAAATATCAACTACTGTCTAATAATATTTAATATTCAATATTTAATCTAATAATAAATTAAATATTATTAAAAAAAATTACAAAACACATTATTGAGGCAAACTGTCCATCACCATGAAATCTCTTGGCCATTTAAGCACCGTCCAAGAACCCTTAGGTTCACATTTTCAAGACCCATCTTCCTTCTTTCTCATTTCCAAACTTTACGCATAACGACAATTAATTATTAAATTGGCTCGGATCAGTCACGTAATGACCCATCCATGCATAATCTAGAAACAAGAAAAAACAAGTCCAGCACATCATTATGCCTTTTCGTTCAAAGAATGTGTTTTTATTGGTGTTTCTGATCATGCTGAGTTGGTACCTTCTAGTTGATACATCATTAGGCTCATCCGATTATAATATTAGTTATATAGATTGGAAAACATTGAAGAAAATTGATAGCAGTACTTTATCATCTTCATCAATAATAGCAGCCGATAATTTTACGTCATTATTTGTATGGAATGATTTATTTCGGATGGTGCTGCAAAACAATACATTTGATACTATTGGATTGGAATGGCTATTTAATTATGATGCCGAATTGAAATTCTTTACATTTGATACTACTCTGACTGTAGAAGTGATGAAGCAAATGATGGAGTTTATTGGAAGGGATGTAATGAGGAATTCATTCTATTCTCTACCTAAATTGTGGAAATTCAAGCAAATTCTAATGAATAAGAATACAGAATGTATCTATGGGAGTGTTTTTGAAGTATTTGACATCATGATTGGAACTAATATTGAATTTGTTGAGAGGATACGGCTGAATAGAAATCATAGACAATTTAAGAAGAAATCTAGTGATTATCTCAACCCATCTGACTTTTATTCGATACCTCTATTTCCCAATAACTTTTGGATGTTGAATAGTCTAAATGGATTCAATAGCCAATACTATGAATCGATTGTTCAAAAATTAGCAGAATCCCTTGCACTCAAATCATCATTCCAAAACTATACATCTTGCACTGATTCCTTAAAACATGATTCGATAGTATTGGAAAGACTTCATGGTGTAATGAATTTTACATCTACTCAACTAGAATGGTCTCTCAAATTCTCAAATATTTCCTCATCATCAGTTCCTCAAAATTTTACATTTTTACAACAAGCTATGGAAGTATTTTACCAAAACAACCAGGATTATTTATTTTGGAACCAATCAAAAGTTCAACAATACTTGTGGACCTCATCATGTTTTCAATGCTCATCAGCAAATTGTGTTTCAGAGAGATGGGCTTGGGTTGACACTTTGGACATAACAGTTGTCTGTATGGCAGTACTGTACTACTTGGTTTTATTTGCAAGTGGAGCCTTTAGATCGCCTGTAATTTACAGAAAGTATCCTATTGTATTCTTTTGCCCTTTTATTGTAATGGGAATGTATTCTTCAATGGTGAACTCTTTCAATAATGGATGCATATCAGTTGGAGTTATTTTTACAGTCTACCTGGCAGCCTTACTGAATGTAATTTACATTTGTACCGTTGTTAGATACTACTATTTGAGAAACCTTTACAATATTATCAAGAATTCAAAACATCCAAAACTTTTCAAATATCTGTCTAGTGAGCTGGTTGGATTCGTATTCACTGTAATTTTCCCCATTCCAACAGCCTTTGTAGCCACTATTCCAATTTTCATTATAGTTCAAACCTATAATTCTCTGATAGTCAACACAACTAATAATGTGATTATAGTTTTATTTTGTGCCATTTCATGCTTCGCTGGTGTATCCTTCTTTATTTATGAGGCTATTAGAAATAGAAAACTGATTGCCAAGTTTGGTTTGGGTAGATTCTTATTATTTGAAGAACCTTATTACTTTAGAATTGATCTACTCGCACTAGGTTTGATGATATTATTGCTGATTTTATTGGCAATATTGTTTCTCGTTTTGCCAAACTCGATTGTGGCCATTCGCTTTGTTATTGGACTCACATTGTACATGTTAACTGGTGGAACATCTTTACTAATGCTATTTATTGAAAATGTAAGAAATGGAAATGTTGTCAAGCAAATCTCGTCTGAAACAAAACATTCCAATGCGGAATATATTGAAATAATCAAGAATAACAGTAATAAGGATTTGGTAGAACTTTTTAGGTTATATTCTGAAAAATCTCTTGCCTTGGAAAATATTTTACTCATGGATGAATTGGTTGGATTTAAGAGAAGATCAGAGAATATCAAAATTGAAGATTTGAAAAAAGTTCATGAAATGTATCTGACTGCTTACTCTGCTTATGAAGTCAATGTATCTTCAATAGCCAAATCAACTTTTGAAAAGGATTTGAGAGATGCAGAGGCTATTCAATCCCTCAAAGTTAGAAATGAGGTAGTGGATCAAATCATGAAGGAAGTGGAAATGAATCTAATATCAACATTTTCCAGATTCACAAGAACTAACGAGTTTAGACAATGGAGGGAAATTTACCAATTGCAAAAGGATCGAGTAGCTGTTATATAGTTCTATATCCATAGATGTAGTTCAAATAGACATTACTACCTATTACTTTTCTATTTTTTGGAAAGAAATCAAATCCATCAAGTCATCTTTGTAAACGCTTTTGAGAGAGTCAAAGTTTTTCAAATTACCAAATAAAGAGTTTGGTAAATCGTCGTTGAAAAACATTTCCAGTGAAGAAGTAATGAAGAGTTTCAAACTAGAATTTGATAAGTGGATATTGGCAATGGCAATACATTTGAATTTTTCCGCTTGATCACTATTTGGAGTGTACTCTCTGTAAATGCATGTATTTTTGAGCTTTTTCAAAGATTGAATAATAAATCCCTGAATGCAACTCTTTTCGTAAAGTTCCATCTCTTTTGATGATGAAACAGAGAGTGATAAATTCTGAATATTTTCTAATGAAATATCGAGAGAGGTACTTGTTGTTTCCTTATTGGAATTTTCAAACATGCTAACACATTGATGAATTTGTTCCAATAATTTGGAAGAATTTGGAAAGAGAATGGTGTTGGTTTCTATTGTTGTTGTACTTGTACTAGTAGTTGCAGTCGTGTTGTTACCACCACTAGTTGTAGTAGTTCCACTAGATTCATTCTCAGTTTTAACAGTATACTTTACGAATTTTCTCCTCCTTTCATAAATATGATCTGATTCACTTTTCCAAATAATTTCAGAAAAATCCAAATCAACAATGGCTCTAAACATTGTTGGATCAATTTCCTCATTCATTGAATTACTATTAAAAAAGTCCAAGAACCACGTCTTTTCCAACAAGTACTTTAATCTAAAAAGTTTAACATCCAAACTATTAGAAACCAATGCCTCATCCAAACCTTCAAGTTCATGCAAGCCTCTCTTGCTCAGCAAGGATTTTTCATAGACTTGTTCCGACATTAACTTGATAAAGGCAGCCAACTCAGTCTCATTTAAAATCCTCACAGCACTCTCTGAAATAATTATCTGATGAGAATGCATTGGAGGACATCTCTTGTTCAAACAAATGGCAATTAAATCCCGATGAACAAAATATTCCTCTCCTAATTTAATAATAATTAATTGATTAAAAAGACAATCCTCCAACTTGTATGAATTTTTGTGTGATGGAGCAGAAGGAGGTAGAATTGAATTGATTGACGCTTCTTCTTGTTCTTCTGTTTCGCAGCTTTCATCTTGAATAATTTTTCGCTTGAATCGATTTGGCGGCATTTTTTAAAATTTAAAAATTAAATTTTCTCAAAGGTGTTTTCATTTCAGATCTGAAATCCATTGTTCTTTTTGAGATATTTGGGATAATAATTTTATTAAGGTTTATTTTGAAGAATTTAAAAAAATAAGGCGATTTGGAAAAAGTTCATCACCTGCCACCTTTCAAACTGACATTTCACATTTTTCACACCTTGACACCCATAATCTCAAAACCACCTCAAACCACAATTCCACACATTGTATACTTCAAAAAACATCCTTAAAGAACCTTCATCTCACTTCTCCTAAATTTTTTACTTTTCACTTTAAATTTCACAAGTCAACTTGTCACACGACAATTTTGGAGTGACCTGACAGCGAAGAGAGCACTTTCATCATCTAAAAAAAAACTCTCGAAACCGCTACTTTATAACCTCCTCCACACCAGAAGAAGGTAAAAAAAAAACGGAATCGCCATCATACAACTACAATAACTATAACAATGATGAAGCAAATTAGTGGTAAATCACTGATTGCGCTCCTTCTTGTTTTCATCCTCACGATGGTAGCTACTACCGCCGTGGTTGAAACAAGGGAACAATCAATCGAGTCAGAGGTGGCTCGTCTTGTCCAATTGAAGGCTAAACTTCGTGAAAAGTGGAATCCTAATGCCTATTTATCTGAACGTATTTTAAAGATTGCTAAAAAGTTTTCAATTTCAATTCCACGTCGTTGTAAGAGAAGAATTTCTGAGGAAACTATTGAAATTATTAGAAGATTGGCTGAATGTCCAAAGAATACTAAACCTTCTGAACCAACTAAACCAACCAAACCAACTGAGCCAAGTAAACCAACTGAACCATCAAAGCCAACTGAGCCAACTACTCCAACTGAACCAACTAAACCTGGTAAGGAATGTCCAGCTTTGAAGTGTAAGAGAGTTTGTGGAACTCGTGGATATAAGAAAAATTCAAGAGGATGTGATACTTGTAAGTGTAACAAGAAGCCAACTAAACCAACCAAGCCAGGAAAGGGTTGTCCACACGTTTCTTGTCCAAAATCATGTCAATCTGGATCTAGTATTGGTATTGATCAAAAGACTGGATGTTTGGCTTGTACTTGTAAACCAACCAAGCCAACTGAGCCAACCACTCCAAGTGAACCAACTAAACCAACTACTCCAACTCAACCTGAAACACCAACTACTCCAACTGAGCCAACTCAACCTGAAAAGCCTACTGTTCCAGTAACTCCAACTGAACCAACTCAACCTACTGAACCAAGTAAGCCAACTGAGCCAACCACTCCAACTACTCCAACTGAGCCAACTCAACCAACTACTCCAACTGTTCCAACCAAGCCAACTAGACCAACCAGACCAACCAGACCAAGAAGACCAACTAGACCTAGAAGACCAACTAGACCAAGAAGACCAACTAGACCAACCAAGCCAACAAGACCTGGTCGTCCAACTAGACCTTCTCGTCCAAGCAGACCATCTAGACCAAGCCGTCCAAGTAGACCATCTAGACCTTCCAGACCAAGCAGACCAACTCGTCCATCTAGACCTTCTAGACCTTCTAGACCAAGTAGACCATCTAGACCATCCACACCAAGTCGTCCATCTAGACCAAGCAGACCATCCAGACCTAGTCCATCAAGACCAGGTAGATCTTCACCAGGTAGAGGTGGTGGTGGTGGAAGAGGAGGTAGAGGTAGAGGAGATCCTCATTTCACTACAATTGTTGGACATCAAGATGTATTATTCAACGGAATTGGTGACTTTATTCTTGCTGAGACAGTTGACAAGGAATTCGTTGCCCACGTTCGTATTGCCAAATGGAATGGTGACAAGGGAGATGCTACTGTCAACGTTGCTGCTGCTGTTAAGGCCGGTTCTGATACTATTGAATTCGATAGCAAGTCAAAGAAGTTTTATTTGAATAAGAAGCGTGCCATTTTCGCCATTGGTAGAAAGTATGAATTGGATGGTGGTTACTTGTTGAGAAAGACTGAAAAGTCATTCATTGTCAAGTCTAACGATGGAGCTGAATTCTTCGGTGAATACTTTGTTTTGCACGATGGTAGAAGTTATATGGATGTTTCAGTTGATGCTCCAAAGGATGTTGAATTCGAAAGAGGATTAATTGTTAACGGAAAGGACTCTGGTGTTGCTGAAGGATTATTCAGAAACCACAAGCAAAGAAAGGTCTTGCCAAAGGCCAAGCTCAATATTCCAAAATGGGCTTTGGATGCTTGTGCCAAGAAGGGTGTCACTGGAAGACGTTTGAAGGACTGTGCCTATGACATTACTGTCACTGGTAAGGAATTCGCCAAGGAAATTGCCAAGGATGAAGCCAAGTTCAATAAGAGAGCCGATAAGGTTGTCAAAAAGAACAAATAAATTATTGTAACAATTATTTCTCAAAGATATCATTCTCTTACAATTCACAAACAAGATAATCATTTATGACATTGTAGAAGTGGTCCAGCTCACCAATTTACACCAGTTTGAGAATCAATGTGGCCTTCAATACTCACATTTTGAATTGCCTTGGGAGTGGAACTTCCCTTGGATTCAATTGGATAGTTTATTTTATATCCAAATGATTCATTTCAGAATTTTGTGCATAATTGAGTGCATGACCATTTGTCGAATTTGTGAAAATATTAAAACGGATTAAAGTAAATTATGATTAATTCCTCTATTTGTAAGATACCGAATAACAACAATCCTCTTTAGTAAATTATTCAATTCCGTAAAAACAGAAATTCCTTTTATACTGCAAACGAATGAAATGACACAGTCACAATTCAAAAAACAAACAAATATCAATAATGCAACCTCAACAAAGCACCACTGGCAGTACTATGCAAAATATTAAGGAGAAGGTCAAACATCCATTCACTCATGACACTGACACCAACGTTACCTATCCAACCAGAGAACAAAAGAAATTAGCAGAATCTGGCACAACAGTTCCTCAATCTACCACCACTATTGGAAGTGGTGGAATGTTAAATCAACCAACAACCACTCAATCCAATATTGGTAGAGAAGAATACTTGGAAAAGAAATTGTAAATAAATTAAATGCATATACCTCTAGTTCTTATGTTATTAAGTAATAAGCCAATCCAATAGGTGGCAAGGTGACATTTCATTTCTTAGTAACCAATTGCAAAGTTGAAGATTGCATTGTAAAAAGTTGAAGTTCCTTTGATGTCGATTAATGTTCCAAGACCTATTAAGGCAACAACAGGTGTTCCTAAAAATTACCTTAAACAAACAGTAAAACAAAATGCTCAAAATCTACACTCACCCTACTGGGTACAAGCAATTACCAGAGGGTGAACCCCTTGTATCTCTCGATCCGACAACCTTCAAAACCTTCACAATTCCTCATCCAGATTTTGAGAGGATCAAGAAAGTGCTTATTAATCGTGACTCTTGTCTTAAAATTCTATCTGAGAGTGGTATTGTTTATATTCATGATGAAAACAGATTTAAGTGTTCCTATCTTCTCGACACAAAATCTAGTAATGAAAATTTAATAATTGATGATATTTCAACATTTTCCGAAGGATCAACACTTTATTTGGCTCGTGATTCTGAGAGTAATCACACTTTTCTCTATGGAAGTGGCACAACCACCTATGATTGTTTTGGAGATAGGAAATTAAGAAATTTACAAGATAGAAATGGTACTGAAAAGTTTACGTTACTCTATACTCCTCAAGTTGATGAAAATGGCCATCGGCCACAGATTACACACATTGCATCGTGCCATTCCTTTAAAATAATGGTATTGGATCATCGTGAAATTAGAATTTCAGGCCAGAATTGGGTGAATTCTTCAAAGGAAATGAATTGGAATGAGAGCCAATTTGTATGTGAAAAGAAAATTAAGAACATTACTTGTGGAAGTTTCCAATTTATGGTAATATTTGAAGATGATTCTGTCATGTTTTGTGGAGACAACCAAACTAATCAAATGCCACACCATACACATGGAAGGTTGCATTTTACTGTGGATGATGATTTGAAAATTATGGAATCATTTGGTGGTTATGATAGTTCTGTTGTAAGATTTGCACACACCCCTAAAACTCCTGAAAGTTACAAGATCTATGGAGAAACTCTGATTAGATTTGAAAATTTGAAAGAGTTTTTGAAAAATTATCCTATTTTCACTGTTTCGAATGAGAATGATTTTACACAAATCAGATATCTTAAGAAATTCTTTGTAATTGAGTTCCAAAAGGGATTGTTTTATTTTATGAGTAATGATCATACTGTAGGATTCACAGTGGATATGTCAACAGAGTTTCACAACATGTATAGTAATCATTATGAAGTTGTTGCTTTGTCAAATACCATTGTATTTTACAAAACTAATTCGAAAGAGTGTGCAATTTATCCAGAATTACATTGTTGCATGAGAAATAAGTTATTGACTGATTGTGATTTTGACTTTATTTAAGAGTCTACCAAGTAATTGAAATTAGAGAATGATCGCAATACTGTTCAACTGAAACATTTAACATTAAATAAACTGTTTTTCAGAGGTGCCAGTTGTAACTTAGACGTTTTTTCTTTTGGATCAATTGTAAACTTGTTGTGGGGTTTAACATTTTGCAATCATGTTTTAAAACATCCAAGCAAAAAAGACTACAGCACCACAGGTTCCCAAGTTGTCTCCAACCTCAGTACTGATGTGGCTCGACGATGCTTAACTTCTCAAATCGGACGGGATGAGGTGCATTCATCGTGATATGGCCGTAGCCATTCATTATCTTTAAATCTGAAACAAAAAGTACAATCAGCCCAACTTTCACATTATAATTCCAAAATATAACAACAAAATACTGTAGTAAACAAACACTGAGTGAATATCAATATCATCATCAAAATAAAATACAAATATTTACAAATTTTAATTTTGTAAACACATCTTGATAAAACTTTCATAGTGGATCATACCCTTTCCTTGTGGATCAGCCTCCTTCAACAAATCATCCACCTCAATATCAGACAATCTTTCACCCAATGTAGTCATAATATGTTTCAATTCATCCACTGGAATGAAACCATCCTGATCACGATCAAATAAACGGAAACTTTCCATATATTCCTCAACATTTCCTGATTCCGATGATTTACCATATCTATTACGCATTTCATTGCAGAAACTATTCACATTGATATTGCCAGATTGTGAAGGATCAATGATGGAGGTGATTTCTTGGAGTTCACGGTCTGATGGAGCAAAACCAAGAGCACGGATGACAGAGTTGAGTTTGTCGTGTGGAATGGTACCAGAACCACCATCATAGAGGGAGAAGGCTTCACGAAATTCGGTTTCTGTCAAGTCAGACATGTTTGATAGTGACGTGTGTTAAATATTTTTTTTTGTTATTTTTTTCTTTGATGGGTGTCAAGTTTGATGATTGATGAAGACTTGTTATCGATCCTTAACAAATCACTTTCTTTTTTGTTTCTTTCAATAATAAGGTTTTTAATGTTTCTCTTAATCTTCAGAGCTCTTAATAGAATTATAAGATCATCCTGGTTCAATTCGAATATGAATATTAAATCATGTAAAATTGACATCAAATTCACTAATAGAACCAATCAATACACCCTCTGCTATCCACATTATAATACTTTAATCTCAATTATTCTAATTTCCTTCCCAAATCACCAAAACCAACCTCTTTTCACATTTCTTAATTTTCTTGGATTCTCAAAATTTTTCTGAACCATCCGAAAAAAAAATGTCATCATCAAGTGAATCGTCATCCAATATTCCACCAACCAATCAGCAAAAGATTGAAATTATTAGGAAGTCCATTGAATTGTTTCAACATGATAAAATTCTTGATGCCTACGATTTGTTGAAGAAACAATATTCCATCACTGAAAATTCCATTTCTTCTCTACTTGAGAGCAGGGAATCATCTTCCGATATTGATGAACAGGAAGAACAGAATGAAACTCTTAGCAAGGAGGAAGCAGAATTGGTCAAGCTAATATACAAGGATGGAGCTCTGGCGAAAATGTTACTTTCTGAATTTTCCAGTAGTGCTGGATGGAATACTTGTGTTGATAAGGATGATTGTAAAACATTCTACAAGCAAACGTGTAAAATTGATGGAGGAAAGGGAGGATCGGAGGCAGAGCCATCATTGCATGCCATTAAAATTGAGGGAATTATAGAGACACCTGTTTTTAACTTGATGTCTATATTGTATGAGGTTGATTTGTATAAGAATTGGGTTCCTCAATTGGGTGAATGTGGAGTAATCAAATATTTGGGTGGAAATGGAACATCGAGATTTAGATTTCTTTCGTATTTTAGTTTTAATTTGCCATGGCCAATGTCTTCAAGGGATTCATTGACCTATGCTTTTGTGGTGGATCGTTCTGATTATGAACAGGATCCCTCGATATTGGTTGTAATTAGAGGAGCTGATACGCACAAGGATTCTTCACTTGCTGATCTTATTTCAAAACATGATAATCAAACACATGTGAGAGTGGGAATTGAGTATGCAGGATTTTTAATTAAAATGTTATCAGAAGATACCTGCCATGTTTCACTCATTGCTAATGTAGATCCAAAACTGAGCTATATTCCAATTTGGTTTCAAAATTGGTTGACCAATAATTTGAGCTATTTAATGATTTCAAAATTGAGACAAGCTGCTGAAAAAGTTCCAAACTCTGAATACAGTGTCAGAATTAAGAATAACGATCAGGTTTATGGTGAAATTACGAGAAGACTTTCAAAATTCCTAGTCACCCACAATTTAAAAAAGTAATCCAAATTTGTAATTCTCTCTATTAATATATGTAAAATAGTAAATTTAATGTACAATAATAAATTATAGTGTCAATCCACATTCCACAAGCAATTCATTATACAAATCAGTTTCGCCTACAGCATCCTGAGCAGCTTGACCAGGATCTGATCTAGCTGGAGCAATATAACCATTCCTTTCGAATATCAATCTGAAAAATCCCAACAAGATTTCAAAATCGAATCGATAATTCAATGATCGATGAACAACAGTGTAATGTTGAATGACATCCAAGAGAACTTGTTTGAGTTTGGTTCGTTCTGAATCAAAAAGTTCGAGTCCATGTTCGAAAACAAATTGCATGAGTTCATCATCGCTTTCGAATGAATCGACATTTTGTTCAAATTTCAATTTCTCCACAATATCACTCCCTCTTTCACATTCCACATCGGCTCTGTACATGAATTGTAAAAATTGTTTCATTCTCTCCAAATTCACTCTCAGCTCTATTACTTGATTTTCATCAAGATTTTCATCAGCAGAATCTAATTTTTCCCTCATGACTGAATATAATGATTTCGAATGGCAACAAAAGAGAAAGTGCAATTTTTTCGGATTCTCTGAAAAGCTTTCAAAGTACTTGTCGAGAACGAAAAATGTTTTGAAAAATCCGTGTGCTGCTAAAAGTGGCACACAAACTGGATTTTTGTGTTGTTCAATTTCATACTGTGATAGTTGGATGTATTGATCAAAGGTTGGTTTAGGTGGTGGAGTGTAGACTTGATCTTGTGATTCCATTTTTTTTGTGAATTTTGTTAAAATGTGAAATTGAACTAAATTGATTTTAATTCGAATATTGTGTTGTAAAGAGTGAATTCACTCCGATCCATCCATCTAACACACCAAGCTGTAACACTTCAAATCTTTTTGTTTCATACGATTGTCCAGCATCACGTTCCTTTCTATTTTTATGCTTCAATCTGATGTAGATTTAGAATTCCTTTCTCACGAAAACAAAGAACAAAAAAAAGCTTTTTTCTTGTGTGTTGTTAATTGGATAGAAACAAGAACGTGATTGGCAAATCATTCTTTGGAACAAAACACGTTTTTGGTTTTTTCTGAAGAGTTTGTGTACGTGATCGGAATTAATATCATCAATACTAGCAAGTTGTTGAAGAGACAATAATAGATGCTCTCCGATCAAGATTATCAGAAACATAAGAGGAGGAAGGAAGAAGAGGAAAAGAAGAGAAAGGAAAGAGAGGATGAATCTTCTTTGCCTTCATCATCATCTAATTCCACTCCTCAACAATATGAACATCAAACTCTGAATAATAATATTGTGATAATAGATGGTGATGACACTGATAGTAATGATGCTGTTATTATCACCTCTCCAACAATTCAAGAACAACAAACAGCTAAATTTGGTTTTCTAGTCAATAGTCAAGAAGACAACAATAATTCATCATCATCACCACATGTTACAGGTAGTAGCAATAAGAAACGAAAGACTACCAGTCACTCTCCTTTAACAACAAATATTTCTCCTATTAAACAAGAAGAAGACATGTCTTCTACTGTTCCACCCAATCAACAAGAACAAACAGCCAACAATAACATGGTGATGATGGATAACAACAATAGCAATGAAAAGCCTTCTACACCCAAACAAGGCACAACAACAACAAATTCCGATGAAGATGATGTTATAATGATTGAGAGTAATGAAGCAACACTTTCACCTTCCTTGTTACACAAGATGCAAGGTTCTCTAAAGATTGAAGAATCACAACAACAGGAACAAACTAACACTAGTGCAAGTACTACTACCATTCCATCATCATCGGAATTATCAGATAATAATGATACATCATCAAAACCTTCGGAAGAGAATGATCAACAACAACAACAAGAAGGCACCAACAATAATAATACGGTTCTTCTCAATTCTGTCAAGACAATAACTGAAAACACTGGTGTGAGAATAGTGGTGCATGCCTTCATTCCTCCACAGTACACTGATGATCTACAACCAGCCTTGAGGTACAGTTATAAGGAAATTACAGGTTCGGGGAAAAACAAGAAGGAAGAAGTTAAAAAGGTAGACATTCCACTGGGTCACACTCCTGTTGAGGGTCTGGATATTTGGTTTTGTGTTGTGAAATTGCCACTTCAAGTTGATTTCGTGAGCTTTAAGATTATTGTTAGAGATGAGAGTAAGGCAATTCATACTGATAAAGAGGTTAGATCGATAACACTTCCAAAATATACCACTCCAGCTGTTCATCACATCTATATTAACTTTAATCCAAAATCAGAAAAGAGACAGGGAATTTTGGACATGTTCAAAACCAAACTTTCAATGACTGAAACCTTTTTAACAGAGTTATTTACTCCTTCCAAGATTGATACTGGTGATTTATTGCCATCTGATACTGAGAATAATGTTTTTGAGAATTTAATTAGAATTAACAGAAAACGAATTCAAATATTTCATTCAAGATTGGATGGGTTTATGCAAAGTATGGCTCATCTCAGTGATTTGAATTTTTACACTAAAATACACATCAAACAAAATTATACCAGCACCAACAGACACAATTTAAAGTCACCATATGTGTATGAGGATACCAAAAAGTTTCTCCTTTCTTTACCAGAAAAGATCATTCAGGATAAGACTGATTTCGAATTGAAATTGATAATGACCCTTGTATTCTTTGAAAAGATTTATTCCATCTCTGGTCACAATGATAAGAAGAACTTTGATGAAATGATTGATCTTTTGAAAGAATTGGATGTGTATACACTCAATACTATATTTCATCACATTTTGAAAAAGGAAGCAGAAAAATCTACACCAATCAACTTGATTAGAGATTCATTCAGAAATTCCATTCAAGCTCTGATAAATGTCTTTTCGGCCACCACAAATGACAAGAGAAAGTTTAGCTATTGGATTATGGCTGCTCCATTCATTAGTCTTGAATTGAAGTTTCACGGTAGCACCAGTCCACTGGATATGCTGATAATGCAATCTGATAAGAAGAGGTTCGATACAGAATTTGCCACCTTGACTTCAATAGTTGAAGAGAAAAGAGCACTCATTTCGAATAGATCTCATGTCGTGTCTGGTACAGATATTGGTATTATATTCTCAACAATTTTTAAAATGGCCTCCTCTCTTAATGATATCAATTGTATTCTAACATTAACATCAGATATGCAATCGAATGAAGGAAGGTTCAGATCTTTCACCACTCAACTATGTGAATTCATTTCTAATATGGATTCTTGGGAAGATAGTGATTTTGATTCCTTTACATATTTATTGGAAAATCATTCATACGTTCTTTCTAGCACATCTATGTTGGCAAGTTATTTCAAGAATAAGGCTCTCAGTGAAGTTAGCCACTACCACTCTGAGAATATTTTGAAGCATTTACTCATGTTCCTTGAAAATGAAGAATTCGTTGCTAATAACAAAGAAAAGGATCTCATTTCCCTGTCAAAACTCATAGCCAACTTCTTTTCTACATTGTTTGGAAAGAAAAAGTCAAGTTACAACCTCTTTAAAAAGAGTGTCTATTCAATGAAAGATATAGTTGCCTTTTATTCTAAACTTGCAGAATCCTTATCAAAAACTTGTATGAATGACTATCAACTTATTATCATTGAATCCATTTCCAATAACTCTTCCTTCACTTCCAGCGGTTCAGACCCGTATTCAAGGATTACATCTCTTATAGAAATTTGTGAAGAGTTTGAATTGGATGAAAGGGCAACACTTGGTAATATTCTTGCTCAATTGACTTTGGATACAGTCAAATCATTGGGAGTTAGCAACAAGGTAATCAACAAACTCTTGGATACTGTCTCAAGGTTCTATGCAGACAGTATTGATATTACAATTGATGTTGTTTCCAAGAAAGTTTTAATGTACATAATAGAAACATTGAGTGAGGGATCATCAATGACCATCGAGATATTGTTCAAACATCACTTGTTGTGGAGTCGTTTATTTCAACTCAATGATATTTTCACAGACAAGAAATTGATTGAAGGAGTACAGCTAGTGGACAAATTCTCCCAACAAATCAATAACCATACCATCGCCCTAAATGATCTGAGAATTATTTTAAGAGATGACAATCAAGATAGGTTCGTATCACTGGCAACATATTCCGGTGTCAGTGTTATTTCCAAGAATACTCTGATAGATATTGACTTTCAGGTTCAATACTTTGAAACACTACTGAAACAGTGTCACGACTTTTGCAACCATTACTGTCAACATGATAATGTAAATAATGAATTCAGGTTGCTATTGGAAAAGATTGAAGCTGAAATCCAAAATAATGCCGTATTTAGTAGTATCAATTCAAGCTTCAATAATTTTGCCTTCCTTAAAGAGCTTCCAACCCTTCAACATTTATGTAAATCCGAGCTCTTTTTACAATTCTGGAACGAAACCATAGATCAAATGGTTGAAAGTCTGGTTACTGAAACTGAATCCACCTCAAAGATAATATTCACAATTAATGATTTGAAATCCCGAGTCTATCCACAAGTAGTTCAAAAATGGCTCCAGTTGTACAATAATCTGAACATGAAAACTATTTCATTTTTAGAACTTCAAACATTATTCAGTGATAATACTGAGGAGGAGACGTTCCAAGATATGCTCTTCCTCAAAAGAACTTGTCAATCAACTGATAACATGCTTGATGGAGATGCCACTCAATTCCACCTTATCAATGAAAACAATCAAAGTTATATTCAATGGTCAAGAGAACACGCCCAACTCATCTCGAGTTTTTTAACTATAGTCAAACAAAAAGAGTACATACCAATGATAGTTTCTATTTTGAGCAAGTTTAACAGTAATTTTTCAACTTCTGTTTTCACAGATTCGTACTATGTTAAGATTGAAAAAATTCACAAGTACATTCTTGAGAAATGGGAATCTGGAAACCTCTTTGATATTGTTGACATGGTCAATGAAGCCAAATCGGCATTGCAACATTTGGGAAAGAACGAATTACTATTGATTGAATTTTTGAATGAATCTGATGATTTATTGAATTGGTTATGGCAACACAATGATTCCAGTCAATTCAATGAATTGATCAGAGTTTGCAGAGAAGTTACTGATGATGCTATCATATTGCAGTCATTTGCTTCTCTTACAAGTGCCAGAGAATATTTGTACGAGTTGGTTTATCCATCAAGAAAGTTTACCAGTTGTGAATCCTTTTTGAGGGCAATCAACACAGCCAACTTGAACAAGGATGATACAGAAATTCAAAGGAGATTGACAGACTGTAAAGTTATTAGATCAAACTTGGAGAATGTCAAACAAGTATTTAAAGAAAAGACGAGAAGCCCCTCTGTGACTGCTGTTTTAAAGCTTTTAGAAATTATAAGTGGTGCGACCATATCTGTAACAACAATTAATTCTATCTCAGAGGATAATTATATTATATGTAATGTAAAAGGCAAGATCACACACTTGAGTGATTTGATTGATATTAGAACAACAGTGTTAAATACCACCATTCCAAACGAACTGAAGGAGAAACATATTAACTTGGATGCTGCTATCGATACATTCTGTAAATTAGTTAACATTCTCTCATCAATGAAGAGAACTTTAATAGAATTAGGCATCAATGGTAGTATGATAGTTGATAATTACGAGTTTACCATCACTCTGAATGTTGATAATTTAGAATATTTATTATTCCAATTTATGGAGGAAGAAAAGAGACTGTCAGAAATGAATTCCAACTGGAAGTTAACGATCAAGAATATTAGATTGGAATATAATTTACTGAATTACTTCAATATGCGAGAGTTGAGAAAACTCATAAAATGGCTCGATATGATAAAGGAAGGAAATTCTATAGTTGGAGAAAGAGTATATTCCATGCTCAAGATTATTGATAATAATCTCACTCTTCAACAGTACAAATCATTTGAGAAGGAATGGATCGATTACGATATTATGGTGGATGATGATATTCAATTGATATCACTTGGTTCATGTCTGAATTCACATTTCAATCTGATTGAGGATAGTCACGAACAAATCGATTTCCTGCCAAGTTCCGATTTGGGCATGTCTACAATGAATGTAGAGAAAAATAACAGCAAGCAAAACCTTATCGTCATTGCATGCCAAAATGATCAAGAGGTTGAATCTATTGTTTATTCTTTGTATGCTGTTAAATCCATTCTACCACAAGTTGAAGAAGTACTCATGTGCAGACCAAATACAGACTTTGAAGATATTGAATTGGTTGTAAGAAGATGGTCAAAATCGGAACACAAAAAGCAAATATTTACATTGGCTAACATTCAACATTTGGACTATACTTTACAATGTAAAGTAGTGGACATGCTTAAAAATTATTTACAAACAAGTACAACATTAGCAACCTTAGCTATTGTTTCAAGTACTCAACAACAGAGAATTATCAATGCCTTCTCTAACTTTAGATTTGATGGGTCTCCACTTTCTTCTGAGGACTTGAAAGACTCTCTTCTTCAAATTGCCAAACCTGGAAAGTTTTCTTCAGGTGTTAATGTTTACACTAGCCCTATGGCAGGTTGTGGTAAAAGTCACACAATATTTGAACGTTCTCACATTGAGAAAAAGAAGCTAGTCTACATTTCTCTAAGAGAGTCAGTTAACATTACAGAATTAATTAATCAATTGAATGAGAAAACTAGGAATAGCCAACCTGTAACTTTGCACTTTAACATTGCTCCAAATGTGGATACCATTGTTAATTCAATACTTTTCGAATTGATTGTAATAGGTTCACTCAGAGATCACCAATGCAACGTTTACCACAGAAGGCCAATAGATTCTATTGCAATAGAAATACCAAACCAAGTTGGAAATAGAACTCTTGTACGTTCTGTTCCATTCTGTAAATATCTACCAAGAGTAGAATGTATTGTTTCGGCTCATACACTCTCCATCGAAAGGAAATACGAAATTGGTACTAATGGTAGTGTGATGGTCTCAAACAATAGAAAGCTAAAATATGTTTGCTCATTATTATTGGCTCATCAAAATGGCGTCTTTGTCAATAATAACGGAACCGATTTCGTTAACTTTACACCTAACATGGACAATATGAACAAGGAGGAATGTTTAACCATTCTCACAAGATATTGCAATGCTGGAGGTCAGATATCGTATGCTCTTATTAATAATTTCGTAGAGTTTACTTTTGAATTCTTTGAAAATATGATGGATTATGAGGTTTTAAGATTTTTACCATCTCTAGATCCTGGATTTGCAACTTTACCTCAATCTATTGTAGGAATGATTTTGGAAATGTCAAAAGACTTTGCTATTAGACAATTGGTGTTCAATTTTAATACTGACAATCCTTCTTTGGAGGAATATTCTAACAGATTCTCAAGTATTAGAAAGTGGGAAGAATCAAGTCACCCAGTCATTATTTTCACCAAAGAAACTTTCCAATGTAATGGTTTCAACGTCATTTCCTTGGATCAATCTTCAGTTAATAGATTCTTCCCAGAACATTTGAGAGCTCTCCTCCATGAACAAGGAATTAATATCAACTTTGACTTTAAGAAAACAGTAGAGGAAAAGGGTCAAAGAGCAGCAGAACTAGAAGGACTCAAATTCTTGCAAATGATATCTGGAAGTTTTTCTCTTGATGAAGAGATGGGTGAAATCATGAAAATAATGCTAATTTCAAAGCTAGATGAAACAGATTATGTTCTCACACAAGACAACTTGATGAAAATGATTGCCATTATTTACAGATTCAAATCCAATCTCCCTGTCATTTTACATGGTGAATCAGGTGGTGGAAAGACTTATTTGATTAGTCATTTATGCAAATTTTTAGATTATCAATTATATAGAATGACACTTCATGGTGGTAATACTGAACAGGATATTTTCAATTTTTTGAATAATATTGTTATTGAAGCCAATAGTCATGCTATGGCAACATATGTTGCGTTCATTGATGAGTGCAACACATGTTCAGCAATGGCAATTGTTAAGGAAGTTGTATGTGATGGACTTTTGAATGGTGTGAAAATACCTGAGAATGTGAAAATTGTTGCAGCTTTGAACCCATACAGATTGAAGAACGAGAAGGCAAAGCAATTGGAGCAATCTATTCAATCTCAAACAGGAATCATCTACAAGCATCCTTCATTTGCCAACATTCCTGATCCATTGGAAAATCTTGTTTATAGAGTTCATCCACTTCCAGATAGTTTTGTTGATCACTTGTATGATTTTGGTTCTCTTTCTGATGGTGTTGAAAGATTATATATTGGAAGTATGCTAAGACAATCTCTAAAGAAGTATTTGAAGGCAGACGAGAATGGAAAAATAACAAATGAAACTGTTCGCCAAGCTGTCAACTTCTTTGAAAGTCTTATTCATGCCTCTCAAGTTTTTATTAGACAAACAATGCACGAAGAAAGTTCTGTCAGTTTGAGAGATGTGAGAAGATGTATACAAGTATTTTATTGGTTAGTAGAAGAGTATCACAATCCTACTTCTGTCTTTAGAGATGTACTCAACTTGGATCACCATCACGGTAATGAAATATTCAATACTCACAACAAACACTTTAAAAACTATGTCATGTTGTCTCTTAGTTTTGCCTTTTACAGTAGATTGAACAGACAAGAGAGAAGTGGCTATTTGAGATACCTCTCAAAAGAATGTCCAACCATTGTTCCATCAGAATTTGAAAAATTACTCACCAAATATCAAACAAAACTTACAGAACAGATGAATATCAGTGAAGGTATTGCCCTCAACGAAGCCCTCACAGAAAACATCTTTGTCTTGTTCCTTGCTCTTGTTAATCACATTCCTCTTTTAATTCAAGGATATCCAGGAACATGTAAGAGTTTGGCAGTTGATTTAATCAGTAAATCTATGAGAGGTAAAGCATCTAACAACAAACAGTTGCAACACTTGCCAGATATTAACATATTTGCATTCCAATGCTCACCTTTATCAGAAGCTAAAAGTATAGCCCAAACATTTAGAGCAGCAAGACAATACGCAAAAGAAAGTTCTGGATCTTCTTCATTATCAGTAGTTCTTTTAGATGAAATAGGTTTGGCAGCTGACAGTCCAAAGTTACCTCTCAAGATTCTTCACCAAGAATTAGAAAATACTGCAGAAATCAGTGTAGTATCCATCAGTAACTATTCTCTAGATAGCTCCAAGATGAACAGAATGTGTGTACTTTACAGATCTACTCCCTCTGCAAAGGATCTCAAGGATACTGCTAAAGGTATCATGAGATTCCACAAAAGCTTTAAATTACAAAGTTATTTGGAACCTATTGCTACCAGCTATTTGGAACTTTACAAGAATCAAAGAATTAAGCAATTCTTTGGTTTACGTGACTTTTATAATTTGGTTAAATTCCTTTATAGAATTATCAATAACAAGATGACATACCACGGAAGACCTATTGAATTTGAAAAATCATTGGTCTTATCAGTTCTGAGAAATTTCGGAGGTATTCCAAGTGAAGACATGGATAATGTTCTTAAGATTTTTGAAAGAAACACAGGTATCAAATTTACAGAATATGAAAAGCCAAATAGTTGTAACCTTTTGAGGTTGAATTTGAAGGACAGTGCTGATGCAAGACATTTACTTGTGCTAACGAACAACAATTCAGCATTGAATCTGTTATTTGACTATGAAATACTTTCTCTTTCTAGTACTATTGTATTATTTGGAAGTGATTTTCCAGATGAAAAGAATGATAACTTTAGTCTTTCACTTCAATTACAAAAAATCAAACTGGCTATGTCAGAAGGAAACACAGTTGTCTTGGTTCATTGTGATTCACTCTATGAAAGTTTGTATGATTTGCTAAACCAGCACTATGTAGTTGTTGAAAATAAGAAATTCTCTAGACTTGCCTTTGGTAACTCATCTGTTACTTGTCCTGTACATGATAACTTTAGAATTATTATCATTGCTGAAGCTAGTGATGCTTACACCAAGTTGGCCATTCCATTCTTGAATAGAATGGAAAAGCATGTGATTCTAAGAGATGACATGATGAACGAAGACAATACCAATTTACATTCCCAATTATCTGCTTTTGTGGAAAAATTAATGGCTCAATTGAACGAAAAGGAGATTTCAAAGGTATTTATTGGATCTCACAAGGAAACTCTTAAAAGTTTGGTTCAATCCATCGAGCCAAAGGATAGTATGGTGGATGAAGAAATAACTGAACAGATGGATATTGCATTTGACAAACTTTTATGGAACATGACACCAGAAGCTGTCATTAAATCAAAGAATGAGAGAATAATGAAGCACTACTTTGAGGGACAAGAACATTCATCATTGCCAAGTTTCTTGAATAATGTTTTTACTGATATTCAAAAATGGCAAGACAAATTTGGTGGTATTCAAGCTATTGTTACAACCTTCTCCTCATTGCTTAGTGAAGTTGAACTTCTTATTAGAGATCATGTTACTGTTGTGAAAGAAAAGCAGGTTCACTTACAATTCCTAGAATTGCACGATATGAAGACTAGTAGTGATTTGAATACTGAATTGGATCACTTTTTCGCCTCTAACCACAAAGAGTCAATGCTTGTTCTTCTCTGTGATCCTGTAGCTGCTTCTACAAGAAGAATTCACTATGCTCAATATACATGTGAAAGTAAGAGAAATACATTCAATGCTGCTGGAACTGGTAACATTAGACACGTCATTTTCTTGGTAAATTTATCCAGAATTCCAACAGAAAGTTCCAAGTATTCATTCGATTTTGATAGACGTTGGAATTATGTATTCATTGATGACGTTTCTAACAGTGAACAACAACAAGGTTTCCCTGAATTGTTCGAACTTGTCAATACTCCTTTCTCAAATCTGATTAACAATACTCTTTCTGTTGAACAAATTATTTTGGAAAATTTACACAACTCCCTTTCCAGAATAGTTTATCCATTCCCGAGATCATCTTCTCAAATTCAATCACAACTTTCCATGCTAAGGAAGTGGCTCTCTCAATCCAGTAGATATTCAGCCAGATTCACCAAACTTATCAGAGAAAAGGTTATTGATATTGTCAAACACTCAATCAAGAATGACGAACAGTGGTACCTTCAAGTGATCAATAATGACAAGAATATTTTACAAATATGTGGTACTCTTCGTTCTGCAATTCATTACTTTATTTCAAGAATTGTTTTTATGGCCTTCTCATCAATCTTGAGTGTCATGGATAGATATAATAATTTACAATTATTGGATCAAGAAAATGATTCAGAAACCCCACAATTATGGTTAGATGTTTTTGAATATGATGTTCACAGTAAGCTCTTTGAAAGTGCTGCCTTTTCAATGAACCAATCAGGCTATGTTAATATTTTGCAAGGAACTTCAAAGCACTTTGATGCCAAATTCCCTTTCAGTTTCATTTTTGCTACAGTGGCAAACTCTTTCAGAGTGAATCACTTGGTAGATCAATTCTCCAGAGAAGATCTTGAAAAACACTTTGAATTCACCTTGCCAAGATTCGTCAAGTATCATGCTGATATTGGAGATGAATGTATTGTGGATGACGATATTGACATGAACGACGAAGGATCAGATAAGATTCTCCTTCCTAATGACTTAGTCTCTGGCTATATCAACGATTATCACTACTTGTTTGGATCAAAGAATTGCAATATGCTTCCAAGTGAGAATGATCAACTTGTTCTCATCCATGAACTGATTTCAAAGGACAGATTACCTGACCAGTACTATTCCTTGTTAGATTCTCAAATTTCATATTGGAACAATGAAAAGAGAGTGAAAATTTACTTCCAAGTATTTGACTCTCTGAAAGATAAGAATGTACTCGAAAAATTCTTAAACTCCATCCCATCATGTAGAACCATTGCAGAAATGGACATGCTTCTTTGTGAATTAGTAATTGTTCACTTCAATCCAGAATATCACATTACCTTAGAAAGTGATCCTGTAGAAAACAATACTTGGGTAAGAAATGTTAGAAACATGACGGCAAGTATGACACGTCTCTTAGATTTGCTCAAGGATCCACTCATGTCGGCTGAAGTCAATGTCGACGTTGCAGAGAAATGCTCAAGCTTATCTCATCAATGGAAATGCATCAAATTCTTTGCTCACTTCCTCAAAGATCTTGTCATTAGTACTGAAAATTTGATTGACTCTGATATTACAAAGAAGTACTGGGAAAAACTAAATGGTTCAGGAACAAGCCACTTTTACCAACCAAATGCTCTTGTGGAGTTCCTTCAAACATTGACAGACATTAACAAGAAGTGTACTAGAGAGGAATCGTCTGAAGATTTTGAATGTTTCATTTGTCTTTCTGTTCCTGATCCTGATAGCATTAGAACAACAGTTTGCTGCAAGAGATATATCTGTTATGATTGTGCTGATGAATTTTGTCAATATCAAAAGAAATCAAAGCAATGCGGATGGTGTCAAAAAGAACTCGACAATGATGAAACTGTGGATACCTATACTATTCCTTGTTCTAATATTTTGAAGGAAGTTGAAGATATTTCACAAAAGGAAACTCTCTTTATTGAAAAATCCACCAAGCTCATTGAAACCTTCATTACCATGTTTTGTGTTGAAAGAGGAATTTCAGATATGCTCATTAGAGACATTATTAGTTATATTTGTGAAAACAAAAAGTTCCTTTCCGAACACAAACTCCTCAAGTTTATTCTCTCAGATTCAATGAAGAGTTCCATTATTCGAGCACTCTTCTCTTTAAAGAGAAAGGACCCTAATCAATTCGATCATGTAGCTGCTTACTTTGAAGAGAACTTGAAGGTCCTCCATACTCAATCTAAAAATGTCGACTTCCCAATTGCTGTTTCGATAAATCAAATCTTGGAGGATGAAGCAGAGTTTTACTCACAAGACGAAGAAGGAAAGATTAATTTGGAATATATTTTACAAACCTTGTCAAGAAATGGTTTCAGCTTGGCTTTGGGTAATGATTTCGTTGGTTTCCTCAACAATACCAGTATTGCAAAAGTGGCTGTCAAGTACTTTGTGAAATTACTCCTCAACAACAAGTTATTCGATCAAAAATCTGCTAAAAAGCTTGTTGACTCTGTGGGTAATCTATTCACACAAAGTGAAAACTTGATGCTCTACTTTTTGAGAGAATTGACCTCTGTTGTTGGTCTATCTGAAACTAGAGATATTATCAATAATAGCCAGCTACTTGGAAGTATCAAGTTTATTCAACAATGGAAAGAGAAGGAAGACGTTGCTTCATTCCTCAAAGATTCTGTTTTATCATTGTCAAATCCATTCCTCAATCTTCCTTTGTACGAACAAATTTCCAAATCTATTTCTGAGATTAGACTCTCAAACACCGATACTCTATTCACAAAACTCTACACATTCCATAGAGAACGTAATTCATTGCATCTCTTCTTAGCTGGAGTGCTTGTCGTAGTTTTGGAAGAAGTTACGCTTTCAAACAAGATGGGAACTAGAAAATTTGAAAATCTCAAAACTTGGGTAGATAGAAATCAACAATATTTCCAATTATTAGGTGGAATTTCAATTCATCCACTTCTCTCCCAATTGATTACTAATAAGGTATCTAACTTTGCAAATATTAATCCAGAAACACTGATGACACAAATTCAACAATTGAGATGTATCATTCATTTAATGTTCATGATATTCACCAATTCACAATCACTGGGGTTCTTCAGTGCATGCTTGTTGAGCCCTCAGAATTTGTTGAATAACATGTTCCCAACCATGAACGATGATGTCATGTCAGGATTGAGTAGTATCACCAATGGTAGAATTTATCAATGTCCATCTGGTCACTTGTACATTATCACAGAATGTGGAAGAGCTGCAACAACAGGACGCTGTCCAGAATGTGGACAAGAGATTGGAGGATCCAACCATAACCTACTCAATACAAATAGAGAATACTTTGCCAATGACCAATCAGCTCCAACTAATCTCTGTCGTAGAAATGCTACAGAAGAAAGTGGACCAGCAGATGTGTACTTGAGCCAGAGAAGTCTCTCACCAATTGAGGTTAGATTTATCAGATTAGTTATGAGTGGATTATTGTTTGCATCCAGCTCATTCCTTGGTAAGGATTGTGCAATGATTATCAACACTAGATATGCCAATCCAAGAGATGTTTCTTCCTTCTTCTTTGAACACTTTATCAATGATTGGAATATACTCTCTAGACTGTTATCAAAGAATGACGAACAAGTAAGCATTATCGTTCACAATCTCATTACGAGAATGACTTTATCAAATGTGGTGTTGGATAATCAATTGATGGTCAAGACATCTCGAGAAAATTTTGAAAGATTGTTGAGTGAAACCATCTTGCAAGGTGCTCTCAAGAGTGATAAAATTATGCAAGAAGTGGAAAACATGATTAGAAATCACCAAACTTCAGTAGAAGGAAGAAATAATCACAAGAATGAAAAGCTTTCACATGCCATTCAGTTTACAGAAATTGCAGACAGGGATGTAGTGAAACTTCAACCTTCTCTGTTTATGAAATTGGAAAATATCACTTTTGATCACTTTTCAAATACATTCAAACAATCCAAGAATGATTATCCAATTCTAAGCACAGTCATTGAGGAAATTGTATCACTACAAGCCCTTCAATATTTACCAGATATTTTCAAAATGTACGTTGAAGTTTGCAAGAGATGTGACAAGAAATTGAGAAAAGAGCAAACTATAGAACAAAATATTGGACAATTCATTAATGATATTCAAGATCCTATCGAGAGAGAAAATCTTGCTATTCACTTTGATGGTTTTGCTAGAGCATGGAATATGGTTTTCAAATATGTGGAAATGTATGAATGTTTGGTTATTCCTGAACAAATGAAAACTATTAGAATGGGACTGGATAAACCATTAGTATTCATTCTTCCACACGAGAAGGATGAATCCATTTTTGGAATTGCATTAACCCACTATCTCATTGGTATTCATAACAAGTTTGTTAAACTTACCAATAGTGCAGAAACAGATGTGAGAGTTATTTCTAGCTCTGATTTGGATACTTCTCTAGCATTCAAGTTTAGTTTGAAAGAAGATTTAATGCCTTTCGTGAGAGATCACTGTAGAAGACCTATTTCATTTAAATCCACAGACTCGATCAAGTATGACTTTGAGTTTATTCAACAACACGTTGTGGATCATTTCTTATCCGGCAAACCACTTGTAGAAATCAAGATCAAGATGATTGAACTAATGGGAGAATTGAGAGCTTCTGGTGCAAAGGAAAGATTTACCAACCTCAAGAAGACCAACAAGAATTCCAAGAAGGAAGGATCTGACAAGTTCACTGACGAGGAAAGAATTACTATTTTGAATGAACTTGGAGGAATTAATGGAAGATCAGATCGGTGTGTCAAATGTTTTAGAATGGTAGAAATGGCTATCCATTTCATTCAAGCCAATACTGTCTCTGTTAGCTCTCTTTCTTCAAACATTTTAGAAAAACCACTTGTTCAATATTTGGAAAAAGATTTGATGATGACAGGAGCCAGACAACTCTTCGGTGCTTCATTGTCCTCCATGATACGTATCAAACATTTGGATAATTTATGGGAATTATTGGAATCACATCTCACTGTTGATTCATTCTCTTCAGTTCATGCAAATTACAGAAAGGAATTGAGCAAAGATTTGGAACAAATCCTCCTCACAAAGGTTGCTCCTAAAATTGATCTTAAAGTTTTCTTGTCAGCCCTTAAAGAAGCAATTCAAACTCACTTGACAGAACCGTACTCGGACATGAACCAAGATTTAAAACAATGGCTTTCCTATTTACCTATTCCAGATAATTTTGTTCAAGGTACTGGTGAGCATGCCAATTCTGAATTGGAAACAATTTCTGACTTTACATGGTTTAAACATGTTCCAGATAATTTGTTTACCTTGGCAATGGCTTTGGAGGTTTTCAAAACATTGGAGACTTTGGTAAAACAATAAACTTGTTTTAAATTCAAAGATATGATTTATTCAAAGTTTACTAAACGAGTTTATAATACTTGACTTCTGACATCATTACTTCAAAAATTTCTCTTGCAATGAGGTTACTAGTTGAAGTGTAAGTGAAAATCCAAACACGAGCATTTCGTTCTACCAAGTAACATACTTTCTTCAATGTATGTCCAGAGTAGGTTGTTGAGGCTAGCTCTACAATTTTTGCCTTCAGAGTTGGGACTTCACCCTCTGTTGAATCCACTTCAGAGTTTGATTGTTGAGAGTAGAGTGAAACTTCATAATCTACATTCTTTACAGAAACAATTGTGCACGTCTTGAGAACTTGCTCCTTGAAAGTGGTGGAGTAAAATTGTTCAAGCAAGCTTCCACTATTTTCCATTGACACTCCTGTGAAGTTTGAAGCTTGTGCTCCATAATCTTCTATTCTATTCTTGTAGGTAGTATTTCCAAAATTTACATAGGTCACAAAAACATTTTCCAATGTTTCTCTAGATCTTGTTTGGTTTGGATTCTTGTTGGCAAGATATTGAATAGGATGATAGAGAATGAGTTTGTAATCCTGAGATCTCTTTCCAAAATCACCAACGCCAAAGTGTCGCACCATTTCATCCTCTCCAGAACAAGCATCTGCCTCTATTCTAAGTGATGGAATAAAGCACATTGGTACAGACAATACAATACCATCCCCGTCCAAATTTGAGGTCTTTCTCTTGAGATCAGAAATGGATTTGACTGTGAAAAATTCCTTTACAAGAATGTCAATCCAAGCAGCACCATCAATTGGTGGAATATTGTTATTACTATACACGAGATTACTACTGAATATTTCTGCTGCATCCTCATCTTCGAACATGGAACCTCCAATACTTGAAAATGCAGCTGAGAGTCTCTTTTTCATCTTTTTAGAATTGTTTTGTGCAATGGTGTTTGAATTTTTTCTCTTGGAAATGATATCATTATTAGGAGAGGTACAATCTGCTGTTTTATCAACAGAATCCACAAGACCTGAAGTATTAGATGAAGAACGGCTGAGATTTCCACTATTTCTATTGGATGATGGAGGACTCACTGTTAATTTGGAAATGTCATCATGATTAGTTGATGTTGGAGGTGTACCATTTCCATTATTGAATAATTCCTGTTGAATATTAATCGAAGGAATCAACAAGCCCTTTGTTGGTACAGTTAAATTCAATGAATATCCCAGAATATTCTCAGATTCCCTCCTTGTTGTTGTTAGCATTAAACAATACAATAATCCATTAGAATCTTGAATAAAGTAAATCTTCTTGTACAATAATTTCTGTGGTAACAATTCATGGTGAAATTGAATAATAAAGTAGAGAGCCTTCTTCTCTGGTTGAATATGTTTATCCACCACATGAGTAATTCCCTTCACTAATTTTGGTTCGAGCATTGTTGAATGACTACTAGAGGATGACGATGAAGGAGATGATGGAGAAGGTGAAGCAGCAACAACAGAAACTTGTCTCATCATACTCGATGAAGGTGTTCTATGTAAATTATTATTACCACCCGAAGAAGAACAAGAATTTGATGAATCATAATTCCTCGACAATTCTTGAATATCTTCAATGGCCAACTGGGCCTCCTTCTCAATACTATGTGGTGAGAAGGTTACATAAATCTCCAGGAAATCCTTCTCAAAGTTTCTATCATAGCTGGAGAAGAAGATTTTTTGTTGAATATTGTTATTTGTGTTGCTCGTTGTTGTTGTGGCGCCATTTTGTTGTTGAGAATTTACTTGGGTCGTAGATAATTGGTTATTATTGGCGGGAGAATTTGTTAAAGAATTTGTGTTCACTGGTGTTGGAGGTTGAAGGCTTGCTGATGATGGTGAAGAAGATGATGACGATGATGATGATGATGGTGGAGATTGGCTTATATTAATATTATTATTATTATTACTATTATTTACATTATTTAATTGTTGTTGTTGTGGGGAATAATTAGAAATATTATTGCTATTACTACTTCCATATTGAAGTAATTGTACTTTCCAATCGTGAGGTAAATAGACAGAGTAGTATAATTCGGTAATTAATTGGAGAGATTCCACTGATTGGAGTTGAATAGGAATGATCGTATGATCTGATGATGACGAGGAAATCATTGATGATGTATGATGATGAAAAGTACTTCCACCACTACTCGAATATTGATGATGAACAAAAGTACCACTACTTCCATTACTAGTAGATGGTTGATGATGGTAATTAATATTATTATTATTTGAAGAGGATGATGAGGTACCAATCATGAGTGGTGAATTACTTCTCGAGGTATTGAGTGGATCGCCACTTCTTGGAGTTTCGGCTACTTGATTCGAATTTGTCATGGTGGTAACAGCTACTTGATTGGTGCCTGTGAGGAAATTCATTCGACCACGACTGAATTTTCTGCCACTATTTGATGGTGATGATGAATTACTGTTACTACCTCCATTATTCGAAACATTGCTTGGGTAGTGCATGGATACGGATGATTTGCTGTCTTCATCTCGAGATCCTGAAGAAACGTTTCCCATGAGTTGTTTGTGATGAGTTGATAATAGGAAAGATGGCAAGGGAAACGATGCTTTCTGTTGCCAGTTTAGAGAAGCTTTTTTTTGCTGTTGTCACATAATTGGAGATTGATGACAGATAGCATGGAATTGGCATACATGACAGTACGTTAACAAATAAGGTGGACAAGAGAACCTTTAGTTTTTAATTATGCATAGCACTCAACCAAGATTTTTCACATTATAATTTTGTCTAAAACGAGAAGACTCTAGTTGATTGTAAGCAGATTGGTTTTTTCATCTGAAAGAATGAATCAAAGAATGAATTGATAGTCTTCTTTTGGTTTAGAAAAGGTCATTAATGAACTTCGAAATGTTTTAATGAATTGTAATGGCAACATTAGGTTCGTTTAGTTTAAAATGAAAAGAACCATGCATCAAATAAGATCACGTTATGAAGTCACATACAGTTGTTGCTCAAAATATTTTGAATCACGTTCTGAAAAACTCCAGTAAATAAATTCTATTATTTCTATATCCAAAAGGAATAATTTTTTAGATATTTAATATTATTGACATGTACATTGATTATGGATTTATAGAATCGTTTCACAATTGTGTATTACGCATAATAGTATTTAATAGTATTATGAAATTCCTAATATTAAAAAATTATTAAAATAAAAAATGTCGCAAGATGAAGAACAAATTCCTTGTCCTTTAGATTTCTCTTTCAAATCATCACTACTCATTCAAAAATTCGAAACGGAACATTGTAAACAACTCAGAGAATTAACCTTGGTTGTGATCGGAGCCTTTAGGAAACAATCAGATAATATGAGCAACAATTTTACAAAGTTTATGGTTGCATGTTTGGATAAATCAAGTGGAAAGTACTTTTCTGTTTGTATGGTCGGAACTGGATTCACTCAAGAATTAAGAGAGGACCTTTCGAGTAGATTATCTCAATTGATTATTCCAGAACCATTGGAAAATTATGTTTTCAATAAGGATCAAATGGCAGAGGTATGGTTTCGACCAGTTACAATATTTGAAATTCAAGTGGCTGATATTTGTCTATCTGGTATTCATAAGGCCGGTTTTGGAGTGTTTAAGGAGGGAAGTGGTTTAGGATTGAGATTTCCAAGATTTGTTAAGGAAAGAAAATTTATGAAGCCAGAGGATATTACTACTGTGGATGAATTAATTAAATTGTACAAAATAATGAATAATTATTATTAATTATTATTAATTATTTATATATAGTATTAATAATTATAAAATTAATTTGGTGAGTTTACAAAGGGAAATTATCCTTTTTATTAAGGTGATTTTCAAATTTTGGATTGACCTTCTGTTAGTTTTTAATAATGCATAGCATCTTTTCACATTAGTTGTGTCTAAAAAGAGAAAACGCTTGCTGAATGTTTAGTTGATTGTAAAGCATTGGAGAAAATGAATTGGCAGAAAAGTACACAAATGAACCTCAACTTGTTAATGAATTGTAATGGCAACATTTCACGTTTCCTTTACAATGAAAAGAACCAATCATCAAATAAGATCACGTTATGAAGTCACATCTCGTTGTTGCTCAAAATATTTTGAATCACGTTCTGAAAACTATTTATTGAAAGCTCTCCAATCCCAAACAACCAACTCATCAAAAAAACAAAACAATTCAAAATACTTACAAAAATTGAAACTCAATTGCAAGATGAAGAATTTAGCAACACCTATGGTTGAACCATGTTATTTCTTTTTCAATGGAGGTTGTTATAGACCTTGCGGTCATTCTCACTGTCCACCTCAACACGAATTGGCAATTTGGAAACAAATTTGGGCTAAAAGAAACTCAAAGAAACAAAAATACCAAACCGGTGTTTCCAATGAAGAAATGGAATATTTCAAGAAGAAGATGAGAGAGTATTTGGAACAACAAGAAGAAATGAATATGAAAATCAGAATGCAATCCAGAGAAATTGAAAGACAACACGATACTATCAATGCCATGAAATGTCAAAGATCATCATTGATTGCTGCTCAATCACCAGTAACTGTTAATAATAATTATGTAAATGTTGTGAATGTTCCAGAAAATGGTAATTTCAGAATTAGAACCACTCATACCAGATATTTGCAATAGATAGACAAGAAATTTCCAAATATGTAAATTGAAAAAAATGTAAAAAAACAAAAAAATGTAAAAACAAACAAAATTAATAAAAATAATTTCAAAAAATTTCTTTATTCAACTTTTTCACAAACATTAAAAACTCTTCACACTATTCTCTTCTATTTTTCTATTATTATTTAAAAAGGATTTCTTTGATTGAAAATTTGTGGTTGATAATTCAAATGATATGGATAGTATTGAGTTGGATGTTGTCCGTAATAGAGAGTTCTCTGTCTAATTGGAATGTGATGATTATTGGCAGGAATATGTGGCATGTAAAAGACAGGAGCTGCTTCAGTATTATCAGCTGCATGCAAACTTCTAACTTGTGGTTGACCAGTTTGTTGTTGAGGAGGAGCTCCTTGTTGTTGTTGTTGACCTTGGGCAGGAGCTTGTTGTGGAGGAGGACCCATTGGTTGACCACCTTGTTGTGGTTGACCACCTTGTTGTTGCTGTTGTTGTTGTTGAGGAACAGGTAATGGTTGTTCTTGACCTCCACTAATACAGAAAACTTCACTCTTAGCCAAACATCTAACATTAAAAGGTCCAACAAAGACTGGATTCACACAAATAAAATAGGAACATCCCGGAGTTGTTTGTAAAGCTCCGCCCCACATGATAATGAATGGAATTTTACCACTTCTTGGTGGAGCTGCAGCTTGTTGATTGACATTAATTAATCTGACATCATCTACAACATATTCTCTGTTTTGATCTCTGATTTGGAATACACTGACTGAGAATTGATCGAAATTGAAATTTTCAGAGAATTCCAAGAATTGAGTTGTGTTGAATTGCCATTGAGCATTAGCAACTGGTTGACTAATGTTGAAACTACCAGATGATAATGAAAACATGCCTGATTTGGCAAAACAGACACCTTCATCAGCTTGATTAGTTTGGTTATTACTCTTTGGATCAACTCCTGCTTCATTCGAAACTAACTCTGCACACAAGTAATACATGTTACCATATTTGACATCTGGCATTGTTGGAACCAGATATGATAACTCACCAAATGGCTTACTCTTATCAAGAATATATGAATTCTTTGAGTTTTCTACTTGAGTATCAGCTTGTTGACCACCATTCTTCCACAAACTAATGGAAATTGAAATTGAACCCTGAGCACCATTTTCAACACCATTTCCAAAGAATTGACTATATACAACTGAGTAGTTTTGGCCAGTGAACCATTTGGTATATTGTTGTGGATAATCCAATGTCAAGTAAGGTCTTCTTGGAGCTCCACCAGAGTTGACCAAATCTGGATTGTAAGAACAATAGAAACCACCAACTGCATAACAATCAGTAGAGTGAGTAATTGAGGTATTAGTAGGATTGAGACATGCATAATAGGAACAGCTTTGAGTTGCATTCACTGGAATGACCCAAGGGACGTAACCAGAAGCTCCTGGAATGTTAACTTCACTTGTCATGACTAATTCATCAGCTTGATCTTGTCTTTGTCTGTACAGTGTGAGTGTTGCATTTTGTCCACTCAAGACTCCACCACCAATGTAGAGTAAGGGAAGGACACGACCTGTCGGAAGAACTGCGGTGTTATCCGGGATAATTACATACAAGGCAGTGGTGGTGAGGGAAATTGCCAATATATAGAAAAGTGCAAGTAGCAAAATTGAATAGCTATACTTCATTCGATTGTTGTTCATTTTTTTTTGAGTTGATAAAGTTTTTGAATTTTATGGAAAATTTATTGTAAAGTGAAAGATGCCTAATATGGTAATTGGAATTTTGAGGAATTGGTAATGGATGGATAAAATGCATGTTATTTCCTTCTTCCTTTTTCAATTTATGCAATCTTTACATTCGGATACTTTACAAAATTGTTCAGTCGTTGTAACTTTCTAATATAACTTTCCAATAAATAATAATTAACTAATTAATACTAAAATTTTCAAACATTGTTAGTATTGAAAAATGAAAATTATTCATTGTCACTTAAACTTTCTCTGTTCTATCAAGTTCCATCGAAATTCTATTAGAAACATTTAGTCAATCAGAAAAAAATGAATGGATTTTATAACTGCATACGAGAAACTTTAAAAGCAGCTTTCTCATTAATAGATCTATCACAATCTTCATCAAATATCCATCCCGAAGTTGAAATTGGGTAAGTCACTTGTCAATTAATTTAACAAACAAGTGAAAGAACAAACAGAGAGTTTTTAATGAATCCAATAATTATTTGTTATCGAAAATGGTATCACGAATGTTTAATTGAAGGATCTTGCAATTCCATTCGTATTAGTTTTCGTATAAATGGTGACGATGAAATTTCCCGAATTCTTATTCGAAAGTTTATGAGAATAGTCCACAATAGAGCCGAATCTTTAGAAATTCTCAGAAGAAAACCCATCTCTGGGTATGATATCACCTTCCTCCTCACTCTTTCCCATTTACAACAAATGAATCATGAGCTATTAATTGATTCCATTTTGAATTTTATAAAAACCTCAACAGAGCTACTTGTCAATCAACCATTTTCATATGACAGTTTTCCAATATTTGTAAAGATGAGAGGAAGACTCTTGGCAAGGAAAGAGATTTTTGCAGGCACTTGCATTTTGACTGACAGGAAATAAATTTTTAAGAATTTACAATTTTGGACAATACAAACATGTTTGATTGGATTACAATGTTTATTGTTAATGGAAAGACACATTAAAATTGTTTAAAATATCTACTATCGTTTCATCATGTGATTGATAAGTTTCGTACAAAGTCAGTATCCATTTAGAAACCATTTATAAAACCATTGATGAACTAATTTCAATATGCCAAGTCACAACCTCTTATATCATGTTGTTGATTAATTTGTGCGCGAACATGATCGATTAATAAAACTGAAAATCTATCACAACATCCTGATGAATAGTGAAAGCAACCAAAATTAGTCCTCTTAACTGGATATAGTCATACCATTGCCATCTATCTAATAAACTTTCGAATTGTTTAGTTGTAACGTTCTTAGTGCCTATTCCTGTAATTTTGCCGTAAGAAAGATATCATTAGGTATTACAAACAAATCAAAAAAAACCACAAATATCTCTCGATAGAATGATAACAACAACAACGAATGAATCGACACTTGAGTGCAGTGTTGCAGAAATGAGCTGTTGTTGTTGGGAATGCACTAGTGAATGTTTTAATATTGCAAAGGGATCATTTTCGAATAGTTCAATAATAGACGAAACTAAACAATCTGAAACTGTAATTCTTGATGAAAATTATTTGGATAAACTGATTGATCTGGAATTGAGGAATGTTCCATCTTCATTGGGATTGGTGTGGAGTAAATTATCTTGCACATCAAATCCTAATGAATTTCTCTTCAAAACTAATCCAAACACAGTTTCGTCGTCTTCTCAAAAGTGTTATCATTTCTCTAGCAGTGAAGCTTCTAGTCATACAATATCTAATACCTGTCAACCAGTTTCGAATATCCATCAAGCAGAAAGCGCAACTAAACTGTCAAAGAAAAAGAAACCAAAAAAGGATAACAACAAGCCAAACTATAGAGTTAGGTTTTCGTATAACAAATTCGAAGAAATTGAATTTAGAAAATCAAATCCTAAAAAAAAGTTTATCATTTTCAAAGAATAAAATCCAAAATCGATAATATTCGAATTTAGGATTTAGTTTCTTTTCCTATTCGAAGCCAGAATAATTTGTCTTATAACAGTTGGACCATACCTATCGAACCATCTCTTCCTCAACCAGCTCACCACCACAAACGAAACTGAATTAATAGAAAATGGAAGAAAGCAAGCCCACAGAAAAACATCCAAAATTATTCTCGAATAAATTACATTAGGATTGAAAACAAATCTCCAATAAGTTACAATAATCAAATAAAACATCAAGTGATAGCCATTCCAAAATCGAGAACTTGTTGTAAAATTCAATTTCTCATCAATAAATTCTCTAATATTCAAAATGAGAACAAACCACATGAAGAAAATTGGGACGAAATGGACGAAAACATATCCGAAAGACCAAGTGGCCAATCCATAATACAAGTAAGCAAAATTTGCCACAATTGTCAAACCCTGAGCTGGAAAGAAAAAGTAAAACCATGAAATTCTTCTCAACCATCTGAATTTTTTCACAGTCGTTGTAAACACAACAAGTGAACACAAACAATAACTCCAAAAACACATCCACACCCAATAGCCCTCCATATTCGTGTAGGGAATGTAGATTAGGATCATCATGACAGTTACTAGATAGTGAGCGACCTCAATTATTTTCCTTGTTAAATTCTTGTCGTCTTCCTTTCGAAAAACTCTATTCGAAATGTCGACAAATCTCTTATCCAATTTAATTAATTTAAGATGGTCTGTATTTTCTTCAGAAATGGCAACATCTTGATTCTCCTCTTTCAATGCTTGATTCAAATGTTCCTCTAAATTAATAAGAAACAAGTAATTTACCAATGGACGAATCAAAACTAAATGAACCATCACTGCAAACGAAACAAAAAAGAAACAAGCAATCACTGCATTACTTCCAGATTCATTTGAAAAACTCTCTCTCATACACGTCCATATAAACTCTGGAATTTTAGCTAAAATTTCCCAAATCGAATAATTTTCCACTAAATAAACTAAATGTTCAAGCAGTGACGAAAGTTCCGATTCATGTTTATAGTTATTTGTAAAAATTTGCTTTTCCGTATCATCATGATGATGAAAAACCTGATAAATTTGCTCATGTAGAAAATTCGTTACATTCCTCATCAATTGTTCACCATCAAAGAATCCAATAAAACCCTCTGAGTGGATGATATCCGAATATTCACTTGCCATTTTTTTTTTGATTGGCATGATGTGAATTGGATTACAATGATGTTTAATTGAAAGTCCTTAATGACTATCAAAAATATAAATTTAAGTATGTGTTATGATTGGCCAAAAACTACAAAAATCAAGTGCTCCAATTTGGTAATATATTGTGGGATGGAAAAGGTATTTGTAATGCTCAGCGGATAGTCCTACAATTTAGGAAGAGCAGGACAAGAATATGTTCACAAAGACTTTACAGTTGAGCCTTAATTCAGAGTGATGTTGTAAAACGACTACCTCTTTATTGAGTCAACTTTTGCTTTTTGAGTGGCCCTTCAGTTGTCGTTGTTGAGCTTTCTTGTTCTTGCTTTATAATAGGTTGTAAAGGTGGCATTGCAAAAGGAGGTGGTAAAGGTTTTCCGAGTGGCATTCCACCCATTGGATTAAGATAGGGATTATTCATTGAAGGTGGCGGGAATGGTGAATTTTGGAGAAGTTGAGTAGGATTTGGCAAGAGTGGCATTCCACCAGGAATATTAGAGCTGAGTGGTGGAAGTTGTGGAAGAGATGAACCTGGTTGGAAGTGAACTGCCATATCTTCAAGATTGGTTAATCCTGGTTTTTGTGGTGTTGTAATAAGTCCAGTTTGATTTGGTAAGAGGAGAGAGCTCGTGGAAGGGGTAAGATTTACAACTGGTGGCTGTGGAATTGTATCACTTGGAGTCAGTGATGGCATTGGCCATGTATTTGGTGTGGCTTGTTTCTCCTTCTTCTTTGGTTCTGGTTTCTTGGTTGTTGATGATTTAATCTTTTTAAGAAATACATCTGGTTTGGAAAAGACAGCAAATTGGGATGAAATCTTACTCATTACGAGTTTGTAAGAATTACTTGCCATATCCTTTCTGAAAATACTAATATAAAAACAAAACTTTCCTCTCCAGCTAAGAGCCTTTTTCTCGGTTGGCCAAAAGAGTTCAACAACCCAATTTCTTGTTGTAGGATCCTCAGTAAAACTGTATGTAATAACAGGTGTGCATTCAAGTCCAGTCGCAAATTCTTTAAATTCCTCCTCTTGTCCATTATTACCTGAAGCGCAGAGGGTGAAATGAGTCGGATCCACACTATTGATAATATCATCGAATGGTGTGAAAGGAATGCTACTATCTAAAAGTCCAGCACTATCAATCATGGTACCAGGCGAATCTGCCCCATTATTAGAGCTAGCATTGTTGTTGTTTGGAGGGAATAGAGATGGATCAATATTGGCATTGGTTTCTTTGGCTGATTTTTTCTTCTTTGGTGATAGCTCAATATTTTTTGGTTTGTTTGACTTTTTGTCTGTTGTGGTTGTGTTTTCCTTTGGACTAATAGGTGGAATTGTTGGGAAGGGTTGTGCCACCCTGACCTTAGTGGGCGAAGCAGAGCTCTCCTGACTGTTGGAGCTTTCACTCTTTTGTTGTTGTAATTGCTTGTAGGATTTGAATACTTTTGGCATGGCAACTGGTGGATCTTCACGTTTTGGTGGTGCAACACTGATACTCAAAAGGTTTTCAGCAGCAGTGGCCTCCGAGCATTCTGAATCATTGGATTCTTCACTTTCATCGGCTGCTGGTTCTATTGTGAGAATTGGAACTGTTGATGATGATGAAGGAGGAGGTGGCAGCAATGTCCCCTGATTATTAGTGGCTCCATTAGCAAGAGAGTAAGGTGACATAAATGGACCATTGAGTGGTATTGTTGATGGCAGTGGCGTGATTTTTCGTTTTCTCATCTGTGTTAAATTCTTCAATAATTTCAATTCCACAAAATATCTACTGTGTGGTGTATTTCCTTTCAATTCAAAGAACTTTTCATTCGGTTCGAGTCGGAACTGTATCATGATGAGAATTGTTTTGATGATGGGCACAACCAAATGGTGATGATGGTTGAAATAAAAATTTTCGCAACCATGATATGATGATGAAGATTGTCATGTTGGTGGTTGCAAGTATTATTAGGACACAATTAGAAAAAGGTCAAAATTATATCATCAACTATTAACAACAACACATACTTCATAGTGGTGAGTTCTAAAGAGAATGTCCTTTGGAGATTCCTCTTGATTTTTGATTTTTCTAGAGGTCACTAGAACATTTACATCGGCATCTCTGTTGGATGTATCGACAAAGACAGCACTAGAATGTTGTAAATATAACAAATTGGTAAATAAATTGAATGTTTTTGCAACATACCTGTCGATTTGGTTCATCCATTTCAGTTCAATTTTGTGAAAATTCTTCTTGGAAGAGTTCTTGGATTCATTCATGATATCAATTAATCGGCTCTGTATTACTAAAAGAATGATATGATGGTGATGATGTAATCAAGTCGGTATGGCATCAAAGACGAGATCGTGTTGATAATTATATTATTATTAGATCCACATAAGAGTCATCATCATCAAATAATATTCATAGTACAAGCACAAGAATCATATTAATTTTAGAACAACAACAATGTAAGCTCTTATCAGAGTTCATATCAAACACTTACCAAAATATCTAACAATGATGATAATAATAATATTCCTTTTCTTTCAAATCGTAACAACAACTTGTTCTTATTGTATTGATGATGATAAATATCCAATACAAAAAATCCGAAATTGTATTTTCTTCTTGTTGTCGTTGCAAAGCAGAGTTGTGCGGTTCTTGCTTGTTGTGATGTGGTGTTTGAAGCTTTTAAAAAAAATTCAAGCCGCAACTTTAATTCTTTTTATTGGTTGAATTTTTTCTTGGCTTGGTTACAACGGTGATGAGTTCCTTTTTGCTTGTCATGGTGGCAAGTTCCCGCAAGCAATGAAGAAAGAATCTTTTTGCCGCCAAGAAGGAAAAAATGAAATAGGAAAATACGCAAACATTCTTATGTGAGGTGGTTAGATAATTGGGCTTTTGCTACTTGACTAAGCAATAAATTGGATATCGGAAGATATGGATAATGTACAATTTGATATTTAAATTGATGAATAATATCGAAAGTAATTGATGATGATGATTTATTTCTTGCAATTAGCTTGTTCAATTACGTGGGTCAAATTGAAGAGGGCAGAGAACTCAGTGATGAGCAAATTTTCATCAAATTGGAACCAATTGATAACACGATACTTTACGTGGCAACCTTTCTTGTTGAATTGAGAAATGTTCTTTGAGAAACCAGCATATAAATTATTGACTTCAATCTTACTTGTAATATCCTCTGTGATGTTGACTAAAGTATCAAAGAAGCTTGCAAAGTTGTCAATGATTTGTTTCTTACCCTTCACATTATTGGATCCTATTGGAATATTGACCTGTGAATCGATGGCAAACAAACTATCCAATAGTGGAATGTCTCTTTCAACTTGTCCTTTCTGGAAGAGATGAACTCGCTTGATAATTTCCTCATCTCTTGTGGATTTAACACTTTGTTTGTTGGAGTTATCAATGTGAATCAATTTGGAACTCTCTTTGGCAATATCATAATTGGAACCAATACTTTGTTTAAAATTGAAAAAGTTGCTTGGATCATACTTTCTCTTGATTTCCAATAATCTATTGTAGAAATCTCCATAATATTCACTCTTCCAATTTGGTAACTTGTCATCAATATAGTTAACGTAAGCACCATCGAAATTGTACTTGACTTTGGAGTAAAATTCTTCAATCCATTTAGAATTTGTTGTATGTTCTTCCTTCCTATCAAAAATTGCCTTAAACTCAAAGGTAAATTCAGCATTTCTTCTATAGAATGCAGTGGACTCGAGAGGAATTTCACGAACTCTGCCACCAACATGAGAAAAGATAACCATAGAATGCTTTGATGGTCTATTCTTGACATATTTGTAAATGGTTGCAACAAAGTCACCATTGAAATTTCCCAAATTAACCAGGCCAGACTTGACAATACCATATCTATTCTTAATATCAGTAGTGCCAGATGAGAAGGTTTTCATAAATTCTGGGAATGTTTGCTTTTTGTGGAAACTCAAAATTCCATTCATTGAGAGGAATGGTTCAATCAATCTTGTTCCCTCTGCAAAATCTCCATTGTAAACAAAAGTCAAACAGAATTGATCTTGTAAAATATTAGGGACTTGGAAGAAGAGACCATAAGCAGTCATCTCCTTTGGAATTGATTGAGTCCAGTGATTATAGAATTGCAATACATTAAGCGATTGTTCAAAAGTCCAACATATTTGTGAGGTCATGATTGGTTTCGATTGGTAAACTCTTGTCTTTATGGCAGTCATTACTCCAAAATTACCACCACCTCCACCTCTGAGAGCCCAATATAAATCAGGATATGAATTATTATTCACATGAACATAGTCACCATTTGCCAAGACCACATCAAATTCAATAACTTGATCACTTCCCAATCCATAGGAACGAGACAACATGGAATAGCCTCCTCCCAAAGTAAATCCTGAAACTCCAACCTATAGAGATGAATTATTAAAAGAAATTATTAAGAAAAAGATGCAAGAACAAACATACATGTGGACAAGTTCCAGCAACAGGAACAAATGGAGCCAAGGCTGGATAAATTGTATTCCATTGCAATCCAGCTTCAATATAAGCAATTCCATTCACGGTATCGATAACTTGTGTCTTGTTGAAATATCTCATATCCAACACAAGTTCAGGATTCAATGAATAACCAACAGCTGAATGTCCACCACATTTAGCACTAAATTGCACTTGATATTTGGATGCAAATTTGACAGTTTCCTGCACATCACGTACATCCAATGGCAATACTACCACACGAGGTCTAATCTGATACGAACCATTATCGATATAAATTGATTCATTATACAAATGTGCAAGTTGTGAATTCGATTCAGTACTACTAATTAATTGACCTTTCAATTTTGCAGTCAGTTCGTGATAGGGAATATTCGACACATGACTAATGGCCGTGATCGGATCCAACAACAAGATACATTCAACAATAAACAACACAACAGCAGAGATAATCAGCTGATATCGGAGTCGAGACATTTTTTTGTAATTTAATTCAATGTGTGAGAAGTATATATTTACTGTTGTTGATTTCAAAGACAGGAGTGTAAGATAATAGCACAGTTACATTCATACAAGTCGATTCGCCATCTTTGAACTGGGGAAGGATGTATTTCAAGGATTGCTGCGGAGGAAATAATTGGTGCGAGGCAAAAAAAATGAATAATACGTTCTCTAGCATAACCATATGGAGTTGTTTAAAAGATTTTAAATGGATGCTAATCGATTTGAAAATTGATGGTAATCTTTGATCTAGCTCACCTAATACATTTTTTGTAAATAATTTTACAATAATGGTGGGCAATCTTCTCAGTTTTTCTACTTCTAACTGGAAAGTAGAAAAAATGGCATCACACCAAGCAGAGGAAATTTATTCATGTGCTAATAATCATGATCGGAATGATGTGATGATGAGTAGTAGTAATAGTGTTGTTATTAATGATCGTCGCGGAATTTTCAAGTCAATTCCTAAAGAAGTTATTTTACAAATTTTCTGTTACTTGTATAAACCAGAAGAGTTTCAAGGCTTTGCGTTGACTTGTAAATTATGTTATGAAGTGTACGCTGAGGAAATGTCAATGAGTTTGGATGGAATTAGATTGGATTATTTGAATGGTGTGGATCGAAGTGGAAAACCTAATCGATTGATTGAATTATTTTCTATGAATGATGGAATGTCGGCTGACAAGTTGGCCATTGATTATGATAGTTACTTTAGAAAGAAGGGGGAATTTTATGAACAGTATTTAGTGGATGAGATTCCAAAGTGCACTAACAAAAAGCTTGATAATGAGGATGACATAGTGGATGAAGAGGAATACCTGGAAGAAATGCAAACATGTATTCCATACCAGGGCGAATCGTCTAATGATTCTGATGAAGAAGAGAGTGAGGAAAGGAAAAAGGTATTCAAATTTCCATTTGTAAATACTTTAGAAAAATTCAAAGAGAGATTGAATGAAATTCTGAAAAACAATGCTATGGCTAAAAAGGTAACGGAATGTCTGAATCATTTTAACAATACTACAAAGACCAATGTTAGATTCATTATTGCAGGTGGATTTGTTACACATCTGGTATCTAATTGTGGTTGTTGTGATATTGATATTTTCACAATTTCTAATGGGTCTAGTGACGAAATTATCGATCATTCACTGAAACAAGTATTAACTCATATTGCTATGGAGCTTCGAAAGGAAAAGGTAGATTATAATATATTAAAGACTAATGGCACATTGAATCTATTACCAATTACCAATGGAATTAAATCCAATCTGTGTCACAGATATCCAGATGCTGGTCCTATGGATGAAGATGAACTCCCTTGCCAGTTCGTATTGAGAAGAGTACAATCAATTGAAGAATTAATGTGCTTCTTTGATATTGATTGTTGTAGATTTTGTTACGATTTTGAGAGTGTGTACACCATATTGGAAGGGCTTAGATCCATGAAATTTAAACTCAATTTTGTTGCCAGACGTCATATTCACACTGGTCTCTATGTAAATAGAGCCATCAAATATAGTAGAAGAGGATTGGATACACTGTGTGTTGATTTGCACCCATTTGAACACAGACTCCATGCACAAACATTCATGACATGGCTCAGAGAATTTTTAAGCTCACATTTCACGGGAATGGCTGATGAGGGAGACTATGATGATCCATACTTTAATGACGAATCTTGGAATGGTTTTAACACAATAGCTCCATACATGTATATTGACAAGTATGCTGGAGATTCTGACTTTGACGAAGAGCCTTACTATTCTATCGTATTGAAAAGTTTGGATTATTGGCTTGTGAAATGTGTTTTGGATAATGGATTGCGTGATGCAATGTATTCATTCGAGGCAAATGGTGATTACAGGGATGGAAGATGGACGAATGCATTAAAGGATATCACGATAGTGCATAACGTAGAGAAAAATCCTGTTATCGAGTCAATCATTGAGCACATTGAAAAATATGATATTCACTACTTTTGTCATACCATTGAAGAGTTACTCATCAAACATCCATCCATGTACATTACTGAAGGTTATTTGGATAGCCATCTCAAAAGCAAGTATGGATTCGATAGGTGCTACTTGTGCAATCAATACAAGATGGACGGCTTTAAATCCATGTGTCACAAATGTAAATATTGGAATATTGGAATGGAAAAGATGCATAGAGATCTTTCTGGAAAAGTTGCAATCGTTACAGGAGGAAGATGTAAAATAGGTTATGAAACTAGTTTGCTATTATTGAGAATGAAAGCAACTGTAGTGGTCACAACAAGATTTGGCTTTAATGCACTCTCGAAATTCCAGAAAGAAAGCGACTATAAGGAATGGAAAGATAATTTGATTATTTACCCTCTGAATTTGAAACATGGACCATCAGTTGTGGAATTTACAACATTTATCAAATCAAAATTCAAGCATGTGGACTTTTTAGTGAATAATGCAGCTCAAACAGTAAGAAGGCCAGTACCATATTTCACACCTTTGGTTGCAATTGAAAAAAGCCACTCACAATCTTTATATTTGCCATTAGGATTGGAAGAGAATAGCAGTGAATCCAACACAACACTAGCAGTCAAGGATCTCACCAAACAATTGGTGAATAATGCTCTCAATAGTACTCTTGAAGCTCTCACTCCGGAGGATTCTACCTATGAATTTAGAAAGGAATTGGATAAGTTTGGTGAATTAATTGATCATCGAACTAGACATACTTGGAATATGGCTCTAAATGAAACAAGCACTGCTGAAATAATTGAATGTCAAATGGTGAATAGTATTGCTCCAACACTTTTAGTTTCCAAATTGACTGATTTGCTGAGACCTCAATTGAGTGATGAGGAATTACTGTCCATTGATTTTGAAAATAACTCACCATATTCGTATGTGGTTAATGTAACTTCACATGAGGGCTCTTTCAATACTACAGGAAAAACAGATTTCCACATTCAAACCAATCTTTCTAAGGCATCACTCAACATGTTGACGCATTCAGCCGCTAATCAACTTGCCAAACAAGGAATATTGATGAATTCGGTGGATGTTGGTTGGATTTCTTCATCTATTCCAACATTTAAAGATCCACCTTTAAAATGTATTGATGGTGCTTACAGAATTTTACATCCAATCCTCACCAATTCCACCAGTTATGGTAAATTATTCAAAGACTATAAAGTTGTTGAGTGGTAGCTTTGTTTGTACTGGCAAGAAACTTGGCAAATTATTAGTTTATTGCACTAAACATTTCTTTTGTGGACGAACTTTACTACAATAATTGTCATCTCTGGTGACGGCAATTGTTCTCAAAATGACACTACTCAAATCATCAATGCCATATCCTGTTTTGGAGCTAGTTTCAATATAAGTGGCACAACCCATCTTTTTGGCCATCAACTCTCCTTGTTCGAATGTGATTGGTTTTTCTTCATATTTAAGAATGAACTCCTTATTAAGAATTGAATCAGTACGATAGTCAATCTTGGTATTCACTAATGCCACAGGAGTGTCAGGACAGTGGTGTCTGATTTCTGGAAGCCATTTGGTGACAACATTGAAAAATGAAGCCTCTGACACACAACTAAAGTTCACTAAGAACAAAGATGTCCCTGGGTAGGACTATTACAATATTATTACAAAAAATATAATTTCAATACTTACCAATGGACGCAATCTAAATAATATTAAGAAAACAAAAATAAAAATGATTAATTACCTATCATAATCTAAAATTGATTAATTTCAATTAAATCCATTCAAAAAAAACTTACCTTCAGGACCAGCAGTATCCCTTTGTAAATGTTAACAATTATTAAAGAGATAGCTCAAATAACTTACCATAGACCGATTGAATAAGTCTTGTCTTCAACTTTTACACTGATATTGTGATTGTCAAACACAGTTGGAATATAATCATTTGGATAATCTCCAGAAGTATACCGTATTAATAGTGTTGTTTTACCAACTGCTCCATCTCCTACCGCAACAACCTTAAAAACACCATAAGGAGGATACTTGTCTAACATTTCAACCACATGAGAATAGTTTAAAAGTTCAGACTTGGAACAATACTGTCTACCATCTGTACGTTGTTTTACCTCCTCAATTTTCAATGTTCTTTCAATATTCTTCTTTTCAACTTTTGACATGATGGCTTGAACAGCTTGAATGAGATTTTCCTTGTAATTTGACTTTTTACGTAAATAGGAATCGAAAATTCTTGATTGAGTGGTATCAAAAACATATTTACGAAGCACATAATCATAGGAACCAACAGTTTGCTTTGATGCCTTCTTAAAATCACTCAATTTTTTGAAATAAAAATCTTCCCAATATTGATCTTCAGTTGTTAAAGTGCAAATTCTCAATGATTTGGAAACCAAATGTAATTTCATTAAATCTTGAATGCTAAGAAATGATAGAACTGTTCTGAAAATGTCATCATTCACCTTCTCATTAAATAAGTCAATATTAAATGAGCTTGTTTCTGATTTGATTATTGATTTTCCATCTTTCTTACTTGAAGTAATAGACGTAGTTGTTGGTGGAGAAACTGTAAAAACGTCAGGAGTCTTTTGAAATAATCCTCCAACTACAAAATAAGTAATAGAGGAATCAGTGGAAGGAATTTGCACAAGAGCATGAAGTACAGGTTGAGCTTCTTCCTTATTAGAATCATTGAAAATGGATGAAAGAGAATGAGTTGTATCAATCTTCCAACCTTGGCTAACATTTCCCAAATCAAGACATGTACAATCTGTGAAATTTTGATTTTGATTACAACCACCAACACTATACAATGTGTTTCCTTCCAAAACCATTGAATGTCCATATCTAGCAAACTGTTCACTCAAATTTGATGCAATAATCTCAGCATTAACTACCAATCTGTCAACACTCTCTACCAATGAATCAAGTGAAATCTTAATTGTATCTCTAATAATGGAATTAGCTGTTTTACCTCCATGAATATACCACTCTCCTGTTTCCTGATTCAAAACAGATGCATGATGATATCTCTTTGCAATTTGTTGTGAATTTGATTCAATTTCCACAACTTTCCATTCAAATGTAGTCAAATTCAATTTGAATAATTCATTGGATGCAAAGCTATTATTATCATAACCACCAAACACAAATAATTGATCCTTAAAAACCACAGCTGATTGACCATAACGAGGAGAAATCAAATCTGATCCACTAGTCTGTAACTGTGTCCATAAATTATGTTCAAATTGATACAACCAAACATCTTTATGAAAACCATTCGATTTACCACCAAATAAAATCATTTCGTCTCGATTTCTCAAATAGGCAGAGTGACAATTTCTTGCACATGGAATTAATTGTTGTTCTTGTTGATCAATTGATGTTAAATTCCTCCACAATTGTGTTGTAACATTAATTTCAATTAGATCATTACAATAAATGAGTGGTCTTGCTGAGGAAATGTCTGGATTTTTAATATAACCTCCGAATAGATAGATTTTATTGTTGTCTCTGTAAACACCGCTGTGACCAATACGAAGTGGTAGTGTGGAGAGTAATGACATTTTTTTTAAAGTTGTTTTGCAAAGTCATGAATCAAAAGTTCAGTGTTCCCTTGATGTAAAATGGAAAGAATCCAAAAATGTTTTTTAAACCATTTACTTTGAAAATTGGGCTAGCAGTTTGGTTAAATATTTGAAATGGATAAGTCTACAGCATTGAAATTAATGTTAATAACATATGATAAAAAGACTACAGCACCACAGGTTCCCAAGTTGTCTCCAACCTCAGTACTGATGTGGCTCGACGATGCTTAACTTCTCAAATCGGACGGGATGAGGTGCATTCATCGTGATATGGCCGTAGCCATTCATTACCTCAAATTGTCAAATATAAATCTTTTATTGTTTATTGATGACTTGCTTCAATTTGATCAAGACATATTCAACAAACTTTCCTTGAGATGGAGAGAAAATTTCATGCCCACACTATTAAAGACTTCCTCTTCATGAATTCCTTGCGCACAACAAAACTGAATTCTAACATGATTCTCAATACGTGTCATTCAATAAATACTTTTAAAAAAAATAATGACAGGCAAAGAACAAAATACTCACCAGATTCTCCCCAAAGCTTCCTCTAACGCTCTACAAACAGTACAATCAGAACAATATGATTATCTTGAGGACCAAAATGTCGATGAGTTAATTTGTTCAATTTGTTTGTTTCCGTTTGTTGATCCAATTTCACATAGTACATGTGGAAATACCTTCTGTTCAACATGTGTGGAAAAGGTTGTGAATTGTCCAATGTGTGGTGAAGATGAATTCAAGAAGAATTGTTCACCAAGTGCAAAGGTGGTCATAAACATGTTGGATAAATTGAAAGTTAGGTGTGGAATGTGCAAGACAATTGTCCCAAGAGGCGAACTGAAAGACCATCAAGACAAATATTGTCCACTCCATGGAGCCTATCAACAAGTTGAAGAATTAAAGAAGAAGTTGGAAGCAGAACACCTTGAAAAGCTTGAGATTGCTCAAAAAGAACTTGAAGAAAAGATGAAAAGTTTGCAAGTAGATCATGAACAATATTTGCAAAAAGCACAAGAGAATTTGACAAGGAGAGAAGAGGAATTACTCCAACAAGCAAAGAAAAAAGAAGAATTGTTGGAAAACCAAATGAAGGAACTTAAAAATCAAGTTGTGGCCAGAGAGAAATTTGAATCAACCAACAAACCTATCCATTTAAATGTTGGTGGAACTATTCTTACTGTTTCATTGGGAGCTTTTATTCACAATGAAAGAGAACCTGATAATTTATTCAAGAAAATGTTCACTGGCGAGTATCCATTGTATCAAACTCCATCAAAGAAATTCAATGATCCTATTTATTTCATTGATTGTGATCCAGTTATTTTCAAACTCATTCTTGATTGGTTGAAATTTGGTATCATTGGAAATGAATTGAGTGATGACATGAAACAATCACTTTTATGTTCTTGCAATTCGTTCGGTATTGAAAATATAACCAAACATTTAAAGGAGAAACACAAACAAGTAGCCAAGATGTCACAATTTGACTTTATGAATGTTGTCAATCTTGCAAGAAGTCAAAAAAGCAAACTAAATTTGAGTGGCCTTGATTTAAGAAAATTAGTGTTAAACAGTACGGATTTGAAGAATGCAGAAATTCTTGGATCTGACTTCAGTGGAATGAATTTGAAAAACACTGATTTCAAAGGAGGAATCTTGATAGGATGCAATTTCAGTAATTGCACTTTAACAAGTGTAAGAATTCAAGATTGTAATTTGGAAGGATGTGACTTTTCAAATACTATCTTTAAAAATACTGACATTTTGAAAAACAATTTGTCAGGTGCCAATTTTGAAAATGCTCAATTTGAAAAGTGCAAAATTCAATGGCATTTTAAAAAGGGAAGAGATAATAATTTGAAATATTGTAAATTTGTTGATTGTAATTTCGACGGATCAATATTTGAAGAAATTGATTTTTTTGAATCTATTTTATCATCAAGTAATATATTTAATACTGGAACAATCAAGAATGCAGATTTAAGACAATGGAAAGATTTATCCAAATTCAAAGAAATGAAATTTGATTCATGTGTGTTTAATTTTACTGAAGAAACAACAAAGGATATCATAGTTCCATTTGAATGTGATATTATTGACTTTGAAACCTCTTTGGCATTATATTCACATACTGAAAGTAAAGCAATTCCTCAATTACTATATAAGGGAACAAGAGATGGATTTAATGGTTATTCCTTTCATCCTAAATGTGATAATCGCGGCCCAACATTAACAATTATCAAATCAGAACATGACCAAATATTTGGTGGATTTACCTCTAAACCTTGGACATCAAACAGATCACCACAGACCTATGTTTCAGATGAATCTGCATTTATTTTCAAAATTGAAAAAGATTCAACAAATCAAAATTATCAATTTAGAAAATTCAATATCAAACAAGATAAGAAACAATATGCTATTAACGTTTTTGAAGGTTTTTTGCCAAAGTTTGGGGAAGACATTTATATTTGCAATGATTGTGATTCTCAAAATCAATCATATTCAGGATTAGGCTATGCTTATGAATCACCAAACAACTTTTCGAGCAATGAGACACAAAGCTATTTGGCAGGAAGTTCCCCTTTCAAAGTTAAAGAAATAGAAGTTTTTCTTATTAAAAATTATTAAAAATTTTACAATTCTGAGGAGAAGAAGAAATTTCCACTCAAATTGGAGGAAAAGATCTAGCACTCTATTTGTCATATTGAAATATGTAACTCTCAAATACTGTAGAACCATACTCGTTTGGGAAATTCCATATAAAAATTATATATAAAATAGTTAAATTCAATGTATTATTGAGATATGAGTTTCTAATTAAGATAATTGTGTAATTTTAAATATTTGATTCCATCCAGGTCTACACACTTATTCTTCAGTTGTAATTTTTTCAAAGTGCTAATTTGAGAAAGGTAATCCCATCCGTATGAGTCAATTGAGTGCTCAGAATGTGATATGTCAAGCTCAGTAAGCGATGGCAGTTTTGAAATTTCACAAATTTCAGTCCTGCTTAACTTGCTATTCGACAAATCTAAAACTCTCAAATTTTCCAACCTTGAAATCATTGTAAATTCCATTCCACTCAATCCAGTATTTGAGGCATTGAGGTATGTCAAATATTTCAATTTGGAAAAATTGATATAGTTAGTAGGATCGTTCAATCCACTTGGTTTCTTGTCACGGATTGAAAGATACTCTAATTTTTGTAAACCTTCTATTAGATGTTTGAGACCTGAGTAGTTGGCATTCTCAATAGTTAAGCGAGTCAAATTTGGTAAAGTGGACAAATGTTTACACCCTAATTCTCCAATCTCGTTATCAGTTATATCCAAACTTTTCAGTGAGCTCATTTTGGCTATATGATTACACCCCTCACAGGTTATATTACAATTTCTCAAAGAAAGTGACGTTAAACTATTCATTGTAGAAATTATTTGTAATGTGTTGTCCATATTAATTTTCTCCAATGAGAGAGAATCTAACTCAGTTAAATTAACTAAATGATTGATTTTCGCAGAGTCCAATCTAAAAATTTCAATATTATTGGCATCCATTGAAAGATCTCTCACCTTAGTCAATTTTGAAATATTCTTCAACGTGTTCTCAATTACTTCACCCTGTTCATGTTCATTCACAAAAGAACATTTCAAACTTGTTAAACTATTTTTCAGTTCCAAAAGAAATGCAAAATCTCTACTTTCAGGAAAATAACATCCACCCACATTCAAAACTCTAAGATTTTTCAATTTTGTCAAATATTCTGGTTTGGGAGCTACCATTTCTCGCCTCTCAACAATCAATGTTTCTAAATCGCTCAAATCACCAGCAAGACATTCAACTTCCAAACCAAAATACAATTTCTTCAATTCCAAATAATGTAACTTCTTCATAAATCCCTTCTTACAATATTCTACAAAACTCATAACCATTACACGATTCCGATCGCCATCATCACCTCCTCTATTATTATTGTTATTATTACTATTATATTCTATCGACATGGGAATACAAAATCTAATCCAATCAGTCCATTTTCTACAAATTAAACTCAAATCCTTGATCAAATATTTAGATGAAAAGTAGGGAAGAATAGAGTACAATACAACGTCATCCGATAATTTTCCAAACTCTCCATCGTAGAGAATTTTAATTCCTCCTCCTCTTCTGAATTTGTGTGTTGTTGCCATTTTTTAATAAATTAAATACAATTATTTACAATTAATTTATTTAACAGTTTTATTTAATTTAAATATTTAACAATTATCCTAATTTATTTAACAGATTTCAACTTTATTCGCGATTTGAAGGATTATTGGGTCTTGTTGATACACTTCTTACATGCCTCACAATGGCATGCACATTTACAATTCCCGAGTTCAATGTTCAATTCTTTGATACCTTCAATCTCTTCAGTTTTCTCTACCAAAGTTGTTTGTAAATTATGAACAACTTCAGGGTGAGATAGTTGCTTAAAGTAGTTCATAATATCAAGGCACTTTTTCTTCAAGAGCTCAATATCTTTCTTCAAAAATTCATTGTCATGCTTTAAGATTTCATTATCTTTCTTCAAGAACTCAACATCTTTCTTCAAATTCTCAACGTCCTTCTCCAAAGACTCATTTTGCATTTTAAACATTCCATTATCTCTATTCAAAGACTCATTGTCTTCTATAACCATAGTTATTAGCTTGTTTTGATTTTGGTACTGCTTATCATGCATGCTCTTAGAGACCTCGTCCTCTTGAACAGATACACCAGAACCATCAACAACCTCATTATCCTTTGAACTTGGCATCTTGGTGTTCTCCATATTATCAGCAACAGGAGTTGTTAAATTTCTTACCGAACCACTAATAAATTGTTCCAAACTGCTCTCTTCCACACTTCTATTATTCACTTCCACTGACTCCTTAATAAGCTGAACAAGCTTGTTGAAGTATTTTTTCCAAAAAGCAACAGGGAGACCAAGAAGAGTTTCTCCAAACTTTTTCTCTGTTTCAAAGTGCAACTCAAAAGCCTTCTCAATTTCAACAGAAGAAACATTAGAATGTTCCTTCTTGAATTTTTGATCCCAGAAATGAAGAACGATACGCCTGGCTACATTCTTGTTGGATTTCATCACCTCTTTCAAAGCCTTGGAGACCTCCTTTTCTGATGAAAAATCAAATAACAACTCATTAGAAATAAATAGCATGTGATGAACAATGTCGAAAACAAGCTTACGAAGATCTTTATCTTTGTATTTGCCATTAATGACGTTCTTCAAGATAATAATTTGTTCGGTCGTCACTGGTTTCATTAGTAAGGTTTGAGTGTTTTTTTTGAGGTTGTTTTTTACCGCCGAAACCTCAATACTCAGCTAGCTACCAGAATTAGTTCATCTTGTGCTTGGAGTCTAGCCTTGTTGTTGAAAACAATGAACAAACAAAATTATTGTTTTATCACAAAAGAACCATAGCAACTAGTTTACCACTTCATTTCCCACTTCGTTCTATACCATCTTTCAAAATGAATATAAAGAGGTTTCATTCACGTCAAAAAAGTTTTATTTACTCAAGTTAATAGCCTTCAATTCTGAGATAACATAGTCACCACATAAAACAGATGGATACTTTTCAGATTTCCATTCTTCCTTAATTGGACCAATATCTTCATCAGCAGCAACGTGTGAGAATAAGGTAGAAGAAACTCTCCACAATGGACGACCAGCTTGCTTTTGTCTTTCAACAGCTTCTAAAGTTTCTGGAATAACAGCAACTTCATGGTATCCAGACATGATGGTACCACCAGTCAACCATTCCAATTGCTTACCAGCTTGCAATAATAAACAGCCCTTTGGGACTTTAACTTGGAGCTTTTTACCACTTCTGAGCCAGATGAACAAGCCTGGATATCTAGAAGCAGAGTGAATGGTAATAAAGTTCAAATCAAAGTGGAAACCAGCAAGAACAGTACCCAATTCGTTATACTTATTGAGGTCAGAACCAGTTGGAGCAAGTAAATGTCTACCATACTTTAACAAGCTGGTCAATTTATCCTTTTCGAGTCCTAAACCTAATGCCAACATTTCACTGACAGTGCCAACTGCATTGACCATATTGTTGGCCCAACTAGTTTCCAATAATTTCAATCATCCATCATCATCAACATATTAATTACAATTATTCCGATAACAATTATCAAATTTCCGAAAATTCACATTATTATGTGATGATAGTGTACAATAAATCAATGAATAAATAATTGATTGATAATAATATGAAACAAACCTGTCCATCTTTTCCATCCAAATATCCTTGAAAGCTTCTGGGACTACATTTGGTTGATTGAGACCTGGGAACTAATTGTTTGAGGTTAGAATTTAATAATATTATATAGTAATATTTACCTTAGTTTCTTTTGATTGGGAAAATTAATTAATTAATTAAATAAATTAAAAATTAAAAAAAACTAAATATTAATTCCCTAATTTGGTACCTACCTGGATTTTGATTTCCTACTGGATGGAAAAATCTCCATTTAGGGTCTGTTCCCTTGGTTGGACTATCAAATAATTAATACTGTCAATTGAGAAACAACTTACGTTGGCTTGCTTTCAATGTCATCTGGTAATGAAGTGGCAATATATTCGGTGTTATCTCTTGGACGTTCAGTTTTTTCAGGTGTGGCACCAATTTGATAAGACCATTCTGGATGAACGTCTTTCATCTTGACTTCAGTTGGTTGAGCATAATAATCTTCCATCATATCCAAAAAATCAGAAGCAGTTTCAAAAGTGACTCTAGGGTCTCTAATAATCAATGCAGAAGTTTCACGGAATGATTTATAAATTCTATCAACATCTTCTTGTTTAACATTTCCTGAGAGATAGTCAGCAAGATCGACAATTTGAATTTCCTCCATTATTATTATTAGTAGTGGGGTGTGAATAGTTGAAAAAAGTGAGCGGTAGTGTTGTGCGCTTTTTTTTTGTGTTGAAAAATTTATTTAACGGGAGTCTCGTTCGCTTTATGAAAATGTCCATTAGTGGTTGGCTCAGTGTGAGGTGGGTACTTGTAAGATAATCGATTGATTTTGAAATTTAGTTGACTTGCTCGATTTTCACCATTTCGAGTTGGTTTGGGTGTGTAGTCAACCGTAGGTTATAGTGGTATGTTGTTTACAATGAATAGTATTCGGTATAATTACAGACACGTTCCTTAATGAGTTCAAAATAGAGAGATTGATTGAGTTTGGTGGCACACCAGATTTTGGTTAGTGGAGTGGAATCGGTTTCAGATGCATTTTCCACCAGTTCTATAATGCCTTCTTTTGGTTTTTCATCATAGAGTATAACTGGTACCTGTTTCAGTTCGAATAGTTGAGGATATAATAGAAAAGTTGATGTGCATGTATCGTAGGTGCATGACTCTAAGGAAATTTTGAGGAATTCTCTTCTCAATTTTACAATTGGAGGGATTTTGTCCAAATCGTCAGTCTTGTTAATCAAGTCAACCAGAATTTTTAGATTTTCTGCATCAATGACGTGTAAATTGGCGACTGATAATTCAAACAGGTAGACTTTTTCACTCAAATATTCAATTACCATCTTGGCAGCTTTTCCATCACAAAAGAAATTAGTTTCACTTTGATTGACTTCGTTGGCTGGTTCATTGGTGAAAATGGCACCTCCCATAATAACAATCATTTTAAGTTTTTGCTGGACTATCTTTCTATGGTGTTCATTCACTAATAATCGTGCCAAATTAGTCATTGGTCCAATACTGAACCATGTGAAATAATTATCAGGTGCACCTTCCATCAATTTAATCATTTCCTCAACATAATTGTCATTTCCAATAATTTCTAAATCACCAATAGCATTCAATGGATTCAACTTGGCCAAATCTCCCAACTCATTATGAACCCTCTCAAATTCATAATCCTTATACCATTGTGCTTCGGAGAAACAATGCCCATTCACAGGATCCATTCTCTCCATAGCTCCAACAAATAACTTGGTTCCCTTCTTTAAAAATCCAGTATCCTGTTGTATTCTCTGAATACATTCGGCTGCCTTTTCCAAATTCAATGAAAGTCCCTTGACAATACTCACTGCACAAACATTGATGGAATGTGGTCTTCCCAACACGGAAGGAAATGATAAAGTTTGTGTCGCTGTAAAATTGGTCAGGGCAAATACATCATCAATACCAATATCAGTATCGAAAATGACATGATGATCACCTGCATAATGGGATAAAACACTCAGTGGGGTTTGTTCTAACATTTTTTTAAATTATTTAATCTGCAATCTGTTACAACAAAGTCATCATATACAATAATCAATTTCTACTCTCCCATTTATCAATATCTCCACTAGTTAGTTGATAAAGTGAGCACAAAACAGTTCAATCTGTTATGTCTATGAGAGTTGAATAGAGGAAGGCAAAACCGTTAAATTTTTAAAAATTCCCTCCAAAAAACCAAACATTATTCCGTTACACACCAGAAAATCTTTAAAAAAAAATACACTTAGCACCGCTTGCTGCTGTTGCTCTCAAAGATTGTGTGATCATTTTCCATCGCACAAACAAAATAATATCCAAATAATTCATCATCATCACCATGAATATTCCAAGACCTCAACAACAGTCGTCTCTCCTGACTGAATCACTTCTCTCCTCTTCGGTTCCTTCCCATCAATATATGAATTCGTCAGTGTTATCCTCCTCCGTGTCGAATAATCTTTCATCTAATTTGATAAAACACACTCCACATAATCCACTTTTAATGTCCTCTCAAGTTATGAAGACTTATCAAGATGTTTTCAAAGATGAAAAGATTAAGAAACAACAACAAGAACTTGTGGAGAAGAATGAACAAATTTCCAAACTCGTATCACAAATTGACTCTATGGAAGATCAATACTCTACCGCCCAAACTAAACACGAAAGAGATTTACAAGATTTAGAGATTAGACTGAGGAAGGAGTATGAAGAAAGAGAAGAGGAATTGAAGAAATCTCACGAAGCAAAGCTTGCTGCATTGAATGAAGAAAGAAAGAACGAATTTGAAACTAGTCAACAAAAGATTATTGAACAGGAATATCTCATTAAGGATATCCAATCTCAACTCAATTTGACAGACTCTAAGGATATTGTTAAAACTCTCACCAAGTTTATTAAAAAGTATAAGAAGGAAAAGGAAGCTAACAAATCTCTGGAAGAAAGAGGTAAACAAATGCTTGCCAATCTTAATGATGTTGTAAAGAAATATAAGGAATCAAAGGAGTCTGCAGAAAAGGAATTTGATAAGAAGAATAGAGAAATTGAAGGACAAAAGAAGGAAATTATGACATTGAGAATGGAACTTGCAGTAGTTCAACGTCAATTGGAATATAATAGAACTCATATGGGTGTTGGATTTGATACTGATACTGAGGATGGTTCTTCATTATTTAATCCAAGCTCTCCAACTACAAGCGTTTCAAGTTTCAGTGTTAGCAGTCCATCTAAGAGTCCTTCCAAAGCACTGACTCCAAAGAAGATGTTTGGTATGCCTCAAAAGAAAACCATTACTCTTTCTCCAAATCCACTCAAGGATATCACCAATTTATCTCACTAGGTCAATGTGTAATAGCAATGTCATGTGTGTGAAACACCTGACAAATGCTTTACAAATTCTTATAAATTTTATCGATTGTATTAATATTTTGTAATTAAGGTACACCAAACTCTCCAAATCAGGTAATCACTAATTGATTTTTCAATAAGTGAAACCTTTCTTTCCAAATCCATAATTTTTCATGCTTCACTCCATCACCAATCATCAAAACACTGTTAAAAAATGCACCAATCAACACCCACGAACTCTCCATCTCTCAACAACCAGCAACACCTCATCAAACCTGTTGTTATTACTGCAGTAATTTTATTACTATTCGCTACCTTTTATTCTCACCAACAAACTATCACTGTAAAAATTGACTCTTCCCTTCTTGGCAATAAGATCAATCAAGACATATTCGGAGTCAATTATGCAGAAGAGGCTAATTTGCAAGCTGTTAAATATCCAGTCAATAGAAAGGGAGGTAATTCTGATACTCGTTTTAATTGGGAACAAAATATTCATAACACTGCTCAGGATTGGTACTATATGAATATTCCAGATAGTGTTCAGAGCGGGAAAACTCTTCCAGATGGTTCAACAGCAACGGTTTTTGTTGATACTTCTAATAAGTACAGTTCAAAGGCAATGCTGACAGCTAGTTTGATTGGTTATACTCCATTGGATGATCGTGTGAAAAAATGGGGATTTTCAGTTGCCAAGTATGGTAATCAATTGGAAACTGAATGTAATGGTAGTAATGGAGCTAGTTGGTGTATGAGTGATGCTGGTAATGGTAAAATTTCATCAACAACCTACATTACATCAAATAGTCCATCAGATACTTCGAAAACAATAGACGAAACATATGTTAGAAACTGGATTAAATTCATGAAGAGCAGAAATACACCAGTCAAATTCTGGTCACTCGACAATGAAATGGATTTATGGCATTCCACCCACAGAGATGTCCATCCAAACAAGGTCACCTATGATGAGATGTGGACACTTACTCAAAAATATGCTGCAGCTATTAAGGCAGAAGATTCAACAATTACAACCTTTGGACCAGCCTCTTGGGGACATTGTGGTTATTATTATTCACCTACTGATGGTTGTTCGAGTGGAAGTGATCGTAAGGCTCACTCTGACATGCCACTCTTGGATTATTACTTGTCAAAAGTTTGTGAATATAAGAAGAGTAATGGAGTCTTGCTGGTTGACTATTTGGATGTTCATTACTATCCACAAGCAAGTGGAGTTTATGATGTCCATCAAACATCAGACACTAATGCAGAACTTAGATTGAGAACTGTTAAGAGTTTGTATGATTATAATTATGTGGATGAAAGTTGGATTCCTTCTGCAGAATCGAATGGTCCACTCTCAAGAGTCGCCTTAATTCCAAGAATGAAATCATCCATTGCAAAATATTGTCCACAAATGAAGTTGGCCATCACGGAATATAACTTTGGAGCTGACAATATTTGGTCCTCTGCCTTGGCTCAAGTTGAAATTTTGAGTATTTTCGGTAGAGAGGGAGTTGACTTGGCCACACGTTTTACAGTTCCAAAAGATGGTTCAATGGTCGAGAAATCATTTAAATTTTACTTGAATTATGATGGAAATGGAGCTAAGGTCGATGGATACTATGTCAATACCACAAGTTCAAATATAGATAGTGTTGGAGCTTATTCATTCGTGAATAGTGAAACCAGCACCATGTATGTCATTTTAATCAACAAGTTGACCTCTTCCACCAATGTTAATTTGCAAATATTGGGCAGTGCTGGTAAGGGAAAGACAATCACAACATGGACGTTCAGTTCTCCTGGAACCATCACCAAGAGCAGTCAAACAAGTACGACTAGTTCTGTAGATGGAAGCGCCACAATTACATTGAGTGGAAGAAGTGCCAATTTATTGATTGTTCCATCTGTTTCGGTCTCAGCAAATTCTGCTCTTGTTGGTGCTGGTTTTTCGTTGGGAATGATTAGTTGCTTGCTATTCATCTTGTTTAGTGTATTATTGTAAAATAAATTGAAAAAAATGTGAACTAGTGAGTTTTTAACAAACATGTGTGTAAGAACAAAATATATTTCGCTATTATAAACATGTTGTTCATGATGGACTAATTGCAAAAAAAGCAATGCTTGCCCTTCTCTTTTTCGACATTGAAATATTCTCATCAATTTTGGGCACTACAATTCCCCCTACATTGTTCGGTTTACAATAATTGTTCCCTTTTAACATGTTGGGTGATAGGCATGGAATAGACATATCATACAACCAACCTTGGCACAATACCAACTCGGTGCATTACTAAATCAAATATAAGGCTAACATGTTATCCCATATTACTCCCAACAATTTCATATTTTGCCAACACAAAAACGTGGTCTTTGATATTTCAAACGCCGTATCGGCACAACACTCCAAAAAAACCAAATTGTTGTTTGTAATTGGTGGTGAACAGCAATTCGCGTTCCTCTCTTCAAACAACAACACACAGCAATAACTTTATTTTAAAAATGCAACCCGACGATCGTTTCACTTCTTCTCTGTCATTATCGCACTCTTTACCAAATCCGAACCAGAGTAACAACAATAATAACATCAACAACAATAATCAAGGGAGTAATCGTGCAAATAATAAAACAACAAGGGTTGGAGGGCATCAGCAGCAATCATCAGGGTTTTATCCACAGCAGCAGCAACAGCAACAACATTTTAATAATTTATTTCCTCAACAAACTCAACAAATGATGATACAAGAACATCACCAACAACATTCCTTACGACAATCTCCTGTACCACCATCATCCACAATGCAACAACACCCTGCAACCATGTACAATTATAATTCCTCCTCACCAATGAATTCACCAATGAATAATAATAATATGAATAATATGAATAACACTCCTAATCATCATTCAAGATTCAATACCTCATCACAAGTAACCTCTACATCAGTACACCAATCATCAATGCACTACAATACTAACAATAACATTGGAAATAATTACGCAATTAATTCCTCAACAAGTGCACCTTTCAATAATTCAACCAATACTACTAATACTACTACAACAAATCAGTTCTCATCAGGGAATAATACATTTTCCGATTTCTATTCGGCGAAGGCTCAGCAATCTAATTCTAAACCTGGTGAATTGGGTCAGAACACTAATATGCTGCTCACAAATTCGGGTTCTGTACACACAAACACTAACTACCAAAATGTATATAAGAACGATCATCTACTCACAACTAGTCAATTAATACCCAATACTAATAACATGCCAAACCAAACATACAACGATTTCAATATCACAACAAACCAATTACAATCGTCTTCTCCATCTATTCATTCACCTAATTTTCACTCCTCTTCATCTAGTGACAAGAATAGCAATACTGTGATTGAGCTACCAAAACCCAAAAAGAAGACCAAGTCAAAACCTCCTGCCGGAGTTGGTCAATTAAGTTTTACCATTCCACCAATAGCATCGGAAGAACGGTTTGATGATGTTTCTGAAGCAGTTGCATTTAGTGGAACTAAGCTTTTCCCCATTGCCTGTGTGGCTTGTAGGCAAAGACACAAAAAGGTTTGTTATTTACACTAGTATCAATGTTTTTTAATCATCTTTGCAAAAATTGGTTATTCGGATTAATATAGTGTGATAGAACCATTCCATCTTGTTCAGGTTGTTCTTCTAAAGGTATTGAATGTCAATATAGAACTCCAAGAAAGAAAGGAAGGGCACTGCAAAGTAATGATGGATTTCAAACTTTTACCTCACTAGATGAAATCAAGTATATCCCACAATCCCAAGGTTTTACCGATACTGAAACAGTAATGAATGCTACGATGCCTTCTAATTCTCTTTCTGTCAGTCCACCAAAGGATTTGGGTATTGATGATATTGTAACGAAGAAGAGAAAGAAATCACAAAAGAAGGAAGAATCTGTCCCTAAGAAGTTGGCTGTAGACAGATTACCAACACTAAAAAATGTTGAAACATCACCAAATATTCAAATAGTCAATGTAAATACTAACAATGATTATCAACAGCCAACACTAGTTCAACGCAACCAAACCCCTTCTCCAAAACAAGACATCTCCAATAGAATTCAAATTCCTTCAATCAGTCCTTCTGAACTTTATGATTCTCCACAAACACAACTTTCTACCGTCACTCCATCAAATAATTATCTGGCAATTCAAAGTAATACTAATAACTTTCCTCTCTTAGCTTCTAATGTTGTCCAGCCTGATTTAGCTCCATTTAACGATCCAAATGCGACTGTTGATACAATATCTCAATTACTTGTGCTTTTACTTTCATCTAACAACCAATCTAATGTTGCTAGCTTGATAAAGGATATTCTCAATAATGGAGATGGGGAAGGTCTTAAAAAATTATTGGGAACCACCTTTGGTTTGGAGAGTTTTATTACCACTAATGAGCGTCTTAATATTTCCGCAATCAAAAAAAGAACTGTTGACTTGTATGATGAGATTATTAGTTTTGGCTATCCAATACTTAGTTCCCAATACATTGATGAGGCCCTCTCAGCAACAAATATCAGAGCTTACTCGAATGAAAATTTAGCACTCATTTATGCCATTCATGCTGTTACATGTCAAAGACTCTGTGAGTTGGAGCAAGCCAAACAGGCATACCATAAGAGTTTAATGGAGCTAAAGGAGACTACCGACAAACATAATTTGATTGTGATTGCCACCTATTGCAATTTGGCCCTTTATTGTGGAGGCACTGGAGATACAGACACTGCTCAACAATTACTGGCATCTGCTGAGATATATTTGCTAAATAGACGAAAATTCAAATTGCAAACAAATGATACTAATTTGGTTTTGAATTTTATTGGATGTGACGATTCTACATCATCATTCACCCTTTTTGATAATCTTTCAAATGACGAATTCAAAGTTGAAAAGTTAAAGGAAGTGTGCTCTGTAGCAGCATATTTAGGTTCTGGATCATCAAAGCCAAGTATTTACATGATTTTAAGAGGTTACTCTTTTGCTGAGGAGATTGGAGTTTTCTTATCTGAATGTTTATTACTTTTTGAGGGAAAAATTACTAAAAAGGATTTGAATATTCTAACCAAACCTATAGATGCCAATACATTCTCTGATTATTTAGGAGTACTGTCAAGAGTTGAGAGTGCCTACTCTGGACATGAGTCTGCTAGACCGTATTCAAGTTTGCAGATGAAATTGGCAGCATCCCTACTTCTTTGTGTGCTAGGAGGATCTCGAGCTTGGGTTCTCCATAGAGCTGGTATTAAGGGACCAATTATCGAAGAGTACGCCTCACAAGTAACTAGTTTGACCACAACCGAGGGATTCTTGTTACTTCATTCATTGACAATACAGTTTGTTGCTAAAGCACTGGAAATACATTATGAGACAGTTTGCGATGCAGAAAGTGGTTTAAGGAAGAACAATGACTTGTTGGAATTGTATCAAACCATGTTCACATGTTTCAATTCACTTGTCGAGTTGAGTAAGAGATTTACGCGTATTTTAAGGTTTTATCCTAATCTTTTACATATCACGGCTATTAAATTGATGTCAAGAGGGTTCACGGGAGAGTCCATTGACCTTGTGATAAAGAACATGCACCCACAAACAAGCCCTCATTTTAGATCAGATAATAATTTACAAAATCCTCAAACCGCTGGAGATCACACTGCTGTTGGTAATGAAGTCAAATTCAACTTTGACCAATTGCTATCTAATTTTATTGCCACCACTATGAAATCACCTTTTAATTGAATAAAATTCCATCTAGGATCTGCATTTTGTACAAGGTTAAATTCAGATTAATTCTCAAAGGTATCAAAAACTGCGCTCAAATATTCAATTATTTGTTTAGCTATTTGGAAATGCTGTTATTACTGTTGGCAATGTATCTTAAACTCAAATTGAATTTTACCATTAGTATCTTACATTATTACTCTATTACTGCAGTTTAGCAAATGGAATTCTCAAATAAAAAGACTACAGCACCACAGGTTCCCAAGTTGTCTCCAACCTCAGTACTGATGTGGCTCGACGATGCTTAACTTCTCAAATCGGACGGGATGAGGTGCACGAATCGTGATATGGCCGTAGCCATTCATTACCACAAATTGTCAAATATAAATCTCTTATTGTTTCCTTGCGATGGAGAAAATTTCAATATTGTAAAAATTATGAAATATAAACTTGGGAATTTAAATGAATCCGTGGTGTTGCAATTTTTCATTTCTACAAAGTCTAGTAGTGAGAACATTATACATCTTTTATATCTTTACAATTAGACAGAGATTTCTGGAATTAATCTTCTTTCTTCTACACATTTCCTAACCCAATCCCCAGAGACAAGTTTGAGGTTTACTCTAGCTGCCTTTCTCTTTAGTGATTGTAAGCGGGTGGTATTTTCACTCTCATCATGCACAATATGTGTCACTTCAGTGGTGAGTAAATTACTGACCTTTCCTCCGTGTAAACGAATGTAAACTTCCAAAGTGTCCAATCCAAGAATCAGTTCTGAGCTTGGATCTCCAAACTTTTCATACTTGTCAATAAAAGCTACAACTCCCTTGAAGAATGATGTTTGTGATGTTTTAATCTCGTATCGTGAATTAATCATATCAATTTGCTTTGAGTCTAGAACGAAATACTTGGATGAAAGTGAGGCTAATTGAAGCGAGTTTCTCAATGATTCCACCGTAGCATCAAACAAATATTCATCTTGAAATTCGTCCATTTGCTCTTTGAATGAGAGCAATGTGGCTTGAGAAGTATAAATCATGTATCCTGGATGGAATCTCTGCAGAGAGCCATATATTACCGATTCAATCAACCACTTGTAATGAATAATATCGCGATCTCCTAGTGGATTCTTTCTATTTTGTGAGGAACTTATCCAATTTCTTACAGTAATATCTTTATAAATTCATTTACATTAAAAGTTAAATTTGAAACTTACTATTAGTATTGGCAGCGATGAGATATTGATTCTTATGATCGTTAGGGTTCTGAACTTTAGTTCCACTATTGGAAACTATCAATTGTTCAATATCATACTTGGATTTATGTTCGTCTCCATTGAAAACAACAAATTCCAATCCTTTAAATAAGCTAGAGGTCTTATCCAGTTTAGACATATCATAATCAAAGAAATGTGAAACAGCAGCTGTTGCCTTTCTTGATTTTGGTTCCACTTCTGTAAACGTTCCATCAGGATTTTGAACCATCTTTTTTCTCTTTTGTTTCTTGATATCATTGTGTGAAACAACAGAGTCCATATTGGCAGCTCTTCTCTTGTGATTACCATTCCTTGATATTTCAATCATTTCCTCTAATCCTTGTAAATCCAGACATTCATTCCAATCCTTATCGTTTCTTATTGATACAACTCTTGGGAATCTTAGTGTGACTCCTGTTTTAAATTTGGTACTCTCCTGAAAAGAGTATCCCTTAATTTCCAAAATCTTGGAACTTGAATTGTTAATAAAACTTGAAAATAAAAACCTACTGTTTCGGTTCAATATATACATCAGGCATTTCACCTGCTCCTGGAATCCATTGACCATAAAACTTAGGCAACTTGGTCTTGTCAAAAGGCTTCCAATGAGATTCTAAATCTTTTTGTAGAGCCAACAATTCAATGTTGGTATATCCACTTCCTACTTTACAAAATGAGTGAAAAACTTGATTTTCATTGCTTGCTTCATTTTCCTCATCCAAATTATCGAGAGCATCCGTGTTCCCCAGACTGTGTTTTGACCTTGTGGCTACAGCTAACAGAAAGTGTGAAACTGATTTTCTCTTAAATTTGGTTCCATAGAATCCTCCAACAATAATTACATCCAATGTCTCACCCATACCATCGACATGATCAGGTTTCAATTTGATCCACTTTCTCTCACCTGGAATATAGACGCCTCCTGTTGGTTTGAGCATGATACCTTCATCTCTATTCATGATGGCAATATCCAACTGCTCGTAAACTTCCTTCTCTGATGATACTGGAGTTTGAGGTACCAACTCGAGAACATGGCTCTGGAGATTAATGATATTCTCCAGATAGGTTCTTCTCTTCTTGAGTGGATATTGTGATAGGTCCTTATCTTTCAAATAGACTAAATCAAAGACCATGTAGCAAAATTGTTCATTTGTATCGGATGTATCATTCAGAGCATGAGTTCTATTGTGTCCAAATTCCTTAAAGGCCTCCAGCTCAGTATTCCAAATGAGAAACTCTCCATCTAATATACAAACTTTTGCCTTGATATTATTTCTAATGATGGGTGAAAACTTTGGACCGTACAAGCTCGTATAGTCCTTGCCATTACGTGTAAAGAACATGATTTCAGATTCCTTCTTGTGTACCAGGATACGTTCTCCGTCATATTTGGGTTCAATGACATATTCATCAGAGGAGAGAGTTTCAGCCAATTTAGCTGGATGCAACAATGAAGCAAGCATTGGTTTGAACATTGAAAAGACTCTCAATTCAGCTGTTGTGAATTTAAACTTTGGATCGAGACACTTTGTAATGACCTCTCTCAGATCAGTACATGAATTGAACAACTCGAGTGCATTCGGATGAAAATGATTCAGAATAGTGGTGTGTTGAGTTCCAATTCTTAAATCTTTGAGAATAATTCTGAGAATCCACTTTTGTTCAAAGCATGAAGTGCTCTTGAGAATGTCCAACAGAATCTTCTTTTTTTTATCATTATCCCCAGCCATTGATAGTTCAGTTAGTTTTTCATTAATAAAGAATACAGTTAGATTTTTCGATGAGGACCAACCTCTCTTTTGCAAGACTTGAAAGCAAATATCCGAAAAGCTGTTTCCAGTTCCTTTAGATGGATCTTTCCACTTTTTCAATCTCAGAGCATCTTCACACGTTTGTGGAAGAGCCAGAATTTCAATATAATACTTGGCAATTTTCGACTCTTTCAAGCCATAAGTCAGTCTTTCTCTATCCAATTGAGGGAGAAGTAATCTCATAAATTGAAACAAATCACTTCGACAACTCACGAAAATCTTATCAAAGATTGCCTTCTTCTCCTTATGTTTGTTATTTTCCGAAAGTTTTTCAAAGTATTTACACAATGTTGCAAATTGAACCCTACACGATGGAAGGTTAGGATCATACACTGGTGGAGGATGAGCAGGTAGAGGTGTTCCATTCGAATTACCAATCATACCAGCAAAGAGATTGTTATTATTATTAATATTTTGTTCATTGTTGGTTCGAGATGAATTTTCCTTATTGTGAAGGGTATTACTTTTAGTACTATTGGCACCACTCGTTTGAGAGTTTGATTTACTAGTATCGTCATCTTCATCTTCATCATCGTCATCATCAGCATTGATGAATATATCCATTCGTGAGTCGTTCATCATGGCACGAACGGCCGATGGACAACTGTTTTCAATTTCTTCATCGTTGTGTAGTATTAGATTATTCATATTGTTGCTGTGCTTGTTGTTGGTTGTTGTTTCCGAAAGAGTTTCATCCTCATCATCATCCACAACAAGGAAGGGATTTCTAAACATTTTTTTTAATTTATTCAAACGAAAACTTTTGGCGCCAAAATACACAATTTGAAATATATTTGGATCCAGAATTGTGAAAGATCAATTTCTTATTTGGTGATAATTATGAATGAACAATGATTTTCAAAGGCTTGTTCAAAAAATTTGCCCAAACTACAATTATATGAGGAACAAACATAAATCAATTATTTAATTTAACCACCAATCAAAATCTGAGCCATTCGAATTTGCTCCATTGATATTGTTTTGTGAATTAGTTGGCTGTACATTTGTTTGTTGGAAAGATTGTTGAACTGCATTGGTTGGATAAATTGGTTGAACTTGTTGTACATTTGGTTGTAAAGATGGCTGTCCACTAACTTGTTGGAAGGTTCCACTCACCCGTTTTGGTTGAGGCAAAGGTCTTGGAATTCTTTCATTCGAAACTGATCGTGGGAAGGTCTTGTTTGGAGAGGTTGGACTGAGTCCATTATTTGTGTTCTCATTATTTGTTGAGGTTGGTGTTGGTGTTGCACTGTTATTTGGAGTGGTTGTTGTAGAAATTGTGGTAGCAGATTTATGCCTTGAAGCCAAAGCTGCAAATCCAGTCAGGGATGTATTCCTTTGTGGAATACTTGGTGTAGCTCCATTGTTTGAGGTGACCACAATTTGAGTGCCATTATTGTTGTTACCATTATAACCACTATTATCTCTTGGTATTACCTTTGGTGGAGATTGAGATCGTTGTTGTGGAGAGTCATCAGAGAAAAATCCCCACACTGTATTATCCTGAATGGATGATGATGATGGAGCATTAAGAATATTTGGTTGTTCCATTTCAGTTGTGAATTGATCAAAATTTTCAGTAGATATAGAATTCTTCATGGCAAGTAAATGTTTTGGTAGTGGTGGTAATTTTCTAATTGGTTGCTGAGCGTCGTTAGCTGGTTGCTGTTCCATATTAATTGTAGGAGAGGTATTATCCTCAAAGCTCAGCAAATCATCTACAACCTCAACTTCTGGAATTGTCTGCTCCTTGAAATTTTCTCCAATATGTAATAACATTTTGGCAATCACTGGTTTGTGATCACTTGTACAAATTGTAATCTCTGATGAATATTGAAGAACTTGAATTCTAGCATTGTACTTGAAAAATATTCTGTCACACCATGAAGGAACTCTCTCTTTTTTGGAGCTGAAAATATTGGAAATGTCATTAAAATCAATTCCAATAAGATCACTTGGATCAAATGATTTACACTTGTAAGTAGGAATGAAATCCAATGTTCCAGCTTCATGATATCCTTTCAGAATTTTACCAAGTCGTTTCTCCTTTTGTAATTGGTCACACTTGTAGAGAATGGCCAATCGTCCCTGTGAAATCTTTTTAATCACCTCTGCACAACTAAAATCACTATCAATACGGTAATTAAAATCTCCAATAATAATCACAAAATCATCGTTTGTGGTTATTGATACATTCTTATTGGTGCTGTTGTGAAATTGTAAAGAACTGTTGTGAATTAGAGAAGGATCTTCCACTGCCTTGCTAATAATTGAATTCAAAGCTGCATTTCTTTCCAATAATTTTTCTGTGTGAGCTGGAAGATGAACATTGATAAAATTGAGTCTAATATATTCCATAAATTGTAATATTATTTGATGATGATGAATTTAATATGAATAATAATCCGATAATAATTATAATCATTATAATATTATTAATAATATAAATATTATCAATATTAATAAATTAAATAATTATTAAACATACTGTCTATTAAACAATTTAAATCTAACACTGACAGATCCCTTGTTTCCGAGAGCTCTCGAAAATCCCTCTCTCACCTCACTCACCATACAAGGAGAGCAATATCTAGCCAATTTAAACTGCACCCACACAAATATACATAATCCAACCAACTGATGGCAAGCAATACAATCATACGATGGAAAAACCTCAGATAGAACTGATCTCCATACAGAAGCAGCCTCTGTCTGCTCAGTAATCAATGCCTTGGCATTCATCTCAATTTCCTGAAAACCTAACACGATAATATCAGGCACTGAACCATCACTCTCATCAATGAATAATTTTGAAAAGTATCGTTGTAGATAGGATCGGTTTGGTTCCTGAGAGGCTACATTCCACGTACAGGCATGAACTAGTAAAGTCTCTGGAATTTCCTTGTCGAACGATGAAGGATAATTCTTTCCGTTGTGCATCATTGTTTTTAATTCTGTTGGTATTTAAAATTGATTTTAATATTATGTAACCTGTTATAGAGAGAAGAATTAATGATGAGGTGATGTTGCTGTTGTTGTTATTTGTTTTTTTGAAAGAGATTCTCTATTGATGATGAATTGGTTCTCTCCTTTCAATCCACAATCGGGTTGTTCTTTCTCACTTTTCGTTTTTTTTGATGTTTGTTTCAAATTAATAACAGTATGAACAGTAAATAGCAGCTGTATTATTATTAATAATGAATTCAAGTATTAATAATATTGTTTCCTCAAAGAAATGCATTCCAATTGATTTATGGTTTCTCTACACTTGTTATACAACCTTGGTCTGTCAAAAATTTGCCGCCATAAAAACCGTTAAACAAGTTTCAAAAAATAAGTTAAATATTTTTGAACAGACAAAACAATCACTTCCAACCCACACTCGAATATAACAACAAAAAAAATCAAAACATAGATGAGCGACTCCAAACTATGCTCCTGTGGTGTTCCCGTCAAAACTTCAACCGTTAGAAAGGAGGGACCTAACAATGGCCGACCATATATGCACTGCGAGAAGAGAGATTGTAAATTCTTTGAATGGGCCGATCAACCTTCTTCTTCATCATCAGGCTTTGGTGGTGGATTCAAGAAGCAACAAACAAATTCTTCATCATCATCAGGCTTTAATTTTGCCAAATCAAATAATAGTAGCAGCAGCTCATCTTCCTATGGAAAATCATTGTCAACAGCAGCTGCTGATCCTAATATTCCTCCAAAGTGTGCAAGCCATCACGAAGATGCCATTCTCAGAAAAGTAAAGAAAGAAGGACCGAATAATGGAAAGTTGTTTTGGTCTTGTGCTAGGGATAAGGAAGAGGCTTGCAAGTTTTTTGAATGGTTTAAGGGAAATGATGCTGATGTGGAACATTTGGTTAATGTGAATCCTTCTTCCGCTACCTCGACTGTTTCTAGTAATGGAGAGGACAAGAAGAGAAAATTTGATGATTCTGAAGATTCGAATACTTTCGAATCAGATAGCAAAAAGGTCAAGGATGATACACCATTTGAGTTATCTAGTTATTTGCAAGATGAATCATGGAAGGAATTGTTGGATAAGGAATTCCAAAAGTCATACTTTAAGAAATTGAACCAATCTGTTGCTAAGGAATATGAGGAAAAGCCAAAAACTGTCTATCCAAAGAAGGATGAAATCTTTTCTGCTCTCAATGTTTGCCCATTTGATAATGTAAAGGTTGTAATTATAGGACAAGATCCGTATCCTCAATGGTATGCTCACGGAATGTCCTTCTCTGTAAAGAAGGGTGTTACAGTTCCAAAATCCTTACAAAATATTTATCAAGAATTGGGTAGTGATTCTGATTTGGATAAGCCATTCACAGAACCTGATCATGGCTATTTAATGGGTTTGTTTCTTTACATTTTGAATATTATTGTTAATATCAGTTTGTTACATTTTCACATAATGTTTATCTATCTGAACAGGTTGGGCTGAACAAGGAGTTCTTTTGTTAAATGCTGTCCTTACAGTTGAGAAGGGAGCTTCCAATGCACACAAGGTACGTATTTTTAATGCTTTCTTTATTGAGCTTATTCTAAAATTTAAATTATTCATTATTAGGGCATTGGATGGGAAACTTTTACTGATGCTGTCATTGAACAATTGGCAAAGAAGAAGAATCTAGCCTTTTTATTATGGGGTAAAGATGCACAACAAAAAGGAGCCAAAGTTGACAAGAAGAATAATTTGGTCATTACTACCTCTCACCCTTCACCATTCTCTGCTGATAAAGGATTTTTAGGATCCAAATGTTTCTCTAAATGTAATCAATACTTGGTTCAATGTGGAATTGAGCCAATTGATTGGTCAAATCTCAATTAATTTATTAAATCAAAACAATGTATTATTCATCAATTCAATCGTTAATTATTACAATTAACTTGGAACAACCATAAAACAGAAGAAAAAAATGTCTCAACTTCCTCCACTATTAGAATCTCCTAACCATGTGCAGCAGTGGACTATAAATTTGGCTGCCCTGGTGTTCATTCTAATTGGGTCATTCCGCAAATTCTAATGCAAGGTGCCTATCCGAAAGAGTTTGAAGCATTCCAAGACTTTTCCTTGGTCGTGAATGTTTCCGAGCATGCATTCTTTGGTAGTTATAGAAACTATATTGAGAGGAATCCCAACACAATTCGATATTTGCATTTGCCCATTGCTGATTATTCCATTGCTCCAGATGAAGATCTCATTGAATTGGTGAGTAAGGTTGTTCTTTTAATTGAGGAGGGATTAGCGAGCAACAAGAGGGATAATTTTAAAGTTTACATTCACTGCCTTGGAGGGAAGGGGAGATCCGGAACATTGACTAGTCTTGTATTTGGTTTGCTCTATAATCGACAATTTTCCAAGACGAAAGAGAGAGAACTGATGAAGGGAGAGGAAGTTCTCCAGTGGATTCAGAAATTCTTTGAAACCAGATCTACTCCATTCTATCCTATTAAGGACTATTCACCAGAAACTGATGAACAATGTGAACAAGTTAAACGTTTGATGGAATATTTCAATAACAAGTTAAAAGATGGAAATTAATTATCGTTCTTTCAAAGATACAATAGAGAAATTGATGTTGGTTACATGTAATATTTATTCTCTTCAACTTGTAATTGTTCTCGTTCGTCCTTCTCTAATTGTATGGAATATCTCATAAAGGTGTCGCCACAAACTAAACTCTTGACAACACTCTCCAAACCATCCAACAAATCTATTTGCCCGTAACCAGCCATAATTTTAGTCACATGAATGTCTCTCGTTTGTTGTGAAATATTGAGCGGAGTCGGAGAGTGAATTAACAAATAGGTCTCAATTATTTCTTCTTGTTTCTTTGCTCTGTCGGATGGTTTCTTCAAACTCTTATAGAACATGACATCCTCTAAGAAATTCAAATTCTCCTCAGAACATTCCTTCTTACAAAAACTTCTAAATTCTTCTCTCAAGTTTGGATTGAACAAGACTCTTTCAAATTCCAAATTTTGCTTGAAAGTTTCCATTTGCTTGACTGCCTTCTTCAATTCCTGTTGGTGAATCATATTTCGAGCAACAATGACAAATACTTGACATGTTAATCCTTCTTCCTCAATTGACATGTTAACTTTTGTTACAGAAATAGTGACAGGTGTATCAAATCCAAGTGGTGAAACGAGAATAGATTCCCATCTTGTTTTAGTTTCAGATAATTCCTCCAACTTTTTCAACACATCACCATTCGTTTCACTTTCTTTTCCACTTTCGTCTCCATATTTCAAATAGTCCCCTATGAGACTTCTCGATTTTGTGAGAAATCTACTCTCAAAAGCATTATTAAAATTAATCAACTTTCCATTATTGGCATGTGCAGTCACAATGAAATCATCAATACTATTCATAATGACTCTTATCTTTTGCTCAGAGAGTGACATCTTTTCCAATAATCTTTGCATGAGCTCATTGTCCTGAGTGAGCAATTGTTGAGAAGCATCCAAGGTCTGTAACATGTTATTGACATCTTTTGAAAGAATTCCCAATTCATCATTTCCAACTGAAGGTACTCTTTGATTACTGTCATTATTGAGTGTAATTTCTCTGACAGCCCTTGTCAATTTTAATACTCTTCTCAAAATGATAAATTCTAAAAAGAGAATTACAGAAATGGAAAGAATAATAATCATGGCAGTCATGACACCCCATGTAATAAAGAAAGAGGTAATTCCCAACGTATAGACATCTCTAGGAAAGTCAGTTTTCATTACAAATGTATTTGTGCGAGTAATGTCATAAAATTGTTGATAAACTGTCATTCTAGTTTCTTCAGTTTCGGATTCTCCACATTGTCTATTGAGAACTGATTGAGTATTTCTGAGCTCAGTATAAGTGGCTGATTTTACAAAATCTCCAGTGTTATTTGTCCAGTTTCTAACATTTGTAGAGTCTATAATAGTCGGTTTCCAATCTCTTGTTTGTTGATTAATGGAATTGGTCAACTCACTGTCTCTCATCTTGTCAATTGTCGAATAATCTGATTCAGACATTGTTGATTTCAAAAATGAAACCTTATCATTACTATTATCCAAATTATACATTGTCAAACAAAGTTGAGTTCTTTCAGACATGTCACTCATCAAATCTCTTGTTTGAAATCTTGCAAAAACAAGAACTCCATAACTTTTCAAATAATCCGTGTCTTGAATTGGCATTGCACTCAATAACATGATATTAGGATAATTCTCCTCTTCAGAAATTCCCCACTTTGTATCATTAGGATATTTCATCATTTGTGAAAAACTTTGAATTGGTGAGAAAATTCCAACATTTTTCGTCGAGGTCACTAACATGTTCTTTTTCAATTGATTACCGACTGATGTGTCAAGACTTTGTAATTCTATAGGTATGTAATCGAGTTCATATCCATTGTAACAACCTAAACCTTTCAGAAGAGTTCCATTCAGATAATAAATCAGAGCATAATTGACATGTGTCGCCAATTGATATTGACAGTGAAGATAATACTCTAGATATTGAGTGGCTTTCTGCTGAGCATCTATTCCTGTATTATTCACCACCACGACAGTATCTCCAAAACATGCATATTCAAACACTCGTCTTTCATATAAGAATTTGTATACAATTATTCTAAACTAAACCTACCCTGTCAAAGTTACCAAATCATCAGACAATGCCCTTGTCGACCTCTTTGCATCCTCCAAAGCTATCGATCTCTCCACACTCAAAAAGGAAATATTAAAAGCCACCAACAAGGTCGCCAAAACCAAGGCAACCAACAAGAGAAATAACGAAACCAAAACTGTAATCGTTTTAAATCGTAAACTTTTCAATTTTCTTATCAAACTCTCACATGCAAGTCCATTTCCATGTTGATATTGCTGTAGATGATAAAAAGAAGATGTAGCTGATTTTTTTAATTGTGGAATGTCCAATCGTCGTGGTGTTGTAATTATTGACTTGTTTTCATGTGATGTGAAAATTTGTTGTTGATAATTGTTGTGTTGGTTGAGTAGAGAGGTTGAAGAATTGGAAGAGTTGGTGGGTGTGTTGGTCAATTCGAGGTGAGGAAGGTTTTTGAAGAATTTGCTGGTGGGAGAATTTGAACTGTTATTGTTTGTTGTTGTGGTGGTCATGGGTTTCGTTTTGTTTTTTTTGATGTTTAGAATAGAATGGACGGGATTGGCAGTCTTGTGAAGTGGCTGTTGTGGAGACCTTATTGTAAAGTGAAGAGTCAAAATATTTTCCCTAAACGAAAAATAATACCTTAAATGGGAAGTTAATGGATGAATAGTAGGACCAAACTTTGCTTCATTTTCAATTCATCTTCCTTCTCCTGCTGTGTATTTTGGATAAATTGTAATTCAGGTGTGATGACCGAATAGTTCTGCATCAATTTCCAATAATTACTCGACAAGCAAGCCTTTGATCCAATTTAAATTCTTTTGTAGTACTCTTGATGAGGGAATAACTTTTTCTTTGATCTTGCTCCTTGAGGACCTTCATTGCAAAATTCTTTTCTAATTCTTGTTGGTGTTATCAAAACCATTAAATTGTTCTTCATCAATTTGTTTCCGAAAAATATTCATACCATTTCAATGAGACACTTAGTTGTTGGGGTATTTAAAGTTTATATTACTGATGATGGTATCCAATCCAACGATCACACCACTATTAAGATGTTTCATGGCTTGTCCTCAATCCAGCATTTTTTTTGTAAATTTTGAACTCGAAACTTAAAACAATTTCAATGAAATAGTAAGGAGTTAAGGACAATAAAGGAGTAAAGGACAATAAAAAGACTACAGCACCACAGGTTCCCAAGTTGTCTCCAACCTCAGTACTGATGTGGCTCGACGATGCTTAACTACTCAAATCGGGCGGGATGAGGTGCATTCATCGTGATATGGCCGTAGCCATTCATTATCTTAAAATTAAGAATTATCAACTTGGGATTTTTGCAATCAATCTTTGCATTGAATTTTAGATTGGTCAATCATAGTTTTATTCAAGAATTAAGCATTGCTTCCGTAATGAAAGACGATTCTCTTGAAATTAGTAGTAACTCCGAAAATCTGATAATAAATATGATGTTTATTATCTATTTAAATAGTAGTACTAAAAGACATGATTCAAGTTCATGTTGAGATATGATTCATGTGCATGGTGCACAAAATAACAATAACATTTGAATCTGGCTGTTATTAAGTTTCCAATTTTAATTTTGAGTGATCCTTTCTGAAAAACCGTTCCACTGCCGAATTTTGGAATGTATAGTCATATTCACCTTTTCTTAACAGGTTAGAGCTGAAAATTATCTGTGCTTGTTTTGCAGGAATGGTTGCTAATATAACCTCACTTTTTTCTGGCTCAAAAAGCAAAACTTTTACCAACTTTTTAAAGTACTTGTAGGCTCTTTCTTTTTTCTGCAATTCGTCAAGATGAAAATGGATATCTTTTCGAACAAGCTTTTCCAATCCAAGCAAATCAACTTGACCATCAGACATCCTTTCAACTTTTTGCATGTAAATAATGTTGTTTCCTGTTATATTGATAATTTCCAAAACAAGAGCTGAATCTTCTATTCCAAATTCAGCCTTTAAGAATTCTCTAGCAAATTCGTTAGATGGTGAAAGCTCATTAAGAGTAACTCTACCACCACCCAGTGAAATTGATTGTGCTGCAACTCCATCAGAGGACAGCATGAGTAATCCAAAAGGCCTTCCACTACAACTGACATCTCGCCAAAAAGCAATAAACTTGTTTGTAATTTCTGGGTTTCTGTTGGCTCCATCAATTACAATGATAGGGCATTGCTCTTTCATTATCTCCAAATAGTCCCTTAAAGTATGGAAAATTACAAAGTCTGTTGCCTCTTCTTGAACAGAAATCAGTTTAAGCTTAATCCCAATATCTTTCCAAGAGTTTCCACTTTCCAAATTAACATAAATATAGGTTTGGGGATTCAGTTCTTGCAAAACCACTTGCAGCATTGTGGTTTTCCCAATACCACTCTCTCCATAAAAATACCACATTAACTGTTTCTGAATATTGCATGATTGCATTGTCTTAATGGCTCTAGAAAATTCTCGTGAAAATATAGGCTCCTTGATTTTTGGAATGAAGTGGACAGTTTTCTCAGCAAAGAAAGTATTATTTAGCAGAATGAGTTTATCAGAAAACTCTTTGACTTGAACCACTATTTTGTTATTTTGATATGAATAGCCAATGTACACAGCAATGGAGACCAAGATTGTACCAATTACCATCACAATCACACCCGCATAATTAAAACAAGTGAAAAATGTGGAATTCTTCTTTTCACTTTTTGCTTGTTCTTCTGCCAACAACAATTTATTGTTTTCTGGAGATGAATCCTCAAAGTCTGGAAGAACATGTACGGGCTGAACGTTATTGCTTTCATTGGGGGACATTTTTTTCAACAGTATTATAAGGCTCAGTAAAAGAGTTAATTGTCGAACGGAATCGGATTAACATTTTCTTCTTTCCATTTCTCTTCTGTTCTTTTCAACTTCATATGCAATTTCAGGAGGCATTCCATTTCTCTGATCCTGTAGTTTTTACTGAATTGAGGCTATGGAACCAAATAAACAAATGCTCATCATTAGAATTAGGACCTTCAATGGTCAAGAGAAGCAACATTTCCATTCATAATGTAAAGAGTTTTGTCTGGTGATGAATGCGTTATTTTCTCATTAAAAAGTTGGAAACTAAAAGTTAAGTGCAAAGTCAGCCGTGGAGGGGCGATTGGACAAATTGTCAAAACCTCTTTTAGATTGAGTTGACCATTTGTTTGTTGCCATATTAAAAAAAAATGAAAAGGAACTCTGGTATCTTCTGACCACTTTCATTCTCACAGTGTTCTTCTTTGTACATGTTTCTGCTGATCTTGGTTGTTCTATCACAACAACCAACAATCAAGTTATTGATTTATCTGTTTTAGATCAGATGGGCGTTTTTAATGCCTCTGGTATGGATCCAAACTTTAATTATTACTTGTAAGTTTCAAAGTTGACATCACAAAGTAACTTTTTTTACACATGCGAAAAGTAAAATTTGTACGGGAGGTGCAAATCCCAATTCTCGTCTCTGCAACTTTACCTCTCAAGGTTTCCAGTACTCTTCTTTGTATGAACTTTGCTATCCAATTGGAGCTACCAACCCAAGAATTAGTTTTATAAATCCAAGTTCTGAACAAGAAGGTGTTTCCATTGTTCATTCTGAAATTGTAGCATCAGATGGTGTTCTAAGAAAGCTCAAAATTAATCTAGTTTGTGATTATGCTCTAGAAACTCCAAAGTTTACTTTTATGAGTGAGTCAAAGGAAGGTGGAGTGATTACCTATCTATTTTCAGGAAGAACCAAATATTCATGTCCACCAAAGCCAAAGGTTGTAGATTGTACCATTAAAACAACTAGTGGTGTAGTATTGGATCTATCTGTTTTGGATCAGAGTAATGGATATGTTGTTTCTTCAACAAATGATCCTTCTTGGAATTATTACTTGTAAGTTTAGATCAGTTCAGTTTACTTATTCGTCCTTTTCAATATAGCAATGTGTGCAATATGATTAACAAACCAAGCACTGAAACTTGTACAACGACATCCCAAGCATATCAATATTCTAAAACTTACAACGTTTGCTTCCCTATTGGTTATGGAGCCAATCCAATTTTGAGTTTTGTAAATCCAGCCAAAGAAAGAGAAGGTGTTAAAGTTGTTCATAGTGAGATTTACAATACCGATGGAGTGGCTAGAAAGCTTGAATTACGTTTGTATTGTGATAGAAACGCCCAAACTCTCCCAACATTCCAATTCATTGGTGAAACAAGAGAGGGTGGTGTTATTACTTACCAATTTTCTGGTAAAACTAAATCAGTATGTCCTGCACTCCCAGAAATTCCAAAACAATGGGGTGGATTGAATTATATTGATTTGGATGATTATTCCAATAGAATCGTCTCCTATCGTCTAGATTCATTCATTGGACAACCAACATTGAATGTGCAAGTTTTACCATCAAGTTCAATCCAAAAGTACCTTTTTATGATTAGTGACTGTACAAAGAATAGCTGGAGTTCAACATTCAAGTTTGATAATTCCTCATTCTTGCAAAATTATGGATGTGTTTCTATATTTAGTCAAGTTTCGAACGAAACAAATCCAGTCCCTCTTTCAATTAGTTTCACTCAACCAAGCTCTGAGATGATGTTAGTAATTCAAACAAGTACCAACCAGGAAATGGTAAACATGGGCAATACCAACTCATACACTGTCCAACCATCTAGTGTTAGATATAACTTGATATATTCAAGAAAGATAATGTACAATTATAAGGAACTAAAGCTTAATGAAGAGTTATCCATTTCCCAAAAGGATTCTGAATTGTATTTGGCAACTGTTAAATTCCCTGCCAATTCGTACCTGAAACTCAATTGTTATCAAATCAAAGATATTTACGTTAGCAAAGAGGTTGCATGGAATACTGCTCAAGAAATTGTATCCTCTGATTATCATTTAACCAAATCTGGAGTTCTTTATATCTACTCTGGAGAGACACAAGTTGAGTACAAACTTGTAATTATTGGAAATGCTTATTTGTATACAAGCGTAGTAGATTTTGTTTATACCTCTAACACAGTAACAGGTCTTTCCCTGTCATTGGCAGCGAGTATTTTCATTCTGGCACTGGTTATTGTAATTGGTATTGTTGTAATCATCAAATTGAGACAAAAACAAAACAATTTGGGTGATTTGAAAGTTAGACTCAATTAAAAACTGCTGCCCCTAAATTATGCAATAAATTACTAGTTCTCCCTAAATCTAACTGTCGTCAAAGGACTTGTTTAAACTGAACCAAGGTTGCAAGTATTAATTATTTGCAAAAGTTTGGAAAATACTGCACACTTCTTGCTCTATCTTGTCTTTTTCTTTAGTTTTTTGGATACTAAAAGTTGTTGCTTTTGAACTTGCATGTTTTCTTGTGTCCAAAAATCAAAATGCAATAAGGAACTATTCTCTAAACTAGTAGAATTATCAATGATACTGTTGTTTGGGTGATGTTTCAGATATTTGAGACCTGATAGTGAGGAAATCATGGATGATATTATCAAAGTTTGTAATTTTGGAAGATTTGTTGAAATCTTGCTTCTCAGATCAGGATCTTTGGAACGGAGTGTTGTCTCCTCATTCTCAAAGTAATAGCCAATGATTTGGAGGGAAATCAAGTTTGGTAGTGCTGGTAATCTTTCTAGTTGAATGTATTGCATTTTCGATTCGAGGTTAATGTCATAGGTTGACCATCTTTCAATATGAATGGTGCGTAGTGTTGTTTGACATTCGTATTTGGATAGATCTTTAAGAGCGAGTGATAAATCTCTACCTAGGGCCTGTATACAATCGAATGAAATATCCTTCATATGATGAAAGTGTTGTATCAGTTTGATGTTATCCACTCCTCGACAATACGAACCAAAGCAATGCAATGATTCAAGTTTGATGAATCTTTTCAACAATATCAAGCTTTGAACTTTCTGTAGACTGTCCACTTGTAAATGTTTAAGATTTAAAGGTAATTTTTCAATAAAGGCATCGAAATCACTTTGAGAATTTCTAAAATCACAATAGTGGTCTATATATTCAACCTTAATGATGGAGAGTGATTGGAGTTGCGAACATTCACATAACTGATCCAATACCAAATGCCTTATTTCTGGTGTCAAACTATAAAATTTACAAAAAGAAATGTCAAAATGTTTCAAATTAGTGGGAAATTTCAAATCACATTCTAGATCACTCAAAATACATTTGTTCAACGTTATATTTTCCAAATGAGGTAAATTACTTAATATTTCTTTCATGGATCCTTCATAATAGTGAATCTCCAGTATTGTTAATTTTTGAAAATAACAGAGCTTGATACACCTAGACTCTTGGTCGATAATTCGTAATGATACAATATTTGGATAATCAATTTGAAAGGTTTCTTCACACAATACAGCATTAGTATGTTCAAAAGACAACTCGGTTAATTTACATGAATTTTTCAAAACCTTGCTAACAAATGTCTTGTATAATTCACAATCTTTAGCTTCCTCTGCTGTATATTTGATATTTTTCAATGTTAATGATTCAAGATTTTGTAATAGACCAGAAATCACTCCACTTAACAATTCCAATCCACTCTTTTCATTATCCATTGAATCAAAATCTAAAGCACTACTCATTGCCTGGTTACAAAAAGTTGAAGAATTAATTTCCAAACCTTTAATTCCACTCCAAAATGTTTCAAAATTTGCAAACAGACAACTTGATTTTGGCCTCAATTTGTTTACACCCTTTTTAGCTCTACTCTTTCCACCTTTCTTCCTATCAAGATTTGTCAAATTTCTATGCAAATCCTCATCAATCTTAACCAATAATCCAAGTGGAAAATCCTTCAGTTTATCAAAGACAATCCTCCGCACTCCATTCACAAACTTTCCCATAAAAACACTTCTAAAGTATTTCATCCTCTCAATTTCCTCCTTTGATCTGAAATAAAAGTTGAACAATTCATTACTTCCCAATAAGCCTTCCTTCACCTTCATGAAAGCTCTATGGTACACCTCCTTACAAATATTCAACTCTCTAACTTGACCTGATTCCAAATACATTCCGAATATTGATTCAGACCATCTGTTCAAAGGCCTAATTTTCAAACAACCTTCTCTTACGGATAAACAATTTAATATTTGATAAATTAATTCTAGTGGCAGATTTTGTAAAATGTTCTTCCCGTGTACAAACATTATTTCATTCTTGTTTTTAATTGATTTGGATTTGTTTAATTGTTGCTTTTTCCGAGTTGGGTTTTGTTTTTTTCCTTCTTGTTGTTTTCTATTTGAATGATTTTCTTCATCGTCATATTTTGATAACACACTCCATTGATTTACACTATTGCATCCATCATCATTATCGAAATCATAATCATCAAACAATGACATTTTTTAATTAAATAAATAATAAATCTTAATTAAATATTGATGATTATTAATACTAATAATTAATTTATTCCTCAAAAAGATTATCCAATATGATCAGCAGCTCTTTGATAAAATTGATTATGTTCACTCGTAAAGGAAGGAATCATTTCATGTTCATGTTCCTTAAGAAATTCTTCATCTCCTGCTTGCTTATTTCTCATATAGACAAAACACTTGACAATACTACCAACATTCCATTCCGATGATTCAGGAACAGATGTAACAATCACCTCAATAGGAATTCTATTATAATGTCCAGTATCACATCCTTCAAATATATCCAACTCTTCCAAATGTTTGGCATCAACCACTCGGTAAACTTCTCCTTCAATTTGATGACCAATTCCTTCTGAATCAAAAAGGTATGGTACTTTTCTCTCTCCAGCAACAATCAGTGGATACTTGTTGAGTGTTTTAGCATGGGCCAATAATTTACAACATGGATAGTGGACCATTTTGTGTTCATAGTTGGCCATTCCTGTTTTCAAAGTTCCGTACACATAGATGAGCGTGCCCATTTCTTCATGTTGTTGTGTTGCCATTTTTTTTGAAAGATCTTCACTAGTTTTATGAAAGGTGGAGAATCTCTATTGAAAACATGAATACTAATTGTAATCAATGATAATTATTAGTTATGCAACCAACCCATGACCTCCGTGAGTGTTGACCAAAACAGTGCAACTTAGATCTTGATCTCAACTTAATCGTAATCTCAATTGTTTAACTCCAACTGCAAATTTCCAACTATTCCAATATAGGCTAAGGAGCAATTTATGCTTGTAATTTGAAGAACCTTTAGAGATTTCACAAGAATTCTTCCAACATCTTAATGAAACATGTTTAATTGTTTAAGGATGTTAAATCATCTTTCAAAATACTGAAAGTTCAAGTTTACATAATTCTAGCACCTGCATCCCACAAATATTGTAAAATTCTTGTAGCCTTCTCCATGTCACTATGCAATAGAGCTTTAGAAGCAATTGAAAGAACTGTCCAATTTTCACAATCCTTGTCGTCCAGAGGAGCTCCATTTTCCACCAAAATTTTCACTACCTCTTCAAACCCATATTGAACTGCATCCATGAGAGGTGAACGTAAGTTTCCATCTCCTTTCAAATTGTAACCCAGTGAGATTAAATGACGAATATTGTCAAGCTTATTATTCCACATGGCATATTCGAAAGCTTGCTTCTTAAGAATGTCAAATTGAGGATTGGCAGCAATATAATCCTTAAATGATTCCACTTCACACATTCCCGCTGTTTTCAAGAATAACTCTTCATTGTCCAAGTGAAGAGTTACCACTTGTTTAGTCAATATTACACGACTTTTGTGAGATTTTAGAATAATCCCAAGAGGTGAATGATCAGGAATTGATACTGGAACAATTTCAGGCATTTCTTCAACAATTCCTCTCTTTACCATGCAAACATTTTCATCAGTTTCAAAGATGGACTTGCTGATAGAAACTGAATTATACTCGATAATGTCGTCAATGTCTTGGACAGAGAATTGAACTTTGAGACATGGATATGAGTCCATATCAGCAAAATTAATATAAAACCAATTAGCATAACCAAAGTATTCATTTCTTTCCTCTGAGGAAACACTTTCCATAACCAACTTATCATTGGTGAACATTGGAAGAATACTATTCAATGCAAGACCTTCCTCCAATGAGAATATTTTCCTATCAACCATATCAACAATCATATTCAACACTTTGGCAACGTTAGTAAATGCCTCAAATCCATGCTTTGATGAATCAACAAGTGCCAAAATCTCTGGACACTTTCTATTCCAATAGTGAGCTCCAAGTGTGTAGGCAAATGGCTTTTCACTCGGATCAAAACCCTTATTAAAATCAAATATCAGCTTGATAGAATGTCCCCCTCCTCTAACATCATCAAAGAAATCCATTCCAGGTCTAACAATTTCATGTTCACAATAATATTCAAATCGACTTTCCAAATTCTCAGTCAAACAATCGTGCAACTCTTTTTCCTTTCTTTCCTGCAATTGAGCCTTCAACAACTCCAACTTGAGCTTTTTAGCACTGGAAAATCTTCCCTTCAATTGTTGTTTTTGTGAAGTTAGATCTAACTTTCTCTTTAATGAAGTAGTATCATTACCATCTGAAAATAATTGTTGCTGATTATTGGTGCTGCTAATAGATGATTTTTCGTCTTCTTGATCATCATTCTCAATATTTTCCCAATCGGAATCATCTTGATCAAGTAATTCTTCAATCTTTTTCGTGTAATTGGAAAATTTGGAAAAGATATCATCACCATGCCATGGAGCATATAATTGTGGCACATAGCATGTTTTCCATTCCTCTTTCGAATAATAGTCGTATAATTCCTTTCGATATTCATTCACAGAGGCACCTCTCTGGTCCAACTCTGCGAACTTTTGCAAAACTTCAACGGAAGGTCGAGGTTTTGGATTTTGATATTTGCTATTACGTAGTGGAGGCATTTTTCTATCAATTGCTTTTAAAATCATGTCTTGATTTTCCTGCGTTTGCTGGTTTAATTGACTGTTTACAATGATGTTTTCACAGTCAACTGGCAAGCTATTAAAAAAAATGAGCAAACGAAATAGAAAAGATTTTGAAAATATTCAATTGACTAATTCGGAGGAAATAGACTTCACTAGTAATAATAACAATATATTGGAAGAGAAATCAAAAACAATTGTAAAACTCGAACATCAACAACAGGAAATATTTTCCGATGATATTTGCTTTGAAATAATTTCCATGATTGATGATTCGTGGTTTATTCTAAATAATTGCTCATTAATTTCAAAACAATTCTTTAATGTGATCAAGGAACGTTCAAAACTCGATATTGAATTTACAAAAGAATTAACAGAGAAACGAGTTGAATTATTCATGAAAAGTCAATTTGTGAATAGTATTGTTAATGTTAGATTTTCTAACTATTTTCTTGAACAAGTCAAGTTCATCAGTGAAATGAAACAATTGACATCACTTGATATTTCTTACCATAATATTGGTGATGAAGGAGCCAAATACATAAGTGAAATGAACCAATTGACATCACTTAATATTGCTACCAATCGAATTAGTGATGAAGGAGCTAAATTCATCAGTGAAATGAAACAATTGATAATACTTGATATTTATGAAAATGAAACTGGTGTAGAAGGAGCCAAATACATAAGTGAAATGAAACAATTGACATCACTTAATATTTATGAAAATGAAATTGGGGATGAAGGAGCTAAATACATCAGTAAAATGAAACAATTAATATCACTTAATATTGCTAACAATCGAATTGGTGTAGAAGGAGCCAAATTCATCAGTGAAATGAACCAATTGACATCACTTTATATTTATGGCAATGAAATTGGTGATGAAGGAGCCAAACTCATCAATGAAATGAAACAATTAATATCACAAATACTATAACTGAATGACCGCATTGCTTTGAAATGTTGCTTTTTAAAAATTGGAATTTTTAATATTCAATTGAAGATTATTACTTTTATTAATTTGTTTTCATAAGATTTAAGAGTAGATTTGCAAATTCAAGCAATTTGTAACAAAACTCTCAGCAGAAACTGGAAGGGCATTTAAAAATCTCAAACCAGCATAAACAAAGGAATTATTCAAATCAATGACACGTTCATTCTTGATCAATCCACCTAAGATCAAGTTGGCTGCATGGTTTGAATGAATTGAGCCAGGGATCTTGTCCAAATTCTTGATAGTTTCTCCCATTCTTGTATCAGTGACACCAGCAGGATTGACAACATGTAAAACTAATTGTTTTTGATTGGCGTACTTTCTGCTCATTTCCTTAAAGTTTCTAACCACATCGGAAGAGCTATAATCCAAATTATTCTCATGTTGATTTTGATTGTCATTGTTATTGAGAATGAATTGGAACATTCTGGAGAATTCGAATAGGAAAGTTTTGGTAATTCCATAAGGACCCATCAATTTTCCATGATAACCAGCTCCACTTGCAACAACTACAACATGTTTAGGCAATCTAGAATCAATATTTCTATTCTTGGCTTGTTTCATTGCAGGCAAAACTGTATTCAATGTACCAAAAATGTTGACTTGGAATTCTTGATAAATTACATCTTCTTCATCTTGAATGTTTTCTCCTTTTTTATCGGTTTTACCGCCATTTTGAGAAGAGAATTCTCTGGAAAGGATTTGAGAATTGGTTGCTGCACTGGCAATAACCATATCATAATCTTGTTCAGTGACAACTTTCTCAATTTCCTTTCTGTCACAAATGTCACAATCTCTAACTTGAATGTCAACTAATTCTTTCAAGTTTCTACTGGAAAAGGTTGAGTAAATTTCCTCTCTAACCCTTTCTAATTTATCCAAATTTCTAGAAACAAGAGTGAGTGTTTTCTTTTCATTTGAAACTTGACCAAGTTTAGTTCTCTTTTGAATCAACCATTGATTGCAAATTGACTTGGCAAGTGACAAACCAATTCCACAACTTGCTCCAGTAATGAGAATACTGTTGGAATCCAAGGTTGGAGTTTGCTCACTAACAGAGAGAGTCAATTGATAGAAGAATCTGAAAAACTGAACCATCAAATTGAGGAATGAAACTGCTGGATAGAGAGTGACCACGAAAACGAATTCGAATAATTCATTGATGAGGTGGCTTGGGCAAATTACATCATCTCTATTGAAGAGGTAATGTTTGATGTTGTTGAGAATGATTCTTGGAGAAGTGTCCATTGAATTTGAATTATTTTTTAAAGATGGGAATGGTAATGGAGAAGATATGTGTTCGATTTAAAGAGATTTTATGGTTTGAATTAGGCCAGAAATGTGATATGGCCTTAATGTTTGAAGAACCCAAATTGTATAATTTAGAAGTAATGAATGTAAGGGGTTATAGCTCAGTTGGTAGAGCGTCTGCTTTGCATGCAGAAGGTCTAGGGTTCGATTCCCTATGACTCCACTTTTGCTATTTTGATTAGTGTAATAAGGAAGCAAACTCCGTTGGCAACGAACGGAGTATGAGGACAAACTATGACATTCATTATTACAACAATATGATTTAACTGTTGAGTTTCGTTTTTACAATACTTGAATTCTGCGTGAAAGGAGAAACTTATTTTGGAAGTGTATATTTTCTGAAAGGAACCTTGTTTTTCTTGAATATGCACGTGCTTACGGAGAAACTTCTTCCAGGAGTTAATGTTTCCCCCAAGGCACATATTGTCATAATAGCTATAATTGACCAGACAATGCATTGATATTATTGAAATATTGAAAAAAATGTCTCGTTCATTGTTTCTTACAAGCAGAACTTGTTTAATTGCCTTAGTTGCTGTCCTCTTGGTTTCTTCATTCCTATCTGAAACAGTTATTGGTTTCGAATGTAACCAAGTTGACTGTCCTCCTGGTTATGACTATTGTGCATGCAGAGGATTCACATGCTCATGTTCTCGTTATCCTCAACAACAAGCAAACATGGTCGAAAAGAAAATTCCTGTCAGGGAAAGAAGTTGTGGAACTGAAGTTTGCGGAGAAAATTGTTATTGTAATGGATATGAATTCAAATGTGTTTGTCCATTTGAAAAAGCAGACACATATGAAAATGTTGCTGAGAATGAATTGTTTGATGCCATCTATGATGAAGAAGAGTAAATGTGTGGCATTCAGATAGAATATTAGAAACAATAATAAACAAATTGTTGTTTCGAAATGCAATTCTAGCTTTTAATGAACTTTATATTTCAAAAAAAATGGCCAAACTTGAGAGTATTTTCGATTTACTTATCAATTATTCGGAAGAAACACCAGAAATACAACCGACTACTCTATTCGATTCTCTTCCAGACGAAATCATTCAACTCATTCTGACCTTTCTCCTTCCCGACTACCATACCATCACCCAACAACCAAAGTGGTGGAAGAAATACTTCCACACCAACGATCCAAATCTAAAACATGAACATTTCGACCCTGGAAATCCCGAAACTCTTCTCACACTCCTCAGTTTTGCAAGTTTAAACAAGTTTCGTTTCAGAATTGAGTTTAATGAATATTTCCATGAAATGTTCAATGCCTCTTTCAAAATCAATGCTCTCCTCTCTACTAAAGCGAATCCAGACTCTGGCAATATGACCTACCAGGGTGATTGGGGAAATCTATTGAGAGAGGCAAATTTATTTGGAAGATATTATTTGGCGAAGGAGATTGGATGTTTGACTCAATTGGAAGATGATGATTCGGATGGTAGTGTGAATTTACCTTGGGAAATGGTTGATATTGGAGAGGAGGAGGATATTGATGAATATATGAGAAATCAAATGAAATTATTGGAAACTAGATATGAGGAAGAGGAGGATTATTTGATTCGTTATTTGGTTGAAATGTTTGGAATTAAGAGAGAATTTCAACCCCATTTCACATCAACTGTTTTGGTAGAAACAATTTCTGATTCGAATAAATTGGATATGAGTGGGAAATCATTGGAAGTACATATAAGCTCAAATATAGATTCTCAATTTTGGACTGAATGGGAAAGTAAATGGTATGATAGATTGAAATCCTTTATTTTCGCCACCATTACAATTGACAAATCCTTCCCAATTGAACCAATTACTTTTCCTGATAATATTATTGAATTGAATATTGTGACCAAAACTAATTCCAATCCACAATTTATCTTCCCAAATGTCAGAAAACTGACCATAACAGCATATGATTCAAACTCTTTACATTTTATTAACAGGACATCGTTTCCAAAACTAACTAATCTTAAACTAACCATTCCAATAGAAACACGACTCAATAATAGAGAAATATTTAACGAATTGGATAGTCTTTGTGTTGAGTATAATTATTTCGAGTATTTAAATGAGGATGTTGAGGATTTCCTGAATTTGAAACCAAAACATTTATTAACTTATCAATATGCACTCAATCCAAAAAAAGAACTAAATCAAATTCCAAGATTATACAATCATGGTGAATATAATAATATTAGAGTTTCACTCAGTGATGCCACACTCGGCACTTTTTATTCCATGACCTATGAATGAGGTGAGCAAATATTCGAAATCAAAGTAAACTCAATTTATTGTAAACTTGTGAACTTGGAATAAAAAACCCCAAAAAAAATGTCTTTACATGATCAAGATGCTGACTGCAGTTTGGTAATCATCAATCTTATCGATTTCCGTACAAAAGACAACATGTCCAAAGATGATCAAATTAATATTCAATTTTTATTAGAAAAATTCAGAAACAAATTTACTAATCAAATGCTCGGGTCTTTACGATACCAGAAAAAGAAACAATTTCTGATTAGAACTCCCTATCCGAGCATCCCTTTGGTTTTTTATCGTGATCGTGATTTATTTTGTCAAATTCTTGATAAAAATCGACAAATCCAAGATTATCTTTCGTGGTTCATTGTTTGGATGAAAGATTATGAGATTATGAAGAAGATTGCCTTGTATAGCACTTTTGCACTTGCAGAATTGTTTTCTGAATTGAAAAAGCATCGAAAGGAGGTGTGGTACAAGGATTTGAGTGAAGATTTTGAGTTTTGGAAGGAATTTGTTCGACAAGATTCGTATAATTTTGATAGCATTACATTGGCTTCACCAAAAATTCTGGAAAATGTTGGGAAGGTCAAAGCATTGATTAGTATTCGGCCTGAGTGTTTTTTACATATCAGTAACAAGATGAAAAAGAATACTGAGCTAATTATTGCTGCATGTGAACAATCGGGAAATTTCTTCAGATATTTACCTTCCTACTTGCTAAAGAAGAAAATGGTATTGAATGCATTAGAGAAGAACACAGATATTGATTTGAAACTCATTCCAGAGAAAATGTGGGATGCAGAGATTGCACACACTGCTGCCAAATTTAAACCGTACCACTTGCAGGACATTCCTAAAACTTTCGTCACTAGAGAAATTGTCGAGATGGCCATTGGACAAGAAGGATTTGGATACGTCTTCCATCAAGTGAAAAATCCAGCTTTAAGGAAAGATGAAGAGTTGTCAATAATTTGTTTGAGAAATGGAGGAAATTTGGATAATTTGGAAAGATCAGCAATTACTAAGAACATTGCCATGGTCGCTGTTGAAAAAGATGAATATAATTATGTGAGACTTTCAGATGATTTTAAAAATGATTTGGACATTTGTTTGTCTGTATTGAAAAAGAGTGGATGTGCTCTATACGAAATGTCGGAAGAAATGAAAGCAAATAGACAAATTGCCTTACAAGCTGTCAAGACCAGAGCAAGTGCTCTCTACTACCTACCAACTCACTTCCTCACCGATAGAGAAATTGTCCTCCTTGCATTTAGTCATGGTGAACCTCTTTCATATGATTTCGATTACTATCCACCCTATTACTTCTCTCAAACTCAACTTGCTGAAAGAAGCAATCATGTTCATCAAAGAAAAAACTATCCACCTCTCATCGAACTCATTCCAAAAGAATTCTTCATCAATGATCGAGAATTGATTCTACAAATGACCAAACAATTTCCACACATTCTTCCCACTGTTCCAAAAGATATTATCAATGATAGAGAATTTTGGCAGGATTGTTTGGCAATCAATGGAGATTGCATTGAATTTGCCCCACCAGAATTTAAGAATGATTTTGAATTGTGTTGCATTGCCTTAAAAAATTATAGAAATTCAATTGTTCATTTTCCTGTTGAAGTTCAATCAGATCCACGAATTTTCAAGTTATTAATGGAAACTGTTCCACATGATAAGAGATTTAGAAATAAGGTTGCTCGAGAACTCAAAGATTTGGTGATTGAGTTCCAATTTGAAAATCGATCCAATGGTACAGCTTCTCAGAACATTGGAAAGAGCATTGCAACTATTCCCAATTCAGATTTATACAATAATTCCAAGCTGAAGAAAATGAGGGCACAAGACTTGGAGGATAACTATTTAGGATGTTATGTTCCAATAAAAGATTGAGTTTTGATTTTGAATTCAACACACAAGATTTATTTGAGAGGAAGTGAATGGAATTCTTTCGATTGCTTTTTGGGAGGCTATTTGCAAGCAGTATGACTTGTAACAAATCAATACTATCCACATCACTAGTTCCCAATCAAGCTACCGAATAATGCAAGTTACAGTGTAGTTTACATAGTATTACTAGAGGGAAATTTACAATTAATTTGGTAGACAATTCAAGCAGACAGCTTCTTAGACAGCCTGGTGAATTGACCAAATTCAAATTTACAAGGGAATTACTGCTTATTTTCTTGTTGTTGGTTTTGTTGCAAGTAAAGTTGGTATTGTTGTTGTTGATGTTGTTGATAAAGGGCATATTGTTGTTGATACATTGGATGCATCAAGATTTGTGCTTGCAAGTTGTGTACCATTTGCTTGAGTTCGGAAATTTCGGCACCTTGTTTTTGTTGTTCTCTGATTAATATCGAGAGCAGAGTATTATCTTGATTATTATTTGGTTGCTTGACTGCTACAGTTGTTGTGGAGGAGGAGGATGATTCTGCAGTAGTGGATGAGTGGTGATCATACTTGGCCTTCTTTAATTGTGGTTGTTGTGGAGTAGAGTCAATCGTGTTTGTGAATAAATCCATTTCATCAAAATCACAACTACCTCCATCCAAAAAGACTTGGTCTTCATGAACATAGGTTTGTTGATTGACAGAAGGAGCCATAACCTTTTCATTGGTAGGTTGTTCACCGAAAAAGTCATCAAAATCAGTGTCTTCTTGATCAAACCAATTACTATTAGAGGCTTGTTGTTGTTGCTGTTGCTGTTGTTGCCTTGGGAAGATTAAATTACGTTCCTCTGGAGGAATATGAGACTTATTCTTGTGGGAATGTTTGGCATATTGAATACTTTCAGTATAGAATGGTGATTGTTCTGAAAGGAAGTCAATAGATTCGGTAACAACGGAAGTAAGTTCCTTGTGATTATGTGGCAACATGTTGTATTAATAGATATTGAAAAAGGCTTTTTGATTGTTTTTTTCTTTGGAAAGATTCTACTCTGGTAAGCTTGACTATGTTGTATTAATAATACACAAAAAAACTTTGGATGATCAATGATGATGGGTAATGAAAGCTATATCTCTTAATATACTCTCAATATTAATATTATTAGGTAACAAAGCAAAAAACACACAATACTATCTGGGAGAAGATACGACTTGATATTGCACTAGTAGGATCAGCAGCTTGTGTTAAGCTAGGCTTGTTGGTGTCTTTTTTTTTTGTTTGGGAAGTGAATGTTTCGTGTTCAAGCTGGAGCCAAAATAGATTTTGTGATTTTCTGCTCAGAATCGGATTTTGTATTACGTTATGAGGAGGCCTAAAAATGTTGCGTCCATCACATCTGATGTCGCTTCTTCAACCCGATTGTGATGGAAGCACATTAATGGTGAGGACGCTGTAATTTTGCTTTTAACAGATAATTTATCAAAGAATATTCTTATTGTTGAAAACGTGTTTCAAATCTGAACATGAAGGTAAAAATCATTGTGAAGTATCTGATGAATGATGCCTCAAGGAATTAGGAACTGTAAGTGATGTTGTGGTTACAACTCGATTTTTCACTTCATTTCATCCATTTACACCTCCATAAGAGAACACCAAACTATTTTTAATGTTAAATGATGTTGCAGTCTTTGAACACTTTACAATAAAATGTAATAATTGATGACACAATATTGAGGTGTAGTGGATTAATGATATTGTAAACCAATGTTACCTTAAAGTCATTTCTAATGATCAAGTCCTTTTGGATACTTTGTAAAGTTGAGACTGAGAAAATTCTAATTGGTGAGGAGTGCTACTATTTTGGATAATGGATTGACAAGATTCGAAAGAAATAGTATTCATACAAAATGATGATCGTCATACAACAATATGCATTGTATAATAATTTTTGTTGAATCATCTGCAGCTGTAGTGTGGAAGATTACAACGAAAATGATGGATTGTATTATTTGTTGAGTTGATCCTTATTAGCAGATCGCTTATTTTGTGAAACTGTAAATACGAGTGTATTCTATACTTGATCTGAATGTCTATAACAAAAGTGAGTGGAATATACAGTTCAAAGGTTGAGGAAAGTTATTAATAAAGATAAATAACTAAATAAGAAAATAATTCAAATTTAATTTTAATATGTTATCACTTGATGTCATCAGCACAATTAACAACTGTAAATTGCAATAATCAATTCACAGTGAAAACAAGTATTCCCAAATATTAGCTAGTCGAAAAGCAAATCTAAATCATGCCTAGAATCCTCTCTGTAAATCACCTTCATGTAGATCCATCTCTTGAACTCGAATTTAAATTCATTGATGATCCAACTTGGAAAATTATCCAACATGATCATGCCTCCTTCCATATTCAAAATTTACGATTTAAATTCTTCGAGTAATGTGACCGAGAGCATCACCACCAAAATCAACTCAATAGACATTAAGCTGTTCCAAAGAAAGATCATTTTACAAAAGCGAGGTCCCAAGTAAAAACGCGAAAAGCTCAACCTCGGGTTTTTATCAAAATTTGGGACAGTGGAAAATGGCCATTAAAAACTGCACAATGGATATCATCTTTAATATCAAAAAAACAAAACAAATACAATAACTTAAACATAATATATTAAAACAATTCAAAAGAAGATGAACTTCTCAATCAATCAATTAGCTAGCAAAAGATCAGTTTGCTTATTAACAACATTCATAATGATGGCCATTCTCTTATTGATTCAATTATCAATGCCAATTCAAGCCATTAGTTTGAGTCTTGTCAAGGATGAGAAGGTGAGGAGTAGTTTTGAATCCACTTGGAAAAATTACATTCAGAAGAATTCTGATAATAGATGTTGTCTTCCAGATACCTATTCATTGAGTATGACCAATGGATTGAACAGAAAGAATATGCAAGTTCAAGGTGTTTCAATGATGAGAATTGAAACTTCTACTGTCAATTATTATCATGATAGAAAGACATTGAGAATGAGAATTGATTCTAATGGAACAAATGCTGAAGGTCAAGTTCTCAAGACAAGCCAAATTACTTTCAGATTGGGTGAAAAGGATTTCGAATATAATATTGTCAATGGTGCATGCTCTTGCAGACTTACCAAATTGACCTGGGATAAGACATGTTACAGTTTAGAACAAACAAGTTCAGTTGGAAAGATTGGTGATTTTGAAGCAACCAATGTTTTTGTCAACTCTGTTCCAAATCAATTCTTCTTCTCTCAATGGACTGTTAGAAGCAAATCTATGGACAAGTCAACCTGTTTCCCACTAAGTATTGAATTTGTTCATGATGATACTAGTTTACTTCAAAATGCTTTCAATCAAGCAACAAATGTTGATCCATCTGTTTTCAGACTTCCACTCAATTGCCCAGTCTTTTCCTCATGTCAATAATCCACAAGTTCTGTATCATACTGTATCACTAATTGTAAAAACTAATAAATTATAAAACTAATCTGCTTTCCTTTCGAATATTCTTCAAACAAAGCAAAAATCAATTCTTGAACTAGTCTCAATATAATCTCAATTTCACTACAGTCAATCACAGAGTTGCAATTGTGATTTTCCATGAACAAGTTCCAACCTTATTCATCACTGAAAAGCGACGTCCTCACTCTCTATTAATAACCTCAAACAACTCGTCCATCTATTTTTACAACAAAAAAATCAAACTAAAAAAAAGATCCTCAACCAACCTCTTTCAATTTTTTATCTCTTTGAAGCAGACCAAAAAACTACTTTTCCTAGTCCTCCTTTAAGATCTGCATTGCTCTGATCAAGCATTTTCAAAACAAACAAACAAACAAACCACAACAACATTATGTACAGCACATTCTATACCTTGGTTCATAATACCACTCAAACTAAAAAGCCAAAGAGAGAATCCTTCCTCAACTCATCCCAACCACTCTCTATCAGACCATCTATTCATGCTAGTAGTGGTGGAAATGGAGGTGATGATAGTGGCTTGTCGAGTAGTCCTCCAACCAAGTTTCAATTGTACACCACTAGTAACAAACCGAATGTTTCTAATTAATAATGGCAGATGAAAGAATGCTTTTTGAAGGACATTCCTTTGCATGAGATTGAAGGAATGTTTAATGTGTAATTCCTTTTCTTTTGGAAGAATTACTTGGTGAAATTTATATTGTAACAATTTTGTAAATAATAACTTATTGGACTAGAGTCCACACAACAACACTACAAAACTAGGGCCTTTGTTTTTAAGGGAGAATACTTAACCACAATTTTATTGAAATGATTGTTTAATAAACAATACAGAGTTTCGTTTTTTAAAGTTAATCCTGTTTTTGAATTCATTCAATCCAAATCAGTTTGAATTTCAAATCTTGAACCTTTCAATTTCAATATTTGATTCATTTTCATTTTGAAGAGTGAAATCTTTTGTGAGATTGTTGTTCTGATAGTTCTGTATTTCTCACTTGTTGATTTGTAAAATTTTCTGATATTAGAAACAATTGGAGAAATCACACAATCATTTAAAATATCAACAAGAACTCTCCTTTGATGTCTTCCATCTTCTTCATACTCTTCTGGTTCATCTTCTTCATTATCCAAATAGTACAATTGCCTCCTAGTGAAAAGGAATGGTACAAGCCACATTCGAATAGGAACCAATATCAAAATCAAGATTGGAAATGACAATGCAGCAGGTGATTCAGTAATGGCATAAATAATTCCAAGAAAACCCATTTGAATACATGTAAAGACAATATTGTGAAATAATGGAAGAGTATTAACATAGGGAGAATGCAATTCTTTCCTTTGTGAACTTCTTACAAACCAGAGTTTGATTCTATCCATCATTTGATTTCCATCGAATGAAGTAAATCCCATATAGAGGAAAATGCCAGTCATGGCACCCTTTGGAATTGTTTTCAGAACTACCTGTCCATACATCATTAACACTCCAATGATAAGAGCATGAAGAAAATTTGAAACTCTATTCTCACGAACTGAGCCAATCACTTCCTTCTTCTTTCCATTCGGTAATTCTTTCATTTCCACTCTACCTAAACTGGTTACATGAAGAGGAGCTTGTGGAATGAGTCCATGAGTGAAGGGAATTCCCACCAATGAGCAAACCAAAATATTCAATCCACACACGAATAAATCCCAATGAAATGCACTTCCCTTCTTCAAATTAAACTCCTTCTTTTGAGAGAGGAGTGAAGAAATGTTGTGATCAAAGAAAATCAAAGCTGCCAAAATGGATGCTGGAATGATGGCTGCAAAAATCGACCACAATGGCAAGCTGGAGTAATTGACCAGCCATGAACCATTCCTCTCTCCAAAAGTTGGTTCAAATGTTGAAGGAACATTCAAGAAGGGAATTTCAACCTGATCAAAAACTGGAAGGTGTGAAATTCCTGTAAATATTCCAACACTAATGGCAACAGCATAGGCCTTTAAAATCTTTACAATGAAATTTGGAAAATAAATCCAAGTAGTTGAGTAATGTAATTGATAGGAAACGTAAAATGATCCAATCGAAATAATAAATGATAATAAGGCAGAATCCAAACTAAAGTTATTGAAATACTCAACAATATCCTCAACTGCTCCCACAATATAAATCACTCCAATTAAACATCCAAATATTTCAGCAGTAAATCTTGAAACATATTTCACCAGCGTTGATAAATTCAAAACAGCAATCATGAAACACAAAAAACTTGTGAAAAATCCAATAATTGACAGCCATGGCAGGAAGGGTATTTCAGCTCTCTTACAAATATCAAATATTGTGATGCAAAAGACACAAATAGGTCCAGTCACTCCAACAATCACTAATGGTTGACCAGAAATTAATGAAAATATAATTCCACTTAAAGAGGTTGCAAATAGTACTTCCATAACTCCTAATTGATTTTCAGTACTTTTAGAAAGCAAAACTCCAAAACTTAAAGCAGGGAAAATACTCGAAAATAACATGAATAGGGCTGAGGCAAGAACTGTTGGATGGAAACCTTGTGTGAAATCATTGATATAATGAGGAGCTCTCCTCCGTATGTCAGTAATCATTCCATAACATGGAATACATGATTTTTTCATAAATATTCTTTTTAAAGTAAATTTCATTCGAAAGGCCATCGGAATGTCATCCAAATTATCTGTTTTTTCATCATTTTGCATGTCAACTTTTGAATTGACTCTGTTCATCCCATCTTGTTGATTTTCCTCTTGAACATTCTCATCAAATGTGAGTGGATATCGTGAATCAACAGAAGTCAATGTAGATTCCGAAGTAATGGAGGGCAGAGAATTGTGCTGCTGGTGATTTGCACCATTTTCATTGTGTTCCGATGATGGTAGCATGTTGAATAACTTGAATTTGGTTGTTTTTTCTTCAGGAAAGTTTGTGAATGAAAATGGATTATCCAAAAATATTCACACTGTCAATCGAATATTAGAGATTACAATTCAAATTTCACTCAGTATTAGTAAGGCAGGGTATTAAGAGGATTTGTTAATCATTTTCAAAGATTTTCAATAAACTCTTTATCCATTGTTGGATATTTTTTCCAACCATTACAAAATTCCATAACTATTACTAACTGTAAACTCTCCAACTTGATAGTTCCAAAAGGACAACGACTCCATTATCTTCTTCCGCCTTCCACACTACAGCAACAAAGCCAAACCAAACCTGGTTGCATTCCCTATTCAATATCCCCCATCAATGTCAAATCCTAATCATCAACTCCAATATCGAATATCGTACTTCCAAGCAGCGAAGAAACTCGACTTGTCTTGACTTCAGACTGAAAAAGTCCAAACAGAAATTCTAAAGAAAAAATTTCTTAAAGGAAGGCTTTCGATTTTCTGCATCAGACGGCGCCTTTTTCCTTCAATCTTCCTCACCTCCCTCACCTCCTCTTTTCTGACCACCACAATCATCAGTGTGTTTCAATATACGGGTGAGATCGTCTCTTCTATATTAGCAGTGTGGGAGAATTTAGAGAAATTAACTTGAAGTTTATTAATTTATTTATTGATCATCAACAACAATAACAACAAGATGGATGATAGTAGTGATGATGGAAGTTGCGATATTCCAATACCTCCAGGACCAATTATAGTCCAATCAATTGATGATAATCATCTGAATGAAGAGGAAAATAATTCATCAAAAGTAATAGCAAATGTTCCTTCTTCTTCTTCGTCATCATCATCGATATCGGCTGTGGATGAAAATCAGATAGAAGAATATTCAGAGAATAATAATGGCCATCAAAAAGACTCGGACCCTACCATCCAGCCACCAGAATTACAAGCTTGCTCATCATTGGAAGATTCATCCGATGAAGAAGAGGAAGACAACATTCAACCTCCTTTTAGACCTCCACCATCTTTACCTTCTCTGAATGTGCCAAATCTAGTCCCTAATTCTATCCCTACCAATTCTACCACTCCAAATATTGTCACACAACCAAAATTTGTTGCAAAGGAAGAAATTGATGAATATACCAGTAGTGATGAATCTGATGACAAAATGACAAAAGAAAATCCAGTAAGTATGAAATTAGACAAACTTGTTTCTAATTGACCAAATTTTAGCATGATGTTGTTATGGTACTTTCCCCTCCTCCACAACCACCTTCTAATGGCAATAGCCCTGTAAATAATAGACCAAGCATTGTTCCAAAGTTGACCCTCACCAGCTCATCATCGTCTGATAATATTGTTCCAGGTCCTGTCAATACTACTCCTTCTTTTGAAATTTCTGTTACAACAACACCAAATACTGGAAAACAAAACACAACAAGTACAGCCCGATCATCTAATTCAACCTATTCTTCACATACTAATGGGTTGGCTGTTCCAAGTGGAGGAAGAACACCAGAAACTAATCTAGCCAAAAGATCACTTAAACTTGGAGATGATTTCGAACAACAGTCAAAATATCTTTTCCAAGTTAATGAAAAAGGATTTGTTGTCTCAGTAGCTGCGAGTATTTTAATGGAATTCCAACAATATGTCGAAAATGAATTTATTGAAAGTTCTAAATTAATACCTTATCAAGTACTAGCAGAAATGAAGGAAAAGAAAAAGGAGGATGTTAATTTTACCAAACTCTTTAGTTTTAGAAATTCTGAAGGGTATCTGAAACACTTGAAATTATTTAAAGAGACAACTTTTGAAAAGAGTTGCCAACTATATTGCCAACTTTTATTGGATTGGCTTCAATCTTCAACCTCTGAGGTTGCCATTCCTGAATGGTCGTACACAAGATTCACCTCCAGATTAATTCAAAAACTTAATTTATCTGGTGAAGAAAAAACTCACGTTCTTGTTCAATCCATTAACATTTTAATATGGCTCGTTGTCAGTGATGTATTCTCTATTATATTGAAGAGCTATCATCCAAATATTGTTGACTCTCACGTAACAGAAAATATTATGGGCTATTGTTTTGATATTGTCATCTTTGAAACTCATACAAATGCTAAAATTTATACAGTTTGGAAACAAATGCAATCTGTAATTAATGATCAATGGGCATTTGTTTTGAGAAGATTGTCAAGAAGAAATTTAACAGAAGTGTGCTCCTTCTTCCTTTCAAGAGTTAATAAGAAGGTTGAAAAAGGGCTCACAAAATGCTACTTACAATCCCTCAAGTATATAGATATAGACCTTACCGACAGTGCTGGTGCTACACGTGAGCTTTTAGATACCTTGCTCAAACTCTCGGAGCATGAAAAGATTGTTAAATCCTCAATAACTTTGAGAAATTGTGCTCTAGCAGTTTTGCAAACTGTCTATTCCCAACTTGATTTTGAATTGGAAGAAAATTGCAATTTATTGGAAGATTTCAACTTGAAGGTTTATAATTTGGCCAACTCTTTTGAAAAGAGCAAGATTGGTCAAAAAGGATCATCAAAAGGTGAATCTATGATTCTCAAATCCTTGATTGTTAAACATGCCACTTTTCAATTCCACAATAATCATGCTTCCAAATTGGCAGATGAAGTTATTGAATTTGCTCTCAAAAAGAAAGATCAAACTTCCTTGTTAAATCAAGCTCTTTACTCCTTGTGTGTTATTACTAAGGACAAATACAATGTGGATAGAAACATGTCGCCATTTACATTTATTGGAGGTCCATATAGTAACAAGCTTTTAAAGAACAAACCATTCGTTGACTTGGTGTATTCTGAAACAGACAAGAATATCTCATACTTTACTGAGGACCAAACCTCCAAGTCGAAATATACCGAAGTGATGAAGAAAGTTCTTGTCAGTGTTCAAGCATTCTTGCAAAAATTGAACGTCAGTATTGAGGCGGAGCTATTCGATACTACTTCCTTCTTTTTAATGCTCTTGATTATGAGAATTGCCTCTCATGACATTGAAAGTGTTTTGGGACCAGATGGAATTGTCAGAAAGTATCTGAGCCGTGACTTCCAAAAGAATAGTCTCTTCTCTGTAGCTGCTTTCCGAGTATTGAAGGCTATGCAAAACAATGCAAAGGATTCCTACAATGTTGATGTTTTGAGTTGTGAATCTGAAATAGAATCAATCAAGAGACAGAGCTCATTTACATCACTTTTGAGTGGTTTCAAGGCAGAGGGCTTCTATTTGAAGAAAGTACTAGAGCACTGTAATGAACGTATGAATGTTTCAATCTTGCAATATGCTGATTTTGACCTTCCAGTTGTAAAACCAGAGAATACTATTACTTTCATTCAAGACGAAAGTGACAATGATAGCGATATTTATATATTCAAATCAACATCATCAGAAAGACAGGACGATAATTATAGTTTCAACTCAAGTGCTACTAGTGCTAGTACAATTTCTGATACTGACCATAATCTTTCTTCTGCATCAGCTAATGTAATGCCTGTTAGCCCTCGTGTCAGAAAATTGACCAAAAAGGGTGCCTCAGAAACTGATATTTTCAAACCTCTAATGAGACGTAAGACAGCAACAACTTCTGATTTCAGTAATACTCTGAATCGTTATCCATCAGTTACTAGTTCTTCATCTACACAGGCATCCAATGAGCAACAATTAGAAAAGAGAAAGACAACAAAAGAAGAAAAGTTAAAGAAGGAAAGATATGGACTTGTAAAGATTCTTATCCACAGTATTTCTACATTGCCACTGTTTGCTAGTGAGGATATATTAGCCTACGACAAGTTGGAAAACTTTTTGGGCAACTTCTTGATATGTGGAGATGTAACCATTGCACAAGCCACTTCTGCTGCTTTACAGGAAACTATGAAGCAACATCCATTATTGAGATCGTCAATAATTAAGAAATTAACAGAATTGCTTATTTATCAATTGAAACAATTTGATGAGGTGAAAAGTATCAAATACTTGTTAAAGAATATTATTCAACTCATTGGAATTTGGTCCGAGGACAAGGCTAACATTGACCGTAGTATTGATGCATGGATTTTCAAACTTGAGGCCGGTTGTTTAATTAGTATGTGCTTTGTTGATAGACAGTTGAGATTGACAGCACTAGAATGCCTTTCAGTCATCTCTAACTTGTTCTATGAACATGTATCTGGATTGAGCTATAGAATTATCATAGAAAATCAATCTACAATCATTCAAAGATCTATTAGAAAGATTGAAGTTAGAGATGCTATGGGTGTTGATGAGTACATCATGTCTGACGATTTGTTGCTCAAGTTAGAAAGAGAGAGTTTGGAAAGTGTTTCTCAAAGTGAAACAGCAGCAACTGTTCTCTATACCTACATTTTAGGTTTCATTGGAGAAACTTTAGCCGAGCAAAATTGCAAAATGTATCCTGACTTGTTATTTTTAATTAAGGACTTTTGTATAGGAGTATCTGAGTTAGCACTCGAAGATGAAAAGTATGCCCCACTTTGGACAGATTCACTTTGCTTAATGTCATCCCTGTGCGGTGTTCCTAATCCAGAGGATCAAAATATGCTTGCAGCTTTAGAGAACTATAGAGGAATTGTCAAAAACACGTTGAAACAAATAGATCTTTTCGATAAGTTCCTTTGTTCTGAAGAAGTTTGGCACCACAGAGCCATTGTAAATATTTGCTCCTGCTTTAATTATCAATCTCTGCCAACTTTAATGGACATACTCTATTCATTCTTGGAAAATAAGAGAGAAAAGAAGGTATCCGTTACTACTATTATTGCCCTTAAGGATATTGCAAGAATTTTGAACAGTATTACACAAACTCAAAGTTTTGCCAAATTGGTGAAATATCTATCCATCTTTTCTCAATTCCTAAGACAAGCATCCGATTTGATTCAAAAATCTTATGGTATACTTGCTTCTGAGAGAGATGTGAAAATTAAGGATCCATTCCATTTGTATTGTATTTTCCATTCGTATGCAAACAATGCAGCTGCTTTGAATAATATTGCCAAGACATTATTCCTTACAAAGAATAGTCAAACCAGACAAAAATCTATCAAAATTACAAATGCTCTCTTCTTGAGAAACGGAAATGTTTGGCAAGAAGATGCCCGTGTGAATTCCATCAACAGTCTCAGAGAATGTTTGGATAAGATAACTCAAATGCAACAAGTGGCTGATGTAACTGTTGAAAGATTGAAGGATGAGAAAGCCAAAGAATATTGGAGGGGTGAATATGCAAACATTCTCTCAGTCAAATTGAAACATCTTTGCTACAGAGGTATTTCCAGTATTTTGAAGGTGGATCCTATTCCTACCTTATTCTCTAATTCAACATTTGATTATCAAACCTTTTTTATTTCTTCAGAACTCCAAGGATACAGAATGTTGGACGGTGTTCTTTGTCACCACTTTGAACATTTATTTACAGAGTTTATTTCAACAATTTACACAACCACCGATGATGACATTTCCGAAGTGTATATTAATGCAATCTATGACAATTTACTTCCAAGCAGCACTGCCTTTGCACCACACTATTGTACAAATGAAGATCGTTTGGAGTGGATGTTAACACTGAAGGGTCAAGAATTATTCGAAGGTGCTCCATCATTCCTCAATGAAGATGATATCATTCACACAGTGATACAAAAGAATATCTTCTCCATTTTGCTCTTGATGCTCTATTTGTTGAACCATCCATATGATTCTGTTCACTCTAAAGCTGGTGAAGTTGTTTGGGCTTTGGTACATAACAACTTTTGTGTTGATGAAGTGGAAAAGACAATCAATCCTACCCAAAAAGAAAGAGTAATGGCTGAATTGGAAATTTTAGATGTTTCACTGAGAACCAATTCAACTACCTTGGAATATGCTCTTAGAGTTTCTGATGCTGTTTCTACATTGGTTAGTTTCTGGAGTAATAGATTGTTCTTAGAAGCATTCAAATACTTACCTACTGTAGCTGTTACTCAAAGAAAGTCATTTTTGGTCAATATACTCAAACCTTGGGGCAAGTACTTGGAAGTTTGTCCAATACCTCCTCCAATGGATATTAACGAAGTTATACATGTCATTATCAAATTCTCATTGGAAATTCAAAGATCTATTGGAGTTACAAAGGATTTACAATTCATTTGGCAAGAAGTATGCCAACAAGGTGGAATCCTCATGAATCCACTTGCAGAACAATCTAATCAAATCATGGGATTAGATTATTCTATTGATCTCAAATATCCAAGAAATCTTGTAATGATTATAGATTACATCAAGGCTCTCCTCTCCAATGCCTATGATATTGAAAAGGATAAGAAGACCAAGTATGATATTGAAACAGTATGCAGAGGAACTGCTTTGGCTCTCTTCTCAGTTCAACCAAAACTAACCCTCCAACTTTTACTCGGCAACATAACCTCTTGTGATGATAATTATGGTGATGCGATCATGTGTTTGTTACACGATATTGTCTGTCACAATGAACACAAGACTGTGGTATTGGAGCAAGCTCACATTATTTTGGTTTATGCTTTAATAAGAATGGACGGAATGAACGAATATGCCCACAACCTTTTCACCAGTATGCTTTTGAGTTTAATGTCCCACACCAGTTCTCAATTATTGACAAGAAAGTACTGGTTGTTGCTCATCAAATTATTGAAGGACAAGGTTATTGTTATCAATTGGGTTGATTGCCTCATTGACCATCAATCTTCAAAGCTCTCCCAATTGGATGTTGAATCATTGGTTCCATTCACAACGGTACAGGGCTCAATCAGTGCTGGTTATCTCATCAAGATACTTGTAGATTGTATTGAATCTTCTGTTGGATCTTCATTGGTTGACCATTTCGCTCAACATGCCCTCGAAATGGCCACAAGAGAAACCAAGAACGTTGCTTTCATTCACAATTATTTGAGCATTTTCTACTTCTCTCTCCATCAAACCAAGAGTGTCTCACTCACATCATCAGTTTTGTACAGAGTACTTCATTGTGCCTACGTATTCACAGAATCATCAGATACAAACTCAACACAAGCATCCCTGTCACTGGCTAATAGAGTATCCAATATTTCAAACAGTGAGGTTCTCACCGATTCAAAGATTCTTGCATTAGATGTTTTGCACTTGATTATTAGCAGAAGCTCCGCCTTGGACTACAAACATGTATTCTGGTACCTTGTTTCCCTTCTCACAGCAACAAATGCAAACGCCAATAATGAGTATGTTGCTGCTATTGTTGATTGTTTGTATGTTCTCAAGGATAATGAAGCCTGCTTCTTAAAGTACTTCTTAGTTGATAATGAAAAAGTTGTAAAGACTGAATTGGACAGATACATTGCTGATAGAAGCTGGAGAGGTTTAATCTATATTTTGGCTGAACAAATACCAAATAAGGTTGTGCAACAAAAGGTTTTGGACTTGATCTTAATCTTTATGAAGGCAAATCCTTCCCACATGCTTGATGACGTTCCAGATAGAAAGCTCTTTACTATTCTCATATCACTCATGCCATACTTTATTTGTGAATTGGATAGTCTTGTTTGTCAAAATCTCATCAAGTGTATGAGAGAAGAATTGTCAAGCCCTCTCTTTGATTGTTTCACCAAGCTTGAAACTATTTCTCCTATCGATTTCTCTAACAAAGTTTGTTCAGAACTGGTAAAATTCTTTGTCAATGTAGAATATGCTATTCATGCTGCTGATGTTTTGACAAACATGTACTTGACAAGTACATCAAGACTTAGAGATTCTATTCTCCTCCTTGTATCTTCTCTGGTCAGATATTCACCAAAAGAAGCTAATGCATTTGCCTTGCTCTACAAGTTGGCAATTACTTCAGATACATCTGTTGCCAGCTCATTCCTTTCTGAGGTTTTGAATCCTGCTGTGAAAGACTTTAAGCAATTACTCAAGTACAACTCTGAAGATGTTCAAAGATTGAATGATATTTGCAAATATACTCCAAAGGCCATTGTTGATGGTACCCAACAAAAGGTTTTGTGTAATAGATTGAAGATACTCGTTGAGGAGTCCTACGGTCTCAGTAACAAGAATGACAGACCAAAAGTTCTCTCTATCAAACCAACCTCTGCTCGTAAAGTCTCTAACCCTGCAGTTAGTGTTGCAACTACGTCATCAGCATATGTTCCAAACACTCTTCCTATACAAACCCCAAGATTAATTTCTCCTTCTATCAATCCTCCTAGTAATGTTTCTGATAATTCTCATAACCCAACTATCCCTACAAATATCCCTGTTATTATTCCAGAACATCACAATGTACCACCGCCAGTTGATTCTCATATTTCAATTCCCCTCCCAGATATTGTTCCAGAGAAAATCTATTCTATTAGCATGCTTTCTAATCCACCTCCACAACCTTCCTCTTCCTCCTCTCCTTCTCTTGATAAGACTAATCGTATTCCTGATCTTGCTAATTTATTATACAATGAAAGCTATGCCATGTATTTCAAGAACTTTGCACTCACCAAGTCAGATAATACTGAAGCACTCGATTTCTGTGTATCTGCCCTCAAGTATGAGAAGGCAACAGATTCCATTCAAAGAGCTGTATTTGCAAAGAGAATAGTCCAACAATATGTCAATCAAGAAAACTCCAATGTTTTGAATGACAATCAAAAGCAAGCAGTTCTTTCCAAGTATAGAGAGAATGTCATTAATCCATCCACTGATTTATTCTCTGAAATTGTGACAACAGTTCAAGCTCAATTATTAGATTTGTATCAACAATTTTTAGAAAGTTCTCACTGTTCTGAATTGAGTAACAAGATTAAGAATAACCTTATTTAAATAAATTATTAATATATGTATTTTCTAGATATCTTAGTTGTTTGAATTATGTACACTATTTGATTCAGTTCACGACATAACTTGTCAGAAGGAGGTCGGTAATTTCCTTAAATTCCAATCTATCAATCATCCTTCTCAGCTCTTTCATAAAATTATCCAAGTCTTCCTTTGATTTGTTAAATCTTGCCTCAACATCCTTTGTAAAGACATCAATATCAATAATTTCCTCCTCACCAACAACCATTTTCAATTCTAGTTCCTTCCAATAATTCTTTTCATATCTCAATACTTTTAGTAATTTTAATTCTTCCGAGAGCATGTTGACATCCTTATCAATTTCTTCCTCAATCAATTTTGTATGAATATTTGTTTGATCGACAAGTTTTTCAATACTATGTAAACGTTCCGATATCCATCAACAAATTGCTAAATTACCTACATTTGTACTGTATTTGAATTTCCTTCTTGTTGAGCGTCCATCACTTCCTTCTCCAATCTCAGTTGAATCTTTTTAAATTCCTCCTTAACATATAATTTCATTTCCTTTTGTTTGGCCACAAGGTTTTTTATTTGTTGCTCCAATACTATATTTGCCTCAATATAAAATCATGATAATCAGCAGAGAGAACCTACCCGAAAGCTCAAAATTGGAGAAGATTCTTTCATACATTTTTTTCTTATTAAAAGTTTTGTAGTAAGAGAGTTGAATAAATATGTTGTTATTGTATTATTATTTACATTCTCAATCCTTCTTAACTTCTTCCGATGATGATTCAATCTTCTTTTCGTCAGCATCTTGTTGTTGTTGGTAGGTTGTGTACTTGTCGGATCTTCCTAATGATTTGCCAACTGGATACTTGAGAGCATTCTTCTTCATTTTCTGTTTAATAAAATCATCATCAATTATCCAATAATTTAAAATGTATATCAATGTTCAAATTAATTAGTAATATATTCAATGTAATATAAATATTATTAATTAAATACTTTAATCAAAAACAAACCTCAAAAGCAACTTCAGGCAAATTAACACCACACAAATCAGACAATCTCAACAAGTAGAATAAACAATCCGATAATTCATCTTGTAAATTTTCCTTCTCTTTATCAGAAAAGTCTCGCTGCACATCTTCACACATTTGATCCGATTTCCATTGGAAAATTTCAGCCAACTCACCAATCTCACCTACCAATGCGAGAGTTACATTACGAGGGGTGTGATACTTTTTCCACTCTCTCTCGTTTATGAAATCTTCGTGTAGTTTTCTCAACTCTTCTAAAGTAATGTTTGGATTAAATGGCGCCATTTTATTTTTTAAATTTTTAAAAATGCAAAAAGTGAAACAACATTTATTGGCGGCAAATCAATTCTTTGGTAAAAAGAGGCTTTTTAATGCATCTTTAATTAATTGCTCTGCTTCTTTAAATTATTATTTATTTATTAATGATTCAAAGTACCAATATAACAGACAATATTCTAACAACATTGAAAAATCATGTGATTGTCAAATAGAAAAACATTCTCTCTTCGGAAGGGAAATATTCATTGCACAAGATGTTATTGGGAATGATGAGTTTTCAAAGTATGTGAGTGGAAACAAGTGGAGAAAGTTGCAATTTCTCATCAATCCAAGTGATGTTGAATATTTAACACAACAAATTAGGGAAATTCATTCGTATGGTTCTTTACAATCGAATGCCATGTTATCGATGGCTTATTTGTGTTTATTGAATGGATGGAAATTTAAATATCATGTCGACAGGAGTTTGGAATATATTGAGGATCAAGTGAATATTAGAAAGGTTGGGAATTTGTTTGAAACTGTCAAGTTGAGGGAGAGAGGTTTAGATTTGGAATTTATAGACTCGAGGGATTGTTATGAGAAATTGAAGGACGATTTCACACAGAGGTGTATTTTGAATGAAACTATTCAGAATGATGGAATTTTATATGTGAGGGAGGGAGTAGCTCAGAAAGAAGCAGAATTTGGTTACGCTTTACTAGCTAGAGAAATATTTGAAAAGATGGCAGACAATACTCATTTGAATGTTTTTCTTCCTTCAGGTAAGTTTTTATTGAAATGCTACAAGTGAGACTATGAAATAATTTGAGAAGGAACTGGAACATCTGCTCTCTTTCTTTGTAAACACTTGAAAAAGTTAGCACCTAACAAATTTACTGTATATACCACAAATTGTGTTGGAAATGAGGAGTATTTAAAAAAGCAATTTCTTGAATTGGAAAGTGATGTAAGCATGCATCCCAAAATTATTAGCACCCGAAAGAATTATCGTTATGGACAATTATATCCTGAAATTTATCAAATTATTGAGGAGGTGAAACAACAGACAGGTATTCAATTTGATTACCTTTATGATGGTAAAGGATTATTGACAGTTAAAGAATACCTTGTCTCATCTAAATCACCACCACTCTTGTACATTCACTCTGGTGGTCTTATTGGAAATGAAACAATGAGAGAACGTTATCAAACATCTACAAAATAATACATGCTTCATTTACTATAATTTTTTATTAAGCTAGCTAACTAGTATTGCATCATTACAAGAGTGACAGCAGAGTACATTGTAACAAGAGCTGTAACAGACTTTACAATAGCTCTATCATATGAGTTTGAGGCACTACTACAGAAAAAGACACCAAAGAAACATGGACCCTTGCTGGTGTGAGGCTTTTGAGGTTCAGTGGTTGTGCCTTCCTCTGTTGTACCTCCGTCTTCAACAAATGAACCATTGATGGCATAATTGGTTGTCTTGATAATCTTATTCTTGCAAAGAATTTCATATCCATTAATTGGACACTTGACATAGCCAGTGTAGGTTGCAGGCATGTTAGTTTTAGTTTCAGCTGATTGATCAGATGGACAACTGAACTTGGTTGTTCCAACATAGAATCCAAGAACACCATCATCACATGAAATTCTCAAACATCTAGAATCCTTAGTCTTTTGACTTGATAAGATTCTCACAATATTTGCATCAAAACAAGCAGAAGATTCTCCAAATACTTCAGCTTCATATTTTGATGTATAACCAGTGACACAATCACCCTCTGCATATGAAGAAACAATAGGACAATAATCCATCAAGGCATCTGAACCACCTGCTTTTGGACTTCCTGGAACATGTTCATAATAACCCATGGAAGAGACATACGTATTAAGGGAACAATAACCCTTCTTTTTCAAATCAAATGTACATGTTGAAATGGATGGATCATCAGTACAGTAATAACCTGGTCTATCAGTTACTGACCAATCTTCACATCTTCCATCGGCCATTGGACATCCCATTCCCTTGCCCCATAATAGAGGTTCAGAGTGACTAAAGTTTCCTCTATACCATCCAGAATCTTCCAAAAAGGCAATAGTGAAACTACTCATAACTAATTCACCACTCACACTACCAACCATAAGCTCATTCTTCATAATTCTCTTTTCCCAGTGAGAAAATGCTGTTCCTGAACCACCTCCTTCTTCAAATTGAACACCATCCAATGTTGGACATCCATAGTATTTTCTGGCAATGTCCAATACTTTTGGAGTTTTAATCTTCATCACTGAAGCAGTTTTAACAGATCCAGTACTATCTGTAAACTTTTTAGTTTCCATAGAGTAAACAGATGAAGCAGGTGTTACCTTTGTGGTATTTCTATCATAGAAATAGTTCAAAAATGTTTGAGAAAATCCAAGAGCATGCAAAGATTCGTGTCTGGCGACAGAAATCTTTTCCTTGAGTGTATAACTGATAAGTCTAGGTGATAAATTGAGTTGTCCTGCAATAGGTCTATTATTATCAGCTGATGAAACGCAAGCAACAGCCCATCCCAAAACGCCTTCTTGAGTCGGTCTAGTAGTAACAAAGATGACAACATCTGTATTCTTTCCATCAAATCCTGATTGTTTGATATCATCTGGAATTGGAACGCCTCCTCTCGGTCCACATCTTGAAATACCTCTGAATGCAGTTGTATAGTCACCATCTTGAACAGTTCTAGTTTGAGCCATAAGGTAAAAGTCCTCTCTAACACTAGGAATCAAATCATTCTTGATAATGTTAACAAAATCAGTGGTAGGAACATCAGCACTTGTACATTGTCTCCAGCAATTTTGACTTGTTGCAGAGGCGCACAATGGTGTTCCAGGAAGATTTGTAGGAGTATCCACACCTTCCCAATAATAAGCACCTACTGAGGCACAACTTCTTTGTTCAACATCCTTACTGGCCAAATAATCATATCTAAAGGTAACTCTGAGATTGGACCAAATTTCAGCACTTAATGATCTCTTTAGGTTTTTCCCTTGTGAGGCATGACTTTGTGCTATTTGACTAAATACACTTCTCGGATGATATCTATTATTCAATTCTTGTTCCATAATTTCATCATGAATACACTTGTGAGGTAAAGCTCCCTCTTCATCATGATCATGATGTTTATGTGCTAACGTTATGGAGTTATTCAAAACTAATACAACCATGAAAATAAGAACCAAGAGGTTCCTTAATATTATAATCTTCATCACTCAATAAAGTATATACAAAATAAATTAATTTTTATATTAAGCGTCGTGTATCGTCGATGGTGTGATGTAATATGATGATTTCCAAGTAAAAACAACAACAATAACAATTTAACGCTCTCTCTGTTGAATCTTTTTGGAAGGTTTTCTCGCCAATCTAATTTTTTTTATTGAATAAAACGTTATATTCCCTTAAAAGGCGACTGTTGAGAGTGTTGATATTCGTTCATGTTTAAGGCGCCAAAAGAAACAAAGGAAATCATGACCCTTAAATTAGAAGACTACCGAGGAAACCCTGACACATATTTGTAATTTCGCTCTCTGTTTTAACAGATTTATTAGGAAAGGGTTATTTTGGCATTAGTATGAATGCTTCAGTTGATTCACCTAAGCATGCTTTTCAATTTGAACATGCTCTTCTATTTGATTATCATCAAACACGCCCAAACTATCATAATGCTTGAAGAATTCATTCGTGTACTTGAGACATGATGTTTCCACAAGGGAGAGAACACTGCTGTTTCTTGATACATGGTTTGCCTTGTCACTTTCAAGTGTTTTGGTGTGAAAACGTTGCTTCTTGAGTGAGAACAATGCCAATTCATAAGGAGATACAACCAATTGGTCTTGTTCATATGCCTCCTCTATTTCAATAAGTGGATAATCTTGTCTATACTCTTTAAGAAATGCTTGCAAGTTCTTCAAACAATTCGAATCATATCTCATCAATTCCTTATCCAATCTTCTCTTCTCATTGCTTTCATTCTCTTGAATTGATTGAACTGAATAATCATCTCTCAATAGAATAAATTTATCACCGCTTGCCATCAACATTAAATGAAGAAAGTTCAATTCTTTCATGTAAATATTCTGTGTAAATTGCCTGTTCACACAAAGTTTGAATTCTGGAGATTGTTTCATCAATCGAACAAGTTCAAACCAGCCAATTGAGAAGAGATCAAATTCTGGAGAATCTTGGTTCAGATTTTGTTCAGATCTTTCAAGGAATAGACATTGAAGTAAAATGTAAATTAGGCACGTGTAAATTTCTCTTCTGATTTGTTGGTCTTCTGTTTCGTGAACATTAGTTTCATCTTCAGGTGGAAGAAAATCAGAAGAATCAACACTTCTTGGAGAATTACATTCTTCGTTTGATTCCACAGTGGACAATTCAGTTTCTAATAAAGAAAGTAAACTTTGAGAAATAACTGGAAGTATTCTACATGCCTCATTCTTCAAATTATCCAATTCCAATTTCTCATCTTGCATTATACCAGTATTATCGTCCAAATAGTTTAGGATAAATTTGTGAAGAATCATTAAAAGAATAGGAGGTGCATCGTTTTCCATGAAAATTTCACGATAACTGAATTTCCATCTATCAATTTGAATATTATCAAGGAATTCATTTGATTTGAAGGAGACATCGAATGGTTTCTTATCGTTTTTAGAAGAAACTTGATCGTCACTATTCGATTCTTCCATTAATTGACCATCATTACTTGAATAGTGTATTTTCCTGGAAGAAACATTCATCAACTTGAGAATTTGTCTTCCCAATTCTAAATTCCTGTAAAATCTTGAACTTTTCACAATTGTCATTGGAAGAAGTCTTTCTAATCTATTACAATTATTCAAGCAACTTGTTAGACAGTCATTTTCTAAAAGGAAAGTCAATAAGAAGGAAGAATCCTTGGCTATTTGTATACACATTGTTTCTTCATCATTATTCGAAAGACTTTTCAATGAATCGGATAAGAAACAATTCAAATCATAAACAGTACTTTGATTCCAATTCAACTTTTCAACCGATTCACTCAAACATAAAATTAAACTAAATGCAAATGAAGTTGAACCCAAGCAATTTTTCAAAATTTCACTTTCCTTTTCCATTGTTAACTCCACTTTCTTATTCGAAACTTTGTAAACTTCTGGATTAAACATTCTTCCCGCCATTTCCATAAAGAATTCCAACAAGCATTGAATATAATCCTTAAACGAATCAAAATGTTTCAATGTCAATCTCAACAATTCAGTCATCACTTGAATTGTGTTAAATTCTGTCAAAATCAAAATTATCAAACTTTGATATTTTGAAAGTTTACAAAGAGTTGTAATGGAGTTTACAATATTACAACTAGTTTCGTGAGAGTTGTATAGGGAAATGGATTTGAAATGTCTTACTTGTGTTAGAATTTCCAAATCGGATTGAAGTTTTCTTGTGGAAAGTTTTAACATTTCGGCAACATTCAATGGAGAAAGGTCAATAATTTCGTTTGGAGGAAATGAGTGGATAATCTCAAGATGCTTGTATAATCTTTGATATCCTTTGAATTTGGAACAGTTTAAATCACTGTAGAGTCTTGTCAAAAGTGAAGGAATTTGATATCCTAAATAGTAAGAACTATTCGAAAGGATATTAGAAAAGAATGGAAAGACTTGCTTACTTACTGTTCGAAAATGATATTCTCTAAATCAACAATTAGTTGGCTATTGTCAAATTCTTCAATAATTGGAGAAATTAGAGACTTGGATAATTCTTCCAATTTGTTCGAAAGTTTCTTTCTATACGATTCACACTTGTAAATGGAACACAAAGCAAGACATGAATATCCCATAGTAATAATAGTTTCCAATCTATTCTTAACTGTTTGTTCTTCCATTTTAAGTTGAATATCCTTTCGAATACTATGTTTCGTATTACCATCTTTCAAAGCTTGACACCTTTCGAATATTTCTTGATGTTCTTTAGCCTGTTCTTCCAACTGTTCAACTTCCTTTTCTAATAAATCCAATTCTCTCAATTCTCTAGAAGGATCTTTCTTGATCGCAAAGAGCTTTCGTTTCGGTGTTGTTTCTCCATGTTTCGTTTTTCGTTGTTTTTCAGTTTTTGGAGAATTTACCTTCTTTTCCTGATTACTATTTCTAATAGGGCTGTCAAATATTTTACATTCCTCTTCGAAAGAAACTTGTCTCAAATATTCGATTGGAATTTCACAAACTCCATCGTTATCAAACTTGTTCAATATCAGTTCTTTCAATTCGAATATTTCAGGTTGGTTTCTACTCAACAGTTGACACAATTTTGAAACATTTTGCTCGTTTCCATCCAAGCAGAAAACATAGGATAATGGTGGTTTGGAAAAAACCGAAACCATATTCGAATCTTGACTCATACTTTTACAATGATCCAATTCCTTCTTTACATTTCTCACCATTTCATGCATTTGGAAGGAAGTCAATAAATTTTCAAAGCTTTCTGAAAATTCATGACCAAATCTTGTGAATGAGCTTTTCAAATCTTTATACGAAACTTCAAGTGAACGATTCTTCTTTCTTTCCTTAAATTGACTAAATTTTTCTTTCAAATTCTGATTTACCAATTCATTTTCTCTCAAATGATTAGAACACAACTCGATAATCGTAAATGGTTTTTCAATTACCAAATCTTGTGGAATTTCCTTGAATTCATGTTCGTGATGGTCGAAACCTCTGACTTTATGGAGATACGAAACAAGATATTCATTACAAATAGTTTGAAAGTAGAGAAATAAATCTTGGTAGAGTTGATTGATTTGGTGAGTGATGAAAGTTGGTTTTTCCTCTTGTGGAATTTCAGACGAAAGTAGTTCCAAGTAATTTTCTAACAAACTTTCTAATAAACAGTCGCAGTTGATGGGATCTCTGGAGAGGTATTGATCCAAATTGAACATCATTGTCTTGAATTGTTCAAAATTTTCTTGTTGATTCTCGAAAATTCTCTTTACACATTTGGAAAATTCATCTCCAAAACTTTCCATTTCTAGAAATAGCTCAAATATCTTTGTTCTTCTAGATTTCAAATTTTTATATTCTAATATTTGAGAATCTTCACAATTGTCCAATAAATTCTCAATTGGTTCATAATGAATATTAACATATCTCAAAATCTCTTTCATAAATGTTGGAGCTTTAGATTGATAATCGTGAGTTAATTTCACATACGGAGTTGACTGGAACGAGGTCGATCTATTAGCCAACCAATCATTCTCTCCACATCTTATCCAAAACAATGCCAACACTTCCTTTACCATATTAACTTCATTCAGAAATTCGACACGTTTCGAATTATTCAACAGGAGACGACTCTTCATCATTTGAAACAATGAAGATTTGTAATTTGTTCTATCATGCCCATACTCCCCTTCCTGAATCATTGAATTGCTAATAACAATTGGACTCGGATTCGAACTCTGACTCCATTGAGAAAAAGAATCCAAATCCTTAAAGTACCGCAAGTGGAAGGATGAAGAGTTTTGATTGGGAGAAGTTGGTGAGACACTTCCCTCAATGATTGTATTCCTAAAGATATTCCTCTCGATAATGAGATGAGAGAGTTTCAATTGTTGAAAGCATTGGCAGAGAAATTGATCGGAGCTTAATTTTGGACTTGTTGTTTGCGGGGAAGAAATATTGAGGGACGTGTTGATGATATTGGGAGGAGAGGATTCTTCTAGGGTGATTTTGTTGGATGGTGTTGATTGTGAAGGTGTGGGTTTTCTTGAGGGGAGTGAAAATGTTTTCATTCTTTTTTTTAATAGTAATAAAACAGGAAATTTCCAAAATAGCTGTTTTATAAACTGTTGTATTTTCCATAGATGAATGAACATTTCAATTCCACATTAATTGAATCGTTTTGAGGATAAGAAGATAATCGAACAAATTAACCAAAGGTGAGCAATTTATTGTATCTTCCATTGCATGATACAAACATCACCTCCACCAGCACTGAAGAGATAATCACCATTTTCTGTAAATTTGACATTTGTAACATGTGAACAGTGACCCAAATATTCGACTCGTTGAGGAGTTGTTGTGGCTGTTGGATAGTGGAATGTTGTCACTCTTCCATTATCACCTGCTGATACAAGTAATTGTCTTCCAAAATGAACAGCTGTTGCATTGATATCAGTTCCATCCATGTCTGATTTCCAAACACCTCTAACTTTCCAAGCAACTGTACAAGTAACACTTGCCCAGTCAAATTCTTCCAAATGACCATCATGAGTAAGTTGCTTGCCTTGAGAAACATCCCACAATAAAACTTCGTAATCTCCACTCAATGTTCTCATCAATTTACCATCTGTAGTAAAGTCAATTGATTTAACAAATGAAGTGTGACCCACCAACTTTTTGATAACCTTAAAGGTACTTGTTTCATACAAATAGATATTATTATCGTGAGAACCAGCTGCGAGGTATTTTCCATCTGGTGAAAATTGAAGAGCAGCAATTTCTTCTTTAGCATCTCTGGAATTTACAATAGGTTGAGATGAAATAGAGTCTCCATTGAAAGAATAAACGAAAAGAGTTCCATATTTAGTACCTGTTGCAATGTAGTGGCCAAAATATGCTACCGATCTCAAATCCCCCTTTGTTGTAACCTTAATTTGTTGTACATGTTTTCTTGTTCCATAATTCCACAAGATTAATCTTCCATCGTCACCGCAAGAGCAAAAGTATGGGGTTTGTGGAATTGTACATAATCCCCACAATTCAGTTTGTTGATCTCCGTAGTGAGAAACCAATAAGAGCTCGACCTTGGACTTGTTAGAAATTCTTACCAAATCACCATTTGTCCTGGAAGCATAAACTACATCATCCTCCACTGTTGAAGGAACAACACTTCTAACTTGATCCATTAAATTGAGGGAGGCAACATCTTTGAACATGTTTACACCTTCAACTTTTTCATTTGTGAATTGCCACCAAATAACTTTACCATCTCTACCGCTTGAAATGAATCCATTACTAGTTCTATAAATACAATATACAGTTCCTGAGTGAGCTTGTTTTTTAAAGACAAGTTTGTTTGAAGAAAAGACATAGAGAGAACCGTCCTTCATACCACAAATTGGATTTCCCTCCAAATCGTAGCAGGATGTGTAGGATGATTGAGCAGTACCTCTTGGTGAAAAGATTGCTTGATTAAAATGTTCAGTATTGAGACACAACGTATCAAAACATACCTTGTTTTGCTTTGAGACCTTCGTTGATTTCAAAGAATTTGGCAGTATTTTTACCTCCAAGTAAAATCTTACTGTCATCTGGACTAAAGCTCAAATCAAAAACTTCTCCGTTATGAGCTTTACAATGACCTAGAAGAGTTCCACTTTGCCAATCATAGACCAATAGAAGATTATCTAACTCAGGACCTCCAACAGCTGCCAATTTGGTTCCATCATTTGAAAAAGCAAGTGTATAAACACCACCATTTTTGAAAAAGATATGTGAATCCAAAACTTGAATTGGTTCATAAGGGTTACTACTATTCCAAACACAAATTATATTATTCTTTCCCAAATTACCTGTTGCAAATGTTTCTCCATTCGGACTAGAGAATTTCATTAATATATTACATCCACTTTTAAAACCTACTGTTTGGCAATACAAGTAACATCATCAGTGTGCTTGATAAATATCTTTTGAGCATTAATTTCTGGATTATAAACAACACCACAAGCAGCAGCAGGATAGACCAATTCTCCACTATTATTCATATGGAAAATATTACCATTACATCCCTTCTTACTACACCCATGAATAAATTCCAACTCGAGATTATTTGGAGGAGGAATATCCAGCAATGAGGAGGCATCCGAAGGAGCATGTAAGGTTGTTTTCAAAAAGCGAGGATGACGGCCAGCAGAGGTTATCATTTTTTTTCAAGTAGTGTTGCTTGTTTGGTTCAATTAAGGGGTTGTGATGGTGTAACGGAAACCTTTAACTACAGAATGGAGAAAAAAAATTTGGAGGGAAAAATTTGCATCTCGAGAAAAGACATGTTTTTATTGAATCAATTATCACTCAATCATCAAGGAAGGAAATAATACTTTTGCATTGAGGAATGATTTTGAAATAAAATTGATAGAAACAATTTAAAGATTACAAAAAAATGGAACAACAATCATTAATGGTGGCCAAATTACCTCCGACTATTCGATTTCTGTTAGATAAGGCCTTCCGTAGACAAGTATTGGACAAGTGGAGTGATTGTAGTACTTTTACACAATTTATACAAATGTACAGAGTGGAGGCAGTGAGTGGAATTTTAGGATTAATAGGAAGTTGGGTTCTTGTAAATTGGAGATGGTTGTCTCATCCTGTTAGAGTGTCGTGGACTGCTGATCAAGAGTCGAGTAAAATTGTATATATTTTGACATCAAATAGTAAGAATTTTACAAAGGAATTGGCTATTGAAGCACTCAAAGAATTGAGATATATTCCCGATGATTTTCCAATTGCCACAACTAATGTTCAAGTGTTGAGTGACAAGGAAATGCAAGTCACAATCGGAAAACAATCAAAGGAACAATTGAAAGCTTTTGTGGAGGAGAGGGATTTAATGTTTTCATCAAGTATTAAATCAACATTGTTTGGTACCTTGTTTAGTATTGGAATTGTTAATTGGATGAGAGCAATGACGAAATAGTTAAATTTTAATTAAAAAATATTATTTTCAATTTTATTGTAAGTTTCCAGAAAGCGTTTACGCAAAAAATTAACTTTTTTGATCGACTTGGTGCGACCTGACTTGATTTTGGATGACGTTAAAAACAGACGACTTTTGATTGATCCCCAAATCAACTAACACCAACCTGCAGTTGAAAGAAGAATTAACTCAATTTATTTTCTTTTGATATATTTGCATAATTTGGTGTCAATTCTTCTTACTTTAACCTTTATTTCTCTCCAAGTTCTTTAGAAGTCTATTTGATAATAGTTCCACTGCAGTGCAAGCAATTAAAACAAGAATTGGATCGACCTTGAATCGATTGTAGTTGATTGCCGGTAGTCTGTGAATCGACTTTGAATCGATTTTGTTGCCAGTAAATTGACTTTTTTTTTCGACTTAAAATGACTTTAGACGACTTGACTTGAAGTTAACTTTTGGCGTAAACGCTTTCTGGAAACTTACAATATCTCATTGATTTAAAATTAAAACAATAATAGAGAATTATCTATGAACACATTGTAAATAACAAATATGAAAATTATTACGAAATTTTAAATTGAACTTTCATAATTTTACAAAAATTTATTTGTTTTCGAAAAGCTTGGCAATATTCTTGCGAGCTTGTTGAAACTTAGTATTTGGACTCATATTTTCCTTATCCATATCGTTAGGGGTTGAGAGTTGCTTATTGACAACCTTTGGAGAAACCTTTGGTGAGGCTACAACCTTGGAAAGAGGAACAGGTTTTCTAATTGGAGAACAAGTAAAGCTAGAGCTAGATTCCACATCTGACTCGGCATCATCTTGTCTTTGTAAATTATGAACACTACTGAACTTATTCTTAATGGCAGCAAACAATTCACCTTGGAATGCATTTGGATTCTTCTTCATTGGAGTACCACCTGGAGACTTTTGAATTGGTCTTAATTTTACAGAACCAGCCTTCTTAATCAAATCAGATATGGACATTGGTTGTTGATGAAGTGGTTCAGCCTTAGGTTGCTCGTTGTCGTCTTTTTTAACTATAGTGAATTTTGGTTTGGTAAGAACAATTGGTACTGTTGGAATACTCAACAATGGTGGTGGAGGAACACCAGCAGCAGCAGCTCCACCTGGAATCATCATCATTGGAGGAGGTTGAGGAATGTTAGAAATTGGAGGAGGTGGTGGAATATTGGTGGCTTGTTGTTGAATGGAGGATTTGACCCTCTTCTCGACTGTATTTCTGGCCACTGTTTTTCTGAGTGATGAAGATTGCTCGTTTTTAGAAACAATGGCAATTTGTTCCTTGAGCATCATCAATTGTTGTTCCAAATCTTCCATCTTGGTGAGTGAATCCAAAGTAGATTCCAGACCTTCTAATGGTGATGTATTGTATGATGATTCTTGTTGTTTCTTCTTCTTATCGGGAGTAAAGTATCCCATTTGATGTCTCAAACGTTGAAAGTAAGCCTTCTTCTTTCGCTTTCTCTCCTTCATATCCTTCAAGGAGGAGACATCATAGTTCTGAGTTATGGCATTAAAGACATCCTTTGCATACTCAACAAACCAATCTCTTGTATTGGAGAGAAGGGCCCACATGAAGAGGAAAGCTCGTTCGCCAAACACTGGCTGTTCAGATGATGCTGATGATGATTGATAATTGTGAAGACTTGAACTTCCTTGACGATTCATCATCCTAGCATGAGAGTTGTAATTATTATTGGGTTGATAGTAATATTGGCCGTTCATATTATTGTTGTTGTTGTCTTGATGATGCTCGCAGAAATGTAATTAATCATCAACAATAATGTGTCTAGTGGTTGTTTTTTTTGCTGATGAATTTTAATTTGTTTTGTGAATAAATGTAACGTTCGAATTTTTAATTCAAAACGGTCTTGTTTGGCGCCAAAGATTTTATTTACCGTTTTGGATCTCTATTTAATTTAACTGCTGTCAGCCTTCTCTTTGAAACAAAAGCAATGTTGATTGTTATCCATCTGCCAGGAACAGTCATCCACAGATTACGAATTGTCTTGAGTATCAACAATAATACCCTGATCTTATCTAATATTCAAAACAATATTTGACATTTAAGATATTTCAAGATTAGGGTATTATTGTTGATACTCAAACCAACTCTGACAAAGTATTGATCATCACCACTACTATTCATGCCATTGGAGGAATCATTCTGATATTGAGAAGACTATTGAGGCTAACATTTGTTTATTTTTCAACAAGGGTTAACATTTTGTTCAAAACAATTACAAAATCATTATTCAAAAAGTAATTATTTTATGGATGGCCCATGGAAAAAAGCTCTAAATCGACTCGGCATATCCTCACTTCATTATAATTCTACAATGCTCAATATCCTCTCCAAAGGATCAACAAGGATCGTCGAAATGTAGGCTCAAACTCTGAAAAATATTGCGCATTCTCACTCCGTAAAAAATATCTCTTTTGGTTGGTGATTTTTTCAAACTCCATTGCAATACTACTTCTTGGAGTATTAATATCTTTCATCATCACATCTTGTTTATATAATTATAAATAATTATTTTGAGAAAGGATTTTTTTGGAAGATACTATCCCTCTCAATCCGATAATTAGATCATCATCATTGGGTGAATTCACTTTTCCAATTTTTTTAAATTGTTGTAGGAGTTTAATATTTCAAACTGTACTTTTTTGCTAGTTGTAAACTCCATCAACTCCGTTTAATAGAGAAAGAACATCCTTTTTGTTAGAAGAAGATAAATAACAGTTCAACATGCAGCCACCATCTGTTCTTCCACCACCACCCTTCTCCGAGCTTTACGTAAAAAGAGAATCAAATTATGAAGCAGCTGAACAAGTGAGTCATGCCAATAACCATCATCCATCTTTATCACCAGCAGAATCATCCAATAACAATTCATCATCAGTAGTTGCTATATCCAATTTCCCACCAATCCTACCTCACCCAATACCAGTAAATACCGTCTCTAACCAACATCCATCCACTCATCAACAACAACACTATTCAACAACAACCACCACTATTTTGGATCATGGACCAATGTTGTTAAATAATTCATACCATCAACCACAATCGACATCTTTTAATCCAGTATCCGCTTCAACAAACACCTCTGAAAAACAACCAAAGAAGAGAAAACAATCATCAGCGTCCATTCCTGTAAACAATATGATGACTGATGTAAACAATGGTGACTCACCAAAAAAGAAAAAGAAGAGAAAACAAGTGAAAAGAGCTTGTATTAATTGTCATAAGAGCCATGCTGGGTGTGATGAAGTTAGACCATGCAAGAGATGTGTTTCGTTAGGTTTAGAAGCAACATGTCTCGATGTTGAACCTAGAAATACCAAGAGAAAGTCAAGTGATGTTAAGAGTGAATCAAATAGTAATGCTGGAAATGGTTTGAGTGCTCCTCATTCTGGAAATCAGAATGTCGTGCAACAGACCTCATCTAATTCAATGCTTTCCAATTCTCATCTCCATTCTCTCCACCATCACAACCCTAATAGTACAAATAATACCTCTCAAACAACAGCTAGTTTACCTCCTCCAATTTCTGCTTTGGGAGCTGCTTCATTGGGGGCAACAGTCAATTTGCATTCTCCACCTCAATTCACTCATCCAGGTCATCATTATTCAGCAGGTGGTCATCATTATGGAGCTTCTAGTGCACCAGGTTCATCTTACTTGCATCATCCACTGTATCCACCTTCTGGTTCATTGATGGCTTCTCCTTCACTTTCACAAAATTCTGGAGGTTCAGGAGGATCCTATCAACAATATTCACAATCCTATCAGAGACACGCATTGTTACCTCCTCCATCATCTCTGATAAATTCAACAGATTATGATAATACACAAAATCCTGCTCAAAGAGGAGTTAATCCTGCAGGCCAACCAATTTCTGCACAATCACATTTGGCCTTAATTAATAGTGTAATGATGCAACAACAATTACTCATTCAAGCATTACAAAAACTTGAATCAGGTTCTACATTGGATCCAAGTATTACCAATAGCTTAATTGCTGGAAATAACATGATTGGACAAACATTGGATAACATGCCAACTAAATCTCAAGCATTACCAAACTTGGCAGAGAAGACTCCATTAACCAGTTTAGACCCACATCTCAGACCTTCGGGTTACTTTTTACCACCATCTAGTCATTCATTATCTCCACCTAATTTACTACCATCTGTAAATAGCAATTTATTATCACCAGGTACAAATACTAACCAAACCCCAATGAATAGAACCTACTCTTCAAGTTCATTGGAAGGATTACTTGGTCCAGCAACACCAACTGCAGCAACCCCCCTCTCTCATGTTGTTACAACACCTCTCAATTTGCATCCAGAAAGTGGTCCAATTACACCAATGCAAGAAGCTAGTCTTGCATTGTCAGGTCATTCTAATAGCCAAACTTTGAGTGCAAACAAGAATATTGAACAAACTCATCAACAACATCAACCATTATCACAACATCAACATATTCAACAACCTCAAAAGGAAATGCAAAGAAAGGAACCAGAAAATTCTCCTTTACAGGAGAAACAACCAGAGCAAGAGCAAAAAGATGATGAACCAGAGGAATACGTTGTCAGTCTCTTTAGAAAACCAAATAATGACGTAGATATTATCGATGACTATTTTGCTCTTTTCAACAGCAATATTTCTGATGATGGCTATGAGGAATATAATGTGGCCGAAACTCAAAACGAAAATACAACAGAAAGACCATCATCTGAGAATATTGTTGACGATTCGGAATTTAATACTTGTATAATAGGCAGGGATAATATTAATGATCCTTCACAATGTTCTGGAAGTGTATTCCTACCAGCTGGAGACGTTTGTGTTGCTGTTTGGAAATTGAATGGAGTACTGTATTCAGGAAATAAGAACTTTTTCTCAGTTTTTGGAGTGCCAAGCCTTGTTGAAGGCAATCAAATTAATTTTTCATCGATTTTAGATATGGATTCAGATCCAGATTTGAAACAACTGTTTAGTTGTCGATCTGATTTTTATGCAAAGAAGACTAAATTGCACAGATATGTGGAAAAGAGAGATCAACCTGCAGATACTATTGAAGGTTTTTTACAGGCCTATGTTATCAGAGACTCTCAAGGAATTTTGCCAATCTATATCACCACCCACATATCTATTGCTAAATAATACTTTAATAAACATTGATTCATTGTACATTTTTGAAATAATTCTGACAATATATTTATTTAATAATATGCCCTTCCTAATTTCAGGTTTAAGAAAATTAATAAGGTTTATTGACTCTTGATTTTTTGAGTCGAGGTGGAATCCTTACTCAAAGCAAACTTGAGAATAATGTAAAGGAAAAGACCGAAGAAGACTGGACCACCCAAAGTTTCCTTCCAGATAAAGATGGAGTGTTCAACAGAGAGCAAAACGAATGAACAACCAATATAGTTGGTCATTGCTTGAGTGAAGAAGTATCCAAGAATATTGTAGATGGCAATGGTTGGGGTAATGTGCTTCATAGATTCAATTGGGTGATAAATATCAAAGTTGTAATCGGCTGGAATAATGTGCTTTCTGAATAAGCTTCTGAACACTGTTTTTCAAATGTGATTAATAATTTAGTTAATTGAAAACAACTTACTTCTACCGAATTCAACACCAACACCACAGAGAACAAAGAAAAGATAATAACCAGGATAGAAACCGTGCCAAAAAGCAATGACGAGGAAAGTTTCGAACAATTCCTTAGTACCTGGTCTAGCGCCCTTTTTCTTATTTCTGAGATAGACATCTAGATGAAACAATAATTAATAAATGTTAAAATAATGATTACTTACACTTCTTGACCCACTTGTGAACACCAATATTCCAGTGAATTGACAAGAGATATGGTGAAGAGGCAAGTTCAAATCTCCAGAAATCAATTTGAGAAACAGCAGACCAATCTTTCTTTACAGGATCATAACCAAAACCAGCCAACCAAGCAGAACCTTGAGCCATGTGCCAGACAAGATAATAACGGAATCTGAAAAATTCGACAACCAAAACAATAAAGAAGAATTTAGAGATCAAAGACATGGCAGCGAATTCTTCTCTATTATACATGATGAATTCTCTATCGAATTTATCAATTTGGGAGAAACCAATAAAGCTGATAACAATCATACCCAAATTATAGAAGAATCCACTAAGGGAGAATGGAATATGATCCAAATCGTACTATTAATTGTCACATCCAATCTATTCAATCACGAAAACTTACATTTCTCAAATAATGTCTAAAGTACTTCAAATCAAATGGTGGACCAGCCAACAATGCAGGATAGTAAAAGCAATAGGAAACATATTCCATGAATGAAGGAAGTTCAGACACACTAGCCTTAACCAATTCTTCATCGAGTTCTTCCTTAGCATTTGGATTGAGACCATCAGCATAGTTGAAAGCACAAGAGTTAATTCTCAAAACCATCATCATTAACATTGCACTATAGTCAACTCTTTGACTGGTGAAATCAGTTTGCATACGAATAAAGTGGCTATAATTTAACATTAGCAATCTTGAAAATGTGTGAAAATACATACGCAACAGACAAGTAGGTCCATACAAAGGCAAAAACAAGTTTTGGAGCAATATTCTTTGGAAGAACAGCCATCATAAAATAGGAAAGGAAACTACAAGCAACACCATGGAAACCTTCATATCCGAAAGTAAAGATGGCATAAAACAATCCGAGAGTGCACAAATAAACAGTTTTCAAAAACACATTGTTTTTCAACAAGTTATTGTTAAAAATAATTCTATAAACAAAGCTCCAGAAATAGGTAAGGAGCAACATCAAAATGAAAATAGTTTGGTCAGCCTTCAATCCGATAGAGCTTCCCTTCTCATCCAAAAATTGATAAATAGGCTCGAAAATTGGATAAATTGGTTCTCCGACAGGTTCCAATAAATATTGTTGGGCATACTTTGCTCCATAACAAACGAAATTTGTTGGCATCACCAACCCCTCACAAGGAGTCATAAAATTCGGATGACTACTCAACAACCTCGGGAACAGCGAGTAATTAATTTCAGCCATTTTTTTTTAAAATTTTAAATAGTTCGCGCCACAGTTTTGCGATATCGTAATGCAAATCCGATAAGTCCTACAGAGTTTCAACTCTCTGCTCCGCATCATATTGTGGATGAACAATTCATTGAAGTGAGAGAGGTGAGGAAGAAACAATATTGTTAAATTCTTGTTCTGAATGAAGATTGAAAGTAAGGTTTCGGAATATATATTATTATGGAAAGATGCTGAATTGTTAGAGTTTACAATGAGATATCTTGTTACCAAAATTGCACTCTTCACACTACAGTACATAATTATTTCACTATACCATCAATTGAGTATTATTGCATCAATGGTTACAATCTTTGTAATCATCATGAACCAATCATTAATTACTAATCAAAAAAAAATGAGTGAACAACAATCTGTTTCATCCTCTTGCTGCTTTAAAGAAATTTCTCTCTCCGATATTGAAAATGCCTCGGAACGTATCAGAAAATATATTCATAAAACTCCTGTTCTTACCAATTCGACAATTTCACAAATGACCGGAATTCCTAATTGTACATTATATTTAAAATGTGAAAATTTGAACAAGGTCGGAGCTTTCAAGATTCGTGGAGCTTGTAATGCAGTATTGAATGCATTGAATAATTCTGATGAGGAAATTGTGAAAAAAATCAAGGAAGGAGGTGTGATTACACACTCTTCTGGTAATCATGCTGGAGCTTTGGCTAAATCTGCTCAAATGTTGGGATTGACAGCTCATATCGTAATGCCAAGTAATTCTCCTGCAGTCAAGAAGAATGCAGTTGAATTGACTTATGGTGCCAGAGTAATTTTGTGTGAACCAACTTTGAGATCAAGAGAGGAAACTTGTGAAAGAATTATTCAAGAAACTGGAGCTTTATTTATTCACCCATATGATAATGATGATGTAATTACTGGACAAGGAACTGCTGTTTTGGAAATGTTGGATCAAGTGAAGGAGGAAAGATTGACTGACGAGTTCCCACTCGATGCATTGATTGTCCCTGTAGGTGGGGGTGGACTTTCCTCTGGATCTAGTATTTGTTTCAAATCAAAGGCAGCTTTGGAAATTAAGGATTTGGAAAAATTGAAGAAAACCAAAGTTATTGGTGTTGAACCTCAAGTTGTCGATGATGCTAAGAGATCTATGGAGCAAGGAAAGCTTGTTGGAAACGATCCTAATGTCCCAGCCAATACAGTTTGTGATGGTTTAAAGACAAACTTGTCAGAGAGAACATTCCATCATATTTCTAAGAATATTGATAGAATTTTCACAGTGACAGATGAGCAAGTTATCAAAGCCATGAAACTTGTTTGGGAGAGAATGAAAATTGTTATTGAACCAAGCTCTGCCACTGTCGTTGCTCTCACTCTATTCCATGATGAATTCAAACAAATGGCCACTGAAAATCAATGGCAACATATTGGAATGGTAATTAGTGGAGGAAATTGTGATTTGGATGCTCTTCCTTGGACGAAGAAGTAAATATTAAATGAAGAAATTAAAATTGTACTGCAACTATTTATCTGTACCAAATCCATTACTATTGTATACTTCAATGTTGGAGAGGTTTCATTCTCAATGGCTTTTTTCAAATACAGAATTGAACCAATCCTTCTTGAAATCACCTTTCACAAACATGAACTTTAAGATCAAAAAAAAATGCAAAGATCACAACAACAGCAAACCATCAAACTCGCCAAAGCAAAACAAAAGAAAACAATTTCTTCCGAAAGATTGCCAACAGAAACATTTACATCCATTGTAAGAGATTGTTTAAAATTAAAACTTGATATTCGACCTTTACAATTCAAGAAGAAATTTTCTAACGGAACAGACTTTCTTTATGATAAGGTAAAGAATTTGAAGGCAGTTTGTCGAGAAATCAATAGAGGAGATAATGTCATGATGAAAATAATTTTCACATGTCAAGATTCTCAACCAATAATTCCAAATTATATACAAGGAGCAGAGAGTAATATTGAAAAGCATAAAATTTCGTACCCAGATAAGATCATGTCAATAGACACTTTACGAATTGATATTGAATTTCCATACCATAATTCAATAACAGAGGTTGCTAAGAAGATTAATTTACATGAGGAAGAACTGATCAATTCTCTTATAACTATTATTGATATGGATGATCATCAAGTTTATTTCAAAATGAAAACTAATTATTTCAATGAGGATAAGGAGCATTTGTATAGATATATTGTAATTGGAAAAATGGATCAAAGTGAACATGCTTTCATCTTTGATGTGAGCGATTTTTCAAATATTTGTGGTACCAATGGTGCTATTCCAAAAAATCTCAAAAAGATTTATGATTTGTGCATGCCACAGGATTTAGCCCAATATTTTGAAAAGACTGGATGCAGCTCAACAAATTCAGATACAAGTGTTAGAAGAGTTGGATTTGGAATGTTCTTCAGATCAGATACCAGACCAAGCAGAGAGCGTTGCAGAAGACACTACTATTCGGGTTGGGAATCAGATGGTTCAGTTGCAACCTTAGTGAACTCGTATTCAAGGAATGGAGATTATGGTATTCAAATATTGGCACAGGGTGCAAGAAAATTCTATCCAACTGAGTATTCTGGTGAGATTGATGTAGGATATTACAAATTTAAAATGGGATGGTGTAGATTCACTTCATTCCATTCAGCCCAGCACTACACTTGCAAATTAATCCAGGAAGTTAAAAATTCATAAATATTGAATTGTATTCTGATATGCAGTTTCAACTTCGATATGATCAGAAAATTGGTAAGCAAAATTTTCATCATGTAGAACGTTCAATAAATATAGAAGATTGAGCAACCGTTTCAAATTCTTCAACCAAACCTTACTGAACCAACAATCTAACGTTTCGGTCCAAGTGTATATTTTTATGTAAATACCAGAAATTATAGACATAAATGACTATGGCCATCATCCCGTCCGATTTGAGAAGTTAAATATTGTCGAGTACTGAGGTTGGAGACAACTTGGGAACCTTTGCTAATTGTAAAGTCAAAAAAAATACCCTCACTCATGCCACAAGGGAATGCCATCATTTTTCTTGATTGTAAAATCTCATCCGACTTGCTATCGGGCATGTATCAACACTCGAAACGAATACAACTCTACAAGCAGATAATTTTACAATTTTACATGTATAAAATGGATGTGCCACTCTCCGATACTTTGAAAAACGATCGTCAGTTTATTCTACAAGCACTCCAATACGATTTTATATTCCATAAATATGGAAAGAAATTTGTAGAAGAGTTTTTAAGGAAAGATGAAGAATTTATTATGGAAATGATAAGAGTCAATCCAAGGATTATTAGATATTGTCCAAAAAGACCTAAATATTGTTTACAAGCTGTAAAGTATGATCCTCAAATGTTGTTGTATGCGCCAAAGGAGGTTAAAAGATCAGAATCAATTGTTTGGGAATTATTCAAGAGGGATGCTTCCTGTTTGAGATATGCAAGTCAACGATTGACAAGTGGACCATTTGCTTTTAAAGTTTTTGAGTACAATGAGAGTGCATTTAGAACATTTTGTAAACATCCATTTACAATTAATTCAATATCTAAAAGGGAGGATTTGTTAAAACTTGTGTCTATGGGCTCATACTATTCGAAAATTAGTCCTACATTGAGAGAGGATGAGGAGGTTCAATTGGCAGCTCTCAACCATGACGCATATGTTTGGCAATTATTGAGAGATGATTTAAAAAATGATAGGAACTTGGCAATGGAATGGGTTAAGAAAAATAGAGAAATTCTTGGATATACGAAATTTATTCACGATTATGAATTTATGGTGGAGCTGATTGAGGAGAATACTATTTATTTTTGGGATTTCAAAGGAGAAATGAAAGAACAACTTTTCAGAAAGAACAAAAAACTCCTTATGACTGCTTTGGAGGATTACAAAATATTGGACTATCATTGGATACCTATTATTTCTACAAGTTGGTATTCCCTTCCTTCATCAATAAGTCAAGATAGAGAAGTAATCATGTTGTTTTTGAGAAAATTATGTAAAAATGAAAATGGATATAGATACTTTACATTTACCGTTTCTGGAGGAAATATTACAATCAATTGTGACCAATATTTTAAGGTATGCCTTGAAAATTTCCAAACTGACAGAGATTTCTTCCATTTAAATTTATCTAAAATTGGGTTGAATAGAGTATACGCATATGCTGATCAATCAATGAAGAGAGATCCCAAATTCATTGCTTTTGTATTCAATTCATATCCTAACAATAATATCACTTTTGAATATGACAAGAATATAGTGAGAGAACTTATTCCGCTTCTCAAGACAAATCCGTCTCAATTATTCACGGATATCAGATCATTGATTTCGGATGACAAGGAGCTATTACTGTTATGCATCAAGAATATTAGCCCTTATTGCTTTAATTATGCATCTGAACACTTGAAAACTAATGTGGATTTTATAGAGGAGTGCATGCGAGTTAATAATTCAGTCATAGCAACTGTTTCCTTGAAATTGGTTAGAATGAATAAGGAATTGGCAATCCTAGCATTCAAAAAGGCAGTAGAAATAGATATAATACTCCCTATTTTAAAAGAATATTTGGCTGATGATGAATTATTTCAACTGCTATTCCAACCTTATTCAAATATTACTAGCGATCGATTGCTGAAAATATGTGAGGAATTAAGAATTTCTGATAATTTGAAAAATGATTATGAGCTTGCAAGAAGGATAATGAATAGATCTATCAAGTTCAGTATCATATTCAAAGACGCACCATTCATCAAAGAATTGATAATTGAAAAACTCATTCAGGGTCCAATCTGCTATTTAGAATTGAACGATTGTTTTAAATTTGATTGGGATTTGTTTAGTACTGTATACAGAAAGGCAGATTACATGGGTAGAACTAATTTGGTGTATAATAATCAGCACCTCAAGAAAAAAGATGTTTTAGTTAAATTATTAGGGAAAGGAGTGTATATTAGTGATAATGATAATGGTTTTATTGATAAGAAAATTACAAATGTGGATTTCATGTTGGAAAACTGTTCTCAAATGTTGATTTGATTTTTTCAATACTATTTATTTAATGGATAGTGCTTTGGTACTGTTGGTGTTAATCCATTGAGATCCACTGAATATTAATTCCCTTCATTACATGTGCTTATCATGTGATCTGCTGGAATATCTCTATTTCCATGTTTTCCAATCCAAACAGATTGAAATTCTTCAAAGAGATTTCTTGCTTGGTCAACTAAACCTTGTTCTAATAATTGAATGGCTTGATTGTAGGTTTTCCACTTGTCTCCCGATTCTTTCTGTTCCAATTCATACATCCTTAAAAAATATATTGTTAAATCTTGTTAGAATGTAAAACAAAACTTACCATTCATCCATAGCTACCTGCTTTGAAGCCCCCACTTCATATATTGGAATTTTAGTAACCGATTGACTATAATTATCCATCAACAAATTATTCCATGAAACAATTCTCGTGTGGAACATTTGGTCAATCCCCTTTTCCTGAACTGCTTTTGTAACTGCCAAATCAACCTTCAAATGTTTCATAATATTAATCATATGTTCCAAATTTTGTTGATAACTGCCAATAATTGTAAAGGTCTTGACTGCGTTTGTTCCAATATTACCTGCCTTACACAATTGACTCACAACGGCAATGCAAGGTTTGATATTCTTGTCAACAAGTTTCAGAGCTGTTAACATTTGTGAAAGAGTTGACAAGGCCTTTTCTTCTGGTTTCTGTACACTTGTATACGAATTCCAACTCACAATTATTGAACTCTTCTCCAAAGTTCCAACCATTGCATTTGAAGTATTTGCAAACTTTTGAATAACTCCAAAAATATTCGTAAACAAGTTGACCAATTCATTTTCTTTCAAATTTGTACTAATTTCTTCCATTCCCTCAAAATAAATCATGGCACTTACAACCTGTCTCTGTTCAACTCCCAATTTGAAAAGAAACTTATTCTTTGGGTTGTGAACTGATGAGGAATGAGCATGATCTGAATCCATCTTTTTGCTGCTGAATTTACTGCTGATTGATGGCTCTGTCATGGATTCGTTATTGTCCAATTTGGCTAACAAGTGTTGTGGAATGAAAGCTCTGTAAGATTTCATCTTCCTAATCATGGTTGAGATGTGTTGTTGGAATTCTTCAATTTCGGTTAGGTTCGAAGAGATTTTCATAGCTTCTGCAACATCCAATTGCATTTCTGAAATAAATTCAAACTGATTCAACAGCTGCTTGAATGGCTTTACAATTCTTGAACTAAATCCCAAACTAATCAATGTTGCACACACAGTAATCACCACACTGACAACTGACGCAACAATGACAGCAATAATAATTGAGGAAATATAATTCCATTGAGGAACTGAAAATATAATCAACCAATTCAATCCAGTTGCAGTACATAATCTATAAACACCAACATAATAATCTTCAACACTGGTATACATAAAGGTTGAGCATTTCATTGATTTCAAATCATTTCCTAATTGGGAATAAACGGCTTTTCCAACAATTTGAACATTTTCGTCCTCGAATGTGAAGACTGTTTTTCTGTGGGATGTTCCATTTTTGTAAAATATGGTAGGTGGAATGTCAGGAAAACTATCTAAGTCAAATGTCATTTTTGTCATGTCTAAAATCAATACTTACTAGCAATCAATGCATTACTCTCAATCTCTATCACAATTGCCATCGAATTTTGAATCTTACTCGTAAAATCTGATAAGAAAACCGAAAGTGAATGCGCAGTAATATCTATAGCAAAATACCAATCAAAATTATTTGCACCAGGTTTCGTATAAGCACTCACACAAGTAAACCAAACCCATAATGGAAAACTTGAATGGACATAGGAAGTTGAAAAGATTGTCGTATTCTTTGCCTTACTGGCATAGTTGACCACATAACTCATATCAAAAGCTCCATAATCAAAATCATATTCTGCATCACCATCTGGAACACAATTAGTCACAGATTTGTAATAATCACATCTTTTAAAAAAACCGTTCGTGTCATTTCCAAGCATTTTATATCTGTAGAGTAGTGGCAGGTTTAATTGTCTGGCGACACTTGTGGTGATTCCAATATATCCACCTAAACCTATTCGATTCCCAAAATAGGCATTGATGGTGAGACCATTGACAAAGTTTTCTTGAGATTTGTAAACCATGAATGTTGTATCAAATATCCATTGATTTCTATTGTAATCAAATTCGTTTAGTACTGCGTTTCGTGTAGTTTCGGCTGACATGGCAATTTTCTTCATTGAATTATCGACAAAGTCAATAATTTGCCCAAAGTTAGATTCTAATAACTTTTGACTCATGGTTACAACTGATCCTGTAAAGCTTGATGCCCAAACTATAGTCAAGAATAGGACACATGCAATGACTAAACCTAATAGCAAGAGAATTAAACTCAATTTAATGGAAATAGTCTTGTTTCCACCATTTAAATCAGCACTAGTTGTAGATTCTGAGCTGACTGAATCAGCTTCTTGAGAGATGGGTTGTATTTTCATTGCACTATTCGAAAGTTAGTTTTTTTTTGGTTTTTGAACTAAATGATTTTGTAGTTGGCAAGTGGGAGAACGGTAAATATTTGATATCAAATGATGGAGATATTTATTGGCAAGCTAAATGCATCAAAATTCAATAGAAAAAGAATTATACAAAACGTCAGCAATCATCAAGGTCTTTTTGAGTTTCAGTGTTGTTTCAAGAAAGCAAATTTCCCATAGCACTGAAAGTTCTGTTTCAAAAACTCTACAGATTCAACAAATTGCTGATTCATTCAAAATTCTACAGAAAACCTCAAAATTCATTTTGATCTTTTTTCTTCACCTAAAATTAGAATTTTCTTGATCAGCAAAATTTCAAACAATAAAAAAACAAACAAAATTCAAAATCACTCAATTTACAATGCAAAATTACACCACTAAGCAACAATTCACAGCTGAAAAGTCCATTGATGAAGCAATATCTTGTATTTCAATCAGTCAACCTTCAATGTCATCTGTTACAAAAAAGAACAGAAGAGGTGGAAGAGGATTGAGAAGAAATAGGACAATTCATCATGGACAGTCATCATTCACTGATCGTTTCTCATTCAAAACTCGTGCTAATCAAGTTTTATTAAGAAATGATCAAATGATTGCTGACAATCAAACAAGACCGTCATGGGGAAGTTTGTTCACAACTTCTCAAAACATGTCAAATGCAGAGAAAGAATCTGCAGAAAGAATTGGATTGAATGATAATTTTATCATGTCACCAATTTCTGGTTGCTTTTTGAAGTGGTTTGCTGGTGATGATTTGACAATTGACAGGCAAGCAATTTCAATTGTTAATAAGGTGTACATTCAAGAGGGTGTTTCAGTTAGTGTTGAAACAATGAAAGAATTGGAGGGAAAGGCTAATGTGGAAATAGTTGACTTTCGTAACATTTCGTTTATGCAATTATTAAACGAAACTAGAGATAAAAATTGTGTGTTGAGTATTCTTCCAATTTCAAACACCACTAACATGGAAACAGTCATGTTTCTCATTAGTGAATTCAAATTTAAAATGTGAGATTCTATCAACTTGGGATTAGAATTGAACAAATGTTTTAGATCCCCATATATTATAAAGAAACTGAAAACTTTACCACTGGTACAATCAATTGACATATCTATTTAAATATTCTAATTGAATCATCTTGTTGATCTGTATATCAACAATTCTTAATGTCATAATCTGAAAGAAATATTTTCCCTCCTGTTCTATCAATTGCCATTCCATACAAAAATCTTTCAATTTTCCAAATACAATCAGCACTTGATCCTAATCTCATTAAATTCTTCACTCTATATTTGAAAGTATACTTATTCTCTCCAAAATAAATAGCATCATTTTATTGATCATCAAAATTCTCTTCAATTAACAAACCAGGCACTCCTCCTTCGACAAGAAAGGCTCCTAAATATTCATGAGTAATCAAATCAAAAAATTTCACTTCAGAATTTGAAACATCAGAGATGCACAAACAATTGTGTGAGAAATATTGGCATGGTTCTTTTCAATAGTCAAATAAATCATTCAAAGTTTCAAGTATTGACATGATTGGTGGTCGTTTCTCTTCCTCAGCTTTCCAACACTCCTGAATTAATCCACATAGACTGTATACTTTGCTAGCTTCCAATGAATCAAAAGTTTGTGGATTATTTCTCTTACACCACTGAAAACATTCTTCCTTAGAATGGAAAGGGATGAGAGGTCTGAGATTATCTTGACAAATCTTACTGGTGAGGAAGGGAGTACTTGGGAATTTTCTTTCCTTATCAAGATTTAATCGTTGTAAAGTTCTTGGTTCAGTGTAAGTGTAGGCATCTTGACATTCGAATAATAATTGCCACATGATAATGCCAAATGCATAAACATCACATGATTTGGCATCTTGAATAGTTCCATTAATCAATTGAGGGCTCATGAAATTATGTGTACCAATCAAGTGTGTCATTATTGAATTATTCTTATCTGACATTTTGCGTGACAATCCAAAATCACATAATTTACAAATTCCATCTTTGGTTAATAAAACATTTCCTGGTTTGAGATCTCTGTGGACAATTGGAGTTGGTAAAGTGTGTAAATACTCAATACCTCTTGCAATACCTAAAAACATTTGAATTTTACGATCAAATGTCATTATGACAGTTCCCTTTTCTAACTCATGAATTACATCAACTAGAGATTTGTCCAATCGTTCCATTACTATAAATCCCTTGTTAGGCATTATTGAAACTCCATAGAAAGATGTAATATTAGGATGTCTCAATTTGACCAGTATTTTGACCTCATTGATAAATTCCTGATCTTGAATGTCAGAATCCATTTCGAATACTTTTACAGCAACACTAATTCCTTTCCACATACTTTCTATAACCATTCCTTGTCCTCCTTTTCCAAGTCTCTTTCTATTTCTCAAGTCCAAATCACCAATAGGAATGATAAAATCATTTTGTGGACTAGATTCTGGATCTTGCAGCTCTATTGGTTTGTAATCATCACCAAATAACAATTGCTTTGATAGAGAATCTGCATCTCCAATAATTTTCTTCTGTTTTCCATATTTTCTGCACAGGAATACCAATAAAGACACCAATAATATCAAAAGTGCTAAAAAGACAATACTCAAAACGATTGGAACAATTGCTGAAATAACGGAATCATTCTTTTCACAATAATCTCCAGAAGATCCACTTAAACATTTGCAATCATCCACGGAATTACACATTCCACGACCACTACATACGTTTGGATCATTCTGTGCTAAGCCATAACACATGGTAAATTGGCATTGGTTTCCTGTATATCTATTCTTACTGCATGTACACTTATCAATATCGGTGCAATTTCCTCGACTTTTGGCACCTCCACACGCATCCGGGTTGACCTTTCCATAGCAGGTTGCAGTTTCACAATTACTTCCCAAATATTGATCACTATTGCATTTGCAAGAGTTGGATGATTGGCATGTTCCTCTTCCATTACACACGTCCTTATTTGCATTGGTCAATCCAAAACACACAGGTATATCACATTCCTTTCCAGTAAATCCAGATTGACATTCACATTGATTATATCCTATGCATTTTCCTTTTCCACAAGCATCCCCCTCTGTTTTTCCATAACAAACAGGCAAACACAATGTGAAATTATCATTCAAAATGTAGCCATTAATTTCACAGTGTGGTGTCAATGTATAAATTGCTGTTCGAGTGCAATAAATGATTGAGCCAGTAAGTGGGTCGAATTCAATATCTAAGGCATTCTCATTCAGATTTGAAATAGTTTCCACTTCTCTTTCTGATTTGATTAAACTAATTTTCCTTCCATATTTGTGAAGGACAATTATTTTGTTATCTAAATTGAATACAGGTGAAAATGGACCCTCCAATCCTGATTCAGCAATTGTTGTAATTATTCCATTCTTATTAATTCTTCTAATTCTGTCATTTAACATGTCGCAAAATACTAGATCTCCGAAATCATTAATCAATAGTCCAGTAGGTTTGTTGAGAGAGGATTTCGTTGCTTGGATGTAGTTCGATCCTCTACCAACATCTCCGTCTCCTGCAAGAGTTGTCAGCATGCCATTTCTGTCAAGTTTTCTAATATTTGAAAATAAGTCATCTGTGAAATAAACAACATTGAAACTATCCACAACAACAGAATATGGATAAGCAATGCTCAATCTTTCAGTAATATTATCTCTTCCGTATCCACCTAAAAATCATTTGATTAGAATCTTTGAGATTCTATGAAAATTTCAACATACCAGAAATGAATGTAATTTCTTTAGTTCTAATTGAATCTTCACCAGTCATGTTCAATCCTAAAACTCGGTGATTTCTCGAATCTAGAAAATAAAGCATGTCGCCATCCACAAATAAACCTTTAGGGCTGTTCAATTTAATCTTTGCTGGACTAGTGTCTCTGTTAAATCCAGAAACTCCAACTCCAATTGCTGTTGAAATAAAATGTGAATTCACATTAATTAGTCTAATACGATTATTGAAAGTATCTGAAACGAAAATTAATTCATTTCCATCGTGATCTGTATAATATTCAGCAAATGTTGGATAGAGAAAGCTGATAAAATTATTAGAAAGACTATGAAAGAAGCACATGTACTCACCTTGCACTCAGGGAGGAGCCACCATCACCTCCATAACCATCGCTTCTTCCTGCTATTGTTTGAGTATTGGAATTGGCATTGCCATTTTGTAAAATTATCTTTCTAATTCTATGATTTGCTAATATAATTAGAATAGTTTGGAAAATTTGAAAACTTACCAGAATCTACAATATACAAATGGGTAATCTTCTCTGGTTTTTCAACACATAATAAACCATACGGTTGATTGAATGCTGATGCAAGAGGAGCCCCATCAATATATCCTTGATATCCAACACCTGCTAATAAGTATCCTCTAGTTTCTTTTAAAGGAAATTCCAAAATACGATGATTGAATGTATCTGAAACATATAGAGTATCTGAATTTGCAGAATATTTAATGTCAGTAGGAGCATTCATTTGGATTGCACGTCTTGGCTTACCACTATATGGAATAGCTGACCCATCATTGGGAATGGTGAATGTTGGAATTCCAGCAAATGTATCAATTATTCCAGTAAGTAACGAAACGTTTCTGATCAATCCATTTCTTGAATCCACAATATACATGACATTTTTCACTATGCATAATCCTTTAGGAGTGGATAACTGAGCATTAATAGCTAATCCTCCATCACCACTAAATCCAGATTGTCCAGTACCGGCTACAACATAGATTTTCCCCTCTTTGGTAATTTTTCTCACCATATTATTTCCTGATTCAGTGAAATAAATATTTCCATCATCTGCTTTGTAAATCGATAAAGGGGTGTCCAGAACTGCATTACTGGCATCCATTCCATCTTTCTGCTTATTTTTTTTCGAAGAATCAATTAGTACTGTTTTAACTTTCTTCTTGATAACAGCTAAGGATGTGACAGAGGTTTCTGGATCAATAGATGTCACGTAAACGCTCTCATCTTCTCCTAAATCGAGCTCTGTATAAATTACACTTTGAGATGAGGAAATTTCAGTACTACTACCCTCCAAAGAGGATACTCTTCCTGTTGTGAGCGAAATATTTCGAATAATATTACCATCAGTCACGTACAAATTCCTCAATAGTGGAGATAAGGTAATTTTCTCCATTCCCGAAAATCCATATTTTAACATGGGTATTCCGTCTAAACTCAATCCATCCTCTGAGAAGATTTTCATCAGATTTCCATTAATAATTGTTAAAATTGCATCGTGATAGGCAATGAATACATTACTTCCAATATACATATCAGTTACTTCTCCTAGTTCAACTTTGAGGGCAGGTCCATAACTGTACTCTGTTGAATCCTTTCCAGAACCAACAATTGCCTTACTTGTTCCATTTCTATTAATTTCGAATATTCTCTGGTAGCAAAAGGCAAATAATTGATCTTGATAAATAGTGGAGGTTCTTAAAATTGTTTTTGAATTGATAAATTCTTCTTGGTTATTACCAGCTATGGTTACATTCATTGAAAATAGATATTTTGGTTGATTGCCAATTTCATCAAGAATAATGTAGAGAGAATCATCCTTCAACACGACGAATATTTCATTAGAATCCAAATTAATCGACATGGTAGCTATTGTCATATTAAAAGCAGCAACAGGTTCCGTCCTCAACTCATTCGTTGTAACATTAAAAGCCATAATCCTATTCGAATCGGCAAAATACAGCATTCCTCTATTAATGACTGCTCTGAGTGGTGGATTGGTCAATTGAGTTGGTTTCACAAGTGTAGTTGCCTTCCCTGACTTGGTATCAAATTTCCTAATGGCAGGTATTCCTTTATCAATGAAATACACTTGATCATAGGCAATTCCATCATCATGAATACTTTTCGAAATGAAAATCGATGAAGGATTTGAAATTAAAGTACCATTCCAACCACCCTGTTTGCTATTAAATGGTTTTCCATACTCTCCAATCACAGTTTCCACATCACCACTCGACATGTTCACTCGCATGATGCTATTTTTCGAATGTGAAAAGTAGAAACAATTTGGATGAGAAACGGATGGAAATACAGAGAGAATATTTCCGAGTTGAATATCTTGGGATTGAGCCAAGATGTTTTCTGCATAATTTACAGGAAGGGACAATTGGGATTGAACGTGATGATGATGATAGAAACAAAGAAGAAGAAATGAAACTAAACAAAACGTGAATGATGTGAATAGTTGCATTTTTTTAAATATCATAGTGGAACCCGCTCATTGACAGCAGTTACTTACTCACCTTTCACTGCTGTTGAACTGACCATACCTGGAAGTTAAATAGTGATGGAATACGCTAAATAGTACGAACAAAAGATATTACACAAATTACAATAACACAAAACCTCACAAGATGAAAGATTTATACAGCTCTTGCTATGAGAAGGGATTTTGGTTTTGTCAACACACGGTGTTGTTAACAATGTGCTGTTTACAGTGGTAATCATATCATCTTCGTGCTACTATCTTCTTCAACAACATGATGAGGTGTGGCTCCAAGTCTTTCTACTCACCAAACCAGAAGTTTTGCACGTAGATTTTGGTGAGTTAAAACAATATATTCTATTAATTCTAAAGAATATTCATCTTCTCTTGCGTTCGTCTTATCATACTTTTTGCAAATAAATATTACCTGATGAGAGGGTTGGGTCATATTGCCAACAAGCGTTGCTGGTTTGTTGAGAGTGTTCAAAGTAGCAATTACCACATGTTGTTCTAGAAACAACAGTACTTCTGGGTTCTTGTACATGAACCTTCATTACCAACAATTTCAAGTAAATGGGCAGGCACTTACTAGATGATGTTTTGGTGAATGTAGTAATGGCTGGTGTGGAAGGAAGCAAAGGGATAGTCTCAAGGTAGCATGCTGCAGATTGGTATAGCGATGATGAAATCGTGATGAGTTATTATTGTTTTTTTGTTGAATATTTAACGGTCAAAACAAACAACTTTCAGCGCGAAATTACAACATAACTACAAAAAACAATAAATTCAAGGTATAGACAAGTGTAGTAACCCCATCAAGGAAAAATACTTGTTGTGAATGTAATCCCGTGTAGTCCAATGGCTAGGATACCTGGCTTTCACCCAGGAGGTCCGGGTTCAATTCCCGGCATGGGAGGATAATTTTCCATTTACGATTTAATGTTTATTTCTCACGTTTTTTTAAAAGAAAGTCAATTATATATTCCCAATCATGGCTTCTTACTTGTTTTTTTCTTAATGCAAATCTTCTTCTTAATTGACTTGCAACACTTCTTCTTTCCACCAACTAATTTGAATTTCTTACAAATCTTCTTTCCCTTTGAACGTTTCAAGCATTTCTTATAATACTTCTTCTTGATACATCTTGGTGGAATGACAATTGACTTTGCACAATACTTCTTCTTTTGATATTTGACACATTTGGAAATAGTCTTCTTGTGCTTACAGAACTTGATTGTCTTATGCTTGGCACAGAAGAATTTCTTCTTAATGAGACAACATTTCTTGATGGATTTTCTCTCCTTACAATATTTAACCTTCTTATACTTGGCACATTTCTTTGCCCATGCAACAATCTTGCACTTTTTAACATATCTACATTTGGCGACCTTCTTTTTGTAGGAATCAATAGTGTACTTGTCGCAAATCTTCCTCTTTTCACACTTCTTGATTGGAACCTTCTTGAATTTCTTACAGACCTTCTTAACTCCCTTCTTGAAACACTTGTTGATAATCTTGTGTTTGGCACAGAATTTCTTGAAACTCTTCTTGATGCAAATCTTTCTAGTTCCATAAGAATCACAAACTTTCCAATACTTCTTCTTGGCACATCCAACAATCTTGTACGCGTGCAAGACACACTTCTTTGTTGGCTTGCTGTACTTGTCACATTTGGAATATTTCTTATGTTTGAGACATTTGCCAGCACCGACGATGGCATATTTATCACAGACTTTCTTTTGACCGACGAGTTTGTGTTTCAAACACTTCTTAATCCACTTGTGCTTTAAGCATTTTCTCTTACAATGCTTTGGTTTGTGATACTTGTCAACTATGGCGACTGGAGGTTTAGTTCGATAGGTGTCACTTGCTTGAACTGAGAGGATTGCAAGTAAGAGAAGAATTGCAAATGAAAAGATTAGATTTGCTTTCATTTTTTTTTGTTATTGGATGGAATAGTTCAACAAGTGGGTGATAATTTAAACCCTTTCGAATAGTTTTGCATTAGGAACAAACTAAAACAAGTTGCATGTAAGGTTCCAATTTTGGATAGAAAGCTGATCTCCATTCGAAATCTTTAACTAATTCAATTTGCAATTCATCTTTCAAAAGAATTCATAATCTTAAGGTATTGTTTCTCAGAAAATCATTAGATTAAGATGAATCTTGAGTTGCATCGTTTGAAACGCGAACTCATTTCTAATGAACTTTCCAATAAAAAATCATCAAAAAAAATGTCAAAAGAACTGCTCATTCAAGACACTTACGAATTTGTGGATATTTTCTCTCAAGTTTTCCAATTCATGGAAATTAAAGATATCTATCCACTACAAAGAGTTTCTGGTTTCTTCTATCGGATGATTGAAAACTTGAAGGAAACTTACATTCGTCCAGTTTACGAAATCGGAGTTGTGGCCACAAACGAAGAGCAGTTAGAAAATTTTATTCGAATCTATTTAAATTCATCACAACCACCAAAGAAATATCCAACAATGGACGAATTTATTGCTTCGGATAATTTCACAGACGAAATTGCTTCCATTAATAATGTTTTTACAGTTTATGAGAAATACGAAAGGCAGTTTATTTTCAAACAAGATAGATTTAGGGCAATTTTCTATCCGATTCTGTGTCATAGACATGGAAGTTTGGGAAGAGATGAGCTGAATAGATTGGAAGGGTTTATTTTCCTTTCGCCAGAATATTCGACAGGTTATGCACTCATGCCTGAGGGTGTTGATATTTGTGCAACTGTTTTGGATGATCACTATTATTCCAGTAAGCATTTCGTTAAGGAGGAAGAAAAGGAAAAGCTTACAGATAGAGGATTAGGATTTGTTAAAAATCCAAATTCGAATCCACCAAATACGAATCCACCTTTTGTAAAATTGAAGAAAATTCGAATGCCAGTCATTGAATTTGGAACTGTTGAAGTGGATGAGAAAGTTTACAAGTACCAGGAGGAATCTCTTGTACAATGCTTAATGTATATTGTGAGTCATTCTAAGAGATGTCTAGATTTGGATCACTCACTTTCGAATAAGAAACAAAATATGGAAGAATTGAAAGGTTCTCAAAAATTATTTGAAAAAATTACAAAATTAATCAAATTGAAAGATGAAGAGTTGATGAAAACATTGAAAAGTCTTTTCAAAAATCGATTTGAATATTACAATTTGTTGACCACAGACAATTTGGTCTACATGACGAAACGTCTATGTTTCTTCCACATTCCTCTTGGAGTTCAAGTTGTTTTATTGAAGAAATTATACACTACACTTGTAAAGAATACTGCATCCCTTTCTGTTAATAATGGAAAAGCTTCTGTCAAAGTGGAAAGTGAATTTATCAGTGTCCAGTACAAGCAATTAGTTTCCACCGACGATTATGAGTATGTTTATGGATATCATACAAGGAAAAATAAGAAGGACATTCGGATGGTAACTATTCGATTCTATTATGGAGAGAAAATTGAATTTAAATATGAAAATATTGGAAAGGAAAATACCACACAAAAAGAAGATAAATGTTCTTTACAATAGAGTTGAAAAGAGCTGTCAAAAAAGGAAAATAATTGAAATTTTATTTGAAATAATTGAGGGAAAGAAGTTGAGATGCATTTGGTCTTTGTTTTGAATCTTTTTCTAACATTTGCAATACAATTTCAATTAAATCATTCGAATATTCATTATCATTGGATTGTTTCATTTGTTTTGTTAGAATGTTGATTGCGTTTTGTGATTGAATTCCCATCAACAAGTTGCTGATTGATGTTTCCTTGTCTTTTGTCATGATTTGATAAATTGAAACACCCAAAGAGAAAATATCAGTATTAAAGGAATAGGAACTGCCAAGGGCAATTTCTGGACTCATATCTGAATGGTTTAGTTTCGTCTAAATAAAAAAATAAACTTACATAAAGGAGTTCCAGCATAGGATTGACCTTTTGATTCTTGAAACTTTTTAGCCAATCCAAAATCTGCCAAAACAATTTCAATTTTTTCACTTTCCAACTTTTTTATAAATATATTTGTTGGCTTAATATCTCTATTTTTCCAAAATTGATTTTACAAATTCCTAATATATACTTACCTATGAATAATATGCATCTCCTCATGAACAAGTTTCAATGCACTCAACATTTGTTTCAATATTTGCTTCAATAATTTCTCACTCACTACTTCGTCGTGTTTCAATAAATTTGTCAAATCTCCACATTCATAATAATCCATGTCAATAATCAATAAATTGTCGTTGGTGATGAAATAATCATTCACCTTGATGATATTTGGATGATTGATATGGCTCAATTGGGATGCCTCTTTCATGATGGTATTCAAATCAGTGAATGATTCAAATCTGATAAGTTTGATTGCTTTCAGTTTGTTTCCATGTTTAATATCTGAAACTTTGAAAACACTTCCAAATGCTCCTTGTCCAATTCTTACAATATTCGAATATCTTGAGAAGGGATTTTCTTCAGAACTACTGGACGAGCCATTTGATGAAGAAATAATCATTGAGCTGGTGGAAGGAAATTCATTATCCGAAAGTTCAATATTGTTAGTATTGACCTGAACAATTTCCAATTTCTTATTCTTTCTTTTTCTTGAATTGAAGCACATTACCATAATGACTACTATTACAATTATTGTAAACAAAATTAATAAAGATCCAACAATAGGAATAACAATTGCAACTATTAATACTGATGAGTTGGTCGATAATTGTCTTGCAATCTTAGTTATTTCACAATACTTTCCTTCAAAATCATCTTTACATTGACACGTGTCAAAATCCGAACAAATTCCATTTCCATTGCAAACACTTGAATTAGTTGCCAAAGTTCCATTACAATTCAATAGCATATCACACGTATTATTCCAAGTATTGAAAACATAATTTTCCTCACATTGTGGAATAATCTTTCGAATATAAGTTGTTGCATCAATGAAGAAAATTTCACCTGAACTTTCGTCAAATTCAACTTGTTTTGTGAAGGAAGTAAATATTGTATCGGAACCCTTTCCATCTCCATTGAATGCAGGAGAGGATGACCTCTTTCCAGCCAAGTCAATCAATAATCCACTCTTTTTCTCGTACATTCGAATAAGATTAGGAGCGCCTTTACTAGTTACTGTTCCATCTAACAATATAATATCACCATTCTTCTTGACAAAGATAGCAGAGGGGTTATCAATCGAAGATTCTAGTGCTGGTAATCTGTCTCCTGAATATCCTTGAGAGAAAGTTCCCACCAAAGTTCTCAAATAAAATTGATTATTCGAAATCTTTTCAATTCTTCTAATGGTTTCCATTGTACTTAAATAAAGATTTCCATCAATATAAAAAAGTGAAGTAATTAATCCAGGATACGTTTGAAAATTAACAACTATTCCGTCAGTAGATATTGGATTTGAGGAATTGAACGTAAATTCCAGATTTAGTAGTTGAGTTTCCAAGCTGTATCTGTAAATATGCAAGATGTCTGATATTACTAAATCACCATTTGATTCATCTATTGTAAACCCTGACATTGCATTTGGTGGACAAGGTGAAAGTGTTCCCTTGACATTTGGTACAAAAGCTCCACAAGCACTTCCAATCACTCTTTCATAATTCATAGTTTCTGGATCAAGTCTGATAATTCTACATGTTTCCTTAATGTATATCTTGTTATCAAATTTGGAAAGTTTACCAAAAGTTTTTAAACCAAGTATTGACATGGTGATTGTCAAATAAGGAAAATCAAAAACTGGAATAGAAGGCAATAAAAACCAGCTAAGTGAAATTGACTTGCCTGTTTTTTCGTCAAACTTTTTTAAAACTCGATAATTATCAATGAAATAGTTTATCTTTTTAGCCGAATCTCTCATCAACAAAACAGGACTCAATGTTTTAGCTAATGGATTGAGTCCAGCTATGGTTTTGATTGTTCCATTTGAAATTTCACTGATATAATTGGAGCAGGAGATGTAAATTCTTGAATCTTCTCTGTTCACTTGAATTGCATAACTTTGTATTTGATTGTAATCTAATTTCAGTTTACAAAAATTACTTACGTTGCTGAAGTTTCAATAGGAATGTCATCACCATTGAATCCAGATGTATAAATATTAGTATTTGAAATGTTAACCGCATCAAGTCCAACAATTTTCTTTAATGAAAGTGAATCCCATGAATATTCATAAACTTGTGAATAAATATAGAAATAGAAAATTCTGCCAAATGTAGTAAATCCATTAAATGATATATCTGATATTTTTCTAATACTAGTTGTATAATTTCCATTCTTATAATCAATATATTCATAAATACTGTTACCAGAATAATATAACAGAGAATTAGTTCCATTTATGGTTAAATCTGGAATAACACGTATCAAACCTAACCCAGGGATATCAATTTTCAGGATATACAATAGATTGGATTTGTGAAAAACTGAAAAGGTTTGAACGTAAGTTTGATAATAAATTGTTGAATTCTCATAGGAATCCCCTGTTGCAGTAATGGCACTCGAATAATATTTTGGATCGTGAACAAGTGTCAAATTTTGAGTTTCCATATTGAATACGTATAATCCCAAATTTATACTACCAGTAATCAAAATTTCTCCATTTCCAAAATGATGTAAAAAGCCAATTGAGAAGAAAATTCGACTAGGTTTGTTGGAGGGGTATTTCAATTCTTTGGAAGAGCCAAATACTGTTGTCATTTTCCCATTCGAAACCTTTCGAATTACTAAAGATTGTTCAACAAAATAGAGATCGTTCTTGTATCGAAATGGAAATGTAGTAGCTCCGTAAGTGTACATTTTGAGAGGTGAAATATTTTCACCATACGGATGATTGATTATTCCACCTGCAAGTGTAGAAACCATCTTGCTTTGTAAATCAATCTTTCGAATACAACTGTTCGATTTATCCGCAACCAAAATTGAATTACGAGTCACAATCAAAGAAGAAGGTTCATAAAACTTGATACTAGAGGTATCATATAATTGATTATCACCTTCATATCCACTTTCAGATACAGAACTTCCAATAAATAAAAGAGTAGAGGATGATTTTTCCTTTTTCATCTGAATGAAATGATTTGATTGTGAAGAGGTGTAAATTTCACCTTCATTCGAAACATAAATTCCATATCTGAAAGTAAATATTAAATTTCATCATTATTACTATTCGAAACTTACAAATTAGATTGAGATAATCCTCCATCCACAATTCTATAAAATCCATTTTCATCAATTGACTTGACTCTTTCCTCATCTGTGAAATATACAATATCATTCTTTCCATTATTAGAATAAACATATATATTCTTTGGTGATTTTAAAAGTAATGACTTGGCATCAACTCCATCATAATCTCCATTTAGATAACCACCTCCTCCTAATATGGAAAGTGTTTGAGTGGCAATTTCATATTTCCAAATTAAGTTATTATTAGTATCTGCAATGTAGGCATTTCCATTCTTTGAAACACTGACACCTTTTGGTTTGTTAAAGGTATGCGAAATGGAAGAAACCAATTTGGTCGAATACGAAACTATTCGAATCATATCATTCAAAGTATCGGCAATAAACAAATCACCATTCAATGGATTCACTGCCACAGATGTTGGTGTATTCAGTAGAGTACCAACAGCACTCTGTCCATCTCCATTAAACCCACTCGTTGTAAATCCAGCATAAACTTCCAAAGTTGACCAATTTTGATCATAAATTCTATAAATTAAATGTCTTTCAATATCAGAAATATAAATCTCACCATTCAATCCTTCACATAATCCACTCGGTGATAACATGTAAGCAAATTTCGCATCCACCACATCAAAATTAGTTGTACTTCCTTCAATTGTTTTGGTTGAGTAATATTTCACATTCTTCGATCTTTCCACAGCAGCACATGTGCTGGCCAACAAGTTGCTGAGCAGGAGTAGTAGTAGTATTGAAGTGGTGACCTCCATTGAAAGACACCTGCCAACTGTCGCATGTCTTGAGTAATGGTACAACATGTTTGCTTTATTTTTGTTTATTTTGAACAATACATCTTGTGCGTCTATTTCCGAATAATCAATGTGGGTTAAAGGATAATTGTTCCAACTCCATAACAGATGTTGTAAAGAAATTGATGTATGGTGATTGGATGAATATTCCTCTTTTTTGGCAAGTTTCGTCATCATCTCATGCGGGTAAATTAGTGTTACTGTACCGTTGTAGTAGCTCGAACATTCTATGTTCAAAGGATTAGTCTAAATTCGAATAAAAATTAAAGATCTAATTAAACTCCACATGATTCATTTCTTGTGTAATATGCAAATTATCAGCAATAGATTCAGGAAATTGTAAACTCCATCTTCATGATCCAATTCATAATATTCATTGTTTTCCAAATTTACAATAACTGAACAAACAAACCTTGCTTCAAAAAATCAACCAAACTCTCGTAATACCTTGCTTGGTTTTCGTTCCAACAATTCATCTCTTGCTGTAAATTAAGATGAATTACTGTGTGATCAAGTTTTTTCCTTAGATTCTAGTTGTAAAAGAGAATTCTCCATTTCTAAAAGAGATCCAAAGGAGGATTGACTAAAGTGCATACATATAAGTGTTAAAGTGATTGTTTATTAATTAATTTTTGAGTGAATTTTTCAATAGAGAAAGAATTTCATTAAAGTGGTGAATAGAAGGTCTTTGAGAAGGATTAGTTTCCCATCCCTTCTTAATTAAATCAAGTAATTGGTAGATTACTGTACTTTCTTGGAGTGAATAGGCCTTTTTCATTTCACACCAAGATTGACAATCTTCCAAAGTTTCGAATGGAATGAGTGGACGATGTCCAGATGCAATCTTTGGAAGCAGTTGGCTTAATAAATTTTGATATTGAACTGGTTGTTCAAGATTCAACTTGTTTAATATCAATGGATTCGTATAATAATAAGGATCCATAATTTCAAATAGAATTTGCCACATGATTATTGACAAACTATAAATGTCAACAGCAGTTAACAATTGCCTTTCAATTTCACCAAATGATTCAGGACTATTAATCAAAATCATTAGAAAGATAATAAATAGTAATACTCTACCTCATATAATAAAAAGTTCCAATTTGATTTGTAATTTGCGTGTTGTTTTGCTTATTCAAGAGTCTGGACAAACCAAAATCACACAACTTGCTCACTCCATGAACATCTTGCAAAATATTGGCAGGTTTCAAATCTCTGTGCACGATCGTTGGTTTCAGATTGTGTAAATATTCGATTCCTTTGCAGATATCAAGCATAATATCCATCTTTTGACTCAATGACAATTTCATTCTATTAGATTGGAGTTCAGCAATAATATTTTCAAGACTTCTCTCCATTTTCTCCATTACAATATATCTCTTGGTTGGAGTAGAAGAAACTCCAAAGAAGGAAATAATATTTGGATGTCTCAATCTGGAAAGAACTGTTGCTTCAGACCTAAAATCATTTTCATCAATATTCATATTATTCAAATCGAAAACCTTAATAGCTACTTCAGTTCCAATCCATTGAGATTGATAAACTGATCCATAGCCACCAGAACCAAGTTTCTTCATTTTACCCAAATCCAACTTGTTAATAGAAATGAAGAATGAATCTGCTTCATCCTTCTTCTTTCCATCATTGTCAATTTCCAGTTCAAGCATGTTATCAGTAACAAATTGATCAGTTTTAATGATCTTTCTCTGAACATAATACTTTCTGAATAGACCAATAATAATGAAAAGTGAACCACCAATGCAAAAGACAAGAACTGCAACACCTATTAAAGCACCAATAAGAGCCCACAGTTCATCAGAATGTTGACATTGTTCACCTGAATAACCAAATTGACAGGTGCATTGATTTGGAAGTGAACAACTGCCTCTTCCATTACAAACGTCTGCCTCTTTTTCATTCCTTCCAAAACATGTCATTAATTCACATTCTAAACCAGTATATCCAGTATTACAAGAACATTGATTCTTGTCAAGGCAACTTCCTCTTACTGAACCACCACAAGCCCCGTCAAGAATCTTTCTGAAACAAATTGGCGTTTGACACATTGAGGAAGTATATCCTTCTTTACAAATGCAAGTATTTGGAGCTGTGCAGTTACCTCTTCCATTTGTGCAAACACTGGAACTATTAGAAGCTTCTCCATAACAAACTGGTATTTCACATTCGAAACCTGTATATCGAGACGAGTCATAACATTGACACAAATCTGGTGAAAGACATTCTCCATTATTATTGCAAACATTTCCACTCAACAGTTTGATCTTTCCATAACAAATTGGAAGGCAAGTATCATTCTTTGAATAGACATGACCATTCTCACAGAAAGCTTCCAATTTTCTAACATTATTCAATGAAGAATCGATAAAGAATAATACATTTCCTTCATTGTTAATTGTCATGGAGGTGGGTGAAATACTGAAAGGTTTTGATTTGGTTTGAGATGGAGCAGATCCATCCCCCGCAATTACATCAAATGGATGACTAGCAATGGTTGAAATCTTTCTAATAAAATTGTTTTTGCTATCTGAAATAATTGTTTGTCCCTTATAAGAAACAACTGAGGAAGGTGAATTTAAGGAACTTGTTTTTGGATCAGAGGTTTGAGAGAAGCCAGTGAACCCATTACCTGCTACAGTTTCCAATAATCCTTTCTTGTTAATTTTTCTCACCTTACTAATTCCAGATTCGACAAAGATTAATTCACCCTCTTCATTGACATACAATCCTTTAGGTGCTGCAATATCTGATGAAATGGCCAATCTTCCATCCTCGGAGATTCCAAACAATCCAGTTCCTGCAATAGTTGAAATTACTCCATTTGTGGAAATCTTTCTAATTCTATTCTGAGCTGTTTCACTAACGTACATTTCACCACTCGAGGAGAAGGCAACATACGAAGCCTCAACTTGTGAATAAAGAGCCAAGTTATTGTCGCCAATTCCTCCAGCAAATTTCTTTACCCACTTTCCTTCAATTTGACTTTCCAATATTCTATTGTTACCTTTTCAAATTTCTTAATAAAATAATTCTAAATACTTTTAACTTACCTGAATCAGCAATAAATAAAATAGATTTGGAATGGTCAAAGAAGGTACATTGTGGATTATTCAATTTGACATTAGAACCTGTAATGTTTCCTTCGAAATAATTATAACCTGCAAAACCATTACCAACAACTGAATAAGTGGACGAAAGGACAGCAAATCTAATTCTATGAGATTGGGAATCAGTAATGTGGATATCAGTTAAAGCAGATCCAACTGAGTTTACACTCGAAACACAAGTTGGTGTATTGTAAATTGCATTTGGTAAATTAAAATCATCTGTGTAACCCTTAGCTCCACTACCACTATGCGTAGTTACAGTTACTGGATCATTAAAAAGTGGTTGTAGATCAACATATCTAATACGATTATTTCCAGAGTCTGCAAAATAGATAATCCAATCTGAATTGAGAGAGAATCCCATAGGTGTGTCCAAATGAGTGGAGAGAGCTGGCCCATCACCATTGAATCCCTTTACACCACTTCCAGCAATGGTTTGAATAATACCAGTACTAAGAGTAATTTGTCTTAATCTATTATTGAAAGTATCAGAAAAAAACAATTCATGATAATAATTGACTTGGAGATAGGTTGGAGAATTCAATTGAGCAGTAAGGGCATTAATATTGTCTCCATTGTAACCTTGTATTCCATTTCCTGCAATGGTTTGGATGATTCCAGATGTTATGTTGACAGCTCTAATTCTATGATTATTGGTATCGGCAACATAGAGCACATTATTATCCAAATAGATTCCAGTTGGAGAATTAAGCTTGGCCAATGTTGCTAAACCACCATCACCATCAAATCCAGAAGTTCCACATCCAGCAACACCAATTACCACACCACTAGTTCTGTGAACCTTAATAATTCTATGATTTCCAGAATCAGAAATGTATACATAACTAGTTGTTGCAAAAATTCCCTTTGGAGAGTTTAGAACTAGTTGATCTTTGTGTTGCTGTAAAAGCCTGGATGCTGTTATTGGACCTGCAAACATTGTTGAAATGCTTCCATTATATTTGTGAATGAAACCCTTTGATGAGACAACATATAGATCACTGTTATTGGTTGAGACTGAAACTGGATTGAGAGCAAAAGGTTGATAGGTATCAATGAAATTCAACTCCTTCTCTGGGGCTATCATTTCAAGTTTGTTGTTTGCTGAGATTTTTCGTACAGCTCCATAGTCAGAAACGTAAAGGTTTCCACTTTGCTGATCCAGAACTATTCCAGTTGGAGAATGAAGTGTTGTCTCACTAGAATTGTATCCATCAATAAATGGACCAATAACAGCTCCATCATAATTAATAAACAAGATCAATGATATTGTTTCATCAATCATTGAAATTTTTCTAATTGTTTTCAGTCCAAAATCGCTAACGTACATGAAACCATTATGAATACCAAAATACTGATTTATGGCAATGAATTCAGCATCACTTGCCTTTCCACCATCTCCAAAAGTGGTTGCTTCCAAACTAGCCTGTTTACCATTTCCAACAAATCTTGAAATATTTCCATTTCTCAAATCCATTTTCCTTATTGTCGAAGAAAGCTCTTTAGTATCCACGTATAGCAAGTAATTATCCACTCTCAACAGTCCTGGATGAGTAAAATCTAAATTTTCTACCAACAGCTCTTCACCATTATCAATGGTCCATCTACAAAGTGATTTCACATCAATATCTTTAAATTTGAAATAATAAACGACACCATCATCATCCACATAGACATCCAAAACATTTGATGATGTTGAAATGTAGGTGCTGACAATACCATTCTCTACTTTTCTAATTGCATCATTATACCCATCTGCAATGTACATAATTCCATCTTTATCAATGAACATTGAATAGATCCTAGTGTGTATGAAATGTGTTAGATAAAGAACAAATAATTGAACACATACCCATCAAAGAGAGCTTCTCTTGCATCTCCTCCATCACCACTATATCCTGATTCATCTTTGATTCCGACAATTACTGTATAATTAGCCTCAACTTTTTCATTGATAATACTTATGGAAGTGGAATCGGAACAATAAACAACACCACTTTTAACATTCACGTATAATGAACAAATGAATGGCTTCTTGAGGAGTGTCATCTTTTTTGATACTGCATCTATTTTAGCAATGAAACTATCATCCACGGTATCACATTCAAAATAAATGTGTCCTTCATTAGTAACATGGACAGCTCCTAAACCACTGAATACATTCTGTTTGTGAGGTTTGGTTACATCACTCAGTGAGTATTTTGGTGTTGTTTGACCAAAGGATTCCCTTAGTAGGAATTGTGTGAAAAAGCAACAAGCTAACAACACTAAGGCAATGACGGATTGGAAAGGAAGGTGTTGCTTCATATTTTTTCTTCTTGTTCAACAAGTCTAATGAATGTTTGGTCAGTGCTAATAATTGGTTTTGCCTTTTCCAAGATTGGAGAATATATATGGAAATACTGTATTTTCCTTTACTGATCCTCTATTTTATATACAGGTAAAGATTATTATTAAGCAAAGAAATGTTCATAATATTGAATCATTTTCAATACAACCCTTCAACTCTGTTTTGTCTGATTCTTTATTCACTATTACTACTCACTATATCACAATGAAATATAATGACGATGCATAACATTTCTAAGGAAAGTTTAAAAAATTTAGGAAACAAAGTGGCTTCACTTCTTCTCATCATTGTTGCTACCCTCATCAAACCTCAAAAGAGAGGAGGAATATTTCATGATGAATAGAGGTACTCTAAGAGAATTAAGCTCTGAAACATTTATCAACTCACAAATGTCATCTCTTTAGTAAAACTTAAATTCGGAGCACAACAATTAATCATAATAAATTAATACTCGGAGAAGATACACCAACAACAGATGAACTTAATTAACACTAGTGGAAGTTGGATGTAAACATTAGTATTACGCTAATTTCCTATTCAACAATGGGACAATAATTGTGTGTTCCTTTAAGCATTCCTTCTTTTGAAATGTACACTGTCGAAAGTTGATCAAGTATTATCCTCCTACTTGTTGTAAAGACACAGTTCCTTAAATGAATTTAAGAGAATTTCCTCCTGTGACTCCAAATGGAGTTGACTTAAGTGGCAAATGAAGCAACCTTTCACACAACTTGCTCACTCCATCGTAAATCAAAGTTTTTCTTCAACTTGGAACATGTCAAAAATTACGAAAAAAAATGCAAGACGATTGTCTCTCATTAATCACAATCCTTCCCTACAGCTGAACGATGCCTTGTTCGAAAAATTTAAAATTCATATGAGAAGTTATCGGAATTGTGTGCCATTTTCAATGAAGTTTGAAGAGATGAATAATATCAAGTCGATCGAACATAAATTGCACTGTCCCTCCCAAGCCAAGATTTCTCACTCACACAATTGTTTGTGCATCTCTGATAATTTAGATTCTGAACTGAAATTTTTTGATTTGATTACTCATGAATATTTAGGAGGCTTTCTTGTTGAAGGAGTGACTGGTTTGTTAATTGAAGAGAATTTTGATGATCAACAAAATGATGCTATTTATTTTGGAAAGAATAAGTATACTTTCAAATATAGAGTGAAGGATTTAATGAGATTAGGATCAAGTGCTGATTGTATTTGGAAAATTGAAAGAAATCATATGTATGGAATGGCAATTAGAACAATTGGAAATCAGAAACAATTATTCAGATATAGTGCTTCCCAAGGAGTTATGGATATTATAGATACTGTGAATGGAAAGGTCATTAAAGAGTTGAAACTTGAAAAACTCGACAGAGTAATGGATATTATTTTCATCAATCCAAAAAGAATGCTTGTTGCTGAACTTTTTCATAATGCATGTTTTATTTATGATGAAATGAACGAAAATGAATGGAAATTGATACAAACAATTGAAAAAGCAGAGAATATTTATTTTAGTCAACCATTAGGATTGGCAATTGACAGAACAGGAGGGAAAATATTTCTTTCAGATTATGACATTAAGAGAATTGTTGTATTTAATGAGAGTTTAGATTTGATTGATTGTCATTATCCAGAATCTCTGAATCCATTTCGTCTCGATTTTGATGAAACAACAGGATTACTCTATATTACTGATCAACAAGATGATTCCATTAGAATATTTAAATAGATATGTCAATTTATTGTACCACTGGTAAAGTATCCACAGTTCCTTAAATGAAATTAAGAGAAGATTGAAATTTTATTACAAGTTTCTTATTCCTAATGGATCTGGATCTGGATTGACTAAACTTCCACATGAAGAAACACTTCCATAATTCTTGCATTGAGAAATGGTCATTGTTCTTTCGGTTGTTTCAGTCTTTCCTTCCATTCCAACAAATCTCATGTTATCCACCAAGAATTCGACATAATTAGTTTGATCTACCAAGTAGATGGTAATTCTTTGGATTAATTGAACAGGATCGAAACTTAAAGACGAAACTGGAATTCTCACACGAGTTGCTCTGTTTCCATCGATTTTGTACAAGTGTTGGAAGTTGCTTGTGGTTGCAACGTATCTGCCAGCTTCTACCAATTTCGAATTATTGTAATAACTAAATACGAAACCAATACTTTGAATACTGTAAATTGGATTCGCAGTCTTGATGAATAATTCAAAGTATTTGTAAATGCTAGTGTCAACAAACAACTTTGGACCAATCTTGTTGAATGAAATATCGCCCTTTCTTAAACCAAAATGCAATGAAGTATTTCCACAAATTGCAGGACTATAGGATACATTGAAGAATGAGTTTCTGACATCGGTTGGACTGTATGCAGTCAATGACCATTCTCCACTCAAAGCACTAGCTTCATTGTAAATGGAAATAACGTGAGATGAATTTTTCACGTTAGGACTGTCACATGGTTTGACAGACGAAACCAAAGGAGGTAAATTACAACTTGTGGAAGTTCCATTACTTAAATATAATTGAGCCCTCAAATGACCATTTGGATTTTCACTAGTTGACAATTTTACAAACATTTTTCCCTGAAGCAAGTAATTCCACTCCTCGTAGGATAATTTATATCCGAATCTACTTTGAGAATAGGGAACAGTCTTTGAAGTTGGAGTGGCAATGTAATCTTCCTTACCAGGTTGACCAAATCCAACATCCAAACTTGTTACAATAGAACTCAAACTGTGTGGAACTGTAAAATCAAGTGAAGCTGCTTCTGTATCCAAGAAGGCAAACACTAATCCACCACCAACTGTTGATCCAGAGGCCAATGGTTGTATATTTGATTGCTGACAGGTTTCCAATCTACCAACAAATCGATCTTCTCTCATGAGTGCCTTGTAGGTAGCTCCAGGATTCTTTGGATTGGAAAATTGAGATGGAGCACAATTATCATTTGGACATGTGGCATTCAATGAAATTCCACCAGAAGATGAATAATCTACAAAGATATCATACAATTTGTAAGAAGTTCTGGAAGCTTGATTTTGTAACTTGACATATAAATGTTCAGTTGACCCATCATAATAGTAATAATTAGTTGGATCCTTAAACATTGTTGTAAAATTAGAAGCAGCAACCATCTTATTCGAATTTGTAGAATACTTGATAGAAAAGTTGGAATTCCTTGGATATTGAATGGCCAAAACAAGCCAATCATTGGTAGCACTTGAATCCAAGGCAATTGAGAAATTCTTCGGAGTTGGAATATCATACGGCCAACGGAGTCCATAAAAACCTCTATTGATGACATTATTTTGTAAATAGTAATCCATTGGACCGGTCAAGTAAGCTCCAGTTAAATCAGCTTGACGATTTCTTAACAAGTCAACCAAGTACATTCTTGTGCCAGGTTTAGTATAATCGGCAAGTTCAGGTCTCTTTACTCCGTCCTTTCCAGTTGTGTTAAGAGTTGGCCAATTCCAAGTTGTAATTCTCAAGTGAGAGTATGACTCGCCAAAGAATGGACATTGATAGGCATTCCAATCATTTCTTAATTGACATTGAGGGAAGTTTCGAATAGTTTCATTTCCAACAATCCAACCACCAAACGAAGTAATATTTGTGGTTGTTCCGTCCATGTCCATCATTGCAATTCCTTTCATGTTATCATAGGAAGTTGGATAAGTATAAGGAAAGGCAAAATATCTATTCGAATTGATAAACTTTAAATTGGAAAACTTATTTTTGGTTTGAAGTTTAAAATTGGCAGCTCTCGAAGATAAAGCACCTGCATACTTATACGAATCTGTAACGAAATTAATAAATGTGATATTGTTCAAATATTGTGGACCACCAATATCATAATGTTCATAACCCTTAATAATATCCAATAATGTGGAAGAATAGAGAGCTGGCCTAGTTCTCTTTCCCAAGTCAACTGTCGGTCTGTATGAATATTCACCGACATTTTCAGATTCTCCAATGAAAATACTATCTTCTGTAAGAGTAGCACCAACTGGAGCATTCATGGCAATCTTATTATCAGTCAAGTAGAGATTGTCGAAACGAAGATAACCTCCTCTGCACCAAACTCCAAAGACTCTATTCTTATATGAAACAAAGTTGGAATAAACAGCATTATTGGTGTAGAATGCAACAATTTCAGAATTGCCATCTGCCTTTTCAAAATCATCAATGTGGAGACCATTTCCATTTGAACTGTGAGCTACATTATATTCGAAAGGTTTAGTTGGTGCAGTTCTTGGATTAACTGATCCAGCAGGATATCTTAAAGCACTCAAACCAGTTGGGAATGATGGAAGTGAAAACCAAAATGGAAAACGACCACCCACTGCATGATTACCAATAAAGGTATTATTTGGATTAGTAATCCAAAAAACAGAAACTGAAGTATCAGATGGAATTAATCTTTTGGAATTTTCCTTTGATATTGGAATAGGGTCAATTCCTAAATTAGAAATAAACTGATTTCCATATTCAGATCCATCTTCTAAAAAGTACATGTGGCCATAAGCACGATAACAAACATTATTTTGGAGGAGAATATAGTGAGTGTCATGGACAACGTAACATCTCTGGTAACTGTGATGGACAGAGTTGTCCTTAACTGTAAAGTTTAAACCAGCTGGTTTACTTTGTAATAAATGGAAATGGAAACTATTAGAAATTAATGAATTATTAGAAAGTATTGAATTGAAACATACCTGTATCTTCCCATTAAACCCTGTTGACCAAATCTAGTAATTTCAACTCCTTCCATATTAAACTTATCGACCAAACGAATAATAAAGTGACCACCAAAGAGTGAAGTTTCGGATGAATAATTCATAATAAGATCCTCTGAATACGATTCTTCTTGATAATAAACCAACCTCAGCACGAATTTTACCATTATCACTTGCAAAGTGAGTATAATTCAATGGAACATCCAAAACTATAGTCTTGTTTCCATTCAACAATTGAACAATCTTTCTTTCTTCATTCTGATTTGGAAATGGTTCACCAATTGCCCAATTCAATGAAGTTTCCTTTTGAGTTCTGTAATCATAAACTTCACCATAATCAGTTGAGGCAATCACAATAGAATCGCCAACTTTCCATGCGACTGAATCCCTTAAAACAAGTTGATTACTTCCCTTAGTAGCATTCTTTACAATTTCTGTCCAACTTGGACCATCAATTTTACCAAAAATTTGGACAATGGAACCACTTAAAAAGGCAATACCTTTGGATCCCAAATTGGAGCCATCAAATGGATCAGAACCCATATCATTCACAGAACTATTGACACGATCTCCATAGAATGTCATGACAATCTTGGAAGTGATTGGACATGAAGAACTTCCCATAATAAAACTTGCGTTTTGTTCAACTCTGATGAAATTCAAATCCAAATTGAGATTGACATTATCAAAGATTAATGAACCACCAGATTTTATGGTGATGGAACGAAGCTTATTTGGAGGAGAATCATTTAACTTGACAGCCTTGGTTATGAGAATGTCAGAATTAGCTACATTCCATCCAACTAAGGATGAAAAGTTGACTAAACCAGTTTTTTGATGAGGACATTGTCCACTGACCATGCCAAGCATGAATAAACACAATAAACATGTGCCTATACATGCCTGTAGAAGAAAAACTTTAGAAAGCATGATTGTTGTGAGGTTTTTTTTCTTTGAAAGGTTCTCTGACTATGTTATTCGAATCATTTATGGTGATGAATTGGTACGAAACGTTCATTTAGCTATTTGATGGTTGAGTAGAGTTAGTCTTTTGGGTTTGAATCAGCAATGAATACTATTGGATTGTTTGTTTTACAAAAAATGGGTGTTTCACTTGAACCTAATTGACTTCTATTTATGGAAACAAATTGTGTTCAAAATGCAAACCTTGACTGAATCAGAAAAGATGCAACTGCGTGTCTGTTTGAAATAATTTGGACAATTCAGCATAAAATACTATAACAGATCATACAACCTTACAATACTGCTAATTCGGTATTTTAACGTGGTCAACTTGCACATTTTGCATTCTTGAAATTTACACTTGACATTTCGTAGAGTAACACTTCAATCAAAGAGTTGATAAGATGATAGATTACATTGTTACTTGTTAAAATATTTATGTTCTGAATATAGCTCTCAAGCCTCACTACACATTTTCTTCTCGTTGTATAAATTTTTATCTCTTTTATTGTACCCAAACTACATGTATTTGGAATGCTTATTTGATAGTTAATATTTTAGCAAGAGTTTATTTGCAACAAGTCATCTAATTGGATTAAATGAAAAGTGTGGACTAACTTACTTATATCAATATTGACCATTGGATGACTAATATTTTATGCAATATACATTGTATTTGGTATTTGTTGCGGAGAAAAATCAAAAGACTACAGCACCACAGGTTCCCAAGTTGTCTCCAACCTCAGTACTGATGTGGCTCGACGATACTTAACTTCTCAAATCGGACGGGATGAGGTGCATGAATCGTGATATGGCCGTAGCCATTCATTCTCTTAAATTGTTCAACCCTTGTTGTAAAATGGAACATTAGAAAGTTACAAAGTTGTCGACTTGTTGATTATCACATCATATTAAATTGAACTCATTAGGGAAGTGATACAAGAATAGAAAATGTACACTATTCAATGAATAATTTATTTACAATAATTGAAAGAATCTATGATATTTTGCTAACTTAACCACCCCTCAATCTCAAAACTAAATGCACAGTTGCATCCTTTTGAAGATTGTAATCACCAATAGTTCTTCCATCTTCCAATTGCTTACCGGCATAAATCAATCGTTGTTGATCTGAAGGAATACCTTCCTTATCAAATATCTTTTGTTTCATATTCTTCAACAGTATCATTCGATTCCATTTCAATAGTGATTGTCTTTCCAGTTAAGGTTTTTACAAAAAGTTGCATTCCTCCTCTTAATCTTTGTTGATCTGGTGAAATTCCTTCCTTATCTTGTACTTTTCTTTTCACATTTTCAATTGAATCATTAGATTCAACCTCCAAAGTGATAGTTCTTCCAGTGAGTGTCTTGACAAATAATTGCATTATGTTTGTTGTCTTGTTTTTCTTATTGTTTTTCTTGAATTCAAAACATATCCTTGCTTTTTATACTAAGTTTTGAGATGTATGTATTTTTAGAAGTAGTTCTTCTGCAAAGAAATTCTTTAAATGAACCGATCGATTTTGTTTCTGGACACAAATTTGGTTCATGTTTTGTAATTATGTGCTATAGCTGTTCATACAATAATCAATTTTAACTTGTTGTTCGAATGAGTTTAATGCAATTTGACTCTTAATGATTTTGAATTTAAAAGGTGATTATTGGAAAAATACTAGCAAAATGGTTTGAGTTTAGCTGTTCATTACTAAAAACAATGTTAACTTTTATGAAAAGATATTATATTAATATACCGTAGCCATTTATCCTTAATATAATGAATAATAATAAATTTGTTGAAAAATATCTTATTAATTTTATTTTTATAAAAATAAAGGAATATAAGTAAAGATATTGTTGTTTGTCTTTCAATTGTTAATTTAGACGGGAAGCCTGCCAGGAATATGGCGACCATCCCGCTACAGTCTTTGACTGAATGAACAGTGAAGGCAAGAGTTCTGGACGAATCTTGTTGTGTTCAAATAACAGGTTGTTGAAGAATTTGATAAGGTTGACCAACCTTCTATTTATTGAAAACCGACAAGTTAAAATTGCTTGATGCAAGTTTTGGTTTGATTTTTTCTGAATCAATTCTAAATTGAAACTTCATCTATTTCAAACAAATTATTTTATTTACAATTTACTGAATTATTTACAAGTTAATTTACATCTTTTTCGATTTGGTAATCTTATTTGTGGTGGTTGATTGTTTAGCTCTCTTTTCAATTGAATTTTTCGAAGATCTTTTCACTGAAATTTGTTTACCATTTAAATTTGCGTGATGATAATCAATATTATGACGTCAATCTTTTAGATAAATCAACTAGTTTAGATCTTGTTAGCTGGCATTTTGTTTTGTTGTAGATATATCATCATCCGATACCAGTTGATCTATTTATTTCCATGAAGATTTCCACTAATTTTGTGATTCCGATTTTAGTGGATTTTCCACTCATCACAAGAAGTTTGAATTTTTCTATTAATATTTTGATGAAGGAAATTTAATGAAAATCAACAAACAAAAGAAAATAACAACAATTAGAAAATGGTCTCAACAAGAAGAAATATGTATAATTCCTCCAATAACACTTCACAATTTAATTCCGAAATTTCTCTGGATAACATTGTTGGTGGTACAAGAAGAAGAAATTTAATTGATTACAAAACATTGAATTCTATTGGAAGTGAATCAAGTAAAACTTCCAAATCTCAATCACATAATACTTTAGAAATGAGAAACAAACAATTCAAACTGTGGTGAACTCCATTTAACTCAAAATTTTGTAAACCTAGGCAATCATTGTAAATAAACCCAAATGTAAATATTCAATAATGCACACAGTTGAGTTTTTTGACCCATTTTCTACGTTGAACTTCTGTTCAGTACACGTCCAACATAACTTTCAATGTTAATTATGTCAATGGTGTGTTTGCTCCATGTTCAACTATCTCAAAGAATTCAAATCATAAAAAAACAAACAACGACCATAATTCACTTTTCAAAAACCATGCATCTAGAAAGGTAAAAAAGGTTTGTTCGATTCATACTCTTTGCTTTCTTCATACTTACCTTGAAGGACATTTCAGTGATCATGCAGACTGAAATGTGAATCTGGAAACTCTCCTCCTTGCACTCAGAGGATGAGAAGCCAGAATTTGGTCAATAATCAAAGTGGTTGTTGCCCTCCTTCTCAATTTTTTCCTGTGAGGATTCATCTGGTATGATTTCTCGCTCTGTTAAATAATAGAAATTTTGTGTGTGGGAATTTTGCTGCACCGAAGAATCTATTACCCTATAATTGTATCAAATTCCAAAAGCTCAAGATTTTCTAAATCAAATTGCAGCCATTCATTATCTTAAATTGTGAAACATGAATCAGTTCACCCTTGTTTCCCTCTCAATCTTATTAAAATATGAAATATCAATGGTACAAGATTATTAAACCATAATATCCTCGTGCGGAGCGTGCAACATCAATTTATCCCAAGTCCGCTAAATGGCATATCAAAGCGTGCGCGGAAATTTGCTCTTCCAATCATTAATTGATTAAATTTCACTTAAAATTCGAGTTCAGTTTATAAACTCAATTTTAAAAACAAAAAAATACAATCATACAAAATCCTATCAACCATGTCTGCCACTACCACTGTTTCATCTTACTATTCATCTGTTTTTGTTGCTGGAGCCACCGGAGTTACTGGAATGCATGTTGCTAAGGCGCTCCTTAATCATCAATCTGCAAAACAAGTTTCAATTTTGGTTAGAGAGGGAAGTGAGGAGAAGGCAACTGAATTGGTCAATTCTGGAGCAAAGGTTGTTAAGGGAGATGTTTTGAATATGAGCGAGGAAGAGTTGACCAAAGCTTTGGAATCTGTTGAGGTTGTTGTCAGTGTTATTCAAGGGCATGATGATAAAACAATGTTTGATGGTCAATTGAAATTGTTGAATGCTGCCAAGAAGGCTGGAGTTAAAAAATTCCTTCCATCTAGCTTTGGTTTCAATTACAATTTAGTCAACTATGGAGATTCATTGTTTATGGATACCAAGAAGAAGTTTGTAGTGGAATTGGAAAAGAGTGGGTTGGAATATGTTCAATTACATGTTGGTGCCTTTGCTCATTATGCTTCTTCTCCATCATTTGTAATGAAGTATGATAAGGATTCGAATACTGTTTCTTTATCTGGTGATTTTGATGTGAAATTTGGTATTACTACTTCACAAGATATTGGAAAGTTTGCTGCAGAAGCTGCTTTGAGAAGAGACATTACCAAACACAATGTCACTGTCAGAGATGATTATTTGAGCGTTAGAGAAATTGCTCAATTAGTTTATGGATCTGATGTTAAACTTAATTTGGTGCAAACAACTGAGGAGTTGAAGAAGAGCATTAATGAAAGATCAACAGCTCTTGACAAATACTCCACAAGATTGGATGAGAATTGCTTTTGATCAATTAGTTTGGGTTATCATGTCAAATGCCAACAGAGAAGAAAACGACAATGATTTATTCCCAACAATTCAAACCACCTCCTTCAAGGAATATGCTAAATCCATTCAATAAAGTATTAAGCTGATAATATTCCTCTTGGACATCATGTTCACTAACAACAACTGGAAGATTGCCAACTTTCTAGTATTAATATTTAGTTACCCAGATGGAACATATACAAATGATGATGATATCCCTAAGAATTTGTCCGATAGGATCTTACATCACTTCATCAACAAGTTCCTTAATATTTTTTATAATTAAAAATATTCGTGATGATGGGATGTAAGATCGGATCATAAATAGAGAGTTTTAAGGCACTCTATGAAAATCACATAATCAAAACAAATAACAACACATATAACAATGAATAATATGCAAAATCAACAAGGTACTATGATTCCAATCAAGATTTGTACAGTTGGTGATAAGAAAGTTGGAAAGACATCCATGATTCAATCCTACACTCAAACTCCTAGAGAATTGAATTTGGATCCTCATTACAAGAGACCATATAGACCAACAGTGTATGATTTCAGCTTTTCTACTGTCAAGTTACCAGTTTCCATTCCACAAAGTTATACCAAATCGAAATATTCATCTGCCTCTTCTAATAATTCTCAAAGTTTGAAAGAAATTGTTTTCAATTTGAACTTTTCTGATTGTTCCTCTCTGAATTGTTATACACCAATGAGATTGTTGAGCTATGACCAATGTGATATCTTCTTTGTTTGTTTTAGATTAGATAAGGCACAATCATTTTACAATGCAATTGATCAATGGTGTCCAGAAGTGAAATTCTTTTGTTCTGGCAAGCAATCTTCCAAATCAAGAATTGTCTTATTGGGATTAGGAAGACAAGATTTGATCAACTCATCAATTCTCCAACAAATAGTAACAATGAAGATGATATCTTCTTTGGTCAAACATGCACTAGTCGCTCACTCTCTCCTGAAATTTTATGTGGAGAAATGATTGATATTGTTGAGAGCGAGCAATTTTCTCTAAAATCTAAAAGTAGAAAGAGTCTTACCAATGTCAATAGTAAACCAAGATCAAAGACCTACTCATACAGAAGAAATTATTCAAATCCATTCATGAAGAGAAAGAGAATTCCAGTACAATTCAATGATAATAATCAAGAAGACGTAGAAATACCAGTACTTGGAGACTCAATGCTTGATAGTTGTTTGAGCTTTGTTGAATGTGGAGCTGAAAGAGAAGTAACATGGGATATGATTGAATCTGGTAGAAGACAATTAGATGAGCTAGGAATTGATCATGTATACTATGAATGTCCATTCAATAATCAAAAGAGTGTTCAGTTTATCATTGAAGAATGTGTAAGAGAATTTTACAAATGTAAATTATCTCAAAATTCCTCAGATGTCACTCAATCGGCTTCTCTTTTGGAAAAATTAAAGAGAGTTTCACTGTAAATAAATATTAATTTCTGTTAAATCTTCTTATTCATCATTGCTGAAAGGCAAGACCAAATTGAGAGAGGTCTACAATATCCAAGGGCTCTATATTCTCCCGTTTCTGTTACTGCCTCAGGAGTTTGGAACCAGAATGCCGAATTGGAGGACCAACATTTATCAAAAACACTCTTCATCAAATCTATTCCTTCTTCTCGTCTGCCAAGCAAGATTGTTAAAGCAGCTACGACATACGATGTTCCTGTCCACATCTCTCTAGACTGCAAGCTTGTCTTATCAACCTCTTGTGTTGGTCTCATACCATTAACACATCCTCCAAGTTTTGTAATCTGTTGATATTTTACAAAGTTATTCTCCAGTATTTTGTTAAGTGATTTGGAAACCCTTTCCATGTTGAATGGAATCAAGTAGTGTGAATCCTCACATCTTCCACTATTTTTCACATAATTTCCAATAAGCAATAACATGAATGTGCCGTGTAAATGGTCTGACATGATAGAGTCATGTTGTGGCTCAGTACTTGCATCATAGTGATAGTATTGATTAGTTTCATCCCATAATTTACTCTCGAATGTTTTCAGGCCACTTTCTATCAATGGTTCTACCTTTTGTCTGGTATTTTCATCGTCCAGTTCTTTGGCCATTTCTAAAATAGCTTTCAAAGATGCAATCCATAACATCCCAGAGTATGCAGAAACACCTGTTACTTTCCAGGCGTCGTATGTCGTATCTGGGAATGATTCATTTTCAATCAATCCATCACCATCCTTATCGAAATTGGTCAAGCTGTAGTTGAGAGCAAGAATTATAGAGGGGAATGCTTCTTCCAGAAATTCTCTATTCTTTGTAATCATAAAATCTCTGAAAATAGTTAAAATAAATTGACTATTAAGATCTTTCCATTTGTTGACATCTTGGAAGTTATAGGCATTAACTAGTTTCCATGGTCTTTCGTATGGAGTACCGACATCATGTGGAACACTTCCCTTGACCTTTCTCCTATTTTTCATGTTTGATAGATAAAAGGTAACCTCTTGATTGTTTTCCTCTCTGACAGCTCTAATGATATCTCGTTGAATAGAAAGCTGTATTTCTGGCCAATTCATAATCATGGCATGAGAGGCATAGAAATGTACATCATATGTGTTACACATTAAATATTCATGTCCTTCCAAATAGAAAAAGTAGTCCTTTGAGTCTTGACTATTACCATTTTCATCCAGTTCTCCACCATTGGTCCATAAGGTTCCTCCATCAACAATATAGTATAACTCATTGAATAGAGCCGCAACAGCTGTTGGATGGTCCTTCCCGACTTGGTCAATTACACCTTGGTGCCATTGTGAGATTTCATCTTTCCATTGTTTAGATGAATCCAAACTTCTCTTGCACATTTCAAAGCATGCAGTATCCTTGTGTTGTGTGATGGAAGAAATGGCATCAGTACAGAACTGGGTATAATGTCTAAGATATCTGAATTCCATTGTTGGACCAAACCTAACAAATGGCGCATTCCAATTCAAATTGAAACAAACTTGTTTGGAACTATTCGAAGGAATTTGTACTTTGCTACAAATTGCGTGACAAGACAAATGTTTTGATTGGCTCTTAGTCCAATCGTGCCTTTTAGCAAAATTTTCACAAAACTCTGTTGAAAATTCTCCATTATTGTTAAATTCTTGCCACAAATCATGTAAATGGGATTCATTCGTTCCATTAAATTCATCCAAAAATGTTATTGATCCCAAAGATGTGTTGGCTCCAATACAAAACTGTATTGTATCCTTATGTGAAAACGAATCTGTTACTGTAGTTTCTATTGTCAAACACTTTACCGAGTCAGTTTCGTTTCTAGCTATTATTGATTGTTCATTCTTTTTTCTAAACTTTTCTTCACTTTGAATTGTAAATAATAATGAAACATTTGCTTCCTCGTCTGTGTTATTGATAATAGTCCATTCAAAATTACATGTTGGAAAACTTGATTCTTGATAATTGTGAGCCCACACAGGTGAATATCTTTCGCATATTACTGTGAATTTTTCATCGCTTGTCTGATAGACAGTCCACGACTTTGGAAATAGAGAATACACCTGTTGTGAAAATTGCATCTTGTTTTTTCTTCTTCTTTCATCATTAATAAACATCCAATTATGTTTCAACTTTTTAATTAAATCCTTATCCATAGTTCCATCTTTAAATTCACATATTGGATTCAACACAAACGACTCAATCTCACCATTTCTTTCCACTCTCAAACTGAACTGATTGACTGGCAAGACTGTATCCGAATAAATTCCACCTGTCTGATTAAAAATCAAATGGCTCCTCGTAAACCATCCATTCATTCCCAAAGTAAACATTCCTGCTCCAATTCCACCAATTGGTGGTCCCTTTCTTCTTGGATCAACAACTGCTCTTCTCATAATAAAATCAAACGGTGTTTCCCTCTTCTTAATAAGCTTCTCTGGAACATAGGACATGGTCAGGAATCTCAAAGCACCCGGAAGGAAGTGAAACATTTCTCCAATTGAATAGGTTTGTGCTCGGAGAGGAATTGTTGTTTTCTGCAGGGACGGAAATAAATGTTGTGATTTATCCATAATTTCCAAATGCCAACAATAGGACTGCATCGGAAGAATGATGCTAGATAGAGTTTCGGATTGGTCGGATGCTGCTGAAGATATTAAATTATTTCCTGTTATTTGTATTGTTGCTTGATTTTCATCTTGTTCTTCTTCCTCGTCAATAAAAACGAGTTGATCCTGTTGTTGATTCTGTGATAGAGAAGATTCAGTGTCAAACTCCTCACTCCTTGGTTGTGCAAGCATTTTTTTTTGTAATGCTTTTTGTCTGTTTTTGTAAGATTCGCACAATTAAAGATTTTCGCTGGTGATGAGCACTTTATTGGACACAAAGCTTAGAGGATATAAAAGTTAAAATATATAAATGATAATCCTAAGTCATTTAAAATGGACCATTGTAAAGACAAGAAACATTAAAACAATTGCTTTCACTGTACCTCTTTATTAAGGAAAATTAAGTAACCTTAAATGTAGCCCGTCTAGCTCAGTCGGTAGAGCGCAAGGCTCTTAACCTTGTGGTCGTGGGTTCGACCCCCACGGTGGGCGTTTCCTTTTAGTTAAGGTTAATAGTAGATCTATTAGCAGGTTGGTCAAGTTTTTCATTTCTTCTATTCTAAACATCAGGCCTAATTTTTTCAAGATGTTATTATATAAACAGACAATCCTATTATCACCTTCCAAGTTTTGATTCAATCTAAGTGGTTGTTCATTACCGCCACATTATTATGATTGATGATTCGTGGTTTATTTTGAATAATTGTTCTTTAATTTCAAAACAATGGTTTAATGTGATCAAGGATCGTTCAAAACTTGTTATTCAATTTAAAAAAAATTAACAGAAAAAAGAGTTGAATTATTAATGAAAAGTCAATTCGTGCATAGTATTGTAAATGTTAAGTTTTCTTTTGGGTTGCTTAACTCTTCAGATAAACTTAAATTCATAAGTGAAATGAAACAATTAACATCACTTGATATTTCTGACAATGAAATTGGTGTAGAAGGAGCCAAACTCATAAGTGGAATGAAATCATTAATATCACTTAGTATTGGTGATAATCAAATTGGTGTAGAAGGATCCAAATACATAAGTGAAATGAAACAATTAACATCACTTAATATATATTACAATGAAATTGGTGTGGAAGGAGCCAAACTCATAAGTGAAATGAAACATTAAGAAATGTTGTTGTAATATCATCTGTCATTTAACACCAAGAAAAACAGCCATTACTGCATCGAAACCAAATGAAGTTTTACGATTTTGATTCCATTTACTTGGGAATTCAAAGGCTTTCCTCAGAATAAAGCAAGATAATTTGGACACGTTTTTTTCAGATTGAACACGTTTTCAGAATTTAGTCGTTTATTCTCAAACAAACTGAATGTAGGACTAAATTAGATCAAAAAAATGGCTAAACTGATAAAAGTGTTGCTACTCTCTCTTTCTATGATATTATTATTCGGATATATTGAAAGCTTTACAATAAAGAAATATCAACTAGCAGAAGCGCTTCATTTGGCCATTAAGGAAGGACAATTGAAAGAAATTGATAGATTACTCAAACAAGGAGCCGATCCATATTATAGAATTCAATATTTGGTATGTTGATATGTGAATATCATCATAGATTTCTTACTGTTTTATTAGATTTCAAGTTGGGATGCGTTTGAAATTGCCATGTTTTATCAGTCGATAGACTTTTTCAAACTATATACTGCTCACAGAGAACAACTTGTTACACGATCGTTATCTGAACAGAAAACTTATTATTTGTATCAGTTTGTTGTCTTTGTGGGAATTCTTGGCTTGAGTTGTTGTGGATTGATTTTATGGAAGAAAACTCTGACGGAAAATGAAGAAGGAGAATACATTCTGAATAAAACATTGGTGGAATTGGAATCGAGCAAAAAGAGATTGAAAGATTTGGAGCTCCAAATTGCTGTGTTAAGAGAAAATATTGGAAATGTTTCTGATACAGAAGAGACGGAAATTAAATTGACAGCAGTAGAAGAGTTGCAAGCCAAATTAGAAGATGAAACAGAGCAAAAGAGATGTATCATTTGTTTAGAGAATATGAAGAATGCTGCATTTAGTTGTGGACATGTTTTCTGTTCAGATTGTTGTGAGGAAATTCTTTCAGTTTCTTCAAAATGTCCTGTTTGTAAAAAAGAAGATCCAACAATTCTCAATCTCTATGGATTATAATTTGGTTCTGTGCCTCAATATTTTTCCAAACTGGGCGAAATGCGAATTCACTGTTTTCAAATTGTAACCAAGATGAAAACCTTCATGTACCTCTTGTGGATTCCTTATTAAAAATGTCCAAAACATTAATATTGTTTATGTTGATGATGTTGCTTCACTGTTGCTTCATGTGAAGAAAGAGCAGCCAGATCTCCATTCTGCCATTAATAATGATTGAAACAAGATCAATCAATTAATTAAAAGAGGATTGAACAAAACTTGAGAGCAAAAAAACAAGAAAAGAAAGAAACTGAGTGAGTTGGGAGAGCAGAAGGAAATTGAATCCTCTAAAATGCCAATGAAACCTGAGCTAGAAAATGTAACCCATACGCTGTTAGATCTGAAGGAGAAATTAGAAGAAGAATCCAATATATTCTTGTATTATTTACAGTGACATTTCAAATCATTTGAAAAAGAATATTCCACATGAGATACAATATGATTACACTCTCTTTGACATTGACTCTGATTTGAATTCACTCTCATTCCATTATGAGTATCAGAGCGATTATTACATTTACAATACTTTGTATTAGAGCATGTTAATGATCTCTCTCCCAAAACTACAAGATAAGGTACAAGTTGCCCACCAATATCCTTTCCACATTGTTCATCACACTCATGTTCACTCATCTTCCTGATAGACTTTTCCAAAAACTTGCAATTATCCTCCATTGACCTAATATCCAATTTTAGCTTGATAAAATCATTACCAAAAGCAATATTCTTTGAACAGACACATCCACTTTGGCATCCATGTTGATTCCTCTCAATTTCCACAATAAATTTGTTATGACAAATCTCATGACAAGGATAAATTGGTTGATTCTCTGGTGTCATTTCATTCTTTCCACAATAGCATTCACACTTTCCAACCGAATCAATTGAATCTTGCATCCTTCTACCACCATAGAGACATTCTTTCGAACAATCATTATCAATTTGCTTCATCTCTTCCGATTCGAAAATTAAATTTCTGCTGTGATGCTGATCCTGTTGTTGTTGTATCTCTATAATTTCATTCAAACTCTTTGGTTCATGTGTTGTACGTGAGGCTTGTTCCTGATCAGGTGAAACAGCTTGAGGACACAATGGACATACACATTCCTTACCAATAACCATCGGTTTGCCACATTGACAATGAGAGAAGAGATGAGAACAGTCAATAAATAGGCCTTCTTCTTCTTCCTCACTACAATATGTTGCTGAAACCAACATCATGATCATGATTACCAGCAAACATCCCAATAATGATAATAATCGGAGATTCCTTCTTGTTGATATTTGCATTTTTATCTGTGATGACATTTGTCAAACATTGCTGATTGTTTGGAATTACTGTATGTGATGGTTAAATCATTGTGTTTGATGATGGTAATGTGTAATGTGTGGATGCCTCTTGTTGGTACTATGTTTTCCTTTGCATTCAATAATATTTGTGCGTATCTTGTGTGAATCGTAGTTGGAAGTGACGAGATTCATATTGCCATTGAAGAGGTGGTGAGGTTGTTTGTTACCTCTATCAATTTGAACGCACTTGTGATGGTTTTTGGTTGGTTGTTGATCATCGATATTAGACAATAGGCTCTATTATGTGTTCTCTCTTAATGGATTGGCCATGGCTCTAGTTTACAAAAATTCAATGTGGCTCGAAAAAACCGTTGCTCGTTAAAAAATTTTAAAAGTTAAAGTTTTGGAGCGTAACGGTTTGCTTTAAACTTTTTCAAAAACGTTACGAGTTGGTATTCAAAAAGTAAAAAAGACACCGTCCTACTACTCACCAACCACTCCAAAATGTCTGCCGATTTGAAGAAGCCTTGCTCATCATACATTCTCTACTGTAATGGTATGTAATAAGAGTGAATATATAACATTTAAGGTTTTCTTACTCTCTGTAAAAATAATATCATGACCTTCTTCAACTTTCCATTGATGATGAATTTTAATAATAATAATAATAATACTAATTGATGATCAACAATAATTACAGACAATAGAACTGCCGTAAAGACTCGTCTCGGTGATGATGTCTCCCAAAAGGAAGTCCAAAAGGAATTAGCCAAGATGTGGAAGGAAGTCTCTGACGAAACCAAGGAAAAGTACAAGAAGATCTACCAACAAAACAAGGCTGAATATGATAAGAAGATTGAAGCTATCAAGGCCGCTGAAAGTGATGACTCTGATGATACCAACAAGAGACAACTCAGAAAGAGAAAGGCTAAGAAGGAAGAATCCTCTGATGATGAATCAAGCAAGAAGAAGAAGAAATCTACTGAAAAGAAGGAAACTGCTCCAAGAAAGCCAAACGGTTATCAAGTCTACATGAAGGAAAACAAGGAAAAGCTCAAGACTGATACTTTGACTGGTAAGAAACTCACAGAAAAGGTTCAAAAGATGTGGAAGGAATTAGATGATGATGAAAAGAAGAAGTGGACTGAAAAGGCTAAGAATGCCAAGCCAGCTTCTGAAGATTCTGACGAGTAAATTTACCACAGACAACACTCTCACAATTCTCCCATCACACAACAAATCTAAAACTTCACCAACAACCAACACACCAAATTGTTAATAACTTGTGTACAGTACACTTCTAGGCCCCATCACTACAATTGATGATCACCTCTAGTTTCCAAACAAATAAAACAAAAAACAATTATTTAAATATTAATTTAATTATCATTCTCTTGTTGATTCTAAATTCCATGAGTTACTAATGAAGAACAAGTAACACTTTGAATATCAGAAGTAGTACTTATTTCATCCTAGCTAGTCAAATATTGAATATTCATTATATTCTAATGAAGAATTTGGCAAGTTGTTTTCAATTGCAAAGGAAGATGTTGCACCATGCAATATTTGGTGTTTTTCATCAACAATTTTAGGTCATGGTTTCAATTTGGAACTACCAAGCCGGTCAATGTCAGATGTCCTGAACAAAAAAAAACATCATCTCTGTAATTTCCTTCAGTCATCATCACCCTCCTTCAGTGGTCAATCATCACATTATTCTGCAGTCACTCCTATTGATACAACAATATTCAATATTAAAAAAACATCTCCACAGCATCCTCGTTTGTCATTTCCTCAAACTAAACCAAACTATTCAATACAACTCCCAACACTTTGTCAATAAGAATAAAAATTTCTAGAATTTGGAAATGGGTAACCAAGCAACTTCTGCCACTACAGGTTTCGACTTATCAACCTCAAACAGACGTTCAAGGAACTTTTCTGCAGAACAAAATTTGAAAAATGTACAAAATGAACAAATTCAATCAACTCTCATTAATTGTTTTGCATTAGGTGATGATATGATTTATTACTTGTGGAAGTTTTATGATTTGGATCATAATAATGAATTGGATTTGACAGAAATGAGAACTTTTCTAACAGAATTGATTCATACACTTCATGATGTTTGTCTGAGGAGTGAGCTACTTGCATACGAAACTGGTAAAAAGAGAGACTTGAGTCAATCAGGACAGTCCACTCAGGCAACAACAACTACATCGACAGCAGCTAGTACTGGAGGAGCTACTTCAACTTCAACAACAAATAGTTCAACAATAACCAACGAAACAGATTCGAAACAGCTCGATAAGAAGAAATCTTCTCGTTTTGCAATTTTTAAAAAGAAGAATAGAATGTCAACAGATTTCAACGAAAAGAAAGCATCAACACCTCTCTGGAGAAGATCTAGAAATCTCTCCGATGAAGATAGTATGAAACGAAGATCAGTAGCTGTCATTCCAGGTGCTGGGATAGGCAACCATCACAACTTTGAACAAATGATTACTGGAAATACAGAACAAGACGATATTAAAAGGAGGTGGAAAGCAATTAGAGAACATATGGAAGGTAATATTGGTGATATTATTAAGAAGGTTGATAAGGATCAAAATGGAACTATCAACTATCAGGAATTTCTTGAATTTATGAAAACATATGATATCAAGGATATGCTCAATAATATTGAACCATCAATGGTTTCTCCAAATTTACTCGATGGAAAACTAATGGGACTATTCAGTGAAGGACTCGCTGATGATAATGTTTCGGATGTTTCCTCTCCTAGATCCATAACTACGGAAAATCCAACTTCTCCTCAAACGAAGGAAGGAAGAAGAAAATCAGCAATTTTCCAAGTACTTTCTCATACTCCGAGCGAATCATCTCTTCCATCTCTTGACTTACCTTCCAATAAGAAACCATTGAATAAGGGTGATTTATTGAATACTGTAATTTTTTCTAATGGACAGGAGACTCTGGATTTCCTAGCTCAATACAAGGAATCTATTGATAGAGTGGAATTGAATGCAGCATTGAGAAGAGCAATTGTAGATAATAACCCATCTAAAACTAGGGCAATTCTCAAATATGGAGCTGCCGTTTGTCAATCATTCAAGGATGAAAATCAAGAAGAAAATTCAGAAGGATTTGATATGCTTACCACTTCACTCTTGAAAGCACTTGCATCATATTCACCATGTATGGACGGAGGAGAAATTGAAAAGTTACAATTAATTATTCGATTACTAGTTTCTAAAGGATGGTTTGGAAATCATAATACAGATGAAAATTCAAGTCAATTCAAACAATTGTCCCCTGACATTATCTATGAATCTATGGTTTCGCATAATGATTCAATGTCCATGTATGAAGACGAGTTAAGGGATGCTCTGGGCGAGACTAAATCTTTTGAAGAGATTGAATCAGAATATTCTAGTCAACTCGAGGACTAACAATGTACAAAAATTAACAAATATTTCAAACAAACTTTATTTCATTATTAAAAATCTTTCATTACAAAATTCAATTTTACTAGTATTGTCAAATTCGATATTTAAGAGCACGAATTTCTTGTTAGATTGATATTTCATATTTTAATACAACTGATGGCTACGGCCATATCACGATGAATGCACCTCATCCCGTCCGATTTGAGAAGTTAAGCATCGTCGAGCCACATCAGTACTGAGGTTGGAGACAACTTGGGAACCTGTGGTGCTGTAGTCTTTTTATCTGTTAGAGCATGATTCTTCTGGAATATGAAGAACAATATTAAAACATTGACTTGATATTTATCCTTATTATCTCTTCCTTTGTGAAAAATCATTTCTTGACTTACTGTCTAAAGATTTTGTTAATCGTAAACTATTTCAATGTTTGAAGACTCAAATTCGAAATTTTATCGTTTATTGATCAACCACAAGTTTCTCTTTCTAAATAGATTAAAATAAAAGGTGATAAATAGATGGTCAGGTAGCAAGCGTTTCTAAATAATAATTACTGAACCAACAATCAATAGATTAGTTGCCTTCACTGTTCATACAGTCAAAGACTGTAGCGGGACTGTCGCTATATTCCTGGCAGGCTTCCCGTCCAAAATTAATAATTGAAATGGTAATGTGACAATAACAACCACCAAGATAACACACTTTCTGGTTAATCATGGATTGTCTGTTTATGCTTATTTCTTAAAATAAGTGAAACAAGTAAATATATCAATAATATGAACATTTATCTTTCCATTAACCTTTTCTTCCACTTGTATTGTAGTTTTCCAGAAACCATGACATAAATTTTTCAACACCAATCATTTTTCCATCCATGTTGATCGATTAAAATCCATCTAATCAATCTATTTTTTGATCAATCTATCAAACAATCGATCATGATTCATTAACAATTTCAATCAGCTAATTATCAAAAGATTGTTGTTTGATTTCTTGTGATGTTTCAAAATAAAGCACTTCAAAACACAAAAAGTTGTTTTTCCAAATTGCTTAAAGTCATGTGCCAAGCCAATCCTCCGATGTGGCATTTGAAAATAAATATGAATTTCTTATAATCCTTTCAGAGCTCAATGACTGAAAGTTGCCTCAACACTTTTCCAAGAATATGCCAAGTGCTCACTCTTGATTTTTGAAATTTGGGATATGGATATTGAAATATTACATAAATGTTTGAGTAAATATTGAACTCCCCAAAGTCAGAGTGTTGGTTCTTGATTAAATAATTGCTTACACAAGTTTGGACGTTGTTGCTCCTGAACATGTGGTTTTGTTCAAAGAACACCTTATCAAGTTTGCTTTCATTCTCGCCCTTTATCATTAATTAAGGCACTCAATAATTCAAATCTTTTTTCAAGTGTTGTATTTTATCATGTCAAGTACTTGGGAAACTCGTTTGATGTAGTGGAAGATCCACTAGTAATTCAGTAAGTAACAAATCTATCTAATTTGTAACCCAGCATTTCTGAAAATGTCGAATTCATTGTAAAGAAATTAAACCACATTCAAACTTAATGAATTGTTCCTGATGTCATCCAGCTTGATATGGAATTAAGTAATACCAATAAGGTGATTTTCAAGGCACTCTATACTGACATCCAACCAAGGGTTGGTTCAAAATGAAAAAGGAGCAATTTGGAGAAGATTTTTCGAACCTTTGTGAAACAATTCAAATAAGGGAGAAGGAAATCTGTGTCTCTAAAAAAATAATTGAAAAAACCAAAAAAAAGGCAAGAAGAAAATCAAACCTGAACTGGAAGAACAAAAGAAATCATCAAAATCAAAGTCTCAAGCTCAGTTCAATGAGGATTTTGAGATATAATGAAGAACATTGATAGATCGATCGATTGATCGATCAATTAATTGATAAAATTCTATGTTTCATCCATTCAATCGATCATTTTCCATCTCGATCAATCATCGATCGGTAAAAAAATTCCATCGAACAATTTATGTCATGGTTTCTCGAAAACTACAATATCTCTTTTTCATAGTTCTTCCACAAAAGTTCTGAAGGTCTGAATTAGTAGGAACCTATTTTACAGTTAATGAAGGAACCTGTAAAGTTGTTATTTCAACTTAGTTTCTTCAACAAGGTCTTCTGCTGTTATTACAAGAAAGGATTGTTAGTTAAGTAAAAAGGGGGAGAAACACAGAAGCTAAACAAAAAAGAGATGAACAGTTCCTGTTGTATTCACATAATGCAGTGATGGATCATTGTTAACATGATTAATTAACTCCGCTCTTTGTACTAATTCAATTCTAACATGCCTTATTTCATAATCAAGTCAATGACCTCTTTCAACAATTACAATACAGTGAAAAGGTTGTGAATGGCAATATATGAAAAATGAGATTGGCAGACCATTTTTAACAGATCATATTTCAAAAAGGAAATACTGTAATAGATTGGAAAGGTCAACTCGAAACATGTCAGTGAGAAACATTGTAAAGTATACTATTCATCCATTAGTTTAATAAGCTAATTACCCGAACGTTTTCCAACAGACCAAAGGTGCTGCACTTGCAAACTAAAGCAATATTCAAAAACCTCATGTTGCAACCTTTCTTCTAAACACTCAAAAAAATGAAATCAGCAACCGGCATTCTTTGCTTCATCTGCTTATTAACACTGCTCATTCTCAAAGCAGACTACACTCTCCAACAATTCACATGTTTCGGCTTGGACCCAACTGACCTTAGCGTCTGTGGAGGAAACGGTTTTTGCACAGCTCAAGACACATGTGATTGTCAAGATCTTTCATATGGTGGCTATATTCACTCTAACATCAATGGTACTCTCAATAGATTAGTCAAAATTGCAAATGCTCCAAGAAATGAACATCTCGTCCTCCAATTAGACGCCAATCTCATCTTGTTTAGTGATACAGCAGGTTTACCTGATTGGGCATCCGGTACCTATTCTCCATTGAATTCAGATCGTTACATGAGGATTGATAATAGCACTGGTGCTTTCACACTTCACAAACTTGATGGAACTGTCTATGCTACAGTCTCTTCTGGATGTAATGGTGGAATTGGTCCATTCAGATTGGTTGTGAGATCAGATAGAAATTTGGCAATATACGATTCTATTGGAAAGATCTGCTGGATTATTGACAAGTATCCACACATTGGTTCAGTCATGTATCATGGAGCCAAATGTGATGTTCCAATTTGCTTTGATAAGAATGCAACTGAGGTATGCTCTGGAAGAGGTTATTGTAATGTTCCACATAATTGTACTTGTATGGAAGGTGCCTTTGGTTATGATTGTAGAAATTTCACATGCTTTGGACTTGCTATCAATGATACCTCTGTTTGTTCTGGACATGGTCAATGCAATAATTTGAATAATTGCACATGTAATGATGGTTATTTTGGATCAAAGTGTCAAGAATTCAACTGTAATGGAATTCATTATAAGGAATCAAGTGTTTGCAGTGGTAAAGGAGTTTGTTCTAGTCCTAATGTTTGTAATTGCACACAAGGTTATAGTGGAGCATATTGTCAAGAATATTATTGTGATGGAACTCTTTACAATGACCAAAATGTTTGTTCTGGACATGGCAAATGTAATGCTCCAGATAGTTGCTCATGTTCTGCTGGTTATTCTGGTGCCACATGTCTAGATTATACATGTTATGGAATTCATTATGCAGATCAAACAGTTTGTTCAGGAAGAGGTAAATGTATTGGTCCAGATGGTTGCACCTGTCCAACTGATTTCTCTGGAACATCATGTCAAGATTATTACTGTAATGGAATTCATTACAAGGAATCAAATGTTTGTAATGGACGAGGTGTCTGCTCAGCACCAACTATTTGCAATTGCACACAAGGATACACTGGTACATATTGTCAAGATTTCAACTGTAATGGAACTTATTACAGTGATGCAAAGGTTTGCTCTGGAAATGGTAAATGTAATGCTCCAGACAGTTGCTCATGTTCTGCTGGTTTCTCTGGAGCTACATGTCAAGATTTCTATTGTAATGGAATTCTTTCCAATGATGAAAAAGTTTGTTCAGGAAATGGAAAATGTGCATCTCCAAATAATTGTGTTTGCTCTCCTCAATTTAGAGGTGTCAGTTGTGAAACTAAAGTACCTTCTACTGTTGCTTCCTTGAGTGGAAATGTTATTGGAAAGGTCAATAGCTCAATTTCCATTAAGAAGGTTAGCACTCTTCAAATGATATTCATCTTGGCATGTGTAATGATTTGTGCCATCTTGTTTTAACAAATTGAAAACCCTTTTCACATTCAATATAAATTCAATTTTTTGTAAAATCAATAAATTGCAAGTTTAATTGAAAAAAGAATTTCTAATTTCCTCACTGTATGATACTAAATCTTATTAAAAACTAGTCTTTTGTTGCTTGTATTTCAAACCTTCAGTTCCATCCAATAAAACATAAACTCCATCATCTGTCAAATTAAATGTAAAAACTTTTTCAAATCCAACTTCAGGTAAAACTAATTTCAATTCAATTTTATGAGCACGAGCAATGGAAGGGAGAGGAAGATCCAAAACAAGTTCCTTATCAACTTCTCCTGTGGAATCTTCAAAAACAAGCTCAAATTCACTTGAGGTTGAGTTGAGTGATTTGATGAAAATTTTCTAATAATTAGGATTTAAATTATTTGATGAATTTTGATGTGATTACATACTGCTGGATCTTCTTCACTGGCTGGGAGTTCCTTGACAAAGAGGTGGAGTTGTGTGGACATTTTTTTTTGTTTATTAATAAAAGATAATTAAGACAGTTGAAGGAATCTTTTTATGGATTGACATGTGTTAAAATTGGATGATCAATAAATATTTTAAATGTTTTGTAATGTTGGGCGCTCTGGTTATGTCATCTACAGTTGCTTTACAATGAGGGTTTCATTACCATAGTACCTATCTGAAACTCCAATTCTAGTATGAATAATCAACAAGATTAAAGTACACTATATTATTCAACAAGATTAGTGCACACTATTATTGGTATTTTACAATTTTATTTACATGATATTCGATTCGTTTACATTCGTTTATAATAAATCTATTCTCTCTTAACCCAATAGGTATGAGAAATTGGAGCAAAATCAACCTGAGTCACAATATCCTTATTTTCACCAGGTCTAGCACAATACTTTGATTCAAAAGCAAGAGTTTCAGGTGTGGCACGAGCTTCAACAAATGATTTACCTTGTTCAGCTTCTTGCCATTTCAAGTTGGCAACTGAACCAGCAGAGAGGATGGCCATTGCTGATAACCAAACGTATGGCTTGTAGAAGAAGTATTGGAAACCAATTTTATGATAGGTCATTTTGGATTTTAATGATCAATTCGAAAGAGATCGAGATAATGTCGTTTTTTTTTAGAGTGGTGAAATAATGGAAAGTTGGCGAAACCAAAGAATTTAAAGTGATGGTTGGCAGGGAAACCGAAGCAAATTGAAGGAGAAAATATTTCCAAACGTCGACATATTTTAAAAACTACATGTAAGGAAGTCAGTTACAACAAATTGACATTTTCGACGTTGTAATGTCATTTTTCCAAATTAGCACCTGTCAGCGAAATGTCATACAAAAACTGTAGATAACATTAATGTATGTGTTATTTTCAATTCTACAATCAATTGAAGATTTCATCCCTTGATCAAAAAAACAACTCAATTTCATTTTCAACAATCTCTATTGAGGATTTCAATATCCTAATGAAATATATTCTTCGATCTTTCCTCTTCTTCTTGAAAGATTGCATGAATAGTTCAATTATTTACCATAGTTGACTTTACAATTCATGAACAGAAATATTACTCCACTCAAAAAAATGAATCAAGATCAAAATGTACTGCTATATGATAATTTTCCCTTCCACCGAAAAATATTAAACACCACCATCACAACATGCCATTCTCGGATCATGATTAACAATTCACTTTATATGTTCCAACTCATTAAAGGTGAAAATATGATCAAGGTTTCTAGGGTGTCTTTTCTGGGTGAGGGTTTGGAGTATAGAATTTACGAATATCAGAATGTGAGAATATACAATGAGGATGATGCTGATGAAAATTCACTTGTAGTTTTAACATTTATTGAAATTGGAGAATTGAATGGTTATTTCTACATGTTTTCCGAATCTGAAGGAAGTGGCAGGAATTTAGAACAGGTTCATAGGTTGAAAATTATTGAAGAGAATAATGCTTCTTCGATTCAAGTTGAGAGAATTTATAAGAGTTTTGAAACTTCGTATGTGAGAATTCTGAGTCCATTATTAGCAGATAGAGAGAGGAATTGTTTTTACTGGTTTGGTGGATATAGGATTAGAAAATCAACCAGTTTGAAGGATTGTATCAAGTTTAATGTGGAAACGTGTGAATTTGAATTTTTGACAAATTTTCAAATGGGATTTGTTTTACATTCTCAATCTTCATTGTTTTGGAAGAATAGATATGTCATTGTATTTGGAGGTTGGATCACTTCTTGTTTTACAACAGCCAATATTTATGCATTTGATGTTGAGAATAGAAATTGGTATTCAATTTATTGTATTGATGACACAGATGAGGAGGTAATACCAAAAATTTTGCCTAGATATAATTCTGGAATGGTATTGGTTTCTAATAGGTGGGCCAGTAAATTTAATGCAACTATTCCATCAAATGATGATATGGATACATTATTCATTTATGGAGGACATATTGATTATATGGATATAACACGAGATACACATGAGGTATTGTTATTTCACTTGGACGAGTCGCTATTCCAACTTGGAGAAGTGATTACAGAAACTCATATACCATTTAGTTTGACCAATTATTGTAAAGATTATTGGGAAAAGAAATTGAGCGAAACTGAATTTAATTTATTTAAGGATAATTTCAAGATTCTTCCTACCACTAATGTAAGCACCATTTATAACTTTAAATGTCATACTGGGAAGGAGAGATTGTACATTCTCAATGGATACGACAAAACTAGTATATCAAAATTAGATTTGTGTGATATGAGATCTTTGTTTAATTCGAATTTATTGAAATTTTCACATTATTGGGATGTTCAATTTTCATTTTTATAATATTCTGGTATTTATTTCAATGAAATTACTAAATAAATTGGAATCTTAATTTAAATTCCACAAATTCCAATTCAACTTTAGAATGGATTTCAAAAGCATCAAATTCATAATTGAAATTGTAAAAAAAATGAAAACAAATCAAAAGAAGAATTTATCATCAAAGAGTAATAATAATAATAATTCAAGGAATCCTTCATCGTCAACATCAGAAACCAGTAGTAGTGATAATTTTATAGTTACTAAACAATCATCACTTTGTATATTAATTCCGAATAATCATGATGATGATAATTATGATGAAAGTAGTTCCGGATCAAACTCTTCACTTTTTGATCATGTACAACATATTAGACAGGAGAATGATAAGAGTTTCAACCGATGGGCTCCACATTTGAATTTAATGTATCCGTTTGTACATAAGAAGAGTTTTTTCAAGGCCAAACAATTAATTGAGCAAGTTATTATTGAGAAGGAACAAGTGAAGAGTTTTGAGATTGATTTTCCACCTCATCATGTCTATTGCAGACAATTTTCAAAGTTTGTGTTGGCAAGTCCAACAGATGAAAAGCAACTGGAAATATTGCAGAAAATTTATGCCATGCTGAAGGAGATTTTCCCACAATGTGCTGCAACTGGTGCTTTGGAGGAAGGTGAAGGAAAGAATGGGAATGTGGAAGAAAAGTTTCATCCCCATTTAACACTTGGTCAATTATCAAATTCAAATTTAGCAAACGTGAAAAAAACAAGGAATAATAATTCAACCACTAATGAATTTGAGAAGATTAAGAATGAATGGCAGGGAGGAAAGTTTAAAGTATGTGAATTGGTTTTCATGTGGAGAGAATCTCTTGAGGAACCATTTCATGTCACTGAAAGAATACCTTTAACCATTTAAGCTATTGAAATTTGTGTTAACAATTATTCTAATATGAAGAAAATTCCACAAAACCTCTAATGATTTCAGAGTTAAACTATTTGATGAATTTGTTCACCTCAAATTCAAACATTCCTTCTAGTTGTCGAACAGTAATTTATTCTAATCAATATTAATCACTTGAAGAGCATCAAATGAAGTATCAACATTTTCCTCTTCTTCCAATTCTTTCATTAACAATTGCATAAACAAGTCAGTCTTACCAAAAATTCTGACAGTTGCCAATCTATCATATTCAGTTTTCTGTAAATTTACAATACACATCATTCCCTTATTATCTAGAACTTCAAGTGGGAATTCACAACTAGGGGTAACTTTCATACTTGTTCCAAGAACCAATGCAAAATCACCCTTCTTTGAATGATCCATTGCTTGATCAAAATCCTTCTCAGGCAAATCTTCATCAAAGTGAATTATATTATCTTTAAGTCTGCCACCACATTCACACTTTCTTCCAGTAAAGTGCTTGGTCCAATCCTTTTCATTCTTACTAACATCAAATCCTCTCAAATATTCCTTTTCACACTTGTTACAATATTCAACATAACAATTTCCGTGTAATTCAGCAAGCTTATCTCTAGGTAATCCAGATCTTCTATGAAGACCATCCACATTGGTCGATACGACATACTTTACATAATCCTTCTTGACCAAATGTGTGATGGCATAGTGACAATAGGTAGGAACAGCTTGCTCAATTTCCACACCTTCATATTCCTCAACACCATATTCCATTGCAGTCCAAACTCCTTTCGGCCCACGATAATCACTCAATTGTGCACTTGTTGAAATACCAGCTCCAGTATAAATCACTACATGTTTGGCTTCTTTCAAATAATTGGCCAGTTTTTTGACTTTTCTCTTGATGGATGTTTCACTCTCTTCGTGTTCTTTCAATGAAGCTGGAAGTTCTTTTGGTTTGGCTGGTTCTGATGCTTTTTCGGAGGTTGTTTGGGATGAGGATTTGCTCTTCTTTTTGGATTGCTTTGGCATGTTGTGAGAGGATATTTAAGCTTAGTAGATAGTAGGTATTTTTTTGAATGAATGAATTAGATGTGAAAATTTGATGACGATTCTTAAAGAGGAAAAATCTGTAACGAAAATATTCGTCATTTTCAAAGTTCTTAATTTTCTCCTCTATTTTTATCAGCAAGGTTCACCTTTTGTTTAAGGCTGATGTGTTTAAACAACTGGTTTTAAAGATTTAGGTCGTAAAGCAAATTGGCGCAGCGGAAGCGCGATGGGCTCATAACCCATAGGTCCTAGGATCGAAACCTAGATTTGCTAACTATTTTTTTATGAATGTTTATTTTGTTATTTACAATTCCAACTCAATTTTGTTGGAATTACTGTTTCTGAAAGATCGATAGATCTGTCATATATATTTGGGGTTTGAACTGTTCAAATTAATAGACAGCTTCTCCAGCATAAACTTGATTCTCAATTCCACCCTCTCCTTGAGCAATTTTGAAATATCCAGACATTCCCCAATTTGGACCCCATGAATTGGCAGCTAACCAATAATTAGAACCTCCCTCAACTCCAAATCCAATTAAGGCAACAGCATGTCCACCAAGAACTGTGCTTACAACGTGTTTATAGACTCCTGACTTGTATCTAGAAAAACAAATTAGTATATATGAAACAAATTAAACTCACCCTGTAAGATCCCTGTAGACTGTGAAACCAGCTTGTACGCTGCCATATGTCATGATTGCAGTCTTGATATTATTGATACCTGTAATGTAACGAGTATTTTTGGCCTTATACTTGCTCATGGACATGGAAGCAATCTTGCATTGAGTTGGACAAGTTCCAGAGGAGAAGGTTCCTCTTCCACTAGCATATGGAATACAAGTATCGAGAGGTGTTCCAGTATTTTCCAAAAATGTCCAAGAATATTTCAAATAACCTCCTTGACAGGCCTTATTCATTGTATCGCATTGTACTTGGTATTCTGGTGAGAGGACAACATTGGTTTGACCATTGGTGGCAATGCACAATCTATGAGCCAATACATAATTTGCAGAACTATCATAAATATTACCAAAAAAAGGAAAATTGTGTCGAATGAAATTATAAGTTGAAATTAATAAAATCAAATTGTAAAACTTACAAAGCCCAACAAGCACCACATGTTTGTTGATCTCTAATTGCTGGAACACACCCTCTCCATTGAGTTCTTGCATCAAAATTCATGGGTATATCCATTCTAGTTTCAATATTTTCCATTCTTGGAGTGTCTTCATCAGTGCTCATCAATGAAAGACCAAATAGATTATCTCTAAGTTGTGAAATGGTCATGTTATCAAATCTAGAGTATTCAGTTGCCTTCCATCCATGAGTATGATTGGAATTAATTCTGTCAATCAAAGATTTGTCATTGACAGGAGTGTTGGCATGAGTGTGGTTGGCAATTGGATGAGTTGGATGAACAGGATGAGTGCTATTGTGCTTTGGTGGTAATGGTTTCTTTTTGTTTCCTTGGAAAGTTCAATTGGAGTGACCATTGTCAAAAAAACCAAACAGACAATACAACTGAGAATAAGGACAGTATTAGAAGAGTTTCTTCTAGTAGTAGCAAATGATTTGTTTGAATTGTTATTCATTTTGTTTTTTTTGTTATTGATTCAAACATTCACAATTTGATTTCCACTATTTATTCGAAACTTAAAAGACCGCAAGAGATAATGAAAATAACAATGAAAAACACACTCATCATCCACGAGAAGATATTATCGGACCAAATGGGAATGGTTTTCTCTTGTGGAAAGAGGTGGAAACTCTTCATTATGTGGAGAGATACTGTTTGGTCCCAAATTGTTCATCAGATAACATTCCAATAAAGAAAACCATTTTCCAAATAACAAGATTCAGATAACAAATCATTACATATCAACAATATTCAATTAAATGTTAAACATCAGCTTACAATGCATCTGTCAGTCTTCTACAGTGCAAAACTGTAAATCATTCAACACTTTTGACAAGTCAAAAAACTGTAAATTTCCAACTTTTTCAAAAATATCAAAATCTTTCTTAATATCTTTGTAAATTTTCAAATTGATAAAACCATGGTGTCAACATACCTGACTGGGAACTGAAAATCAACCAACAAGACAGTTGTACAAGTCTAAAAGGTTTGGCTGGAAATTGTTAGAGGATAATGTTCTTTCTCAAGTTGTTGTTGCACCAATAGTGAAATCCTGAGTCGGAAAACAACCAAAAGGTGAAGAGAGGTACATCATCTTTACAGTAATTTGGTTTTTTGTTTGGTGGGGTTATTGATTGAAAAACATTTCAATAAATACCAAATTGTTAGTTTACAATGCTTCTGTCAATATTCAACTCTTTGAAAACAACAAATCTTGAGCTTTCTCCAAAATATCAAAGTCGTTCCTTAATGTCTTTGTAAATTTTCAAATTGATCAACTCATCAAAATGAACTTCAATCTCGAAATTTAAAAAAGTTCCCCTAAAAAAAAATGTCAAAACAAAACTTGTGCTCCCAACCAATCTGTTATCAATTCCACCACGAAAATTCAAACTTGATCGCCGTTCGGAATATTATACGGAAGATCGTGCTCTGATGAAACAATATCAAATGTTGAATTTTAAAGAGTTGTATGAGAGGTTTGAGAGGATTATTATTATTGGTACGGAATTGGTTATAGGAGAAATATTATCAGATGTTAGATATTTGGTTAGTGAGGAATATGAATCAGAGTTGTTTATGGGAAAGAATTCGGTTGTGATCAAGATGATCAGGGAAATGGTGCCACAATTGGTTGATAAAGAGGAGAGAGAAAATTTGAAACAGTTGGAGAAATTATTGGTTGGACAAGTTACACTTCTCTTTACGAATAGAGATCCTTTGGAAATGATTAAAGTGGTAGAGTCAAAATCATGTAGTAGAGTATGTGCTGTAGGCGAATTGGTCCGTGAAGATGTAAACATGTATGAAGGAGATACTGGACTGGAGCCTCACAAGACTCAATACTTTCAAGCGTGTAATATTCCAACCAGAATTCAGAGAGGTCAAATACAAATAATGCGTACAGTGTTATTTTTGAAAAAGGGTACAAGAGTCACCCCAAGTGATGTCGCGTTAATCAGGATAATGAATATGAGACCATTTAAGAATAGTTGCATTGCAAAGTATGTTTTCGAAAGAAAGGACCACTGTGTTTACAAAACTGATCTGTTGAGACATGATTTAAATCCATCCGTTTATGAAGCTATGAATGATTTAGGCTCTTTAAGTTTGGAATGTAATTTACTTAATCAATTGACAATAATTGCTGAACTCAAGAAGAGTATTCAAAATATCATGATAGTTGAAAACTATGTAGAAGAGGAAAGTGAAAATAATTTATTCGAATTGGATTAAATTGGATTTGTATAATTTATGGCTTTATGTTGTGATTTCTTTTTAGTAAATTACTGGGATCATACTTTCGTTTCAGTTGAACCAATTTCTCATAATTTTCCTTATAATATTCAATGGTATTACAATCTACAGCCCCACTTGTATTCACATATCCACTAACATTACATGAAAAATTGCAAAGTCCAGAATAAAATTGAGAATCGGCCCAATTTTTAAAGACTGATATGTCCGTATTGTTTTCCCAACTTCCAATACTGTGAATCTCATAAATAGCATCTCTTTGTACATAAGCTGTATCTTGTTTTGATTTTCTGGAGATTTCACCTCCCAAATGCATGACTTCAATGTTGGTGGTATATGGAGCTGTTTTGATACATTCCAACAAGTGGTTGATAGCTTGCTTTTGAATTGGCTCATTGAAGAATAGAGTTTTCCAATAATACTTTTTGCCGTGGCTATTTCCAATATCAAACTTTTGTTGTAGCTCCACATAGTCATCACAAAAAGAAGTCAATAAGGGTTCCATTTCAAATAACTTTCCAATAATATTTTCGGTATAGAAATTATATGAAACTTGATCCTTTTCATTTTCTGTGACATCTCCTTCATGAAATAAGGACATGATTATAATTTGATCCTTGGCAATAAACAAGTACAATGTAATATTGTCAGGAATTTTTGGTTGTGTCTCACTAAAAGGATTTGTCATGACGAAATAAGTTTCCACAACTTTTGTTGCATTCTCAAATGGATACACAAAAATTCCATGATCCATTTTAGTTAATTTTCTTGTCTTGAATGTGAATTCAGTACAAATTCCAAAATTTCCTCCGCCTCCTCTGAGTCCAAACATGAGCTCATCTTTTTCATTCACTTCCACAATTGTTTCCTCCTCCACTGATACCATTCGAACTGAAACTAAACTATCACATGTTAATCCATAAGCTCTACTCAGCCATCCTATTCCTCCACCTTTTTTTCATTTAATCATTATTGGTACAATTGGTTAATATGCAAGATCAGAACACTCACCTAATGTCAATCCAGCCACACCTGTATGACTCACCATTCCACCAACAACATATCTATTCTCTTTAGAACATTCCCTATCAACATCTCCCCACAATGCTCCAGCTTGGACTCTTATCAATTTCTCATCATTGTTCACAACAAATTTAGCATCATTCATCTTGGACATATCAATCATCATGCCATCATTACACGAAGCAAAGCCACACACATTATGTCCACCTCCTCTGATACTCAACTCTAATTGATGAATTTTGGCATATCGGAGAGCAGATAACACATCTTGTTCCGATCTACATTGAGCAATTACTTTAGGAAATAGATCAATGCAGCCATTCCATAATTTTCTGGCCTTTTCATACTGCACGCGATGGGATTTATCATCCCTGTGCAGGAGAATCAGCTCTTCTTGATCGTGGGTAATTTCCGAGCTCGTATTACTTTGAAGCATTTTTTTTGTAAAGTTTTTTCGGATTTACAGTTCAATAATTGGAGAGTGTTTTATTTAAAATTACAAATTACAATGAAAAATTAAGGCTGATTCATTGGTTTTTCCTTTTTCCTTCTTCTCTTCATCATGAATATTGAAATAGAGACCGCGAGAATAAACATGAGACAAGAAATCAAGCAAGCCCCAGCAGCTGGCAAAGTGATGGCAACAATGAGAATGGTTTGTTCATCTCGAGGGAGATCTGGAAGTACAACATCTCGATTTTGATTTGCCTTGTCGATATTTCTATCTATAATTGTAAATCTAGTCAAATGTTTAGTCTTACAATCAATGTTGAGGTTGACTGTGTTGTTTTTCAATAATTTTACATTGGAAAGGATGGTTTCAAGACCATAGGTCAACCATTCTTCTTTGAATTCATCAAAATAGGCACATGTGAAATTTGGATTGTTCAAGTCAAATGTTGAACTATTCACATTATAGGTCAAATTGTAAAATTCAATTTGAATGGGATCTACCAATCCATTCACAGGAATCAAACTTCCATTAGGAAATGTCAAAGTGATGGAAGTGATTCCACTTGAGAATTCTTTCGAATTTTCAAAAGTTGTAAGAACATTAATGTTCTCATTTCGTGAGAGACCTTGTTTTTCAAGATATTCTTCAATAGTTGGAGGGAATTCAATTTTTGTAGAGTTGTTGACGAGTACTTTCTTTGAATTCAAATCGGATACTTTCGTATTTTGAACCTTTCCAATAACATTTGTAGAGTTATTGGAATTGTTGGTTGGAGGTGTTACGATGGTTTGATTTTGTTTACTGCAGTCTGGACCTATCCAACCAGTCATGCATTCACAAGTGTTCGGTTTCGAACAAACTCCTCTCGATGAACAAACCAATGGAAAGAAATTTGGATATTGGAAACAATTAAACGTCTGGCATTGAGGACCATAGAAACCCATTTTACATGCACACATTCCATTCGCTATACAATCACCATTTCCAGAGCAAACGGCTGGATTCGTTGACTTTTTGCCAAAGCAAACAAAAGCTGGTTGTTTTTGCAAAGTATTCGAAACATGCAACGAGAGGAATAATACAAGGAACAGAATTGAGGAGATTACATTAAAACAGCAGTTAGATGTCATTTTGTTTTTTACAGTTTTGTTTGAAATTCAGTGTGAATTGGTCTCAACATTTATAGATGAATCACACATGCCTAGTTGACCTAATTTAGAAACAAGATGATGGTAAAGGACATCTTTTCAAACAATTTTCAGAAGAGAATCTCTATTTCAATCTAATGAAAAGTAATTGAGACAATCCCTACATCACCAAACAGCACCAATAAGTATCTACTGTTCTATTCGAATATGAATGAAAATTCGAAAGTGAAAATAAACAACTTTCCAACATGACTTTCACAAATATCTCCAATTACAGCCAATCACATTTTTTCCTCGACCAATTCTGTATCGGCTTCATTAAGTCCTATCATTTCCGACTCAAATTTCCAATTTAACTCAATTACGAATAATTGTATAAATTATTTGAGATTCTTACTTGGTTTAATTGTTACAAAAAAAATGACAAGAAACAAACATCACACAAATGGTGGGTTTTTTCCTCTGCTGACACTGATGAGAAGAAATCTTCTCCACCATCGGAGAAGAATACAAAATCAACAATTTCATCATTATTAACTTCGGATGTAAAAACTCTGACAAAAATTGATACCACCACAAAGAAGCAGGATACAAGAAATAATGGATTGCAAATACCATCGGATGTCATGTTGTGGACGATTGAACATGTGCAAATTTGGTTGAAATTTAAAAAGTTTAATGATGCAATTATGCAATCTTTCATGAAGGAAAAAATTGATGGATTATCGTTGTATTATTTGACGATTAATAATTATTTGAAATTGGACGATCATCATTTGAATATTGACAAGTTGGGTGATTTGATCCATTTGAAACATGAATTGAGTTTATTGTTTAAAGATGTACAACCACCTGCCTCTTCTGCTGTTGTGGTTGGTAATTTGCAACCAGTGATGCCTGTCATTCCAAGCGTTATTCCAACTGTTGCAGATGTTGTACATTCACCAATAAGTCCAATTAGACTAATTTCCAAAGATGACACTCATATTATTACCAATACTGGTAGTTTGAGTCCTGTTCCTCAAATGGCTAGACATGCTTCATCTCCATCCTCTCTAGCTCACACCATTCCATTTGTTCCTTCACAATTAGAGTCACTTCTGCCCCCTTCCCTTCCTCAAATTTTCAAACAATTAATTCCATCAGAAATCAAAATGATGAGCGAGAAGGAAAAGGAAGAATGGTCATCCATGATTACCAAGGTCATTGTTTCATTTTGTTATGCCATGTTTGCCATCTTTTGTACAAGTGTTACCATGGTAGTAGTTCACGAAAGAGTTCCAAAAGATTATCCTCCACTCCCAGATATTATTCTAGACAATTTACCTTTGATTCCAAGTGCATTTGCAATCTCTGAGTTTATTTGTGTAGTTTTGGGCCTCATTGTATTTTTTATTTTAGTAATTCACAAGCATAGAGGAATTATTTTCAGAAGAGTTTTGGTGATTATTGCCTCTGTATTCTTACTCAGATGTATTACCATGTTCATTACTTCATTGAGCGTACCAGGTACACATCTTACTGCATCATGTATGGCAACAAGAGGTATGACCACAACCTTTGATGACAAGCTGAAGAGAGCTTTGGAAATTACTTTTGGATTTGGAATGAGTATTATGAATGTAAAGACTTGTGGCGATTACATGTTCTCAGGACACATGTCCATGATTACAATTTTGAATTATACCATTAATGAATATACACCAAAACATTGGAAAGGATTGCACATTATTACATGGGTTTTGAACTGTTTTGGAGCATTCTTTGTTTTGGCAGCTCATGAACACTACTCAATTGATGTTTTTATTGGATTTTTCATTAGTAGTAGATTATTTGTCTATTATCACGATACTGCCAACATGAGACACATTCTCAATTTGCACAATATTGAAACAACAGCCTATATTCCACTCTTTGATTACATGGAAGATACTGTTGATGGAGTTGTAAAGAATGAATTCATCATTTCAGTTGGAGAAAAGGATCACAGACATAGACCATTGCATTCTCTCGATCCTCAAACAATTCACACTCTCCAAGAACAACAGCAACAAATAGCCTCCACTCTCCCAACAGAGCAACAACACCATCATCAATACCACTAAACACTTTACAATAATAAAAAAATCAATTTACAACATTAATAAAGAAAAAACGCAAAAATGTGCAGGTCACCTTTCCAAGTAAAAATGACAAATTAAAATATCAAGTAACAAAAATGGGCATTTTAAATACTGTGAATCTTTAAGCTTGGCTGATTTTTTTTTTACCTATGCTGATCGTTGTTGGCTTAAACCTCCTTCTCATACAACAACAAGATAAATTATTCATGACGAACATTTACCAAGCATCACAACTAAATGGTCCAAATTAGTTCTTGTCGAATTATGTTTGGTGATGCACCACCAACAAGAAGCCTCTCTGAATATTATTTGAAGTACCAAAATCAAAAAAAGAAGCACAAGAAGCCTAATAGACAATTCGTATTGTTTAGCTCCTCCACTTTCCGAATATTTATAATAATATAATACTAATAGTACTACTATTATTATTACTGTTAATTGGTTGAACAAGAATCTTTGTGTTACTCATTGACTAATTTTCTATATACTGCTGCTTCTTTTTAGACAAATATACAAACAACAATTACTACTAACTAAATAATGACTACACATTGTTCCTTTTTCGAAGGCAAGGAATTGTCTGACTCTATCGGTTATTACACTGATCTTGAAAAGTGGAACGAAGATCAAACCACTCTCAAGCAATATGTCAACTTGAAACTCTCTGCATCAGGTAAGCTTAATTTCCGAATCAATATATAACAATAATTGTTTGAATAGGTCTTCCACTCTTTGGAAAGCTTGATAAGCTTCTTCAAATCACCGATCCTCTCTTAAATACATTCAAGGAACATGATAGATTATTGGATAATTATCAATGTCCAATCGACAAACGTATTCAAAGCTTTATCAATTCTTATGTGTCTGATTTGCAAGGTTATGATGTTAATTCTCTTCATCTTCCTGCAAATTGTTTGGAATTAGATAGAGTGGGTATGGCAAGACTCCTCTCCTTACCAGGTGATGGTGATAAATTCGAAAATGATATTGTTTGTTCATACAGATTAAAACAAGGTGTATTACACAATCCAGTCAATGACAGAAGAACCACACAAGGTTCTTTCCATATTGCTTTGGGAGGCTTACCAGTTCCTGCTGATAAGATGGAAGTTCCAAAGCTTGTTTGGGCCAATCTCTTGAAAGAAGCCCTCAATCCACCTTCTTCAAATAAGACTTTACCATATACTAGTAATCAATGTGAGGAAAAGAAAGCCAAATGTTGGGTTTCACTCATGTTACGTCCTCTTTTAAGTCCTGCTGTTCCAGGAGAATCAGAAGAAAAGACTATGGAAGTTAGATTCTTTGCTCCTGGTTCTTTAGTTTCAAATCTTGATTTTGTTGAAAGTATTTTCGGAAATGCTGGACATGCTTATTACACTGAAAACGATGCTGCTTTGGATGTCAGACGTTGGTCTGGTCACACTGGTTGTGTTATTTTGGCTCCTCACTTGACTAAGGTAACTAAAAAATCACTTGGTCTCCCTCACATCAGTACTGCAACTGATAGACAAAAGAGAGATGGAATGTGTTATGAAAAGGATACTGATTTGTATAATATGGGTGAAGCTTTCAAGATTACTTGTAGAACAAATACCGGAGTTATTCTTACAATCATTGCTGATAACTATTTCGGATATTGTAAAAAGGAAGTCAAGTCACAAATGACCTATGCTACTAATTTGTATGGTAACTGCGAAGAAGAGCATAGTGGTGGTGCTATTGCATTCCCTTCATATTATTTGGGAGATACTTTCAGATTGAAAGATTACCATATTGATGAGGAATATACTTTCAAGGAAATGACAACAAGATGCAATGGAAGAATTTCTGTTGATGAATCTCTCGGCATGGGTATCGATAATAGATTCTCTGATATCCTATACCTTCCAGAAGATGCATTCTTTACTTTGCACGGTCAAAACATTTCTTGGTCTCACTACAAGACTGGTGAAAAGGTCAACATTAGATTGAAGCCAAATATTACTTATATTCTTCCATCTGGTTATAGAGTTGAAATGATTCACGAAAAGTCAGGATTCTCTCTTATTGGTACTGTTGGTACTGGTACTTACTGTCACAAACCAAGTACTATTTCTGGAGGTGGTAAAAGTGAAATTTCCAAGTCAATTGGTGATGCAATCATTACTGGTCCAGTAATTGTTGCTGATTTTATGAAGGATTTGGAAACTGTCGAACAATTAATTGAAAAGGATTATAGTAAGAGATTCCAAGACAAGACTGTTACTGATACTCGTGCTGTTTTAAGCATGGAAAGATCACTTGGTAGTGTTGTCAAACTTCTCACCTGTTCTGAATCTTACACTGAAGAATATAATCAATGGTTGCTTTCAATCCCATCCTACATCAAACAATTGGTCTTTATTGTCAAGAGTTTGTACAAACCATCTTGGGAAGGCAAGTGGAAGGAGAAATTCAGTGTTGACTTGGTTAATGGTTCCTTTGGTAACAGCTTGAAATACAAGATGGAACCAGTTGTTGGCCATTATATGCGTGTTGGTTTCCAAAACAACTCTTGGAGAACTTTCGAATTGAGAAAGGACTTTACTCCAGCTTTCAAGATCCAAACCGAAGACGATATGACCTCCTCTGTTGTCGTTCCTATAAGAAAGCTCCAAAGCAAGTACCTCCAAAACAGTCGTGTTAAAGGTACCTCAATCAAGATCTCAAAGAATACCGAATTCAGATTGTTCCAAAGACCAGATGATTGTATCATTAGAGGTTATGATAAGAAGTGTGAATCTGACTTGGCTACTCCAAATACTTTCATTTGTAACTTTGAAGCTTTGGATCAAAAGGGTGTTCAAGATATTCTCGATGATACTATCAGTTTCCATGCTTACACTAAGCCACAACGTCAATTCTTGGAAGAATACGCAAAGGAAGGTGTTCCAAGCTATTGTGTTGCTTCATCAAATACCAGAGTTGTTGGACCAAATCAAAGATCAAAGAATCCAAGATACTTGCAAAACAGTGAAGAATTGACCAAGCCAAGAAAGTACTATTTGGCTGAAGTCTGCACTCGTTTGCACCAAGTTCTCTCACCTACAACTGCTGTTGTCTATCCAGTTGATGCTGTTATTTCTGGTCGTAGAAATAACCCTGAAATGAAGGGTGTCCCTCCACTCTGTGTACATAACCCAATCCACTATTTGGAACTTCCTGAACTTTTCATGGAATATATCAGTTCCATGACTGGTAAATCACCATCTACTACTGGTGCTTGTGGTTCTGAAGGTGCTCTTACTAAGGGTCCATTTTGTCCAATTCTCTCTATTACTGAATTGAACACAGCCCTTGTCTCAATGATCTTGACTGGTTCAGATGGTTACTTCTCTAGTGCTGGTACTTTGGGTCCAAATTACCGTGTTGACCACGACGTTTCTCTCTTGATTCCAGAAATTTGGTGTAGAATGAAGGCAGAAGAACGTGATCCAAGCTACCTCATCAAGAATGACATGCTCGAAAAGCTCAATGACTTTGAACACAATGGTCAACTTGTTCAAGCAAGTAGACTTGGTTATCGTATCACTAAGAAATTCGTTAGAACATTCTTTGGTAGATTATTCACCAATCCTAGCTCAGTCTTTACTGATGATATGCTCCAACCTGAAAAGCAAGGTGTTGATACATTTGTGAAATCTCTTGGTATTATTTTGGATACATACAAGTCAGTTGCCTTGTCTTACTTTGAAGATGGTTCTATTGATGGTGCTTGTCCACCACTTAAGGCTGTACTCCACGTTATGGCTCACGGTCACTACAATGGAAAGAGCATTAATGACTCAGAAATTCGTCAAATGTTTACTGAACAAGCTCTCTTGTCAAGTGAGTGGTATAAGGAAAGACTTGCAACCCGTCAAAAGGTTCTCATTAATTGTTTGAACAGAAGTAAGGAATATCTTACAAACTTTTCCCATCAACCTCGTTACAGTGATTTGGCTGAAAAGTTGAACATTAACGAAAAATTGTCCTATGTCGAAAGTGAACTTGTTAAGGTTTCTGATGTTAAATATTTGGAAGATTTGGTTGGTCATTTAGGTACAGATCCATTCATGTATAAATAAATTATTATTTGACTCGAAATGCCCATCAATATGTTTTATTCAATTTCACAAAAAGGTATCAATTGTTTCTTTCAGCTTTTGTTTAGAACATGGCTTACAAATTACCATATCAACAGTTTTCATATATTGCTCAGTAGAAAAATCAGTGAGTGCATCTGCAGTTAGCATTACAATCTTAATATTATCACCATACTTCTTCTTCAATATTGTGCTTGCCTCTAATCCATTCATATTTGGCATGTGCATATCAGTAATAACCAGTTTATGCTTGTTAATGTCGAATGCACGAACAAGTTCTTCTCCATCCACAACAGCATCTGCTGTTTGTCCAAGATGGGATAAAAGTTTCAGTAGAACCTGTCTATTAATTGCATTATCTTCTGCCACTATTATCTTGTTATTCGATGGTTCTATATCAGCAGGTTTGGGTTTAATATAAGGTTCCATCTTTTTTTGAGTTTTTTCGAATTGCTCCAAATAATTTTCTTGTATTTGCACTTGTCTCTCAATGGCATTATGAAGAGTAGACAACTTGAATGTCTTGTGACCTAAATCTGTCGTTGACTTAGACTGAGCATTAGCAATGATAGACTCTCTTCTTTTGGATTCTTTGACTGGGGATAATTTATCAATTTCCATTGGAAGTGTTAAAGTGAATGCTGTTTCATACTTTGGTTCAGATCTTAAGGAAATTACACCTCCCATTTGTTCAATAATTCTTTTCCAAAATTAGTAATTTAAAATTATTTTCTACATACCTCTTAGTAGTACACAACCCTAAACCTGTTCCTGGACTGACACTCTCATTCAAGTTGTGTAATTGTTGGAACGGTTCAAAAATACTCTGTTGCTTTTCATAAGGAATTCCAATACCATAATCTGTCACCGAGATATCTAACCAAATCTTTGTATCGTCACTCTCTTGGGTTTGGTTGACTGAACACTTTAAATGAACACTTGTATCTGGAATGGATGCTTTGATAGCATTGGTGAGAAGGTTGATGATACACTGTTGAAGTCTGGTTTCGTTAGTTTTGACTACTAATGTTTCTAAAATCTCTTCAATTTCAAATTCAATAGTAACCTTAAATTTGTTAGCATATTTTTCCAATAGACAAAGAACAGTTCTCAGAGATCTTGACAAGCTAAATGATACAATATTATCACGACTTTGAATTACTCTTGGAGATATAGCCTTATCAGTATTGACAATTGTATTATATGAAATGTTCTCTGTTTCATTTTGAGTGGTGGTATGCATAGTTGGAGCGGCCTTTGGTTTCTTGTGATCCAAATCGATAAATACAAGAATATCTTCAATGAGTGTTAGAAGAATACTATTTGAGGCATGAATGATTTCCAAGTGGTCGTATTGTTCACTAGTTAGAGGTGTTTCCTTCATTAATTCTATAGATCCTAGGGATGAAAGAAGAGGCGTTCTCAACTCGTGACTTACATGAGAGAGGAAATTATTCTTGATTTGAACTGCCTCCTTAAGTTTGGTAGCAATATTAGTTAATTTCCTATATTCTACAGAGATGTAAATACTGGCAAATACTGCAAAAAATCCAAATATCATTACCATTGAAATGGATGGATAATTTTCAATTACAATCATTACTGCTGTTTCTATACTCATATCACTCTTATCATTCAAAAGAGAAATCAATTGATACAGCATGTAGCAAAAGTAGTGAAAAGCAATATAGTAGAATGGAAATTGTGCCCATATCACAGTTTCAATATCATCTGTACCGTTCAATTCAAGATGCCTTGAAGGATTGTTATGTTTCTTAGAGTGCAGAATTGAATCTCTATATTTGCATGCTGCAATAGATGCAATAGAAAATAAACTCATTGGTGTTAACAACATTTTCGAGTCGGACATTAAAAACCTCAAAGTAAATAATAATAAATTGAAAAAGACCAATTGACTCGTCGAGTAATGAACAGCATAGGACGTCAGTTTGTGACTCCATGAAGAAGCTAATTCATCATCATGTGTTGGTTTTTTCTTTGCCTTTTTTTCCATTTCATTATTGTTTAAGGATGATACTCTAGAATAGGTTTTACTATCCTTATACAAATCATTCACGTAGGAAGGTAAATCTCTCAAAAAAGACCACTTGACACTGACAAATCCCAACATGCACAGCATCAACATGATTAGTGAATTAAAGAGTCCTTGTCTGAAATAAGTCGTCAGTACAAGGGATAAATAGTCCAAAAAGACAAACATTATCATGAATTTCGTTTGTAAATCAATAACTTGTTTCCAATTCGTAAATATGGAAGGAAGGCACTGTGATAATCTCCTCGACAAAATTGCTGGTAAAATATCACTCTCACCATCACTCGAAACATTAGAAAACGATCTATTCATGTGTTGTTCTTGTTCCTGTTGGTGATAATTATAAATATTATTGTTACTACTACTATTACTATATACATTTTCCAATCCTGATGCTAAATTATTCTCATCATGATCATTATCCAATGATGAACAATTATTGGCCATCGATTTAGATTTCCTCATGCATAAATTCGCATCAATGATATTGTCCAGCGACATCTTCTTATTATTGTATTTCATATTATTATTATCATTTTGCGTAGTGGGTAGAAGAGGATTTTCAGTCAAATGATGACTATGCCTCCTTTTCAAAATACCCGAAGGTGATGATTGCATGCGGGAAAGAAGTGAAGGAGAAAAGGAAGCTTGAATGAAGGAGGAAGAGGATTGGGAGGATGATAAACTTGTACCTTCTCTTTTTGTTGGTATTTCCTCTTCTTCTAAATGACTTGTATCGATGGAATTCATATTGGAAAAGAATTCATCATCATTGGTGATGGAATTATTTACTTGAAAGTTTTTGGACAGTTTCATACGATAATTAGCTAATGCTCTAGCTTCCTCATGCATGTGTTGTTGTGGTGGCACCATCGTATCATCAGATGTGGTTGATGGTGAGGATGATGTTGTTTTTGTATTTGAAATGTCTGTGGTATCCGAGGATGGTATTTTTCCACAAGAGTAAATTGTCGTGGATAACAATGATGATGGAACAGCAACACTACTAGAATATGATGTTGTGAGGAGGTTGTTGTTGTTGTTGTAATTGTTTGGATGTTGTTGTTCGGATACTTTCTTTTCAGCTGCTGATGTATTCTTTTTAAAATTGCAATCCTCTTCTAGAATGTGAGAAGCAGAATCATTGATTGACTGCCCAAACATGTTTATCTTTCCCATTTGTGTTTGCCAGTTAGTATTTAAGGGTAGCTGCTTATCAGCACCACATATTTCAGATACCTTAGTGTGCTGCTTAACAAAGTCTTGTGCAGATTCGCTTTGAAAAAGATCATTGACCTTTGTTGAAGTTGTTGTGCATGCAGATGCATCTTGATGTTTCAAGGTTGCTGATAATGTCGCTGCTACCTTGTTAGTATCGGTAGAGTTCATTTTTGGATAAACCCCAATGTTGGACTGCGCAGTGTTTTGTGATCTTTGCAACCAAAGGTGTTACAATACTCGAATAATACAACAGGATCGGGTGTTGTTGGAGGCTATTTTTGTTTCAGCTTTACTTGTGTTTTTCAATAATGAAAACTGTTGGAGTAGTGTGTTACTAGTTGTTCTATGTGACAAATTCCAAATAAAAGCAGCTACAACTTTCTTATTTGTTGTAATTGCTAGCTTTCACAAATATATTTATGAAATATTGGAATGTTGAAGAACAAGAGGAATATGATGATGATAATGATGAAAGAGGTTTACTCTAATTTTTTTAAAAAGATAGGTGGAACTAGGCGGAGGGAAAGAGAATCCCATTTAGAATCTTTGTCAGCTATTGGCATTTCAGGGTAGTCCATCTGTCGGCATCTTACAAAATCCTCAATAAATCTTTTTGATTCTCCCAATTGGTTGTTAGCCAACTGTTGTTTAAGGAAAATGAGTTAATAAGTAATGTAGTTGTAGCCGGTATTGAGGTCTTCAAGTCAGTAGATTATGTTCAAAGTTGTGAATGTTTTATAAACATAGAATTGGAGAACTTTTAATGGTTTTGAAGTATACTATACATCTCAAAAAGAACCCGATCAAATTAGATGCAGAATATCGAGCAATAATGTCAAATAGTGGCGCCATTGCACAGATTCTATCTAATGGTCATCCAAACATTCGCCAACTATCCTCTTTAGAATTCATTTTCGTTGAGTTGTATTGCATTGATATTTGAAACAGTTCAATCTTGGGTGTTTGAAACAGAAAATACACAGAATTGTGTGCAAAGGACGGAGTGCTTGATCTGTGGGTGTTGGTAGCCATACGAATGAAATTTGAAGGTTTCCAACTTGGTCAGAAAATTTCGTATGCATTTTGGGAAACATTTGCTAACAATAAAGTTGTCAGCCAAATATTTTTTAAAGTAATGTTTCATTAAAGATGGGTTCCCAAATCACAATAGAGATTAATTTCATCGATCGAGATTTTGAATAGTAGTTTGATTAGTGCCAGGAAGAAACTCTGTAATGGAAATACTCCAGAATAATCACGAAAATTGGTCAGGAATCTCGGTGTAAATTGTAAACAAAGTTTACAATGAGATATCTCATAGGGTATTACATTCAATCTGATTCTAACTGTTTGTAATTCAATCAAACATATTATTGCAATTTCTAGAAAAATGAATCTTTTTCGTTTACGGCATTAATACATGTATTAATCGTATTGAACATCAACATACTCAGAATAATCCTCATCCCAAGGAAATAACATCATGATTGGTTCGAATAGGAGTCTATCTCTTAACTCTTCCTTGATGGTATCAATGCAAAAACCAAGTTCCTCTCTAATCGATTGCAATTTTTTTCTTGAAACCTTTACAATTCCATCCTCAAGTTTTTCGGCCAGATAATTTTTGTAATATTCCATAATCCAATATGAATTATAAGCTCCATAATCAAATGAACATGTAAATTTGAGTTTAACCTCTCCAATAGAAACAATTGCTGTATTCTTTAAACTTCCATCCATTTCTTCTTCAGTCATTCTAACTAATTGATATTTTTCGAATAGATTCTTTTCGAATAATGTAGCGATTTCCTTTCCATGATCCTTTTCAATCCTGTCCAAATATCCTCTAAATTGCTCAAATTTTTGTTCAGTCGTATTTCTGATAACAATTTTATCTTTTACATTTTTTGTAAATCCTTCAATTTGTGACAAACAATTTTGTAATTGTTCTCCATATTTACCATTTCTCAATTTCCCGTCTCTGCTAAACTTGGATTTGGTAGTATAGTTCTTCATTGCTCGGGTCACTTCCTTCACCAATCTGTATGAAATAAACAAGTGATGATTCGAATAAAGTGCTCGATAAATAGTTTTACAAGTCAGGATGAAATCTAATCCTTCGCTCGGATCATAAATAAAATCAAGAATTAAACCTAAAATTTCATCTGGTAATTGACATAAATTTGCACTGGTAATAAAATTATTGTTGTCGTGCGTCAATTTAACAAATTTTGATTTGGTCTGCTGATCGGACTTTGCTGAATAGTGTCGTTTCATTTTTTTTAAAAACATTATTGAAAGTGCTTAGTTCTTCAACGTTCAGAGCTGTTTTTAGTACATGAGAATTCACAGTATGAAAGTTGTTATTTTCGCATGAAATCCACACATGTTGTTTTCAAAGCTAAGGTGTATTAACCCGATTGTTGGGTTTAAATTTCTATTTGCTCTTTCAATTTCTTCTCTTGTATTTTTTGGAATAAGGGTGATAATTCTTGGCTGTCATATCAAGAATTTCAGGAGAATGCCAATTAAGTAATTGAATGGAAAAAAACAATTCTCGACAGCTTTTAAAACAATTTCTCAAGTAATAAAGTGAATATCCAAATTTGGAATGCAAAATCTCTATCATGTTTCAGTGTCGTTGGAACATGTCGAAATATTAATCGATATTGTGGATTAACACTCTGAAAATTATCCCCAGAATAAGTATCACAACCATCGATTAATGCAAAATAGAATTTCCTTATTTGATTTAGCTTTTTTAGGAATTGAAATATACAAATCCCTTCTTTTTACAACTTTGGAAATAATTTCAATATTATTTATTTGAAAGAATATTGTACATCGTGCTTTTAGAATAAATTACTTATCAAATTTCAATCTATCCCAATAAATCCAACAAAATGTTGTCATTGTCTTATTGATTATTTTGAAAATCTAGTCATCCAGTATATTCTCTTATATATATCAATCATATCTGGGTTATTTCTGAAATCCGAAGATAATCTCTATCATAGACCGAAATGAAGAATAAAATTGAAGTCCTACTAGGATTGAGAGCAATTCTGAAGGCAATGGTATCTCTGTAATATATTGAATTTAACACTCTTACAATTTCTCAACATTATTGTGGAGAAGGTTGTTTCGGAAACATTTGAAACAAAAGAAATAACCTCAACTAGATTTATTACGATTGGCTGTCAGCATTAGATCAATTACTATCTGGAAAGGTAGCTTGACAATACACTCTCCAAATGTTATTTGCAATTGTTCCAACTATCTAATAATTTCTTTCAATCCATCACTAAATGAAGTATTCCAAACAATTTGAATCCGTTGAAGTGATGAAAGGATATTGTACTTGGTGCATCATTTCAAAGAGATTCCAACAATCCAACCTCTCGAATACCGTCCCAAAAAATCAGTAATAAAGGGTGAAACCAAATAGTTAAAAGTTAGAGAGATAATCGGATTATTTATATACATTGATAATTTTAGCTATAACTTGTAATTGTATCCTAGAGGTGATTTCCTAGAGTGTTTGTTGTGTAAGTGTTGTTGTGAAATATTATTTACATTACGGAACATGTGTCACAAATTCCAAATCTCCTGTTCTTCTTCTTTTCTGGAAGAAGAGTCTCTGCATTATCATGATCTTCTCCATCAGGTGATTGAGAGGTAAATCTATCAATAACCAATCCAACAAGAGAAGTTTCTAGTGATGATGATGAGTCATTCTTAGCACTCAATTCAATATATGGATAATTGAATTGGTTTGCCCATGATTTTGCTGTATTAATGATCTTTTCGCAATGCCTCCTATTAAAATCAGTAATTTCATCAGTCTTGTTGGCAACTATCACAAATCTTGGTTGAGTTAGAAATGTTAAATTAGAAATAATGAGAAACTTACGGAAAGCTTGTTGTGGAAATTGATAAACCGGCTTGAATTAAAAATTCTTCTCTCCACTTATTCAGGGAGTTTGCACTTTGTAAATCCGTTACTGAAAATACCAGGCAAACTACATCAATATCACGATAAAAAGCAACTGATAAAGAGGCATACTTCTCCAATCCTGCATTATCCCACAGCTGCAGCTTGTAGGATTCATCCTTATAATCTATAGCTTGAGAATTTAAACAGTCACTTCCGATTGTTGGTGTATAATTTGTATCAAATTGGTCATATACCAATTTTTCAATAATTGAAGTTTTTCCTGATTCTCCATTCCCTAAAAATAATACTCTCAATGTTTTTGGAGTTTCTAAATGAGATCCCACTATCGATTTCATTGTGTGATGATATATTTAGTCTTGTTGGGTGGGTAACAATATTTCCTCTGTGTTTGATAAATGTGAGGTTGGGTGTTTGGGCTTTTTTTTCTCAAAATCCTTTTTGCTTTTCAAACGGTTCTTCATGCCCTCGATGTTTAAAGAGAGGAGGCGCACTTTCTTTGTCGCTACAACATTCATCTACTTCAGCGAGGTTTTTGCCAAGTCCGACTGGAGAAATTTATTGGAAAGTGAAACTTGTTGTACTTGTCGAAAGGAATTTTAATGAAATGTCAATTGAAAGGAATCAGTGAATGAAGAAAACTTGAACACTTGTTGTTGTTTCCTTTTCTTCATTCCAATTGAGATGAATTGAAAGGAAGAAACATGTTGATTACTAACTGAAAGAACTTGCTGAAAGGGTGGTAAGTTGGAATAAATGTCCACTCAATCAGTAAGCACAAATTCAAAAATAAATTGAGGACAAGAATAAGACCTCGCTGTATGAAGGACAATTCAGTCATTGTGGCATTTGGCAGTTGAATACTGAAGCAATAGTTCCGCCAAATTGTTTACAGCTGAATTTGCAAACCTTTTTAGTTGCTTATCTATGCTGATAATTTAGGTTGCCATGATTTATTCAACGGTTGATGATTTGAATTGGTTTTCTCTGAGAAATTGGTATTGGATAATGTTAATCATCAATCCAGATTGAAACATTTCCCGCCAAAATGCTGTACAGAAAATTTGATAAATATACAACCAAAGCCACCCGCTCATTTTCAATTTTAAAAAAAAATGATGACCGATGTAAGTGATTCGTACATGTGGTTATTTTCTTACTACTAATCAAATAATAAGGTTTCCAAGTTTTCGAAGGAATCCGAAAGATATGCCTTCTTAGTATCGTATTATGATTCTCTTGCTGGATTTGATAGAGAATATCAATTATTGTATTATACATTTGATGAAACAATTGAAATGGTTTGTTTTTATGTTCCGATTCAAGAAATTTAACCATCATCATGACAATAGTATGATTGCAAGACAAAGAGAGTCTTCCTCAAGAGGTGTACTTATCCTGAAGTAACATTAAAATCATTATATAAGGGTGCGATCGTCACCATTAATAGTCGTCAACTCAAAGTTGTGGAGTATTCCGATGAATTCACTAGAAAGAACTTTGGAGACAAGAAGAAGAGGTAAGATGAACCAATATAATTGTAAATAATTCTAACACTAAATAGAACTTTGGCCATGATAAAACCTGATGGTGTTGTAAATATGGGAGAAATTATTGATAGGATTTGTAGAGAAGGATTTCAAATTTCCAAAATGAAAATGACTGAACTCACCACTGACTTGGCACAAACCTTCTACAGTGTCCATAAAGGAAAATCATTCTATGATACACTTGTGGCTTACATGACAAGTGGCCCAATTGTAGCTCTTGAACTTGTGGCTGAAGATGCTGTAGCTAAGTGGAGAGAATTAATCGGACCAACTGATTGTGTGCAAGCTAGACAAGTAGCACCAAACTCAATTAGAGCTCTCTATGCAACTGACAAGACTCACAATGCAGTGCATGGCTCAGATTCTGACGAAAATGCCACAATCGAGTCTACCTTTTTCTTTGGAGGACAAGAACAAATTCCAACAACAGCAACATTCCAAAATTGTTCCCTGGCCCTCCTTTTACCTCACATTGTTTCAGATAGAATGGCCATAGGGAAAATATTAATTGAAATTCAAAAATCTGGACTTGATATTACAGCTATGGAAGTGTTTTCTATTGGAAAGACAGATGCTTCGGATTTCTATGAAGTTTATAGGGGTGTGAGCCCAGATTTCCAAAAGATGGTCTTGAATTTGTGCTCTGGACCTATAATTGCATTGGAAGTGTCAACAAAGGAGCCAAATGATGTTGTCACATATTTGAGAAATGTTTGTGGTCCTAGTGATCCAGAACTTGCAAAGGTATTGAGACCAGACACTATCAGAGCCAAGTTTGGTGTTGACAAGGTTAGAAATGCTATTCATTGTACAGACCTAGAGGATGATGGTGTTTTGGAAGTTGAATTTTTCTTTAATCTTATGCAAAAATAAATGTTCTGAATTATCCACTATTCTGTACATCGTGATAGCCAATTACCTTTTTTCATTATCATTCAGATTGTAAAGTAGTATTAATTTGTTATCCATCAAATAATAATAAAATTAAAAAAATGTCATCAAGTAAAGTTGTTGTATTTGATGTGGGTGGTGTAATTGCATCCGATTGTTACAATGAAGGTAAAAATCATAAAGTAGTGAATTTCAACTAACCATTTATAAACAGTAATTGAAAATATTTATTATGGAATTCCCGAAGGAAAGGAAATAATGAAGAGTGGAAACAGTGCTTGGAAATTATATAAATATGGAACAATTAATGAAGAACAATTTTGGAGAGCAGTCATTGATGAACACTATCAAACTATTATTTCAAATATTAATGTATTGAATGGATTTGTACTTTCCAATGAAGAAAATGAGGATCAAACTAAACACAGATTAGGTCAATACTTTGGAAATTATTTGAGAAATAATTTACGCTTCTTTGAATCAACATTACAATTAATTCAAAGATTGAATGACCAAATTTCAAGCTATCCTCAACTTGAAGCTATTGCCATCCTTTCTAATCACTCCAAAGAATGGTGTCACTATATTTATTCTGAAAAGGATAATGGCAGAGTTGAAAAACTATTCAAGAATAATCTCTTGAAAAAATCTCAATATTGTCCTGAATTAATTATTTGGTCATGTGATGTCAATGCTGCTAAACCAGAAAAGGCCATTTATCAACTCTTAATTGATAGAATCAAACAACATGTGAATTCTCAAATTGAGCCTCACAATATTTGTTTCATTGATGATAAAGATAGAAACGTAGAAGCTGCTACAGAAGTTGGAATTTCCACCATTCAATATGATGCCTCTCTTCCAGATCAATACGATTTCACATCCTTTGAAGGAAAATTAGAACAATTTCTTTCTCAATAAAGCTGTATATTCCACTATTTTCATCACCATTGCAATTATCCAATCAAATTGAAATATGATCTCTTCAATACTTATTATTACTGTCTTTACAATAAGCAATCAATTAGAAAGATAAAAACTAATCAAAAAAATGCTTCACAAGGTCGTTCATCGTTCCACAAAATCTTTGCGTCATCATATTGTTGGTGCAGGAATTTCATCCTGTACAAATTTGAATGTAATTCCCTCTCATGATAATAATTCCCTGCTGATGATTAACAAGGGAGGAAATGGTATCACGATGAAAAAGTCACTCGGAATGATTAATAATCAGGAGAGAAATTTTTCAACTCTCAACATTTGGAGACAACAACAACAAGAAACAAGTGAATCCAATTTAGCAGACATTGAAACACAATATACAAAGGATGTTGCTAATAATAATGACTATTTCTTGAGTTTTGCAATTGTTGCTGGAAAATTTGAATCTGGAAAACCTGCAGTTTTTGTTGATTTTCTTTCAGAATTAATCCAGAAAAAAGATGTTGAAGGATTGAAAATGGTATATTATTTATGTACAAAAGAAGTAGGTATTTCACTCAATTGTCTCTATAATTGTATTTAGAAATTATTGGAAAAAGGTTTCAAGTGGGTTTTGAGTGACGAAATATTATTGGCAGCAATCTATGACATTAGATCTAATTTATCACTTGATGAAATCAAACAGATTTATAGTGAAACATCTAATAATATTTTGGAAACATGTAATACATTGCTGAGACCTGTTTTGACAAAGCAAATTCAACACATTACAATCAATGGTCTTGAAAGAAAGTTTGTAACCACATTTGAAGTATTTGACTATCTCAAAAAGATTGCCAACGTTTCAAAGCAAGAAAAGGAGAGTATTGCCAAACAAAAAATTCATATTCTCTCACAACTCTTTTCAACTCTCAAATCCTCACATGAAATGAAACTTTTGATGAAGATTATTTCATCCTCAAGTTCGAGTTCACTCTCTGGTGTAAAGAAAAAGACATTTTTAAAATTTTTATCTGAAGCACTTGAAAAGTCAAAACTCAATAATTCTGCCAAACTTTCTGTAAATCAAATTGCTGACTCTATTTCTATTTACACCAAGACCAAGGAAGTTGATTTACTGTTTGAAGAATTATTCACTAAAAATTCACTTTTCAACATTTCAAACGAATCCTCACCACAATTCCAAATAGGAACTGTTATTCCACCAATGTTGGCTAAACCAGTTAAACAGCTCAAAGAAAACTTCCTTCAACATTTGAAAAAGTCAGCTGATGAAACTCAATTATTATGTGAATACAAGTATGATGGCGAAAGATTATTGCTACACTACGATGCAACCAATAAGAATCTGATGAGCTTCTCAAGAAACGGAAAACAATCAGCTCTATTGGAAGATTTCCCACAGGAGAAGGAAGAGCTCATTAAGTCTGTCTTACAATGTGATAAGAGCTTTATTATTGATTGTGAATACATCATTCTGGGTAAACAATCAGGAAAGCCACTTTCATTCCATGAATTCCAAAACAGATCAAGTCTTGCATCTGTTTCTATCCCTTCAATTCGTGCCTTTGATATTATTTACTTTGAAAATGGACCAATCATTGAATCTCCACTTTTTGAAAGAAGATTGAATCTTGACTCTCTAGTTTCTTCAATCAATAATCCAACTCTTTCCCTCTCTAAAGGCAAATTATTCAATATTGCCAATGAAAAGGAATGCATTGCAGATGTTTATGAGTTTATGAAAGACTCATTGCAAGACTCATGTGAAGGACTCATGATTAAGCCAGTCTCTACCAAATACGAATTTGGTAAGAGAGGATGGTTCAAATTGAAGAAGGAATACATGCCAGATGGATTATATGACACCCTCGATTTGATTCCAATAGGTGGATGTAAGGGAGTAGGAAAAAGAATTGGCCTCTTTGGATCCTACTTGATGGGAGTAAGAAATCCAAAAGATGGTAAGATTTACTCTGTATGCTCAGTTGGTACTGGACTCAATAATGAAATGTTAGAGACACTCACTGAAGAAGCATTGGAACAATATATCCCTGCCCCAATTGCCACTGATCCATCAGCATTAGAGGAAAAGTATGGCATTGTTGTCTCCAAGTCTGTCTTTAAACAAGTTGATTGTTGGTTCCAACCAAATCTCGTTTGGGAAATTGCTGGCTCTGATATCCTCTCATCAAGTGGATCATCCTCTGGTTATAGTATTCGTTTTCCAAGATTCATCAGAAAGAGAGATGATAAATCAGTAGAAGATAGCACCTCACTCGAACAATTAAGTGAAATGTTTATTGCCCAAAATTCAAAAAATGAATAAACCATAAATTTGTTCGTCAAACACTTTTTCCTCTCTTCCCAAGGTTTAATAACCTTCAAGTAGAGTGAATGATGATAACTACAACAATCTTTAGCTGGAATTACCGTCTGAATTGTAATGTAGATAGATTGTACGCTGACTTTAATGAACAATTAACCAACCTCTTCATACTAAGAAGAAAATTGTTCAAATTTTGTCTTGATATATTTCAAGAAAACTTTTCTTTTGCTTACGAAGTTGCCTGCTGACAACAATAAAATTTAATAATAAAATTCAAAGGAAGAAGCCAAACATATAGATCAATTCCAAAATGTATTATCTATTATTATTAATCTTCTTGATGATGATATTGAAGATTGTTAACTTGACCAAAATTCTATTGAATCTTTTTTCTGTGTATTTAAAAAATGAGTCAATCCCTCGCTCTCAAAATTATTCCTTTCCTCGATGTTCATCTCATCTTTCCATTGCTCGAATTTCTCGAACAAAATGAGGTAGGTTATATGATGATTATTGTTGTTGTTCAATAATCTTGTCTTATTATTATTTCTTCTTCTACTATATTATTATTATAAAATATATTTTAACTCGGGTGCGATTAATATTTGCGCTTTTTCCTATGATGAAATATTTTGTTATTGTTGTATTATATAATATAGATTTATCCAAAACAACAAGTACAACTTGCTGCTTTTGAATTATCTAAGAAGACTAAAATGTTAAACTTCCAAAAGGAAAAGCAAGAACTTGTTGGTATGACAACAACTATTGACTATCAAAAGGAAGAAAAGGAAATTATGGATCAAATGCAAAACTATAAACAAGTTTGTGAACCTCTTCTTACTAAATTGAAGGACTATAATCAAAACAAGGATAATATCAAAGAAACTCTCCAAGTCTACCTTTCAAATGATACTAGAATTAATCATGAAATGTTGGATAAGCTTTATGATTATGCCAAATTCATCTATGAAACTGGAGATTATGAAACAGCTGCTGCCTTGTTGGCTGATGTTAAACAACTTTACGAATACAATGTTGATAAAGCCTATTTGTCAGCTTGGGGTAAATTGGCTAGCGAATTGATGTGTAAGGAATGGGAAAGTGCTAGTGCTGCTTTGAACGAATTGAAGGATTTGATGGAAAACAGATTCCAACAATTGCTTCAACATGAAAGAACATCAGCAAATACTGCTACCACTGCTTCTGTCACTGCTCCAATGACAAAGGTTGGTCCAGGTATTAAATCTGTAGAATTGGATTTAATCAATGCTAGATGTTGGTTTATTCACTGGTCTCTCTTTGTTGCTTTCTTTGACCAATCTAATTCCTACAAGGCATTGTTAGATTTATTCTTCCCACCTGTTGGTACTCCACACTCACAACATACCCACACTGATTTGACTTCCAACAAGTATATTTCTGCACTTTTCCAAAGTGGATGTGGATATATTCTTCGTTATTTGGCTATCACCATAATTTTAAGGAAACGTAATAAGGTTTACTTGAATGCTTTGGTCAAGTTCATGGAACAACATTTGATTATTAGATCTGATTTCCAACAACAAGATGAACTTTTGAGTGATCCTGTCATTCAATTCATTTATCAATTGTGTGTCACTCATGATTTCAAGGCTGCCCATGAAGCTCTTTTGGCCTCTGAATCCATCGTCAAGAATGATTACTTTACTCATAGCCATGTTAAGGAATTCATGAATCAAGGAAAGAATATGATTTTCGAAAGCTATGCTAAGGTTTCACACTCATTTGCTTATGGTGAATCCTCAAAGATTGATTTGCCTCTCGATGAAGAATTCATTAACTCTGCTGTCAATGCTTTGAAGTTACAAACTCAAGTCCAACTCGAATCTGAACAACACCGTGTGACGGTGAAGAAGACCCTTCCAAATATTTATCAACAAATTTTAGAAAGAACTGAAGACTCTGCCAATAAGACTATTAGTATTTCTAATGGTGCCAAGAATCTTCAAGCTCAAAGACAATCGAAAGAAAAATAAATGATATTTACATCTTATTTATTATGATAATTGTGGAATTGATTTTGAAGATGTGATTGGTTGAACATTTGCTGATTGAATCCATTATTGTTATTGTTCAAGTTATTCATGGTATTTGGATTAATTCCCATATTTGCAATGTTAAGTGGCATGTTGCCATTTCCATTCATATTGCTCATACTGTTCATATTATTCATGTTATTATTCATATTGTTATTCATATTATTCATGTTGTTATTCATATTGTTATTCATATTATTATTCATATTGCTCATGACATTATTTCCATTCATATTCATATTAACGTTCATGGAATTCATATTGTTCATATTGTTGTTCATATTATTATTCATATTGCTCATGCCATTATTTCCATTCATGTTCATGTTCATATTAAGGTTATTATTCAAATTGCTGAGATTTACAGCGTTGTTCATGCCTAAATTATTCATACTGTTAATACTATTAACCAGAGCATTATTGGCCAGTCCAAATTGCCTTGAACCCATCTGTTGATTATTCATTTGAGTGTTAATGACTATTGGCTGTTGCTGTTGTTGTGAATTAGACATGTTCGAGTTGTTAACAAAATTTAGAGGATTATTTGACTGTACGGTTTGAGGTTGTACACTTTCATATTCATCATAATGCTCCTGTTCTGGACTATCATCATAATACTCGTCATCATTACTAATTGGAGGAGCTGGATAATTCTTCTTCAATCTCATTTCATTTTGATTAACCATGAAAGGCATACTCAAGGGTGACATTCTACCTTGGTGATCATTTGGAACAGTTAAATTACCCATTGGAATGTATCTTAGAGAAGCATCTGTTGCCATAAAGGTTTTTCCTTTATCCAGAGAAACTTTCACTTCAACTTCCTCATCCGCATTTCCATCAGGTGTTTCACAAACAATTGTATTATCCTTATGAGGAGAAACATAGATACATCTCGCTCTTTTATCACCAAAATAAACGTAAACATTACTTGGTGCAACAATTTGTTGATTCAAGAGAACCTTAACAAGTTGCCCTCCTTGTACAATACTATATCTAGGACTAACTCTAAGCACTTTAGAAATCTTACTTCTACTGTGGTCAATTTTTTGTTGTCTCTTTTGATTACCTCTATCAGTAATTGTTTCAAAATAGGAGCTATCTACATGATGTACTGGTATTTTGTCTGGTGATAAAAGAGAAAATCTCAAAAAGAATTTTCTTCCATTCATATGAGATGCTTCATCAATTGTAATTGTATCAAAATGCATATCAACTCTTTGTGCATCACCTCTCATATTTGGTTTAGATTTTGATAATACGACTGGATCAAGAATATCTTTTAAAACTTCCTTCTGTTTTGTCTTGTAACCTAATAATGAAACCTTGATGGAATACAATTGATATCTTGGAATTCCAGAAACGTTTACACTAATAATATGTCTAGGAAGAGGTTTTTTGTTTTGTTTACCACCTGGTTGTGGATTTGGTGGTGGTAAATCAAATCCTTCCTCAATCATCATTAAACCCTCTGTATCAATACTAATTGTTCCTGTTGCTGATCCGGTATCAGGAATTACTACTATTCTATCCTTTGGTTTGGCATCCTCATCACTATGATATGAAGATGTTGGAGAATTAAGAGGTTTGAATTGATTGTTTTGACTAGATGATGGTTGTGGAGATTTATAAACACTTCCTCCTTGTTGAGTTGGCTGAGTTAGATTATTTGATTGTTGATGAACAATGTGTGATTGGTGTTGCTGCTGTTGTACAATTTGTGGCTGATGTTGCTGTTGATGATGGGCTTGTTGAACATGCAAGTTGTGTGGTTGGTGATGTTGTTGTGGAACACTTGATTCTGATGGTGGTTGAATTGGAGGAAGTTGAGTAATATTCTCATGATGATTTGGAAGAATTGGATTAATTGGTTGGTGATTCGGAATTGATGAATTAAGAGTACTGAGTATTCCAGTATTGTTATTACTGCTTTGTGGAGTACTGGAGGAAAAAGGCGGAGCACCTGATGGTGAAGAAGAGGAGAATAATCCAGATCCTAAAGTTGGTGTTGTAAGGTTGTTAAAAGATGTTGGAGTTGATAAACCGAAAGGCATTGGTAGTTCGCTACTCGAAGTGAGAGGAAATTGCAAAGAATTCTTTGTAATATTACCAGTGTTACCATTCATAGTTGGAGTATGATTATTATTTGGTGTAGAAAGGGAACCACCTGTAGTTGCAGAAACATATCTAATTGGTGGAGCTGTGGAAGGAGAACTTAGAGGTGTCGAAGAATGGAAAGCAAGACCTCCACTACTACTAGTATTGTGGTGAGATTGGTGATGAGAGAAATCCGAGATATATGGAGCCAAAGTTGTTGATGGGGAATGTTGCAGAGGAGAACTTTCATGAAATCTATGTGGATCCATATTCATGGGTGTACCAGCAGCACTTGGAGAAGTTTCCAATGTAATCGATCTAGATAATGAAGTGATTGGAGAATTCAAATCAAAAATTGCAAATGATTTAGAAGGTGATGGTTGCAAGAGTTGATCAACATCCAACTCTTGTTTAATTAAATCCTTCTTTCGGTTATTTTGTTTCATATTATTGGATGTTGAAGATGGAGGAGCAGATGAAGTTGTTGTCGTTACTAAATTACTTGTTGATGAATGTAAAGTTGATGTAGGATATGGTAGCATATTAAAAACACTACAACTACTAATTGATTAAATAAATTATAACACAAGTCAAATTAAAATAGTAGACTTGGTACAATTGTGGTGGTGGTTTTTTGGTTTGACTTGCTGAAATAATATTTTGACAATTTTTGTTCTTCCTTTGTTTTTGTGATGACTTAGTTCTTCAAAGGAAGTAGAAGTGCACAAGAGCTTGCTTGAAAAACACAGAAACCCGTCAAAATGGAAATGGCAAGTAAAAGTGCTGAAAGTTCTTTTTAGTTGGTAAATTAACGGAACATTAAAAATCAATAAGTTGATGAAAGCATCATCCATTCAACATTTTCGTCACGGATTGTGTTCATAACATTTATATTGGTAATTATGGAAAATAGTCACATGTGTTACCTTCTCTTCTTTTTAAATCTACTTACTTTTAGAACAAGAACTGAAATCCGAACACTTATTGATATTAAATAAATACTACACAACTACTACTACTGGTGTGTGATGATAGAGTTCTCAGAGTTGGTTATGTTGCTGCTTTTTGTTAATCTCAAAGAGCCATAGATTTTAATCTCCTTTTTGGACAAAACTGATTTGGCGGTTTTAAGGTGATCTGTTTGTTGAGGAAACTAGCTAGTTTTTGCACGCGCTTGTTGATGATGAAAGGTGTTGGTTCTATTGCTAAAACATTCACAGTGTTGTGCTTTAGTCGATAAAGAGAGACCTTCTATTTTGACGGAATCAGACTATAAGGCTGTAAACCGATCGTATACCAATCCTTAATAATATAAGTTATTCTTAATTGAATTTCTGTAATGTCGAAATGCGCCAATTTCCCAACTATGAAAGGGGTTTGTTCTAATTGATGTATTCTACAAGATTCTGTTGTCTTGAATATAGGTTATTTGTATTAACCAAGAAATCGTCTTACCCTCTATGAAAATTTTGAAATCACTTTTCTCTATAAATAAAGAGCCAAATCCAACAAATTTCATATTATGATATCGTTAACTTAATGAATAATAATCATACGATATGTTTCTCTAATATCCAGTGTTGTTATTGAGATATGCTTTGTTGAGATTGTGAATTCACGTTCAGATAGTGAAATTTGCTTAAGGAATGAAATCAGTGCTATTGGCGCAAACAATTACCCCTACAATCAGCTTTGGGGGAATTCTGGAATACTTCTACTGATCTCAAAGATAAACGAGGATACAGAATCAAACAAGCACAGACTGTTACCAAATAGCTTGGGATCTCGAACCTGGGAACTTGTTTTCATTAACCTCAAACGTTACTCAACGTAAACAATTCACAATCGGCAATTCAAGTATTACTTGTTTAGTATATATATTCCTTTATTTTTTTGGAGAAAATGCTTAACCTGACCCAGATATTGGGAAGAGGAAGCTATTAAATCTTGAAGCCTTGTATTGATTTGAGCAACATGTTTGCTGACGTAAAAAAAGGGTGTGTTTATAAATTAGTAGAATGTTAACAGTTATTTTAAGTTTAATTAATAGATTTCATCTTTTGGTAATTAATATTAAGTGATTTTAATTGTTTCATTTCACTTATTAATTTCACTCCTTCAATACCAATTCGATTGTAACATATATTAAGTGATTTTAATTGCTTCATTTCACTTATGAATTTGGCTCCTTCATCTCCAATTAGATTGTAAGATATATCAAGTGATATTAATTGTTTCATTTCACATATTGATTTGGCGCCTTCATCACCAATTTGATTGTTATAAATACTAAGTGATCTCAATTGTTTCATTTCACTTATTGATTTGACTCCTTCATCACCAATTCGATTGTAACATATAGCAAGTGACGTTAATTGTTTCATTTCAAATATGGATTTTACTCCTTCACCACCAATTCTATTTCCACTAATATCAAGTGATATTAATTGTTTCATTTCACATATTGATTTCGCACCTTCATCTCTAATTTCATTGTAAGATATATTAAGTGACGTTAATTGTTTCATTTCAATTATTGATTTGGCTCCTTCATCTCCAATTAGATTGTAAGATATATCAAGTGACATTAATTGTTTCATTTCACTTATTGATTTGGATCCTTCATCTCCAATTATATTGTTACAAAATGTAAGTGATGTTAATTGTTTCATTTCACTTATTGATTTGGATCCTTCATCTCCAATTTGATTCTTAGATATATCAAGTAATATTAATTGTTTCATTTCACATATTGATTTGGCGCCTTCATCTCCAATTTGATTGTTATTAATACTAAGTGATCTCAATTGTTTCATTTCACTTATAAATTTGGCTCCTTCATCTCCAATTTGAATTCCACGAATATCAAGTAATTTTAATTGTTTCATTTGAGTTATGAATTTGGCTTGTTCTATAGTGTCAAGCGAGGTTCTATAAAATTTAAGATTAACAATACTATTCATAAATTGACTTTTCATGAATAATTCAATTCTTGTTTCTGTAAATTTTTGTTTAAATTGAATAACAAGTTTTGAACGTTCCTTGATCACATTAAAGAATTGTTTTGAAATCAAGGAACAATTATTCAAAATAAACCACGAATCATCGAGCATGCAAATTATTTCAAAACAAACATCATCTGAAAATATTTCTTGTCGTTTCAGTTTAACCTTTTTTGCTTTCTCTTCCATATTATTTTCCTCCGAATAATTAATTAAATGATCATGATTTGCCAAATCTTGTCTATTTCGTTTGCTCATTTTTTTTTGAATTAATCGTTGGAGTTGGTGTACTCCCTTAACACCCAAAAGAAAATGAAATCACTGAACTGTACCACTTCTTTCTTACTGCTGATCACTCTATTACTGTTGTGTGTATGGTCATCATCTATCGGAGCAGTTGGTTCCTCCACACTCCAACATTTTCTATAAATTATTCAATAGTGAAAAGGAGGAGGGTATTAGTGGTGGATCTAACTTGTTACATTTCTATGCTAGTAATGTTAATTTGTACAACTCTCACATTAATATTATATGAATGTAATTGTTGTCTTATAATTTTATTAATACTGTTTTTGAAGACAAGAACTTGAATATATTGAGTCATGTTTGATTTAATATTTCAAGTGGCTGTTGTCTTCAGTATCAATTGATATTGTAGTTTATTTGAGGAATATTAAGCAAAGTATTCTAATTGACTCGTGTGTACATTAGAGATCTTCTCGAATTGAATCTGGTGCACAGTACAACACAACAAACAACACAACAAATCAAACAAGTACACGTACAAGTAATCAACAGGACAATCCCAAGAAGAGTGAGGGAGCTTATTGTTCCTGGAGATTTGTAAACGTAGGTAACTTGGGAAATTTTGTTTGTTTCGGGGTCCAATTTGCATGAAGGGGTAAATGATTCAACATTTGAACATGTTAAAATATCAAATGTGAAAGCTAGTTTTGCTCCTTCACTTGTATTGAATTCTAAACAAATTGGAAATGATTCACTTGAATATGTAACAAGTCCAAAGAATAGATTATCACTGAATGGTCTTTTTACAAAGGTATTAAGCGTGTAAGTTGTTGAAGTGACCGGATTACTCAATGTTAATTCTGAACCAGTGGAAACTAACTTGGTGAATGGAATTTGAAGATAATTACAACTTTCGTCATAAACTTGTGCATCTCCTAAATACCAAGAACCACTAGTGAATGGACCATTGTTATCTTGTAAACTGGATTGATATTTCAAATTATGAATCCATTCCTCCGATTGACCATCAATATTATTGAATATATTACTTGTCTGTAATTTGATTCCGAAAGTTGGTGATGTATTTACAAATGTTGACGAACAAATTAGTGAGAGAAATACAATGATTGTGCTTATGATTCGTGTAGCTTGTTGTTTTGTCATTTTTATTTGATGTTCTAGATTCATCTTCATTCTTGTCAGTGCCAGCGAACTGACATAGTGGAACTCTATTTAAAATCCATTTGAAAGAACTCCTTTTCTAATTGGCTGTTCTTTTAATTCAATGACAAACTACCTCCAGTCCTCGGTTTTACAACCTCCACAATCACTGAAGGCAATTTCACATAGTTCTGAATGTCTTTCTGCAAAGTTTGTATTCCACAATAAAACATTGGCATCAGCCCCACCAGTAGCAAAGTAATGGCCATCACTGGAAAATCTAGCACATTGAGTTGAGTTTGAATGACCACTAATAGTATACATTAATTGTGCATGCATAAGGTTCCACAATTTGATTGTGTTGTCCTCACCAGTTGATACCAAGTAGTTTCCACTTCTATGGAAATCAATGCCAGTGACAGGATAGTTATGAGCTTCAAATTTTTGCAATGGCTTTCCAGAATATCTTAAATCAAATAAACGAATCGAGTTGTCATTTGAGCAGCTAGCTAAGCTAGTTCCATCTGGAGAAAATCTCACCTTATTAATATAATCGTTATGCTGTCTCAAATCAACAATGCATGATGAACTGTTTGCATCGAATAGTTTAATTGATCTGTCTCTTCCAGCAGTCACTAAAACTCTTCCATCATACGAAATGTCACAACTTAGAGGAGGAAGTGAATGACCCAAATATGAGTTTACATATTGGCAATACTCCAAAGACCAAAGACGAGTTGAGTTGTCGGATGAGCAACTCAGAAGGTAATTTCCAGTCTTGTCAAAAGAAATGTCATTAATAGCTCCCTCGTGACCCTTGATTACATAAGATTCGTGTGGTCTACTATGAGCATCAACAGCAGTGTCAGTTCCTTCAAGACCTAATTTCATTATTCTGATATGTCTGTCATTTCCTCCTGTTGCAATCATGTGATTTCCCTCGTGTATTACTGGAGAGAATTTGACACAATATACTCCTCCGAGTTCATGATGTACATATTTCAAAGGAAACATGCTTCCCTTAATTTTCCACAAGAATAGACTCGAGTCCATACCAACAGAGGCCAATCTAGAACCTTCCGGACTGAAATCAAGACCTGTTACAAGTTCTGAATGACCCATAAATGTCGAATTCAAAGTTGGGTCTCTATCCTTCTTTGTTAATCGATAATTATCTGGCCTCAATCTCTCCGACATTGTGCCTCTGTATCTACCAATTCTATTCCAAAGATTGTCATCGTATTTTTCATTAATTTGATTCCATAATTCCATATCTTCTTCAGGAACAATTTTATCCTCAAATAAAGTTTGATGTTGACTCTCTGCATCCTTCAAGTGTTGCTGTACTTTTTTCTTTTTATGCTTGGCTGAAATATGAAGTTTAGATTTTTTGATATGATGTTGTTTGTATTCACTCTTCTCTGTTAGTGATGGATTCTTTGCCTCATCTTCTTTTCTCTTGCTAGTCTCTAGCACTTGCTTCACCTTTTTCATGGTGGGCGTTTCTGCATTAAGTGGATGCATTTTTTTGTCTTAAAAAAGGCGGCCGAAAATTTTGTACAAGAAATGGCGGCAACTTTATTTCTTTCTCATTGTCTTTTCAAATATTTGCTGTTGTGAATGAATACATCTCTTACAATATAATCGGGTTAAACCAAACCGATAGAGAGTTGTGGAACAATACTGTCCACAACATGAACATTGATTCTCTGAATGTCCTGACATTTCATTGAACATGTTGGTGATTTTCTCCTGTTGGCCGTGAGGAGGCGTCGACAAGGAAAGCATATGAAATAGTAAGGAATTGAATTCAGACTCGTTTGCTTGAATAATTCTTGTTCTGTTTGATTTAATTGACATGATTTTTATTGTGTGGTGAATTGGAGGCAACACATCATTCATGGTATGATTTAAATTCTTGAATTTGATGTGCTCCATCGTAATCTTTTCCACTCGATTGATGTTTCAAACTTTACATTGATGTAGGAGAAGCAGTTGCTGTTGTGGAATGTTTTTTGTAAACTTGTTGAAGTGGTAACATGGCATACTAGTATTTGTTACTTTTCACTTCAACTTGAAGAGAAATCAACACCATAAAAAAATGTCTGAACAACACCATCACTCACTGATGAATTTACCAACAGAGATTCATCATGAAATATTCAGCTACTTGGATTATGTTCGTGATATTTGTTGTGATCCAATACTTTTCCAACCAACAATTATCATGCCATCTACTTTGGAGGAATTTGAAGAAAATTTCTCCTCGGAAGAGTTTTTGGATTTTGATCATCCAAGTAAAGTACCATTCTTTCTTGCATGTAGATCATTGTTACGATCTGTAAAATCATTCAAGCCTACCATGTTGAACTTTACTATGTTCTCTGTTTGGAGACGTTGTCGATATAGTTTGGATGAAAGTTATCTTCAACAATTGAACGGCATTGTTCCTTGGTTTTATGAATCAAATAATAATGGAAAAAGTGCAATAGTTTGGTTGAATGAAATTTTAGAATTCTGTAAGAAAATGAAATGTCTATGCCAAACAGATCCTTTCAGACAGGTTGAATTTATTTCCTTTTCCTCTAGGTTGGGTAAAAACCATTGTGCATTTCCATATTTTAATTTTGGTTCTATTTTCTCACAAATTTTTATTCTGATACCAACAATCAAATATGTACTACTGAGAATCAATCAAACAATTCTCAAAGATTCTGCATTAACATTTGTGCAATCTTCTGTAGTTTCTAATAGAACCTATTTTACATACAGCAATAATATATATAGATCTGCCTTGGAACATGAACAAAATCCAAAAGCTCCTATTGAGATATTGAAAAATGTATTTCCAAACAGGTACCCCAGAAATATTGAAATTTTCCTCTATAATTCAATAGTTTCCAACGATTTTGTGCAGGCAAACTACTTAATTGATAATTTTAAATTGGATATCAATGCATTTTCTTATATTTGGAACGTAGAATCCAATATTCTTACTGCAATTGACTACACATTCTTTACTAACATTGTACTTATATTGCACAATATTTACAAAAAGTATCCCTATTTTAGAGTATTTAGGATTCCAATTGACTCTATAGATTGCTTGGAACTAGTCAAATCATTTCCGTTTGTGGACATTAATCCTTCTAAAAATATTACCAGAGCTTTTTTAGAAACTATTACCCAAAATGATATTCCACTTATTTATAGAGATTACAATATTAATCTCTCTAAACTTGGAACGCTTAATTTCTCTGCTAATTGCTTTCCTAATAATTTACAATTTGAAAATAGTAATAATAGTGATATTAATGGTGTATCTCCTTCAATGCTAACCAAGAAGCAACCTGATTTTAATGCAAGGGACAAGTTTGGAAATAATATCCTACATTATTACTTTATCGCTGGTTATGGCCATCCTGAATTCTGGGAACAGTTACCAAAAGAAGAGTTTGAAAGATTATTAGAGGAACCAAATAAGTTTGGTGTATCTTCTGCTGAGATTGGTTTGTTAAGAAAGAATAGATTAAATTTTGGACAATTTAAGAAGACGCTTAATTATGAGGGATTAGTTCAAACCTTTGGCATGCAACCCCCTAACCTATTATTTTTAGATGGATTAATAGTGGATGCAAGAATATTGCTTTCAGTTATTGGTGATGTGGACGAAACTTACAACTATGAAGATTACAAAGATATTGAGTACAGAGATGAAAATGGGAAACATTTAGTGCATTACTCAAAAAATTGTTTTGGTGATTCTTTGCCGAAACATTTGAAATTACCATTGCAAGATATAATTTTTTGTAAAGATAATAAGGGTACAATGCCTATTCAAACAAGCAATAATTATTATTACCATTCTTTAGACAATTTGGGATTGCTTGACAATATACCTAGAGTGAATTTTGTATCACACCAAGATGAATTTGGAATGCTTAGAATTTTATATCAAATGGTTGATTCATACTTAAATACGGACAAGATGGTTTGTGAGGCATTTTCTGTTGGATTTGATTACTCTTCTGGTCAACCAGAGTTACTATCATTATTTTCACATTATTCAGATGGTCGATATCATTTTTCAATTGATAGAAGCATTATGAAACAACTTCGAGGTATTAACTGCTTTGGATCAGTTGATGGAGATGATATTTCACATTTTGTTTTGAGGTTTTATTTCAACTTTATCAAAACAAAAGAGGGATGGTATGTAGACAACTCAATTCTCAAGGTGCTGATATCTAAGGGCTTGAGATTTGATATTGTTCGAAACTCTAAGGGACAAACTGCATTCGATTTGTTTGATGAGTTCACTGGAACTCCAACCATGATGAGGAGTGTGGCTCAAGTAAAGAAGGCTTGTAGGAGAGGAGTAACCAAATCAAAAGCATTGGCCAAATTCACCATTCAACACTCTCCTAACCTTCCTCAAGAGTTGATTTTGGAAAAAAGTGAAACACACCTAGTTGTTAAATCCAACACTGTTTCTTCTTTCCGTATTCATATCAAAAGAAGCTTGTATTTTGAAAAGAAACCTAATCAATAAGATTCTGATAAGGGTGTTAACTAACAATTCTAAAGATAAAAAGAAATATTAATATCCTAGTATTAATAATATTGTTCGCCTAACCAACAGTGAACTCTGTTTCCTTGTAACTCCTTTGAAATCGTTGAACTTGGAACTCAAGAAACTTGAATTAATAGTAAAACACTATTGAACCAACAGCATAACACAAAAAAACAAGAACACAAACCACTAAACAAAATGCCTTCTCTCTTTTCATCAGCCACAAAGAAGAAAAATACAGAAGGAGAAACACCCGAAGAAGTTTTTCCAACTTCCCTGAGATCATCATCAAGAAACGTTATTGAAAGGAAAGAAGTTAAAAGAATGAATGTTGTTAATGGATCAGGAACTGGAGCACTTATTCGTGCCAATCACAAAGAAGAAGAGGGATATGATCAAGAATTAGTTGACCACAGCGAAAATATTGTAGATTTAGTTATTGTAATGGATTGCACTGGATCCATGTCAGGTGAAATAGAAGCTGCCAAAACAACAGTACTTACAATTTTAGATAGTTTAAAGGATCACTTCAAAACTGATTTGAGATTTTCTGCCATTAGTTACAGAGATCACACTGATGATTATGCTGTGAGAGAATTCCCATTTACAAAGAATTTCGAGAAGGCCAAAGGATATATTGATACCATGTCAGCTCAAGGTGGAGGTGACCATCCGGAAGCTTTGGCTTCAGCTCTGAAAGTTGTCAATGAATTGCCATTTAATAAGAAGGGCAAAAAGATCTGTATTTGGATTGCTGATGCTCCACCCCATGGTATGAATAGCAGCGGTGACAGATACCCAGAAGGATGCAAGGATGAGGAAGGAAATGTCATTGATTGGATTAGATTGGGATCTGATTTACAAGAAAAGGGTGTTGTTTTCTATACATTAATTTGTAAAAGAGCTCAAAATGATCAACAATTAGCTCTTTTCATGGATTTCTTGGCCACCAAAACCGATGGCAAATGCATGCTATTGACAAATGCCAACAAGTTACCAAACCTAATTATTAATGGCTCCATTGAAAATGATGAAATGGATCAACTTATTGCCCAAAAGATAGAAGAATTAGGAGAAGATAAGGTGAAACAAATGAAAGAAGATGAGCTAATTGAAAATATTCAAAAACTTTCTAAAGATGCCAAGATTAATCATGTTCAAACCTATGAAGTAGTCTCGTCGAATACTAAGAACCTTATGGAATGTAAATCTTTATCAGCTGTAAATAGAAATCTGTATTCTACTGGCTCCAATAGAGTCGAAATGAAGGGTGCCGAATCAGAATCAAGTTTCGAATACGGTGCTCAATCAAGACAAGCTCCAAAGCTTGAACAATACAAGAAAGCTTGCTCTAGAAAGATGAACTCAATGAATATGAAATAAACCAAATGGAAATATATTTTTTTTAATGAAACAAAGCTAAACTTGATTGTGGAGTTGGAAAGGTATTATTCCAATTTAGTGTTTTAATGATGAATTGGATAGATATGGGAATACTCTATGTTCAATCATGCTTTGTAAGTGATTGAATTTGCTTTGTGAGTACTCCAAATGTTGCCGTATTAATAGTCCTCTAATTCATTTCCTTAAAGAAGATAGGAGTTACATCAATTGCCGAAGAATCATCACTAAAACATAAAAATAGATTTAAAAAAATACCGTATTCAGCTCCATTCCCACATAAACTTCTTTTGCCACTTGTAAATATTTACATTACACCCTCTCGGACTCGTGACGAGTGTACATCACAGGATTGAATTGTGTTGCATAACCACGTGAAAATCCAAAAAATTGGGCAACAAGTTAATTCCTTCATACAAAAGAGTACTCATTATCATTCATCACTCTCATCATCAAATAGGAATGTTGGATATTACTCATCAATTACCTCCGGAAATATTGTCAAAAGTATTTTCATATGTAGCTAGGGAACCATTGTATTTGTATTGCTTTTCAAATTTACCACTCGTATGCAAGACTTTTAAGAAATTATTGGAAATGGCAATTTGCGTTCATCATGATGAGGGATGTATTGATGATCAATTAGAGTTGTCATTTTCAACAAATATCAAATCAACCTTTCAACATAATTTAGTGGTTGATTTTCTGACTCTTCCAATGCTATCAAAGATTGTAAACTCAAAAAGATTGAGTGATGTTTTGAGTGGTGTTTCTCAAATTTCAATTTTGGACCTTTCTAATCAGAGATTAATGTTTCAAGCACTACTAAAACAAAACATCAATGAATTACTCAATATTTTAGAGAGTATCTATTTGAAAGGAAAGATAATTAGCAAGATTTATTTGTGTGGATGCTTTTCAATCGGAGAATCAATTCAAATGACTAATTTTGTAAAAAGTTTAATAACCATGCATAGAAAATCCACTTCAAAGAATCTATACATTGACGTTTCTCCTCTCTTTTCTCACAATGAGGCATCTAATGAAGCAACAGAATATTTGAGCTATAATATGGCTGTCACAGAATTGCAAGCAGAATTTGAAGATCAGGGTATTCAAATAGTAGATTGGTTTGATTTATTATTCAATCCTATTGAAAGTGACACTGAGTTTTTAGAAAGATTGACCTCTGTAGATCCAATGAATATTCCACACGTAAATGTAAAAGGGTGGACTCTTCTACATTCCTCAATACTCAACAGCTATTTCAAAAGTACTCAATACCTCTTGAGTTTACCACAAGTTAATGTAAATATTTTCAGTGTTGCAAGTTTCTCCAATGATGACACAATTCGAATTGAACATGATGAAGATGAAATTTCTCCAATTCTTCACAAAACTGTTCCTACTGTAGATTTCAAATTGAAATACAAAGGCACACCATTATTCTTTGCCTTATATAAGTTGACTTCTAACACTCAATCCTCCTCCTCTAAAGATGGTGAAGTTGTAGATATGCTTATCCAAAGAGGAGCATCTGTTAATATTGTAGATAATTATGGAAGATCATTCCTACTGATTGCTTTATCATATGGTTTTCCATTTGATTTTATTACTCATATTGTAGAGAATTTTGGTCAAGTGCACCAATGTGACAACAATAAGAATAGCATTTTCCATCAAATATTCTATTCTCCATCTCTATTGAAAGATACAAGGAAAACCAAAAAGGTCTTGGACTTCCTCTTCACCAAAGATTCTCTATTGAGTAATCAAGCTAACGCACCTGGTTTATTACCTATTCAAATTCCTTTCCTCTTTTCCAATATGAAAAACATTCTCAATAAGGACTGTGCTTCAGAGTTAGTAATTGCTATTGCACATTTCATCAAATGTGTAGATGTAAATTTAGGATTGGAAGCATCCACCATGTATATTAATATGGCTATTGATGACTGCCTAACTCTTATCAATGAGTCTAAATTTTCCAAAAAGAAAATGTTTGTCATTACAAACAAGATATTTATTGGGCTATTGAGAATTAAACTAGATATTTCCTATCATATTGACAAGACAGATATTAATCAAGTAAGAAATGAATTTATGAGATTGGATGACGAGTTGGGTCATAATGTTCTTCATAGAATGAAAAAATTGGATTGTATCAAGTCATTCTTTAAATTTCTAGAGCTAGATAGAGTATCCTATTACTTTTATATTAATAATCCAGATGTTAATGGAAATACTATCCTCCACCATTTAATATCATCGAGTGAAAATGAACTTCAACTCTCGAACGATGTCGACAGAATAGTTGAAGAATTATTTGGAGATGTAGGATATAGAAACAAGGAGGGAGAAACACCAACATCTCTTTCAGCTTTGAACGGATACTATGCAACAGTTCAGTAAGTTTTTCGAATATTTTTGTAAACTATATAATTATTTCAGTTTTATGCTTTCCAATCAACAAACAGCTCACTACTCTGAGAGACAAATCATTGCCCACAACGATAATATACTTCACATTCTAAGAAGTAACAGAGAAAGTGCTTCCAAGAGTTCTGACAATAAGAGACCCTGCCATTCCATCAATTCTTGTATCAAACTCATTGAACAACAAAACGAAATGCTCATTCAAAATTCCAGAAATCCAAAAACCAAATCCATTAATTTAGCACTCCTCGAGGAGGAATTAAGAGGAGACAGCTACTCTGATGATAGTAGCACCTCATCAAGAACTAGCTCTGCACCCTCACTCTCTCTCATGGATGTCATCAATCTCAGCAAGGAAAAGAAACAATCATCCAAGAAGAAAGCTCAAGCCAACAAGAGAAACAAGAAGAAGAAAAGCAAGGAAAAAGACTTTGCCCTCGTCAAGTAAATATTTTACCAACACACTTTTATCCCACTATTCGGATTAAACTAATAGTCGTCATCATGATGCAAATAATATTGGACAAGTATTCGGATAATTATTATTGTGAAGAGAAAATCTTTATCAAAAAAGCAATGAATACGAAGAACAAGAAGGAACAATAACAATAAGAAAAAAATGTCCACAACATTCCTTGGTATTGTCATTCATTTTGCCAATCCTTTGAATGGCGAGAATCAGAAATTACTTCTCGGAAAGAAAATCAACATTAACGATTATGATCACTTGATCACTCTGATAAAACAAAAGATTAATGAGAGTAATTCATCATCGAGTATTGAATATAATTTTTATAACGTCTTGTTGGAGGTGGAAGATGTAAATAGTAAAGGATCGTTTCATAGGCTAACGAATTTTGATGAATTAATAACAAACAAAGACAAGGCTATACAAATTAAAGTTTCATCAGTTGAAATTGTTTCAAAGAGTAAAGAAGCTAAACCAACAGAAACTTCATCTCCTACCGATCAATCATTAACATTCCGATTGAGTCAATGTGCCAATGATGAATTTACTGATTATCAAGAGGATTTTGAAGATAAATTAATTTATGGAGATGATTTATCGACAGTGGAAAATAATGCACAAGCACAGAGAACTGCCAGATGGAATGGAAGATACGAACCAACAACACTATTGGGATCTGGAACTTTTGGAAAAGTATTTCTTTGTGGAGAGTATGCATTTAATGGTACTCATAAAGGAACTGTTGCTGTGAAATTGATTAATTTATTAGGAACTGTTGAAGATTTCAATAGGAAAATTAAGGTTAGTTTTCTTTTTGAGATTTATAATGACTCTTTATTAGGAAGCCCTCTTCATGTTAAAATTGAAACACGATTCTATTATGCCATGTTTGGACTTGTTTGAAATTTATGATAAGGATACAACAGAACAATCGTTGGCAATTGTGTCTCCATATTATATTCATGGTGATTTGATGAAACAATTGCAAACACAAAAGGAAAAGAAGGAACCACTTCCAGAGGAAATTATTTTTTCAATCACAAAAGATATACTCAGTGCTTTAACATATTTACATTCTAATGTTGGTGTGGCACACAGAGATATTAAACCAAATAATATTTTCTTGGAAAAGATCAATTTGGGAAGGAAAACAGTCAAGATGGTTCTTGGAGATTTTGGAATAGCTCGAGAAATGACAAGTGAAACAATGAAAAATGCCACAACTGCAGGTACACCACTCTATCTTGCTCCTGAAGTCAATTTTGGTAATTACAATTTCAAATGTGATATTTATTCATTAGGTGTTACCCTATATCAAATGCTAAGCTTGGATTTGGAAACAAATTTGATTTCAAAATGTTTTTCAAACCATCCTTTAGATACATTACAACAATCTTCCAATGCCAAGTACATTTCTGATTACACAGAACAAATGATTATGAGAAACTATCCAAAAGAAACCAAAACACTGAAGAAACTGAAAGGTAAGCAATTCTCTTAATAATGAGATTTTTAATCTTTTCAAAAAGAAATGATGTTTTTAATGTTGACATACAACTACAAAAAGAGACCTAGTGCCAAATACTTCCTAGAGCAACTTGAAAAGAAAGGAATTAAGCAGTTATTTGGATTCAACAAATAAATATCTATTTATCAATTTTAGTGATATTTATTTTAGTTGAATTATGAAATGCAACATGTTCTACTCTTTACAACTTTTCCTTTTGGCTCACTTTCAGTTTCACTCTTATCTTCTGCAGTGTAATTTATAATTGGAGCTACAATTACCTTAGTAGCACCTTCCAATTGTCCTTGAGGAAGTTGCACTCCAACCAACATGGCAGCAAGCTTGATAAATGATAAATTTACCATGTCACCAGTTTTAGCAGAAACAAAGAAAGAAGATAATTTGTGATATCCTGCCCATTCATCGTGGGTTTCTCTTTTGACTTTTCTTTCGTGACTCAAATCACACTTGTTAGCAAATATACAAATAACTGGATCTTTAGATTTTTCAGAACTCTTTCTTCCTTCATAACTATCAGAGAAAATATGTTTCACGTATTTTAACCATTCTTCCAAGTTTTTAAAGCTTTCCAAATTTGTAATATCGTAAGTAAGGATAACAGCATCGGAACCATAAATATAACTAGACAATAATTTTGATCCCAAACTTTGACCCTCTATTATTTTGTGAGTTAGATCATTAAAATCAAAAACACGTACCAACATCCCAAATTTGAAAGCAAACTTCAATCTTTTTGGTTTTCTTTTGTGATCCCTCTTCAGATGACTCGGTATGGGCTGCTTGTTGAGCAGGAATTTCGGCAACTATCGAAACATTCTTGATGAACCAATCAACACCAACAGTCCTTACATAGGATTGCTGGAATTCGTCCTCAGTAAATCTTCTAATTGTTGATGTTTTACCAACAGTACCATCTTATCATCAACGGAACGTTACTAAAATATTTAAATTTGATATTACATACCACCAACAATAATCACTTTGTATTGATATTTATTATCACCATCGTCATCACTATCATCTTGAACTTCTTCAACTTTTAAATCCTCAAACTCGGCTTCTACATTGCTCTCCAGAATTTTACTGCCCGACATTTGTTTAGTCAAGTTACTTTGGCTCATTTTTTTCTTATTTAAATGATGATATTTAAAATTCGTAAAATGAAGGCGGGAATCTCATCCAACACCTTTTGAGGTCGACAAATAAGGATCGACCCCTATATTGGTAAATTTGAGTGCTTTTGTTAGACCAAGAAGAGATTCCACATTTTATATTTTCATGTAAACTTTATATTCCTGGATGTAGTACTAATGTAAAATCAACTTTTATTCATTATTTACCTTATTATTGATAACTGATTGGAGAACTTGATTAGTTAAATCCTTAACAACAACACTAGCTCTAGATCCAACCTTTCCAATAGTTTCATTAATTTCAGTTTCATGCTTGTTAAGCAATGGTTCAACATATTGGTGATAGAGCATTGTGGCACCTCTTGTTTGTGGAGCAATCAACCAAAGAATAAAAGCAATTTTAATTTCCCAATAGAATGGAATGAAAGTAACAATGATCAACAAGTAGTATTCAATAACATGAACAAAAGAATAAATAATCCAATAAGTTCTATTTTTCATATTAAATAAATATTCATATTATATGATATTGATCAGTACATCATCATTATCAATTAATTAAATACGAAAGTAAATTAAATATTCGGAAAAAGTATTAGAAACCTACAACCACTGTTTATCATCATCTCCACCAGGTGATCTGATTGCCTTGAAAGAAGCATAAGCAGGTAAGAGGAATGCAATCAAATGGCAAATAAATTGAGAAATGGCAGAACTGTTTTTCATCAATTAATTGATCAGCAAAACATTTTAAATTTTGAAAATTCCTACCTGAACAAGTATTCGACACTATCGGAAGAAACAGCTCCATCTTTTTCAACATAAACTACTTTAACATTGGCCGATGATGATTTATCTTCAGCAGCAGCATTTACAAATTGGTGATTCAAATAAGCTAAACCACAACAGACAAGAGCAGTAGAAGCAAGAATTGATGTTTTCATTTTTTTTTGATTGTTGATTGATGGTTAAACAGAGCATTGTAAAACACTTCAATTTACATGTATTCACTTCTTGGGATTCAGATAGAGTTTGGTCCTTTTAATTGGTGGACTTGTAATAAATTTCCTCTTGCAAATTGACCATTGAAAATTCAACAAAGTTTAAATTGAGAGTACACCATGAATTGAATAAGAATCTAATGATTTCAATTCTGAACCATCTCATAAAAATGAATTGTTTTTGTTTGCGATTTCAATCAATTTCAATCATTGAATAACTAATTTATTTCTTCAGTAATTGTTCTGCTTCTTCTTGAGTTATTTCTCTCAGAATATCTTTTGAAACTATTCCTCTTTTGAGTGTGAATAATCTATCCTGTCCAATTAACCAGAAATACCCTCTGTCATTGTATAATCTATACACATCTCCTTTCTTTACAGGGAGGTAAATATTTGACAAGTCTCTTCCAATACTATCCTCTTCAACAATTACCCATTTCTTTGCCTTAGAGTCGTGCATAAACCCAACGTATTTGTTAGCTTCCTTTGGTTCTGGGTTTGCTGCTTTTTCAACACTTCTGAATAATTTACACAATTCGAAAGGAATTTGAGACTTGTCCATAATGGAAATGGATTCTTTCATTTGAGAGAAATCAATGGCTATGGAAAAATCATTTCTGATATCTTCAGCTTGGTTTCTCTTGTATTCCTTTGCTTCTTCTTCAGTGATTTGAGTAAATTCGAATCCATGTTCTTGTAACAAACACATCTTTTCCTCATCAAGTATTGGGACATCACCATCTCTATTACAATTCATAACTATTTCATAACCTTGATTGACTGAATACTTGTTGGAGGAATCGTTGCTTCCTTCAACTTGATACTCAGCAAAAACAGGTTCAAGCAAAACACATTTCAACAAGTTCTGTAATCCATCAATGAATTCACTTCTATCAATTTTTTGGTCATTATTCAAATCCATAAATTGGAACATCATGGCCAAAGCTTTGTTTCTCTTTTCTTGAGTTGGTGGTACGACAAATTCCATTGCAACATAATACGAAATATTTCCATTACTCACCAAACATGGTGCCATTCTCTTTGTTCCTGCCTTTTGCCACACAAAGTAAAATAAATCTTCGAGAAATTCGGCAATTTCCTCATTGGATAGTACCATATCTTTATCCTTATCCAATTTTTCAAAGAACTTTGAGAGCTTATTGTTCTTTGGCAAATTACTTGCTTGGTATTGAATGCCCTTAGAGAGATCCTTGTGGAGTTCTTTAATCAGTGATGTAGCTGCTGAATTGCCCATGATTATTAAATGCTATTTGTTTTTGTTTATTAAGTGTGAATCATCAACGCTATTGCTTCTTTTCATCTTTGATACATCATCCTCAACCGCGGCAATCTTCCAAATGTGAGATTAAGGCGCAGGACTCCTTCCAGATTGGGTATGGACATTAAGAAATTATTGTGCTGACTTAATGAATCCATTCTAGAAAATCGTGCTCCATTCCTCATCAAGTTTCTGAATCAAGGCAATCACCGGTACACAATTTGAACAATTTAAAAAAAATATTAAAACATCAAACAGTGCAATGAGGTGCGATGACCGCTTCCTAGATTAAAAACCAGTTCAAATATTGTCAAGTTTGAATTTGGCAAAAGTAATGAAAACTAAGAGCCGTTATTGGCATTGTAATAATGAGAATGGTGTCTTTTGCATAAATAACTCAACCACTATGGAAGGGACGTTTCAACAAAAATTGACATTTGTGTGAACAATGTTAACGGCAAAATCAAGAAAAAAACCACAACAATGCAAGCAAGTTTATTGACAATTTATTGTCTGTTCTTTTTCATTGCCGTAAAAGTTGTGAATGCCCAAACGTGCACAGCCTCTTCTTTGATCTCCAATTTTACATCCAGTCAAGCTTTATCCGTACGATGCCAAGTTGGTTATGCTGCTGACACTCATCAATTACAATGTAGACCTTACGATGTTGTCTTTAATGAAAATTATGGTAAGCCATGTAATTTCACAAGTGAATGTTTATTGTCATTTGTGTGTAGTGATCTATCAAAGATTTGTGTTCCTTCCAAATCAAGAAAACTTGGGGAGCCATGTCTTGCAAGAGAAAGCTGTGTTGCTGACCTCGCTTGTGCCAATGGGATATGTGCACCACTTGTTGATAGTTATGAAAAGAAATTAGGAGAAAAATGTAGATACTCTGACTATACAACTAACAAGTATTACTACTGTGCAAGCCCAAATAAGTGTGACTACACAACCTATCCTAATTACTATTGTTTTGAGAATGTTTACAATGGTGTTGGAGGTTTTTGTGGTATCAATGAAACCTCTTTCCAATTTGTTCTTTGTAATCCTGGGTCTCTTTGCAATTCTAAAACTCAAAAGTGTGTCACAACCTATTACAATGCAACACTTGGTGATGCATGCAATACGTTCACAACAGATTCCTTCATTGATTGTAAATCTCCATTCTATTGTGATGCTGGAAAATGCTTTGCTTCAGCATTTGTTGGAGCTGGTGAGTCATGCAATTACAAAAATACTACTTCATATATCATGAATTATTGCAATAGTAATTTCTTTTGTGGTCCAGGATCAAAGTGTGCAACATCAATTTCATCTCCGTTGGGTGGTTATTGTGGACTGAATGGTACTGATTACTACTCTTGTGCTTCTGGTACTGCTTCTTGTTATATTGATAAGTGTGTTCCAAATGTTAAGTCGAACGTTGGTGGATTGTGTGAAATTGTAAACTCTACAGGATCATTTTCTTGTAACTCTTCATTATATTGTTTCAATAATACTTGTATGGAAAAGGGTAATTTGGGTCAAAGTTGTGAACACAATACTAATTCATGCAACTTGGGTTTAGTTTGTAGATCTGTGCTTCTTGGGAGTAGTCCAAGAACATGTGAAAATCCTGGCAAGAAATATGATAATTGTACATCAGTATCTGATTGCCAAAGAGAATTATTTTGCAAAAGATCTAAGTGTACTAACCTGAATGGAGATCCTGTTGGATCGACATGTACTTTCCACTCTGATTGTGATTCTGGATTATGCTTGAATAACATCTGCTCATTGAATTACAATGAAACTACATGTTCAAGTGACACAATTTGTTCGAATTATGAGTCCAAGTGTTCGTGTGGTTCAGGGAAGTCAACATCAAACAGTTCAGGAAAATGTGCTAGTCTGAAGAGATGTAACGCTCTCCAAAGCAATATCAATGTCTGTCTTGGTAACAATGCAAGAGGTCCTCTTTTGACAACCATCTTTGACAAGTACAGTTCTGTTCACAAGGCATGCGCCAAAGAATTCTCTCAATATTATTCATGCTTAAGAATTGGATTGACCAATGCAGGAAATGTTCCTGCTTTACCCATTTCTGGTTTAGATATTAATGCAGATTTCGATATTGACCCAGCTCCTACCAAGTTTTACAAGTGTGGTGCTACCATTAGTTTAGGTACTAATACATGCTCAGGAAATGGTGATTGCGTTGCTGATGAAGTGTGTAAATGCTACTCTGGGTACTTTGGATCATATTGCCAAAGTAAAGTTATTCCAAAGCCATCAAATCCAATTGTACCAAACAAGTCCCTAGGTAATAATAATGGAGGAGGAAGTAATAGAAATGAAACTAATCCTACTTCAGGATTTGCTGCAAATAATTCGAAAGAAAATCTATTGCTGCTTACCTTTAACATGATCATCTTGTTTCTGGGTATCAGTTTCCAATAAAACTTAAAATAAATATCCTTATTAAACTTTCCATGTTACAAACAGCCAACCTTATATACAACGAGGAGTTTAAACATCCACTTTTTTAACGAATTAGTAATAGCGTGTTCAGGCAAGTTCGGTTCCTGCACTTTGCGTATTTTATACCACTCCGTATAAACGCCCAAATGTGGCAATGAGAATATCACTACAATCTATTCGCACCTAAAGCAAGGATTAGGAAACGATTCTTTTTGGCTTGCTTTTCTCGTCGCACATGTTTTTTGTTTCACACTAATTTTTTGTTTTAGCTCATTTCTTGCTTTAGTATCTTTCTGAGGTGTGTAGTTTGTAGTGCCAACGACGTGACCAACAGTGTGTTAAGATTCTTCCCTCCAAAAAAAAAATGAAAGCATGTTTTTTCGTTCTACTCTTGCTCTGCATCTTTCTGTTCAGCCTTGCAAGTCAAATTGACTCACAAAGCCTTCAATATAATATCAGCACGGTTGCAGGTGGTGGTTCTATTGTGGGTGATGGTTTATTAGCTAATGAGGCTATAACAAGCTACCCGTGTCAATTGGCAATTAGTTCGATTAGTGGAGATTTGTTTTTTGGAGAGGTGGTATCCAATAGGATTCGTAAAATTACATCCTCAACTGGTGTGATATCTACTATTGCTGGAACTGGAACTGGTGCATATGGTGGAGATGGCTCCATGGCTACTGCTGCTCAATTGTTTTATCCTTATGGTGTTGCTCTAAGTTTGGGTGGTGAAATTTATATAGCAGATTCGAATAATAATAGAATTCGTAAAATAGCTACAAATGGTATTATTACAACAATAGCAGGAACTGGAACACGTGGATATGATGGAGATGGTGCTTTGGCCACAAGTGCCAAGTTGAATTTTCCTTCATCCATAGCAATTAGTGCAACCAATGAAATTTATTTCACAGACCAATTGCAATCATAGGATTCGAAAAATAGCAACTAATGGTAATATCTCAACAATTGCAGGAACTGGAACTGGCAGCTATGGTGGTGACAATGCAATTGCAACAGGTGCACAACTTTATGCACCTGCATGTATTGCAATAGATTCTAATGGTGAATTTTACATTTCCGATTCAATGAACCATCGTATTCGAAAAATAGCTACTAATGGTATTATTACAACAATAGCAGGAACTGGAACACATGGATATGATGGAGATGGTGCTTTGGCAATTAATGCACAATTATACAGCCCCACGGGGGTTGTTGTCAACTCAAATGGTGATGTTTATATTGCTGACTCAGGTAATAACAGAATTCGAAAAATCTCAAAAGGATACATCTCAACAGTAGCAGGAAATGGAATAGCTGGATATAGTGGAGATGGTGGACTATCAACAAGTGCTCAATTAGCCACTCCCCAATCAGTTGCTATTAATTTAAATGGCGAGATTATAATTGCAGATTCTAATAATAATAGAATTCGTAAAATAGCAACTAATGGAAAAATTTCAACAATTGCTGGAACATCATCATTTGGAAATAACATACCAGCTACTTCAGCATCCATCTCACCAGTTGGTGTTCCCACTCTCTACAATAATAAGATAATTTTCGCAGATGAATCTCAAATTAGACAAGTAGACCTTGCAACTAATATCATTTCATTAATATCTGGAACTGATTATTTGGCAAGTCCTACAGCAGCTATGTATTTCAACAATGAATTATATATTCTCTATTCAAAACTCAATTTAGATAAGCCAAAGATTAATATTGTTTCAAGAGTTGTTGGTTCTGAGGGATATAATGGCGATGATATTGCAGCCACTAGTGCACTGTTGAATTATGCTCGCTCAATTGCTGTCAATTCAAATGGTGATGTTTATATTGCTGACACTTATAATAACAGAATTCGTAAGGTCTCATTTTCAACTGGAATCATTTCAACAGTAGCAGGAACTGGAATTGCTGGACAAAATGGTGATGGTAATTTAGCTACAAGTGCACAACTAAATTTTCCTTCAGGAGTTGCTGTGAGTTCAAATGGTGATATTTATATTGCTGACACTGAAAATCATAGAATTCGTAAGATAGAAACTAATGGATACATTGCAACAGTTGCAGGATCTGGAGCATCTGGATATAGTGGAGATGGTGGGCTGCTAACTAGTGCTAAATTCCAACAACCTCAAGGAGTGGCTGTGAGTTCAAATGGTGAGATTTATATTGCTGACACTGAAAACCATGTGGTTCGTAAAATTTCAACTTCGAATGTACTTTCTACAATTGCTGGAACTGGTTCTTATGGATACAATGGTGACGGTGGATTGGCAATTACTGCAAAATTATTCTCTCCCATAGGAGTTGCAATAAGTTCGAGTGGTGAAGTTTTTATTGCTGATAATAACAATCACAGAATACGTAAAATTGCAAAAGATGGCTATATTTCAACAATTGTTGGCACTGGTTTGAATGGGTATGATGGAGATGGCGATTTGGCTACGAATGCTAAATTGGGTAATCCTCAAGGTGTGACTCTAAGTCCAACTGGTGAATTGTTTATTGCTGACCAAAACAATCATAGAATTCGTAAAGTAGCAAGTAATGGATATATTTCAACTGTTGCTGGTAATGGTAACTTTGGATTTAGTGGAGATGGTGATTTGGCAACAAATGCTGAATTGAATAGTCCTTCAGGAATAGCATTCAGTTCCATTGGTACCATGTATATTGCTGATCGTTTAAATAGAGTAATTCGAAGAGTAATCTCTGGTAATATATCCACCATTGCTGGAGGTGTTGGTGATGGAGGACCAGCTACTGGAGGATACATTCAAGCACAATCATTTGACATTTCTTCAACTGGTGAGATTTATATTGCTGACACTGAAAATCATAGAATTCGTAAAGTTTCAACATTGGGTAAAATTTCAACTATTGCAGGAACTGGTGCAATGGGATACAGTGGTGATGGTGGATTGGCAATTACTGCAAAATTATCCTCTCCCGTAGGAGTTGCAGTTAGCTCAACTGGTGAAGTTTTTATTGCAGACCGAGACAACCATAGAATTCGTAAAGTAACACTTTCTGGTATCATTACAACCATTGCAGGAAATGGAACTAGTGGTTTTAATAGTGATGGAATTGAAGCAAAATTTGCTCAATTGAATAGCCCTTCCTCAGTCACAATTTCAGGTGGTGAAATCTATATTGCTGACACAAACAATCATAGAATTCGTCAAATATCCAATACTGGTATTATTAAAACAATTGCTGGAAATGGATTTGGTGGATATATTGGTGATGGTGTATTGCCACCTAATGCTCAATTGAATAGTCCTTCAGGAGTTGCAATTTCTTCCACTGCTGAAATTTACATTGCAGAAAATAAGAGAATTAGAAAACTTACAGCGTTCTGTACAGAGAATGGTGTGTTGATTGATGGAAAGTGTGTATTTCAATGTTTTGGATATACGAATAGTAATTCCTCACTTGTTTGTTCTGGAAAGGGCAACTGTATTGGAAATGATAAGTGCAACTGTTCATGGCCATACTCTGGTTCCAAATGTGATGAGTTTTATTGCAATGGAGTGTTGAATACTAACAAAACATTTGTGTGTTCATCTCATGGTACTTGCTCATCTCCAAACAATTGTTCTTGTGTCGATGGTTTTTATGGAAATATTTGTGAATTCTTTTATTGTAATGGCGTACAACAAAATAGTTTAAATGTATGCTCAGGTCATGGACTCTGCTCTTCTTTGAATAATTGCACCTGTCAACAAGATTATTCAGGCATTGATTGTGAAAATTTCCATTGTTATGGACTGTCTAGAGTTGATCCTAAAGTTTGCTCATCTCATGGAATTTGCTCTTCCATAAATAATTGCTCATGTGCAACTGGATATGGTGGATCTAAATGCAACGAATATTCATGTTATGATGTGAATTCTACGAATAAGACAGTTTGTTCTGGAAGAGGAACTTGTTCTTCTCCCAATAATTGTACATGCGATCCAGGATACTATGGATCAAATTGTGAATTGTACGATTGTTATGGAATATCCAAAAACAATTCGAATGTCTGCTCAGGACATGGTACTTGCATTGCTATCAATAATTGTACATGTACAGATGGTTACTATGATACCAAATGTGATTCATTCAATTGTGCAGGAGAGAAATTCACTGGTCAATCACTGTGTCAGAATAATGGTACTTGTTCTAATCCTGGTAATTGTGATTGTCCTTATCAGTTTGGAGGTGCCAGATGTGAATATTACAAATGTTATACCTATACTTCTAATGAAGCAAAAGTATGTGGCGGGCATGGTACTTGTTTAAATTACAATAATTGTTCTTGCTCTGGCAAGTGGATTGGTGACGATTGTACACAGACTACTTGTTATGGTAAAAGTTCAAACTCTAGCTCAGTATGTGGTGGAAGAGGTAATTGCACAGACTTTAATCAATGCACATGTTATGATGGGTATAGAGGTGTCGAATGTCAACACATTGTCTGTTTTGATAAGATTGAAAACGATACATCAGTTTGTTCAGGAAATGGCAAATGTCTAACATCAAACAATTGTACATGTCAAATTGGTTATGTTGGAAATGAATGTCAATATCACGAAATTTATTTGAATACCTCATCTGCCATAATATTTTCATTCCAGGAAAGTTTAATGAAATTGTTGCCAAATGAGAGTGGAATATTTTCATGTTCTGAAATTTTCACTGATTCTGAAATTGCCAAATTTGGAGAAAGTACTTCGATTTCTTGCCAATGGAGAAGAAATTCACTCCTAATTCATCTTGGATTTGATTATTCTATTCAACAATACTCAATTATTCAATCAAAATTCAACTTTTCAATGAGAGTTTCTAGCTTGTCCTCAGTTTCTAATAGTGATGCTCCATCTCCAACTTGTTCTTTCGGATATGTATTGAATGAAGCTTCTCCATTATTGGATGTAGTGATACGTTTGAATTGTGATGAGAATTTGCATGGTTTTAAAAAGAGTAGAACCAGTTGGATGTGTAGTCAATGTACAGGAGCAATTTCATCAATTTTAAGTAACTATTCGAATAGATCCAGTGTTTATATTCCAATTTCGTATATGAACGCTTTGAATCCTGTTCAAGGATACAAGACAATTAATTTGCAAGCTTCTTATTCATCATCTGTTTCTTCCACCATTTCCACTAGTAAGGAAGTAAAGGTTCAAACCTATACGAAATCTTTACCTCCAAGTTATTACTGGCTAAGTGATAATTATGATGGAAAAACCTATTCATGTGTTGGCCATAATTGTATCATTGAAACTTCATTGAATAGTTTAAACTCCTCAATTTCTTATTCATTCTCTGGTTTATTTAGTTTATTGAACACTGATTTATATTCGAAACAAATGGTGAGATTGATAAATGAATTTTCAGGAGGAATTGTCGACAGTGAATTCAGTTCTAACATGCAAGTTTTTGGAGTTCAACTCAAGACCTATGTTTACTTACCGTATAGTATTGATTCATTCAAATATTCCACATTTACAAATTTGGATTATGTCATGACAGGCGTCAATAGAACCTACTCAATCAATGCAGATAACTTAATAACTATAGGTTTGACTATTGATGATCCATACATTTCAAAATACACATTAAGTGATTACATGGTATTCTCCTGGAAATGTTTCCAAGTTTCTCCTTCTAATAGGTCTTTAATTTTGACCGATAATTTGTGTTCCTCAATAACTGACAATGCCAAATCAAATATTGAATTGGATATCAGCAAAATGTCTTTGAAAGAAGGTTCATATTTAATATCTGCTTCAATTTCATCGACTAAATACTTTGTTACAACAGTTTACAATTATGAAGGATGGATTGACTTGTTGGGAATTTCACAGGATTCTCCTCAGATAACTACAGATTATGTACCTGCTATTACTCCTTCTCATCACAATATTTATTTAAGAAATGTGGTGAAATCTTCAACAAGTGTTTCATTCTATTGGAAACTCAAAAGTGGTGAATTGAATATTGACGAAACTGTTGAAGATTTCCTTCAAAGAAATACAGTTTCTAAATCTATCTTGGGTAACAATGTTGAAATTATCTTGAATATTGACAATGATTATCTCATCCAAGGAGAATATTATGAATTTGAATTGTCAACCAAGAATTCTAACGGTGTTTCAAATATTTCCATTTCAACAAGAATGGATTTCACTCCTCGATTGTCATGTAATGTGGAAAATGTGAAGAATGAAGCTAACTTGACCAGTTTTGAATCTTTAATATCTATTACATGTGTAAAATTGCCATACGAAAGTATATCAAGTTTCGTCATGGAATTCCATTCACAAAACGAAAGATTAGGAGTCATTTCGAATACTCCAAAGAAGGCTCTTATTACCAGAGTTCCTTATGCAATGGATGGAACAGTTACCTTAATCGTGAAACTTCAAAATTTATATGGATCTATTGGAATTTATAGAACTACTATCAGCGCTCAATTACCAAATGCTTTGACAAGTGACAACTCTATTTCTTCAAGATTTACATATGTATCCAAACAATTCCAAATTCTCAAAAATGCTCAACCAGCCAAAATTGAAGTTTCCAACGAAGTCAACACCTTACTTTCTTTATTAATCCAAAACGAAACTCTTTCTAAAATTTCAGAGAAAATTTCAAAGGAATTGAAATCTGATCAATTAGTTTCCTTTAATACAATGCTCAAAGAAATGCTAACCCTCACCAAGAGTCTACAAGACATTACTTACAAAGTTGATGAAAGATTAATTCAATTAATTCTGCCAATTGTCAACAAAATTTCCACAATTCTCAAATTAACTCTTGACACATCGTCATTATCCAATTTTGCTTCAGAATTGGAAATTTGGTTGGACTGGATTTATTCAGGAATGAATAAGGCACTCAATTACTATCCAACTTTCATTTACAAGGAATTATTAGATGAATTTCATTTACAAGAAATTGTTTCGTTACAAAATATACTTTCGAATATATACCAAAATAATTTGGATCAACAATTTAAATACCACAAGTACAATTTACAATATATCAAGCTTACAGGAAGTAATAGTGATAATTCAAGCTTTGTGGAAGATGTTGAGTTTTCTGATTTATTGAATGACAAGTCAATTTCACTTTCTGTTTCTAATTTTAAAGTTGATATGAAATTACCAAGTGATTTTACCAATCAAATTTCATTGAAATCAAAATCAAAACTATACTATTCCATTACCTCATTCAGTGATAATCAAACTGGTTCAAAACTTTTACAAAACAAACCAATAATTGACCTATCTCTGTACGATACATCTTACAATGCAATATCAGTTGACAACATTAATCCACCAATAGTTTTCAAGTTCCAAGGATTGTTTTCCACTAACAAGACTAATATTAACACAACTTGTGTCTATTACAATACCATACTAGGAAAATGGTCAACCAATGGATTGCAAACAATTACAAGCGTTACCAAACGAACTGAAGAGTACATGTACTTTGATATGGAATGTCATTCAAGTCACTTGTCTGTATTCTCAGTTCAAGAGGTTGATTACAACACCCCAATTATACCAGCCATTTCATCTAACAAAGCTTCAAACCAACAAGAAAATCTCACCATTATTTTAGCTACTGTTTTACCTGTTAGCTTTTTAATCCTTATTTTCATTATTATCCTCTTTGTGTTTATCATTTTACTATTCAGATTTAAGCAAAAGAAAGCAAATGAATTTGCCATTGCAACCAAAACCAATCTTGAAATGGAAGGTTTCTCAAGCAGTGATTTCCCATCCTCAGAAGGAAGCATGTTTATTCATCCTCTTATGAGTATTTCCTCAAATGGAACAACTAGTGAAGCATTCAATCCATTGTCAAGATATTCTGATTTAGTAAGAATTGGCCAAGGAGCTTTTGGAAGTGTTTTTAAAGCATTTGATAGTAAGACGTCAACTGTTAAGGCGATTAAGGTAATTAAATATTCATCCATGGAGGAGTTGAATAATTTCATGAAAGAAGGAACGCAGTTGATGAATGTGACACATCCTTATATTTTGAGAGTGAATGATTTCTTTGTGAGTAAGGATCAATTGCTATGTATAGATATGGATTTTTATGAATTAGGAGATTTGGTCAAATTGACCAATGTTGAATTTGATTGCTCGGAGAAGTTAATCAAACAAATTATTTATCAAATGTGTCAAGCTTTGGATTATATTCACTGCAATATGAAAATCATTCACAGAGATATCAAACCATCTAATGTTTTTGTAAAGAGTATGGAAAATGACGATATTCACATTATTGTTGCCGATTTCGGATTGGCTAAATCAAATATTGGTGGATCAATGAATAATTCCTATGCAGGTACACCTATATTTATGGTAAGTTTTCAAATATTTCTTTCGATTCGAATAATTTTTAGTCTCCTGAACTTGGCTTGGGTGGAAAATATTATTACAATACTGATATTTACAGTTTAGGTGTTACTGTATATCAAATAATGACCAAAGACACCTCTACTTCAATCAGTCAATTGTATCTTGGAAAGGAACAAAATGAAGTTACAACGCTATTGAGAAAAAAGCTTAAAGATGGTGGACATTATTCTGAACGAGTTGTGGAATTGGTTTTACAAATGTTAACAAAGGATAATTTAACTAGGCCACAAGCTCAAGATATTTTGGAAAATTCCTATTTTGATGATTTGAGAATGAAACGATAAAGTTTCTACAATATTTTCTCAATCTAAAATGATTCCTGTCAGATTATTTCACTTCCAATAAATCAGTAAGTTCCAAGACAATCACAATGGAATAAATAGTGATGAATGATATCATTATTTATTCTTCATCTGATTCGAAAGCCACATTCTTCTTTTTAGGGAATGTTTGCAGAGCTCTAGATTTTCCTACCGGGCTACTAACCAGTGGATTTGAGATTAATCTACTAAAACTTCCACTATTTGTAGAAAGGGACAGTTGTGCAAGGGATTGTTTCAAGGTTTCACAAATCTCTTCCCATTCAGGTCTTGCATTCATGTCTGCTGACCAGCATTTAGTAATGAGCTTGATTATCAAATTATTTACAACGTTATACTCAATTCTAAAGTGCTCACCAAAGAACATTTCCCTGAGCTCTGTTTGGGTTGGTATCTTTGGACGCATTTCTTCATGAATCACTTTGTGTGTAATATCATAAATGTTGAGTCCTGGATACAACTCCTTTTCAAAAATTAACTCATATATACAAATGCCAAAACTGTAGATATCCGCTTTGAATGAATAATGACCTTCTGCCAAAATCTCTGGAGCAGTAATTTCAACTGTACCACATTTAGTGTGCTTCTTTTGTTTGTTGTTAAATAGCCTAGCAATACCAAAATCTGAAATCTTTAGAGTCCAGTCATTAGTTACAAGGCAGTTAGATACTTTCACATCAGAGTGAATAATATTTTTTGATTTGAGATAGTTCAGTCCGTTAGCAGCGTCCAATAGCAATTTACATTTCTTTTTCAGGGTGAGTCCAGATTTGAAAGAGCTCTTTTGTAATCTTCCTTGTAAGGTCTCATCATCGATTGAAAACCTGGAAATGTGTTGTGTATTGAGCTTTATCAGGTTGGTGTCATCTAGCTCCGTTGTCGGTGGGTGATTAATAGGACTCATGGTCATGCCTGCACCAGAATAGGATGTTTTCAATAGTTTGTCTAAACTTCCTCTCGAGCAATATTCTGTGACAATATAAAAGAATGGAGGTTTGATAGATGCAGCAATGAACTGCACAATATTTGGATGTCTGATTGTACTCATTATTTGAGTCTCCTTCATGTACTCTTTCAGTGGATCCTCCAACAAGTCACAAATTAAGCATTGCTTGACTGCAACAAGAACATTGAGATATCGTGCCTTATAAACAACTCCACTACTACCAACACCAATTTGTTCCATCAATTCCAAATCATCAGATGAAATACTCATACTTCTCAATTGCGGAGAGACTCGAATGATCGCATCATTCAATTCCTTTGACAAATCATTGTATGGTAACTCTTCTGGATTTTCAACAGGTTTCAACTTGTTGAAATGTGCATTCAAATCTTCAGCAATATGAGAGCTAGTATTTAAATCCGTTAAACCACTATCATTCAAATCAATTACTATCGAATTTGAATTATCAACCCTTGATCCCACATTGGTGATTTAATTTGCATACTCTTAAAATCCATCTCATCATTCATTCCATAATATTCACCACTATCCCTCTTTTTCATGAGTGGTTTCGTTTTCTCCGAATTTTTACAACAATAATTACAAGTTAGTGTATTTACAAGTGTTCTACATAATCCTCTCCTTCCCAATCGACTCTTTATCATACATAGCAAACAACCACTCATCATGATATTGACCAATAACATGGCAGAACTTAGCACTATCAATGACCACTGAATCACAGGAGAATCATTCAGTGGTAAAAGCAAGATATTGTTCTCAACACTCATCGGAAAATAATAACACAATCACGTTTATTGGTGAAGTTAGAGTAAAGGAAAGCCACAGACAATAGCAGGTAGCAAAAATCTGTGTGGTGTAATGATGAGGAGGTTCGTTGTTGTATTTTTTCTTCTAATTGGAAAGGAAAAATCATCACGTAACTAGAGAACAGCTTTGATCTGCACCATAGGACCAATTAGGGAGTGATAGATAACGATTGTTAGTATATAGGTTTGATATTTGTTGCATTCTAATTATTATTGAAAGAACACTAAGGTAACATGTTGAATCGAGATTGAAATATAAATTAAAAAAAATAATGGCAATATCTTGACTTCTCTTAATAAAGGCTATGAATAGGATTGGTTCAAACCTCCTTATTGTTGTTGTTATTGAGAATCTTTCATCATGGATGGTAACAAGGGGTTATGCTCACAATCAAATTAAAGCATTCATTTCGCTCATAATTATGTTAATAATACCAACATTGGATAGAGAATCTCATCCATGTTCAATACTTTACTCGAGCTTTCCATCTACTTACTATTATTTTGCAGCCATACCAATATTTCCAAGGATTGCCAATTAAATCATCACTATTATCCAAGATGGACCCTCTTTAACAAATATGTAATGATGCTTCTCGATATCATGAGCAAAAACCTTCTCCCATCGTACAAATCCTAATAGTCACATTGAAAGAAATAACACCCTATCCTTTCGGGAAGCTAGAGATCATTGAATATCAACCACCACTTCATCACCACAATATCGGACCAGTTAAAAGATGAGTGGTGCTGATTTTGTGTTGTCTGCCACTACTACCAATAATAACAATGGTGATGATACTATTCATCAAAAGATACAATTATTTACTCAAGCTATTGGTGAGGTAGACCAAGAAGGAAAGTCAACAACTAATGCAAGTAGTGCTCGTAGGTGGAGTTTTTCATCAGATTCTTCATCCTCCTCTTCTCATTCGTCAAATTCATCATCGGGTGCAGATGATACTGCTGATGATGAAGATGAAGAAATAACAATGGTTTGGAATAATGCAACTGACAGTAATGTTGATAATAATATTGAAACTAGTGTTACAACTCCTTTGAATAATAAGATTGTTATTATTACGAATGAGGAGGACATTGGAGAGGAAGAAAATACATTATCAGACTCATCAGATATTATTTCGAATACTTATAATTCAATAGAACAGAAGGAAGAAGATAAACCAGTCGTACCTTCTTATGAAAAGTTTAGTTTGAAAGAACAGTTGAAACTCAAGCTTCCTTCTTCAATACTTCATCTCACTTCTCCTAATAACACAACTAGTAATAATAACAGTTCAACACAATTTACAACAACAACACTAACAGACAATAGTTCAAAATCAAGCTCTCCACAAACACCAACCGAGAAACCAACAACAAATGGTGATGAATCACTGCAAATCATGGAATTAAATATTGAAAGTCCAAATGAAGAGTTAGACGATACATCGAGGAGATTTACATTCAATTCTACCGATATTATCAAGGCAGTTTTTGAAGGAAAACACGATGAGGAAGTTGGAAAACTGTTACAAACAGATGTTTCTGATTATTTAACACAACTAGTCAAGAGGAAAAATCAAATTACCAATCCAGTGGTGATGCCGAGTCCCTCTCCTATCAAGAGGATGAACTCTACCTTCCTCACTCCTTCTACACCTTTAGGGATGACAAAGTCTGGCTCATCTAGTGATATATCCAGTCCTTGTTCATCACCAAATTTGGACAAATTGAATACAATTATTGAAAAGAAAAAACTTTCCAGGTCTAATACTACTGTTCACAATTATACACTCTCCCCAGAATTAAAGCAGAGAAGAAAAATTACAGCAATTGGATCCGGAATGATTCCAAATGATTTTAATATGGTACAATCTCCATTGAGTGATTATGGAATTGATTTTTCACAATCTGATAGCAAAATAACTGCTTCCAAAAGGTCGATGAGCATTGGGCCAAATCTTCAATCCTACTATTCTTCATCTACAAATGCAATGAAGAGTGATCCTAACTCTGTTTCAACAGACGATATTTACAGAGTTACAATTCTAGGATCTGTTGGTGTTGGAAAATCATCATTAATTAACAAATTTATTAAGGGAACATTCTCCAATGAGTATAATTCTACAGTTTTCGAGGATATTTATCACAAGCCACTCATGTTTTTGAAATATCAGGAAATTAAGCTTTTGGAAATATTGGACACAAGTGCCCTACACATCAAACATTACAAAAATAAGGCAAATCAAGAGGATGAATCACCATCCATGGAGATACCTTCAAGTTTTCTTAGTGATTATATTATTAACTGTGATGCATACATACTAGTGTACAGTGTGGATGACATTCAAAGTTATAAATATTGTAAGGATATTTACAAATCAATTGTCGGTCAGAAAAAGATGGCTGGTCTTAAAAGAACTAGATCAAACTTGAGAGCTAGTGGAAACAGTCTCATAGCAACGCCAAGAACAGTTGCTCGATCTGATGTTCCTCTTGTCCTTGTTGGAAACAAGTCAGATGTTGGAATTGAGGAAAAATTTATTGATTCAAAAGTAGTTTGGGAAGATGTACATACAGAGCTAGCATTTGGTTCAAATTGTTCTTTTGTGGAAACTAGCGCCAAGAAGGAAGATGTTGATTGTATTTTCCAAGCACTTGTAAATAGAATTTGTTTGAGGGAAGAACCAAAGACTTCTTCCAAAATACAAATATCCTCTTCACTTCCAACCAAAAAGACAGGTCAACACGATTCAAATAAAAAGTGTGTCATTCTGTAGAGTCAAATAGCAACAATCAAATTATTATTATTATTTGATTTCTTATTTATTGATTTAATCCATGTCATTCAAAATGCCCAAATTCTTCATTACAAACTCCTATTCGTTATTTAATATCCAGTTTTGACTCATTCCATTAATACACTTTGCCCCTTCCTCACCAATCATATTATTGGAAATATTGAGAATGGTCAACTGTTTCATACCACTAATTGATTTAGCTCCTGCTTCACCAACAAAGTTGTATTTGACAACAAGACTTTTTAAATTAGACATTCCACTAATTTAGGCTGCCCCCTCCGGTCCAATATTATTGCTGGAAATATCTAGTATTACCAAGTTGGGCAATCTACTTATTGCTCTAGCACCTTCCACACCAAAATGATTATAAGAAATATCTAGTTCAGTCAATTGTGTCATTTCACCAATGTAATTAGCTCCTGTTGCATTCATCTTTGTTGCACTAACATTCAAAATCTTTAAATTCTTCAATTTCTTAATGAATCTAGCACCCTCAGATTCTATTATATTTGATTGAACATCGAGGAGAGTGAGATTTCTTAGTTGAGATATAAATTTAATTCCTCCCAATTCAACAATATTGAAGGTAGCTCTCAATTCTATTAAATTCTTCATTTCTCCCAAATATTTAGCTCCTTCTGGATTAATTTCATTCCGACTCACATCTAAACTTGTCAAATTCACTAATCCACTAGAAAGAAGTCTCATGCCCTCTGGACCGTTATAATATCCACTAATCTTTAAGTATTTTAAATTATTCATCCTTGCAATAGCTTCAAACCCTTCCAAATCAATCATATTCCAGCAAATAACAAGTGAAGTCAACTGTTTCATCTTGCTAATTGAAATAGCTCCGTTAGGTCCTATGTTATTCAAAGGTATTTGCAATGTTTTCAAATTCTTCATTTTACTAATATATTTGGCTCCTTTACGCCCAACAGAATTTTTCCCAATATCCAAATAGGTCAATTCTTTCAGTTTGCTGATTAGTTTTGCCTCCTTTTCTTTTAATCCATTTTCATTAATCGAAAGACAAGTTAAATTTTTCATTAATGACAAAACTGTTAAAAATTGTTTGTCTCTAATAAGATTCGCATAATTGACCTTAACATTTCGAATAGAGTTAAGCACTTGACTATTTCTCAAGTGTTGAACTCTTTCCTCTTGAATAATTTGATGAAAATCCAAACAAAGTTTAGAATATTGGTTGATCAAGAAGTAGGTCCATTGTTTGGAAATTAAAGGACAATATTTTAAAATTTCCCAACCTGTTAGAAAGCTCATAATTTCATGTATAATATCATCAGGAAGGAAATTATCTGAAAAGTTTCTAATAGAAACCTCGTGTGGTGTCGTTAATTTGGAGTTTCGCATTTTTTTTATTGTAAACATTTCAATATGGAACACTCTTGGAACTTTTTCGAATAGTATGTCAAGTTGTATCCACTGATTAATTGTAAACTATTCCACAACCTCTTAAATTTCCCTTAATTATGAAACAAAACTTTACAAAAAAAAATGAGTCAAAATGATCAAGGTTCACCACTATCATCAAATTTTGTATTTTCGGAACAGCGCTGTGATGATGAAGAAAATTCCTTCCCTTTGGAAACAGCGATATTAAAAATGAACATCATGATGATAACGGTATTAATTTTAGAGATCAATTTCCTGATGAAATGTGTTATGAAGTATTGTCCTTCCTTTCGCATAGATTTATTTTGAGGACGTGTACGCTGATTTCGTCTCAGTGGTATAATGTTATTAAGGAACGTTGTTTGTTTTCGACTATGTTCAATTCACCCGTTACTAAAGAAAGAGCTCAATTGATGATTAATAGCCCCTTTCTGGAACGAATAATCTCTGTAAGTTGTACACAAGCAGCAACTACATGTAAACAATATTGGAAAGCCATTGGAATGATGAAACGATTGACTTATATTAACACAGTTAGTAACCAAATAACCTCGAATGTACTGTACATTATTAAGAATATTACAAAATTGAAATCGCTCCAGACATTATATATTGGATTTAATCCATTAGGAGACGAGGGAGTTAAATTATTGGGTGGAATACCCAGTTTAACAAGTCTTAGTATTTGTGCAACCTCCTCAACTTTTGAATCAATGGGAGCTATTAGTCAATTGAAGAATCTCAATTATCTTGATGTTGCTTATTGTGACATTGGCGTGGAAGGGTCTAAAATAATTAGTGGAATGACCCATTTAACTGAACTTGATATTTCTCAGTCAAATATTGGGTCGGACGGAGTTAAATATATTTCTCAAATGTCAAATTTGAAAAATTTATTTATACCTGCAAATGAAATATTGGACGAAGGGGCTTTATTTATTAGTAGTGGATTGAAAAATCTCACATTTCTCGAAATCAGTTGTAATGCACTGACGGATATAGGAATCTCAAGTATAGCTAAAATGAATCAATTGGAAGGTTTAGCCATCAACAAGAATAACATTGGTGAGGAAGGTAGAAAAGCTCTCACTCAAATGAAGGCATCCAGAACTAAATTTTATTTAGAATGTGATGATTTGGTCCAATGAAGGTTTGAGTCCTCGCAACCAAAGACATTTAGATTATTAAAGGTGTCATCAAGTTTTAGTCAAACTGTTGCTGTAGCATGATTTATTTTTCTTTTGAAAATTTGAATCTATTTCCAAGGGCTAGTTGGAACAATGAGGAAGATAGAGAAATACCCTTCTTCAAACCAATTGCTTGATTCGAAGATCCTCCAACAGTTACAGACAAATCAGAGGCACTGTGTACATCTGGAATGTTCACTTTTTGTTTAGCATTCAGTTCTGGAGCTGAATTGCCACATACTCTTGCCTTAATGTTTGTCTTCCTAGAAAATATTGACCTCTTATTATTGCTGGCGTCGGATGTTGTGGTTTTAGATCTCTTTCTCGTTAAAAAGGCCTTATGTTCTGAGGAGGCCAGAGATTCTTCCTCTCCTTCTGAACAATCTGTGATATCACTTTCTGTATCACTACTCGTTTCATTGTTTCTATAGTAAAATAATGAGTCTGTGCTGCTGCATAGAGACTCACTTCGTGGTGTGGATGTTGAGGTTGGAGTTCCAGATTTGACTTTTCTTGGTGTTGTTACGAAACCAAAGTCAGTTCCTTCTTGTTGCAAGTTATAGATGCAATTCCAGGAATCAGTGAGCATGAGAACCTTTTTGAATACCTTATCAACGTGGTATCGTTGTTTGGCACTAACTTCAATATAGGAGGAGAGATTGTGTTTCAATTTCATTTCTCTCATTGCTTGTCTGACTTGTTTCTTTGAAACAACCCTTGAACACATCATATCAATCTTATTGGCAATTATTATTATTGGGAAATGTTCAATTTTGGATAATTGAAACTTTTTCTCTTGGACTTCTGCAACAAGTTGCTTCATTTTCTCAAAACTCGATTCGTTGGTAACGTCAAATACAAACACAAAAACTAAACTTTCTCTGATATAAGAGTCTTTCAAGTCTGCGTATTGATCTGAACCAGAAGTGTCTGTTATGTATAATTCGAAAGTTTCCAACTCTGTCTTTCTCACAATTTTGCTGTAAGATTCTTGAATGGTTGGATCATGGAAATTAGGGAAGGATTTTTGAACATATTGGGAAATGATTGAGGTCTTGCCACATGCTTCATCTCCAACTAGGCACATTCTGACCTTTCTATTGTAATGTATCGAATAGTTATTCGATACATAATCGTCTTCTTCGTCCATTGTAGTGGACACTGTATCAAGAAAATCGCTTTGCATGGTGGCAACATCAAGTGATTGACTATGCAATCTATCAAAATGTTGTTTACATGGTGTTCTTGGAGTGATATCAGATTCACTCTTTGTAGCAGATGAAAGATTTGAAACAGTTCTCTTCAAAACTTGATCTGTTATAACATTAGACCTTTGAGTCAATCCATCAGAGTTGGTAATAAAGCATGATCTCAATGAATATGGAGAACAATTACAAAAGATTGAATTATCATCTACAAAGAGTGTGTCCATCCCACTGCAATAACTTATCGAGCCACTCAATCCACACAAATCACTACTCGATGAATAAGTGGTCGTCATCCCAAAATTGACACAATTACTACTACTTGTCTTTTTATAAGCTGACATTCTTGTTAATTCTACTATTACTACTACTCTATTATCATATCCAAAAGGAAACCTTGCAATTTATTGGCTTGAAAGAGTTCTTTGCGCGAAAAATTAGAGAAGCCTTTGTGCGTTACAAGCTTATTGTTGTTCTGTTTTTTTTTGAGCGGTTCGTTGGGATACAAAGGTTTTTTGACTCGCAACGCACGAGCTTGTGGTTCAACTCACACACACGTGAGAGAAAAAGGCTTTTTGATTATCGGTGGAGTTCATCACTGCAAACACATGCAAAAGTTTCAAATGTCGTATTTATAGCATGCAAGTTTACGCAAGTGGTAAGGAACTTTATCTTCACTTTCCGAAATGAACATATACTTGTCAGAAATCTAAAATTCGCCAAAATACTGGATTGGTAGCTTCCTTCTTCAAGATAATAGTTGCATTTTGATAGCGCGGGAATGATTTACAATATCAATGAATTTGTCTTTATGGGGAAATTTTTTTTTGACTCGTTTCATGATTTTCACTGATTTACAATCAACCAGAGGATTTCGGTATTTATTGACTTTAATTTTGCTTTATTTGAAGAAATTTACTGTGAATGTCAGGTGGTTTTTGCGATTTTGTTTGGCTGTTTGGGTTGCTGAGTTACATTTTAGAATTCTTCTAACCTATTCGAAAGTAAGAACTATGGCAGGTCAAAGTACTTTAAAGGAGTGACCCATACCAAATAATATTAGTAATGTGTTTGTAGTAATTCATTAGTTTTTTTCTTTCAAAATAAAAAAGTGGGATGATACGTGAATCGAACACGTGACCGTAGGAGTGTGCAAGGTTCCATGACCTTTTTCAATATACCATTTATCCAAGATGTCGTTCTTTCCAATGCACTCCCGTCAACCAGTACCTTTAATAAAGATAGTTTAATATAAGTTTGAGTATGAGAAGGTGAACCAAAAAGGGAAATGTCAATTCCTCTTTTCAAAGATAAAAAAAAAATGTTTAAACTTGCAGTTCTGCGACCGACACACTTTAAATTGATCATAATTTTCATCATCATTTCCATCTCTTTAGTATTCATCGTTTTCACACTTTACAAAACAAATCGGAAATTACCCAATAATGATGAAAAAAAACAAATTTTACATCATGAATGGAAAGATGGATTTTCTTATATTCCCTATCCGATGGGAAATAATCAGATCATTCCACGAATTATTCATCAAACCTTTAAAAGTCAAACTAGAAATGAAATGACAAGTGGCATGAGGAATGCAACTTTATCCTTTGCATCCAATTTAAATTTTAAATATATTTATTATAACAATGATGCAGTTTTACAATTTTTAATTGACAATTATGGGGAAAATTCTGATGAATTTCACACGTTTAACAATATTATTCCATTTGCATATAAAATTGATTTTTGGAGATTGGCACTTTTATATAAAATTGGAGGTTACTATTCAGATGTTGATTCAGTTTTACTAAAAAAGGAATTGAATAGTTTAATTGAAAATAATGCAACAATGATTCTACCAGTTGGATATGCCACAGAATTTGTTTGGTTTGGATTTGATTTTGCCTTTATTGGAAGTGTACCTCAACATCCATTATTAAGAATTGCCATGGACATGATTATTTATAATGTGAAAAATAAGTTCATTCCACAAGTTCCACAACGATTGAATGAAATTTGGTTTTTCAAATATTTCACAATTACAGGACCTGTTCTAATGGGAAAAGCATTTAATAGATTTATGAATGAACCTGATGAAGCTCCACATAATATTGTAAAGGGAAGAAGTTTGGGAATTCAATTTCTTGGATTTTGTGAAGTGAATGGCAGAAAGTATTTTACCACCATTCCACATCAGAGAAATATCAGGGAATGTAGAGGTGAAACTGTGATACAGTTTGCCTATGATGAATATTGGGAGGAGAGATGGAAAACAAGTAAGCCATATTGGCGAAATGTTATTGAGGGAAAGATTTTTAATTCTTGATATTAAATGTTTATTTTCAATGTTAATATATTGAAATATTCTAGAAATATGTGGTGATGGTATGCTTTCAAAGATGAGAAAATCTTTCAATTTATTAGTTAATTCACAGATCTTTAAAAAATGGCACAATATGCATATCTGCAAAACAATTTCACAGAGATTAAAGATTTTATTATTCAACTAGCTGGTAAAACACCATGAGAATTTCTCCAATTTATTGAAACTATACGATTTGAATCCGAAAGAATTTATTTGTCATGACGAAAGCAAACTATTCGAGAAATTTGAAATTGATATTAGTCATCATGATGATCAACAAAATTATGAAGTTAAAACCATGTTGATGATTTACTTTTTTGGATTGTCAGAATTAGACAAGTATTCTCAACCAAACTTCCAAACAAAGTTTCGTAATTTTATTAACAATATAATTCATGACAAATCACTCGCAGGAGAAGTAAATCTATTCGATACTGGAATTGAAACTTTGGAGAAACATCAACAGTTGATACTTCATTTGTACATTCGTTTGGCAATTGACATTAATAATTCTAAATGTGATTTAGGATTTGGTGGAGTCACTTCAATTCCACCAAGATGTCTTCTACTCACTCTCTCACAAAGTACTTTTGTGAAAAGAAATAAAAATTCTTGAGTGAAAATTCTGGTCAATTGTGGCAATTTACTGAGAGCGAAAGTTTTCTTTTTACAGATATGATCAAATTTTCACATTTTGAATATGAAGCATGTGATCCAGTTGACGATCAAAAGGAACAATACGATCTGTCTGTTGCCAATATTTCACAAATTTCCATTGAATGTTTGTATGACAAAATATGAAAATTGTGAAATTTCAAAGGAGATATTGGATGGATTATGTTACATTTCAGAGAAACACATTCCATTTCTTCATTCATTGCTTCAATAATTACTTATTAGTGATTATTCAACAAAGAATAGTTGGAAAATATGTTTGGCTAATCAAACACAAGATATTACGAGTCATTGGTGCTTTATTTTCCAATGATGACCTCTTTATTGGAAAAGTTGACAATCATACACTTTCAATTGATGCAACCCAAAAAGACTGGTAATTACAAAGAGAGTTTTACAAAAAATTCAAATTGAAATCGACGATGAATCAGAAGGATCACAACAAGAACATGATTCTGCGGATTCTGAAGATTATGAAGATGGAACTGATATATCAGAAGATGATATTTATTACACTGATACTGAAACTTGTTGAGTTTCTTCTTCTGATTTCACAGCAGAAGTTGCTTCTGGAAGAGTTTCTTCTTTTTGAGATTTAAGTGCTTCCTTTTGTTCATGGAGTGATGGTTTGAACTTGGCAACAACCAAGTAAATGACACAAATCACTAATGAAACAACTGACATGAAGATACAAATTGTCATGAAACCAAATTCTGGTTGACCATTTTCCTTAAAACGATCAATAGCTTGAGAAAGTCCAAAGGCAATCAAAGTTGTCAAGATAATGTAACATGAGTATAAGAAACTCATGACAGCTGCCAGCTCATTAACACCAGTCTTTTCGTTTGGTTCTTCAGACAGAGTTGATTGCAAATAAGCAACTTGAGAAATATCACCAGCAGCCCAAGAACCTGAAATTAACATCATGGCAGGAACCATACAAATAGCAAATATCAAGTTGTCATCAGTCTTTTCATTAAATGTCAAGAATGGGAAAATCCACATCAAATTCAAAAACAAGCAATCCAAAACAATCCAAACTGTTGGAAGTTTCACCTTCTTGGCAAATATTAAGAGCATTCCAGCTCCACACAATTCACCAAAGTTACTTCCACCCAACAGAATTCCAGAATAAGATCCCTTCTTGAGGATGTTCTTACTGTAAGCAGGGAGGAAGATATTTTCAATCAATCTATGGAGAACTTGTGGAATGACAAAGCATGGAATCAACCAAATGTAATATCTGTTGGTGAGGACTAATTTGGCACCAATGTACATGCTCTTGAAATAATTCTTGATGACAGTTCCAATCTTTTTCAAAATTCTTAAAACTTTGTTGTTTGGTTGAGGAGTTGTTTCTTGAGCTGAGGTTGTAGGAGCAGATTCAGTTGAAGGAACATTAACTTGTTCTTTGGTTTCAGAATCTTCAAAGATTTCAACTTCCTTCACAGTAATGAAGAAGAGGAAAATGGAAGCAGCAATGAAAAATACTGGAATGTGGAAGAGAGCAAAAATAGTTCCCATCTTTTCAATGAAAACACTTGATAAGAAGGCACCAACTGTACCTGCCAATTCATACGTTATGTGAACACCTGCATTAATTCTCTTCAGCACTGACGATTCATTATTACCTAAAATGGAAGCTGGTATAATCTTTCTCAAAACTTCCATCACACCAACGCTGAATCCAATGAAAATGTAAATAGGGAAGATAATCCAAGGAGTCCACCAACCAGCAGTGGTCAAAGTGCCACCTGTCGAAGCTTCCAAAATAATCATGACCACCACCAAAAGGGCAAAGAAAACCAAAGAAAGACAATACAATCTGGTAGCTCTAATAATTTTCAAGAGACCTTCAACAGTTGATGAAGAAATGGATTGAGCCAAACCAAATGAAATTGTTAACAAGCTCAAAATTGTGGTAGCTCCCAAAGCATTTCCATCCAATCTATTCAAAATGGTCAACCCAATAGCTCCTGATAATGTTTCATATGAAAATTTGAAACACATTGTACCTAGTAAGAATAATATCAGATTGGCAACTCTTCTCTTGAATCCCTTTGGCCTTTTCTTTTCAGTAGTTTGATCTTGTGTTTTGTGTGATTTGTGGTGGGTTTGATGTTGAAAATGATGAATTTGATTATCAGTGTGAACCATAGTTGGTAAAACGTTCTCGTTAAAGCAATCAAGCACATCATCAATATTATTGGCAACATTTTCTGAAGTATCCGAAACTGATGAACTCGATGTGATGGTATTAGTAGTAGTATTAGTTAATGTTACAGTGTGATTGTGATTATGTTGGTGAATTAAATTCAATTGAGATGGAATTGTACAAAGTTTCAGATCTAAATCTGAAATATCATTTACATTGGTTTCTGGTGGAATATCTACATTTTCTGCTTCAAAAACAGCCCGTTCTTTAACTTGTTTAGATTCTGATTTGCCTAAATCAACAGCACGATGATTATCAGCAGTTGATTCTTCTGTTTGAGAATGCAAGTGAGGACTAGTCGATTCTTCAACGACAATAACTTGAATTGTTACTTCTTCTTCTTCTCTGTGTTGAGTACTATTTTCATTCGAAACAGTCATCTTGAATATAACTGATAATGCGCTCTATCACTTCTTTGTTCTTTGAAAACAAGTGGTGTTTCGATTTCAAGTTGTTTTTTTAGATATTGTTAATATTTTCATAAGATCTCAATTAAGATTTTCAACTTATCCATTGGTGCTCAATATGATCATCATCATCACCAGGTTTTTTATTAAAATAACGGACCGAGTATGGACCTCATTGTTGATGCAACAAAAACATGCGAATTACTATTCTAACAAGTTATTTTCCTCAATCGTGCCTGATGATGCGATAAAGCTGAAGATATATGACATATGTTGAGGTGCATACTAATGGTTGGTACCTGTTTTATTTTGTCTATTTCTCAATGGATAGAAATTTTCCTCAATAGTGCGCGATATGTTTTTTTGCTGTTTGATGGTTTCTATTTTTGTAATGGCGGTGTGACTTTAGAATTTGGCGCCATACTAACAAAATTTCAGTTTAATGCTGTAGTTGCGGACTTGGAAATCGAATGAAACTTTTACAAAGTATCAAGTTTTTGAAAGTTTAGAATAAGAAGATATTGAGATTTTTATTGATTCTTTGAATGTTTCCAACATTGATAGCACAATTGACCATTTTCCAAGAAATTCAAATGCTTTGGTCTCCATCCCAAAACTTCCATTGCCTTTCTTGGGTTTACAATAACTGAATTTTCACACATTTCAGCTAACAAATCATTTTGTGGAATTGGCTCAACTTGGAGGGAATCTTCTTCTCTGTGTGGTGAGCTTGGTTTCCATCCAGTTAGTTTGGCTAATTCAATTCTGAGATGACCAAATTCTGGATGATCGTTCAATGCAGTCACATTGAAAACTTGACCTGAAATTAAGTTTCTGCCAACTGTCAAGACTTTGACGTATGCTTCACTGAGATCATCAACGTGTACCCAACTCCATTTCTTGTGTGGAGAACCAATTACGATAAGCTTATTGTCAGAAGTGATTTTAGGTTTGAAATAATCTTCGAATATACCTCCACCACTTTTGCCATATACGAAACCGGGACGAATCACAACATTATCCAAATGCTTGTATTGCTCATTAAGCAATTTGAATTCTACCTCTCTTCTCTTATCCAGAGCAGGATGATTAGGTCTTTGAGGAAAAGTTTCGTCTACAATCGTATCATTTGTTCCATACGTCAAGATTCCACTCGTAAAAAGAAACAATAATTTAGGATGTTGTTTCTTAAACCGTTCAGCAGCATGTTCTTGAATTAACTGAATCATTTTCTCAGTATCATTGCTCAATCCAACACAATCAAGAATTGCACTTGTTCTCCACAATAAATTCTCATACTTCTCATCAGTGAATAATTGAGTAACGTTGGGCAAGATGAGTGGAGTAATTTCATTCGACCACATGAGATGTTCATGTTTATCTGAACGAACGGCTCCATGAACTGTAAAACCATTTCTTTGAAGTGCCTGAGCAACTCCCAATCCAATGTAACCATTGGCGCCAAGGACAATAACGGTGGACATTTTGTTTGGTTTTCGAAATTTGTTTTGAAAATTCAGAGATTCTTTAAATAGTTCATTTGTGTCCCAGGAATGTACAATTTCCATTCCCAAATTCTTTTAAACTCCATAAAAAGAACTTGCCAAAATCAAATTCTGAATTTTTACAATTTTTTTTCAAACACACAAAAATTTGTTCGAGCGATCACTAAACTTTTTTGGTGGCAAAAAACGAAACTCTGAAAAATCCACACAAAAAAATGTCTGAATATCCTACCATGACATCGTCCTCAGTGGCATTGCCTCGCCACCAATCCAACAATAATTCGGCCAACAAACGAACCATCCATCAAGTAGTGGTCGAAACCAGACCACCTCAAACTCCATCACTGGACGAAATTAGTGATGGTGTTGAAGATGAGCTTAATACCACAATTAATACTCATCCACAAACACAACCAATGAAAAAGTATAAATTTGATTTGGAAATTAATAGAATTGATGATGAAGATAATCAAGATGATGAAATTGGTTGTTCCGAAAAGATTGAAGATGAAGATGAAGAAGAACAAGAATTGAAACCAAGACAAAGTTTTACTCAAGAAAATACGACACCAAATGTTGATGATATTGAGATGGAGGTAGATAATGAAGAAGATCCATCGATCAGTGAAAAGAATGATGGAGGAAATAATCAAGATTTAAACAATGATGTTGCTGCAGGACAGGAACAGGAAACACAAGGTAATGATGATGGAAATGGTTTGGAAATTCCTCAACCAATCGAAACTGGCCATACTAACCATGGAATGTTGAATTATTTTGAAGATTTTGCATTAGAGATGGATAGCTCTGGACGAGTTTATTTTGAAGTGGAGATTTGTCATCAGACACCTTTGGTTGAGGATGAAGTTTCATTCGAGATTGGAATTTGTAATAGTAATGAAGAATTGATAGCTATGAATAATTGTGGAAAAGTTCAATTGAATATGGAAAGTGTCATGGATATGGGAGTTGGATTGTTGAAAGAGAATGATGTAGTTGGTGTGCTTTTCAGTTTTGGAAAGATTTACTTTGTGCACAATGGAAAGAGAATTGCTCATGGTTTTGATTGGAAAGATATTCAGAATAGTTCTGGAAAGATTGTTTGTAGAAATAACTCTCAAAAGTTCTGTATTAAGAATAATAATTTTCTCTATTCTGGATATAGGAAAGTATCAGGAAAGGATGATGCTCTTTCTGCTGCCATTAAAACTCCATTCACTGAGGTGATTCAGAAAATTACTCAACTCGAGATGGATTATTTAGTGAAAGAGAAGGAGAATAGAGAAATGAAATTATTCCACAATAATTTGAGTGCTAGAATGACGTTGAGTGAAGAGGAAGTTTCTCAACTTTCTGATATTAATATTTTCAATTTGCAAAGCGTTATTCTTCAATCAATGACCTTGTTAAATGATGAGCTGAAAAATCGTAAATAAGCAGAGCTCTCTACATTATAGAGTTTCAATAATCAGTTTGAAAATGAATTTCAATTTATAATATACAATACACCTTCTTATTCTGAAACAGAAGCTCCTTTTCTTCTCATTACCAAATTACCAATCATGTACTTGGTAGTCAGAGTTTGAGCAATAGTTCCAATACCATCCACACCAATCTTTTCATTGTTACCAATATCGACACGTTTGAGAGTTTTGTGATCGATAAGAGCCTTGACTAAACTCTTGGCACCTGCATTATCGAATGGATTTCCGTGTAAACTCAAATCCTTGAGTCCTCTATTGTAAAGGATACCGTCATTACATAAACGAATAAGACCCTCTGATCCAATAGCATTGAATGACAAGTCCAAAGTTGCCAATGTCTTATTGGCCTTCAATCCTTCAGCGAGAGCTGAGCAACCTTCATCTCCAATATTATTATGACCCAAATCCAAACGTTTGAGAAGTGAATTTGAGCATAGAGCTTTGGAAATTGATTTGGCACCATCTGAACCGACTCTATTATAGGAAATATCAAGTCTTTTGAGTGAAACATTGCCTAGTAAGAGATCGCTCAAATAAACACAACCAACATTTCCAATATTATTATGTGAAAGAGTTAATCTCTTCAATGTAATGTTAATAAATAGACCGTCTATTAAATCACAAATACCAAAATCAGAAATCAAGTTAAATGACATATCAAGTGAAGTAATAGTTTGATTATCAGCCAAACCATGGGCCAATAACTTTAAATGTTCATCACCAACATTACAATTGACAATGGATAAACTCTTGAGTGAAACTCTAGAACTTTGAATACAGGTTGTAGTAAGAGCTTTCAAATCTGAAATTGTGAAAGGATCTTCACCTTCCAAAACTAATTTTTCAATATTAGATTCACGTTTAGCATCATTTTCCTTGTCTTCATCTGAAGAAGTATCAATAGCAGCAACTGCAGTCAATAACATAACAACAGACAAGAGTGGTCTCTCAACTCCACAAATTTTACAATCGACAAAGTAATCCTCAACGAAAATACAAGCTCTAATTCTCTTAACCCAATCCTTGGCATCTTGCATACTTGGAGCAGCCATAAACAGTTCACGATCAGCTGCAATAACACAAAACTTGTACTTGTAGGCATTGCTTTCGAGTTTTCTTTGAATTTTTGATTGATCACCTCCACCTGCTGAGCTTTCATTATTTGCAGATGATGAATTGGATCCCTTAGTATTGGTTTCTTCATCTTCATCATCACTATCTAAATCTTCATTATCTAAAACTGTATTAATTCTAATAGTTTGAAAGAAACTATCATAATTTTGAATATCTCCCAAATAATAAACTTGAGCTCCCTTCAAATCCATTCTACCTTTGACATCATTTTCATTCTTTTTAGCATTTTTGAAATAGGTCAACACTGAACCTTTAATTTGGAAATAACGCTATTTACACATTCATCACAAATTTCACATAAATTTCACATAAATTGTTATTCGAAATACATTATTAAAATAAATTTTCATCAAATTCAATTTAAATTTCATCACCAATCATCATTATAACCACAATACAAATTACACATTTCATACGAAACTCAACTAAACACTTACCTTCTTCCAACTCTTCACCACACGTCCTTCCTTTATCAAAAACCCTTCCTTCCACACTTTTTCATTATATTCCGTATAAATATCGAATCCCTGTGATCCAGGTGTACCAACAGGACTCGAAGGAGAAGACAAATCATGATTTGAATTTGTTCTGGAAATTGTTTGCAAAGTTGTTGGAGTAATTTGTGAAGTTCCACCGAGGTAGGAAAATCCGCTGCCACTTCCTTGTTTTTGTAGAGGTGAAGTGGTAGTTGGTGATCCTGTTGGTGTAGAGCTGCCTGAATCCTTCTTCTTGTTGAAGATGCTACGCATTTTTTTTTAAATGGTTTGATGACACGTGACAGTTTGTTAAGTGGATGAACAGATATGAGTGAAAGGCAAGATTGAGGATGATGATCTGGTGACACACTAGTAGGGTAAATGAAACGAATCGTTTTTTAACATTGTTTACAATTATAAATATTTTTGTAACATGTTAAATATGTTTAAATATGTTTAACATATATTTAATTGCCTTTTATCAAGTATTTAACAAATATTTAAATATTTTAAAAAAAATGAACAAAAGCCAACCACAAGAATTTATTCATCAAAATAGCAACAAAGAATTTAAAGATGATAATGATGAAAAAGTAAAAACAATTAAAACTCAAGTCGGAGTGGATAATATTGCAATTTCAAAGAGTTCGGAATATTCTCTTTTTGATTGGTTTAATTATTGGTTTAGGGGAATTACCTTGTCTGTTTCAACATTTGGAGCAGTGAGTAATCCTCATAAATATATTGAAAAACAAGGAGATTTATTACCTGATAGGCTGTCTCATGATTTCTATTCGAGAATTTATCGATTTAATAAGGAGGAGTATGTGGATGCTATTGTAAATGCAAAAGATGATGTACATGCCCCACTCACTCACAACTATGAAGATTGCATGCAAGCAAGGAGAGGAATGACAATATTTGGAGTCGTCTCGGGTGGAATTTTTGGATCTGCCTTTGCCTATGCAAAGAATTTTGGTACAATTACCAATAGAAAGAGATATTTGCCTTATACATTGAGTGGAGTGTTGATTGGATTTACAATGTTTAGATTTGTGATTGCTCCAAGAACTGAGAGTTGTTTTGAGCAAATTATAAATCAAGCTCTTTCAGAGAGAATTATTACAAAGGGATACAATAACATGATGGAATACTATAAACAAAACGAGAAACCAAAGATGGTGAATTGGAGTGACTATGAACTCGATAAGGAGCAACAGGACTATCTCAATACCAAAATGAGAGAACACATGCTCAATGCAATGAAGAAGGCTGGATGTAATAAGGAAAGTATTGAATCTTTCACTGATGGTAATGAACTGGTGTGGAAGCAACATTTGGATGTCAATTTTAAAAGAAAATATCCATCTCATAGAAAGTATTTCGAGTTTTTATAAACATTAATTATTTTACACTTCTTGTGATTTCTTTTCCTCACTTGTTGATGAAACAGGAGTGGAATCTTCTGTTTCTCTTACTTGCAAGGAAGTATCCTCGATCGTTGATTCAAGATCTTTAGATCTCACATCATCATTAGTTGCCACTGGTAAATACATTTCCTTCTTTAATTTTTCCATTTCCTCCTTATATTTAAAGTAAGAGTAAGCAATAGTTCCTAATACAGCAACAGCTATTCCAACAATATGATTAACATTCATTGGTTTATCATTTCCAAAGAATAAATATCCTCCAATAAGAATAGAAATAGTTTTAGCATGTCCTAAAACTTGGAAGCTAATAAAAGTTAAATCCAACTGTTGTAATAATATCAAAATACATACGTAAGTGGTGATAATTTACCAATTACCAAGTAACCAGCAATATTCACAACAAAAGCAGCAAAGCATGAAATGATTACAGAAATCTGATTTGATTAGTTGGAGATTTGAAATGAAAAACTTACGAAAAATGATGGATCTTGGATGAATCTCATAAAGCTATATGAAATTGAATCAACACCATCAATTGGAACTGCCAAAGAACCAACTAGAATTGATGAATACAATGAATGGTTCAATAATAATTCAAAACCATTGAGTTCATATTCTTTACAAAAGTAATTGATGGCCTTTAAGAAATTAGAATGAATAATCTTTTTAAATACTCACAATCTGAGATGATGCTCCAAAAATGATTGCCAACAATGCAATGATCGATCCGAAAAAGTTTAAATAGAAATCTCCTCCAATAACTAAAGCCATTCCTAAAACAATTAACATTAAACAGGCCAAAATCTTTGGTTCTACAACAGTACGGAACCAAACATAATTAATAGCAAGAATACATGGAATTACCATCAATTTAGCCAGCTGATAAACAGTGATGGAATTGTGAATTAAACTCAAGTTTCCTACGAGAATGGCCGAACCAATATTCAATGCAAAGATTATTCCTGTCCTCACTGGTAATATTTTAGCTTTAAACAATTGAATGATCGGGTTGGATGAAACTCTTGTTAACAAAGTCAACAAGATGGAAATTATATAGCATGATAAAAAGTGCAAAGCCATGAGCATTGTACCAGCCACTCGTTTATCCGTATAAATATACTTGTTCAGAAATATAATAGCCACACTACTCGCATAGGAAAATAGCAAATAGCCAGCTTCTTGATATATTTTCGACATTTTAAAGTATTTACAAAAATAATCCTAGATAAATTATGATATATCGTAATGATGATGATGATGATATTTAATAAATTAAAATTTAAATCCAATGAAAGCCACAAAAAGTACCCAATGATCGCTGTCCTTTGTGTGGCTTCTTTTTTTTAAAAAGTTTAAAACTCTTCCAATGTCATTTCCCGCCCTAGAAAATAATGACAGTATCAAAATTTGAACAGCACACGTAACTTACCACATCATCATCACCAGAAGAAAGTGTTGTTGGGGCTGCTGATTATTGCATCTAGTGTATTGAAAGCAATTTGATTGCTGAGTTTTCATTCGGACTCCAATGATCTACTGTATTAAGGGCATTCATTGTACAATGATGAAGGAGATGGCAATTATGAAATTTCCAGAAATTTACTTCTTTTCAGACTTTTTCTTCAAATTGGTAATAGTTTCCTTAAGAATCGGATCAGCATAGGCTTGAGCTTGAGCATCAGCTTCTCTGGTGATCATTTGTTCAAGACCTTGAATTTGTTGCATTCTCAAATTCTTTAAACATAATTTGGTTGCAATTGGAGGATTTCTTGCAATACGAGCTGCATAGTCCAATGCCTTTTCTCTGAGTTTATCTTCACCTTCGACAACTTCATAGACCATTCCAATTTCGAGAGCTTTTTGAGCAGAAATCAAGTCACCAGTCAATAATAAAACACTGGCATTTTGATGACCAAGTAAATAAGGGAGGAATATGTAGAGGCCATACCTGGTGATAAACCAATATTTACAAAGTTGACACCAAGTTTGGCACTTGTTTCAGCAAATCTGACATCTGTGGCCAAACTGATGGCCAAACCAGCACCTACAGCATGTCCATTCAAAGCAGAAATGGTTGGAACTGGAGAGAATTTCAAAAGTGGTTCCAAGAATGAATTATAAAATTGAATCATTCTTCCAGAATTATTATATGGTTGATCATTACAACGTTCCAATAAGAAATCAAAATCACCACCTGCACTGAAAGCAGATTTAACACCAGGAGTTTTAGATGGAGCACCTGTCAAGACAATACATCCCAAATTCTTGTTTTTCATAATTTTATCACTTGTGAAAAGATCTCTAAATTGTTGAGCAGTTTTAACACAGAGTGCATTCATCTTTTCTGGCTTGTTAATAGTAACAATTCCGATGGTGGTTTCTTGATTGAATGGAGTGGTGAATTTTGGAGCAATTTGTGAGAGTGGAACTTCTTCAAAGACAATAAATTGTTCTTGATCCGATGATGATGATGAACGATTCATGGACATGGTAGAGAAGGATCTTGATGAAGGCATCTTCATCATTGAAAAGCGAGAGGAAGAAGTGGCTCCAACAAGGGAGAGGACACGTCTTGAAGTGTTTTTGATCATTTTTTTTGATTGGTGTGAAAAGAGGTTAAATTTTGAATGGGTGATTGATTTCTATTGGATAGTAATTTTTGTTTGTAATCTTTCAATTTATAATGTTTGAGAAATCAAATTGAGGTTGTAAAGTTCATGTTTTATTCAATTGAATCATTGAAAAACAAATGAAATCCAAAATCACTTGAAAATATATTTCCATTTTCTAATAAATATACGATTCTTTACACTAGTTTATTGAAGATTTTTACAAACCTTCCTAATTAATATTTCAATTACCTTCCAATTCAAGGTAAATAGATAATTTATTTAATCGAGGGATTGAGATGCAAAACGTCCAGTATAAACAGCTCTACCTTCAAGCTTCATAAAGACGAATTGACACAAGTGAGTGCCTGGATACAATGCAAGAGAATTAGGACTAATGGAGTGTCAAAATGCAAAATTCATTTCAATAAACTTACCTAGCATTGAAAATTTCCAAGACTTGCTTGTTGTTAATACCTGGTTGCATGAAACCAGCAGTGATGTGAATAGCAAGACCCATACGAGCGAATCTAGATCTACCTTCCAACAAACCACAGAAACTTGGTGAAATACTGACAGTTTCTTCAGTGATGCCCAAAACAGTTTGACCTGGTTTGAGAACAAAGCATTCACCCTTTGGAACCTTAACAACCTTTGAGTATTGCTTATAGTCAACGTCATCAGTAATTGGAATAACATCTTCGGAAACTGTCATTTCTCTGAATTCATCTCCAAGAGTTCTGTATAAGCATTATAAAATTGCATCATATTCAATATTGCATTTTGTATCATCATTTTGTGGTCAATAACATTTTCATTGCATTTTGATGAAATTTTTCATGAATTTAAAAACACAAAGATTTTAAAAAGACACCTACAAGTCATAAGAAGCAGGACCCAAGTGAGACAAGTTGAATGGAGTGATGGTAATTTGTCTATAGAGTTGCATCATTAAAAAGGTTCATATCAAACGTTACATTGATCATCACAATGACACACAACAATACATTCAAACATGGTCATCATTCCGAGTAATAATATCAAACAAAAGAGTAGCAGATTTATTGTTGGCACCCTGATGTGTGTCCAACCTTCTTCAACTTACTTGGCTTGAATAGCTTTCAAAATCGAGTCGCGGGAGAGAACAGACATTTTTTTATATTAATTTATATATTAAATAATACAAATGATATTATTAGAGTATCTTTGTCTTGATTACTTTTTTGGGTGCATCAAGAATTTTCTGCTCCATGCAACTTTCCAGGCGGCGGAATATATGTGAGGATTTATTTGACTGTGTATTACTTCATGAAATTAATATTAAACACTGTTTGGTACTACAGATTTTACACTTGGAAGATAACGGGTAAAATTTCATACTGCTTTCATTCATCTGGGTAATGTCAATCAGCTTATTAAGGTTCTAATGGTTTCGTATTGTTACACCATCACTTGGCTGGGATAAATGGAAAAAAAAAGAGTCAACTAGTTCAATATTTGCTTTCAATTAGTTGGTTGAGCATAGTGGTATTTTAACCATGAACCGTTCTCATTACTTTTCTAAAGTTTAAAAAATAGCAAAATGAAACTTATCAATTTTCTAAGTCTTCTTGATAGCTGTTGGTGCACTGTCTTCTAACTTGGTTTCGTCACAAGAAGTTAGGGATGTTTCTTTGAAAGTATGTTAAAAATCTCTAGATTTAGTCAATTACAAGCTTTTAAGATACACTGGCTTCTCTATCGACCTAATTCAATTTCTTGTTTCCAAAATGACAAACGTGTCCATTGAATTTTATGAAGCTCCAGATGGTACCTTTGGTAGTCCAACTGCTGCGAATGTGAATGGAAACTGGTCAGGAACCATCGGTGAAATAATATCTGGTCGTGCTGATGTCATGATTGGCCCTTTAACAATTACTCAAAGTAGACATCAAGTCATGGATTTTACAACAAGTTTCTTTGATGTTGGACTTTCTATTCTAACTCTTAAACAAGGAGAGGAATCTAATTTATTTTCATTCTTATTACCATTCTCGTGGGAGGTTTGGATTTTGATTTTCGTGAGTGCATTAATAGTTGCCTTGCTAACATGGGTTTTTGACCATGTTTCGCCTTATGGACATTCGAAACAATCAGACGAATCAAAGAATGAATTTGATTTTAGTGGTTCGTTAATCAATGTATGACAATATCTGGTCAAGACGGAAATCCAGGTAAAAGCTGGTCAACCAGAATCATGTTGTTAGGTTATTTCCTCTTTGTCATGATTATTCTCTCAACTTATACAGCTAATTTGGCAGCCGTCCTGACAACAAAGGTTCAATCCACAAGAGTTACTGGACTATCTGATATCAGAACCTACGGATTCAAGTTTGGTGTGGCTAAAAACTCTGCTCCTGCTTCTTACATTTCCAGCAGTGAAGACATGGCAGATATCAAAAAGAATATGGTTGTATTCGATTCCCTCGATGATTGTTTACAAGCTCTGAGAGATGGAAAGGTGGATGCTTTGATTTGGGCAAGTGCCATTCTCGAATATATGGCCAATCAACCACCATGTGATACTTTGGTCGTTGGTGATTTGTTTAGTCCTGGAAATTATGGTTTACCTTTTGCTAAGGGAAATTGGATGATTGGTCATTTCACTTCGGTGTTGTTGTCGATGAGAGAAAGTGGACTTGTTGAGAAACTCAAAAGGAAGTGGTGGATTGATAAGGGAAGCTGTTCATTGGTTGAATTGACACAAACAGCAACAGGTGTAAAGATTCAAGACTTGGGAGGTATCTTTTTGATTTTGGCAGGTTTTGTAGTTGTTGGTGGTGTGGTTTTGATATTCGAATTAGTATATAGGGCTGTATATGACAAGACAAAACACAAAACTAAACATCTGAAATATCTGAATAGATTCTTGGGAGGTGAAAAGCACCTAGTTCAACGTGAGAAAGATGTACAGGAATTGAACACCACGAATATTGCAACTCCAACACTCGAAAAAGATGGGAATATGAACCAGTAAATATATTTTAAAAGGGATATGTAGATATTGATATTTCGTAAATTAAGGTGTTTGGTGGCTTTCTTTCCAAAACTCTACAAGGCAAAACTAGTTAAATTTTCAGCCTCCAAAGACATTGAAATTGATAATGGGAATTAAGGCAGAATATATTTAATTACCTCGGGTTGAGATTGTCAATGGCTACGGCCATATCACGATGAATGCACCTCATCCCGTCCGATTTGAGAAGTTAAGCATCGTCGAGCCACATCAGTACTGAGGTTGGAGACAACTTGGGAACCTGTGGTGCTGTAGTCTTTTTTATTTAACATTTTTTTATTCTGCCTTAATAAACTGTATTGTCTAGACTTTCTTTGAAACTGAATTTACGTGAATTTATTCGGCTGGAACTTGATTTTTACCACCTTATTAATAATACTGAATTTAAATTTCCATAAGTCCATGTTACACCATCAAACAGCCTTTCTTTTTTTTATGTAGAGATAATACCTCTTCCAGCACTTTTTTTGGATCATCAATACGTACTCGAAACTTTCTAACACATTCTTCCACTAATTTATCAATATTTTCATTTGTTTTTGCACTTGTTTTCAAAATTGTACAATTAGTCAATTCAAATTCTTTTACAACTTCTTGTACCATTTCCAAATTAATTTCATACCTATCAGGGAGATCACATTTGTTCATGGCAATCATACAGGGAGCATTCTTTCCCTTCCTATCTACAAATTTACTTATCAATATTTTCAATTCTTCCAAACTTTTCTGGTCTATCATTGAGCAAACAAGAATCAAAACATCGAACATGCAATTTTTCCAATAATAATCAGTTTCTTCCTCACTACACGTATCCAAAAAGTTTACAGTTTCCTCTTCATCATCCACAGAGATTGTTCGTTTGTACGAATCATAACCGGTAGGGTCATATTCTAGGAAGAATTGCCCATATATAAATCTTGTTATGATTGAGGATTTTCCACTGCCTCCCCTTCCAATCACTAACAGCTCAATAATTGGTGTATCAAATTTTTTTCTAAATATTTTCCCTTGTTTTTCTCTTGTTCGAATCAAATGAATAAAGTAACCTAAACTTTTAACAACTCCAATCTTGGCGAATTTATCAAAAACATGCAAAGATTCCATTTCTTTTGATTCTACTGATATCGAATACTGATCAAATATCACACCAACAAAAATCCAACAAAATTCATCAATGTATTTTGCAATAAATTTCGAATAATTTGGATGAATCAATCGGAAACTTAATACATTCGGAATGGAGTTTTTTAATTGATGGAAATATTGTTCATGCAATTTTCTTTCAGCTAACTCATAAAACGGAGACAAGTATGAAATAATTTCTGTATGAATCTCTTGGGGAAGTTGAAGAAATTTGGACATTTTTTAATGATAAGAAACCTCCTAAGTTGCTCCTTCAAACAACAACTCACTTGCCAAGGAATAAACATGGATTTAATTAGAAACATTGGGAGTAATATTTTGATGAGATCAAGAAGCCGACATAGCTCAGTTGGGAGAGCGTAAGACTGAAGATCTTAAGGTCCCTGGTTCGATCCCTGGTGTCGGCAAATTTTTATTCCGATAATAACTAATAAGGTGGTAAGAAAGAAGGGGTACAGAGCAAGACCTAGAAATAGAAGAAATTCTTCATCTAACTTCAAAGAAAGTTTATTAAGGTGGAATAAGAAGGAAAAAACGACAACACAGGTTCCAAGTTGTCTCTAACCTCAGTACTGATTGGAAAATTCCATTCCTTTTAAACAATTTAAAACTTGGAAATCGTCTAATACATTCAAATTCCACTGTTTCAATAATTCAATCATAAATTCCTTATCATTTCTTAGAGAAGGTGGTTATTTTGAAATGAAAATATTTCAAACCCATTTCCTTATCATTTCCAATTTGGAAATGAATAAATTGTAGCAAATCTTAAAGCACATTGAATTATTGTAATTGTTGGATTATTTCAAATAACACCAATATCAAGTGATGTTAATTGTTTCATTTCACTTATGAATTTGGATCCTTCTACACCAATTTGATTGTAAGTAATGTCAAGTGATGTTAATTGTTTCATTTCACTTATGAATTTGGCTCCTTCTACACCAATTTGATTGCCAGTAATATTAAGTGTTAATTGTTTCATTTCACTTATAAATTTGGATCCTTCTACACCAATTTGATTGTAACCAATATTAAGTGATGTTAATTGTTTCATTTCACTTATATATTTGGATCCCTCTACACCAATCCCATTATAATATATATCAAGTGATGTTAATTGTTTCATTTCACTTATGTATTTGGCTCCTTCTACACCAATTTGATTGTAACCAATATTAAGTGATGTTAATTGTTTCATTTCACTTATATATTTGGTTCCCTCTACACCAATTCCATTATAATATATATTAAGTGATGTTAACTGTTTCATTTCACTTATGTATTTGGATCCTTCTACACCAATTTGATTGTAAGTAATGTCAAGTGATGTTAATTGTTTCATTTCACTTATGTATTTGGCTCCTTCTACACCAATTTGATTATCAGAAATATAAAGTGATGTTAATTGTTTCATTTCACTTATGAATTTAACTTTATCTGGAGAGTTACGCAACCTATAACAAAACTTAACATTTACAATACTATTCTTGAATTGGCTTTTCATAAACAATTCAATTCTATTTTCTGTAAATTGTTTTTTAAATTGAATAACAAGTCTTGAACGTTCCCGGATCACATTAAAGAATTGTTTTGAAATTAAAGAACAATTATTCAAAATAAACCACGAATCATCAATCATGGAAATTATGTCAAAACAAACATCATCTGAAAATATATCTTGTTGGAGTTTCACAACTTTTTTTGCTTTCTCTTTCATCGAATAATTATCATTAATCAATAGCTCCTCCGAAATTAATTGATTTGCAAAATCTTGGCTGATTCGTTTGCTCATTTTTTTATTACTAATAGTTTTCTTCATATATCAATTATGCCAGCCATTTCATTGAACTAATGTCTATTCGATTGGTCAATCAAGAAGAACAACCAACACAAACGAATGTAAGAGAAAAGCTAATGCAGTTACTCAACCAAGAAAAAGAAGGAATGCTCATTTCCCTATGGCATCGTTCTGCAAATTGACGATGGCGTATTTACTCTTTGAGCTCAAGTTCACTTTAAAATATAAATACTTGTACAGTAAGTTAATATTGACAAGTTGCTAGATAACCAATCTGAACCTTCGAATAAACCATTGCCATTTATTTCACTACATGGTTGGATGTATCAATCTTGTTTGATCGAATTTAAGTGCAATATCTTTGCAAGGTCTGTAACTTTGGCGGCCCTTGGTAAATCTTGCTTATTAGCCCAAATTAAAAATTTGGCATTTGATGGATCTTCCATAACTTTACAGGATGAGGTGCATTCATCGTGATATGACTGTAGCCCTCACTTAATCGAATTCTTAATATAAAAACAATAATATATCAAATCCTAAGAAAATAAACTTAATTAAATTATGAAAATTACAATGTATTAATTATTTGGTCTTTTATCAAATATTGGAACTTTTCAATTTGTGGTCAGTCTAACCTTGAAGTTCGTTCATTCTGTTCCTTTTTCTTTATTATTCCAAAGAGATGGTTAATGAAAGACCAAATGAATAATATCCAAAACCCATGGCTACTCCTTCTTTGGAAACTCGTTAATCATATTTCTTTCCAAAATTATTAATTGACTGAGCAAGTACAAGTTTTGAAATCTATAAATTGTGGAAAGTAAAAAATTAAAAACAGAATACAAAGAAAACAAAATGAAAAGATTTATTTCAATTCTATTAATTGCATTGACGTTAACAGTTCTTGCTCTTTCATTCACATCAGGAGTTAGTGCCACCACTGAAGAACAAGCATCAACTCTCTCCTTGTATATTAGAAAGTATGGAAATAAGAAGAGAAATCTCAAGAAATACAGATTAAAGAAGAGAAAGAACAACAGAAAGCTCAACAAGTACATTGATACCTATGGAAGAAAGAGAAGAGGATCAAAGAGATTAGGAAAGAGGAGAATTATCAGAAAGAAGGTTGATGTTTATGGAAAGAAGAGAAGATTGAATAAGAAGAGAAGAATTGATACCTATAGAAAGAAGAATAGAAAGAATAAAAGAGGAGGAAAGAGAAATAAGAAGGTTGATATCTATAAGCGTAAATAGAATTTCCTTAAATTTTGTAATTATGAGTAATAAACGTGTGATTCCATTCAATCTTGTTTAACATGAGGCCTTAGAGTCTGAAAACTTGAATAAATGTTTGGAAGTTTGAATCATGTATAAAAATTCCTTTGGAATGTTTGCACTCCTCAAGCATGGAATAACAAAGAATGTATGTCCATGCACTCTTAGTCACTCCCGACGGTCTGTCTTAGGGCGTACAAATTTTTCCTCACTAACTGCGTACTATCTCTCTATTTTTATTTAAAAGGCCATTAATCGAAAACCTCAAATGAAACCAATAACAAAAAAAACTAATCAATTGATTAACTGTTAATAATAGTCATCTATTTAGCTCAAAATATTGAAAAAATCATGTCCGCCTCATCAAATTCTAATAATTATTCATCTGTTGTAATTGCAGGAGCAAGTGGTAATCTTGGTAACCAAATTGTTAAAGCTTTTCTCAATCAACCAAATGTTAGAACTCATATTCTTGTTAGAAATGAAAGCAAACACAAGGTTGAAGAATTGATCAAGTTGGGAGCTCACATTATTGAGGGAGATGTAACAACCTCAAGTGTTGAAGAGTTGGCTCAATCATTCAAAGGAATTGAAGTTATTGTTAGTGCACTTTCTGGTGATCATTCAGTTGTTTTTGATGGTCAACTGAAATTATTGAATGCTGCCAAGTTGAGTGGGGTTAAAAAGTTTGTTCCTTCAAGTTACGGTTTCAATTTCCAAGATTATTTGCAATTAGGTGATAGTTTACTCATTGATCCAAAGAAGAAATTGATTAATGATTTGCAATCTCAAAACCAAGTTGACTATCTATTGATTCACAATGGTTTATTCTATAGTTATGCTTTCTTTCCAGGTTTCCTATTCCAAAAGGAAAATGACACTATTAAATACTATGGAGATTTGAATGTCAAAATCCAATTGACTGACACTTTAGATATTGCCAAGTATGTTGTCGAAGCATCTTTGAATCCACAATTAAAGAACAAATCCATCAACGTTGCTGGTGATGAAAAGACCTTGGAAGAATTAGCTCACTTGAGTTTCCCTCAAACTCAACTCAAATTTGAAAAGTTGGGATCCGCCCAAGATTTGAAGAATCTCATCCAGAAAGAAATTCAACAAGGATTGAAACCAGAACAAATTGGTCCAATTATTTATCAACAATTACAATGGATTGCAATTTCAGGAGTTGCACATCCACCAAAAACTGATAACGATCTCTTCAATGTTAAACCACTTTCATTGAATGATTATGTAAAAAATCAAAAACAATAAACCCTATCCTGTACTATAGTAACGTTAATATTAAATCACCTACAAATTCTCAATTTTTAACAAGCTTCTTCATTGCGCTTATCATTGATGGCAAAGAAAAACGAATAATTAATCAATTTAAAAAAAACAAACAACAACGCGTCGCAGCGAAAAGCGAGGAAAACTCTGTGTTTTTTAATAATAGGACCACACAACAACAGCAAGTTACTTGCCGACTACAATAGTACACGTGGTGGATCATCAGAAAGAGAGGATTATTTTAGATCGGCTCGTTTTTTATATTGTGTTATATTCTTCTGTATTATATATTTAGTTGTAAATAGTTTCGGAAGGAAATGAACATTCTCTTCTTGGTTGATACATCTTCATCGATGAATCAACTCACAACCAATGGGATGAAATTGATTGATATTTCCAAGCATTGTATTGAACATTTCATCAAGAATAGACAAAAACATTTAATGCACCAACAAAAAAGGGATAATTATCTATTGGTAACATCTGGACAAAAGGTAGTTGTTGGATGGAAAGATGCCACGGAATCATCATGTTTCCTTCAAAGATTGAAATCCCTAAAGGCTAATGATTTGACTGAAATTGGGCCATCTTTGAAAAAGTCTTTTGATGTTTTAAATCAACATCGGCTTCAAAAAGGAGTGGACCATTATGGCATGGGAAGACATGCAAGTGCTGTAGAAAATTCTGCTATTGTTTTAATTACGGATGGTGAAAGATTAACTCAATCTGTTAATCCATTCGACCAAAGAGTATTTGTAAATCAATTTTTGGATGCCAACAAATTGACACTCCCTAATCCACATTCATATTCTACAAAATTGACAGAGGAACCATTTAGATGGGATCAAAGAGTGTTCAGTATTATTTTACAATTTCAAGCTGTTGGTACTTCTTTGACAACTGTTTCTCCATCAGCTTCACTTAATCCCTCATTGGCCAATCAACAACAACAACAAGCCAATTTGACAAATCAAACACCAACTATTACAGATAATCCAATAGCTCCAATAAGTGAAGTTACAGGTGGCTTATCGAGAACTTTCTCAAATATGGTTTCTCTCCTAAAATTTATGGATGATTTATCTGGTGTTCAGCTTGCTAGACCTTCAGTGGTTGTAAATTTTGACATTGTAAAAACATTGAATAATAAGCAATCCAGTGTTTTCCCTCCAACAAATAATGAGGGTCTAGGAAAAACTGTACTACAATATATTACTCAACCTCAGCAAAGAGAATCCTTTTGGCCAATACCAGAGAACTATCTTCCAGGTGCTAACATGACAGAACTGCCAACAAGAAGAGCTCAACCATCTATTTCTTTACTATATACTGAAAAGAATGATATTCTTTTGACAATGGCTCTTAACAAATTCCCAATTTATGATATTTTTGAAATCAGTACTCAAAGTCCAATTGGAAAATATGTTATTCAACAGTCAAGCAGAGAAGGATGCTATAAAGCCTTTGTAACAAACAGTACTCCGAGTAATTATGGATTTGGAGAAAGTTTTGGATTTTTAAAGAAGATTGCTGTCCAAAATAGTACTGGAGAAGTTGAAAATAAGATTTATTTCTACCTTCTGCCATATAACTTTTTGAGATTATTTTATTTGATGAATGAGTTTGTTGTAACCCACAAGTCTCAACCCTCAGCTGCTTGGATCCAACAGTTCCATAAATTTGTACAGAATCTCCCTGCCTACTATATCAAACCACTTAAATCAGCGATGAACAAATGGTTTGGAGCATTTGCCCATTTCCCTGATGTACCTTACGAACTACCAAGCTCATTACAACTCTATTACAAGCAACTAGTTGATGAGGAGAAACGATTTAACAAAGATATGGAATTAGAGGAAAGTGGATCATCTACCAATGTAAATTTACCAAATGACTCACTTCCAAAAAATGACGACCAAATGCAAGATCCTCCATCCTTCCCAATAATCAGTTTCACAAATCCATATGTTGCCAAAAAGGAAACCAATAATTTAATTAGAAATCCATTCGATATCGACAAAACATCACTCCTGAAACAAATGAAAATGATGAGCCAGTACCTTTTCCATTCAGTTGTTGTAGAAGTTCCAGAAGATGCTGACCATTCTAAAATACCTTTGGATCAACATTTAAGAGATTTATCAAAAGAAGAAATTAAGAAACACTCCACTCCAATATCTCAAATGGGTAACTTTGATAAGGTATTATTGTCTAAGGAGGTTTTGAGAGACCCATTCGAGCCTCAAAAGCAGAAACAAGTCAACTTTGGAAGCCCATATCAGAAAAAGAAAAAGAGATTGAGATCAATTCATATGAACGCCCCATTACTTCTCGATAAATTAGTTGATGAATCTGAGATGGATCTGAAACAAAAGGAGGAGGAAGAATCATCAGAATTTGATGCAAAGGTGGAATCAATGCTCTTATTAGAACCAAACATTGCCGATTCAAATGTATCATCAATACCAGTTGAACCTAGTTCAGCTCCACTTGAAACACACGAACCTTTTGAAACAGAGTTAGAAAAGATTGAACCAGTTCCACCAATTATTGAAGATGCTGTTCCAATTATTGTAGATGATGTAATACCTGACCAATATGCAGCCCTAACACAAAGTAGTACTAAGCCACAATCCCCTACCTCAAATCTTCCTGGTAAAGCGGCCAATTTTAGACCTCCATCAACCAATAGAAAATCTAAAGCTAATCCTCAAAAAGAACATGCTCAATTATTTGTTGATAGTTTCCAAAACAACCATGAATGTTTACAATTTGTTTCTCAACTTCCTGACCCTTTACTTTCAGCTGTTGTGACGAGAGTAATGCAACAAGAATTAACAGATGGCAAAAAGAAACAACAACTAGATGCCATTAGATCAAAGATAAGAAAAAGAAAACGTAAAGACATGGAAGAATTGGAAGAAGCAAAAGATATTACTTCTGATATTAATAAGGTTCATTTCCCAACTAGAGAAAGTAGGACAGTCTTTGTTAGAGAAATAATCGCTATAGCCGCTTTATTTAAAAAAACCAAACTAGCTCAATTATTGACAGAAGAGCTCTAATTATAATGTACAGCTTTATTCATTCAAAAATTCAAAACTTGACTCTTCTTGATTCTCAGTTTTTTCTTCCTCCTCATTTCCAGCAATGAAATCAAACGATGATTTTTCTTCGCTAACTGGTTCTGATTCAGTTGGTTCTATAGTTGATTCAATAATTGGGACTTGTTCAGTTGGTTCTTCATCTCCTGATGCGATAAAATCAAAGGACGATTCCTCTTGTTTTGGTTCTTCTTCATTTTGAGACTCTTCAGAAATAAAATTGAAGGATGATGGTTCAGTTGTCTCTTCAGTTGGTTCTTCAACTTGCTTAGCTTCTTCAACAACTTCTTCAACTGGTTCTTCTTCAGTTTTAATAAAATCGAAAGAGGTTGATTCCTCAACTGCTTCATTATCGTTACTGTCATTGAAGGTTTGATATTCTTCAACATGTTGCTCTTCTTCTTGTGGAGCCTCACTAACAGTAGTAGTGGCAACGGCTTCTGTTGATTCTTCTACTTTTTCTTCCTTTTCAGTAACCTTTTCTTCTACCAACTCTTCTTCCACCTTTTCTTCCTTTGGTTCTTCAGGAGGAATTTGAGATTTCAATTCTTCAATTTTAGTTTTGACTTCTGCAATCTTAACCTTTGTTTCTTCCAATTGTTGGTCCAAAACTTCACATAAATCAAATTGCTCCTTTTCTAAAGCATCATTGATATTGTCATTAATCTTACTTTCTGATTTCTTCAATTCTTCAAGATTAGATTCTAATTTTACAAGCTTATCCTTTGGAGATAAATTTTCCTCAACAACTTTGACTTCATTAACTTGGACTTGTTGTTGTTGATTTGGAGATTGCTCTTCAACCTTTTCAATAACTGGAGTTTTAGGTTTTGGTACCTCTGGACTATTGATTGACTTTTTCATTTCGAGCAATTCCTCATCTGATAGTGAAATAATTGACTTAAGCTGTCTAACTTGATAATTGAAAAGAGCAATTAATTCATCAATAACATCAAATCTCAACTTGAGTTGTTCAGGTGCTTCAACTTCTAAAAGCTTTACGCGATTTTTTTCCAAGAAATCTATTCTCTTCAAACACAATCTAATGAATCGTTTAGAATCCACCTTATCAACTTGTTCAAGTCTGTTGTGGGTAGCATCAAGTTCTTGGGTCAATCCTAGCTTTTGTTCCTCCAATTGTGTTTGTTCTTGCTTTAAGCTTGGGATACTTGATTCAAGTTCCTGAATCAATTTGGTTAATTTATCGCTTTCTTCTTTACATTGAGCAGCTTCCTTAAATTTACGTGCTTTAGCATATTCAAGCTTGTCTGCCTGTACTTTTGGCAATCTATCATTTGCTCTTTGAAGTTGTTGAGTTGAGTTATCCAATTCCATTGAAACAGATGAGAGATGAGATTTGAGGGTAGACAATTGTTGACTGAGAGCTCCTAATTCCTTAATTATTTGAGGTCTACTGTCATTAGGTGAACCTGGACATTCTTCCAGTTTATCCAATTTTTCAACCATGTCAATTATTTGTGAAACTCTTACTTGTTGGGTTTGTAGGTAGTCCTTGTATTGTCTCTTATCCATCATGGCATCATATTTCTTGGTTTCTTTGGTTTCAATATTGGTCAAGTCCTTATTAAGAGTTGCAGAAAGTTTTTCAAACGAATCAACATCATCCAAATAATTTTGCTTTCTCTTTTGGAATTGTTCCTCATCATAAGATATCAACTTGAGTTGTTCATTAAAATCTTCCTCATACTTCTTGATTTTGTCTGTAACATCACTAAGTAAAGAAAGAACAGTCTTTTGTTCTGCTCTCTTTTCTTTCAACTTTCTTTCAAGTTCAGCAATTTCTCTAGAGATTTCTTCATTTTGATCTCTTAAATTATCTTCTTGAATTCTCAAATCCTTTGTAGAATAATCAATTTGGTCAGTAATTCTTGTCTTTCTCTTTTGGAATTCATTCTCTTCCAATTTAATGCTTTCACCCATTCTCTTGATACGATTAGTTTCTGATTCTAATCTTTCACGACGTAATTCCTTCAATGGATTATTTTTCTTTAAAAAGTCATCATAATCCTTCTTTGTTGTTGTAAATGAGAAATCAACTCTTGAGTAAACAAGATTGATTTCCTTCTTCATTTCAGTCAAAGTCTTAGAAATTGCAGAAATATAAGAATCGTTATTTTTCTCGGTCACTTGAATTTCTTCAATTTTTGTTCTCAACTCTGTTAATTCTTGTTCAATTTGTTCAGCCTTCTCGAATTCTTCCTGTTCAGTATATTCATCAAGTAATTGTTCGAGAGATTGAATTTTTTCTTGAAGAAGAGAGAATTGGTTCTCCTTCTTTTCATCAATCTTCTTTTGTTCTTCATCAAGCAATTTTGAAATTCTAGTTGAATATTTTGTAAGAGATGAATTAATTGTAGACTTGATGTTTATCCAATCATTATCTACTGTTTCCTTTTCCTCCTCAATAGTTTCCGATTTGAAGGAATCTCTTCTTGTTGGTTTTTCCTCCTTGATTGATGTAACAACTGGACTTTCAATATGCTTTACAGGAGTAGAAGCTACAGGAGTTGAAGCAGAACCAACTTCAGAACTTGAACTACCTCTATCAAGTCTTCTTGGCTTGACTTGTAAAGAAGCAAAATCAATATCATCAGAAGGGCTTGAGGATTTTCTTGGTTCTGCAACTACTGGTGATGGTTTTAATTTTGGTTCCTCATCCTCAGTAGTCTTCAGAAATGATGAAATTGTAGAATCATCTTGTTCCTCATCCTCATTAGTATTACTATTGTTATTTGATTGAATGTGTGTTGTTAATTGAGAGCTGTGATTCAACTTAATATTATTTTCAATGTTTGAAAATGTTTTTTGAGCCATTGAATATTCTCTATCCAATTCATCACTTGTTTGATCCAATTGTTTTAATTCTTCATCAACCTTGCTATTTTTTGCATTCTTTCTTCTTCCTTTTCCTACAGATCGATTGATTTTAATTTGACCAGGAATTGGTTGAATATTTTCAGGTTCATCTTGAGGTGTTGTTGCAGAGGTTGTTGTATCATCATCGTTAATAAAAGAAAAAGAAGATCCAGTATCGTGAGTTGAAACTGTTGGTGTGACTTCTCTGTGGCTACTGAGTCTAGAAGAACTTCCGGATGATGTACTGTTTTGAAAATAATGTTGTTTTTAAATATTACTACTTTGTTTTTAAAACCTACGAGTAAGTAGAAGTATTTCCGTAGTTGCTTGAATGTACTGTCATTCCTCCAAACAATTCATCTCCTTGATTTTGTTGATTTATAGAAGAAGGTGACGAAGAAGCAGCTGTTCCCAAAGGTGGTTCATACTCGGCAGTGCTCTTAGTTGGAGCATTATTCCGTTGTTTTGAATTATTACCTCTACCGAAGAAGCCAAACATGCTTTACTTTCAAGATTTTTTTTATTGATGATGTAATTACTCATAGTACCCAGCAATTACTCATAATGAAACACAGTAAAGATTATTTATCATCAAAATATGATTTAGATAATAGAGAACATTTTACAATCCTAATGAAACTACCCAAGAAGAAAAATTATACAAGGAAATTATAATTTAGAGTTTTGCTAGTTGATGTATTATTAATAATTAAATTATTCAATCTTTGGGTTAACTGGTGGACGGAATTCAACACCCAAAACGTGGTGAGCGCATGATTCAAAAGCACTTCTTTGTGGATAACAATCTAATATAAATTATATTATTATGTTTAAACATTCCGATTCATTAATTAATTCCTTACCTTTGTAGTCATATTCACGCTTTCTCAGACATTCAACGAGAGTAGAGAACTTTGGTTGACAAGGAGAGTTCATAAATTCAGAAGCAAGACTGAAGACACATTTACGACAGTTAATGCTTTCCTTCAAACAATCTACAATATTATAATATTAATTCGACAATTAATGTTGTGTGATGAAAAATAAAATAATAATTTTGATGATCGTCAAATTAAAACACTATTGCGAAATTTACCTTCTGGATTTTCGCTCTTTGATTTACATTTCATATATTCAGTATTTTCAGTTGAACACTTGGTCAAGAGAGCAGGAGCCAAGGCAGCAATGACAGCGGAAGAGTCAATAGAGTATTGTTCGGTGGTAGACATTTTTTTCGTGTAATTACAACATCGCAACAATAAGAGAAGGCTTTAAAGTATTGCAGTCTACTGATTGAATTCTCCTACATGATGGTTTGGAATGAAGAAAAGAATAGAATAATGTACAATCAGTTGCATCATACATGTTTTCTTCTTAGTAATCTTCAGCTCAGTCACAATGAATAAAATTATTGTCTATTAAAATATTTGAAAGGCCAATAAAAAACTGCAAAATTTTATGAAAAACTAACTTGTTAAGGTAAAGAATTAGCATTAATAAACACTAATTTTACAAAGTTACAAAAATTGTGTATGTGAAAATTGTACATCAACACTATTCCTTGTTCATTGACTGTGGTTATTCCGTTGATGCTTTGTGTTCAATAACAAAAAGGAAAAACAATAAAAAAGAAATTGAGGAGGGAAATACAAAGCCAAAAATAACTCAAAAAAATGGCAGACGATCTATTAATGAGTTTTATGTCTATCACAGACGAAAACAACGTTGAAACTGCTCAACATTACTTGGAAGCAGCTGGATTTGATTTGGAGACTGCTGTAGAATTATTCTTCTCTAATCAACCTGCAAGTAAATCCAATTCAAGTGCTACTACTACTACAAGTAACAAGCCTACAATACCCTCCGATTATGAAGATATTAGATCACCTATTCCGCAACAAGCCTCCAGACTGTATGACTCATTTCAAGGAAATGATTATTCCTATGATAATTCTCAATCCTATTCTGTACCATCTTTTGTAACTTCAAATCAATACAACAATAGAGCAAACCAACAATTCCAATCATCAAGATTAACAAAACACGGTGATGAATTTTCGGAAATGTTTAAAAAGCCAGATATTGTATTTAAGGGAAGTTTTGATGCTGCCAAACAAGAGGCTGAAACATCAGGAAGATGGCTTATTGTAGAAATTCAAAAGGATGATATTTTTGACTGTCACAGAATGAATAGAGATACTTGGAATCACGAAGTTGTGAAAACAATTGTGGATACATTCTTTGTTCTTTGGCAAGCTGATGATGGAACTAATCAGGCTGAATTATTTAAAACAAGATATCGTATTCGTTCCTATCCTTTCGTTTGTATTATTGACCCAAGAACTGGAGAAAATATGAAGACTTGGGAAGGTAAATATATCGATGCCAGCACAATGGTAGATTCTCTTCAAAACTTTGCCGATAGTCACTCACTTATGGATCACCTTCCTTCACCATCTCCAAATACTTTACATACTCCAAATCCATTCGATAATATTCCAGTTCAACACCTTCCTTCAACAACGGCAACAACAACAACTAGTCACCATACTGATATGTCAACAGGTGATGAAACAGAGGAAGAAATGATTAGAGCTGCTATTGAGGCTTCACTCCAAGAATCTAATGCCATGCAGGACGATGACGTGCAAATTTTAGATAGTTTCCCAATTGCTCAACCAACAACAGCCACTAATACTATATCGACACCAGTTGTTCAAGAACCACCAAAACCTCAAGAAACACCTGACAAGCAAGTTAATGTTTCCGATTTTGTCGTTGAACAAGGAGATACAACCAGAATTCAAGTTAAATTACCAGACGGAAAGAAGGAAGTTATTAAGATTTTGAAGAGTGCTCCATTGGCAGCTGTTTATGCTGTCTGTAGACAAAAATTAGGAGACAGTGTACCATCATTTACCATTACTTATTTTGACAAGACTCAAAAGACTTTGGAAAATACCTTAGAAAAAACTTTAGGAGGAGAAGGAATTTTAGGAGCTGCTTTATCAGTTGTTCCTGAATAAATGACAAATCCATTACTTTAAAGAAAGTGTATAGCGTAAATACCATTTAAATCATCAAGAAGCAAAAAACAAATTAGCTCACGATCGTAGGTGACAATAATAAACAAGTAAAATGTCAAAAAACTAAACACAAATTTATTGGTGCTTGGCGAGCAATTCCTTGACGAGAGCAACGTATTGTTCCATGGCATCTTCCTTGGTCATACCTTCCTTACCCTTCCAGGCGTCCCTATTTTAATATTGTTGTTATTAATAAAATATCATTTTAAAACAACTTACCATTTAGCTCTATCCTTCATGTAGAAGATAGATGGTTGATCAGTGTTGCAATCACCAACAGTAGCTTGCTTGTACTATAAAATTATTAGTTGATGACATGATGAATATTTAAACATACCAAAGAGTACAACAAAAGGAGATCATCATTGGTTGGTCCAGAGGTCAACTTCTTGATGTCTTCAGCAGCTTGAGTGAAATCTTCTTGCAAACCCATTTTTATGTGTTGTTGATTTTTTGTTTTTTGAAAATTTATTTTCCTTCTTCCGAAGGCCATTTAATTCGGCCCAAGACAAGTCATCAAATTTTTAGTCCGTTGTTGATTGTCGACGTTGTAAAGTTGCTTTCAGTTTATTGGTTTGAATTATCAATTAACAGCTTTGGCACGTCAAGAGTTGAGGATGGCCATTAATTGCATGAAAAGTTTCTTAATTGTTAAATTGTCTAATTTGCAATATTTTCAAATATTAAAAAATGTCAAAGTATGATCCATACGTTGTCGATGACAATGAAAGTAGTTGTGAGGAAGTTGATGATGAAGAAAATGAAGATGATGATGATGATGACGATGAGGACATTAATACATTAGAAACAAAACCAGCCTTGGGATCCTTATTTTCTAGTGTTGTTGAGATGGGTGGAGGTAATTTTACTTGTGGAGGTGCATTGCAAAGTAATTTTGGCTTACCTGGATTGGAAATTATCATTCCGAAGTCATCATCGGATCAATCATCAAGTAATGTTTCTTCATCAAGTGAACAATTTGAATATAAACCAATTGCCTTACCAATTGTTTCAAAAGAACAAGCTAATGAATTAATTTCTCAATGCTCTAAAGCTCCTTTTGGAAAAGGAGAAGAAACAATTTATGATGATAAGGTTAGAAATTCATGGCAATTGTCACCTTCACAATTTAGAATTTCTAATAAGAATTGGAATGTTATGTTAAATGAATTAATGAATGGTGAATTGAAACGTGGATTGGGAATTAATGAAAATGTTAAAATTAAGTGTTCACTATACAAATTATTATTATATGAGGAAGGTGGACATTTTGAATTTCACAGAGATACTGAAAAGGAAGATCAAATGTTTGCTACTTTAGTGATTCAACTTCCATCAGTTTATAAAGGAGGTAATATTATTGTAAAACATTGATCTAATGAGGAAGTTTATGATTTATCAAACGAATCATCATATACTCCATTCTATTTCAGTTTCTATTGTGATTGTAAACACAAAGTAGACGTAGTTACAAGTGGTTATAGAACTTGCTTGATTTATAATGTCTGTTATGTTTCCGGAAGTAAGCCAATCATTACAGATAATACCTCACTTGTTACAACATTTAATGAGATTGTTAATAATTGGAGTCTTTCAACCCCAATACTGTGCTATCTACTTGGCCATAAATATTCAAAAGCAGGTCTAAGCTTTGATTGTCTAAAGGGTAGTGATACAAAGATATTACAATTAATCAGACAATACAATGCCAAACACTCAGAACAAGGTATTGAAGTGTTTCTAGCAATGATGACGAAAACAGAGAGTGGGTATGGAGATCCATATAATATTGAGTGGGAAGAGACTTCTTACAGCATTACTCATATGATTGATGAGAGTGGTCATATTCATTCAAACACCAATAACTTGGATTTGGACGAAAGTGATTTCTTTCCAGAAGATGCTCTAGAAGAATTAGAACAATCTGGTGAAGAAGTAAGTTCTATCTGTACATTAATTTATAACTCAGTTCGTTGTCATCTCTAGATTGAAGAACATACAGGTAATGAAGGAGCTACTGCTTCAAGATGGTACAAATCAGCATGCTTAATCATTTATCCAAAGAGATTCAAATATTTAATGGCATTGAAGTTTGGTGGTTCAAGTGCTTATAAAGGACTCCAGGATTTATGGGAAGCTTATCTGAAAGATGCTTCATTAAGAAATCAACTCGTTCAATATTTGAAGAGTTTTATAGAAAAAACGTATAGTCGTTATATGGTTGGCAATTTTAGTATTGGTAATTACATTTCCGAATTAAGAGAATTGAGTTTGGCAAAATTATTACTTTCTCAATATAAATGTTCGAAAGAAGATGTTATTCAAATGGTATCAGCATTTGGAATTGACCCACTCAGAAACGAAATCATTGGATACTATAAGAACATGGATTTTAATTCCCTTGCTGAATTTTTGGATGTATTTCCTGATAATAATTTGGCTCAATTATTAATTCCTACTCTTCTAACCAATAATAGATACTCTTATAGAAGTAATTCATCAACAGATTATGAGACTGCATTAACCGCTTGCTCAAAGTATAATATTACCTTGGACTCTGAAACAAAAAAGAAAATTCTATCCGATAGTTCATATAACACTACTCAACTCTATCAATTGGGATGCAAACTAAAAGATATTTATTGTTTGATGGAAGTATTGAAAAGATCATTCTCTATCAGCTTGAATTCAAACAGATTCTATTTAAATTCTAATACTGTAACACCTCCTACCACATTACCTGTTAAAATAATTGTAAATTGTATTCAAATTATTGGACTTGATAATTGTAGAGCCACATTAGAACAATTAATTTCAGAATTTGTGAATAGAAATGGAATTTCATCATCTCTAGATAGTATTCAATTATTTAGTGATAATACAGATAATATTCACGTATCAGATTTCATTTCAAAGTCAATTGTTAAGAATATTAAGGCAAGAAATGATTTAAAATCTCAAAACATTGATATTTATGAAAAGATATTTATTCAATTCTACAAGTGTGGAGCAATTGATGAGATGAGTGATCTTGCTAAATTATTAATTTCTAATCCTAATTCTCAATATATTCACTCAACAATTAATCCACTTGTTTTGAAAATTTCAAGAGCCAATATTAATGTTATCAATAGTGAACCCCTTCAATTTTTAATTAGAAAATGTATTCAATACTATGATTCAGTAATTACAAACCAATCAAATGTACCAACACCTAATAATTGGGTCATTAATGCTACTTTGGGTTGTACATGTGGTAATTGTAAATCATGTAATGAATTCCTCAAATCAGCCACACAAGTTACTCATTCGATAAAGGCATCAGCCAGCGTTAGAGATCATGTCGAGAGGGAGTCACGTAAAGTTACAATTGATTTGCAATATGATACACTCAGACAAGGTTCTCCACACACTCTCGTATTGACAAAGATTAGAAAATCACAAGAATTGAAACAGAGAGCATTACAAGAGTCCATTACTTCCAGAAATAATTTAACACCACTGGTGAGGAAAGCAGGAGCATCCACAAATGATCCACCTTCCAAGAAGCTTAAAAGTGAACATTAATAAAGATGATCTATTACGCCACAGAATATTTATTGTTCATCCATTATGTTAAACTTGGTATTCCTTAATAATAATGTTGATGATTTTCTTTTTCTACGTATGTAATTTTCCCATTGTCATTTCATTTGTAATAGTACTATCATCTCTCCTGTTGTTCAACATTTGATTTCCATCAATTAAATAAAAGAATTTATCATTAATTTCGGAATGAGAAGACAGTGTTGATTAGTGATTGTCTATTGATGTTGAGATTGAATTGATTAATTCCATCATTTAATTGTCTAATTGTCTGCGATTAAAAACATTGCAAGAGATGAAAATATTTCCAATTTCAGGAAATCAAGTGTTTGTCTGTTGTTTTTGTAACAAACTGATTCGGAAGGATTTACACTCTCACTTTGTTTACTAATCACCATGTTGAAGAGAGTCATTTTGGTTTGCAAGCTTCATTGTTGTACATCCTTGTTGTGGTGAGTGATGAAAATTTTTTCCAAGTCTATTGCTTGCCATTTTTCGCTGAAGAAATTCTTTGTTGTAAAATAATAGTTAACCAAGAATAAAAAACTTGTTGAAAAAAAATAAGTCGAAAGCACAATGGTTTGTATTCATCTGCTGAATTTTATCTTTGCTTACACTTTGCTGTTTTAATATTAACACTAACCTCCTCTTCATACCCTATTGTTAATGTTGTTCTTCAAATTTAAACTATAATAGCCTCCAAAGAATCCACAAGAAAAGAAGGCCAAGAAAGTCGTCAAGACCTCTGGTAAGAAGATCCAAAAGGGTGACTTCAAGAATTTATTGGCTCCTAGACCAAAGGATATCGGTATTGGTAGAGATTTGGGCGCTAAGATGAACTTGACTAGATTCGTCAAATGGCCAGTTTATGTCCGTCTCCAAAGACAAAAGAGAATTCTCTTGAAGAGAGTCAAGATTCCACCAGCAATCAACCAATTCAGAATTGTTGCTGATAAGCCTTTGGCTCACTCTGTTGTCCAATTCCTTGCTAAATACAAGCCAGAAGATGAACAACAAAAGAAGGAAAGACTCAGACAAGCTGCTAAGGATAAGGTTGAAGGTAAGGCTGCTACTCCAAAGAAGAGTGAATCCTCCCTCATCCACGGTATTAACGAAGTTGTCAAGGCTGTTGAAAGAAAGCAAGCTTCATTGGTCGTTATTGCTCACGATGTTGAACCAATCGAACTCGTTTTGTTCCTCCCTGCTTTGTGTAAGAAGCTCGATATCCCATACGTCATTGTTAAGTCCAAGTCCAGATTGGGTCAATTGGTCCACATGAAGAACTGTGCTGCTGTTGCTTTGACTGAAGTCAAGAAGGAAGATAGAGATCAATTCGCCAAGATTGTTGAAGCCGTCAGAGGTGCTTTCGTTGACAGATTCAGAACTGTCAATACCAAGTGGGGTGGTGGTCAATTGAGCAAGAGATCAATCATCGAACAAAAGAACAGAATCAAGAAGCTCAAACAATAAATTCCAACATAAAAACCATAAATTTAAAATTAAAAACATTTTACTTTTTTATTTACAAAATAGACTTGCCCTTTTACTTTGGTTTTGCAGAGCTCTCCTTAAGGTAAGAACATGGATAAGAATTCATCCATATTTTCATCACGTTCTTGTTGCTTTGTTTCTTCGTCTTCATCTTGGAGAAATACGTTTTCAAAGGATCCAATCATGGAATCTTCTTGGTTTGTATCAATCATTGAAATCTCATCTAGTGGTGTTTGTTGCATTGGCACAGTATTGTGAGAAGGTTCTTGTTGGTAAGATTCAGAGATGAGAAAAGATGAAAAATCATAACTTGGAATATCACTGTTTGAGGAATGGGAAGAGACAGGAGTTCTTGAGACTGGTGAATAACTGTAGCTTGAAGATGCAGTTTCCCTTATTCTCATCTTGTTTGCCTTTTGTTGAGGAATTTTGATTGGTTGATGGTTACTAGCATATCGTTGTTTGAATTGTTGATAGTTAAAGGATTGAGAAAGTTGACTCAAATCTACACTATTCATATTTACAACTGATTGAGTTTGCTGGGAACTGTTTGGTTCATGAACATTACTATTAGCATTGACTGCATTCAAACTTCCACCTCTTGGTGTTGACACTGATGCTCTTCTAATACTGGATCTTCTCTGTCTATGAACTGAATCTGAAGTACCACTTTGAGTATTGCTTCCTCCAACATTGAACATTGAAGTATTGCCATTGCTTCCTTCCAATTCTAACAACTTGGTAAAGAAATCAAATTCAGCACTTGGTTGACCTCCAAATGATTGAACTCTTTGCAAATTATTGTGAGCATTATTGGGTGGAGGACTAATCATTCCACTATTGTTACTAGTGTATGAGCTTCTTGGAGTTGATGAATTAGAATTTGAATTCAAATCCATCATCATTGAATCAGTCATTCCTCCATAACTGAAATTATTTGGATATGAGGATGAGATTCTTACAACCTTTGTTGGAGTATAGATACTATCATTACTATAACTATGATACATACTTTGAGCTGATGTATCAATAAAGAGTGGATGAGAATCATCACCATTCAATTCTGATGTTGCGGTTGTTGCTGTTGTAACCGAATTGAGATTTTGTTGTTGAGGATTAGTATTATTACTATGATACAATTGATTCATCGAATCAGAATGATGCAAACCTGAAACATTAAAGGTAGTTTGCAAGAGAGAAATACCAGATATTGTGTTTCTTCTTTTATGTGAATAATTGCTATTGGCACTCGAAGAATCATGATGAATGGCAGCAGCATCATATTGAGAGGTGGAGGAGGAGAGGAAATCATCATCGGTTGGAGTTACAACTGAATGAGAGGATGAGTTCTTACGTTTCTTCCTATCATTCTTATCAGTCTTGAAGAAAAAGTAGTTGGCTTGAAATTCGGTATTGCTTCTGAATTGCTTGTTGACTTTGAGCAGTTTATCTCCTTTCAATTGAGTCTTGAGTTTCACCTCATCTGTTAGATCGACAATTGAGAATTTGCCATTACCATTCGAATCATTCGTTGATGCAGTTGATATTGTTGTGGCAGATGCAATTCCATTATTGTTGGTATTCAATGATGAAGAGGCTTGTTGCATTCTTTTTTGTCAGTGTTTTGATGAATATTGTTGGTGGAGCTCTCTCTCGTTCCAAGTTTTCATTCTTCCTTCCATAATTGAGGAGCAACAATTAAAACATGTCATCAATTGCTTTGAATTGTTGCAGACTAGTGAAAAATTCATTTCATGCATGCAAAAACCTTTTTTGTAATTTGGAGGACAATATCGACATCAATGCACAATCTGATCCTCTCACATAACCAGCCAATCCTTCTTCTGTGCTCGTTGGTTGTTGTTATTGTTCAATAGTATAAAAAAGGAATGTTTGAAATAGTCCCAATTGTCTCTATTTAATTGTAATGTTCATTGCGTGGTATTACAATGAATCTTCGTGTGAGATTTCTAATATTCTGTTCGATTCCTAAAAAATTCAGCAGCTGTTTGATATTAAATCAGGAAAAACAGGATTTTTTTGACCCAGTAGCCAATTTTTCTAATAGCAATCGAATGAATATTGACAAATCTTACCATGATTGTTTAACTATATTTTTATCACTATTCATACGCTGTCTAAAAATCTTCTGAATAAAATCAAAAAAACAAGCATTAGAAAAGATTAAGCAAATTGCTCCAACATTTGCATGTTTGTGTAATAAAGGAAGTGACCTGACAGATAGTGCAAATTATTGGTGCTTAACTCAAGGAGAATTGGCTTCAAGCAGACTTGAATCAACAATAAAAATCACTTGCCAACATGTTTCCCCCTCAGTCAATACAACAATTTTCATTTCATGCAAAAACCTTTTATGTAATTTGGAGAATAATATTGTAGATAGGTTGTCCAATCTGATCCACAATCTAATCCACTCATTTATCCATGTTAACCTTTTCTGTAAGGATTTGTAATAGTATTTAAAAGGAAATTTGAAATAGTCCCAATTTTCTCTAATCTATTGTAATATTAAATGATGGTGAAATCACTTTGAATTTTCTGAAGATACTGTTGTTGGAGTACTGTTTTTGGCTGCATTCTTAGATGAATCGTCAAATTTAGTTCTAAGATTTTTGTAAGCTCTTGCTGTCTTTTCTTCATTACTGACATAATTTTGTCCGACTCCAGATCCACCATCATTACCAATTTTAGTACCATCTCGTGAGTAAACTCTGTATCTATTGTTTTGAACACCTCTAACTCTATTCTCCTCGATTTCTTTCATTTTAGAGGTTTGAGCTTCTCTTCTCACAAGAGAGGTCATTCCTTTGAAAACTAAATAAATTGCAAAAACGTAAGCCACGTAAGCCATCAATTTCATACCGAGAGCAATGGCTTTAGTTGGAGTCATTCCGTTCATCTTAATGTCGTAAACAAAACTGAAAATGACTGGTGATTTCAACAAGACTTTTTTAACAAGCTCATGTTGGTCTTTGAAATGAGTTTGAATTATAGTTTCTCTTTGTTTCATTTCTTTTTCTTGTCTTCTCTCTGAATTATACTTATTCATAATACCAAGGAAAGTGGTATGTTCTGAATCAGCAAACCATGTCTTTTCACCCTTCTTATATTTTTCAATTCTTGTCAGGAAATCATCATCTGAAAATGGGAATACATCGAATGGATTGTAACGAGATCCACTACTAAATGGATCCTTTCCCCAAAATCCTCTTGGATCTGATTGTCCTGTTCCAAATGGTGCACTATTTGGATTGTTTGGATTTTGAACATTTCCTTGTTTAATTTGAGAATAGGCTGCATTAATTTCAGCCATCTTATCTTTAGCATCCTCTGTCTTGTTAAGATCTGGGTGAAATTTCTTACTCAACTTGATATAAGCCTTTCTGACAACATCTTCACTTGCTCCAAATTGAACTCCTAAAACTTCATATGGATTTTTCGTGGCATTTTGAAAAAAGGATTGTGTATGAAAGGAACGACTTGTTCCGATATTTAATAAATCCAAATAATTATTATTGCGTTTTAATAAATTACTATTATTGCTACTATTAATGTTCCAAAGAAATAAATTATTCAGTGATGATGACAAACGTAAATTGGAGGAGAAGGTGGCGAAAGTTTGTCTTCGAGAGTATCGGGAAATCATTCGAGACATTTTTTAATTAAAGTACAAGATATTATGTGGATGATGACGACAATATATTGTTGAACGAATACTTGCAAAAGTACTCATAAATCAGAAATGATTGAGGCATATTCTTATTGTTTTCATCAAGAATTACAACACCTTTGCAGAAGAGTGAGAGTTTCAAACTTGTGAAGTGGTAAAAATGAAGGGACGAAACTTTGATTGTAAAAACAAAAATCGGTGGTCATCCCAGGAAATTTTTTGAAAAAAAAAGCCCAAACGTAAGTAGACCTTTTATTTCGCCCATCTCGTTACACAGACATTTTAATAGAAAATGCAAAACGACGCCGGTGTCCAAGTTGATTACTATCACCCAAGAAAGTGTACTGCCACTAAGAATTTGATCACTGCTAAGGATCACGCTTCCGTTCAAATCACTGTTGGTTTGGTTGATGAAAACGGTGTTTACACTGGTGAAAATGCCACTGTTGCTTTGTGCGGTGATTTGAGAATGAAGGCTAAGTCTGATGGTGCTGTCAACAGACTCATGCTCGAACAAAAGATTATGAAGGATATCCAATAAATTCTCAACTAAAAAACTATTTAAAATATTAAATTTACCTTTACTTTTTCTAATTACAATAGTAGAATGACATTTGAAAAAGCATTAGATGATATTTCAACATCATTCGTTTTTGCTTATTATTTTCAAAAACAATGTCTCTAATTGGCCCAAAGGATTTATCGGACCAATGCAAAATTCATATCAGCAAGGATTATAACTTGCAGATTGTTAGCATTGTCATTTGCTTTCTGAGTATTATAAGTAGTGTTTTTGTATTTGCAGGAGTGTTTTTGTATAGGAAGGAGACCAAATCGCCTCGGATGAACATTTTAGCGTATGTATTAATCTAATTCTTCTCATCAACAACTTTATCTGTTTTACAATTCTTGTTAAATTTCATTATTTCACCAATGTTCTCTTTCAACAACAATATAACATCATTACGATAGTATAATCAACATTTTCGGATTCATCTATTGTTTATGTATTGAAATTGAATCAATAATTATCACATTGTGTAGGTTTTCGCAAAATGTAATAATACTAATTAATTAATCAACATGATTGTACATCATCAACTTTGTTCCGAATTCAATTCATCAAAAATCATCATCAAATCTGAAATAATACAGTGGGAAATGTCACTTACATTTATCCTCTATGCCAAATTCAAGCCTTTGTTGCAAATAGCTCTTCATTGTGTCTGAACACATTTTCTCTGTGTTTGACATTCTTCCTCTTCTACACAGTGGTTGTTAATAATCAGTATAGGAAATTGAAATCCCTCTACTCTAAACTCATTATCATCTTTTTAGTGCTTTGTTTCCTTGTCTCTATTCCATTCTTTGTATTTATATTTCCTGTTCCAGTTCCAAACTCTTCGAGATATGCAGAGCTCTATGGAAAATCATCGAAATTGTGGTGTGATTTTGCCAATACCCCTAATCATTATATTAATCAAACTGATGATGCATCAATGAGTAGTTTTATTAGTCAATCATCACCTAAATTGCTAATGACATCAACAATATCAACAATGGGAGAATTTTCGAGGAAGAATGCAACAGTGGCGGATCCTGTGGAAACTTATTGGGCTATTTTCTTTGAGATTGGATTCTTTTATGTTCCAAATACTCTAATTCTGTTTGGGTATGTTTCCTATTTCATGACATGAATTAATATTTGGAAATTATAGAAATGTTCTCTTGTTTTTAGTGATTATTGTGAAAATTAGGAGGAATTCAACAATTCTTAAGAATCACCAACAGATGTTTTCATTGATGAGGGAGTCTTCTTCCAACACCTCTATTGTAGATGATTCAGAGGTTTCTCAATCGGTTCCTATTAAAAATCCAAAGAGAGTTGGTTCTATGGCAAATATGAGTCCATCCAATAGGAGGAACACACCATCGGTTGGCTCTCTTGGAAATAATCTTTCATTTTCTAATGAATGTATTGATGAGGACAATCAGGAGGCAATAGATGAAGGAAGGCCATTACTGAATCCAAAAAAGTTTTTCACGAGTAATTCTTCTTCTTTAAATCTACTGGCAAAGAAGGGATCTTCAAATTCATTGGTTATTCCAAAAAGTGGCCCAAAGCCAAACTCAGTCACACAACCTTTGGAGGCATCTCTTCCTAGTACTTTTTCCTTCTTTATGTTTGGAAGTAATATCAAATATTCCACGTTAACACAGAGAGATATTGATGAATATATTCAATTTTTACATTCTCAATCTAGAACAGCCTTGTATTATATTGCCGTATTGACATTTAATTGGATTGTATGGATTGTTTCAAGGTTATGTTGGGAATTTACACAATGTCAACAATCTGAGAGTCAATCTATTATCATTTTCGTTCTTTTATCGATAGCAGAACAATGTAGTGGACCTAGAATGAGTTCCATTCTGCTATCTATTATTTTTGGTATTAGTGAGGATACAGTTTCACCATCAACACTTTTTGACATGTTCCAAGATGTAACATGTCTCAGATATTTTACGACATATTGTTCTGAGAGAGATTCAACAGTTTCTAACAAAGAACCACAAGAAGAAAAACCATTACCTATCGAATATGATAATTTGGTTTTCTTTTGGTTTGATATTTATCAACTCAAAGAGCTAATTATGAAGGAAGAGGAGACAGAGCAAGAATTGAGAAAGAAGAAAATATCTGCAAAGGTTCAAGATATTTGTGATCTCTACTTCTCTGAAACATCACAATTTAAAATCAATTCTGACATTGTTACGAATAAGGAGAAGAACTTCTTGAGGACAACATGTATTAATTATATTAAGGGAGGTGCTCATGACGAATCTGATGACGAATATTCAGAGAGTAGTGATGTTGAAGGAGATTCAGCCTCAACTGTATCAGGAGCTCATGAAGGAGTTCCTAAAGAAGATTTGGTTCTTCTCAACACTTTGAAACAACCTTTAAAATCATCACTTAAAATTATGAATGATTTATTATCAGAATTTAAAACTAGCCCAGCTTTTGATGAACTTATTAATATTTTGAGAATGAAAGCTGTTTCGCAAAGAAGAAGCTTATTCAAAGACATTATCTCCAAATTGGGAAGGTTATTTATTAACTGCTTTGGAATGTGTCAAGTGTTCTTTTTGTCCAGTAGACATGAAAGTGAAGTTGAAGGATATGAAACAGTTACAGATATTGAAAATAAGCATGTAGATCATGTTGATGTACAAATCAAGGACTTGTGGTCCAAAGAATATTCGCAAGATGTTTTCGAATTCCTCGAAAGACTAAAGAATTTGAAATTGGATAATAGAAAGATTTGGGTAATTTAGTTAATATGTACTACAAAGTCAACAACAGAACACTCCACACGTTCTATTGTCATCTAATGTATTGATTAGTTAGTAATTTACAAGTTATTGTTTGAGTTCATCAAAGTATGGATGTTTAAGGGCATCACTTGCACTTATTCTATTTGCAGGATTTATGACTAACATTCTTGATAGCAGATCCAATCCTTGGGAGTCTAAAGGTGTATTAATAAATTTTGATGCAAGCAAATTTACGTTCCATTTAGGGAATGTTGTTCTAAAGTTTGGTAATTGTGTTACAGCTCCATCAGAAGGTGTGCCTAATAATTGGAATACCTTAAATAAATGGTCAATTTCTGAATCGCTTGGGAATAATGGTTGTAATAAAACCAATTCAGCAAAGATACAACCAACTGTTTAAAGTAAATTAAAACAATAAACGAGTTCACTACTTACTTGACCATATATCTACTGAGGTTGAATATTTGTTTGCTCCCAATAAGAGTTCTGGGCATCTGTACCACAAAGTAATGACTTCCTTAGTGAGTGTTCTGAGAGGAATATTGAATTCTCTGGCCAACCCAAAGTCTGCAAGTTTAATATTCCCCTGGGAATCTATCAGAATATTTTGTGGTTTGATATCTTTGAAGAGTTATAAAATAGGTTCAAAATGTGAAACAAACCTCTATGTAATACACGTCGTGCATGACAAAAAGCCAGAGCTTGTAACATCTGGAACATGTATTTCTTCACTAAAATTGGAGGGAAATATGTTTTAGTTTTTCTTTGTTGATCGATAAATACTTTAAGGTCACTATCTACAAATTCAAATACTAAATTCAATTGATTGTTTTCGTGTATTACTTCAAAAAGTCTTTAGAATTTCAATACGAGAAATAGTTCAATAATTGAAACCTACCTTACAACACAAGGGTGACAAATATGTTTCAGCAAGGCAATTTCTCTCAATGTTGTGGATGGTACTCCTTCATCTTCCTTTTCTAATCTAATTCTCTTCACTGCCACAACGTTATTATTTGTTAAATCTATGGCCTAAATGTATTTCAAGTTTAGATTAGATCAATAACAAGTAGAATCACAAAATACTGACTTTAAAAACTACACCATATGTTCCTTCTCCAATCTTTTCTAACTTTTCATATTTGGCCAATTTACTTGATCTGTGTAATGTAGTTGATTCCGTATCACAATCATGTTGTTGACAAATTATTCTTGTTATGTTATTAATTATTGAAACTCTACCCAAAGTTTGCTTGCTGTTGCACTTGTTGTTGCTGTTGTTGAATATGAATGTTTTGCGCGTAAATATTCGGTTGTTGTGTTTGCATTTTTTTTATTTGAATTTAAAAAGTTAGAAATTTTGGCGGCAACATTTAGAAAATACTAATTAAGATGACTAAGTGTTGTTAATATAACAATAAATGAAATTATTAATAGACTCTTTATTCTATCTTTACAAAAAATTAAAGGATTTAATAAACAATTAACGATTTACAAAATGATAATACATATAATACGCCATAATGGTGGTGTGAAATAAGTTAAATAGGAAAAATTTAAAGCTTCTTGGCAAACTCGACTTCTTCTTCGTCTTCCTTAAGGAATTCAATGAAATCTCCGAGACTCTTATCCTTGTATTCCTCAGATGTTGGATCATATTTAAATACATATTCATCTTCGGTTCCTTCCTTCAGTTTGAAAAGATCTTGATTCCACTTTTGTCCATTTTCTTCTCTCTTCTTTCTCAATCCACGTTGTTTTTCTTCAATCAAGTTCTTTTGTACGTTTGCATCTTCGAATTCACTATCAGCTAAAGCTTTGGTGACCTTGTGCCAAACTCTACGAGATTCGTTTAATTTTTGACTGGCAACCTTCTTTACAAACCATGGAGCATGTTCGACTTCCTTAGAATCAAAGAATAAGCTTTGTTTCTTGGTCTTGACACTACGGATTTGAACTTGACCAGTGATTGATCCATTAACCTTGTAGAGACGGTTTCCATCCTTTTTGATAGAACCCTTAATTTCATTGTCAGTACCAGATTTGAATTGAATCTTGGCAGAATAACCAGTACCTGGGCAAGAGATTTTCAAATCTTCATTGATTTCAATACATTGAGTTCCCCATATTAATCCCTTGGCAACAACCCATGGGAAGACAATTTCATACACTTCGGTTTCTGGTTGGTTCAAGAAACGCATTGTGATTGTACCTTCCAAGACAATTGATGCACTGTTACCATGGAATTTACTCTTAGGTTTTATCATGGCATTAACGAGGAGATTGTTTTTACGGTTCATCAATACACAGGAAGCCATTGGGGGATGGTGAGATACTTGTTCCGCAATATATTCTGTTTTAGAAATTTCACCACTTGATGGATCCTTATGGATCCATTTACAAGCAAAAACTTCACCAATAATTGGATTGTATGGTTTGGCTTGCATAATACCACCACGAGGTGTGTGGCTGGTATTACTCAACCACCATTTCAAAACTGAGATGAAACGTTGTTCTGGATCGAATGATTTGTGGGCACTTTAAAGAAACAAGAAACGTCATTATGTTGTATGTTTGACAGATTTAACACAAAAAGTTCAAGTGTCATTTTTCGGTTGATGATGAGTTGAAAAAGACGATTGGAGTTGAAAACAAAGTTTGTTGATAGATAAAGTAGATGATCGTGTCCAATAGATAAAGATCGTACGATTTTTTGATGAAGAAAATTAAATACTACAAAAGTTAAACTAATTACATACCTCAAGATATAATTTTGTGGTCTAACAAAGTAGGAAATATATTCAAGCATACTGATTGGAGCCAACAACGCGGATGGGAGAGAAATTCTGAACAAGTCTGCTCCGGTACGCAATTGTTTAACAACATCCATAATGATTGATCCTCTGCTAATACCCTTTTCCTTCAAGGTTGATTCCTCAGCTTTAAATTGAGTTTGTCCATAATACTTTTGTTCTGTTGCGAGTTGTTCATCTGTTGGTTCGATATCCAAAATTTCGCTACCAGTTGTTGATGTTGGGGTGTCAGACATTTTTTTTCGATGAGTAACGTTCCTATGCGTATTTTCTGTCGTGATGATGCATTAAATTTTTTGGCTTGGATCTCAATCGCGCACAAAATTTCAAAAGGACGCTTGTATTTAAAGTACAACAGCAGATGGACCTCAGGTAAGGAATACCATGTGACCTTTGGGTGTATTGAAATTGATATTTTACCAAGAGGTTCATTGGTGCTAATGATGTTGATGAACAGCAAGAATATCCCGTCCTATTGGTTTGTTCTCATCATTTTGTCGAGAATGCAGAGAGTGCAAAAAAGGCTCTTAATATTCCGTGGAGCTTTAATGGACTCTAAGAATCTCTAATCAAATAAATACTACTTACGAATCGTTCCAACATTCGAAACATATGAAAAAGAATTTTCTTGATAATCATCATATTATAATGAATTAGATGGTGGCTAATGAGTAATGATGAATGGATAATTATCCATTCATTCTAAATGGACGCTCTATGAAATCCTGACATACACTCGTTGAGGGAACATGGTTTTTTCAACGTTTAAGAGATGCTCATCTCTTCATCGTTTGAAATTTACGATTGTATAGTTCATTCAATGGAGAAAAATGGTCTTCTTCCTTGTTTGCTGTTTGACTATATGAAGAATATTAAGGTATTTAGAAAATTACAAAAATATATATAACATTGAAGAATTGTATTGAGAAATTAAGTATCTTCCTCCTTAACAGTGTAGAGGTGAGAATGTTTGTATACATGTCTAAGTTGTTCCTTAAGGAGATTGAATGGTTTTTGATGTTGTTCAATCTCAGAGTTGTGATTCATGCATTTTTCAATTAGATTCTTGCTGATATCTTGTAAGGTATATCCAAATGATTCTCTATATACTCTAAAGAGTTTTGGAAGGATAATTATATTATTGGATTGAGAAGTAGAGTTGTTGAAATTGTTAATAATTTTGATGTTTTGTAGGAGGAATAATTCTGTTTCCTTTCTGACAAATGATTCATAGTTTTCTGGAGTAATGTATGGGAATAAAGTACAACAATTTCTCATTCTCATATTCTTGAATTGTTGTGAGTTTGGAAGGATAGATATTTGAGATTTTTCATTCCACAATAGCTCACCATATCTGTACATTATAAATATCAATCTCAAATCAACATAATTAGAGTAGAAAGAAATAAATCGTGATCTTCTATCAAAAGATTTCATACCATTCCCATTCAAAACATTGATTGGAGGAGCTAACAATTTACTAGAGCCAACAATATTTTTCTGGTCGTGAGACATATCTGTAACAATACCATTAGGATAGCTCTTGTTTCCTCTCAAAATTCCATCACGAATGTCAGAAAGTGAAAATATCAAGCCATCAACTTGATAAGCCATTCTATTATAGAAAATGAAAGTGGCATTATTTCCCACTAGTCTATACTTGCTGCTAGATCCCATTATCAATAAAGAATGATAGAATAGTGTTAAGAATAGGTTCAAAAAGAAACATCTGAATCTAACTCGTTCATTCTTTTCTTCATGAACATCCATAAGACTAGAAAGATCAATTCTTGATAATTCATGGCAAAGAGGAAGTAACTGAGTTAGGTAAATGTGGTTTGTACACACAATTTTTCTAGAATGTTGGGATACAGTCTTGAAGAAAGTGGCATTTCGGAAATTATACTTTTCATATTTAGGGAATATTCCTTGATACATTTGTCTTAGGTATTCCATTAATTTGTAAAGAACTGCATTAGGTTCACACCTATATGGAATGTTTTCAATCGATTCAGGATATGAAAATACGTCACTAATAGGTAAACTCATGTTAATAACTCGGATTGGGTTATCATTACTAAATCTATACAAATAATAGCCATCAATAAATGATAGCCCATAGTTAACATGGTGAATAATGTTGGACTCAAGGAGAAGTTGATAGAATTCAACTGCTTGCTTTCTACTTTCCATATTAATTACAACAAATGGTTGGCTGAGATCATTATTTTGGGTGTTGTTAAAATTCAAAAGCAAATCTATCGCCTCTTTAGATTCGAAACATTTTCTGTAAATCTTTCCTTTCAATAAATTATACAATGAAGTTGAATAATTACTTTGCTTTGGGTAACGAACTCTATCCAGTAGGGTAAGGTTATTCTTCAAATAGGCTATTACAACTTGAATGTGTGAAACTAACTGATCAATATCGTGTGCCAATGGAAAGAATTTTTTAAGCTTGTTCAATACAATAATATCGTCCTTATAGAGAAGAACCAATGAATTGATAGCAGAAAGTGGACCATCTACAATATTATTCTTAGGCTTCTTATCATTGGATGTAACTTGCTTGTACATATTAATCTTTGAAACCTCTTTCTTATTCAGGAATGATACATCATATTGATACTTTACATATTGGCCATAAATGGTTTGGTTATGAGCTGGTACAATATAAGGGGTTATTGATTTGGATTCAAACTGATTTTCAATAAAGTATTGAGAAATATATTCATCATATTCCTGTGATCTTTGAACTGATTGATCACTAATATTCTTTTCCTCAATTAATTGGTTATTAAATTCGGTGGTATAATTAGAATACATATCCATATCATAACTAGGAATAACATTTCTTTCTATACATTTTCTTGCTTGTAAATTATTGTAAATAGAATTAACATCTACATTATAGAAATCTCTCAATACTTCAAATGAAATATTTGGATACTCATTACTCATTTTACCTTCTAATGATCTCAAAATTTCTCCCTGAGGAAGAACAGTTGTAGAGCCATTCTCGTTGAGAGTAAGCTTCATAGAGTTCATAATACTCTTAAGGATTTTTTCATTCTCTGCCACATTATCAGAAGGTGTTGGGATTGGTGAAGTAGGTGATTTTTCTTGTTTCTTTTCGTGTGTCTTATTCTCCATTTCTTTCACTGGAAGAACTGATTCGATTTCATCTTCAACTTCAGAGTTAATAGTCAAAGAGAGCTGATCTAGCCTTTCATCACTCAGGTCTGTTATTTGTCTTGGATTATATGTTTCATCAAAATAGAGCTGGGAGGTAACTTGATTAGATACTTCCTCTTCATCATCTGAGTCATCAGAGTAATCGTCACAAGAGTCTTCTTCATCAGTAATCATACTTAAATCCCTATCATCGTGTAAATAAATATCACCACTTTCCAAATCCCACAAATGTACTCCAAACAATCTAATGTGGAAACTTGGTTTATAGTTACCCAAAAATATATTGATAGCATGTTGTTTCCACTCATCTTTAAAGTTACTACTATAATATCTTTTCATATTTGTCATTAAATCAGCCAAAACACCTCCTCTATTGTGAATATCAACACTAACTGTTCTACTTCCACTGTATTGAATAGCAATATGGTCACTAACTTGTTCATACATTTGCATTAAAATTAAAATGAATTGACCATGGTGAACAAGATGAGGTGATTCAATAATTCCCAGTGAACATAATTGTTCTCCAAGAACATATTTGGCAATAATAAATTGAGCTACACCTGTTCTATCAAGACAATCAATACAATTAGTTCTTAAAACACCAGATTGTTCCTGTATCACTTTTCCATACTTGGATGTTGTGAAAAATTTACATTGTCTTACATGATTTTCTGCAATTGCATGGAGTTCATTCAATGCCTTTTCAGGTTTGTCTTTAATTGCATTCCTGAAATCAAATGGAACATATTCTATATGCTTCTTTTGTTTGAATGGTTCTTCATTTTTGTAAATATTCCTGTTAAGATATTCTATGCAAATCTTGAATTTTTCTCCCAATATTATTTCTCTTGGTTTTTTCTCGTGCTGTTTCACTAGATCCAGACACATGATTGGAGAACCTTCGTATCTTTCGAATAGGTTATTGAAATGATGCATACTATCCAGATAGAGAGGATCAAATTTTGTAATAATAATATTAGGTTTTGAGAGTAGGTTTGATGTGGATGCTTTTGTTGTGGTAGTAGTAGTATTCTTTTGATCGTTTTCATCGACAGTGGTCGTGGTAGTGGTCATTGTTGTAGTGGTAGCAGTAGATTGAGACCAATATAGAGGAATACTTCCTCTCACTTGAACAAAGCTACTAAATGCACCTTGAGATTGATTATTGAATAAATGGTGATTTGCTTCATAAACTATTTGCTCAATTTCAACATGATTGGCCACATGACCTCCATCTGAAATACCTCGTTTAAGGTATCTAGTACCAGCATAATATCGACTTCTCCTTGCAATAACTGTCAATACAATAGATATATTACTGTTACCTGTTTTAATTTGATTTTTCTGGAGTGTTTTGTTGAATTCTTCATGTTGAGAAGGTTTCATTAATTCCTTTGAAGAGTTTCTTTTAACTGGCACTGGTTTGGTATAATCAGCAAGAGCCATTGAAACCTTGGATTGAATAAAGTGGCCATGAATGCATGGACACATCCATTTAGACATTTTCGTCCTCTTCAATGGTTCAAGAAGATGTGAATTCCAAACAAACATATCACATGTTGTGTTTTTTGGTTCATCTCCATAAGTCACTATTGGTGTAGAGTTTTGTTGCAATGTTTTTGTGAGATCATAGTTATAACTAAAGTAAAAATCCTGATTCAAATTAATATTATTAAATAATTCCTTATACTTGTCTTCGATTAACTGTTCTTGTTTTGAAAGGTTGTCATGCATAGATAATTTCACTAATTTAGTATCTTTAATTTCATAGACACTAGCATTACCAATCATTCCAACTTTAAGTCTATCCGTTATCAAAACCAAATAATGATGAGATTTGAGTTCAATAAACCCCAAAATGCCATAAATATTATTAGTATGGAGTTTGATATCTTGTTGAATACTCTTCATTGCAAATTTTATCATGTGCAATAGATCATTGATTTGTTTCAAGCTATACTCTCCAGCATCTTCATTTAAATAATTGACAATGTCACAATCAGCTCCATTGGGTCTATCAATTTTTAACATTTTATACTTTGTTTTTGATCCATTGCATCCAACAAGATAAAATCTATTATATGCCTCGTATAATGTAAAGTTGCTATACTTTTCACCAAATGTAAAATCAATTTTACTATATTCACATTCAAATGATGAATTAAATTCCTGTTGAGGAATATCGTCTCCTCCCGTCTGAATATCCGTATCAGAATTGGTTGTGATGGGCTGAAATGATGAAATTGGAGGTTGAATTGGTGATGATGGTTCCACTACTTGTTCTTCAACATTTCTCATTCGGGATTGATCTAATATTGGCGAATCATCATTGAATTCGTAGGTTGGTGATTTTTTGGATTTTTGATCACCATAGGGTGTGTTCTTTTGTGGGCTCGTATTTGAAGATGAAGGAACGAGCAACCTTTTGATGAACATTTTTTTTGTTAAAAAATCTTTTAAAGAAGCACTTAATATCATTCCGAATATTTTGATTATTTATCAGAATTTGAATCATTGGATGGTTTCCTATTCGAATACGAATATTGAAGTGCAAATTTAACACAACGTTGGAAATAATGACCTTCCCAAAAGAATTTTTTGCAAGTTGGACATTTTGTGACTGTTTGACCGTACAGATCATAAATTCGTTTTCCTCCCATAATTTTGGTCAATTCTTGAATTTCTTCTTCAGTAGTTGCTTTGATACACTGTACAGGATCGTTGCATTTCAAACATCTGGTGTAAATTTTTGCTGGATGAAACATGAGGTGGAATGATTTTACAATATCTGAAATTGAGTCATGAAACTCAACTTTTCTTGAATCAATGAAAAGATATCGAATTTGTTTTGTTTCCTCATTATTCGAATTTTCTTCATTTTCTTCCTCGTCACTATCATAATAATCTTTCACTTTTGGTTTAGTTCCCTTGTTTTCACTCTTAATTTTTGAAGCCAAAGAAGCAGATCCAGTAACTATTATTCTATTCTCTGATCTAGCTTTATAAATAATATAATTCGTGGAATAGGATGGATCACTAATACAATCATATCCCAGTAATCTGATATGTTTGGCAATTTTTGAAATACTTGTATCAGCAATAAATTTTGTATTTCGGAAAAAGCCATTAATTTCAGTTTGTTCTTCCTCAGTACAATCCACAAGAGGTTTATCTTGTTTTAAAACTCCCTTCGGAAATGTAAAATTCGATGTTTGTTCATTATTCTCCTTTTCCTCTTGATTCAGTACGAGAGAATTTGTTTGATTGATAATAGACATCATTTCTTCATCCAAAAATTCATCTTCCTCTCCATTTGCTTGTTCGTCCACATTCCGAGCCTCCATCATAGGTTCATTACTTGCTAACATTTTTTATTTGTCTTTGCAACAACTATTGTGTATTTCTTCAAATGGAAAAGAGTAGCATCTTCATGTTACGCTCTAAAATAGTACATTCTTATTACACCAGTTATTAATATTACCATTCATCATCAAGTTGTTTCCTCTTCTTCCTACCTTGATAACATAAGAGAACGTTACGAAAGCAAGACTTTCTAAAAAATTTTGAAGTTGAAAAAATATTCAAAAAAATTGAATTGAAAAAAATGTCCACCGTCATAGCAAAGAGCCTTCAATTCAAATTTTATTCGGACGAGGATATTGAAAAATTGTCAGTTCTCGAAGTTGATAATGCTATTACACACGATGAATTCCAAATACCTGTGCGGGGAAGTTTATATGATCCAAAGATGGGTCTTAGGGACAATGATGGACCAATGGCAAGATGCGAAACTTGTGGATTGGTGAATACATTCTGTCCTGGACACTTTGGTCATATAAGTATTCCACAACCTGTTTTTAATGTATTGTTAAAAACCGACGTAACACAAGTTATGAATTTATGTTGTCCTTTTTGCGAAAAGTTGCATATACCAAAGGAAGAAAAGACAATATTATATTTGGTTTTGAGACTCTTAGATTGTGGATTACCTTCCGAAGCCATGGAGTTAAACGATAAACCTCTCATGTTTTTGAGAAAGTACGGAAATGAACAAGAGGAAGAACCTATGAGCGAAGAGGAAGCAGAAGAAGGTAAAAAGAAAAAGAAGAAAAAGAAGAAAAAACTTGATTTGGAAACTGAACACTACAGATTTGAAGATGATTATCAAAAGCTTGTCTCAACTACTTTAGGTCTTATCCAACAACAAATTTTAAAATACGACGTGTCGAATGAATTGGAGCTCCATTCAAAATTCTTAAATGACGAAATTGTCTTTGATTTAAAACATCAAATCAAGGAAAAGATTATGAAGACACATGCCCATCCACCTCTTTCCAAGATTAAGACTACAGGTTGTAGAAATTGTAAAGCTGTAAGAGTTCCATTTGCTATTCTCAACAAGGATTGTGTTGCTTTGCACGAGACTACTGTTGTTAATTTTGAATTTTTGAAAGCTCTTAAGGAATGGCATGGTAAATGTATCCACAAGGATTATGCTGACAAGAGTTTATTCGATGATGTGGACCAAGTTGATACCGTTCTTAAAAAGAGAATTGAAAAGCCATTCTGTTTAGCTAATAATTTCCACTTGATGACAACTAAAATTTTGAAGGAAACTACTTCACTTTTCTATAATTACCTTCACACTGATGAAGTAGTAGATATGCTTGACCGTGTTTATTATAATGGTATTGAAACAGCTCTCAATGAAGTTTTATTCAAGATGGATATCAACAATGAAGAAGAACATTTATTTGATCTTATTGCTGGAAGTATCCAAGATAATAGAATCAGATATATGGATTCTTATATTTTACACTCCTTTTTTGATAACAGTCCTGCTCTCATGTTTACTAAGAAGGTTTTGGTGATGCCAGTTCGTTTCAGACCAATTTCTCCTCTTCATATTGCTGCTAAGGAAGAAGGTAAAACTATGGTTACCTACGTTAAAACTGATATTGATATTCACTACATTAACGTTTTAAAGACAAAGAAACTTTACGAAGATATTCAAGCTAAATTGGGAACAAGTACTATCAGATCTGATAACACAGCTATTGCTGTTTTGAGAGCTCTCCAATGTTACATTAACGATATGTTGGACAGTACAAGTAATACTTCTTCTGGGTCAAATAGATTCTACTCATCACTTCTTAAGAAGAAGAAAACATCTACTACAACTTTGAATCGTGGTATGAAACAATTGATGGATAAAAAGGCTGGTTTAGTCAGACAATCTATGATGGGTAAGCGTGTCAACTACAGTGCTCGTACAGTTATTTTGCCTGATGTTGCTATTGCTTGTAATGAAGTCAGTTTCCCAGCAATGTTTGCTAAGAAGATGACATTCATGGAAACTGTCACTAACTTTAATATTAACAAGATGAGAGAATTAGTTATCAATGGTGCTAAACAATATCCTGGTGCTAATCAAATCGTTAAGAGTGGTAAAACTCAATCTGATGTTTCTTCCTCAACAGCTGTTGCTCCATATACTCGTCCTCCACTTTCAATTCAACTTAATGTTGTTAAATCAAAGAAACAAAGAGTTGCTATGGCTAATCAATTGCAAGTTGGTGATGTTGTCTATCGTCACCTCCAAGATGGAGATATGTTGTTGATGAACAGACAACCTTCATTGCACAGACCTAGTATTTTAGCTCACAGAGCTAGAGTTATTGCTAACCAACGTGTTATGCGTCTCCACTATGCCAGTTGTAAATCTTTCAATGCTGACTTTGATGGTGACGAAATGAATGCTCACTTTGTACAAAACCCAATTGCTCAAAGCGAAGCTCGTCAATTAATGGATGCTCAATTGTCTTTCTGTACTCCTACCAGTGGTGAACCATTGCGTGGCTTAATTCAAGATCACGTTTCATCTGCTGTCTTGTTGACTATGAAAGATAACTTTTTATCTCGTGAAGATTATCAAGAAATTTTGCTCAGTGCTAACATTTTTGATGTCAATGAAGTCATTCGCTCTGAAATTCCATCCATTTTGAAACCAACACCTTTGTGGACTGGTAAGCAAGTTATTACAAGTCTTTTGAAGCATGTTGCCAAGAAGAATACTCCAGCTGGTGCTCCAGTTTTTGGTGTCAATTTGGATTGTAAGACTAAGGTTAAAGGTACTGTTTGGGGTGCTCACAACGAAGAAGGAATGGTCATTATTAGAGATAACGAACTCTTGACTGGTATTTTTGATAAGTCTCAAGTTGGTTCTTCAAAATATGGTATTTTGCACGCTTTTGATGAATGTTATGGTAACAACGCCAGTAATATGCTCATTTCATGTTTATCAAGAATGTTAACTTTCTACTTGCATTACTTTGCCATCAGTTGTGGTATTGATGACTGTCTCCTTTCCAAGTCTGCTGAAGCTAACCGTATTGAAACTTTGAAAAACTCCAATGAAGCATGTCATCATGCTACTGCTTCCTACTGTGGTCTCCCAAAGAAGAAGGATGCTTCACAATATGATCACGACAAGGTTAAGGAATTTTTGGCCAAACATATGCTTAACCCAACTGTTTCTAAACAAACAGGTGAAATTATCAATGAAAAGATTGTCCGTAAATTGGATTCAACTGTCAAGAAGAGTATTAACAAGTTCACAACAAAGGCTATCAATGATTCTATTCCTATGGGTCAATACAAGGCTTTCCCATACAATATGCTTTCACTCATGACTGAAACTGGTGCCAAGGGTTCTATGGTTAACTCTTCACAAATTGCTGTCTGTTTAGGTCTTCAAGAATTTGAAGGTAAACGTGTTAACGTTCAAGTTAAGAGTGGTAAGACCCTGCCATCATTCGATTCTTTCGATTCAAACAATATTGCTAACGGTTACGTTGCTAGTAGATTCTTGACTGGTATCAAGCCACAAGAATTCTTCTTCCATTGTATGGCTGGTAGAGATGGTCTGATTGATACTGCTGTCAAGACAGCTCGTAGTGGTTACTTGCAAAGATGTTTGATTAAGCACTTGGAAGACCTTTCCGTTCAATATGATGGTACTGTCAGAAATGGAAACAAGACAGTCGTCCAATTCTCTTACGGTGGTGACCATATTGATCCAATCAAGACTGGTTATATGACTCAATTCGATTTCATGAGAATGAACCAAGATTTACTTTCTCAAAGATATAATGAAGAATCAGCTATTCAATACACTAAGGATGTTAAGGAATGGCAAGAAAAGACTAAGAATGCCACATCTACTATTTATAAGAACGACTTTGTTCAAATCGAAGATCCATGGAATTATTTGGGTGGTGTTTCTGATGCTTACGATAAGAAGCTCAAGAAGTACATTGAGGCAACTAAGACCACTACTTTGTCTGATACAAAGAAGAAATTCGACCCAGAACGTATCAAGACATTGGCTCATCTCAAATATCTCCGTAGTTTGGTTAACGCTAGTGATCCAGTTGGTATTATTGCTGGTCAATCTATTGGTGAACCTTCAACACAGATGACTTTGAACACTTTCCACTTTGCTGGTTTGGATATGGCTCACGTTACAGTTGGTATTCCTAGATTGGTTGAATTGTTGATGAGAGGTACTACTCGTGTCCTCACAATGAATGTTCCAGTTAAGAAGGAATGCGCTCAATACCAAGTCGAAAAGATTTACCAATATGCTGATAGTATTTCAAAGTTGCCATTCTTCAGAGTTTTGACTAACATGGACATTCAAGAACAATTCAAGTTCTCCGTTGACGTTAAGCGTAAACAAATTTCAGTTTCTCTCTTCTTTGATATGAAGGACATTACTGAATACTACCAAATTTCTAATGATGTTTTTGACAAGAAGGTTCAAACTCTTCTCATCTTGTTAACAGCAAGAATTGTTTCTCCAAAGAAGCTCATGTACTCTAGAATGAAGGCAATGTTATCCAAACTTGCCAGTTTTGGTGGTACTGGTGCTGTTGCTGATGGAGCTGCACCAGCTGAGGCAGAACCTGAAGAAAACAAGGAAGCCACACCAATGGATGCATTCATGGGTACTGATACAGCTGAAATGATGAAAGAGGATAGTGATGAATCCAATGTAAAGAAACCTAAGAAGAAGAAAAAGAAGAGTGATAGCGACGACGAAGATGAAGATAATGACGAAGATGAAGAAGAAAAGAGATCTAAGAGAAAGAAGAAGAGGGATGAAGAAGAAGAAACACAAATTAATAATGATGAAGGCCTTTCTGGAGAAGACCTTTTCATTAAGACTTTCGGATCTGCTTTGGGTGAATATGATGAACATTCTATCAATGCTAAGGAAGGTGTTGTCACTTTCACATTTACTCAAAAATCAGATGCTGGTAAGGTTTACATTGCTGAAGGTATTCAAGATGTTTTGAAGAATTGCTTCTTACAAAGTGTTGACGGTATTGAAAACGTTACAGTTGTTCCAACTAATGATGGATACGATCTTTCAATTGAAGGTTTCAACTTTTATGCTTTGCACGCTCTTCCAATGTCCCATGAATTGCTCGACCTCAATCGTTTGGTCACAAACAATGTCAACATTATGAACGACCATTATGGTATTGAATCAGGATACGGATTGATTGTTAAGGATGTTTCTTACGTCTTTGACATGTACGGTATGGAAGTCAGTCCAGCTCACATTCAATTGATTGCTGATTACCTTACATATCGTGGTTACTATTCCTCATGTAACAGATTTACCATTAAGAACAGCCCTTCAACATTCTACCGATCTTCTTTCGAACAAGCTTGTCAAAATCTCTTGAAGGCTGCTGTCAGAAGCGAAACTGATACTATGGTTTCTCCAACTGCTCGTGTTGCCTTGGGTACACCTGTTAGTGTTGGTACTGGCAGTTTTGATTTGTTGCTTGTAAATAAGTAAATAAAACATTAAATCTTTAAAAATTATTTATCCTGTTCCAAATTTTAGGTTCCTAAATCCTTATGAAATAGCGAAAACTTTAATGCTACATTTATTAAGATTTATTTATCTTCTTTTATAGTAACTGTTATTATTGCCACCACCATAGCTTGAGTGATAACCTCTTCTTGCACTGGTATTCACACAATCTCTCAAATACTTTGCAATAGATGAATTATCATATAATGTACCTATTCCGACATAGTCAAAGTATTGTTTGAAAGATGAAACATTTTGAATCTTGAAAACTTCACGTTGTAACACATCTTCCAACAATTCACCACTCTTTGTCTTTGGAGGACAGCCAAAGTTTGTATCGTACAATCTTCCAAATTCTTCCAAGGAGAGATCACTATATTCTTCAACAATGTTTCTCAAAAAGAAGACGTGGAACATGATCAATTTGCAGGAAACTTGGTTTGCTTCCCATGATTTGATACATCTTTCAGAGTCCATTTCGTTGAATCTAGCCAATCCAGGATGCATCTTGATAACCCACAATGCATTTCTAATTGAGGTTTCTTCAACAACAGAGGTCTTAATTGAGTTCCATGTTAATTTACTTGGACCCAGAACTGAAAGCTTTGGAAGGAATTCTCCAAGATTTGGACAGGAGCTCTTTAATCTAGCGCTTTCAGAGTTCTTGAATTGATTGACTTGATACTTTAAACGATCCAAAGCTTGTGGGAATTTTTCAATCAAGTAAATTAACCAACGATGGAAGTACATGTAACCGTAGAGAGCTTTGATTGAGGCATGAGTATTACCTTTCATAATTTCAACAACCATAGTATTCATCAACTTGCACATCAATTCAATATAAATTGTTGCATTATCTAAGGATTCAGAGCTTGAAATTGAAGGATAAGCAATTTGAATTTTCATCACTGACTGTTTCAAAATCTCAAAGTTACCATGCTTTCTGTTGATAAATACTGGGATCCAGTGAGAGAAACATCTTCCCCAGACACTCTTTCTGACATTCTCCTTATAGAAGGAAGTGTGAGAGAGAAGATCCAGAGGAGTTGAAATTGAGGCAATTGTGCCATCTTTCTTAGTTTCGAAAGATAGACCAACACCAAGTGTATCCTCATTAAATGTTTCCTTAGAGTGGAAACACACTAATTCTCTGGCTGTAGACAAGAATTTGTGTTCACACAAATCATAGAGATATTTGCTAGACTGTTCAACTCTCTTCAATTCAATAATATTAAGATAGCTGAGAGTGTGTAAAATCAATTCGTTAGGTAAGTCTTTGAGATGCTTCTTTGGTTCAGGAGTTTTCTTCAACATGCTTACAGCAATTAGGTTTTTGGAAGGTTGCGCAGGAGAAGCTGTTTCAATAATGGTTGATGATTCAACTGCAGACTTTTTCTTTTCCATCTTTTCTTGAACTTTCTTCAATCTGTTCAGTTTCTTTTTCTTGTTCTTTCCAATGTAGTTTGGATCCTTGGCTTCATCTTGAGATGGTTTTGGTTGTTCTTCCTTCTTGGCAACAACCTTAGTTGGATCAACATATTGAAAAGGAATATCCCAGGCATTTGTGTTGACTGGAACTGCTTTAGGTTCTGGTTTGGTTTCTACTGGTTTAGTTTCAGCTATTGTTTTAGGTTCTACAGGTTTAGTTTCAACTTTTGGTTCAACCGTCTTTGGAGTTTCTTTCTTTGGAACTGGCTTGACCACAGGTTTGTCTTTCTTTAGAACGACAGCTTTAACAGGTTGTGGAACATACTTTGAAGCAAGAATTTCTGAAACATTCCAATAAGGAGCACATGGATATATGGTTCCCTTTGTTGGATTGTGTCCAGTTGTGGAATTAACATATTTCCTGGAAGCGTCAATATCACTCTGTATATATCTTTCCTGTCTATCCTCTTCTTCCAATAAGAATGATTGTAATTGCAACAAGATTGACAAACAAGAGTAACTTGTACTCCAACCCATGTATGGAATATCGTCAAAATAGTGAGCTTTCAACATGTCCAAGCAGATCCACCCACCAAAAACGTGAGAGTGATGCAATTGAGTAAGGCAAGCAATTTGTGGAGGTTCATTAGGATAATCCTTTGGAAACTTGATATCCAATACAACAATAATTCCATGATACTTGGATGTCTTTGGAGCTAACACAGTTGCATACCAATGAAACATGTCTCCTTGAAATGGCTCAGCATAGACAGTTTCTAATGGATTCGATTGAATTTCCTTCAAGTCTCTCGTTATTCTTTTGAGAGCAGAAGAAGGGAGAGCCTTCGAGCTGCTGCTATTCATTTGTATTTGTTTTTTCTTTGTTGATATTGTTAAAGCATGGAACAGCCTTCCGAGCTATTTAAATAGTTTCAAAATTTGATGAACAGAGTAGAGCTGAAGTTGAATTTTCAAAGTAAATCCGGATCGATTTGATGAGATGTTATCAAGTAAATTGAATTTTCATCATTTTTTTAAGCGCCAAAAATAGCTTGAAAAGGTATTTGAAACAAAAAGAAAGAGCTGTGATTACTTCTGGTTTACGGTCTGGAAAATTTTGCAAGTAATAACCTTAATCTTAAATAACTTCCCATGCATGATTAATCAATGTGATAATAAATATTTACCAAGAGAAGGTGATTAAAAAATGATTACCACAATCAACCTCATTTTTTCGTCAATAAAAAATTGTGAAGCATCTTTGCATCCTTTTAGAGCCTAATGATGATCACTAAATCATGACTAGAGTCTCCGAATCCCTGTGAGCGATAACCCAACAAACTCAACTCAACAACTCTGACAAGCTTATTATCTTTACATTAATTTAATTGCTAAATATTAAATACACATTAATTTTTTAATTTTGAATCAATTTTCAAAATTGGAAAATCTAAGGAGATGACATACTCCTTCAAAACTCCTTGGAGATGGGAGTGAGTATCAAGAAGAAAACCTGGCGTGAAATTTAATGATCCTCTCGCTTGTCAATAGTTTTCATATCATAAAAAAATATGAAACAATCACTCTTGCTAGTTGTTGCTGTTTGTTCCGTGATGGCAATGTTATTGTCATCATTGGCCGTGGCACAAACTGAAAAGGATCATCTCGTTACAACTCTCCCTGGTTATAAGGTATGTTTGTTTTATTGCATGGATGCTGATATGCTGAACCATTGACAATAATGCACGGGCAAATTATTCACAAATATTCACTCTTGTATGAATTTTAATAATAATTAATAATATAGGATGGTAGAACACCACTTCCATTCAAATCATATACTGGTTATTTATTGGCAAATCAAACTAGAGGCCATTACTTGTTTTATTGGTTTTTTGAAGCTCAAACAAATAGTGACACAGCTCCTCTTGTTTTCTGGACAAATGGTGGACCAGGTTAGTAGTATAATCTGTTGTGGCATTCAATATTTTCTATGAAAATCATGCAATTTTTTTATGATATGGAACTATACAGGCTGTTCAAGTCTTGGAGGAGAAGCCAGTGAACGTATGTATTTAAAAGTTATTATCAATTGAGGATCATTTAATATTATATAGATGGATTTTTACTTGTCAATGCTGATGGTGCTACTTTGAGAGAAAATCCATACAGTTGGAATAGAAAGGCCAATATGTTGTACATTGAACAACCTATTGGTGTTGGTTTCAGTTATTCAAATCATACTTCTGATTATGGAGTTGTCAATGATGTGATGGCTGCTTCTGATATGGCTAATGCTTACAGAGATTTCATTAAGAGATTCCCAAAGTTTTTGAATAGAGATGTTTATTTGTCAGGTGAAGTAAGTATATTCACACATTGAATGAGATTGAATTTCTTACCAAATAATAGTCTTATGGAGGAGTTTATGTTCCAACTACTGCAGCTGAAATTATTCAAGGAAACCAAAATGGACAAGTCCCATACATTAATTTGAAGGGTATTTTAGTCGGAAATGGTGTTACAGGTATGTTTACTGAAATGTTAAATTCCATAACAATTATTTCTAGATGCTGAGGCTGACGCAAATAGCATTCCACCAATGATGAAATATCACAGTTTGATCTCTATCAAGTATTACGAGCAAGGTTTTGCTGCATGCAAGGGTGATTTCTTTAACAATCAAAATGTTCCAGCTTGTGCTCAATTTTTGGACCAAAGTAACAATGTCATGGGTAATATTAACCCATACTACATTTATGACAGCTGTCCATGGTTGGGTATTACTTCTCAAAAAGCCAAGATTTCATTCCAAGAAAAGAAATTCAATGTTTTGAATGAACAAGGAAAGAAAGTCGATGTTCATCCACTTTTCCAAATGTACAAACATGGTGGTTGGTCAAAGAGAGTTGCATTGCAATCAAATTCTAAGGTTAGAATGGAGTCTGACAGTCCATGTGTTCCAAATCAATCCATTGCTAAATATTTCAAGAGATTGGATGTCCAAAAAGCCCTTGGTATTCAACACGGAACTGTTGATCCAAATGGTTGGGATATCTGTACCAATGCCATTAATTATACTCAAGTTTATCCAAGTATTCTTCCATTCTATACAAAGTTGTTGCAACACATTAGAATTCTTGTTTTCTCTGGTGATGTAGACATGGTAAGTTCTCCATATTTCTAATTGTTTTTAATAATTACTAATTTTAATATTTTAATTCCATAGGTTGTTAACTCTTACGGAACTCAAGCTGCTATTGATAAATTGCAATTGCAAGAAACTTCATCTTGGAGAACTTGGGAACATGAAACAGTTACTGGAACAGTTGTTGGAGGATATATCAGAAAGTTTGGACCAGGCGGAAAGAATGGACAAGGATTGACCTTTATTACCATTAGAGGCGGTTCTCACATGGTTCCTATGGTGAAACCAGAAGCTGCTCTCACCTACTTTACTAAATTCTTGGATGGTGATTGTTGTTAAATAAAGTTAAACATTTTATTGAGATGATTCATTTGGATTCTTTAAATATTTAATAACCTTACAAGGATTTCCAGCAGCAACAACATATGGAGGAATATCCTTAGTGACAACAGAACCAGCTCCAATAGTTGTTCCCTTTCCAATCTTAACTCCTGGAAGAATAATTGCAGCTCCACCAATCCAAACATCATCTCCAATCTCAATTGGTTTTGCATATTCCAATCCAGATTTTCTCTCCTCTGGATCCACTGGATGAGTTGCAGTATATACATTTACATTAGGTCCAAATAAAACATTATTTCCAATTCTAATTTCACACACATCCAACATGACACATCCAAAATTAGCAAAAAATGATTTTCCATAATGAATATTATATCCATAATCACATCTAAATGTTGGTTCTAGAAAACTTCCCTCACCATGAGTTCCCATCAATTCTTTCAAAATTCCATCCATTACCTTCTTATCTTGTTCATTATTATAGAGATGAACGAGTTGACGAGCTTTGGCTCTCTCTTGAACTAGCTGTTCATCCATGGCATTGTAGAGCTCTCCAGCGAGCATTTTCTCCTTTTCACTTCTTTGCATTTTTTTTTGATTGTTTTTTGTAATAATTTAACTTGGATATTAATATTGGACGAATCTTATTTGGAAAGACACGTGTTTTTTCATTCTTTTCAGCTGAATTGAAAAAGAAATATCTTTTCAATAAATGTTTAAAGTTTAAAACAACTTACAAAATCCGCCAAATCAAGTTCTTTAAGTTTTGTAACACAATATGGAGTTTACTTTAGTTATGTAACATGATATGGAGTTTACAATATTATAACACATCCCAACAAAAAAAATGTCAATATTTTCACCACAAAACGATAATGATGAAGAATTTCTCATTCAAGATTTGATCAAGGCACATTTAGAAGGAAAATCATCACAAAAAACACTTGAAAAATTCCTAAATGATCCCTTCTATGGGATGTGTGATCGGATCAGAAGGTGGATTAAACAAGATGAATCGAGAGGATGTTCTGTTGCTTCGGAAGAAGTGATCAATGTGGATTTACTTAGAAAATTGGATGATAATATCAAGTATGATATTATGGAATTTATTCCAACCTTTTCGAAATGGAAACAATTCAATCTGGAAAGGGAATATTTGAAAAGGATTAATTTTCCAAAAGAAATAATTCATTCCAATGAATATTATCTGGATAGCAACTTGGTAACCTTTCACAAAATGAGATTAATTTCCAAATCTTTCAATAGACGAATGATGATTAAAATATTGAATATTGAAGAAGTTTTCATTGATATGGAATTACCTAATGCAAGAGAACTAATCGAAGGTTTCAATATATTATTCGCTAAACAGACTAAATATGTTAAGGAAAATAGAATATTACCAGATTCAACTTTGTATCTGTATTCAGATAAGACAGTTCCTGATCCTTTAGAAGCTTTGAAAAAGAGTGTTAAGAAGGTTAAGAAGAAAGCATCCTTGTTCGATGATGAGGATGAGGATGAGATGTTTCCTGTTGGAACGAGTAGCTCAATATTTGATGATTCATCTGAGGATGATTTCCTTCCGAAAGCATCTCATTCTCAAAAACCAATTGCAACAACCCATTATTCTTCCCTATTTGGTGATGAGGAAGATGACATTTCTGATTTCTCAGACTTTCTTAAAAAGAATAATCAATCCACAAGTCCTCTTGCTTCTAAAAATGATGTCAGAGCTCCATTCAAAAACAATAGAAGATCATTATCACCAAGAAGAGTCTCACCAGAAGTGTACTCCAATTTCTGTTACCCAACAGAGTTGAGGCGCCCAGATACTGTATCAAAGCCATCATCACATTCTTCATTCAGTCTCACTCAAGAAAATTCGACCATTACTCACTTGATTATTAGTGGAAGACTACCACTTGATTTGTTTCAGTTTTCTAATTTGAGAGCTCTTACTTTACTTCAAAGTTCGACTTGTGAAATACCTAAAACTGTTAAACTTTTTACAATTTCCAATGAAAGAGATCTCCATGGAGGTTCATTATCTTCATTGGAAATGATCAAACATTTGATAACAAAGAGATGTATTGGAGCTAATGGAATTCAAGCTATGTTGAAATATGGCACTAAATTCGGGTCATTATTCTCCTCTTCCACACAACTAATGGAAAATATACTCTCTGAAACAACTGATCAGAGTATTTTGGATTACTTGTTTGTTGAGTTGGGAATTCCTATTGAGCTAATCGATTGTAGATCCAAACAACCAGCTTATCAATATTTAGTATATTTATGTAATAAGGTGAGTTTTATTTGTTCTATTCCAATACCTAATTGAGAAAGTATCAAAATGGAAGAATGTTTAACATTATGTCAAATAATGAGGAAGGAATATTGGACGAAACCATAGTATATGGTTGGAATTTCAAACAACAACTTTTTGAGATGCCATTTTTGTCTGATTCTTCACATGTTTGTTTCTGGTGTATTTAATCTCATGAAGAAACTTAGAAATCTTGTGCATGAAAAGAATAATAAGGGTATTTCACCAATTGATATTATTTCTAATAAGAAAAGAGTTGATCTTCAGACGAAAATTATTCTTTCAGAATTTCGTTAAAGAAACACAAAATTTTCTGTAGCAATTAATGAACTATTGATTTATTTAGAATCTAAATCTCTTTGTTGTTCTCACTCGTGAAATATATGGAATCCAGCCTTGAACCTTTGGATGTTCCATAATTGTTTCCAATGAGTGATACTTTTCAGCCATTTCGTCCAACGTTATGAATGTATGTACAGCATCGTGACATGGTCTACAAATAAGAATAACCTTATTTAAATGTTCCTTAGAATATTGACCTCTTTTGAGGAATTTTCTATGTGTCCATCTTGGAATCAAGTGATGTCTTGTCAATTTCATTTCTCTTTCACACATTACACAACAACCATCCTCAACATAGGCACCATCATCATCGTCAGAATCAATTACAATACCATAATCTTCATATTTACATAATCTCAAATTTTGTAAATGTTCTTGAATTTCATTACAAATTGATTGAACTTCCTTTTCATCATCTAGAGCCAAATCATAATTTATCAAATGTTCCGACAAGATGTTTGTAATTAGTGTTAAACTCTTTTGTTTCTTTTCACCTTTAGTATTAGAAATGGCAGAGAATGCCAATGTATGATTAGAAGCCTTGTTTTCACCTTTAGTTGGCAATGTTTCATCAACAGCACCACTTTGTAAAAGTACATTTAAATTATCTTGTAATAATTCACCTAGTAAATGTTCCAGAATGTCCTCATCCTCTATCAATTGTGGTAGAGCCTTCATCAGAGCCTTCTTTACACATGTTTCAATTTGTTCATCGGAGAGTTGATCAAAGGTTACGAGTGGAGTTTCTTCGTTTTGAGACATTTTATTGTTATTTTGATGTTGCTGAGAGGTTGCTCATTTGATGATTTAAATAGATTGATATCAATTATGAAGAACATGCTGATTATCAGAGAGAGTTATTTCTAGAGTTGAACTTGCGGAATGAAGGTTCCGTGTTCGTTTTTCAATTTGAATTGTGTAAGCAACAGCACATTACTAGTTAATAGAATATACCACCTCAAAATATGTTGCACTGAGGAATCAAAGATCCAACCTTGTGGAAAGCCTTTCTAATTGGCTATTCTAGCATTAATTTTGAAACAAACTAATTGGAAATGTGAAAGATTCTATTGTTCCAACTGTGAAACTAGGACAACTTACTAGCAAAGAAGCAAGAATAAGATGACATTGTATTGGAAGTCAATGTGATTAAGGGTGAAGTCTCAAAAGAAATCGAATTAAATCTCTCGATAACTAACTAAACTTTCTCCAATCAGTTGCCAATTTTCAAATTGTGAATAGGTACACAACAACTAGGACAACATTGATAAGCTCGGCCAATATTACAATGTCGGATTCGAGAAGTACAATGTCTTCTAACTCTACTGCAAAGTATATTGACAAGTTAATTTAAAGAATTGATGACAATAATTATTAAAGACAATTACCCTCATGTTGTGTATTCTTTTTAACGTCAAAAATTCTCCAAATGGTATCTAGATAATTTTCATCATCACGATGAAGAAATAATAAACAATAATATTTAAATATCAAAGGACCCTGTTGGTGTGTGGATATTGTATATCCCAGAAATTTATTGGGTAAAAAAGCAGTTAAATTATTGGACATCTTCTCTGAATGACTTCCAATCGACCTTGTAAACAGATCCGGAGGCAGTGTTATAATCGATTTCATATGGTGGCTTCAAACCTCTGTGTTTACTTTCCAAATACTATTGATATTAGTAAATACAACAACAAATAAATTTTAAATAATACATACGGAAGCATACTTGTTCTTATTCATGTGATAGTTGAAGTGATAGGCTTCATAGATACCCCAAACCAAAACTACTTCAGTGACAAGACCAATGAAGATTGGCTTCTTCCACTTCAAGAATAAGTCCTTAGCAACACCGTGAAAATGCATCTTAGCTCCAGTCATTTTTTATTATTTTTTTTTAAGTTTGCCTTCTGTTGCTTTTGCGACTATTATGGACATTTTTCGAGTTAACTCTTACAATTGCAAAATGGCGCTCAAGATGGTAAAACAAATAGATCCACAGCAGGCTCTCAAAGAAAAAGTTGGCAGTTTGTTGTTGAGGTGTTGTTTATGAGATGCGTTATCCACTCACTTTAAAAGATGAATAGACTTCATCACGGGTTTTTATTTTCAAGATATTTTAAATGAGTAATTTAGATTGGATGTTGACACAAACAGAATGAATCTATGCAATTTTTGACAAGGAATTCAATAAGTCTATTTGAAATGCAACCAAGACCAAAAATTGAATGACACCACAATCTCTTCAAAGAAAAACTACTAAACAAGATCAAAGATCAATACTAAAAACATGCCAATTCCAATACCAAATATTTCATCCAAATCTTTGAACAAAAAAAATGAAACCACAAAATACTGAGAATGATATTTTATTTGACAAGACATTAAAGTTTACTCCCGATATTGAAAATTATAAACCATACACCAAGAATCAGGCAAATTCAACATCACTCTCAGAGAAATCAACATTATCAAATATTTGTGTGATTAGTGTGATTTCGAAAGAGCATACAATTCCGAATAATAATTCACAAACAATTAAACAAGTCACAATTCCTCAAAAACCAATGAATATGAATAATGAAGTATTATTTGATTTGGATAATTTATCTTTTATTCCAGACATGGAAAATTATTTACCATATTCAAAAGGGTTAATGTATAGAATGGGAAGTAAATTATTCGGAGGAATGACAGAATTTGCTAAAAATCATTACACTGCTAATATTGCAAAATACTGGGAAAAGTTTTTCAAAAAGAATAATGATAAATTCTTTAAAAACAGACAGTGGATGTTGAGAGAATATCTCCAATTGAAGGATGCTATTGAAAAGAATGAAACATTTACTTTTTGTGAAATTGGATGTGGATGTGGTAACACAATTAATGGAATTTTATCCAATGTAAAGTCAATTAATGAAAATTTTGATGCAGCTAAACAGATGGAAATTTATGGATTTGACTGCTCATCTCATGCAGTGGAACTTTTGAAAGAAACTTATAAGGAGCATGAAAATATTCACCTCTTTGTTCATGACTTGTTGGAAAAGAAGAGTATCTTGGAAAGTGAGGCAACCAGTGCAAGACACACACCTCCTCCACCTCATTTCATTCAATATTCGACAATGATATATGTATTGAGTGCATTCAGTTCACTAGAAGATATGAAATACATGCTCAATGTAAAGATTCACGAGTTACTCTCAAAGGGAGGTATTTTGTTTTTACGTGACTATGCTGTTGAGGATTTAGCTCACAAGAGATACCTAGAAGAGAAGGACATTTACACAAAACAATTGAGTGAAACTTGTTTTGTAAGAGGAGATGGAACTTTGGTTTACTTTTTCTCAATTCCTGAACTGACCTCGCTCTTTGATACAGAAAAGTATGACGTACTGTCATGTGAATATATCTATAAGGTGGTTGAAAATAGAGGAGAAAGCTTGACAATGAATAGAAAATTTATACAAATCGTTTGCAGGGCTAAATAAATTATTGTTGTTGTTGAGCAGCAGGTCCGAAATAATTCATCAACAATCCCATAACTGAAAACATGATAGTTGTAACAGTTTGTTTGAAATCCATTTCAGAATATTTCAAATTACACAATCCACTCACGCAGAACAAGGCTCCCAACCATGAAATATATTTCATCTTTAACATTAAACCCATCACACCACAAAATAATGATAACATTGAAGGAATATCTGTTGGAGCCTCTTCTTCAGGTATATCATCAGGATACATAAATTCCTTTTCTTCATGTGCTGCCGATCTTCTTGTTCCGTTCGATGGAATAATTTTATTTTGTGTTGTTGTAGATGGTGATATAGCAGCTGTGGTTGTGGTTGTTGTTGTGGATGGTGATGTAGTAGTGGTAGATACTTCTTCCGATGATGATGAAGCAACAGGTGTACTGTTCTCCTCCAAAGAAATTGTTTCCTCGTTTGATGATGACATTTTTTATTCGGTTTTTTAAAGATTTTCAATATTATTTATTCTTCTCGACTTGTCAGCTTGTGATGAAAGGCTTTAGAGTTGATACTGCTCTATTGGCTTGAAGCAGTATGTGTCCATTTAATTGTTTTCTAATATCGTGTTGTTTCTTACCATTCAATTAAAAAGTTATTTAATTTAAAAAAATGAGAGTGTTTACAGGTTTGATGATTGCCGCTGTTATTGGACCAGCTGTCTTTTTGTTGGAAGATACCGGAAGAGCTTTTATTGATTGGAGAGATGCTAGAGTACGTATTATTTGCAATACGTTTTATTGATTGGAATTTTTAATTATTGTTATTATTTTGATGATGATTTTTAATATAATAGAAAGCCAGTCAAGTTGCTGAAATGAAGAAATATCAAGCTGATTTGGCTGTATGGGAAGAAAATGTTAGGAATATTGCTGAAAAGTACCAAAAGTAAACGGATAAAACCATTGTACTTTTGATAAAACAACATATAATCGCGATTTAGGACCTTTAATAAAACAAAAACTATTTAATTATAATTTATAATACAATGTAGTATTAGTCTGTAGAATCCAATACCAATTAATTAATATTATTTGATGATGAAAACTTTATTAACAACAATAATTATAAAAATGTCATCATCAGCATCTCCTCAACCACAACCACAACAAGTGAGCAATAACAACTCCGTGCTGGTGATTCAACTCTCATCTTATGGTATACGGTATGATTGGAATGATTTAGAGTCGACAGAGCCAAAAACTCTCATCAATTGTATGGCCATTCCAAAACACATTATTCAGTCCTTTGCCAAGCCTTCCCAATCACACCCGACAACAACAATAGACGATCATGAGGATGATGAGGTTCCTCTACCGTCCTCTTCATCATCAACTTTAAAGGATCAAACAAAACATTCCTTCCTAAGTTCTACTTGTGAAAAACAAGTCATGTCAATTAGAGGTAAAATTCTAGTGGATAGAAAAGTACTGCCAGAAAATAGGATTGAAACTGATAATTATTTGGAACCAGTGACAATGGAAAATAGTAGTACAATCAAACAGAAATATACCTCTCAAGAATATGAATTATCGAGTTTTCTAGTTGGTAAACAAGCCATTGATACAAAGAGAATTTATCCAAATGATTTTGTATTATATTTTCCAATCAAGTATGGATTGTTAAATTGTGATTTGACTGGTTATGGACATATTGATGAAAATGTTGCTTTGGAAATTCAAATTAATTTGTTATCAAGATGTATTGAAGAATTAATTCAAACATCATCTAGTACTAGCTTTTCTTTATTGATGATTTTCAGTGATACATTCCTATCACAACAATTGAAACATTTAAAGAGAATTATTGAGGATTTATTAACTCAATTTACAAATATCGAGAATATTTCCATTCAAAAGGATAGTGTAATGTCACTTTATGGAAGTGGAATCTCTCATCAACAGAATGAGCTCTATACTGTAGATATGGGTCTGACAAAGACATCTATTTATGCCTATCAACCAAATGGAAGATTGGCAAGTGTAATTCATTATCCATATGGAGGATATGATGTATATCATTTAATTATGGAATATTACAAATGTCAAAATTCAATCACAAGATAGATATTTTCACAAATTTAGTCGAGTATGATGAAAATGTTAGAAAGTATTGTTTGACACTCAAATCAAACACTCACCAAGAAACAGTTCAGCATTTACACAATATTTATTTGGAAGACACTCAAGAATTTGCTTCATCGATATCAGTTTCAACAGATGTTTTCTACATTGCCAGTAATTTATATTTCAATACCAAGTTATTGCCCTCTCCAAAGAAGAAACTCTACTCTCTATTGAATCCAACACAACAATCCAAGATTGCATCCATTGAAAAATACCTTTCAAAGATTTTCAAAGGAGGAACAGGTAGTGTCACCATTTGTTTAACAGGTGGATTTTCAAATATTCAATTCTTCCCAGAACACTTGAAGGAAATGCTTAAAAAGAAGAGAATCAAGATATTAATTTCGAATGAAAGAGACAAATTAGTTCCATCCCATTGCACCACATGGAAAGGAGGAGTAATTATTACACACATTATGAATCCTGACAATTATCAATATGAAGAGGATGATTCCACATCCAATGCCTCCAATACTGACAAATCCAATCTCACCAACAAGTTATTCTTCCACAGAAATGAACTATTCCAGCACTCTTCTCAATCTTTGGCATCAAACATTCCAAAATTTGTCAATAGTTCCATTCTCTTAGAAAGAACTCTCTAATTTTTTACACAATTTCTTTTTTTGAACTGTTCATAATTTATAATACTTTACACAGGTTGTGTGAAGCTACAGTGATCTAAATTCATCTAGTACAATAATAATAGTATCAGTGTGATATTATTCAATAATTTATAAAATTCAATATAATTTAAAACATAAAATATTTGAACAATTTGAATTTCAATAAAAAAAATGAGCAACAATAATTATCAACTCGGCGATTTGTCCAAACTCTTCGGATCATCAACAACAACAGAGGAATCAGAAAGTAAAGCATTGTGGGTTACAAAAGCACAAGCTAAAACTGATGATAATGATGAATTAATAACAAAATTGAAGAAGGAAAAGGAATCGAGCGATGATAAACCAAAGAGACAAAGAAAGGAAAAGAGAGAAAAGAAGAAGGAAAATAAAAAGGACAAAAAGCAAGTAAATAACAAGAGAAAGGCTAAAGAAGAATCCGATGGTGAATCAGATGATGAAGATAAACAAGAAGCTAAGAAATCTAAATATGAAGCCAAAGATGGTGAATTAGATGAAAAAGATGATGACGATAAGAATGATGAAGAAACAAATGATAAGAATAATGATGAAGATATTTTCAAATCAGTTCCAAAGAGAAAGAAACAAAACAGATCAGAAAAGAGAACTAATAATGAAGAAAAAAAGAAGGAAGAAGAAAAGACAATATTCATTTCAAACTTCCCAATTCCACTTGAAGATAAGAATTTAAAGAAATCGAAGAAATTAGTGACAAAATTGTTCTCTGTTTATGGTGAAATTGAAAGTATAAGATTTAGATCATTGGGATTTGAAAAATCTAAAATTCCAACAAGAAAAGGTCACTTGGCTGCTGGATTGAGAACGAAAGATTATGGTACTGTATATGTTCACTTTTCTGAAATGACTGCTGAAATGTCAAAGATTATTTCTGATCTTAATGGAAAGGTTTTGCACGGAAGACACTTGAATGTTGATACTGCATCTCATAAGGAAACATCAAAGGACGAAAACGATTCATCTATTTTCATTCAAAACTTGCCTTTTGAAATTGATGATGAAGAGGTTTGGGAAACAATAGGATCAGAACATGAAATTGTCAGAGTTCGTATTGTTAGAGATCCAATTTCAGGTAAATGCAAAGGATTCGGTTATGTTCAACTCAAGGATAAGGAAACTGTCGAAGAAATTTTGAAGAGTATTAAATCAAGAAAAGCCCACGTTATTCAAGGAAGAAAGATTGAAATTTTAAGGTGTAAACAATCTACTCCAAAGACTCCAAAGACTCCAAAAACTCCAAAAGCTCCAAAAGCTTCATCCAAGTAAATATTCTATTCATTTACAACTTTGTAATTACGCCTCAATTGGAAAGGTATGAAAACGCTTTGGTATCATTGCATTGCCATAAGCAGTTTCATTTCTTAATATTTTCCAAGTGTTCAAGTTATCCGACATTAACTCATTCATAAAACCATTTTGAATAATAGCAGTTCTGAAATAGCTCACAAGGTAATCCTCTTTGCTTCGTCTAATTGCTAATCCTCTTAAACATAGCCCATTCACTTTCAAAAGACTAACACAAAAATCAACATCCTGTTTCAGCTCTTCATCAATAAATAGAGTACAGAGAGGATTTTCCATGCTTGCTTGAAAAACAAAATCTCTGTCTTTCTTAAGTGATTCATCAACGTAATTCATTATTTCATGATCTTGTTTTAAAAGTGGAAGAATAAAGGATTTGTCTGTTTTGAATTCTTGGGGCATGAAATAGAGAAGAGATGGAAATGAATTCATTAAGAGTTGAGAGTTGAAATCTCTGTCACTTTTAAGTCTACCAGATGCGTGCCTAAAAGCAAAAGTGTTTTGAAGCATTGCTATTTCAAGAGTTTCTAAATCATCCCTCAAATGTTCAGAAGCATATTCCAGTTGATGTCCATTTTTAAGTACGCAAGCTTGTACAATTTCCTATCTGGTAGACTTATCAGGAGAAGCTCGTTGGATTCAGCTAATTTCAGAATGTCCTCTCTATCCATAAATACTGGAGTCTCCAGAGAATTGGAATGGGTTATTAGTTGGTACTTTGCAAAATATAGATCCGATTTCAATTGATCTGATGCAAATCTGAATGCTCCATTACAGTTCTGTACTGCCTTCTCCACAACTTCTCTTTTTCAATATGAATTTTAATTGAAAAATCAAGCTTACCTATCATTTCTCAAACGGTAAGATGCATGTTCTAATTCCATACCATATTTGCTAACAACATTCAATACTAACTCTTTGTCATCTTTCCACTCTTCTGGTGCATAAGCTAACGGGAAAAAATTATTGAGCTCTTTTCTCACTCTTTTTAAAAATTCCACATTTTCAGTTAATGATTTAGAGGCATATGTTATCACAAAAGGTGATTGCTTAATAGCATCCATAACAAAATCAGGATCCTCTCTTAATTGCATAGAAGCCTTTTCCAAATAATTGGCATCTATTTGTATCAATCGTTTCATAAATTTTTGTTTCCTTTTCAAATTACAGAATCTAATAGCTGTATGTTTCTCTTCCAATGCCCATTCAAAAAACCGATCCGTTTCTAACACTTTCGTTGAAGTATATAAAAGAATTTTAACATTAACTCTAGCCAACCTTATCACAAATTCCACATTATTCTGCAAATGTTTCTTCAGGTGAGGAATTGAATAAACTATTGATCTGAAATTTGGTGGAAAATTCTCTATCAATCTCATCATGAATTTTTCAATCACTTCCAAATCATTCATAAATTCAATCGGAATAAAAGAATGTTGTCCATATTGATTAAAAGCAATGGATGGAATTTTGTATAGCAGAAAATTCATTCTCTCCGATAACCACTTGGCCAATCCTCTACATTCTCTTCTGTATTTTCCCTTGAATATTTGGTAGAGGAAATTGTTATTTTCTTGAGAAAAGTCTTTGAGGATGAATGTAATGGGAAGGCTCGGATCAAGTTGTTTCATTTTTTTTTATTGTAAACTTTCGAGTTAAAGATTGGCAAGTTATTCTTCTATTCCAACCAAGTAGTACCTTAAAGAACCACTGTCTGTTGCAGTGCAGTGAAATGCATCAATAATTGGAAGTTTTTCAAGAAGTGAATCAATTACAAATTCTATAAAAGAGATGACTGAATCGAATTGGCTGTCAATTTTCAATTCGTTTAAACTCTTATCTCCCTTTCCCCAAACCACTGTATCGTATGTTCCATAGGCTATTCCACTTAACCCATAATATTTCTTTGTTTTAGGATCAATGATGGAAAATGAATGTTCACCTTCGTATCCATCACATCCATAGTAGAACACTTCCTTAACTTCTAATTCACATTTGTAAATATCATTATTTAAACGCATGTCGAATGTTGTCTGGATAAAGTGCATGTCTTTCCTGAATGCGTTTGAATAGGCAGCTCCTTTGACATTTGTAATATCAAATAGTGAACCCTCATCTTGGTTAAAATTATTCAAACAATTGGAATACATATTGGAAACTACTCTTTCCATTATTGATACAGGTTCGTTCAATTTTTTAACATTTTCAAGAGGTTTTTGAATTAGTCTTTCCCTCAAATCATCCGAATATTTGAATTTAAGCGCATGATTGCAGACCTGATCTCTTAAAGTCAATTTTGGTTCAGAGGTAAGTTCATGCTTTGGAAAATCAAGGAAAATGCGTAATAACTTAAAGCAGAACGAATCCCCTCTGAATCGTTCCTCTAAAAGTAAAGAACCAACATAATTAAAGAACGTTGGATTTTGCCAATACTCTACCTCTTGATAAAGTCCAGATTCCTCTCCATCAAGTTGATGAACAAGAATGTTGTTTACACTTGGGTCAATATTCAGCAAATTCCAATCAAATGTTGGATCTTCATTTTGTTCAACAGTTATATAGACAAGCTCATCCTCTGTATTCGATAAATGTATGTGTATTCTAATTTTGATACCTTCCTTAATATGAATCATTAATTCAATATGGGAGCCATCATCGACCCAACCAACAGATGAAGAGATCACAGTCATTGTTGGATACTTGTCAACCACTAAAGGATTTGGTGTATCACTAAAAAAGCCAGGCTCTTTAGAAGCCAGAGTCAATGAATACAGCTTTCCATCAATCCACTTCTTTAAACTCACGTACAACTCATCATTTCTCTCAGTGCTTAAACATTCCACACAATAATCCATCAAATTTTTGACAGCATAAAAAGAGGGAACCCTCCGTGATCCTACAATTTCATTCCAAGTTGTATTAACAAGTCTACAATTCAACAATTCTTCAATGGTCATATAATTCATGATATAACCGAGACTATCATAATCTAAATTTGCTAAATGATTTATTTTCAAGCCAAATGATGAGCCTCCTCCTTCAATCTTGCTTCTCTTCTCATCACTTGCATCAGATGGCGAAAGAGATTCCGAATCAAAGTGTCGTTTCATTTTTTTTTTGGATTTTTTCTCCGTAAATGAGGTATTCTATTGTTTACAATATTGCTGTCCTTGAAGAGTATTAGGAGGACTAGTTGTGTAAATTAATTTTAACTTTACATCAACATTTTAATCAACCAGTAGTTCAGTATCATTTTCATATCTCGTTGTAATCCATAAATATTCACATATTATTATTTACAATATTAAAAATCGAATCTTTTTAGAATCTCGCTTCAAATTATTATCTTTGATAAACAATGTATTCATAGGTACCTACTTGAACTTATTTAGCGCTCAAAAACATTAGAAAAAAAATGTCTTCACTGTATAGACCAGCTAAGATTATTGATAGAGATGGCAAGGAGGACAAGACCTACCTGACTGATGTGATTCATACATCGGATTCTGTGGTGTGGAGTGGTGATGATGAAGATAGCAGCAGCAATAATGGAAAGAGTCATTCTAAGAGGAGTAATTATTCATTGTTGTTTTTTGCAATGGTTGCCCTCCTGTTATCGGTGTATATTTATCAAAGTGATGGAATTAATACAATGAAGAGTGTTGTGAGTTCTGTGATACAGGATTCAAATGCTAAAGCTATTAGAAACAAACCACAAAAAGTTCATACAAAAAGATCAAATTTTGTGTCTAAACCAAAAGTTCAAAAATCCGAGCGTTTATATGATGTAGTTGATTATGTATATAATTGCAGTAATGATCATTCTGTTACTGAATTGCCTGGTTATGGATCTATTTCAAGAGAAGACGAATCTCTTTATTCATTTGCTGGTCATTTATCAGTCCATAGAGAGGATACTAATAAGGACAGATTTGGAGCTTTGTTTTATTGGTTCTTTGGTAGAAAGGATTCTGAAAGACCAATCATGCTCTGGCTTCAAGGAGGTCCATCAGCTTCAAGCATGATTGCAGGTATGTTTACAATGAATTTTGAAATAATTTTACAATATTAGCATTTGAGGAATTTATTTCACCCTTCTATATTAGTAATTCAACAAATCAATTGAATTTACATTATAATAATCAGTCATGGATTTCACAATGTGATTTATTATTTATTGACCAACCTGTTGGAGCTGGTTTCAGCTATGAATATCCTACAAATGATTTTACAACCACTAGACATCAAGTATCAAATGATTTATACAGTGTATTACTTAACTTTTTTGATAAATATCCACAATTCAGAAATAGAGATTTGATTTTTGCTGGAGAAAGTTATGCTGGAAAGTATTTGCCTTCTCTTGCTGAGAGAGTTTATTTACTCAAGATGGAAGGAGACGAACCAACTTATGAACCTGTTCAAAAGCATGGTATTCACAAGAGACTCAAAGGTATTATTATTGGAGATGGGTTTACTGCACCAATTGTTCAAAGAGTTTTGAAAGCAGATCAAGCTTACTGGAGTGGACTTCTTGGATATCAACAACGTCAACAATTGAAAACCTTGCAAAGAGATTGTGTCAGACACATTCAAGAGGGAAACACTGTTGAGCTTGGATCTGCATGTGAGGCTGTCAAGTCTTATATTTTAATTGCCTCTGGTGTTATTAATATTTATGATATTAGAACCTTTTCTCCTTCAACTGATAAACCTAGATTGGAAGGCTATCTCAATCAACCAGATGTTAAGAAAGCCCTTCACATTCTTGATAGAGACATTCCAAACAAACCAGAAGACATCAAATTTTGGTCAACTCGTCCACATCCTGTCTACGACTACCTTAAGGCTGATATTTTGACGGATTTGAGAGATTTGTTACCTCAAATTGCAGAAAGAACTAAATTATTACTCTATGGAGGTAATTTCGATTTGCAGGATGGACCTCAACCTATTGAAAGATTTTTATTAACAATTAATGACCCAATGATTAAGAGATGGGTTGAAGCTCCAAGAAATCTCTTCTTTGTAAATAACAAAGTTGCTGGATATGAAAAGAGCTCTGGAAACTTTTCCTTAGTGACAATTTTCGGAAATGGCCACTTTGTACATAGTCAAAAGGACTCTATGAGAGCTTTACTCAAAAAGTTTATTGCCCTAACCTATCAGCCAACTGCTGATTTGTCATTCTGTTCTGAAAGTGAAACCATTCCTGTAAGGTTCAAGACTCTAACTCCTTCTACCTTCCTCAAATATTTGTACGATAACGAAACTATGGAGCACAGAATTCCATGTCAAAGTCAACAATTGATTTGTGAAAAGATTTTGAAGAATTGTAATGGACACGGTACTTGTGTTCATGGATATTGTAAATGTATTCCTGGATATACTGGAGAAACATGTGAAAATGTGGTTCAAGTCATTCCAATTGGATATGAATCTGAGGAACCATTCGTTATGAAACAACAAGAATTATTCTATGGAAAAGTTCATTTGGAAGAAAGAAAGGCCATTACAACAGTGCAAGTAAATTGGAGACCAAAGGAAGTGAATGAATTTGACCAACCTCTAAAAGCACCAAACTACAAGTATGATTCAGTTTCCAAACCATCATCCAAGATGTGTTTGATTATTAAAAGAGGCTCTCTTCCAAAGATGGATGATTATGACAAAGTTCATTGTAAGGACTCTCATTTGGATGGTCCTCTTTTAGTTGTTTCGAATAGTACTCAAACTGAAGAAATGAAAGGAAGATTATTCTTTGGAATTGTCAACACACAACAATATGAAGTTGAGTGTGAATTGAAAGTTTTATCATGGAATCAAGAGTATTCTGTATTCTTACTGGACGAAACTGTTTCAAAGTTAAATAACGAGAGAAATTTCCTTCTAGGAAGCACCATTCTTCTGCTAATAATTGTAATTATTGGTGGATTCATGTTAAAATGTAAATAAATTAATTAGAAATTCTAAATATTATTTAATGGAAAAATAACTATTATTCGAAATTAAATTAAGTAAACTTGTTCTTCCATAAAACCAAGAGTTGTGTTTTGGTGTGTGAAACATGATTGTTGGACGCCAAGTTTTAACTTGTTCCACTTGAATTCAGTAAGAGCTTGCTCAGAATTAGTTGATGGATTAATTTTCATGTTTAAGAATAAAAACCAAGCCATAGCATCATCAGCATGTTGGAAAATCAAATCAATAGTTCTATTCTTTCCTGATTTTGTTTTAACTGAAATGGATAAACAGTTTCCACAATCATAACCATTCATTGTCTTTTCCAAATATCTTTGGAATGTGTTTGTTGAAACGCCATGATAAACAGCAGATACTTGTGAAATATTCAAATGTCTATCCAATAATTGATTGACATTGTCATCCTCTTCTTGTGACATTTTTGCAGTTGATGAATGAATTGTTTGAGTTCCCCATCTAATAACATTACCATTCTTTGATAATTGTAAAAATCTCTTCTTTTCAACACCTGAACAAGCACCTAAATATGGTAATTTCATAACCTTACAACCAAGTTGACATTGATTTAAACTCCAACTATTCCATCGTTTTGAATTTTCATCAATCTTTGAAGGAACAATTGGTAAATTCTTTGGAGGTAAAGAAGGAGGAGTACTAACAGTAGCAGTACTAGTAGCTGTCAAATGTTTGTGAACAACATTCAATTTTGATGGAATTGTCAAATTTGGAGAAGAAACAGGAACTGGTTGACTTTCCTTAGTATCATTTAAAATAGCAGTTGATCCTTGTTTTGCCAAATTCAAATAATTTAACCATTTCTTTTGTTCATTTTCATCATCACAACAAAGGAAATATTCTCTTCCACTTTTAGTAACAATTTTAATACCAAATCTTTTAACCTTATTAAATTGAATTGCTTCAACCAATTCAACTCCAAATCTAATACTTATCGAACTGATTGATTCTTGATCAGTTGGATTTTTAAAATAATACAACAAAATATCTGTTGTATTCGAATCGAATGATGTTAATCCGAAACTTGCATTCGATCGACTACTACTTGCTCCACTCACACTTGCTCTTACATTACTACTACTAATTCCTAATTGTTGTTGTTGTTGATTTAATATTAAATTTAGTGATGAATTTGCTGTTGTGGTCGTTGTTGTTCCTGTCTTGTAGATTAGAATAAAAAAACGTTTTCTCCACATGACTCCCATCTTACGATCCTGTTTGTTTAACATGCCAGAAATGATGGCATTAGGTGCTTGGGCTACTTCATAGGCTGGCTTGGAGAAATTGAAGGGTGGATCCTTTTCACCAACAATGAACGAGGACGATGAAGCTGATGATGACATTTTTTATTGATTGTTTTTTTAGCCTTGGAGACAGGAAATGGTTTCTACCATGGGTTAATGATGGATGAAAGATCAATTATTGTGGTGGGAGGTTCATTTGGTGGTTAGTTATGTGTGATCAAGTAACGGTCGATTCAGATCTCTTAATATTTAAAAAGTTTTTTGAAAAATTGAAATTGTTTCAATAATTATGAAAATTATTGGTGTTTAAATTATGACGCAAGCAAATTGTCATCTTTAGAATTTGATGAGCTGTAATATTTTATTTCACACACTTCCATGAATCCTTTTAGAACTGGTAATTTTGATTTCAATTCTTCATTTGCTGAAAAATAGAAGTTATGGAGACAATGGTGCCACGGTTCGCTTGTTGTGGATTTAGGTATTTTTGAAAAATTTCCTTAAATAATACTCCAGTTGAAAAAAATGATATCAAAACTTGGTTGATTATCTCAATAAATATAGGAAGGCACACCTTCCTGTTTTTAACGCATGTAGATCAGACTATTATACATCACATTGGTAAGCTATAAGATCTGAGCATGTGTGGATCCCAAACCAGAGAGATAATGACAGGTACCAAACCCAACACATGACCAAGAGGTGATACATCTACCAATCCAATCCAATTACATTATTAAAGCTATCCTAATTTCCAAAATTTCAGTATCATTCTATATTTTCTAAACTGCAAAAGATTTGAAATAAACTAAAATTTTATCTCGAACGCCGGGAATTGAACCCGGGTCGCCAGAGTGACAGTCTGGAATGCTACCACTATACCACGCCCGATTACATTGATAACGAAACACGTCCTTAGATCGCCTTACTAACAAACCCGCTTGACTTTATTGAGGCAATAATTCTTACCATTTATCAAAAATGAAATTATTGTGCAAATTTTACAACTTGATCAAAGTCAATTCCATGTTCAGAAACATCATGACTTGGAAAGAATTTCTCCACCTTATCTTTCATTGAATTAACCAATTTCTTTGTGAGTTCAATCGATTCCTTAATATTTGGAGATGATATTGATGGTGAAAATTCCAACTTGTTCTTTAAATTCATAATTAAATCTAATTTCCAATATTAAATGTTTACACAAATATAAATGTCCTCTATTTCAATTAAAAACTTACCACTCCCAATCAAGACTCTATCTTCCTCATGATAAAAACAACAATGACCTGGTGTATGTCCAGGACAATGACAAAATTTCATCTTTCCACATTTCTTTTCCTCACTAGCTCCATAAGCATTCATAATTTCAGAATGCGAAATTCCAGGAATTCCCAATGTTGGTTGTCCAATCAATTTCTTTGACATTTTAAACACCCAATTATCAGATTTTACATTATCAAAATTCGGATGTACCTCTGCCAAAAAATCCACCTCATCTTGATGACATGAAATATGCATCGACTGATCAGAGAGTTCATACAAGGCACGTGCACTTCCACAATGATCAACATGATAGTGAGTTAGAATGATGGCATCAATTTCCTTTAAAATTGAAAAATTCTTTTCATCATTAATTTCCTTGTCGAAGAATTTGGCCAAAGCTTGAATGATTAATTTTTCCGAATTTGGAGGGCCAGCATCGATGAGATAATAACGTGAATTATCTTGAACGAGATAGATAGAAACTGGAATGGAAGGGAAGAGAAAATTGGCCTTGTACACTAAATCCAAACGATGAACGTTGTTGGAGAGTTGGTGAAACTCTGGTTGAGACATTTTTTTGTAATCTTTATAGGAAAATATTTTGATTTCTTCCGTTCGTACCGATGGAACTTTTTTATTTCAAATGAAACGCAATGAGACACTATCAAAAATCTTATTTTGATTTTCTTGATTTTTAAATAATTGTAATATTTTCTTACAAAATTCAATCAAAAAAGTAAATTAAAAAAAATGATTCGTCTCAACACCAGCACCAGCACTAACAACAACAATAGTACCAATGGCAGTACTCTAGGAGGAGGAGGACTCAACTCATCACCACAACTCCGATATGGTTGTATTTTCAATAATAAAATTCATCCACTCCGACAATATTATCAAAACAATCAAATGAATTATGATTTGGAATTGAAGAGAAGTGATGTATTTTCGGAAAGGCTTCATGTACATTTGGTGATTCACTTTTTAAGTTTAAATAATATCATTCCGAATGTTACAAGTATTATTTATATTAATGGAAGGTATTATGGTACAATTGATAAGATGAATCAGGCTTTGGAAGTTGATTTATTATATGAAAATAGTATTTTTGTATCTATTAAGGAAATGAATACTTTAATATTTAATAGTACTTTTAAAGAGGAAAAGTTTCAAAGTATTTTGGGAAAATATAAAAATTCATTCTTTGATAATATTAATTTGAATATGGTAAAGAATTATATTAAAAGTGGAAAATTGGGATTGGAATATAATGAATTGGACAAGTTTTTAAATGATGAAAATGTTAAATTGAATAATGAAATGAAAAAATTCAAATCAATTATTCAATTACAAACAAGTGATTTGACAGATAAACTCAATTATCAAACTAAGAATGCAAGTCCAAAGGGTGCTACTAATGATGAACAATTGGTTGAATGGGCTACTAGGCAATTTAAATTAATAGAAGATGATATGATGAATAGATACTTGAATATTTTGCAATGTGTGAATATTATGAAACATTTCAATTCAAATATTTTGCCAAATGCTGACCCAAATACTGCCAAGCAAATTAAACTATTATTTGAACTTATTCAAGACAAATCACTAGATAAGATTTCATCTCCAGAATTGAAAAATCAAAGAAAAGACATTAATTATCTCATTTCTGAAAAACTTGAAATTTTGAAAAGAAGTCAAGAATAACATTTCAATAATTAATAAATTATTCATTTGAATTGTTTCCAAGAAACAAGTGCTTTATTGTCTGGTCAACTAACTAGCTCAATTTAATCATGCACATAATTCAACTCTTGACCAAAAGTGATTTCTAATCATCATAATGCTCATAATTCCAATAAAATTACTCTTTAATTATTATTCATTCTTCATAATCATTACTAATCCAGTCATAATAATAGCATATCCAATATACCACTGATAAGTAATAATTTCACCAAACACGAAAACTCCAAACAAGGAAGTAAAAACAAAATTACTAGCCAAATTAGTAGTTGTTGCTGTGAGTGTTGATAATCCTTTCAATGCTCTATTTGAATCAATGCAATCAATACACGTTAGTTCAAATAATGAAAACTCACCTCCCCTGAAATACAATCATAAACACTGTCAGTAATATATTCAAACAAAAGAATAAAATCGTTGATTCATTACTGGATATCATCTTGCCGCAAACACTTGATAAACTTCCTAAAAATCCAGCAATTATTGCATTTCCAAAATGGAGTGAAATTTTATCATCTTTTTTCAAAGAAGTCTCTTGTTCTTCCTCCTGTTGTGATGATAATTTTGATTGTGATGTTTGTGTGGATGGTTTATCTTGTTGTGATGACATTTTTTATTTTTTGGTTGCTGATTTTCTACGTTCCTCTCTGATCTTGTACTTTACAATGTCTTCATAGGATTTGTATTGTTTGTCACTTCTATTGACCTTATCATCGAGGTGTTTGGTTCTTTGAACGTACTTGTTTTGCTTTGTCAAGGTACCCATTTGAATTGTGGATATTTTAATGTGCTTCTTTGGAGCAGTTGACTTTGGTGTTGCTTGTTTGGATTCAGTTTCAAACTCATCATCATCATTGGAGACTTCTTCCTTTGTTGGTTTGTCTTTTGATTTCTTTTCTGGAGTGGCAATTACTTGTGGAATTTCAATTTCCTCCTCTTCATATTCGTCTTCCTCTCCACCGAAAATGGCTCCTCGTTCAGTATCATCTCCTTCCTCAAACTCATTAACAGAAATTTCAGAAAACTTTGAATTTTCTTCCAATAAATCCAATGATGAAGTCACTGTACTGGCAATAAAGTTTCTAATTTCTGGAATACCATGTCCTCTCTTTGCGCTAGAAAGAATAATGTTTGGAGAAATGTTGACAGTCTTGGTCATCTTTAACTCTTTCAATTCCCTCAAGAGTAAAATTCTCAAACTCTTGATAACTTCTCCCAATACATTGTAATTTTGCTTATCTACTTTCGTCAGAACTATTGTGTATGGAATTTCATTCTTTACCAAATAATGGAAGAATTCCACGTCAGACTTTTTCAATCCAAGAGTTGGATTTGTTGCATTTTCTGGATTTTTTGCAATAGCATCTGCAAAATCCTTGATTCTTCTCACATCCAACAACCATAAAGTAATTAAATACTTGTCATAATTCATCCTATGTTTAAAATAATCTCTAATTAAAACATGCCATCCTCTTAAAAGTGATTTTGGAACTTTAGCGAATCCATAACCTGGCATATCAACCAAATATAAATTCAATCTTTTGAGAAGGAAATAATTTAGTGTTTGAGTTCTTCCAGGTGTCTTACTTATTTTCACATCGGTTGCCTTTCCTTTAAATATTGATGAAACTAGTGATGATTTTCCGACATTTGACCTTCCAATAATTGCAATTTCAAACTTTTTGTGTGATGTTGTTGGCACTTTATCATAGGATGCCACAAATGAATGATCTAGAAAGTAATTATTTCCTATCGAATTTGTCCTATCAATTCCATTCAAAAATTCATTAAATTGAAAACATTTTGAAATAAAATCGGAATCTGGAGTCTTGTAATTATTTGCTTTAAAAACATTCCACTCATAATCCTCATTCCTCGTTAAACTATTTGACACACAAGTTTTAAAATTAGCAACCATTTCCTTCATCATTAAATTGCTCATTGATATCTGAGGATGATGAGTATTGAAACAACCCAACAGATGCTTATTATTCATAAATATTAACTTGGAAACTCTTCTTGGAACGGAAGAGCACACAGACGAACTCAATCTCTTCATTTTCACTTTTATCAATATTGTCGTGTTTTATATTTCTCTTGTTCTACCCTGCGTCACTCACAGAAGAAAGATTCTTCTATCTAATAGGAATATTTGTCGTTGTTGCCTTCTGTTCTCTTCAACCACAAATGACCCAATGTACAATTTTGGTTGAGGTACTTGGGTGGTGTTTTTTATTAGACTTGTATTTTATTATATAAAATTAATTAAAAATACAAAAAGTTCTAACAAGAGTGGCTCGAGTTGGATACAACAAAGAATCAACTGCCGAAGAATATTATTGCGAGAATTTTATAGTCAAATAGTTTTACTGTTGCTATCCTAGGATTATCATCACAATCACCATCATTATAAAATGCAAACTCAAGTACAGGAAAAACCAGTGGAAGATAAGAACGTAGAAGCTGAAGATGACTCATCATCATCCGATGACGAGGAAGAAACCACCAAGGTACCATTGAAAGAAAGAATTATCAAATATGCCAAAAAGACCAAAAGAGACACAAAATATTTGATTTTCCATAGAACCAAGGGTAGAAGCTATTTCTGTTCAAATACTTGCGGATTTTGGTGTTCTCAACTTTTCTTCCTGATTTTCCTCTATGTTGTTTTGACTGGATTCTTCCTTGCTTATATGGCTATTGGTTCTGAAATGATGCCATTCACATTCTTTTTCTTAAAATACAGAGATCCTAATGATGTACCTGCCCCTCTTGAATCTAGACAATACTTTGGTTCTTCAAACAATACAAACTCCACTAAATAAACAACTTTATTGAGATAGAAATATTATATGTGGTAGTAGTGACTATTACTGATTCTTTCGTGAGAAAAAATTTGTTTTTCTGCAAGAGCTAATCTTCTCATTTCACGAATTGGATCAGGCGGAGCAAAATGAATCTTTGGATTTGTAATTTCCTCAATACTTGTTTCTGTATGAGTTTTGGTTGGTTTAGCTCCTGCAAGAGCAGATGCAACATGTCTCTTACGTAAAATGTCCAACTTGGCTTTTGCAGCTCTATCCTCTTCCACTGCTTTCTGATACATTTCGTCTAATTGATTTTTCTCTTCCTGTTTCTTTAACTTTTGAATTAATTTATCTCTCTTGAGAAGAACTTTCTTTGTACTTGTAAGATCAATGTTGTGAACCTTCATTTGCTCGTCCAAACTTTGTATAACCTCTATGGTATTTGATTCATTCTCTGACATTAGTGATTTCAAAAGGGATTTATCCTTATTTGTCCTATTTGTTAATGAGTCTGGGTTGACCAAATTATTTTGCAAACCAGCAGAAAATTCAATCAAATCTCTTTCCATCAAATCTTTGTAGTGGAGTGGGTTTTGCTTTTCTAGTTGTTCTAAAAGGTCCTCGTGTCTAATGGAAATAAGCGGTTCGGTGTACTTCTTATGTCTCTTTGTTCTATCAGAATAGGCTTGGTTTACCAATAAAGTTGGAAGTTGCATTTGAACTTGAATTTGTTCCAATATATCCTTTGGAACTGAAATATCACTTCTCTTGTCTGCAGACATTACACGGTTGTAGGCTTGGTTTTCATCTTCTTCCTCTGGATCAATTACTGAATCAGCATCATTAAATGTATTTTCCTCACTAAAATGTTGAACCCTTCCAAAGGATCCAGACTGTGGAGCTTTTCTAGCTATTTCTTGGTGCATATTTCTCAGCATATTGACTGTATTGTTGGAAGCAATACTTCTCATTGATTTGGTATGGTTTTGGTTCAATTCAGAGAGCCTCGAAGGTCTTCCATCTTCGTCATCATCACTGTAATCATCTGTCTTTTTAAGGGCAGTCAAGAAGAAAGACGATTCATCTCCAGTCTTCGATAGCATTGATTGGTTTTCATCTTCAAATTCATATTCTTCAACTTTTCTCGTTCCATAATACTTAAAATACATTCTTGGATTTTTAGGAAGGGCTAAAGGCGATTGAGAATTGAGTTCTTTTTCTTCCAAATAGGTGTACAGTTGGGGATATCTTTCAATAAGATTCTTTAAATCTGTTGCCATTTTCAAAACATAATCTGATTCATCGAAAAGATAGGTATCCCTATCTGTGTCTGTTTGCTTAGCTTTCCATGTTTCTATTTTGAATTAATTGTCAATAACTTTCAAAATACAACTTACCTATATATTCAATAATGTACAGACTGACAGTTCTAAATAGGACAATTTCATCACCTAAAAGTTTACCTAATGTTTTAACATCCACAAAACTAGGATCTTTAGGACTGAGAGAACTTTTTTGACAGATGTTTTTCAAACTCCTCAAACTGTTCTCTCTTTGTTCAATTAATCCCTTAATTCTGAGATCCAACCACCTAATCTCAAATACTCGCATAGTTTCTTTTGAAATATTCTCGAAATTTTTATGGGCATCATCATTGAAATTTGAATGAGTAAATGTTTCTCTGTGTGCCCAGTTTGTTTCAGAATCTTCCCACAATGTTGAGAGAATTCTCTTCTTTGCCTCTAATAATTCCAAAACAGCTGGTGATATCTTTTTTCTTGCTCTATTATGTGAGGAAGTAATTTGTTCCTCTCTTAAGTGGGAGTTCATAAGATGGTCATCTTCCAAAAACTTTTTCAATCGTTGTTCCATAGCTTGTGATTCCTTATCTATTCCTGCTTTAAAATCATTTTCAGCCTCCTCTGCTTTCCGATCATTAAGAGAAAACTTTAATAACGAATTGGCTTCATCTACTGTTGTTGAGAATTTTGGTGTATCCTCTTTATGATCATCATCTTTCTTGAATGATGGTTTACTTTTTAAAATTCCCTTCTTCATTGCCTCACTGTTTCTCCTTATATAATTCAGTTACTCTTGAGAATGGTAGTGATAATGTATTTAGCTCTTTTTTTATTAGTATTACTTCAGTAATTTAAATATTGGCGGCAAAAAATGGATGAAAATACTTTTGTTAGAGAATGTGTAGAGTTGATGTCGAGAGACGAAATGAAGAAACAAGGCTGGAATTGGATGGGAGAGTACGCAGAATTAATGACACATATTCATTCTCCACAAATCAATTTTGAAAATATTTCATCGGCACAATCCGATCATTCTTTTGACAATGAGGAAGATATTGTGGAGGATATTGAAGATGTAACTACCAGCGATACTTCTTGGATAATTAATTCTTCAAATCAAAATTCTCAAATTTTCTCAATTAGATATCACATTGTTTATAATCAGATATTTAAATGTCCAACACTTTATTTCAATATTTATAATAATAATAATGAATTATTATTACCTACTCAACTCATGGAAATATTTCAAAAGATTGGAGAATCTAAAGGACTAATTCCAACTGAAAATTTCAATCCCTATACGTTCATCACACAAGGAGAGCATCCAATTCTTGGTACAATTTTCTATTATATCCACCCATGTGAAACTAGAACAGTTATGGAAACTGTTTGCACAAACACTCCAGTCAATTATGTTTACACATGGCTTACATTTTTTGGAAAAGTGGTATTGGTAAATACTCCAATAATTACTGAATTTTGTTAATTCTTTGATGGAGAAATAGTAGACTCAATTTCCTCTTCTTCTTGAAGAATGCTCCAAAGAAAGATGCTATAATCACTAGAGGCATCACATGCTAAACCAACTTCATGTAAACTCCAATCAAATGTAGTAATAGGTAAAGTATGAGTTTTGTAAGATTTGATACATTCCAATTGTTCCTTTTCTTCCTTTGATTTAAGATGCCATAAATGAAAATAATTATCTGTACTTGATGTACCAAGAAGTGCTTCATCGTGAGGATTGAATTTGATTTGAGAAACTGCTAAACCATGAGCTTGGTGGCTATGTATTGGCTTTTTCAAAGACCTTAAATCCCAAATATAAGCCATACCTTGTTCGTCACCAACTGAGAGCATGAATTCATTATATGGATTAATCGACATGCAGGAAAATATTATGTCATCTGGTGGTGTAATTGTATAGAGCTTTTTTTGTTCTTGTCTATCCCATAGCTCAATTCTTGTATCTCTGTATTATGTTAATTACCAATAATTATTATTGAGAAATTCACTTACAGAGGTGCTGCCAATAAAAGACTTGGGTTTTGAGAATGATAAGTGACACCTAACATTGGAAATGAAGATTCATTGTTTGCGGAAAAGATTGGCTCACTCTCAGCAATATCCCAAATTGCAAAACTGCTATCTTTACTGCATGAAACAAATTCATTTCCATTAAATGGCGACACACTAACATCCTCTACACTCATATTGTGATGTGTATATCTTTTGATTGGTTTTCTCAATTCATTCAAAGTCCATAATCTTAAAATTGGATCTGTGTGGCCAGTAATTAAAAAAGAATCATAATGAGAAGTTTCCGAAACACAAACACCACCAGTATCCAATCCTACACTTTGAATTTCATCTAATTGTCCAACACTTGATAATCTCCAATAATTTAATTGACCAACACTTAATTTGATTAGTATCCAAATAAATCAACCTACTATTTAGTTTCAAATGTATCGGAAGTTATTCCTATCAAACCCTTCTCATCAAACTTTGAAAATTTTAAATCGGAACAAATAAACTCAGTCTCCAATCGAAGCATTTTTTGATAATTTAATTGTGATGATTGTATTTTCTTTTAATATTTAATTCATATAGAGTAGAACCATTGTGTTTTAATTGAAATAACCTTTCATAATTTTGACGATACAAAATGAAGAGTGATTGGTGTATTCTTCATCACCGCACAGTTGTTATCATCTTCAGCCCTTGCTATTCAATTCTAAAATTACAAAAAAAATAACATCCCATCATCGATTAATACATCGATCATTTTGATTGTTATTAAAATCATCATCTCTTTTTAAAAAAGATTTCATATTAGTTTTAAAACACGCATGAAACGTAGTGGTAACAACAATCTGAGTAGTTTAAGTTCAGTTAGTGGTAGCAATAACATTGGAAATAGAAAGCCTTTTAATAAAGTGAATGTACCAAAGCCTGTAAATCTTCCAATTGCTGGCAATACCTCTGGTACAATCACTTCAAACAGCACCACAACAACAAACACAACTCTAAACAATAGTAATATTGCAACAAGTACAAATCCAGGACCAACTTTGACTGGAAATAACTCGACTACATCAACTCTAAATAATGCTAATTCTACTCCAAATAATGCAGGTAATGCTTGGAATACAAGACAATTACAATCATCTTGGTTTCAACATAACCCATCTTCTTCGAACGTTGAATCATCAAGTACAGATCCGATTAACGTGAGTCAATCTGATAATAGCAAGCCTACCACCATTAATACAACTCCATCTTTGCCTGTAAGATCAACCCGTACACCAATTACACCAACAAAGGATACAAATAATAATAATTCGGCTTCATTGACACCACAAACAACAGCAAATAGTAATAACGAGGAAACTAGCCATCATGAAAAAAAGCAAACAAATCCAGCAGCTACAACTCATGCTGGACACGACAGTAACTGGGGTGAAATTTATGATGATGATGATGATTTTTATGATTCGGATCTAGAAGAACTCATAGAAAAGGAAAATAAGACAAATGCTCCAACACAAGCCAAGACTAAGAAACAGAAATATTTGGAAAAGAAGAAGCTTCTCAGAGAACAACAAATGATTGCTGAAAAGTCAAACAAATCCGAACATAGTGAACCTAAAACTGTTTCCACTCCTTCCAATACCTCTAATTCTACTCCTTCCAATACATCCCCTCAAAATTCATTACCATCTTCTCCTCCTTGTTTGAATTTTGCTGATACAATAGAAGAAGAACAACAAATAGAAGAAATAGAAGAAATAGAGCAAACAGAACAAACAGAACAAACAGAACAAACAGAGCATACAGAGCAAATAGAAGAACAACACATAGAAAATCCAGTTCATAATTCTCCTCCTTCTCCTCAAGAAGAGGTTCCTAAACAACATACCGAACCTCAACATCAAACATCAATTCTTCCAAAGAATACCCCTGTTACTTCTCATCGACCACCATCTTTTTTCTCTATTGGACGTATTCCAAAGGAAAATACCAGACCTTCTCATCCACTTTCCACTCATCCAATTCATACCACCGATAACCATGTACCAAAAATACTTCCTGCCGAACCTCAACAAGATACCACCAAGCCAAAAGAAGAACTTATTAAAACAATTAAAGAGCAAGAGGTTTTGTTAAATGAAACTGCTGAAAGAAGAAGAAGAGAAAAAGAGGAGGAAGAAGATAGAATCGAAAGAGAAAGAAAGGAAAGGGCTCTTTCAAAATTAAAGGAATTAGAAAAAAAGCTTGCCGAGAAAAAACCATCAGTTCCAGAACCAGTTGCCCAACCAATAGAAAATACTCAACCTGTTGTTGCTGAAACATCGAACACTGAACCAACCAGCTTCAGTAGTCAACAAAACTCAAATGGAGTTAAAATTCTCAAATCTCATAACAATGGGGGTCATTCTACTAGAGGAAATCATCATGGAAGAGGAGGTTCAACTCATAAAACTCAAAGACCAACAAGTGAACAACCTCCAAAGGTTCAACATGAAAAAGTTGAGGAAAAATCCATAACAGATACTGACAACAATTGGAGAAGTTCAAATGTCAAGTTGACAAAACCACCATTTGGACTTCCTCAAACTATGACAAGAGAAGCAACTAATACTACAGCTACTACCCATTCACAGGAAGGTAATGCCCACAACAATTCTGGAGGTAGAGGAGGACACTCAACAAGAGGAAGGCCAAACACAAGAGGTGGTCATACTAATCGTAATCCTAGAAAACAAGTTGATAATGAAAATAGTGTTCCAAAATCATCATCTGAATCAAATTCAGCAATTGATCTCAGTAATATACTTAAAAATATTAATCCAAACGAGGCAAAGAATAAGATTTCATTTGGTATGTTTGATGACGAACCAAAAGTTTCACAATTGAACAATGCTCCTCAACCTGCAACAACTCATCCAGAGAATTCAGCAAATCCAAGACCTGAGAGACCTCACACTGGTAAACAATCTCATCACCGTGAACATCAACACAAGAGAAATAATCCAGTCCAAGCGAACAATACTGAGCCAGTCCCTAACACTACAACTAGGCAACCACATCAAAACAAGCCTCCAAGACAAAAACATAATGATAACCGAAACAATGAAAATCAAGCTCATCCAAGACCAAGACGTAATCAAGAATTTGTCAAAACTGCCAATCATGAAGAGGTAAAATCAGTCCCTGCCGATAGTGCACCTGACCAAAAAGAAACTCAATCAACCACTGGTAGTGATATTCAAGCAGGTGAAAATCAAAGAATGAATGGATCACAACGTTCTAATAATAATAGAAGAGGTAATCATCATAATGGTACTCCAAGAAATCATCATCATGAAAAGCACACTCCTAAAAGTAGAATTTGTTTTGTTAAGGTAGATAATACAACCACCACCAGTCAAGAGTAATTTCAAATTGGCGCCTAAAGTTTCCCTCCAATAAATTAAACGTAAAAATTTAAAAAAAAGAATGAATGCTTCGGCGAGTGTAATCGTTCATCAAATTAAACAATTACTCACTCAACATTTGAAGGAATTAAGAGTGTTCGGATCATCATGTAAAGCATACAGGAGATTTCTAACTAGATTTAAGGGATGTCCTTTTCAATTATTTTCTCTGCATATTTCTCTGAGATGGAATGAAACTATCAAAGCCTGGCACAATCAATTAAAAGAACATGAATCATATTGTTTTGTATTGAATGAAGCAATAGCTTTCATGAGATCTCTTCCTAAACATTCCCTCTTTTCCGAATTTCATGAATTGAAGAGATTTAATACAGAAATCGGAGCCAATCTACGACTTGCTCTTGATTATGCATTTGAGAAATATAGAAAATTACATGCCTTCATTGCTAGTTTCATGTCCAAAATTAAGAATCTTGCTGAATGTAAGTCAACTTGAACTAGTTATTGATTTTCAAAATAGTACCAAGAGAAAAGTGGCCAGGTGGTTGGTTTTGTTCAGAACATGATGATAAGCACCACAAGAAAATAGATATTGAAATGAGACACCAATTCATATATGTTGTCCCTTATGAAATTGGGCAAAAAGCGAGAATACCAAAGAATAAGTTCGATCAAGATAAGGCTGCAGCTTATTTGATAGAATTGAAAAGGCAATTGGATAATACGATAAGAAAGTTTGTTGGGAAACAAGGTATTCATCCACCTGAAACTACTTTACCAGTTCGAGTGAGTTTTACAGAAAAGAAAGGATTGTTTTTGGATCACACTCACATCAATAGATTGGAAGACAGAGAAAAGAAGAAAGAAAGCAGAAGAAACTGTACAAGAGTAGAATTAACAAAAACAACTTCAAATGAGAAACCAACAAGAACTATTGAAACTCGAGAGCCTACCCATTACGAATCCTTTTATTCAGAGCCTAAATCATTTGAGCCTCCTTCTAGGTTTGTAAGAAAATCAGAATTCCATGAAATGACAGACAAGAAACTTGAAAGGGAAAATGCAGACATTAATCCATATGTTTTGTGGAGTTTCCCAACATCTACATTCTTTACAGACGAAAGATTTCAAAGTCATAACGAAAATATGACGAAGCGAAAGAAGATGGAAAAATTAGGTAAATTCGATTACAACGATGTTATCTCAATGCGGCACTACAAGAGTATGGTACAAGATGTGGAAGATGGTGATGATATTATTCATGCTTTGCAAGATCAACAACAAAGGTATATGTGTAATTTAGGAGTTCAAGATTGTATTCATGTTGGTAAACATTTGGATTGGTCAAATAAATAAAAGTGTAATTATACATAAGTAGTTTTTAATAGTTTACAAGTTAATGAGTGTTGAAAAGAGAATCCTTGACTGATTGAGAAATAATTCCTTGTAAAACTTCAGTGCTCAATTTAACAGCATCCTTTGTCAACTTATCCAATTGAGTTTCTTCCTTCTTCTTTGATTCCTTTTCCATCATGAAACCAGAAAGTTTACCACCACGTCCGATTTCGTGTTCAGCCTTGTCCATCTTTCTGGCAATATCATTAATAGAATCGTTTGTATAATTTCTATTCTTGATGGCAGCAGATGATGACAAAATGTTGATCCAGTACTTATTCCAGAGAACGTTCAACAATTTTGTATCAGTTGAGGACTTGAAAAATTCACATTCCAATTGATAGTACTTGTCATGATAAACACCATAATCTTCAATCTTATCCATAGGAATTGATTGATATTCTGAACTTGATGAAGCACTTGGAGTGTGACCTTCTGGGTATGTTCTGAAAGCACCAATTTCAACTCTACCAGCTGAGACAGTTCTGACAGGATCAACAACAATAGCAACAAAAGGATCTTGGTATTGTTGGTTAGTTAATTGAGTGTTAACGTCAATACCTGACAACCAACAACCATAACCAGGGTGAGAGTGATACCATCCGACAACGTTTTCTGGTCTTCCAACAAGTTGACTCAAATCCATATATCTACCCATATATTCGATAGCTTCATTACCAGCATTAACACGAGTTTCGGTACCTTCAACAGGTAAAGCAAATGCATCCATAACAATGAATGAATCTCCATCAATTTTACCTTGCATCAAACCCATAACTTCGAGTGGTTGACCTTTAGTTGTGTGCATAGCCATTTTGAGAAGAGCCAAGGCAGAGATTTTAACCTTCTTGAAGTATTTAACACTATTTTAAAATTGATCATCATTTGTATCGTCATCAATTAATTTTCGTGATGATCAAAAAATACTTACTCTTTTTCCCAAGGTCTTTCTTCACGGACCTTTTGTTCCTTTTCTTCATCATATTTATACAATTGTTCATCAGTAACTTCCTTGACTTTATTTTCAAGTTCCCATTGTTTTTGAGCGTCCTTTGAGCCTAACATTTTTACACTATACTACAATCTGGTGATGAAGAGAATTTTTTTGAGTGATAGAGAAAGTTTTTCATCAGCTAATGCGCAAGCTGTGTTATTTCGAGTTCATTATGGAGGCTCTAAAAATAACTCTATTTACAATGCTGGTTCTCTCTTGCTTGTCAAAGATTTCCACTGGCTCTCTTCAGCACACAAGACAAAAAATGAGTTCAATGCAAACCACTGATGAAATTGTAGTCGGTGACCAATCAGTGCCATCATCAGCATCTTCGGGAGAGAGAATCGTTACCCAAACACTTGATTTGGAAAATAAAGAACTTTTGGCACAAGGAGCTGAAGGGGTGAGTATTTTAAATATTGTGTGGAAATTTAATGATGGGTAGAGAGTTTTCTTGTTGAAAAATTATTTTGGAAAACAAGCAATTATGAAGGAAAGATTTAGTAAAAAATATAGACATCCTACATTGGATAGTAAATTAACAAAACAAAGACTTGTAAAGGAATCAAAGAATATTTCAAAGTGTAGACAATTAGGAATTGAAGTTCCTACAGTTTATAATGTAGATAAAACAAATAATTTAATTTTTATGGAATATATTGAAGGATGTTCAGTCAAGGAATATTTTAGGAAATTTGAACAATTAGCAAATGCATCAACTGAACACATTTGGGATGAATCATGTCTTGAAATAGCTCATTCTATGGGTAAAGTTATTGCCACTATACACAAGAATAAGCTTGTTCATGGTGATTTGACAACATCAAATTTAATGTTGAGAAATGGAGAAAAGGACAAATTGGTTGTTATTGATTTTGGTCTCAGTTTTGGTACAACTCTTGATGAAGACAAGGCTGTTGATTTATATGTTTTGGAAAGAGCCTTACTTTCAACACATCCAAATTCTGAAAAATTGGTAAGTATTGTCACATTTATTATTACAATAACCATTTCAGTTTGATCAATTAATAGAAGGTTACAAAATTATTGATGCCACTCAAAGCAAGACAGTTTTGAAAAAGTTAGATCAAGTCAGACAAAGAGGAAGAAAAAAGTCCATGATTGGATAAATTTATAACAATAAATATCAGAAGCAGTAAAAAATTTGGCGCCCAAAATAACTACAAAAAAAATGACTGAAAATATGGAGAGCTCTCAGTTGCTGAATCCAACCTCGCCTGGATTTGATGCCAACTATGTGCTTCAGCAATTAAAGAAGAGACCCGAGATGGAATCTTTCTATCGGAAGTATGAAAGTACATTCAACGCCTTAGTTTCATCATATACAAATGTTGAGAGATTATCAAAGAAGTGTGAGCAATTAAATCAAGATATTTTACTGATGGCCACAAAAGTCAAAACTGCTCAAAAACAAGTAACAGAAGATCAACAACAAATGTCTCTCATTAAGAAAGAAATAGAGAAACAATGGGGATTTTATGATGCGGCAAAACAAAAGGATAAAGAAGCTCAAGCTAAATTGGACGAACTTCAAGAAAAATGCAATCTTCTTCAAAAAGAAATACAGCTTGGTGTTGTTAACGACGAAAGAAGGAGAATGATAGAGCAACTTGAGGAAACAGAGGCCAAACTGAAAAAAGAATTTGATTTGGAACAAAACATGAAGATTGGTCTGATAAATACTGTAACCAGGTTGCAAACTCAATATGACGAATTAATCAAGCAAAGAGAAGAATTGTTAAAATATATTGAGAATATGACAATAGAAATATCTGAAATTGAAAAGAAAACAAAGGAAGAGCAGACAGAACGTGATAAAGCTAAGCTGGAATTAGAAGAGGCTAAAAATCTATTAAGAAGAAAGCTCAAAGAAATTGAAGAAAAGAAAATTAAACTTGAAGTTGGACAAAAAGATCTTCAAAAGTTTGAACAAAAGGCTGCAGAACAAAGTCAGAAGACGATCAAGTCTCAAAAACATATTGAAGAACTCAAACTTAAAATGGAAAAAATTGAAAGAGAATTTAAGGATATTGCCAAACAAACATCTAAGCTTAGCGCAGATAATGAAAAACTGAGGTCTCTAATTCACACAAAAGAGGCATCCATCGCCTCTACGAAGGAAGAACAACGTCAGATTGTGAAGGTTGTAGCTCAAAAGATGAAGGAAAAAAAGAAGAGAGAAGAGAAAAAGCTCACTCTTGAAAGTTATAAACAAGAGATGGATGTCCAGGTTAGAAACTTAAAGGATCATATCATGGAGATGAAAAGAATTTTGGAATTTGAAAAGTCTAAAATTGAAGATCTGAGCCATCAAAAAGGTCTTCTAGATAAGAGCATCCTCAAAGCAGATAAAAACCTGGAAGAAGAAGAGAATTCGCTCAAGGTTGTCGACAGTAAGAGAAGAAACGTTCAACTGAAATTCAAAGCATATGTACAAATGATAGAAAAGAAGAGACAGGATATTTACAGACTGAAGAAAGAAATTGATAAGTACGATAAGGCATTTCTTGATGCAAAGCAAAAACACGATCAATCACAAGAAGAAATTAAAATCAAGAAACTGGAATCTGACGATTTAAAGAAGAAAATCAGAGATGGAAGAGAACGACACAGACAACAAATGGCACTTTATGATGCTGTGAAGGCTGAAAGAAATACCTACAGCAAACGTTTGATTGATGCAGACTCTGAAATCCAAGAGGAGAAGCAAAAATTCAAGATTATGACACAACAAATAGACAAGATACGAGAAGATATTCAAAACAAGGAAGAAGAATTCTTACACCAAAAATCAGAATACAGCAAGTTATGTTCAAAGAGAGAAGTCCTCACTGAACAATTGAAGAATTTAGAGAAGAGCATTGAGGAACAGGCAGACGTCAACAAACAATACGAAAAGGAAATCAACAAACTCAATGAAATCATTAAAGAAGCTGAACAGGAAAGAAAGAGACAAGAGAAGGAACTTGAAGTTGTTGTTGGTGACAGAGACATTCTTGGTTCACAACTCATCAAACGTAACAATGAGCTTGCAGGACTCTATGAAAGAATTAAGAGTCAACAAAGTTTAATCAGCAAAGGTGCTGTTCAATATCAACAGAGAGTAAATGACATTCAGACATTGCAAGAAAAGATCAACCAACTATCTCAAGAATATGACAAACTCTCAGTCCGTCTCAATGATTTTGATCTGAAGCAGAATGAGGTACACTCACTTAGAAGACAGTTGCTTCAGGAGCAATCAAGAGTAAAGGCTCTAGAAGAGGAGCTCCAAACACCAATGAATGTACATAGATGGAGAAGAATTCAAGGTAGTGATCCAAACTCATTTGAAATGATTGAAAAGATTCAAAAGCTTCAAAAGCAACTCATTGCCAAGACAGAAGAAGTCATGGAAAAGGATTTGCTTATCAAAGAAAAAGAAAAGCTTTATGCCGAGTTGAAATCAATTCTTACAAGACAACCTGGTCCAGAAGTGGTTGAACAATATAATGTCTACCAACAGACTCTTAAAGAAAAAACTAAAAAACATCAAGAAATGTTGCGAGAATTGGAAGTCTACATGATCAAAACAAGAGATTTGGAATATGAAAATCAAAAATATAAGGAAGAATTCTTCGCTCTCAAGAATGAATTCTTCCAAAAGAAACAAGATGAAAAGAGACAATACAGAGCTTATATCAATTCCCTTAACAGTGATTTACTCGACGACGATTACATGTAAATATTTGTACATTCACCAACAACTCCCTAATAAATTATTGTATCCCAACAACCAAATAAACAACGACTGGTCAATATGAATTGGATTAGTTAATGAAAGGAACATAATATTCATCAAATAAAAATGGACAATAGCACAAAGGAAACATTGCAAAAAATTCCACTCTTGAAGGAAAAAGTTGGACCAAGAGATGCTGATCAATGGGAAAAACGTCTTAAAGAGGAATATGCAGCTCTCATTCAATATGTGAAAATGACAAAGGAAAATGATAGTGCTTGGTTTTCTATTCAAAGTAACAAGAGCGGAACAAAGTTAGTATCATTTAATAATTTGATTAACTAAAATCATCGCAAAAATCTTCATCACAAAATTAATAGATGGTTCGGAAAGTGTTGGTTTGTCCACAATTTATTGAAATATGAATTTAAAGTAGAATTTGAAGTATGTGTGATTTTTGAAATTCATAATTGACAACATTATCAAAATAATATTTATAATAATAATCTGTTAACAGATTCCAGTCACATATCCAACAACAGCTCCAGAATTTAAAATTCCAGAATTGATCGGAAAGACAGCTAAAATGTATCATGATGGTCGTGTTTGTCAAACTCTTCACTTCCATCCTCTCTGGGCTAGAAATGTTCCTCATTTTGGTATTGCTCATGCTTTGGCTCTTGGATTGGGTCCTTGGTTGGCTAGTGAAGTTCCAGATTTAGTTTCTAAAAATTTAATTCAAGCTAAGGATACTTCTACTGAAGAATCGACCACTCCAACAACTCAACAATAAATTCCTTTTTAAATAATTATTTAAATAAAGAAATATGAAATTAATAAATTTCCAGAGCTAGAGAAGAAGAAATCATTTTCCAAAGTTCTAATTGTAGATCCTCCACAAATATAATTAAATAATATTATAATAATAAATCTAAAATTTCCAAATCTAGTAATCAAATAAAAATTAAAAACCTACTTTAAAATATTAGAAATATCGCCTCTAAATCCCTTTGTAAAAATATTATGATAAAAGTTTTTCATTATTAAAATAATTAGGAATAATAAATTATCAATCATTCTATAAATTTGGTGATTTTTAGGAGTTACTCTTTTCATTTTGAAATAGGAATATCCAATCAATGACAGAAATACAATGATTTTAAAATTTGTGTGACTCATGAATGGAAAGTAGGTATTTATAATTTGATGAAATTTCCTATTTTTCATTAATCTATTTCCTTTTAATACAATCATTTTGTGTAATGAATGAGGAAAAGGAGAACGATTAGACAGTAATACTACGTCCAATAGTGTTCGTTCATCATCGGAATTGTTTGCTGCAATTAATTCAAAGAATCTTTGATTGGGATCTTTTGGTCTTGATTCCTTTTTAGCTTCCGAAGTTGCTGTTGAAGAGGGTGCATTGTTTGATTCATCTTCAGCCATTTTTTTCTTAGTTTCCTTTACAATAAATTTCTTATGAGGTTCATTCAATTACACCTTGAATTCTTCTTCTTAATTCCAAGTTTTCAGTCTTGAGAGTTTTCACTGATTCTTCCATCTTTTCACATTTTTCTAATAAAAAGAAAAATTCACGTTTTGCCTTATCCAAGTTGCTCTTATACTTCAAACAATATTTGAAAACTCTGTCATATTCATTGGCTTTGACTTCAAGTTTTTCTTTAGCTTGTTGGAGATCGATAACATCATTCTTGAGCTCCTCTATTCTATTCTTGAATGATTGATTTAATTGCTCAAGTTTTTTGCATTGAATGTCCTCCTTGAGTAGTTTTTCTTCTAATTGAGTAATTCTTTCTCTCAACTCATCAACCTGTTTGTTCTTATCTCTATAGATTCTCTCACATTCGCTTCGAAGGACAGACTCTTTATCTTTAGCCATTTGTTGTCTAAGATTAAGTAGGGCCTTGTTCTTTTCCTCAATCATTAGCTCCGTTTCCCTTTCTTTTTCTTGTAAATGAGTAGCAAGTTCTTGATTACAAGCTCTGAGCTCAGAATTTGTTCTCTCCTCTTCTTCGAGTTTTCTTCGCAGTTGATTCAAGTTGCTTGAGTGACTTCCTTCTAGCACTCCAAGATTAGAGCTAAGAGTTTCAATCTCTAATGTTTTATCCGATACAATTCTTTCCTTTTCCATTTCATACTCATGTCTATTTCTTTCAATAGCATTTCTGAGCTCTCCATTTTCAATCTCTAGCTTGGAGAATTTCGATTGAAGTTTTTTCAAATCATCAACGAGTTTTTGATATTCTTTCTTTTGTTGATCTGTCAAAATGATTTCCTCAGATGTTTGAGATGAATTATCAACTGTTAATTGCATAACTTGGGATCCCATATCGAATGTTATTCTCTTTTCGTGAGCTTTTTCTTGCAGAGAACCTCTAAGACTCTGAATAGTTTCCTCGTACTCAGCACACGTTCTTGTCATTTCCTCTTCGTGTTGTTTTCTCATTTTCTGCAGTTTGAATTGATAGGTTTCACTAACTGACCTAGAATAGTCATCAATTACGATTCTTGATTGTGATGTATCTTCTGCTCTCTTCAGTCTGTCTTGATAATCTTCGAGAGAGGATTTCAATTCCAAATAGTTTTTTTCCAGAAGAGATTTTTCCTTCTTTACCAAGGACAGATCTTCAACAGCTGCTCTAGCCCTCTTGTCCAAATCTATCTTATCCCTTTTCAGAGTATCCACAAGTTTCTCAAGAGATTGAATCCTTTCCTGACTTTTGAGAGATATTCCTTCAAATTCCATGTTTTCATTCTGTTTTGTTACGTATTTTGCTCTAAGGAGTGAAATAGTTTCTTCTAATTGTTTAATTTTCAAATTTCTTGATGATAATAAAGTCTCTGATTGAGATTGAAGAGATGCAAGTCTTTCCACTTCATTTGAAATTGATTTGATTTTGTTGTTCTTTTGAAATTGTAAATTTTCCTTTTCGTTCATTAATAACGTATACTTTTCATTGAGGGTGTTAATATCGTTTCTAAGAGATTCCACTTCCAGACTTTTTTGTTGAAGATAATCTCCTCTCAATTTCTCAAGAGAATTATTTGACCATGCTGTATTTAGGGCAAAGAATTCCTCATTCTTTCGTATCCTTTCCTTTGCGTTGATTAATTCTTTTGTAAGTGTGCGTACGGTTTGACTGAGCTGCTCTTCTTGTTCCGAAAGTCTTTTTCTTTCTCGTATGGATGTTTCATATTGAATATTTAAAGATGAAACATGTTGCATCAATCTTTCTGGATCCATTGAAGGACAAATTTGAAGAGCATGAGAAGGAATCATGTTTTCAGAAGCAATTTCAGAATCATGCTCCTTAACCATGTTATTCCCTTTGATTGGTGAATTTGCAAAGGCCTTTCCGATTGGTGTTATTGATTCAAGTCTATCTAAACTACCGAAATCCGAACTGCTTCCACTACTATTTCCTTTTGATGATGAGAATAATTCATTCTTTTTTGAAAAAGTTTTTGATTCCTGAATGCTCGGAAATTCCTCAATTTCAGGATCAATCATTTCGTCAATCATATCCCTGAGTTCATTTTCTCTATCATTATCAAAATCACTCAGCATTGAAAATAACTTGTTGTGTGGCGACAAGGTAGAACTATTATTCATTTCCAAATTTCCAGACTTTCTTATTGTTTGTGATGGTAATCTAGACTCTTCCAATGAAGTATTATGTCTATTAAAGTTTGTTGCAGAACTGTGTTTTTGGTGATGTGTTTTGTATGGTGAATTTGTTTTTGAATTTGTAACTTGGTTTGTTGTTGACCAGTTCATATCGACATTTTTTTTGTAGTATTTTTGGAGGGAAAATTTTGCACAAAGCCTTCTTCTTCCATGTTAGCACAGATTTCTATTAATATATTAAAAAGAATAAAAGTTATTATTTTTATATTTATTAATATTCAGAATAATTAAAATATTAACAATAACAATAATGATGATAATATAAATACTCTAATAAAAAAATGACACTAGCACCTGTGATGGAAGTTATTGAAAAGGATCAACAGAATCATCCTCATCATAATTATATTTATAAAATAGAGACCAATACGAATGAATTGTTATCGGCAGCATCTTCATCATCAACTCAAATATTAACACCATCACCTTCTGTTCGTTATTTATTGTTACATAGGGATTTGGTATTCAAATGTTGGAAAGGCTTTGTTGGAATTTTGAGTCATCAGAAATTTCAATCATTATCGGAATCATTTTCATTATCATCATCAACACCATCACTATTGAATTTATCATCAACTGGTACTAATACTGTTAAACCATCACCATTAATTGGATTAGAACATGGTGATTTAAATGAAGAATATTTCTATGAATTGAATAATTTTGAAAAACCAATTGAATATTCAGGATTTACAAAGACAATATTTAACAAGTTGAATATTAATCATTTGACAAATAGTGATAAATCAATTTCATCGGGTGAATTAGATAGCGTTGAAAAGGAGACTAGCTCCGATTCTAAAGAAGAATTAAACAATTCACTTCAATTTATTGAAATGAATGAACAAGAAATTGAGCATTTCAAACAGTATATGAATGAAATTTATTGGATTGGATTTGACTGTAATCACTCACTTGCCTTAAACTTGTTTGTATTAAATAATATGAATACCAATAGTGATGATCCAGATGCTGTTTATGAAATGCTTATGGAATTATTGGAATCATCACCAATTGATTTTATTGACATTTCACCAATTGAATATATTCAGGATGAATCTATTCAAGAAGTAAGAAAACTCATTGATGAATTTATACCAGAGAGATCCTACAAAACTCATCAAAGCTGTTTAGAATATGCAACATTACTCAATCAATTATTATATTTCTATGAAGAAATTCTGAGACAACAATCAAACATTCAAGTGAATACTGGTAAATTAATTTCTCTCAATGATTTATTCAATAAAAAGTAAAATCCAATAATCCAACCCTTTGTATCAGTTGGTGATTGATTTTGTAAGAATCTTTCAAAGATCTTCAAAATTTGAAATCTCCAAAAGCACTTTGGAAATTTAAAAAAAAAAATGCTTCACCAAACCACCAAGAAAATCTCATCACAAATTTTATTGTCATCTTCATTGAACAGAATCGGAATGATGCAACAAGCTGCTACAAGATCATTCTCTACTTTTAATGTTGCTAGATCGGAGGCTTCTGTTATTTTCCATGAAAAGACTGAACCATCTGTTCAAGTAGTTACTCTCAACAGACCAAAGGCTTTAAATTCACTCAACTTGGAAATGGTTAGAGAAATGACACCAAAATATGAAGAATTATTAAAATCAGAAACTAAAATGATTATTTTAAAGGGTTCTGGTGATAAAGCTTTCTGTGCTGGTGGTGATATTAAAGCAATTTATGAATCAAAAGATCCAAAATTCTTTGCTGAAGAATATCAATTGAATTACTTGATTGGTTCTCTCTATGAAAAACATAAGAAGGTTCAAGTAGCATTGTTAAATGGTATTACTATGGGAGGTGGTGTTGGAGTGAGTGTTCAACCAGATACTTTGAGAATTGCAACTGAAAAGACAATGTTTGCCATGCCAGAAACAGCTATTGGTTTCTTTTGTGATGTTGGTGGAAGTTATTTCTTACCAAGAATTCCAATTAAGGGACTTGGTATGTATTTGGCATTGACAGGTTCAAGATTGAAGGGGGAACAATGTGTTGTTGCTGGTGTTGCTACTCATTTTGTTCCAAGTGAAAAATTGGGTGAATTGGAAGAATTACTTGTAAAGATTGCTCGTGAAAGTACTGGACCAATTGATAAGGAATTCATTGCCAAGGAAATTGAAAAGCATTTCCCACAACATCAATATATTCATTCCAAGCATGCTAATTCATTCATGGAACATGAAAAGGAAATTTCATTGTTTGATCCATCTCAAAGTCCTTCAGTTCATGATATCGTTGAAGGATTGAAGAAATTGGATACTGCTCATGCCCATCATACTCTCAAGACTTTGGAACAAATGTCACCAACTAGTTTGAGAGTTGTTCACAGACAATTGAGAATGGGAAGTGTTTTAGGATATAAGGAATGTTTTGATATGGAATATGGAATGGCTAAACAAATGATGAATGGTAATGATTTCTTTGAAGGTGTTAGAGCTTTACTTGTTGATAAGGATAAGAATCCAAAGTGGAATCCTGCTACTCTTGATCAAGTTAAACAAAAGGATGTAGACATGTATTTTGAATCATTTATGACAACATCTTCAAAAATTGTAAATGGAAATGAACTTGCCTAAGTCCAATAAATTATTATTTCAATAACTTTAAATTAGTGAGCTTAATGTATTATTCTACATTTGTGCTTTCATCAGCTCTATTTCTCTTATGAAGAGATTCTGAAATATTTACATCTTGGTCAGCAATATTGACATCATCTTCCTTAATTTCTTCAACAGGTTGATTATTTTCTTCTCTGAGATCAGCTTGGTGTTCTCTCATTCTTTCCTCTTCTTCATTTTGATCAACATCAAAAAAGTCTTGAGGATCACGATAAACTGGAGGATGTGCTTGAAGATCATGATCACCTGGGAATAATTTAGAAATTAAAAGAGGAGTTTTAAGTGGATCAACTCCATCAAATTCACCTGGTATAACATCTTTGAGATAAAAGTAAATATGTCCAACTGCAATTCCTACCAAATCCACAACAGGACTCATTCCCATCAATAATCCAACTCCTAATAAAACCCAAGCCAAATATCCTGCTCCAACAGTGAAAATTCCATAAATACGAAATTGTTCATGTGGATTTCTTCTACTCCAAATATAAAGTAACATTATAACAAGTGCATGACTCATGAACGGAAGTTGAAGAAGAGGTGAAATGCAAAGCATCATCACACATCCGAATAAAATCAAGTAAAAGAAGTCTCCAGTTTTTCTATGGAATGAATGTTCTTCCAATCTTCTACAATAAAAGTACAGAAAATACAAATGTAATATAAAATTAATACTAAATCGATCAAAGAATAGAAAATTAGTAGCAAGTCGCCAGAACTATATTCTGTTTTAAAATAGATCTTGATATCTTTGAAACATACCTGATATTGGAAAAATACATTTTGGAAATTTAAATATAATTGCAAGGGATTTAGTAAATCAAAAGTAACAGCAAAGCTAGTAATTGTTGAGAGGGTGAGAAATGTTCTTGTTATCACCGGAATGGAAAAGTACCATTGTTCAAGGTTAGTCATTATTTAATAATACAGTTTTAAAAAGAGTCGTGGGGTGAGAATGTATGATGTGATTGGGTGATTTTTTTTTACTTGAAATCTTCAAACACGTGTTCTATTTTTTGTTTTTTCAATAAGAACGGAATCTGAAGTGGAAGTTGACAGTGAAAACTATTTTGTTTTACAAAACCTTGTTTTCCTCATACGGTGCTTGGATTTGATAATTATTCACAAATAATCTAAATTATCAATTTGAGTCTTTTCTTTGGATTCTTCAATATTTTCATTTGATTTCTCTATAGAATTAGTTAATTGTTGCTCATCAACTTGTTGAATGGGCGAATTGTGATTAGATTCCAATTTGATATCTTTCAATTCTTCCTGATTATTATTATTATTAGTATCATTGCTTGTAATGTTATGAAGAGTAACTTGTTGAGAAGTGGTTAAATCATTAAGGGATGCAACTTTCCATTGCTTTAGAATATTTCTTACTTCCTTATTTTGACTCTTCAACCTTTCGAATACATCTGTCATATCCTCAATACAATGCCATTGAATATTATCAAAAAAGTTTGTTTCCAATAGTGGTGTAGTTTCAATTGCTTTGGATATTTGTTCAAACATTTGAGAAAGTTTTGGAAAGTTCAATTCGAGAGGTGAATTTGGTTTCAGATAAGTTTTAGTAATGTGAAGTGCAGCTTGCTTTCTATTTTTCTTACTTGTCAATTTAAATCTTTCAATATCTTGATAACATAACACAGATTCAGGACAGTAACTTGAAATCGTTATTAGAAACTAAACTAATTTAACACTTACCTTCTTCTTGCAAAATCCAATAAAATATTAAAAGTTTTCTTACTTTTTAAAAAGTGTTCCAGTTCAGACTCTTCCACTCTTTCCTTTTTCGTGCGATTCAATAATACTATAGAATATAATATTGGCAACAAGACACATATCACAACCTCAGTAAATGAATAAACCATTAAGGTAAACCCAAATGGAACAAAAAAATCAGTCAACTTGGTCACCTGTACCAAAAATCCACAAATGGCAAATAAAATAATTGAAAAGAATTGCAATAATGTCAATAATAATGTCTCTCTCTTAATAAACCACGTATCTCTAGGAATGATAAAACACAACACTAAAAAGACAATCTCCACCACAATATAAAACAATGATTCAATGGCTACAATAATTGTAATGGCATTGGTAATGACACATCCTCTCGAGGATACAAAGAAACCACCATCTCCCATGAAAATTCTTTGATTATTTGATTTGATTGGATCTTGATTGTAAATTCCCTCCTCAACAGCTCCAAAAAATATGAATAGTAAAATGTGAATAATGAATGAAGTGAGATAGGTGGCAATTACAAATTTCTGACTCAGTAAAATGTTGAAAATCTTTTGAATTTTGACATTCTTTTTCATTTCCAATTCATTTTCAATCCAATATGAATAATTATCACCATCAGATGAAGTGGCATCATTCGAATCTTGATTATTATTGAAAATGCTTTCAACATTTGACAATTGACTTTTTGGAGAATTCATATTTGAATTATTTGGAACTACTTTCATTGAAGATTTCAAATTTTCATGATTAGTTTCCTTTCTATTCGAATCCATTTTAGTTTTTTGTAAATTCAACTTGTGCATAAAAAACAATCTCCACAATCTAAACACACTTGGAAGTAATATTCCAGGTGGAACAATAAAAAACGATAAAATATAAATACTACAAGGATAAATACGTCTTCCTATAATAAACCTTAAACATGTCAAAATAATAAATCCAGAATTTGACAGAATGGTCATGAACAAGTAAGTTATATTTCTAGCCTTTATATGTGGAGAATTTCTTCTCAAATATAATCCAATTCCACTCACAATTAATACTATTATATATACCAATAAAAATACAATTGAAACAGCAGATGTCAACCAAGTGTCAGGACAAATAGAATAAAGTAGATTAGGTCCATCTCTACTGAAATCACCTAATTGAAATAATATTGGATTACATGTTCCATAATTTGTAGAATTGGTAGAATTAAATAACATTGTGTCATTATAAATGTCATATTTGTTTTTAATGGAGATTAAATTAAACATTGTCTTTTCGTAGTAATAAATATAATGATGACCATTCATAGATGCAGATAATTCACCACCAAAGTTCATAGATAGTGGATTTATGGCCATAACTTGTTGATAATTAGGTACAAGAAATAACGATACTAGTAAGAGAAGAATAATTTGATGTTGTTGTTGTTGGCGTTGTTGGAGAAGACACTTTTTGAAAGAATGCAACAAGTGTTGATGAGATAAGAGGTGCATTTTTTGATTGTGTCAATTATTTGCCGGCATCTTTTCAAAGTGTCATCAACATTCAGTCTGAACGCTCACAAACCATTTTGGTTGATTGGGTCTTTTATGAAATAAAATAAGAATGGATTTTAACTTGGGTTTCTAATAAATTACACATGTCAAACACAAAATCATATGGCTCGCCACGTTAACCGTCTCGGGAGGAATCGAACCTCCGTCAATGGATTCAAAGTCCACTATGCTACCATTACACCACGAGACGAGCACATTCATGATGAAAATAAACCTCATTTGCACGCGAAAAAATTGGGTTCAAGATTTTAACCCGAGTCTTATTTACTTTATTATGATATCAGTTAATTGTTTGTCATTAGAGTGTTTTAACAGTTTCATTACAAACTTTTCCACACTCTGATATATTCCCTTATTAAATTTCCAATACAATAAAATAAAAGTTTCTGGTCTCCAAAAACGTAGTTCATTCAATCTGTCACATGCCAATTCATAAATACATCCATTATTAGGATAACAAATAGGACTTGACAATTTGTATGAATAATATACACCTCTATATTTGATATCAATAGAATAATTATCATATATTAAAATATCACAGTCAGCATGACGTAAATATTTGATTAGTTTCTTTTCTTCTGCCTGGTTTCCAATATCTTTTTCATCATCCTCCTCATCTTCACTATCATCTCTTGAATAATTCTTCAATTGAATATCTTTTTCAAATATTTTCCTGACATTTCCTCCTCTTTCAATTATTATTCCACAATTATCATCACTAATAAATCCAGTTATACCATTAGTAGTATCAAAATCCATATCAGTAAAATAGTAAGGTAATTCCAATTCTTTAAACGCGTAAACATTACGACGTGATTTCTCACCCATAAATGGTAAAACATCTTGCAAATATTATTGAACTATTCCAATACCTGAACAACTCACCTTCTCCACATAAAAAAATTCTTCCATTATCAGTAAGTGCAGCTACCTTATTTTTATATCCAAGAACCTTAATAAATTTTGGCTTTTGACATTTTTTACCTTTCAACTTGATTTCACATTCACCCAATTCAACATCTTGAACATTTTTCATACCTCTTGCAGCAGCTCCATCTCCATTATATCCAATACTATATAAATTTCCAATAGATGATAAAATAAAAAGAGCCCACATATTAGCTGATATGAATTCAATATTATTAAATAATATATTATTACCAGTATTAATCTCAAAGATATTATAACAAGATGGTGGCTTTGAAATTATTGGTTGTGAGGGATTGATATTCTTTTCAATTATTTTACCATGAGTTGAAATACATTTCGTAAATGGTTTAACCTTCTCATCATACAAGTCACTTTCCCTTCTAATTCCAAATAATTTGTTAGAATGTGTGCAAATGAATAGAAATTGTTTTGAAATTGCTAAATGTAGACCGAGGGAGGTGAGCTAAAAAATGTTACATCACGGTAATTTCGCGCCAACCAATAACCGCTGAAAGTTGTCTGTTCTGACCGTTAAATATTCAACAAAAAAAAACAACAAACAACAATTACTCATCATGATTTCATCATCACCCTGCTAAATAGGTATATTGGTTGGTATTCCCACCTTCAGCATGCTACCTTGAGAAGCCACCATGAGGAGAGTTCTCCCTTTGCTTCCTTCCTCACCAGCCATTACTACATTCACCTCACCAAAACATCATCTAGATAAGTGCCTGCCCATTTACTTGAAATTGTTGGTACATTAAAGCGAAGGTTCATGTACAAGAACCCAGAAGTACTTGTTTCTAGAAGAACAAGTGGTAATTGATACTTTGAACACACTGTCTCACTCTTGGTCCAATAAACCTTCGGCTCGACTTTAACAAATTTTTGTTTTTTGAGTGACTTCTTAATTTTTTAAAAATATTTGTCAATCCTTCTCACCTCCCACGGTCTAGCTAAATGTTTAACATGTTTCCATTCAAATTTCAATGGATCATGATTTTTAAATTCAATCACTAATTCACATATTTTTAAATCAAGAGGCTTGCTAGTATTATGATTATCATTTATAATGATACATTTAATTTCATTGGGATTTTCACTTAAATTTAATCCTAAACATGCAATAGTACCATATCTGAAACAATCCGAAACTGCATAATGAATTTGCCAATTTGATAAATAATTAGAAATAATTCGCGTTTCTAATTTTTGATTCAGGAGTGAAATGCTCCCAATAAAACCATACTTCTCTCGTTGTGCCATTTTTTTTAACTAAATTGTAAATTTCGATATTGATCAAATTTATTTTGAAGATTTAAAGAAAATATAAAATTACTACTTTGCTGATTCATTAATTAAATCATCTCTAATCTGTGTAATAATTCTACCTAATAAATTCAAACCTTTCCATTGAGATCTATCATGAGCTCTCTGATCCTTCTCTTCCAATCCAATTCCCCAAATTTTATCATATGGAGAAGCTTCAACATATTCAACATCCAATCTGGAAAGTAAATCTCTTCTCATTTCTTCATTTTGTGTGAATTTTGCATAATTTCCCTCATAAACAATTCGATCTCTATTGGCTTCCCATTGATTGGTATCAAAATTCTTGACTTTTCTACCAAATTCTTTACATTGCTTTGGATCGGAGGTTTTTAAAATCTTTTCTGCCATTTCATGATCATTGAATAATTGTGCCTTCTGATACATCATGTATTGTTCACAAGTTACAAATGTTTTACCATCAATTTTCATTGGTGCTTTAACCCATTGTGAATAGTAACCTCCTTTAGTACCCCAAAAGAAGTGAAATTTGGAATATTTTGTTGCTGGGCAGAGGTATTGTTTAATTGTGTTGTTGTTGGATGAAGACATGTTTTTTTTATTATTGTTGCTATTATTAGAACTTTGAATCCAGAAAAATGAATATTATTGAAACAATTTCAGAAGTGAAATCAATTGGTTCATTCTGTACTCTGAACAGCATTCCTTAAAAAAGTGGAAAGTGTTTTACAATATTGTGAAGAAATCTAAGAAAATGACTTTGCATCAATTTCGATTTGAAAATTCAGTTTCCAGTAGATACTATTAATTGGATATTCAAAAAAACTTACTTATTAGAGAAAGTTTAAAAACAATTCTAAAAAAAAATGCCAAGCTTATTTAGGCCAGGAATTGATCAATTAAGGCTTCATGATGAAGAAATTCTATACTATGATAGGTCTCCCACTGTAGAGCAAAGTATTTTATCATTCTGGATTGGATCAGCCGTGAAAATGACATCATTACACTAAAAATTTCAGATACTTTTGCATTAAGGTATATCAGAGAAACAACTTTATATTTCCCTAAGGAGTGGTTTGACACTTTCAATAACTCTTGTATTGTTTCTGAAATAATGTCTGGATCTTTTAAAGGCTACACTGTACAAATTTGGCTTGCAATTATGCTCCTTAATCAAAACTCCACTCTCAGTACCCAAATCCAAAATATTATCAAAGACAAAAAGAAGTTCTCATCAATATTCATTGATTCTACAAACAGAAATTACACCTCATTAGAAGGAAAACCTGAGGATATAGATGTGATTGGACCAATGATTGCAAAAAATGTAGAGGACGATACATCTTTAGATGTAATTTTACCATATTCTGCCATTGATTATTGCAAAGAGAGGGTTGATTTCAATTTGGTTGTCCAAATTACATGTAAGAAGGAGTTGGATCAAACTCTTAAAGCAACAAAAAATTGTGACCAATTACTGAACTATACCAAAAGCAAGTCAAACGAGAGAAACTTGTGGAAGGTCAAAAAAACGAAAGGCACAAGACAAGAACCAGTTGACATTTCAGATTTGGATGAAAAGGAACTTTCTACATTCTTAACAAAAGCTTACCAAAACAACCAGTTGAAAATTAAGGAAGATTACTTTAAAATATTATTACAATACTTGCAAGAAAATGATTTCAATGGTGATGCTCTCTTTTCTATTGAAGAGTCAATCCTTAGACAATCTTTGAAAAATGCAAATTTAAAAGAAGGACCTATTCAAAATATTTGTTCTTTTATTAAAAGAGTAAAGCAATAAGGAGGATAATTATTTATGCTGTTTGGTTTTTGCAGCACTTCTACCAGTTTTTTCTGAAATCTTTTTGATTAAATTCTTTTGACAAAAGTGACATGTCTGGGCAAGTCCTTGTTCTCTTGAGCAATATCCACAAATCATTTTTCTACCCATAATGTCAGAAGATGGAGCAGTGCATTCCAGTTCATGGCAAATATCACATGGATAGGCACGTCCACAACAATCGAACCTGAACCATCTCTTTGAATTCTTGTAATGTTCACATGTTCCAAAGAATGGAAGTGGTGCACCTACTGAAATACCTTTGAGTGGTTTCTTCTTTTTGTTGGTTGAGGAAGAACTCTTATTTTCATCATGCTTATTACCACTGTTATGTGTTACCATTGCTAGATATTCACCAACAGTTCTCTTTTGTAATTGATTGATTTGAACAGTTATCAACTCATGACAATGTGTGCAATTCATCTCATTCACACTTTTAATCTTTAAATTTTTCAAATCATTGGCACGACTACAATTAAAACACAAAACTTGAATAATATTTCCCATTGGAATTAAATCAAAAAATGTACAATTCATCAATTCCAAATAAACAAATGGTGTTCCAGCTTGAAGTTCGTTTCCTTTTTTACCTTCAGTAGATAAACTTTCACTTGTCATACCAAATGGTTTCATTGTAATGTTAAGTGTCTTGGCACATTTTGGACAATTCTTTTCAATAGATTCACCTGGTTTTACATTTCTAATTTCACAATCATTAGAACATCTATCACATTTAGCTAAAAAGCTTAATTGTTTCATCTCAAAGATTGAACAATTCTTAACTTCTCCCTGATTAATAAGTAATAAATAATCAGAACTATTGGATTCTAATAATTCTGGTGGAGCATAAATCAATGAATAAAAATCCAAATCAGGAATTTCATCATCATTGTCATCTTCATCAGATTCCTTTGGATATTTACTAAAATCAATTTGATATCTTCTTTCCGATATTCCATGCATTCCTTCCACAAGATAATTAGTAAAATATTCCGTATTACCAGTTAATATTATTGTTGTAATATTATTTTCAGCCCATTTCATGAATTTCAAAATCACTTCCACAGCACTTGCATGAAATATTTTGTGAAATTGTTTGTTAGCAAATTTCATCATATTTTCCAACATGATAAAAGCTAATTTAGGTGATTTTTCTGTGGAACTATAATTTTCAATACTTTTTAATTTACAGCAGCCTTCAATGGTATGATTGGGATATTGTTCACTCATTTCAAATACAAAAATAATACCATCAAGAGTAGGATCAATTTTAATATCATTCTCCGGAATAAGAACAAGTGAAAATTCAAGTGGCCATTTACCCTTCTCACTTCTAATTTTAAATTTGTACTTGTTTTTTAATTCAATTAATTCCTCTTTAGCCTTTTGAGACATTTTTTTTTAAATGATCTCAACCAATCAGAAGGCAAAAAGCATTGGTATTTAACTGAGATGCTCTCTATGAAATTTTATCATTCCATGAAGAGTTTAAATTTTTATTAGCAATGACCTGTGCTTTAGTTTCAAGACAATGGTTAACTTTTGTTGTGCAAAGAAGAAAACTGATATTGAGGTTGACAAGAAAATGAAATGGCAATTGTTACAATATATTAAAGAAAAGAACATGATCGCATTTGGTTTAATGATACTGTTGATGAATGGAGAGGGAGCAAGGTTTATTGATATTGGCTCAAATGAAATTGATATTGAAGGAGCAAAATTTATTAGTCAACTGAAACAATTAACAATACTTATCTAAGCAAAAATGATATCAAAGACGAAGGAACCAAATATATTTGTGATCAATTAACCTCTCATGTTATGCGTTATCAATTGATGCTAGTCATTTCAGTTTTAAATTATTTTTTATTAAACAATTTGTGCAGCTGTTTTTGGATGTAAATTTGCTTGATTTGGATCAACAGTTTCTAATTCTTCACCATGATAAACATATTTAACATTTGAAACATCAATAGGTGGAATATATTTATCAAATCCATTTCTGTAATCATTAATAGATTTTTCACCATTTTTAGTAATATAATTTGGATGTCTAAATCTAGGACAACAAAAATATTTTTGTACAAAATTAGTACCAGTTGTAAAGAAATGAATAATTAAATAAATAATATAAAGTAAAAATGCAGAAAAGAAACAAATATGATAAGGAGTAATAATAGAAAGTACAGGTTGACTAGTATTTGATGGATCATAATTTAAACTTATTGTAAAGTAAATTCTTGTAATTGACATTAAAATATATCTTATTAAAAATGCAATTGATAAAAAATTGAGTGCAGTAGGTGATAACAAGTCAACTTCTTTACCTTCAGCTCTATAAATTTTTAAAATATTAAATTTATCAACAAAATAACATGCCATTAATCCACCTGTTATTATAAATAATGATACTGGAAATAATCCACTAAATACAATACCAATAAACATATTTTTTAATTGATATGAATATCTATCTATATATATTTATATTTATATTAAAATTAAATTAAAAAATAAATTAAAAAATATTAAAATATTAAAATATTAAAATGATAAAATTTAAAAAAAAACATACATTCATAAGAATAAACAGGTGGTTCATGTGCCTTATTTAAATCTTCTTGTGTAACACTTGTTGCAATTCTATATCTTTTTAAAAAATAATGATAAATTCCTAATAAGGCATCCTTAATAGTATTTGATGCAACACTTGTACATGTTACAAAAAATAATGAACTGTACCATGCTGAACTTTCAACTAGAATTGGAATATTAGCATTACCAATTGTAAATGCTCCTTTTGGTATAATAACACTATTATCTGTCATTTCAGAATAATAACTGCCAACTGTCGGTGATGTTAAATATACAAATAAATAGGCTATTGTTGTTAAGAAGGAACCAAATGTTACTTTCATCATTAAACTTTGTTTAGCATTTAATTGAAAACGATGTTTTTCAAAATTAGATAATACTATTATTATTGTAATATTATTGTAAAGTATTTAATATTTAATATTAAATAAAACTTACAATATAAAATATAGGTCATTACTTGTACAAGAATAAAAACCAAAACTGACAATCCGAGACTCGCAAAAATTTGCCAATTTTGGAAGGAAGGATTTTCAATCCAATCAGAAATGGAAATACTTGAAAATTTGTCCTTTTTCAAAACTTCTAAAACAACAGCTACTGCAACCACTGCACCTGAAAATAGTACTGTTGCTAAAAATGATACTGAACGTCTACTATATTTGGAAATTACTGAATATTCTCTAAAAATATTAAAAATAAATATAAAATAAATATAAAATAAATATTTAAATTAAATTAAAAATAACATACAAATTTTCCCAAATAATATCATGAGGTTCATGTGCAGGTTCAACTCTAATTCTATGTTTCTTTTTAGAATAAGTACCAGATTTAGAACAAATTCTCTGAATCATTGGTCTATTAAATGTATGAAGACATTTAAATCTAGACTTTTCATTTTCAAATGCTGAATTCATTACCATTTTAATAATAAAATAAATATTAAAATAAATATAAAAATATAAAAATATAAAAATAAATATAAATATTAAATATATAAATATATAAAGATATAAATAACATACTAATAAAAGCATCACCTGTACATCTATAAGCTTTCTTTCTCATACTTTTAGCAATATCTTTTTGAATAAAATTTAAATAAATTGAAAAGTAAATTCTCTTAATTTTTTCAATTAAAACAAAACAACCACCTCTACTAATTACAATATCACATTTTTCAATTTCCTTAATTAGTTCATCTTTCTTTTTTATAGATTTACTTATATCACCACAATCTAAGGCTAGTGCAATATTATCTAATTTACCAAATTTACTAAAATGTTTATATAATCGTTTTTTACCATGTGCTGCTTCTGTTGATGGTAAATCACGAATATGTACTCTAATTATTATTAAATATTATTTAAATAGTATATATATGGTAATATTTAAATAATATTATATTTAAATAATTTAATTATATTTAATAAATTAAAAAATAAAACTAACTACTTACGAATAATCAGCTACTGAAATAGTTCTCTTTGCAACTTTATCATTAATTCTATTAGTTATCCAAAAAAGGAAACGTAAATAAACAATAGAAAATAAAGCAATTACAACTTCAAGAGTACCAAATGCAATATTAACACCACCACTTGCATTTAAATCATAGTTAGCCATACTCATTTGAAAAAATGTTGAAGGATTAGTTTTCTTTATAAATATTAAATATTATTGTAAAATATATTATTAAATATATTATTATTAAATATAAACATACTTGTGCATAAAAATACAAATAAGGAGCGTGTAAAGCAGATAAAATTACAAAAAATATAACAATTAATAAACTAATATATAAATATAACATGGATGATCTACCCAATGATGTTAATTTCCAAAATGGTGTACATAGAAATGAATATTTCTTTTTACTTTTAGAATTTGTCTATTATTAAATATTATTAAATATTATTCATGATGTTAAATAGTGTTTGACATTTGATTATTAATAATGATGATAATAATAATGATGTTAATGATGATGATGAAAATAATGACATACATAGTACATCCGATTGCCATATTCTCTGGCATGTTTTTTATTTAACGTGCCAGATAATGTCATTTTTTTTGTAGTGAAAATGAAAATTAATTCGTTGGCAGCTGACAAGTGACAGTTCTAAGAACGAA